ATCGAGAGTGATATTACAAAAGCGTCCGTAGGATAACTAACTTAAGCAAGAGTAATCAAAATATAACGAAACCTCTAATAGTCTAGCTACGTAAACCACTAAAGAGTCTGTAAGGGTTTATACTAGTAAGTAAGTCCTGCTGCGGAGTCCTTTAGCAACTAATTATATTAGCTAAGGCTCTATTAATACGCTAGGAATCGATAGCTCTACTTCTCTAGACCTTAACTAAAGGTTTCCTCTTAATAAAAGCCTAGACTTAGTTCTTTCTGTCACAAGAGGAGGACCAAGCCCCTAGGCCAATAAACCAAAAGATCTAGAAATGTCAGTGTTACTGACATTTGGTCCCACTAACTGCTATATACAGCACTATGTGGCTCTGTAATCGCCAGCGCTGTGACACTTTCTAAGTAGTTCGGTATCTCCATAGATCTATAGGATACGCTCGGCGAAGTCTTTAAGCTATTAATAGGTTAATAGGAGGCCTAGGGCAGCCTAGATTCGAACCTATTTAGCTATATAGGATTCCTAAGCTAGAGAGTGCCCTTAGTAGTTAGCGAAGGCTATATCTCTTAACTAGGCTCCCTGAATCCGTCGTAAAAGAGTAGACTTTAGGACACTATACTTATATACTGCTTTTCGGAGGCTTTAACCGATAGTGTAGCGGGGTAAGGCCGGACGCCAGGGAAAATAGGTGACGGAATGGGGAGGATCTTTTGCTTTGATGAAGGAGGCTTGTGGCTGCAACTTTCCTTTCGAGGACGGACCCTTTTTAATGACTTCATCTTTTCGATTCGACAAGCAATAGTTAGCCATCATCGTCTCAGATAGGGCACCTGGTTCCTAGGTTCAGAGATGATATGGCACTAGAGAAGACTATTGTCACTTAAAGTTCAGAAGGCGAAAGGGACCCCTTTCCCAAAAGTAACACCAAAGTTACTGTCCACTTAGGGGTCAGACACCTGAACAATGTACCTCCGATATGTTCTAAAGAATCTATAAAAGACAGAGCAACGGGAGTTCGCGAGAACAGAGAAGACAGAGAACAATACACCTCATTCATATACAATCTTACGCACTTCTGACTACTCGATTGGACACACGTGATATTCGACACATCGCACTCTTTTCAATGCATGCAATTCAGAAGCTTCAGTTCATGATTCACTTACACGTTCAGGGGATAGCTTCTAAGAATCCATCTATCCTTTCCATTTTAGCCTTGACAACTATGAGACATTGTGTCTTGCTCTGATCAGACCAACAGATGGGATTTGTTGGTACTCGAGCCGTCTGTTCAGTGTGTTAGGTGGTAGGTATATCCTACTGACCGCCTGACCCCGTTTCACTAGGAGCCAGACGTCCTATTCTGAGAATTATCCCGACACGAGTCTCAGAGGCACATCCGACCAACTTGCGCACAAGATTTATAAGAGCTCCGCGCTTATGGCCAGCACCATGATCTTCGTCTGATCAGACCAACAGATGTGATCTATTGGTACTGGAGCCGTCTGTTCAGTGTGTTAGGTAATAGGTACATCCTACCGACCGCCTGACCCCGTTTCAATAGCTATTACTTGAAGAGCTCGATAAATATTATCTTCAGTCGGCTGGTGTAGTTGGTCACTTCGCTGGTAGATAAGTCCCGATTTGAGCCTCGCCCACTTGGGTCGGTGACGAGTCGCGGGTTCGAATCCCGCAGCTGACACACAAGGGGGTTTAGTCAACCCTTATGGCGCGCTGCCCACCTTGTTGACTTCGCCTACCTAGCGATAATAGGGAGATTGGTGCAGTTTAGGATTACGAGCATCCTAGCCAGTCGACCGTCAAGCACTACGTCGGCGGAATATAACTCGACAGCCGGTCCAGAATTCGAATCGTTAATCCGGCCCCTTATCGGACCTCGCCTATCCGATAACGCTCGTCGGCGAACCCGTCCCCTCACGATAGAAGGCGCGCAGCACGCCCTCTCGCCGCGATTCTTGCGAGCGTCTAGACCACGTTACGGTCTATCCACTTGAGCGTATGGTTGAGATGTATACGCTCGACGAGAACCCCAATTAGCAGATACTACGACTTGTCGCGACAAAAAATAGTCGAGCATCTTCTGCACATCAGCAGCATCCCACCCCTGAGGACGAATTTAAGTGCCACATTACCACACTTATCGGTAGTTCAGGCAGGGGTTGTAGCACAGACTTAGGGAGGGACAGGAGGTTTAGTAGTCGTTTGGCTACAAGTTTACCTGTATAACCGCCCGACGCGGCTTAAGGGCCCGCTATATCATCTATAGCCCCTTAAGGGAGTACTTGTAGAGGTACCGAGGGTTAACACCTACGGCGTATTTAATATTATTTATTATTATCTTCAACATATTAACATATATTAGTATAAAGAAGACGTACATAAAATTTCGTAACGATGAAATCGATAGTAGTAAAGATAAAAGAGGTTAAAGTTCGAGGCTAGCGGTATTAATAAGGCACTTTTAGGTGTCCCACATGTGGAGGTGTCCCGGATGTGGGGGTGGGACGTTAAGGGTACTATAGGAGCGGTCCGTGATACGCAGTAGTACCCGTAATTAGAGCTACTAGCTTGAATATAGTCAAAGGGCCATAATACCCCTCCATAGCCCAGTCTAGTGATAATTTATAATACTTGGATCCTTATATACTAAAGATAGCTATAGGAAGATTTAATGCCGTATCGGTTATATAGTAAGGGAGTAGCGCGACATAGGAAGTACTATTTATTATTATTATTATTATTATTAAATACGCCGTAGGCTCGAAGCCCCCGGTACCTCTACTAGTACTCCCGTATGTCAAACCGTGCCCTAATGGCTGGACTAAATACATACGCTGCGTCGTCGGTTCGCCCTATTGGCGACTGCGTTGCGTTCACTACCATACTACGTTGGTTCTCAACCTACCAACAAAGTCCCCCCTGAGAAGATCGATGCTATCTGGGCCTTGAAGCTGTCCGACCCGTCCCTAGCAGCCACCTTACAATAGCCCCACTAACTACTGGTTCTCCTGTTGCCGTTGCGAGGTCTCTGCGAGAGTATAGTGGCCGTGGTGCGATGGCGGCCCGTAATCGTTCCCTCGGTCCTTCCAACAGCCCGCAAAAGAGGATTACGTGCTCTGCCGTCTCAGGGGCGTCGCCACAGCGGCATAGCGGCGAGTACACGCCAAAAGCCCCTGTCTTGAATAAGAAGACTGCTAGTCCTATTTTTTCCGTCCTGATCTGGCACAGCGTAGACGCCTCCAGTCGGTTCAGGCCGAAATACCTGCCCCCTTTCGGTATCTGCATCGAAGGGCCCTCCGGTTCCTCAGCGATAGCGCGTCGCTGGCGATCGTGATGCTCTGCTCCGGTGAGCCATCTCTTCCTCCAGTGGCCGAGGAGGGCAGCCGGGACCTCCTTTTCCTCACTCATCCACTCGGAGCCCCGGGCCTCCTTCTCCATAGTGTACCCTGCCGGTCGGAGTAGCTGCGATGCCTGCTTCCTCTTCGCCGGCCTATCCTGCCGGAGTATATGTGACGCTTTAGCGCTCGCGCTGCGAAGCAGATTTCTCTTCCCGCTAAGCCGTAGCCGTTCTTCAAACTTAGCAGCCCGGGCACTAAGATAGAGGTCTAGTGGCGGGATTGCTGCTTCTGTCAGATAGGGCACCTGGTTCCTAGGTTCAGAAATAATATGGCACTAGAGAAGACTATTGTCACTTGAAGTTCAGAAGGCGAAAGGAACCCCTCTTCTCAAAAGTAACACCAAAGTTACCGACATGTTCTAAAGCATCTATAAAAGGCAGAGCAACGGGAGTTCGCGAGAACAGAAGTGTCAGAGCCACAAGTGTCATCCGAGGCGGGCCGGCTTCCACCAGGAAGGAAGTCGTTTGTGGCGGCTAGAGAGCCGCTTGTGGCGAATGAGAGCTGTTGAAGCCGTTTGCAGCGGATAGGGAATCGCTTGGTTGCAGATAAAGAGCCGCTATCCAAGATGTTGGCCGAAGTCGAAGGAACACAGACATGCGGAAGCAAACATCCAGAATCCAACAGAGAACCTCGGCTGGCTATAAGTAAGGAGTCGAGACGGAGGAAGATAGAGAGGGGAGAGATGAATGAACTACTGTGGATACCCCTACCTGCCATCACCAAGTGACCACCAGTGAACACCAGGTGACCACCAGGGGGACACGCCTATTTCTCCCCTTCACTCTGTACTATCGCCTTCGGTCCAGGCCGTACCCTGACAAGAAGACAGACAGACAAGAACACACCTCATTTATATACAATCTTACGCACTGCTGACTACTCGATTGGACACACGTGATATTCGACAGCTTCTGCTTCCAGGTGGCGAACCGGCGTCGCTTTGTGGGCAGTACTATTTAGTTAGCCTGGAAGAAAGCTTGGTGAAATCTTGGTAAAAGTGTGGAAGCAAATGATGCATGGGATACAAGTTTCGATTAGAGCCAACGTGATGACGACCTGGGGCGCAAGCAGGCATTGCTATGTGCGGGGTTGGCTGTTCTACCAGGGTCTATAGATTGGCCATGCCCAAGTGGGGAGGTGTTTAGCTGTAGGAAGCAGTGGGCAACAGCATCCAGCCCGAAGGGGCAGGTGTGATGACCACATTATCTATCGTGAGATAATGTTGAAAGCCAATACTTGTTTTTGACTCAGGGCCAACACAGCTAGTGTAACCGAGACCACAAGCACTTCATCACCCAACTAGTTACCGGTGAAAGAATCCGATTTGTGGCCTCTCTCTGCATGTGCCAATCTTGTCTGCGCCTTTTTATATTGCGTGCATATGCTACTGCATGCGGACCGTGTCACAAATATAAGGTAGACCGTATTGTGTAAAGTGTGTTGTCAGAATGTATATATAATCGTGACACAGATGCCCCAAGACGTCGCGCACCCACCTGCCGCTCACTCTTCCTGAGAATTAGGCTGTCAAGTATAATAGTCATGTTGCTCATCCGCTCTATCGTGAGTGCGGCTGCCATGTCGGTCGGCTTCATTCTTGACGCAACGGCCAGTCCTCTCACCAACCGTGATGTGCCAGCGACACACAAGCTCCACGAACGGCATGCGCCTCACTGGGGACAGAAATGGACCAAGCGCAACAAGGTGGGCGCAGACGTAGTTTTGCCAATGCGCATTGGCTTGAAGCAGTCCAATCTGGATGTGGGACATGATAAGTTGATGGACATGTAAGTAGACCAATGTTCGATTCAGTAGCCAATATTAGACATTGACGTGTCTTGTTGAAAGTTCCAACCCGACTTCCCCTAACTATGGAAAGCATATGAGCGACGACGAGGTGGTCAAGCTGTTTGCTCCGCAGCAGACCAGCGTAGCGACGGTGACGGAGTGGCTTGTCATGTCCGGGCTCTCGGCGGAGCGCATTGGCCAGTCAGCAAACAAACAGGTAGTTATTTGCTATGATTCATGACACCGGATATCAGCTCTGCTAATCGCTTGGCCCCTCGCAGTGGATTCAATTTGATGCAACAGCGGCCGAGGTGGAGGAGCTCCTCTTTGCCGACTTCTATATCTGGGAGCACGTGGATGGAAGCCACGACCTGTCTACCGAGGCCTACTATATCCCGACCCATGTGTCGGAACACATTGATTACCTGACTCCGGGCATCAGACTCCGTCCCCGGGAGAAGACAGGGAAGAACAAGAACAGGAAGCGCAGCAGCGATTTCCGAGACATTGTGAAGCCTATGATCACTCAGCTCCCCGCCTTTCCCAATCCCAATTCGACCACGTGTTCAATTTACGTCACAGCCGACTGTACCAGAGGTGAAGCCTTCGCTCCTGATCAGATAAGGCATGATGAAAACTAATAGAGCGACAGTCCAATACAGCATTCCCAATGGGACGACCGAAGTACCGGGCAACGAGCTTGGCATATTCGAAAGCCTAGACGACCACTACAGTAAGGCCGATCTCGATGTTTTCTGGAAAACCCTTTATCCGTACGTGTGTCCACTTTAGGGGTTTGATAGACCCTGCGCGGGACTGACATGTTGCACCAGGTATATGAAAGTGCCTAGTGGAACGTACCCCGAGGAACGGCTGGTGGACGGTGCCATCGGAGCCGTTGAGGAACCTTCGCCTGTCTACCCGTTGGAGGTAGGGCTCGAGTCTTCTTTGGACTTTGATTCAGCTTGGCCCCTGATCTGGCCGCAGAAGACGGTGCTGTACCAGGTCGATGACGAGTACTACGAATATACAGGCAACTTTAGTGGATTTTGGAATAGTAAGCGGACCTCCCATCCACCCCCGGATCTTGTTCACTCAAGTATGTACAATGCCGACTAAATTAACGCCCCACTAAGCCTTCCTCGACGCCATCGACGGCAGCTACTGCTCATACAGCGCGTACGGTGAAAAAGGCGATTGCACCGCGCCCGAGTGTGCCGATCCCGTCTACCCAGACCCCAACCCAGGAGGATTCAAGGGCAAGCTGCAGTGCGGCGTGTACAAACCGACCAACGTCATCTCCATCTCGTACGCAGGAGGGGAGCCCTACTTTCCGGACGCATATATGAAGCGCCAATGCAATGAGTGGATGAAGCTAAGCCTCAAGGGAATTTCTATTGTCATGTCATCGGGTGACGATGGGGTGGGGGCTGATGGAACCTGTCCTACCGACGCTAAGGGCAATGAAGTCTTCCTACCGCTCTATGGCAGTACCTGCCCCTATATTCTGTCCGTTGGCAGCACCGAGTGGGACCGCTTTACCAACTCGACGCCACCTAAGCCTTGGGAAAAGCTCCACGAGGTGGCCACTCAGCGCTTCCCTAGCGGCGGCGGCTTTAGCAATATTTTCGCCACCCCGAGCTACCAGCACTCGGCCGTCTATCAGTATCTGGACCGCGTCGGAAAATTGCTCCCCTTCACTGGTTACAGCCAATTCGTCAAAGATGGCGACTTCTCCAGTGTCAAGCAGGGTGTCTATAATCGAATCGGTCGTGCCTACCCCGACGTAGGTGCCGTGGGTGATCGTCAGGTCCTATATGCCGGCGGCTCCTGGTGGTTGGTCGGCGGCACTTCGTTATCTGCCCCTGTCTGGGGTGCCGTCTTGACCCTCGTTAACGAGCAACGCCTTAAGACCGGCAAGAGCACCGTCGGATTTATTCACCCCATTTTGGTGAGTTGCTCATAAATCCCCTGACACCAGTGTAAAGGCATGCATAGCTAATTCTTTGGCTGGTAAAGTACAATCATCCCGAGGTCTTTACGGATATTATCCAGGGTAGCAACCCCGGGTGTAACACCACCGGCTTCCCAGCTGCTGCTGGCTGGGATCCTGTCACTGGGCTCGGGTGAGTCTGCATCGACTCTGGATATACCAAAGTTACAGTGCTGACATGTTCCAAGGTCTCCCAACTTCCCCGAGCTACTGAAACTTTTGATGAGCTTATAGTTATCGCTTCTGGGTTGATATTTCAACTCGTTCGTTGATAAAGAGCACCCTTAGTGTCTCAGTGGACTTTAAAGTAGACACCCATTACTTGGATCCGCAGGCTGTGAAGGAGTCATGCGTCGAACCCATGATGTCCAACTCCCATTATACGACAGGTCAAGACTGGGGAAAGTTGTTTAGTCTGGGCTCAGTGATACAAGTCACCGCGCGCGGCGCCATAATTAGTATACTCTATTTGTGGGGCTAATCTGGGGGTTCTAATGAATATCAGAGGCTATTGGGCAATCCATGTTGTAAATGTAACAAGAAGGAACTGCGGTGGAGTCTGTAGTTCTGACAACCAAGCACTTGAAGGCAGAAGCGAGAAAGGAGCTGCTCTTCGCATTGGGAAAATCAAGGTAGATGCCGGCACAGACTTAGTTCCATGTGGTTACTCAGAAATCGCCTATTTTACAGCACGCACAAGCGACTTGTTGGGTAATGTCCAAATAAGGCCCAACATCCGAATCTCAAAACTAGAATAGCAATAACCTGATTAAATATACAACTGGAAAGATTTGAATGCAACCTGCCCATTGGATTCCAATTACTACTCGTAGCCCCTGTTATTTCAATTAGCGAACATGTGTGCATTCCACTGCGCGCTGTGGACTCATATCTATGTATTACCCTTTGCGTTGCCGCATTGGGTTGTATAGCTGCCTCAGGCTCTTCTCCATCTGATTGTCTATCACTGGCTAAAAATAGTGTTGTACGCAGCAAAATTATGATCGACTGGTGATGTCTTTTTAAGTATAATCCTATATTTGTAGTAGATGTTTTGGGGGGTGGTTTAGAGAGGGCCAGGGGATGACAGACTGAAAACACCACTTTAAAAACATGTTCACTATACTTTGGTACCCTACTAGCTTTACCCCTCGGCAGCGTTCAGGTCTCTATGCTTCCTTATTCTCAAGGAACCCCACGTTATACAGAGTACATTGCCAAAATATCCATCTGCAACGTCATCAGCTTGATTTTTGACAGCCTCTGAGGCGAGTGTACAGTGGCCAATCAACATACTGTGGGATTATATTGTGGTTGGCGGTGGGCTTAGTGGGTCTGTGATTTCCAACCAGCCACTGGAGTATGAAAATAGGCTTAGGATCATCGTGGTGGAAACAGGTCCAAATACTGTCAGATAGGGCACCTGGTTCCTAGGTTCAGAAATGATATGGCACTAGAGAAGACTATTGTCACTTAAAGTTCAGAAGGCGAAAGGAACCCCTTTTCTCAAAAGTAACACCAAAGTTACTGTCCACTTAGGGGTCAGATACCTGAACAATGTACCTCCGATATGTTCTAAAGAATCTTTAAAAGGCAGAGCAACGGGAGTTCGCGAGAACAGAATACAGAGAACAATACACCTCATTCATATACAATCTTACGCACTGCTGACTACTCGATTGGACACACGTGATATTCGACAAATACCAGCGATAGACAAAACTTGACAAATACTGTTGGACAAGTACAGATTCGTCAAGGCCATCAAGGTGGATGAGTGGTTACGCCCGACTGGGAGACGCACCCACTGTTGAGACAGGATCGCACTTTTCGAGCGTGTTTTCATCAACCCCAAATATTTCAGTATGGCTGTCTAATAATGTTTATAATGCGAGGGCTTAAGATAGGCTATCACCTTCGCTCTTAGTAACGCTACGGGACAGTAATTGGGAGGTTTATTATCGCCAAGGAGAACCAGCCGGGGCCGTCCATTTGCTCATTTTTCACTGTCCATCGCTCACTCAACAGTCCCATCTATCACTCTCTAGAAAGCGCCACAATAAGAAGATTACTGATGTTGATTTCAAGGTTAATGGCATGCATGGGCCCCGTGTCGTCGATACATCCGTTTTCCCTGTCGGCATCACCGCACACCTCCAAGTCGCCGTTTTTGCCCTCGCAGAACAGGCCTCAGTTATGGTTGCTAACGACCACCATGGCGCCATTTACACGCTGTAAATAAGTTCATAACTTAACGGCTATGACATAAACTGGTTTTAAAACGTGCAATAGTTGTGTTCGGTAATTCACCCGGGAATGTATCACAACTTTACTGGTAGATCTTTTTGTGGCCTTACTACCTGTTTCTCCCTGGTTAGTGCCAGCTCTCTTGCATATGTAAGTAATATTATCCAGATGGGTCCGGTTTCTTTAAGATTAACATGTTATCGCACTTTGTGCTTGGTACAAGTTGCCGAATCTTGCATCTGGACTGTTGGAATAATTGAATTGAGTAGGCGGCGCCCACATAACTAAGGTCTTAACTACTACCCGTAGCTAGGAGTCTGAGATACGTATCCAAGGTTTGATTTTGTGTAAATACAAGCCCCCTTCTCATAAATAATAAGAATGCAAGCACTGTGACTCGTGCAAATTTCATCATATAAGCAGTGACTGGCGCAACATCCTACACTTTCTGCGCATGCTACGGTCTACTTTGCCTGGTATACGGAATTCTACATATAATCAAGATATTCTACCGTAACAATGCACCATCACTGTATCCTGACGTTATTTCAATTCATTGTTACACTATTTGCACACAATAAGTCCGGCGAGAATGTTATCTAGTTGAGAATTTGAGCTATAGTGAACATGTAAACAACTGTTGGTGACGTGTCGGCTCCTCTAGGTGGATGAGAGGCTGCCGCCTCGGATCCACCGACTTGTGTTTGTGCGGCTTCCTTTGCGAGTTGGTGTGCCTTTCCATTCAGCTGGGAAGTCTTAGGTTCCATTGAGGCTCCATAAATTTGTGATGCTGAGTCGAATATTTCGACAAGACAAGCAGTGAGGTTCCAGTCATCTGCTTTGGATTTGATCACAAGCAACATGCGAAAGGTGTTTATGTCTTCTCTGTAGAGAATATACGTGCTAAGACAAACCTTCGCCATGTTTCTGGAGTTTCCACCTGCTTCAGGAAACTACATTAGATGGTATGAGGACAGATGAGGGGGTTGTGCTAGAAAGACCAGCTGAACCTTGAAGTAAGTTTTCTTTTCCTTTTATTATTCCTCTATATTTTCCTTGAGAGGAAAGAGAGCGGGAAATCAGTTTAGGTGTTTGATTGTAATCTCAAATAGCATTTGTTTGTGAAATGAGGCAAATACGACCCGAGGCAGCTACCATCTCAAAAAGATTTAGTCTGTCCATTCTCCCAGCTAGACCTGTCTGGTAATTGACTGTCAGGCATCCATTCTAATCGTAGAATATAAGGACTTAGCGGACACGAGTACCAAGGTCTTTCGAGACGAATTCTCTTCACCGTTTCATTTCTTTCGTTATAGTCGTTGTAAGTAATAACCAGAGGGGCGTATACTGGGTCCTAGGATAAGTAAAGACAAGCGCAGTACAGATCTGCGTGTATTGGGGAGCAAGTTCGATACAATAAATAATAGCCGCTGGTATAGGCGTAGATGATATACGACCCTGATGTTCTGAAGTATTTGATCCATAGGCATTGCTGTAGTAGTGGGTAGAACAGCATAAAGATACTAATAAATAGAAAGATCATGGTATGAAGGGAAAGACAGTGGAATGCGACGTCGAGGTGCTCTCATACCAATTTGTTGATACCTTGACTGCCAAGCGAGACAGACCATCACCTCAAAATATATTTGTTGTGCCGCAGCGGCGAATGAGTTCTCAAATAGATACCAACTTTTTGAGGAAAATTCCAGTGGCAAACTCCTGTCTACAGTGTCACGTTTGCGGCCGACGGTCGTGGCTTTACAAGGTTTGTCAGTGTTACTCATTGAACCCGTTGTACCTTTTCTTGTAAGGTGCTTCTGTACTGCCTTGGTCTGTACCACGTGTAGCAAACTTAAAGGGTCCAGATTTCGAGATGCAGCTTCCTCTCCCGTGAGGTCTTTTGTAATTTTTCCAATCGCGATCCTTGACTGGCCCACACTGCCTGGATCCTCTATGGATGTGATATGGAGCTTTGGTTTGTTTATCAGATGTATCAGTAATCAATATTGGTACTGCCTGCCTGAGAAAATTCACAAACTCGCCACAAAATACTAGGGCCAGGAGCTATCCGGTCGTAATATCCTACAATCCGGAAGATGTGATCCATGGTGCAGCGAGGGAAATCCTGCATACGCTGGTATCCTTCCGTGTCTAAGAGACAGACCAACAACAGTGTTGGCCCTCCGAAAACCCCTCAACTGTCATAGTCAGTCCACCTCAAAGTGCCACATGTATAAGTATCAATCGGTGGTGGCGTGTTCGCCATGCTTTGTGGCCACCACGAAACACGTGCAGGAAGCACATTTAGTAAGCCCGTCAATTAAAACGAGGACTAGATTGAGCGTACGAACGCCCACAGGGCAGTTTTGGCAGAGGGTGGGCGGCGGCAGCATTGTAGTACTGCCACAAATCTCCGATAACATGGCATATGTCGCGTCACACTCGCACCGTTCAAGCTCATATCTGTGCCCGCCGCCCCACCGTATTTCAAAGTGTCGTAGTAGAAGAGATAGTAATTTTCTAGGTGAATCCTGACCTGCATTGCCGATTGACGACTAGATACTGGTGGTGGTCACTGTTCGAGATAGGGGTAAGAAAGGAGGAGCGCACCGACTAGCGGGTGATTATCAAGCTGTCGACATCGGCCCTTGCAATAATATTTAATATGCAAGCTACCTCTCTACCTGACCATAGTCTACACTATGGCGCGCTTTCTCCGTTCTTTATTTCACGTAATATCAATGCTGTGTCTCACACCGGATGTAACACGCGAAAAAGCAGAAAGGGCGATAACAACGGGTTATAGGACGCATCTATACGCGGTGGGAAGGTGATTGAAGGCGGCATTTTTAGTGTTCGTCCGCAACTTGGCAAACAAGAGCACATTTCAGCCGGCGGGGTTGGGAGCTCCTATGGAAATTGCCAGTTGATACTAAGATTTTATCATGGCGGTAGCCGACGTTAGATCGGATCACGCAAGTTCCCGAAGGCAGTGGTGAGACACATGCAATGCACAAGAAGAAATGGCTCAAACGTGGCCAGGTCGCCTGCCCTTGCGTCGGCATGATTGCAGCAAGGTTGAACCTGACAGGCGTTAAATGCACCATTCCATCGGGAAACCACCTGGGTTGTACCACTTGGGGGCGGTCGAAGGTGAGGGAGGCAAAGGGCCGTCCCAGATGGCCCGACGGGATGGCGTTGATAAGTCGTATTAAATTGACAATGGCGGAGCCTGCGCCTACGGGAAGCTGGCGCTTAGGTGCTTGTCCTTGTTGGTCGACTGTGTCTGGTCCTGTTTGCTTCGAGTTCTCGCTTCCTAATTCGTATAGCTTTGTAGGCAGGAATATTCGGAAATGCAAATTTGACCTCCCTTGGATGACGTTGCAGGCTTAATGTATGCCAGGGAGAACCGATGGCACGTCCTCTATTTTGCCACGTACTTAAGGCTTGAGTTGCCCAAGATACCTGGACTCTGAAACTCACCAACACCAGGCTAGCACCAGCAGTAGCCCCTTCATCTTAGACCGCCGGTGTTGCATTTATACAAAAACAGCCTCCACACTCATCATCATGACCACCTCCCTTGACGCCCACACACGCCAGTACTCACACATCAACGGTTCGGATCAAGACCGCCTCGAGAGGCTGGCCGTATCCGAGTTATGCAAAGGTTGGCCCGTCTATCGTGATGCTTCGGAATGGAAGAACTACCGCAGTCTCTTCGCGGAGGAGGCTACCATCTGGACCAGTAAGCACCCTCACGAGATCCCTATAGGCGGATGCCCGAATAACCACTTGATGATAGCTTGGAGCAAGGCCCAACCAATTGACAACTTCATCAACATATCCAAAAAGGGAAAGGACCGGGGCGACTTCATCATGCACCGGGAATGCGGCACACTGGTCGAGTACGCCCCGGACCACTCTCGCGCCGTGGGCAAGATGAAAGCAACCATCACCCAACGCTTCAAGACACAGCCGTGCAACGCAACCCCCGATTGTCCTGTGGGAGCCGAGTATGACGTCGACTGCGATTGCCGCTTTATCTTCTTCTGCTTCAAGGATGCCGACGCTGATGGCGCCTGGAAAGCCAAGTATGTCAAACTCTTCTACGAGAAAGACAAGGTGGTCCCTGTCGACGGCAACCACGCTCCAATCTTCGACAGGGCACTTCTTCAGTCTTTCCCTGACGGATACAAATTCCTGGGGGCCGCCCAAAGCTCGCTCGGCTATCCCGTAGGCCAGCACCTGCCAACTGCGCGGAACCATCAGTCGTGGTGTGAAATGTACATTAAGATGGAGGAGTGGCTTTCTGGCCACGACGTTGATCTCTACTGCTGTGATGATGTGCAGCAGAAGGACACCCTCACGCTTGTCGATATCGATGTCAGCTGTAGGGACAATGCCCAACCCGCCAACGGCGCTGGCCCTGAGCCACTGAAATCCTTGGCTGAACCAAATATCGAGGTCAAGTCTGTTACTGCTGTGACCAACGAGAACCAACATTATCGCAAGGTAGCTGGCATCAAGAGGAAGATATCATCTGACGAGTGTTACAGAAATGTTCGTTTCTGATTTCACGGGGGTAATCCGGCATCTGAACAACCTGTGCTATCTCTCGTTTCCTCGGAGGATATGGCTTCTTCCATGGGTTAAACTGAACACTTCTTAGATGTTTGAGCACATATGTTACTTAAGTGTGGTACAGCTATCGTGCATACCTTCTCATATGCCAGGAAACACCGATCATCGCAAATGACACTCAAGACTAGCCCGACTTCTATTATGAATACATTTACTCAGTTGCTATATATGCTACCTAGAAAAAGCTGTTAGTTATTGTCAGACCGGTGAACATGTGAGCCAGCTTCAATTGATATCGGATTCTTCGAACGACCACTTCTCTTTTCTAACCCTAGGATCCTCGAGACAGAATAAGCAAGGGGCAATAGTAGTATCTTGCTACCGTGTGGAACAGTAAGTATCGTCTAGTGTGAACTAAAAATGCCAAGCTGAGCGCCAATGGTATGGCTAGCAGGACGCAAACTACACCGCTCTGTCAACTAGGGTGCATCGTAAAATACCCGCCGTGTGAACACCTGGATTGAATCGTCTCTTCGAACATGTGTTACCGCGCCAGTCTAACCGCCGCAGACGACACGCCACTGCCTTCCCCGAAAAAATTTACACAATAGGTGATGTTCGGTGATGGTGTTGCTCTACGCCTGGTCACATCGCATGTTAAGAGTCTTCACATTCCGCATGACCTTGCTGATGAATCGGATAAAGTGCTTCGCTTTTCGTACCATGATGTGTGACGATACAGATTGGGCTGCTTGCATCCCCTGTTGTGACCAATGAGGAAGTATTTCTCCAGGACTTCACGTCTTCATCTCGGGAATTCTCTGTATCCAGTGAAGGGACGGGAATTCTCTGTACCCAGTGAAGGGAGAAAGTACATGTTAAATTTCCAGATGCACGTAGAAGAAGCGGTGAGCTAAGTCTCGAATCAAGACGACTCGGCCGCGTGAAATAGATACTAGTTTCATTCCACAAATGTGGCCTTATTCCTGTCCTAATTGCAGATTCCCATGAGGTGCTATTCAGCCTAGCTTCCTCCCTGCTGTGGGATGCTCAAGGGCGAGAATGAGATTCTGTGTTCTCAGGATCCATGTTACCATGCGCGCACCCGCTCCAGTGCTGTCGAGCAAGGGCTAGGCAGCAGCTGGCTCGTTCCGGTTGACTGTTTCTTTGGCATCTGTTGGAAGAGCCTCCTCCTCTTAATCACCAGCTCTTCCCAGTTGTAACAAAATATGAGAGGGCTTGCTTTCCTGTTCACCGGGGGCACACGAGCTCTTGCGGTGTGTTAAGCCATTTGATCCCCGGGTAGTTAAATTTTGACGAACGGCTGAATCGGCTAGGGCGGCTATAGAGATACAGAGTGTGGCAATCTTATAGATGACCGACTCCACAGGGTGGCTATAAGGGCTTCCGCCCAAAAAACCATCACTCTCCACTACGCTAAGTATGCACCTCAACCAAGCTGTTCCCGACCAATTTTGGGTCGACTTTCTCTTCATAGCAACCCGGATGTTGCTGTCAGACCTTATAACTACCAAAAATACCTCATTCTACAGCGAGTGGGTCCCTTGTCTTTTGACGGTCAATTTGGTCCAACAGTTGCCTCAACTTTACGCTGCTTCAGTAGATACTAACACCTCTGTGGGAGATAGATAGCAAACATCGAAAAGTTATTGCACCTGTCCATGTCAAGCAGCAAAAACCAACATGATACTACTTACTGTGTTGTTACACCTAGCATGATGAAGGGACATGATAAAAACCATATAAATAATTCAACACGTCATTTACTTACTCGGCCTACTAACACTGCCTAGTAGTCATCATTATTAATACTACCGTCGACTCTTCTATTCCTAATGTATCGTTACAGCTCCAAGGCTATCTTAGAAATACTACCCTATTTACTCTTAGTAGCTTGAAATGATCGCTAGATCTTTTAACATCTGTCACGACCTGGGTTGCATCGCATTGGTAGAGACCTCGATTTGGTGCTATCGACGAAGATTCTACTCTAAGGAGCGAAGGAAAGAAGATGACAACTTAGGTTTGAGGGAGCGCGACTAAGTCGTCCACGCTTGGCGGGCTCCTACAGGGGTTATGATTGGCTTCCCATCTGGCACTGCCACGGCAGGTGTTCCAGCTGTAAGTCACCTGGCTGTAGTGAGTCTGCGAGGGTTGACCTTCACAACATCCAGTAGTAATAGTATTCAAAAAGCATTCTTCTAGGTGATAGTTACCTTTACATTTGCATTTATTACTGATATTTCTGGTTAGAAATGTATTTTACTATGTTCTATCTGTGACGCCTGTAACCTAGACGATAAGCAGAGCTGGGACAACCTGGTAGGGGCTGGCCCACCTGTAGACACCCGTCCTCCTTATAATAGAGGAACAGGCACCCGTACTTAAAAGCCTTTGTCTCTATAGTTTGGTATTCAGCAATAAATATATACTAATACCGTAACCTTAATTCGTACTCGTAGTACCTTATCTCGTTATATAATACTGAACCTAAACTTATAGTGTAAATAGATTCTTAAAACGAACGATGAACCTATATTAGCTAGTTAAAATTCATCTTACTCCGATTAGAGTAAGAACAGTACCCGTACGCGGCGCTAACGTAAACCCAACTTGAGAGGATTCATTGACATGACTTTGCGACAAGTCTGTACACTTAGGGGAGCTCAACCCTTGCATCATTTCCAAACCGGCCTCCAAGGATGCAATATTGCTACTGCCACATGATGGTAACAGAGGTGTGGTGTTATGGAGACCCAAATTTTAGCTTGGTCTATGAAATTGCGGCCAAAATTTGGCCGGTTGCATGTGGAAACAAACTAGAAATGTGAATTCGCCATCAGTATAGCAACATTAAATGATATTTGTCAAAACCATGCGCGGCTCATGCATGAGAGGCGAATGAGGAGGGTATTGGCTTCTGTGGCTCATCAGCCGGCAGTGCAGCGATCGGCCCAATCCATTCTATTGGAAACCATTTTATTGTACCTCGTCAATTGACAAATCGGATCCCGACTGGCTGGATGTGGGGATCAACAGGAGAATACTAATTGATGGCGCAAAGAATTGGGCGGCTTCGACAAACCACGAACCAGATCTCGCCCTGAAAATATTGTCGATCGGCGAGGTTCATGAATCATCCTCACATGCGTGGCAGTTGAGGAAAACAAGAGAATGAAACGTGCCAGGCCCAAATTCTGTACACCAGGAGAAACTGCATCTCGTCAGTGTCGTCATGTCATCTCTCCGTCCTCTAGTCAGGGCGCACAATTGTACATCGCAGCGTACGTATAAGTTGGCTGTGAAATCGGCAGCCCTAGCCAAATGACGAGTGTGGCTGAAATGGACGACCTAGAATTAACAGCAGTTAGTTTAGTCCTGGTGCAGCGTACACCGCGCACCCCTTGCCATTGCGCTGGTCTCATCGACCTTCAACGACCCGACCTAAGTTGCTATTTTCAAGATGGATTACATCGGCTCTCTGCCGACATCGCTATGTAGAAGGTGCGATCTGAACAAGACAAGATCATTTTCCAGCTTCCGGCCTATCCGCTGTGCACGTGCTTGCTGTGATATCCAGTTATTTGACTCGCCGTCTGCCGCCGGAGCCTGTTAGTGATCAAGGTACTGACTGGGTGCTAAGTTTGACCGCCGTCTTCGAGGCTGTCGAACATAGAGCAGGTTTGTGCTAATTGCAAACACTTGAGCATCATTCTGGAAAAACACGCCTTGGAGTATGCGGCTTGAAGCCTTGTTTCTGTGAAAATTTATTCAGGTGGAAGCAAGGAAACACGATATTCAGGTTCTTCTGTGTGTTTATATCGATTTATTATTTACTGGTGGTGGGTGACCGTTTACAGTGTATCATATCTCTCTCACTTACCTGTCAGTTTGAACGTCTTATTGTTCCAACCTGGAAAAGTGTGAAGCCCAAGACCCCGGCTAGGCTTGCTGACGTGTTCGGTCGTTGATGGCTTTACACAGTACTGTGTAGCGTATGTCAATTTTCATGGTCCAGCCCAGGTTGGTTTGAAGAGCTCAAAAGGGGTGAGATGGCTCATTATGCATCCCGTTTCGGGCATCGTCGTCATCTCTGGTCGTTCATGCACCTAACCTCAAAGCGGTCATTTGTGGGAGGGGATCTGGTGATTTCGCTCGGTGGACGACTCGGACCTCCCTTTAGTCCCCGATGTACTGCGACGACTGCCATTCTTTGTATCCCGATTCCCACATAGAAGGCCACGCATAGTACGATAACAGTCGTACATGCGGCATCGAAACTTGAAGTGAAGATTCCAAGTTGACCCAACTCAATGAATTCCATGTTGTTTAGGTCTGATTGCCGGTGCTGGGATGCCGATCGCGCCGATGGTGCCCAGCTTTGCCAGGATCCACCACTCTGCCGAAAGATCCCTGGAGACAGCGGGGCCTCGCAACGGTCCCTGCTACCATTGGATTTATTTCCTTTTACCTTACATCATAGGCAGATCACCCGCAGCCTGTTAAGGTCAAGTTTCCAAATACTTCGTACCTTCACTGACGATAAACGTCCATCCACATAATAACAGCTCACAGCTTGGGACAGGCAAATCTTCAAAAGCCTCATCCCTACCCCGATACAAACAAGCAAGCTCCTCCCAGCCTTCGAATGCCAACACACCAGCGGGACCAAGCAACGCATTTTTGTTTTGGCTGGCGCTGCAAACAGAACCTCCACTGGCCTTTCCCTTCCAGGTGCTTCCCTCCAACAGGCTTTCGCTCTATCCCAATCCGCAACTTCTTTGTCTCGAGAGAGTTGGACCTTCCTACGCATTGCATAATGACTTTGTCTTGATCCATTGTAGGTGATCCCTTCTGTTGCCATGCCCTTTTCCTGGCCAATTCATTACAGTACCTCTTGAATCCACTCCTGCCGCACCTTGATCTTTTCATCCCTAACTCCAGTACATCCCCACACATGCACACCCCGATGCATTTTGTTTGTCTGTGATTGTTTGAGAATCACTCATATAACTATTGCTGGGAAACCTGTCGCTCATCACTCATCCCATCGCACATTCGCTTACTAGTAGTACTCCCTACCTATCTCATAGTTGCCTCTCGTCCTCCTTCCCCCATCCCATCGCTCTGCTACACATAGTCATGTTGTCTAGGTCTTCCTAACCCTCGGGCAACATGGCAGACTCGGAGAATTATTCCTATTCATTAGCCGGCAACGTCTGTGAGCAAGGCTCTTCTGGCCCTCGTTGGGATCTTTGACTTACATATATCTGGACGCAGATTACAGACCGAACTGTGAAGAAGTCCTTCGGAGGACCCGCCTATCGCCGACTCTACCCACGCCGCATATACGACCTCGGTGAGGACTAACCCCGCCCCACACCCACCCCGGTTGCGCTGCCTTGGCTGCTTTAATGCTTGGGTGGAATTACGGCTAATGGCAACAGATCACGGCGACCGCAGTCGATCCATATCGTGTCGTACCCATCGGGATATGTCCCTCCCGACCTAAGATCAGGCCAAGCGACGAAGCAGAACAAGCCAAAGAAAGATCAGAAGAAGGAGACGGCCAAGTCAGATCGAGGTAGTAATACATCAACTGCGCAGTCGTCGAAGCGCGTGTTAGGAAAGGTCTTCGGACCCATTAAGTCTAGATTCTCCCATTACGTATCGAAAGAAAGAGACAACCCGACATCGCCCGCCACGCCCGGCGTCTCTGCGCTCACGAGACCTAGCACATCCAGCTGGCACAACTCGTCCAGGCCACAGTCTATGATTCTAATTCCCACGACGGGGTCGACACCCAGACCCATATCTACCATGGTCGATACGCGGCGCGCCGCACTAATGGGCAATGTTCTCCAGAATCCACACCGAAATAGCCTTATGTCGATACGTTCCACCAAGAACATCATGAACTCAGCTGTGACCGAGGTGCCCAAGCCCGTCGCATCGGGCAGCGGTCTATCCTGCTCCATTATCTTGGCCGAGCCCAATATCTTTTTGACTGGCTTCGAACATGACGGCCACCCAAGACACGAAACGGCCAATTCGACAGCGCTACTACGAGGGAAGTTACAGCTCAATGTCTCCAAGAACGTGAAACTGAAGTCGGTGACGCTGAAGCTATCAGGTAAGGCCAGGACTGAATGGCCTGAGGGCATTCCGCCCATGAAGGTGGAGCAATGTGAAGAAGAGTCTTTGAGGACACAGGTTTTGACATTTTTCCATGCCATGCACGAGACATGGGAGACACAGTACGGCAACCCGTGCACCTACACGATACGAGGGAGTTCAGAGAATACGGGGCGTTCATCACCCGGGCCCGGGCACCAGCCGGCGTCTCCGGCGCAATCCCAATTATCGCTTGCTCTAAAAAATCGCCCGGGCCACTTGACGGCCAAGGAATACAAGCGCCTATCCCTCCAGTCGGTTCAATCTCGAAGCTTTGGAAAGGGGGACTCACCAGGCGGAAGCCCGGCCCAGCTCAAGGGTTACAAGGTTTTCTATCCCGGCACATATGAGTACTCTTTTGAGTTGCCCATCGATCACCACCAGCTTGAAACGTGCAAACTGCAGTTCGGGTCGGTGAAATGGGAGTTGGATACTATCGTGGAGCGCGCCGGCGCGTTCAAGCCTAACCTGCATGGAGCAAAGGAGGTCTGCATCGTTCGCGTCCCGGATCAGCTCTCACTAGAGATGACGGAGCCCATATCGATCAGCAGGAAATGGGAGGACCAACTCCACTATGATATTATGATATCGGGGAAGTCGTTTCCGATAGGGACCAAGATCCCCATCGCATTCAAATTGACGCCGCTGGCCAAAGTACAAGTCCACAAGCTCAAGGTGTTTGTAACCGAGTCGATTGAGTATTGGACGAACGACCGCCGCGTGACGCGGAAAGACCCAGGAAGGAAGATCCTGTTGCTGGAAAAATCAGCTGGAAAGCCCTTGGACAAGCAGTACGAGAATTCGGAAGTCCGAGTCTTGAGCGGGGGCGAGCTGTCGCCAGATGAGCGGCATGAAGCGCGTGTCGCAGCAGCACGCAGGCGCACTCTTGAGGCGTCGAAGGCCCACACCATTCCTCAACCACTACCCGACCCTTCGGACAACCTCCTGGGTGACCTGGACCTAGGATTAGAATCGTACTGGGGTTCGACTGAGATTGAGATGAATGTTCAGATCCCCACATGCGAACAGATGGCTAAGGACAAGAGCGTACGGCTGAATCCCGACTGCAGTTGGAAGAACGTCAATGTCTTCCATTGGATCAAAGTATGTTTGGCTCCAAGATTAAAAATCGAGTTCTTCCCTTGCACACTTGCTGACCCGACACAGATTGTCATGAGAATCTCGCGTCTCGATCCAGAAGATCCAGCTGGCAAGCGCAGACGACACTTCGAAATCAGCATTGACTCTCCTTTCACCGTACTTAACTGCCGTGCAACGCAGGCCAACACCAGCTTGCCGCAGTACTCAGATGCTGAGCAGCCTATGTTCCGGCAGAAAGCCACGTGCGGATGCCCGGATGCCAACATTATAGCCACGGACCCTTCGCCGGCGTCTAGCACTGGCACAATTCCATCGGTAGACCCCAGTCCTATAAACCCCGAGTCCTCAACTCTTGCGCCACCCCCTGCGGCGCACATAGGAACGCAAGCACAGGCTGGAGGCACGCAGCAAGTACAACGGCCCATCCACCTCTTGCGCTACCCATCTTTCAATCCTCCCGCCTTCGACGCCGACGATGCGCCCCCACCCGTGGCCACTCCGCCTCCGCATTACGACGTTGTCGTTGGGACACCTAGTGTGGACGGCTTGGCTGACTACTTCGCGCGACTGGCCGACTACGACGATGGCGACAGTGATGGCTCAGATGAGGGCGAGATGCCGAGCCGTATCCTGGAGAGAACGGGCCGGGTCAATGTAGCTAATCCCCGCACCCCCGGTGGGCGGCTGATGCCATCCCGCAGCCTCGAGATCGAGAGACCGACGGTACCTATGACGCTAAACATGGCGGGTGCGTTAAATCAGCGGAGAGGCTAGGTCCAGAGTTGTGGGTGTGAAGATAGATTGCTTGGATTCCTGGTGCTGCGGCTTTTGGATATACTCAGCTGTGGCTAGGGTGGCTTCATCAATGTGTTTGTGGGTTTGTGCTATCGTTCTTCAAGATACCTCGACTGAAAAGTCATGACGAAATGCATGTATTGCAACGGGAAGATGGCTTTGATACGGAGTTTATGGGACAGTAACGTGGCTCACGATGCATCCTGGGGCATTTATGGGCGGCATTTACTTGGGTTTCCATTATCACTCATTGCGAATACGAAGGTTGGCTGGCGTTTTGGGGACAGGCACGAACATTACTATCAGGAAGCCTTATCGTGGAAGCAATACCAACGCATAATTTCTCATCAGACACATTCGAACTTCGCTGACACTGCCACTAATTCTGGGTGATATAGTGTTTTCCGTCCCAATCAAAATTCTCTGCTTTGAGTTTGATGCGGGACGGGACAGACACAACATAAGCCCACCCCCTAATTCTTATTTGCGGCTGCTGCCCGGATTTCACCCGGATTTCGCCCGGATGATCGGCAGGGAACCCGTTGAAGATGCGGTCTTAGTTGTCTACAAGGTATTAGATAAGCTAGCAAGAATCGTGACTCCGAAAGACATTGTGACGCTAATTGCGACAAACTCACTCAGTGCCAATGTCAGTACCAAGCTGGGTTCCTTTGGCATCCTTTACCTCCGGCCGACGCTCGATGTGTTTACTATTGCCCGGAGCGCGGAACGCCGTTGCCTAGCACAGCCGAAGAGGTTTAATACCGATTGGTGGAGAATCAAGAACGATACTCGGGGTCTGGACCCTAGATGATCCAATGACGGCTTCCTATTGAATTCTGACGAGCAGCCAACCACATGATAGGGATGTCCGTCTTCAGGGGTTCATAGTTAACGACTTGACATTATTTCCTGCAAGATGCGAACTAGGGTTTGGAGGCACCGTGGCATGCCCTTCCCCCTCCCGATGTTCCGATTCAGCTAGAAGCTGGAACTGGGCCTTGACAGTATTGCATCAACGGAGGCTAGCATGGCATACAGTAGACCTATTAGACTTGGTAAGAAGCGAAGTTGGGGAACAGCCATGGAACGAGGGAGGCCACATATAAGAAAACACAACCTTCCTGTTCATACCGCTTGGCTCTTTGCCTAGGTCAGTCACTACCCCCTTCCTTCCAACCTTGTAACTCGATATCCAGGACAGGCCTTGGCATCATGAGGATCACTCCAGCCCTCGCGGGTTTGCTTGCGCTACCCATCGCGTTGGCGCAGCTAAATAAACTTGCTGAGGCTGCAGGAAAGCTTTACCTTGGTTCCGCCACAGACAACTCAGAGTTGTCCAACAGTTCGTACCTGGCTATAATCTCTGACACGGATGAATTCGGCGAGATCACGCCAGGCAATGGCCAGAAATGGCAGTATACAGAACCAAGCCAGGGAACATTCTCTTATACCAGTGGTGATCAGATCGTCGACCTCGCCGAGGCTAATGGTCAGCTAGTGCGCTGTCATACTCTCGTCTGGCACTCACAGCTGCCCTCGTGGGTTAGCTCTGGCTCCTGGACCACCGCTCAGTTAACTTCCATCATCCAGACTCATATCGCCAATGAAGTTAGTCACTACAAGGGGCAATGCTACTCGTGGGACGTGGTAAATGAGGCACTGAACGAGGATGGCACCTACCGAACCAGTGTCTTCTACACAGTCCTCGGCACCGATTACATACCAATTGCTTTCGAGGCTGCCGCCGCCGCCGACCCAGCGGCCAAGTTGTACTACAACGACTACAACATCGAGTATAGCGGAGCCAAACACACGGCCGCTGTGGGTATTATCGACCTGATTCAGACCGCAGGCGCCAAGATCGACGGTGTCGGTCTACAGGCTCACTTCATCGTCGGCAGCTCACCGGGCCAGGCCGATCTCACCAACGTGCTCAAGGCGTATGTAGCGGCTGGAGTGAGCGAGGTCGCATATACCGAGTTGGATATTCGCTTTACCACTCTGCCTTACACAGCCGCCGGTTTGCAACAGCAGGCCTCCGATTATGCCGCTGTTACTAAGGCATGCCTTGCCGTCAACGAATGTGTGGGTATCACCATCTGGGATTTCACCGACAAATACAGCTGGATCCCCAGCACTTTTGCGGGCCAAGGTGGTGCTTGTCTATACGACGAGAACTTCAGCAAAAAACCAGCCTGGACCACGGTCTCATCGGTTGGTTGCCTTGCGCCTCACCCCTTTCTTGGCAGAAAATACTAACCCTTTCAGATTCTTGCTGCTGCTGCGACCTCGACAGCCACTGGAGGCACGATTACGACCAAGGCATCCACCACTACCATTATCGCGACAGCAGCGACGACAACAACCTTGGCTACTAGGTGAGCTCTCTTGCGAAGGCTGCGGCCCTATAGTCTCCTCTGTACCTACCTCGCTGCACAGAAAGGAAGCTGACTTGGACTTCTCACAGTACACGTACCAGCATCACCACGGCAGCGACACCTACTTCAACAGGAGGAGCTCACTATGCCCAGTGTGGTGGCATTGGCTGGGCAGGCCCTACCACTTGCCTTAGCCCGTATACCTGTACCAAACAGAACGACTACTACTCGCAGTGTCTGTAAGAGGTCACCAAATGACGGCAGCACTCCCTGGGCGCTATGGGTTCAGCGGCGCTGAAAATTGTGTTTCTTTCAAGCACTATGCAAGGTTGCTGGCAGTATAGGTATCTCGATAAGCTGACAGGTATATAAAGTCAACACCAGCTGCCAAGGCACAGGACTTGATGCAATGGGACTGTCACTTCAGTTCAATCAGGTCTGACCCATAGGTCATGACATATACATATACATGTGGTATTGGGTTCTGTAGGAGGACCGCCCACCGTCCTGACTTTGGAGCTTCCACATCTCTAGAACCGTGCTTTCGATAATAAAGCAGTATGACCGCCGGCCACCAGCAAACGTGCCTCCGAAGGCCGCATGATTTTGATGAGAAGTACCAACACTTCGCAAACGAACCACCCCAGTTGCTTTGTGACATGTTTCCGGCTTGCTCGCAATAAAATAAATTGTAGCAGAATGCTGGATATCAATCCCTTTCCCTTTCCTTGTCCTACCAAGTATGTGCTGAGCAACATAAAGTACACACTGTCCTTACGCCTGATCCTTATGAATGATGAAGCAATCCACTCGTCTCCTTTGCCTCTTCTGAAATGCCGATTATTACCCCTAACAAGTGCCATCTTCTCCTGACACAAAAGACCTTGTCAGCTTGCCGGCACGCTTTGCTGACTGACCGAGTAGCAATGAGAGATATCGAAGCACCCGTATCTGCCTCGGATGGCAGCAGAGGCATTGACGACAGTGACAGCGGTAGTGGTGGGAACCACGGTGGCAATAATGGTGGGTTATTTGGTGAGGCCGATGAGCATGAGCGCGAGGTGACAGAGTCAGTCACTCCCGGCCCATCTGGTGCTATTGGCGACGTCATTGGGCGCTGGGGTCCTACATAACAGCCGTACCCAGCATAGAGCCTTCCATCTCCATATTGTCCATAGGAACCTCCATGCCTCCACCCCGAGCCTCCATTCCCGACATCTGAACGCCGCGGATCTGGTTTTCCATGTCTGCCAGTCTCTTCTCGACATCGCCTAGGCGCTGCTCAATGCGCTGCATACCCTGAGCGACGTCGTGGCCGATACGATCCAGTTTGTTGGTCAGGCTGCGAATGCTCTGGGCGAGCGGCGTGTTTTCCTGGCCAGGCGGGGCAGCAGGGACTCGAGCCTCATGGTTGTGTCTCGCATCCTGGACAGCAAAGCGCCATTGGTTGCCCAGTTGGACCTCGCACACGGCCTTGGCTCGCCAGGGACAGTCAACCTTTCGCGTCGAGGGGTTGCGCTTCTTGGCCGTGCTATTGTACTTGACGCCGCCGCGGTCGCATACCAAATCGTAACGTGTCGGCTTACCGTCTCGGTAATTGCTGGCGCGAAGCTTCACCACGCCGTAACCCTGGTCCTTAGCGACGCGCTGGACGGCGTTCAAGAGATCTTCGAAAGTGCGATAGATCCCCTCGGGCGGGGCAGCGAGACCACCGGGTTCTTGGGACATGTTGATCTGGCGAGACGGCGTATGGGCTGGGAGCCCGGCCGCCACGGGGGTGTGCTGAATGGTGTGGCCGTTGATGACGCCGTGGCCAACGGCGGGGACAGGCTGAAGGGGGGTTGAGAGCGAAATGTTGGCGGTTTGAGAGAGGGAAGTGGGAGAAAAGGAGTGGATGGGCTGATGTCGCGGCAGGCTGAGTCTGAGCCTGATCGCGGCAGCCGAGTCGTCGATGACCGACGGCGTCGACTGCGACCTAGAGGATGGTAACTCTGGTCGGGAAAACGGTGGTATTCGCCGTGGAATCGGTGCAATTGAGCTTGTGCTGCCCAGGACCGAGGGGATTCCACCGTGTTCGTCTTCAGTGCTTACTGTGGTGGTGGAATACCAAGTTGCTTGGAGACTTGCAGGTGAAATGGCAGGGACTTGTGGCGCTGATAATAATGATGATCCGGTCCGAGACTGGACTAGCCCCGCGTTGCTGCTTTCAAGTGCCCCAAGCTTGGTTGGGCTCTCCACTATTGGTGTGACGTGAGTGTGAATTGCGCCAGATGAATGCTGCGGTTGGGTTGGATTGTTCAAAGCATCAAAACCGAAGTCTTCGTCACTGCGAGATGAAGATCTCATCGTCTCGACGTCACTACCAACTTGGTCTTGCATTTTGCTCTCGACTGCGCCCGTACCGATGTGCTTGATTTTCCCTTGCGTGTTGAAGTGCTGTGGAACCGATTGAGAAGATGGCGACAAATCAGCCGGCAAAATCATCGATGCAAGCTAAGGAAGACGGGGACGAGGAACAGCTTCAGCAGGCCCTCAAGCAGTTGAAATTGCTTCACATCAAGGCAGGTCTCCAATGCCCATTTGAACATGGAAGTGCGCCACTGCTAATAGGATTAATGCAGTGTCGCGAGTTGCGAACCGCCATACCGCGTATTCTAGAGCAAGCCACTTGTAGGTCGTCGCCAGAAAATTTCGCAACTGTAGTACTGAATACGACTACGGAGCTGCGTGACTTCAAGACCCTATACACGAACGAGGAGAGCAAGAGGGTGCTGGAGCAGGCACGAAAAAGTCGCGAGGCACAGCCGAAGAATATTAAGCCGTGGAGAGCTAGCGACCACCCCGACTGGTTGGACATGGCCTAGTAAAGGCATAAACGCACTGGTTGAAGCGGAAGAGATAAAGCATTTTGGAACCTGGTATGGATTAGGTATGCTTTGCTAGGCGCTGGTGGTGTTACAAGATTCTGAACAAGAAGGCGCATCTCAGTGGAGGATGACCTTGGACTATCAGAAATATCTACTTGCGCAACTGCAAGAAGGGCATAACAATAAATTCCTAGACAACTTTGCTCGCCGCAATGGAGTCAAGTATCGTATTGGCAAGCTATGAAACACTTGCATGTAAACGTTTCGCTTCGCTCCCGTTTCAAACCCCCGCAGTAGCAATGGGATTCATGCATGCTGTCAGCTGTCTCCCATTACGCCAGCTGGCCCCACACATGAACACTGTGCAAGCGCCCAAGATACCCAAAAATACTTGTTACCGAACAAGTTGGTAATGAAATTTGAAAAGCATCAGTTCATCATCTAGATCGATTTCTTAAACATTTACATGATCCAGGGAGTCAAAAAGTATACATTTCCCTGGTGTTGATTCGCTATTTGGCTGTGACTGCAGCTGACCTTCGGAGTATTGGCTAATGAGAAGCCCCGGTGGTCACCCCACCACAATTCACAAATTTTGAGGACCGAAAACTTCAGAAGAACAACACCCCACCCTTTCAAAGTAGGTCTGCGACACAACGATTTCGAGCCTAGTCATCGATTTCGACCATCCCGAAACTCGCCCAAAAGTACCAGGCCGGGAATCGCCTGGATTCCATTGCACGTTCGGTTCATAGCAGCATCGCCCAGGATGTCTCGATTCTTCACTGGTGGCGACACCTCGAGCGAGAGCAGCTCTGACGAGGAGGAGCTCTACTCGGAGGAGGAGGAGGAGGCGGACAAGAGCGACAAAGAAGAAGCCGATGATGATTCTGACTCGGACGAAGATGAAGATGACGCCTCTGATTCCGACTCGGATTCGGACGCCGGCCACAAATCCGGTGCAGCCCGATTTTTGCGCGGCGACTCCTCAGAAAGTGAGGAGAGCGGCGACGAGAGAAGCAAGACGCTCAAGAGCGCCAAGGACAAGCGCCTCGGCGAACTTGAGGCCACGATCAAGAGTATTGAAAATGGCCAGAAGATCAATGATTGGGGTTCCATTTCAAATGGTACGTTTGCCCGCAGTTTCCTGAAGGATAATCCCTATGACGGCAACAAGACGGATAGCTAATGCTAGGGTGCAGAGCTTGACAAGCTCAACCGACAGGCCTCCAAGATCGAGCGCGTGCCCAAGATCTACATCAAGACCTTGGTGGAGCTCGAGGAGTTCATGAACGAGACTATCTCCAAGCAGAAGACCACCCCGAAGAAAATGAACGCCACCAACGCCCGTGGTCTGAACGCCGTCAAGCAAAAGCTCAAGAAGGTCACAAAGGACTATCAGAAGCAGGTCGATGCATTCAAGAAGGATGAGGATGAGTTCATGAAGTCGAGCGAGGACGAGGCCCCTGCGCCTAAGCCCAAGAAGGTCAAATCGGAGGTCACCTTTGGTGATCCTGTCGATGAAGATGACAAGCGTTTTGCTACCGTTGGAAAGGGCGGCAAGACGCTCCAGTTCACCCCCGAGAGCATCTTCAAGCATCTCCGCAGCATCATGGAGTCTCGCGGCAAAAAGAACACGGACCATCTCGAACAGATTCAAATAATGGAGAAGCTGTACGAAGTTGCTGTGACGCCCTACCAGCAGATACGAGTTCTCCTAACTCTGGTTTCGGCGCGGTTCGATCTCGGTACGGGCACTGCCACGACATCGATGCCCCTGGAGCAATGGAAGGCTGCCGAGAAGGATTTGTCCACTCTGTTTGATGTGCTCGAGAAGAACCCGGATCACATCATTATTGAGAATGCCGAGGAGTGGGAGGATGACGAGAAGCCGCCCACGCTTCAATCTGGGGACAAGTACCTTAAGGTGCCGGGAAGCATCGTCTCGTACGTTGAGCGACTGGACGACGAGCTCACCCGGTCGCTGCAGAACATCGACCCTCACACGTCAGAGTATATCGAACGTCTAACGGACGAGGCCTCGCTCTACAACGTCGTTTTCCGTGGTCTGCTCTATTACGAGAACCTCCGCAAGGACTCCTCCTTGGAGATTCCGCAAGACAGTGTGAACCGCATCGTCATGCGGCGGTTGGAACACGTTTACTTCAAGCCCGCCCAGGTCGTCAAGATCCTTGAGGAGAAGGCCTGGAAGGCTGCACCCGCCGGCACCGAGTCTTTCATCACCCCCCGCACTGACAACATTGATCCCACCAATCTGCTCAACATCCTCTGCAGTTACCTCTTTGCGAACAGTGAGGGCATCATCCGCGCCCGTGCCATGCTGTGCCAGATTTATTTCTTGGCCTTGCATGACGAATACTACAAGGCTCGAGACATGATGCTCATGTCCCATTTGCAGGAGACTATTAACAGCTTTGACGTCCTGACGCAGATTCTCTACAACCGAACGCTTGTCCAAGTTGGTCTTTGCGCTTTCCGCAAGGGCTTGGTATATGATGCGCAGAACACTTTGCAGGAGATCTGTGGTAGTGGCCGGCAAAAGGAGCTACTTGCTCAGGGTGTCATGATTCAGCGATACAGCCAGGTCTCGCCCGAACAGGAGAGGCTGGAGAAGCAACGACAACTGCCGTTCCACATGCACATTAACCTCGAGCTTCTCGAGTGTGTGTACCTGACGTGCAGCATGCTTCTCGAAATCCCACTGCTCGCACAGACGGGCTCATCGCCAGACATCAAGAAGCGCGTCATCAGCAAGACGTACCGGAGAATGCTCGAGTACCACGAGCGCCAGATATTCACGGGTCCACCTGAGAACACACGAGACCATGTGATGCAAGCGTCAAAAGCACTTGCGGCGGGCGAGTGGAAGAAGTCAATTAACTTTGTTCACGCCATCAAGATTTGGGATTTGATGCCGAATACGGAGGACATTAAATCAATGCTCTCCAAGCAGATCCAGGAGGAGGGTCTGCGAACCTACCTTTTCACATACGCTCCCTTCTACGACACGCTAGCCATTACGACGCTTTCTTCCATGTTTGAGCTCGAGGATCGCAAGGTAGCTGCCATTATTAGCAAGATGATAAGCCATGAGGAACTTGCTGCTGCGCTTGACCAGGTAACATCGACTGTCATCTTCCGCAAGGGCGTTGAGCTCTCGCGTCTGCAGAGCTTGGCGCTTACTCTGTCGGACAAGGCGGCGGCCTTGATTGAGACGAACGAGCGGACACTGGAGCACCGGACTCAAGGCACGGCTAACGCGTTCGACCGTCGTGGCCAGAACCAACGGGGTGGTCAAAGAGGCGGCGGCCAGCGTGGTAGAGGCGGTGGTAGAGGCGGGGGATCAGGACCCCGACAGGCTGGTGGTACGCAGTTCACGGGCGGTGCACTGGGAAGTGCTTTGCGGGCTTAAAGGGAACATATTGAGGATTCTCTCATTTATGTATGTAATGCATTAGGAGTAGGCTGGTTTCATGAACAAAAAACAACGACACGGGCAAGAGCCGGCAATTCATTTGATCCACTGAGAGTTATCTGGTCGTGGCTAGGAATGGAAGGCGTCAGCCATAGAGAATTGATAGCTCTTGGCCAATCTGCAGCGATGCCTTGAAACTACTGGCCATTTGTAAAACCGGTGTCAAAAAGTCTGGCGCCCGCTTTAACCCTATTCCTCTACGCGTCGCGTGAAGCTGATATCCTTACCCAACCACACCTACTTTTCAATCAGCATTTATTCTACATGGGTTACATGCTAAGCAAAGCTCTTGGTAACGTTTTAATTGGCGGTCACCGGAAAGGCTGTGAGTAATCTACACCGGGAAGCGCCACTATAGATCAGACGAAGATTGTGGTACTGGTTACAAAAGCGAAGCTCTTGCAAGTCTTGTGCGCAAGTTGGTCGGATGTGTCTCTGAGACTAGCGACAGGATAATTCTCAGAACATGACGTCTGGCTCTTCTGGGAGTCGAATTGAAGTTGTCACTAGCTCTGGATTGCTCTGATCAGAGCAAGACGTAGTTCCTCGTAGTTGTCAAGGCTGGAATAGAAGAGATAGATGGATTCTTGGGAGCTGCGCCTGAACGTATAAGTGAATCATGAACTGAAGCTTTGAACTGCATGCGCTGGAAAAGAACACGATGACTGATGACTGTTGACTATGTAGAATAGAAGAGACGAAAGAGGTGATTAAAAAGGGATCCGTTGGAAAGAAAGTTGCCGCCACAAGCCACCTAAAGAAAGCAAAAAGATCCTCCCCATTCCGTCACCTATTTTCCCTGATGTCCGGCCTTACCCCGTTACAGTACCTGTTCCTCTATTATAAGGGGAGTGGGTGCATACGGGTAGGACAGCCTATACCGGGGTGTTCCTACCTATCGTCCAGGTAGCAGGCGTCACAAAAAGGATACCCGATCGTCCGCGTTACAATACCGTAGCGATCGCTCTAAAGCCCTAACTATAAGGTAAACCCGTGTCACGGGTGTTTAAGTACAGAATGTAGGACGAGAGTGCTAGAGGGGATCGGTTGCTAGTCACCAGGTGGGCACCGGTGTCATATAGGGGTCTTAATTCCGACAAGTTAATCGCTGCCCCCCTTCGAGTTAGAGGGGTTACTGTAGCCTATTTACATAGTTCTAAGCCTTACCTGGGCTCGAACGAGCGCGCTACTAGAGCCTACCCGCTAGAGATCGACTCCTGTGACGGCCGGTGTCACGATGCCACGAAACCCACTAGCTGTGGACCCGTAGGAGCACTGGCCATCTGAAGGCGGGATTGAAGATCCTCAGATGTGAGCCAGCCTGTTTTAGTTTCTCTTTCTTTCCTTGTCGAGAATCGTTAAGTCAATACAGTGCATTAGAGTGTTTTGACTCTTCAGTTGTGCTCACCGTGACAAATACGGCCTATTTTACCGGATAAGCAGTTAGAAATTGATACTTTTCTCGAAGGAAGGGTCCCTCCTAAAAAGAGGGCTCGAAAGAATATATCTAAGTCTTCGGACACTTAAATTAAGTATGTTCTGTATATAAATAATATGGACGAAGTATTTAGGTTGATTCAGTTAGACCCTGCAAAATGGGGGTGCATGCAAAAAGGTGGTCAATGCGGTTAGTTGTTAGAGTTAGCCTATTTAATACCCCGAAGGCTCTAGGAAGTTATCGACAGAAATAGTAAAGGTACTAGGTACTAGAAAGTGCTAGAAAAGTAAGTACATGTCGAAAGACGTAATTCAATCTAGAAGAGTTTCTCTTAGCATATACTAAACTAACAATTATAATCCCAGCGAGGTGTAGAGGTCTTATAGGTGGAGTGGGTGGGTGGCAGACTTTTTAACCCTAATTTTACTTGTCCAATCAAGGCTTCGCGTTTACAGACAGCCGCTGAGAGATTGGCTGGCTGTTGCGGCACCTCCTCGGTTACAGAGGGTGGTCTAACATGTGTAACAGCACTGGATGAGGGATATTCCAGTACTGAGTGTAACTGACAGACATGAGAGTCAGAATCGATAGCATCAACTTGATTATTTTCAGTCTATGTAAGTGCACCATTTTTTTAGCCCCCAGCAATCCCAGTAATGAGCTAAGTTTAGCCCCACCGCGCGGATGTGACAAAATATTGATTACAGATGCGTTAGTTGTGGGGTCACTGACGATAGCTTGATTTGCAATTCTGATAATTTCGATTAGGACTTGCTCGATAGCAAGGATGTAACCGTACAGAAATGCCAGGATCTCTCTCTATTCGTATAAGTCCTTCTCTGGCTTGTTTAGCGCAATGTAAGCACGAAGCTACTAGCTTTGCGCTCTAAACCCTTGGGGTTAAGTAGTTAATCCATGCTCATGTTGCAACGGATTCCGCGCATCTTTGCGACTCTGCGTCAGCTCCGCCAACCCGCTTTGGTCGACAGCCCGCGACTTATTATATGTCGATCGACTCTGCTCGCGATGTCTGGGTTCCCAACTCAATTTTGTCAGCAATTCAAATCCGCCATGTCTTCGTGTGCAGCAGCAGAAACCGCCGACACTGGCGGGCAGCAGGGTCAAGCATCAGATTTGGACACAGCAGCGCCGGCGACGACAGAAATCAAGACGGAAAAAGCAACGTCAGTCGAACCCAAGTTTCTGCCACTGTCGGCGGCCGATTTCAGGGCATATAACCGTATGGCCGAGCACATGGACATGTACCATAACCACTTCCGGTCGCAGTGGAACCTCCTTTGGAACGCCTGCACCTCCCACAAGCGGCCCTCCAACATGTCCCTCAAATCCTTCATCGATGAAGGGCTGCAGTTTATCCACCACCTCACCTTGCATCACGATATTGAGGAAACGTATATCTTCCCTGTGCTCGCCAAGAAGATGCCTGAGTTCAAGAGCGGCAAGGGGAACGGCGCCGCCGAGCTGCTGAGGCAACATAAGGAAATACACAAGGGCCTCGATATGCTGGGCACTTATCTGCGGGCCTGCAAGACGGGCGAGACCGAGTTCGCATTGGCCGTCTTGAAGACCAAGTTGGACAGCTGGGGCAAAGTGCTGTGGACACACTTGGACCAGGAGGTTAAGTCATTGGGCGCCGAGAATATGAGGAAATACTGGACGAAAGAGGAAATCCGGGCAATGCCTATGTGATTTCGGACTTCAGACAATGGTATACTGCCCGGCGTCATTGTGCTACCAGGAAGGATTGGGTAAGGCAAGCATTGACGCATTTGATTTGGGGTGACCTGGGCTGTTATGGTAGAAACATGACATATCAACGGTGGAATATGGCCAAAATCTCGTTGATCAGTTTGATCATGTTCAGTAGTGTGTGTGCCGTGCATGTCATCTTGTACTGCCCCTAACCTTGGCATGGTTTCTTTTATCACCTGCAATTGAATGGTCCAGGAGGCCTTGTCCAAAACCTCCTGTAACAAACTATCATTTGTACCAAATGACTAGTCCTAAAACACTACCGTAGCCTTTTCATCTCGCCATGTTTGCCTTTGAATCGCTTAAAAACATTAACATGCATCCAGCTAGTTTGCTGCAGCTAGTAGCTCTCTCCTAGTAGCCTAGCTTCTTGTCGACCTCATTGAGTAGATCCTTCCCCTCGCTCAGCTTGTTCACATTCAACTCAAGAATCGCAAGAACCCGCTGCGTGTAGCTGATTGAACTCCCGCTCACATGTGGTGTAATGATGACATTCTTGGTATGCCACAAAGGGTGATCCTGTGGGAGAGGTTCGGGGTCTGTGACGTCTAACGCGGCACCCCGAATCCAGCCATTTTCCAGGGCTTCTATCAACGCGTCGGTATTGAGCACGGGGCCTCGACCAATGTTGGAGATGAAGGTCTTCTTCTCGGAAAGGAGCTTCAGCTGAGGCCCAGATATCAGGTCTTTAGTGTATTTGGTTAAAGGAACCTGTAGACCGGTCTCAGTAAGGGTGACTCGAGGATCAAGGGGACGGACTTACGGCCAAGACCAAGAGATCTAAACCAGAAGTCAAGAACTCCGTTCTAGAGGCCTGGTCGGTTCCAGAATACCACTTGGACGGAAGCAGCCCCTCTGGATCGCCCATACCGGGCACGACATAGCTATGATCTTGGCGCGACTCGGGAGTAGGGCGAGGCCGGTTCGTGTAGGCTACTACATCCATCCCCATCGCCTTAGCCACGCGTGCGACTTGTCTACCAATGCTGCCGTAGCCAAGAATGCCCCTATGATACGTCTCAATAATGCATATTCACCAAATTTCTTATCGCTACTTAGCCAGAACTTACACTCGTAGACCAACTGAGTCTTGAACCTGTTCGAAGTTATCCCGCTTCCACTGCGTTGAGTGACCGTCAGTGATGACCCCCAAGAGCATCTAGTAATGAGATGGGAGAACCCAGTCCTTCTCGCGAGCAAAACTTCTGAGAATGTGTCCAACTGCACACTCGTCTCTCTTCGGCTCATGAGATGGACTGGGCGTGGGGAGTGAATGAGCCGTGACGTTGCATACCAGACCGTCCTTCTGCTGTTCCAGATACCGCGGAATATGATGTTGGGCGGCAAGAAACGTGCAAATGACCCATTCACTTATCTGCGGCCTGCGAATGCATGTCAACCAAGTCTCTAAACCAATCCAGAGTAGTGCTCATGGTCACTTCGTGAGGAAACCCACCCATGAACGCCACTAGCCGAACAGAAAACAATGTCGGTATCCTTGAAAATTGGGAGATCGAGGATCATGTTGGCCCCCGCACTCTGGAGTTGGACGTATTGCAGCCTGGGCGCTTGCTTGATGGTAGGCAAGACTCTGCCTGTCAGCAGAATCGTCACCTTTTTCCAGTCCACGTCCTCTGCAACCGACAGGTCTTTCCACGGGTCCTGCGGTTGATGCACCACCTTGAGACCCGGATGGTTCACCTCTAACCTTTCGACATATTCGGAAGGTGGGGGCGTGGGCGTTATGATGAGGAGGAGGTGGCCTTCCAAACTGCCGCCGGACGGAAAATATTCCCCCATTGTTGCTGACTTCTAATCAATTGACCCTGCTTCTCACAACAGGTTTGAGGTCTGTGGCGTGGACGAAGAAATAGGGATGTGCGTATTTACTCGGATTGAAGTGATTGTGGAAGTTAAATGCCGAGTCTAAGCAGCATGTGGGCATCCGAAGCATAAATGGTTGGCTGCGTGTACTGCTGCCCAATCGGCATCAGCCCAATCAACATGGATGCTATTTCGCCTTATCAAGCTCGTTTCACCTCATCGATTGCCGCCTGCTTTCAATGCCCAACATGCAAATGCGCAGCTGTACGGATAGCAACGACACAATATTTTCATCTCATGGGTTTCTGCGTAGTTTTGCATGCTCTTTTGCGTTGGTCCTCACCCACCACCTCGGTTATTTGTGGTAATCAGTCCGATTGTAGCCATGTGGAGCAGTGATATTCGGTATCTACTCGAGAATTTGAAGCAGAAGCCAGCAACGCATGATAGCTCAGCTCAACAGCAAATCATACTTCCACTGATCCTGTGGCACATCTTTGTATCTGATGCTTGTTGGATGCTTATCACGTGCAGGTAGAACGCGCCGAATGTAGAGATCTCCCACATTGATCTTTTCAAATTTGGGCTCCTCGCCGTCCTCGATGCAGCAATCCATGACACCAAGATCCACGTCCGGGTCCATGGTCAAGAAGAACGGCAACGAGTACCGTTCAAGACCAGTTTTGTTCCGTACGCGATGTACAGTGGCTGGGAATTTGCCGTTGGTTTGCCGTTCCAAGTACTGGCCAACTGCATAATAAATCCACTGTTAGTTGTTGCTGCTTCTAGGACGGAGGCCCGATCTCGAGTATATCAAGATGATGAAGTGTGCCCAGAGTAATACTCACCGTTGCAAACAAGGGTGTTGGGCTGCGGGGGTGCGTCAATCCAGACACCATCCTGGTTCAACACTTCGAGAGCTGGCACGGCGTCTTGCAGCACGAGAGTGATCCATGAAAAATCGGAATGTGCGCCCAGTCCGACATTGTGAGAGTCACCGTCAGCCGGCGTGGGAGGATAGTATAGCGCCCGCATCCCCGTGATGGGGAACTTGAACATCTGATCAAACTCGGTTTCTGGCAGATGGAAGGCAAGCGCAAAGATCCGGACGAGCTTCATGGCAAGGGGGAGGACTTGGTTATAGTACTGATACAGCCCTTCACGCCAAAATGGAGCATTTCTTGGCCATATGTTCTGGGGCTTTGTGATGTTTGGTGGAGGCGGGAGGCCCGTCTTTCCCGTGTAGTCTTGCTCGGGTTCCATGACGCAGTCTCCCATGGTGAATGCCTCTTTTATATCTATGAGGTGTTAGCCGCATGGATTAGATCAGAAGAAACAGCTGTTCGTACCTCCTTTAGTTCTGGGATCCAGTCTCGTCTCAAGCATCGGCTCATAGCCTCGGATTGCTGGATTCTTCTGAACGTGGGCGTCCAACTTCGTTTCTAGGTCCAGGGAGAAGAAGCGCTTCAAGATTTCGAATGTCGAGTCGACAATGTGTTTGGGTATACCGTGATTTTTGACATAGAAGAACCCGACGTTGTGGCACGCATCGTAGATGCGCGAGGCTATTTGTTTCCGAACTTCCAGGGATTCGCTGTCTATGTCGGCAATGTCGATGGTTGGGATAGAAGTGAACGATGTTGGCTTCTCGGCAATTTTGCGGTATGTCACTTTGGATCCCGAGTGGAAGTAGACGTATTTGTCATCGTCGGCACGATTTGGAATGACTGGGTTGATCACTTCTGCCATTTTCAACGGTCATCCGACAATCGAAGTTGGAGATCCGCGAGAGACGTGCTCGAAAATAACTATTGTTCTAGAGGCAAATGATGATTGCAAGTAAGATGTTCTGCTCGGGGCAAGTAAAGTCGGAGCCGATCCCCAATATCAAGAAACCGAGCGTATCTCCACCTCCTCAACCGCCATGTCGGAGACCCCCGATCTTCCCAAATACAAAAAGTTATAGGATGATGATTGGCTGTCCTGGCAGATTGATTAGGATGTGTAATTCGCCAATAATGATTTCTCTCTTCTCTGGGAATTAGAGCGATGGTGGATCCCGACCCAGCTCCGGCTCAGATATATTTCGATTTTGATCGCAAGTGGACGATCGACTGTAGATAACTCAACCGAGGAGAGGATTCTGGTTAAGAAGTAAAATAAGATGAAACGGTGGCAAGTGGATAACTAAGGAAACGGCGCATATAAGGTAGAATAATATCGAATAACCCGATATTCCAACACTGCGCCGATTTACTACACGGGAGCATTGGGCAATCCCGTATTATTTTACCCCTAATGCGCCATTCATTCTATCATGCCGTTAGGTGGGGTGTCGGTTCCTCTGCGAATGCATGGTTTGCGGAGCCGAACTAAATGACGGCAGGCACATTGACTACAATCGCTGATATTGAAGGAAATGATAGCGAAAATCTTGGCAATATATATATCCCTGTATCCGCAACGCTCCACCTCTGCGACCTGCCACTTCATCATGTTTCCAGCTGTGACAATTTAGCCCGCGACAGACCTGGAGTGAGACTACCGGAACACTCAAGATGTCTCTGATCAAACAACTTTTTGCTTCCTCCTATGGAAAAGACCGGCCAGATTTCTTCATCTGGTATCCCAAGGGTACACTGGCAAGTGAGAAGAAGCTGCTCTTCAAGATTGACTTCTTCATCTTGACCTATGGATGTCTCGCTTACTTCACCAAATGGCTCGACCAGGCCAACCTCAGCAACGCATACATCAGCGGTATGAAGGAAGACCTTGGGATGTTTGGTACCGAGTATAATCTGGCTACGACCTGTTTCCAGGTAGGGCAGATACTGGGACCTATTCCTGCCAATCTGCTGCTCACTTGGATTCCGCCGAGGATTTTGCTACCGGGCTTAGAGTTGCTATGGGCGGCTCTCACGATTGCGACTTACAAAGTGTCAACGGTCGACCAGGTATGAGATAAACTGGTTGATAATTTTATGTGAAGAGGGGCGATGCTGACGTATAGATGGTAGCTTTATGCAATCAGATTCTGCGTCGGGTTTTTAGAAGGCAGCTGCTTCGTGGGAGTCCAATACGGTAAGCTGGTGTCGAAGCCATCCTCAAAAGATTCAAGAGTGGCTGACGTTGTAATAGTGTTAGGTTCATGGTACAAAAGGACGGAAATAGGGAAGCGAACCGCCATCTTCGCTTGCGCCGCATGTCAGTTCACGTCATTTCAAGCTGGATAGGCACTTTTTTTTAGTCAAGACTGACATATCACAGACGTTGGTACCATGATATCGGGCTATCTTCAGAGTGCGGTACTCGCAGGCCTAAACGGCACCAATGGCATCGCCGCCTGGAGATGGGTTTTCATCATTGATGGTGTGATTACAGTTGCTGTTGCCATTTACGGGTTCATCTTCTTCCCAGATACCCCGCACACTACCAAGGCCTTCTATCTCAGTGAAGAAGATAAACGTCGATCGGTAGAGAGGTTGATTGAAGATGGACGCGAGGAGCGTTCGAATTTCACCTGGGACCTTTTCATCAGAGCAGGCAAATCGTGGCAGCTATACGTTCTTACCATACTGTGGATGTTTTGGAACACGACCGTGGGAAAAGTAGCCAACACTGGTAAGTGAATTCAAGCGAAAAATTGTGTATTAAACAGCTACTGACAAGATACCTAGTCATGCAACTGTATCTGAGGTATGACACGGAACATACTTGGTCACTATATCAAGCAAATAACATCCCAACGGCCATAAACGGTTTCAACATCGTCATGATTCTTGTTGGCAATGTTTACGTCGACGCCACCGGATGTCGCATGACAGCAGTTGCAGTGAACCTGGCTATTCTTCTCTTCGGCACCATCTGTCTGGTAGCATGGAACATTCCCCTTGGCTTACGAATGGTATCGTACCTCTTCGCTGGACTCGACGGGCCACTGTCGCCAATCTACATGGCGTGGGCCAACATTCTCTGCTCTGGCGACTCGCAGGTTCGTGCGCTGACCATTGCCACTATGAACTCGTGCGGTGCCGCTCTTACCACTATTATCCAGCAATTTCTGTATCCAGTTACCGACGCGCCGGAATATTTCAAGGGTTTCCGGGCAAGTCTGGGGTTTGTATGTGGCATGTGTATTTGGGTCGTCATCGTCAGGCTGTTTGAGATGAGGGCTGTCCGTCAACAGGAGGAGAACGTTATTACTGGGGAGGAGGATTGTGAGGCTGATGCATCGGTTCGTGTGCCCTCCGAGATCAAGGAGTAAGCCATTTCTGAATACCACCAAGTACTATTAGAGGCATGGGATGTATCATTATTGAAGCAACTACATGAATTTATGTGCCTTGTGGGCAGATACTGGAGCATGCATGCAGACGACTTTTGCGGCATCAGAGCTCAATACACCCGCTGGTGACTCTAGATCAAAGTCAAACACTAAAAAGAAACATCTGTAACCTTCGCTGCAGCCAGGAATGATTTTCTTCTTATGCGGATGGCTTTGTTGAGTCTCATTTTCAGACCCAGTTCTAAGGAAAACCGCAACATCACCGTAGTAAATAAGCTATATTGAGGGTACAGTCACAGGGAGTAGGTGTTTATTTCATTGTTCTGGACTGTGCTTTAGGTTGATTTTAGCTAAGTAAGCAACGAACTACAGTATTTAGTGGTTAACCGAGAGGAGCGGCCCTCGGGTAAGTAAATTCACGTTTTATTGTCTACAATAGCCTCTGGCACATAGATTCCCGGAGTTGCCTCGACAGACTTCATCCTTTGAACATATGCACAGAAATCGTCCAAAGGATTGACAAGTCTTATGTGAAATTACTAGCCTCAAATAACCGATATAAGGCTCAGATCCAATAGTGTGCAACTGACTCTACCATTCCCAGTTCCAGTATGTATTTATGTCCCTGTACACGTTATACAATGTTATGTCACTTTGACAAGCAAGATTCTGCTCTTAGCCTGCCTAGTGGTTGAACGAGTAAAAAGCGAAGTAAAGGTAGTGATGCTTTCTTTCGCATATTCCAGGCTTGTGACTCTATTTGGGTTGACCATGAGAACTAGCAATGCCGACTGCACGCACGGCGCTCTTGACTGACGCAGGCCGTCAGTAGTTAGTGCCAGTTAAGGCATGTGAACATCTCAGATCAAGGGTTTGCTGCAAGCTGCAAGCCGTGATTGCAGTCTTGACAAGGAACCTCAGAACTTCTGTTTAAGCTTATTGGAGGTGCGGCGCCAATTTCCAAGACGGGCAGCTAGATTCCATGTGCCGCTGCCAAGACATCAGTTCTGCTGGAATAGGCTGATCTTACAGGTTGGGATCTGGAATTATGCCTCATTAGGAAGCTGCCTCGTTGGGGATTCCAGGTACTATGTCCAGTGGTTAACGTCATCAGGACGGGCGAAGGAAAATCAGAGCATCCAGGACTCGGCATTCAATGTTGGAGTGGCGTGTGGACCCTTTCATCACTACTGGTATCGGTCTACAGATATATCAAGTGGCATTTTTAGGTTCGTGCCTAACCTGATGTATCGAGGTAGCTCAATGCTTACACGGGACGACGAAGTGACCCCTCACCGGCTGGGAAGTGCCTGAAGTCATTCCCGAATAGGATATCTTGACCGGAATTGGTATGCACAAGAGCATTTAATTCGACTGCAATACAACGTCAAGAAAGTGCTGGCACTTTTATTAGCCTCAAAGACGTGCTGCACCTACCAAATTCGGATGACATACTTCATCGCTGGGCTTGGGCTCATGTGCACATAAAGGAAAACTGCTGCATAGAAGCATTTCAATGAAGCCCTCGCCATCACGAGTCATCTAATCTTCTCTGTCTCTGTCCAGCTTCCGTTATTGCCAGATAGTGACGTATTTCTCTGACTAGTCGTCCCTGTACCTGATACTACTGTTACCATGAAGTTCTTCCGGCTGATACTTTCTGTGGTATCTGTCGCGTCTGCGACTGTCATTACAGGCCGCGATGGAAAAGTGAGCTACGATGGCTATAAGGTCTTTCGAATTGAGGCGGCCGATGGAATCAAAGCCCTTGAGGAGACGGTCGCTGACGCCTCGTTGCTTCCTCTGCATGGCCATGGTGATCATTTGGATGTGGCCGTGTCTCCAGATGCTGCTGATGCTTTCGCGGCCCTCAACCTGACTTCGCAACTGATGGTTGAGGACCTCGGAGCTGCCATTGCCACAGAAGGTCCTATCGAACGCTACGATTGTGAGCATTTATCTATGGATATTTAGTGTGCAATTGAGGTTGACCCCTTACCAGCTCCCGCGGAGGTTGCCGCGGTTCCAAGCTTGTCTTGGTTCAATGCATACCACTCCTATGCCGACCATGTCCAGTGGGTGAAGGACTTGCAGGTCAGTGCTTGGGGCATGTAGTGTTTAGAGACTAAGTTGTCGCTGACCCTGAGTACTACATAGGCTGCTTTACCTCAAAACTCGGAAGTCATCAACGTGGGAACTTCTTTCGAAGGACGTCAAATCCAAGGTATCCATCTCTGGGGAACTGGTGGCAGTGGGTCAAAGCCAGCAGTATATCTCCATGGCACCGTAAGTGGCACCGTTCATCTTCCACACATGGACTTTGCAAATCTATCGCCAACATGGACTAATTTATAGCAGGTACATGCACGCGAGTGGGTTGCTACCATGGTGAGAATAACTAGCAAGGCCCGTTACATAAGCATTGTGAACTGACAGTTGACATCAGGTCGTCGAGTACATTGCCTATCAACTGTGAGTCTTTTGTCCTTGGCCATGGCTGATACCATAACTTACCAGGCACAGTGTTATTGGCTATGAAAATGACACGACGGTCCAGTCGTTCCTCAGCAAGTACGACTTCTACATCCTCCCAGTTGTCAACCCCGACGGTGAGCCCCACAACTTCCCCTGACTCAGAGGCACACGTGGCTTACCTGCTATTAGGGTTTGTCTACACGCAGAGCACTGATCGTCTCTGGCGTAAGAATCGGATGACCAGATCTTCGACATCAGCTGTCGGTACAGACATCAATCGCAACTGGCCCTACAAATGGGAAGTGGCCGGCGGCGCGTCTACTAACCCATCGGCTGAGGACTTCAAAGGTCTTGCAGCTGGTGATACACCCGAGGTTAAGGTTCTGAAAGCCTTTACCGACAAGCTTGCCGCCGGCAAGGGAATCAAACTGTACATTGACTACCACAGGTAAGGCTTGAATCTGTCATCAGCATTCTCTTTCTCGGAGGAGCGACTCTAACTCATAGGACAGCTACGGCCAGTACATCTTACTGCCTTATGGTTACAGCTGCAGTGCCGGTAAGTATCGTAGCAATCCACCTTCCCCCATTCCTGAAAATAATTCCGGACGCGCGAACTGACGCGGCTGCACAGTCTCCAAGAACAGTGCCAAACAAAACAGCCTGGCAGCGACAGTGAGGAGCACCATCGCCAAGTCTTACGGGAAGACTTTCACGTATGGCCCGATATGCTCTACTCTCTACGAAGCTACCGGCGGCAGTACTGACTACATGACGGACGTCTCAGGAGCCGAATTAGCTTGGGCCATAGAGTTGAGAGGCGGGGGTAGTGGCACGAGTGGTTTCGTGCTACCAGTTTCTGAGATCTTACCCAGTGGCATCGAGATATGGGAGGGTATGAAGTACCTGATTGGCTCCATGTAATGGAATTCAAGGCCTCGCGAGGTTTTACCATGCAGGCGGCGATAACAGAGAAGTGTTTGTTGTTCAATTGCCGGCATGGTGGCACTGTTTCCTTACCTCGGAGAATATTACGCCTGGTGGGCTCTATGTAGATATTGAAGGGTGATTTCGATGTTTCTGATTACTCTGAAATGATACTGAACAAGCCGTTTGAAACGTTTGTATTCAAATCCGGGGGTCCTTTGCAAGTATTGATCGAACGAAGAGGTTTTTTTGAACTGAGCGCGGTTGTTTACTCAAGTAACCATTGTAAGGTTGTGAGAGTGAGTTTGTTCATCTAGCCAGCTTAGTGCTTACCCAGGAGCAACAGAGACACATCCCGGCCCGCAACGTATCATAATTGTCAGAACTTCCCAGCATACCTCGCAGAACTGGCGATTCAGCATGCTGAAAAGCCAAAAAATGACACCGTAAGAGAAAGGGTTGGGAATGGCGGCGGGGCACTACTATAAGTATCCCGAACGATTGAGGCATGATGTACTGAAGTATCTAAATTGATGAGAATTTGTCCGGTCCTTTTTGAGATCGGAAACCCATCAAATCGCAGCCCACATTTAGGGCAATGACAGATGAGATGAGGGGCAGCAGGGGCCCGAATGAAGCTTAAAAATGCTCCGCTTCCCCTGCTAAATGATTGAATATTGCAAGGAGACGGGGGGATCTTAACGGAGGCGTTTTGAAAACACCGGTCTGGCACAGCTTTTCCCGTCGATGGAAATGAAGACAAGAGCCATTTGGGATGCTATGGCCATTAATTCAATTCCCAAGACGGTGTTTGGACCTGTCATCGCCAATCAACTGCATTGGTCCCGTTGCGAACCTCGACAGCCTATCCAATCTCGGCCTGAAACAGTGCCCGTCTCATCATCCCCCGGTTCCCAGCCGCTCTCTAGGAAACGGACCAACCCGCCTTTGTACATCACCAGAGCAGTTACTTCGTAGCGCTGTCACTTTGGCGGAGAAAACCGAAACCACCATAGCCTCGAGGCAATCAGTTGTAAGCAACCATGAAACCTCTCATTCCCTCGTAGTGCTCGCCTTAACGACATCTTTTGGTCTGGGTAAGCGCCCAGGTTAAGTCTGAACCACCCCTGTTGCGGCGGCCACGATGTATCTGCATTTCATATATCACTCAGGTCCGCTTCAAGTGCGGCCTGCCAGGCTCAACCCGAAAGCTGAGTGTATTATTGCTTATCTTCATTTTCATCTCGTCTTTCTTTTTCCTCTGACCACAGGAGCCTGCTGAGCAGGATTTTCGTTCTTTACTTGTATTGCCAACGACGCTTTTAGTTCGCTCGCTGTTTGATCCAACCCCCCTTCTCCTTCGCAAAATTTGCAGCAGCCATGATTGCCAGAGTCTCTGCCATCTTAGCTGGCTGGGCCACTCTTGCTGGAGCAGGCCCAGTATATCGCACCGTGTCGGAGCTCGACCAGGCGGCATTTGAAGAAGCACAACAGCGAGACGACACTGCCACGAGAGTCTTTGCGAACACGGAGATCAAGGTACATGCCCTCTCGATTTACCACGTTTTCGGACTCTAACGGCAGGAACATGATAGACCTCCGATGGGAGATGCTTATTTGTTGATGAGCTATCGTATGTTCAGCCAATCCCTCATATTCATCATAACAAGGACTAACGCGAGATACAGGGGAGATTTCCGGGCCAATCTTACCCCTATTCAAGTGGCCTCATGCGGTGCTACTCCTGGCCAAGGTTGGGATATTATTAGTCAAGGCAAGCACAACAATGTGGCGGGGCATGTGCTTGTGGTCAGCACGTTGGTAAGTATGCTCAAATATGTCTCCATCGATCAATACTGAGTCATATATGCATGGTAGACGAACGCTTGTTTCAACTTTGATCCGCGTCGAGCGGCGGGCAATCAAGCACTGCTCTTCAGCTGTGGCGGGAGAGCCGATGGCAGTAAGTTCTTCGGGGCCGGAGGATAAGAAATGTCAGAGCTGATCTTACGTGTTGTTCAAGTTGGCGAGGTAACCGAGTCGCAGCTCTTCAGGTTCGATGGGGGCGCCGGCTCTCTTGCATTTGCTCCAGCAAACGATCTAAATTCCTGCTTCACCGTCAGAGGCAACGTGGTGGACGTTGTTCCGTGCCAGGCAGGGAATGATGATCAGCTTTTCACCTTGTCTGGCCAGGCTTCAGACATAGACACAGGGGTCACCGGTATTCCCGATTTATCCCTCACCGCAAGTTTTCCTGTAGCTTCTGTAGTGAGCTCCTCACGTGCTGTTCCATCAGAAGCCACACCCACAATAACTACCGTATACGTAACCACCAATCCATCATCTACCTTGGCTACAGCTCCTAAAATACCGTCAGCCACAACAGTATACATGTCAGCTGGAGCCTCGACGACTACGGTTGAACCAACAGAGTCGACGGTGACGGCCGATGCACCCTCAGCAACGCAGGATGCAGTCCAAGCCATCCCCACATCTAATCCGACGGAACCGGTGCCCGTATCGCGCGCTGGCGGCACACTTGTGCCTACCGCAGCCGCCGAGTCCCACGAGCGAGACGAAAGCGCAACTCGCGCCTTTAATACGGCTAGTATCAAGGCCCCAAATGGACAGTGCTTGTTCATCAATCCGACCGCTGGAGACTTCAGACAGAATCTGATCCCCGTGTCTTTGGTAGATTGCGCGGGCACGCCTAACGAGAAGTTTGATATCATTACAGCCGGCAAGCACAACAACGCCCAGGACTCTGCTCTGTTTGTGAGCAGCTTGGTAAATCACCCATACCATATTTGAATCCGTGAAGGCAGAGTATGTTGACCGTTATATTAGACCAACGGCTGTATTAGCTTCGATGGTAGGCGGGCCGTCGGGGACACGGTCACACTATTCTCCTGTGGCGGCAGAGCAGCTGGTGAAGGGCTGACTAACGATGGCCAGCTCGTCCCCTTTTTTGGAAAACCTAGTTTCGTCTTTGCCCCTGAGAGTGAGCGGAATTCCACCTGTCTCGTCCCTGGAAACGGCCGACTCGTCTCAGCCCCTTGTCTCAAAGACAGGTCTCAAGTATTTACTATTGTGGCTTGATGAAACTCTTTCTAAGCGAGTATTCGGCCGAAATGCATCGTTATTATTGAATATGTTTTACCTACCCACCACCCTATTGCACATTCTGTACCAAGAGATAGTCCATCGAAACACATTCGTACCTTTTAGCTAAATTGTTTAATTTATACTATACATTCTGTGACCACAAAAAGCGAATCAAACCCAGTTCATTTCTTATTACATCATCCCATACGAGTACTAAACTCTATTGAGCTACACCATCCAGGTTTTACCATTCCGCACTCACTTATCATCCTTTGCAACCTTGCACTACCTAGTCACAAGCCCGCTCTTTCGCACCAACCACTGTTCCATTGTCAACAAGTCGGCATGTTCCCGACGAATTTGGTGAATGTCCGCCTTGTAGCCGGCACTCGCAAACCAACCAATCATAAGCCTCACCTCAGTGATGGCATACGTCAAAGCACTTCCCAAAAACCAGTATGTTATGGGTGCGGGAGACCCTGTAGCATTTAGGAAAGACTCACTTATCTGCCGAACAGACAACTCATCTCCAGCCAACCCAACCGCTCGCCTGTCCCACCCCTCAGGATCGTCGAACGCCTTAGCGGCAAATATGCCGATATCGCTGGTTGCAATAAATTCTGTGTGGTATTAGCGGCAGTCTAATAATAATTAGCTTGGAGATTTTGTGAGGAATCATACGCAAGGGCTTGTTTCCCAACCAATTTTGTAGGGCGGCCAAGAAGACCTTGGTTTGGAAGCCAGACTCCAAGTTGTCCATGAAGGCAACAGGCCGCAGTATGGTCCATCTCATCTTCTCGCCTGGTTTCCCAGGACCCGTAACGTCTCTCAAGTGACGCTCGATCTGGTACTTGCTCTGGAAGTGTGGAATTGGAGTCGGGTTGTCCCAAGACACCTCGTCACCGCCACGTTCGATACTACTATACACGAAGTGCGAAACCCCGTTTTGAATGGCGGCATCGATGAGATTCTTCCCTTGTGCCACTTCACTCGCCACCGTCACGCCTGGACCTATGGAGACTTGCAGCGAGTACACCCCCCAAATGGGATGAGCGGATACTTGATGGGCTTCCTCGAACAGGGCTGGTGTATCATTCAGATTCCCTCCTACAAGTTTGATGAAGGAGGATCTGGATGCAAGTCGCTTGGCATCAGTGCTTTGCGGATTGCGTGTGACGGCGAGTATTGTAAAGTCTGCGTTGGGCAAAGCAAGAAGTGCATCGACAACGGCACCTCCCTGTTTTCCGGTGGCACCGGTCACAAGAATTGCTCTCGACATATCGTAATATGGATGCTGTGTGAATTATTTGCTGTGCGGATTATCCCTTAGAGCAGAGGGAGAAATAAGGTGGGGCGTGTATGAAGATATAGCTAGCAAAGATTGCTTGTGATTCTGCTTGAGACACAAAAGGAGACCCTAGGGATTCATAAGAGGGCACAGAGCAGGCGTAGATGTTTATAACTCGATTAAACACGAGTACCGAATACGATGGCAAATTTGGCGCTGCTGACTCTGATAGGATTCTTGTATGCCGGAGCTGGTGGCGAAGACCGGACAAGTCGTGGAGAATTTCCTTTAGGGGTTGGCTCCGCTACCCCCCGTTGAACCTTATTATGACCAGGCTGTGCGGTTGTTGACGATTTGCGCACCCGCGCTCGGGAGATGGAGACGCTCTGTGTCCTGCACTATCAAGGCTTTGAATTAGACTTAGGAGATGCATTGATTTCAAAGCTAGGAACGTCTGATCGTAGGGCCCTGTATATTCATGGCGTTGATTTGCATGCCGAACCGATGGAATGGCTCCATTGAAGGAAACTTGATCCATTATATCAGCTCTTCCCTACTTGTAGATTGAATTTCTCTATTCAGCATACGTACGTCATGGATCCCACAATCCATTCTCGTGGCATCCAGACCGTCAACCAGCTCCTCGATGGTTACAGCAGTCTCTCGGTCGAAACCCTCCTCGCTCCTCTGTCAGAAAGCTTTCAGCATAGAGTGCTACCCGAAAGCCTGGGTATGCCCGCCCGCGACAAGGCCGCCTTCACTCAGCACGCAACAGGGGTTTTCAGCATCTTCGAGAACTTCCAGTTGATTCCCAAATCGATATGCGAAAACATGGCAGCAAATTTCGTCGTGGTGTATGCGGGCATGAAAGGCACGTTGAAGGCAGGAAAGGGAGAATGGAGAAACGAGTGCATCATGATGATCCGTCTTTCAACAGACGGGCGCAAGATAGTTGAGGTCAACGAATTCGTTGATAGTGCCAAGGCAATGGAGATGAGACAGAAGCATGCACCGAAGGGGGCGTTTGGCGGCCACCAGTTGGCGAAACGGGCGAGCTTCGTGTTGACGAGAACAACGTTGCCTGGTATGCTGAAGGGAATGAATCACTTCGTTTTAGTGTGCTTTTTGTATCATTTGGTGCAAATTTTCACCCTGTGGATGTTTGGACTACGATATCAGATTACGTCTTGAACTTCTATCATACTCTCTTAGGCTTAGCTGGCAGATGTAGTATACTACTACATTACATTAGCACATTGCCGTTGTTGGGACACGATAAATTTACGAATAATTGTAGAATTGCGAATGAAGACGCAGGGTTTGATTGGCCCAAGTCTGTCCCTATATCAGGCACCATACTCTGGTAGTTATTTTACATGGACTTAAGGGTCGCCCAAAGCGCAGAACACCCAGCGACCAAGGGCATAACAATTCTGACGGTATTGAACTTGATCCACTTTCTTGCAGTGGCCTCGGCTTCAACATGCTTCGCTTTTGGCTCCCTCAACGCATCTAGCTTCTCGTTGAGTGGCTGCATGTTGACAGCCGAATGAACAACGGTGACCAAGTGGCACGTTGCCGCGAGCGCATACCACCGCCAGTCTCCTGATTTGGCCCCACCGCCAATATCCCCCGAATGGGCTGCCCACGCGGTGTAGCCGTAGCCAAAAATGCCGAGAGTGCTGATGGGTCTGAAGAAGACGTTTCCCACCTTCCAGAAGACGGGCCATTGACGACCTAGTAATTTGGCTCGAGTGGAATGGTCTGGGTTAGACGGCTTTGGGAAGTCCACCAGTAGGGCAGGCACTCCCATGAATGACTGGGTTATAGCATTTCCTTGAGAATTGTTAATATGTTCCCCTTCTCAGCATGAATTCACTCAACTCACCGAGCAAAACGAAGGAGAAGGCAATGGTCGTGCCGACAATGGCCTGGGAACTGCTGTTGGCCATGATAGCAATTTTCCGTGGTCTGCTAAGTTTGATCCCGAGTTGAACTATTAGACTGCTCGTGAGAGAGGGAAATGGTGTCGTCGGTCCAGATGGGTTCATGATACATCTATATATACGACGTATGGGGAAATATACATGCGCCGGGACGGCCAGCGCTGCAGATGGATGGCGGGGTAGACTTTGTTCCTCATTGCAGAACTCAACATGGATAATCCACCGCATCGCTCAAGCACAAGGTTTTTATTGCGTCCATACTTGAGTATGGAAGACACGTATGCCAGTCTATGAGAGTTTTATCATACCACATTTAATAACAGAAGGCAGACTTGCTTTCACCTCAATTCACGAGTGATCCTCACTCCCGGGCGGAGACCGTTGGAGATGCCCCAAGAAGGATTCAGATTACTTGCCAGAAGCCACGCGCGGAACCTTGAAATGGCCCATACCCCATTGGCCAGCTATCCCTTCCTCAGTGAGATCGAACTCCTTGTATTAAGTTGTACTCTCTTGGCAGAACTCGACACCAAATCCACCATGCGCGGCGCTAGTTGGACTTGATTGTGTACATGTTGGATCACGCCGCTGGCAAGCAATCCTCCATTCAAGCTCAACGCAGTCAGCTTATATTTGTGGTGACTCACAGATACTTTGATCGATACGATCAGCACTACCACCAGCCGACGCCTGAAGACACACCTGCGTTCCAGTGTGGAGTGTTACTTTGGCAAACATTCATGTTCTGTTGCAGTGTGATAAGCCTCTTGTGTAAATTATTGCGTCCCTGTGCAAACGTTTCCAAAGGTATAGTATCTATTGCACTAACATGCAGTCGGAAAATATCAAGTTCTACAGCTATTTTGCAGTACTGTCTGCCATAAGCGCTACAAGACGGGTATATTGAATGTCTCCGCACTCGTCTCGGTGGGCATCAGCTCGATACCCGACGTCACCTCATCTGGCTTTGCGACTTTCCCCGCATAATCAGCTCTCTGCGTAAAGTCCTTGGCCTCGGAATCCCTCCATAAGCGAAGCGCTTCCCGTTTCCTCTGTTCACTCCGAGGCTCAAAAGCCATCTGGAACGGGTCAGGCTTAATTATGAGCAGCGAATTGGACTTGTCAAGTGGAACAGGCAATTGTTCGCCAGTCAAAGAATCTGTCTTGGGCTTCAGATTAAAACACCACGACAGTGCACCACACGCCACTACCAGCTCATCTTGAGTAAGTGTCATGCCGAGACATTGGCGTTGACCCCAACCAAACGAAGACATGCCTTTAATGGTAGGGTACTGGGTGAGTGGCTCTTGATAAGTCGGCCAACCAGGTTGAAGCCACCGTTCTGGGCGGAAATTATCGGGATCGGGATACCTTTCGGGGTTGCGCAGAAATGCCCTACACACGTTAGAACCACAGGAGGAGCAAGAGTTGTTGTAAATCTTACCAGTCGAGGGGCAGTATGCGGGTGCCCTTGGGAATAAAATACCCCTTGTAAACATCATCCGCTTCGGTCTCATGCGCGACGCCTGATTAGAATTAGTGCGGAATTCCTTAAGAATAAACCTGTTCACACACCCGTGGGCACGTTAGGCTTCCATCGCATGGTCTCCTTGATGCAGGCGCGAAGAACAGGCAGCCTAGGCATATCTTCCAGAGTCGGCATTCGTCCCTCGCAAACATCATCAATCTCCGTCTGAACCGCAGCCTGCCAAGCAGGGTGATGGGTCATAGTGACCAAGTAGTAAGAGAGTGGCCCGGCGACAGTAAAGATGCCAACTAGGGCCAACATGCCCAAGACACACGACGCTTCGTAGTCGCCCGACATGTTACTTCGCTTTTCGCTCTTCTCAATATATTGTCTCGTCCAACACGGTCTCTGCTGGCCCATAGCCATATTGTTCTTCACCGTCAGAAACCTCTCCATCCACCACGCCTGTTGCTCGTCGTGACGTTTCCTTTCGGCTTGCTTCCAGGGATTCATGAAGAACGGCAAATGCCACAGTGGGGTGAGAACGTTCGTTATGGGGCCTGCTGGAGACATCTGGGTGAGCAAGCCCCATGCACTTTTAGTGCAATACTCGCTGAGGGAGGGATCATCCCACGTCAACTGGCACATGACCTTCGAAGCCATGTCCTCGAGTGAGAACTGGAACGAATCAGGGTCCTCCATCAGCCGGGCGAGCCAGCGCTTAGTTTCGTGATACATGACCCCGTAGTAATTTGCGTTGCTGGCCTCGGTAAGATAGGCGTGCGACAGCTTGCGTTGGCGGGCCCAATACTCTGTCGCCGTCAATACACATTCCGATTTGTTCATCCGTGCCAGACTTACGATTCTTGCCCATTAAGGGCAAGTATTCCATCGAACCATGCGTACTTTTCGAGTCAAATAAGGACCTGATGACGGGTCGGTCCGAGTTGTATCTCGCTCGCTTGACCAGCAGATCTTCAGCGACCTTCTCATCGGACACAACAAGAAACTTGGCTCCCAACATATCCGTCATGTAGAAACCATTTTCCTTGCCATGAATTTCCGCCCATTCCTTGAACTTCAGCCACATGAGCTGAATAGGGAGATCGTGAATACGCCCAATGAAGGGTAACTTTAGCGGCCCCGGCGGTAATCTTGGGTCGTTCATGTCGTGGTATGACTGAACCGTTTTGTATACCACGAGGCCCACGAGCGCGATGCTCAAGGCGACAATAGTAGTTATTTGCATGGCCGCGCCGGGTAACAGCAGTGCGAAGAAGAAAATATTGGCTTTAATGAGAGAAGGGAGCTGCAAATAGCTTGGGGATTTGGGCTGACGGGGGTGCTTTCTCACTTATAAATGCGAGTGCCGTCTTTGCCCGAACTTTCACTTCAGAAGCCGCGAAGGTGATGTATACACCGACTGAGTTGCCGGCCAGAATTCAAACCGAATTCGCGCCAAGGTATGCGCTTTTTCGCGTGTACGACCTCGCAAACACAGTTCAGGGACGCATAGTTGGAGTTCGTCCCATCCTCAAGCATAGTTTTCAGACAAGGCGCATCGTAGATTCTCCATGTCAGGCACAAGTTTGGCGACTTCCGATATAGGTATCGCCACTTTTGCAAGCCTTAAAAAACGGCAGTGGTGGTGGAAGAATCTTCGCCTTTACCCACGAGTGGTTTGGCAACTCTTCAAGCCGCGCTGTAATGTTCCCATGGGGCAGATGTGAACCTTGAGCTGATCTGATCCGCGAGCTAATCAGCCTGTAGAACTCCGTTGGCGTTATCCGCCCATCTGCGCGCAACTAGTCCCTTTATGGATGGTCCAATACAGAACGGAAAGCTCAATTGGCGGCTACGCGTTGTTGCGGGTGCGGCTCCACGCGTTCGCCGAGATGATTCATTACTGCATCAATTAGCTATGTTCGGGACAAGTAATGAACATGAGTCGCCAAAGCATCCAAATTAGGGTATCTGACAATTTCGCCGAGATGATTTATTACTGCATCATTTGCTTGTTCGAGACGAGTAGTGTATATGCGTTGCCAAATCTTCCCAATCGGGATACATGACAACTTTTTGGGGTCTCGCCCGATTAGACTCGCAATTACACAGGTCCTTGCGTTTCAGGCTATAGGGTGCCATGGCATTGACTATCTTGGGCTTGTATCCCGAGAAACACACCGATCAATACTCATTCAAGAATCTCAAGGGATAGTGTCAGAAATTAATCATCGAGAGCGCATGGATCTGGTCTATGCCAAATTTGCGTTGCCAAGTGTACTGGGATCCTCTGTTCACCAGACCGTGCCTGCTCAGCATTGACTGTGGCGGCGAAATCAGCCAAGGAGTTGGTACCGATCCGAGCTACATAGTAAATCAACTAGCTAGGTTCATTGTCACGACTGAATGGTACGTGTCCTCATGTGTAATCTGACCCCAGAAAGATGTTACTTGGTAGCAATGGATGATTAAAACGGCCAGAAATTTCATTGCGAAAAGTGCCGAAAGGCGCGCATGATCACCGATAGGGACCATTCACATCAGATGTTGGTTGGGGCGGGGTGGAGGGATTCGGTAAGGGCACTGGCGAGATGGGAGGAACAGTAAAGTGCTGAGCGTTGGTATTGGTTGAGCTGGCAGGATGCTATGTTGGAGGAGCCGGTGTACCTAGTCGCTTCAGCCGTATGGCATAGTCCACAGCTGTATCTAACCCGATCTCATGTGGCGCATGTGGTTTTTACTTTCGGTTAACGTCCGCCAACGATTGGCGACGACACCACCGTCAGTAAGTTAGCCGGTCTTGGCCCGTGGGCTAAGACTAGGCCGTTTCTACTTTGAGTTCTGCCGACGTACAAGGTCAGCCAGTCGTGCTATGTTGTGCACAGCACGGGGCCTCGATAACACCACGGCTTCCAGCCATGATGATGTCTGTGGGCGGGGAGGAGGTGGAGGTTGCGCTTGCCAGTGTGCAACCGTTGGGTTACCGCCTTCGATAGCACTATCAAGCTCCTGGCCGGATATGGTCATGGGGGAGTATGTCCCATATAACAGTGAGAGTCAACGTCGTGTTGATAGAGCTTACGACTGTAGGCGTTTCTATCGGTTCGCGACGTCGAGGTGCCTCTGCACATACCCGTAAAATATCTTCGCAATCTTTCTTACGGACTCATTACGGGTTACGTGTTCAACCAACCATTTTCGTCCCAACAGTAAACATTTGACCATGGGTTCACTTGGGTACGACGAACCGAGGTTTGAAGGGTCGTACCCGAAGCCGGTAGGATCATATCCTCCAACCAACATCGACGTCCTCATCGTTGGAACTGGCCTGGCAGGGCTGACAGCGGCTATTGAATGCGTCCGAAAAGGCCATAATGTCAGGGTCCTTGAGCGGAATGCTACCATCAACACAGCAGGCAAGTCATCCCATCTTTTCATTGGCAACTTCGACTGACCAGATGTTTAGGCGACATGTACTTCATGGGACTTAGTGCCACTAAGTTTTTTAAGCATTGGCCAGAAATGTCGGAGGAATTCAATGAAATTTCGCTACACAATGCGTGGATTGAAACTTTCAAGCACGATGGTGAGCGTATGATCCCTGCCATGAAAGTTGAAGACCGCTTGCGTGATGCCGGGCTCGACCCTAAAACACCGCCCGGTACATTTCAGATGAGACCCTTGGTCTACAAGATGTTTGTTCATCAGGTAGAGCGACTGGGTGTGAACATACAGTTTGGAAAGCGTGTTACCGACTATTTCGAGGACGAGGCACGGGGCAAAGCAGGTGTAGAGACTGACCAAGGGGAGCGTTACGAAGCGGATGTCGTCATTGCCGCTGATGGGGTGGGATCGAAGAGCCAAAGACTTGTTGGTGGCCAGGTGCGGGCAATGAGCTCTGGTAGAGCTATGTGGCGTGCTGCGTTTCCGAGAGAGCATGTGGTGAAGAATGCCGAAGTGAGTGGATTCTTCAAGATGATGGGACAGAACAACAATGAGCCAATCGTCAGGACATGGCTAGGGTGAGTACTTGCGCACACACCGAGCGACCCATCAAATGGAACTAACTGAGTACCCAAAAGTCCCGGAACGTACGCCATGACATTGACCCGACCTGACACAATGATCTGGATCATGAATCACGACGTGACAGGCTCTGAAGAAGAGAATTGGAATCATACAGTCGAAGCCGATGAAGTTCTGGCCAACATGGATAAAGGCGTCGGCCCGAAGCCTTGGGCGCCTGTCTTCAAGGAGCTGATTAAGCTAACGCCGCCGAAGACCATCATCAATTTCGAGCTCTTTTGGCGAAACCCTCAACCTTCGTGGGCGTCACCCGGTGCCCGTGTCATAGAGATCGGCGATGCGGCACACTCTTTCCTTCCTGCTTCTGGTAATGGAGCTACACAAGCAATTGAGGACGCCGTGTCAATAGCGTCCTGCCTACAGATTGGAGGCAGAAACAACATTGCACAGTCGGTTCGCGCCCACATACGATTTCGCTTCATCCGAAATTCGTGTGCGCAAAAGTTGGGCTTCTCCAACGCCGAGCTTCTTCAGGACACAGACTGGAGCAAGGTTAAGATAGATCCACGGAGAGCGCAGCCGAAACTGCCTAGCTGGGTTTGGGGCCACGATCCTGAAGTTTACGCATATCAGAATTACCACAGGGCTGTCAAAAGTATGAAGATGGGTGTGCCATTTGACGAGGATGACAGTATCCCACCCAACTATCCCCCTGGTTACCGGTATGAGCCGTGGAGCATTGAGCAGATCATGGATGACGTAAGAAACGGAAAGTCGGTGGATTTGGGTTCTGGCTATTGGGATTGATTCGGTCTTCGTTTGAACAGCAGGGGTCTCGAGGTGGATATGTACATTAATTGATGTTGCAAGTATTTGAAATGAAAATGATGACTCACTAACGATTTGCAACCTGCGACTTGCGATGAGTAATCGTGTACAAGCAGATTTTTTGCAGTCCGCGGCCAACATTTGGCGGTTACAGAGAACTTTGTGCGGCTTGTCGGTTGTAGATTCCAGCAATTGATGTGTGATTGACCCGCAAACTGAGAACGAAGCGTGCCACAATCCCCTACCACCATACGGTATACGGCTCAAGTGTTGTTGCTTCCTCAAAAGTACTTGGCCATACTGAGGTAGCAACATGAAAGAGTTACATGTCGGAAACCTCAGACTCGGTGCATATAATTATCGTTCGGGCGGCAACTTTCCTTGACAAGCCCGCCAGCTCGAGCGGGTTTATCGGTTGGGCCCTGCCTGCTTTGGGCCACTGTCGCCAATTTTAACGACCTCGCCCTGTCAAAGGGTACTTTACTGTAACCAAAAATAAGTAGGATTGGGGTTTATTTTCATCGTTTCTTCTCCAATATAGATGCGAAATCACTGGATTTGCGTAATTTGAACGGCAAGCTGCTCTGTCGAGTTTGTATTACTTTCTGCGAATCCCCCCCACTGCTGAGTTTCAGAATCATTTTCATGATGCCAGGCTTCTTATACGCCTGAAATTCTCTTGGATGACTTCAATTCTGAAAACCCACAGTGTCGCCGGTAGTCTCAGCGAGGTTCCTAGGAGTCTGGTTCGACCGCAAACTGACGTGGCACGCCCATGTTGAGCGTGTTAAAACAAAAATGGCAACTCAAAAGCTAGCCCTGACAAAGCTAGTCAATATGTCGTGGGGCTGCGATCTTATACGGGCGAGGCTGTTATATACGGTGGTTATCCGTAGCGCGATCGCCTTCGGGGCGACTGCGTGGCATACTATAAGTGAGGAACCGGCAGGGCCAGCTAAGAGCCTGATGGGGATACAGAACGAGTGCCTCCGGGTAGTCTGTGGCGCCCACAAAGCGACGCCGGTTCGCCACCTGGAAGCAGAAGCAGCAATCCCGCCACTAGACCTCTATCTTAGTGCCCGGGCTGCTAAGTTTGAAGAACGGCTACGGCTTAGCGGGAAGAGAAATCTGCTTCGCAGCGCGAGCGCTAAAGCGTCACATATACTCCGGCAGGATAGGCCGGCGAAGAGGAAGCAGGCGTCGCAGCTACTCCGACCGGCAGGGTACACTATGGAGAAGGAGGCCCGGGGCTCCGAGTGGATGAGTGAGGAAAAGGAGGTCCCGGCTGCCCTCCTCGGCCACTGGAGGAAGAGATGGCTCACCGGAGCAGAGAATCACGATCGCCAGCGACGCGCCATCGCTGAGGAACCGGAGGGCCCTTCGATGCAGATACCGAAAGGGGGCAAGTATTTCGGCCTGAACCGACTGGAGGCGTCTACGCTGTGCCAGATCAGGACGGAAAAAATAGGACTAGCAGCCTTCTTCTTCAAGACAGGGGCTTTTGGCGTGTACTCGCCGCTATGCCACTGTGGCGACGCCCCTGAGACGGCAGAGCACGTAATCCTCTTTTGCGGGCTGTTGGAAGGACCGAGGGAACGATTACGGGCCGCTATCGCACCACGGCCACTATACTCTCGCAGAGACCTCGCAACGGCAACAGGAGAACCAGTAGTTAGTGGGACTATTGTAAGGTGGCTGCTAGGGACGGGTCGGACAGCTTCAAGGCCCAGATAGCATCGATCTTCTCAGGGGGGACTTTGTTGGTAGGTTGAGAACCAACGTAGTATGGTAGTGAACGCAACGCAGTCGCCAATAGGGCGAACCGACGACGCAGCGTATGTATTTAGTCCAGCCATTAGGGAACGGTTTGACATACGGGAGTACTAGTAGAGGTACCGGGGGCTTCGAGCCTACGGCGTATTTAATAATAATAATAATATCTTGAGCCTTAATATACATCAATCTGTTGATTGTTGAGGATCTGATGCTCAGCGTTTGACAAGAGACCTTTCACCGAATAGGTATCCCGGCGTTGGTAGGTCAATGCCCTCTCAATAAATGAGAAGATGCAACACTTACAGAGGTGAATGACACACTCTGAGACTAAATATTATTACCTTCTGTTTTCCTAGTATCCCGTTCTTTTAGTTGCACAAGTTCTGGGAAGGCGATCAAAATGGCCTGCAGAGCAGCTTCGGCGAAGCGATATGCATCTGGATTGGCATCTCAAATTAGAGCATCCATGGCAGCATTAAATTTCTCAGTCAAAGAGCCCTGATCTTACTCCTGTGAGACTACCGTAACCAGCAGTTCAATCCCGAATAAGAGTTGACTCTGGATTGTTCTGACATGCTCCGATCACCTAACAAGTATGAAGACTGGGGACATGGTTGAGACTACTTTCAGAATCTCACACTAAAGGAAAACCCAAGATTTAGAAGCTCAAAACTGGAATCTCTCAACGTATCATACCATACATGTTGCGGGCTACCCTGTCATCACGTCATGAAGCGGTCACAGACTGAGACGAGAGCTGGACCGTGGAGTTACAGATTCCCAAGAATGCTGACGTTAGAGAAGGTAATTCTGTTTGGGGTTCAGCTCTTCATTGGAGTCATGATTCTTCCAGGCCAAAGTACCATCTGCAGAACTTTGCCATCTGACCCAGTGTAGTCAGCTGAGTCACCAGCCAACGCCGAGATATAGCTTGATGCCCCGCAATTGCATGTCGAAAATTCAAGTTCTGAGCATTGCATGAGGCCATGCTTATTTCGGAACTCTTGTTCATATACAATAAACTACTTAAGTATACTTATGTATAACTTATACCCAGGTATAGGTGATTAATCAAGCAGCATTCCACGGGCTGGAAATCTCAACCCCAAACAAGCAAACATTACAGCGACCATGACTAGCTTCGATGGAGTCAAGAAAGAATACGACAGCCAGACTGAGGGCTACAACGACATCACGCACCTCCCTTGCAGCGTTCTCGAGACGGAGCTCCTAGGCGGCACTAGGAGACTGCACAGGCTTGAATGTGTTTGACCTCGGCGGCGGCTCCGGTTTGCGTGTCCGTCAATCTGTCGACGGGGGTGCGACATTATTCTATGTAATTGACCGTCGCTGAGGACACGGAGAAGCAGCTTGGTCGAACCGGCAAAATTCGCTGCTTCGAGGCCGACGTGACGCAGCCCATCAGCCACCTGTCAAACCTGGGCCTGAGAGAGCAGTACGACCTGGTCAGGTCTAACTTCTGCTTCGACACGCGACCGCGCGAGAGCAGCTCGGGGCCATGTGGTCTCGCGCCTGAAGCCTGGCGGTCGCTTCGTGGACACCCGGGTCAGCAATATGAAAAACAAGGCGTGCGCTGATGGCAAGTACGGCGTCACGTACAAATATTTCTAGGACATTGCTGGAGGCGTGCGATATCGGCACCGTATCCACCTCAAGGAGCCCACCGAATTCGAGACTAACTCGCTTGCCTTCACCTCTAGCGGGAGCACCGAGATGCATGAAATGTTTGGCTTGAACTATATCCAGAGGTAACCGTTCATGAGCGCCAAGACGGTGCGCGATGACTCGGAGTTCTGGAAGACTTTCTTGGATAACCCGAGTATGACTGTGGTGAAGGCGACAAAAGCGCTCACTGTTTTTGTGTGAGAGATTCTATGTGATTCTGGAGGCTTTCATGTGCCCAAAATCCTCAATGAACTTGTTCTGGTACTACATTTATTTTTTCAAAACCGTGATGTTGTCGTAAGTATTGCAGTTGTGAAGCCTACCAACATATGCTATGTGGGTTTGTAACGCAGAGTTAAGTCCCCTACCCCTATTGGATACCTTGTTTCATGCAAGCCTCGAGACAACTCAATCACTTCAACCTGGTTGCCAAGGGTTGATGTCAACCAGCCAACCCACCAATTCTCCAGATTTTGGTTGCCAAGCCATATCAATTTGGAGATTTGGTTGCCAAGTGGTTGTCAAGCTAAGGGGTCTCACTATTTTTAGTAATCTACACGTGCTTGAGGCCCCTACTAGACCTGTAGTAATTTTTACTGTCATCTCGGCGGTCCTTCGGCGCTCAAGTTACTTCCCCAATTCTATGTAGTTTCAAACAACCACTACAGCGTCAACCCCGATAGCATCGCCACCTTGCCAGTCCTCTGCTGAGGCGCCAAGCTGGTCTCATCGTGAAGTTGGTACAGGGCCGGCTTAGCAAGTCTAGGGTACACTCTGTTAGGGGCTATGGCGGCTGAGACTGCCATACAAACATACTAGCTAAGTAAAACGGAGGAGCCCGTAGAGGAGGCCGCTGCGGAAGCCGCCGGCATTCTAGTAGGGTATGGCGCTAGCGAGGTTAATGACGACCTCATTTCCGGCTAGTTATGGCAACCACCTTGGCAACCAGTCAACCTAACGGGCATCTTGCTTACTAATTTGATCATCAACACAACGGAAGGGGACGCTGAGGTTGATTGGGTTGACTCGAGGCTTGGTTTCACGGATATGCCTTGATGCTCGTATTCAGGCTTGAGTCGTATATGTACATAGTACCCCATTGAGTTTGTCGTCCTATTGGATGAGAAATGCCCTACTATGTCAATAAACTACAATTATTATTATTAAATACGCCGTAGGCTCGAAGCCCCCGGTACCTCTGCTAGTACTCCCGTATGTCAAACCGTGCCCTAATGGCTGGACTAAATACATACGCTGCGTCGTCGGTTCGCCCTATTGGCGACTGCGTTGCGTCCACTACCATACTACGTTGGTTCTCAACCTACCAACAAAGTCCCCCCTGAGAAGATCGATGCTATCTGGGCCTTGAAGCTGTCCGACCCGTCCCTAGCAGCCACCTTACAATAGTCCCACTAACTACTGGTTCTCCTGTTGCCGTTGCGAGGTCTCTGCGAGAGTATAGTGGCCGTGGTGCGATAGCGGCCCGTAATCGTTCCCTCGGTCCTTCCAACAGCCCGCAAAAGAGGATTACGTGCTCTGCCGTCTCAGGGGCGTCGCCACAGTGACATAGCGGCGAGTACACGCCAAAAGCCCCTGTCTTGAAGAAGAAGGCTGCTAGTCCTATTTTTTCCGTCCTGATCTGGCACAGCGTAGACGCCTCCAGTCGGTTCAGGCCGAAATACTTGCCCCCTTTCGGTATCTGCATCGAAGGGCCCTCCGGTTCCTCAGCGATGGCGCGTCGCTGGCGATCGTGATGCTCTGCTCCGGTGAGCCATCTCTTCCTCCAGTGGCCGAAGAGGGCAGCCGGGACCTCCTTTTCCTCACTCATCCACTCGGAGCCCCGGGCCTCCTTCTCCATAGTGTACCCTGCCGGTCGGAGTAGCTGCGACGCCTGCTTCCTCTTCGCCGGCCTATCCTGCCGGAGTATATGTGACGCTTTAGCGCTCGCGCTGCGAAGCAGATTTCTCTTCCCGCTAAGCCGTAGCCGTTCTTCAAACTTAGCAGCCCGGGCACTAAGATAGAGGTCTAGTGGCGGGATTGCTGCTTCTGCTTCCAGGTGGCGAACCGGCGTCGCTTTGTGGGCGCCACAGACTACCCGGAGGCACTCGTTCTGTATCCCCATCAGGCTCTTAGCTGGCCCTGCCGGTTCCTCACTTATAGTATGCCACGCAGTCGCCCCGAAGGCGATCGCGCTACGGATAACCACCGTATATAACAGCCTCGCCCGTATAAGATCGCAGCCCCACGACATATTGACTAGCTTTGTCAGGGCTAGCTTTTGAGTTGCCATTTTTGTTTTAACACGCTCAACATGGGCGTGCCACGTCAGTTTGCGGTCGAACCAGACTCCTAGGAACCTCGCTGAGACTACCGGCGACACTGTGGCGTCCCCAAGGCGAATACTTTGCGGCAAGGGCTCTCGGGCCCTAGTAAAGTGCATTAGCTCACTCTTGTCAGGAGCGAACTCCATCCCGTGCCTCACTGCCCACCGCTGACACGTAGCCCATGCGCTCTCCAACCGGCGGCAGGTCGTGTCTGGATCGGTGCCGACGCTTAGCAGGTTCGTGTCGTCCGCGAACCCGACTACTAAAAGTAGTGGATGCTGCTCCGCTAGCTCCTCGTACAGCGTTGAAATGTATAATATAAACAGTATCGGGGATAGCGGTGACCCCTGGGGGACGCCAGCTCGTAGGGGGATTGGCTCTGACTCCTTGCAAACTACAATTAAACTCACCCTTAAAGAAGAAGAAACGGGAAAAAAAGACACTTCTACTCAAACATAAAAGCTGTTAGGTTGATTATGAACATGAGGGATATGTCACTATAAAAGGTATATGCAACTCTCGTGTGCTTCAACCGTACCCAACTATAACCTGGCTTGAATGAGGTTGTTGCCGCCAGTTTTGCGAACCTCCTTGATCGTTACCGTAAATGAGCCTCCCATAATCCCGTCCGCAACCGCCAAGAACTCCCTCACATAGTGCTCGACGATGGGCTTTTCACCATCCATCACCCACACGGGCAACTTAATGACGCGCTGATAGAAGGTCTCGACCATTGAAAACTCAGCCGTCCTTCGTGCCCGCACCACAGCTTGCTCCCGAATCTCGGGATCGCCTCATGCGGATGCAGGAACAGCGGTATCTCATTCAACAGACCTGTTGGCCGCGGGATGTCCACTTCCTTGAGCCCGCGATTCTCGACAACCCACCGGACAAGCTCATCACGCGTCAGGTCGTCGTCTGGCGCTTTGGAGAGGTCGAACTGCATCACTAATACGTACCAGGCGTGCTCGTCCCACCGCTGTTTTTGCACGGAGGGCATCTTAAGGAATGAGATGGTGCCAACCTTGCTCTCCATGTAGGACGTGCAAGCTTGTCTGCGGTAGTTGTGGACCGAGAGAACATCAAGTTGTTGGTTTGAGGGGTTGATAGGCAAGGGATGGGCTCACATGTTAAGGCCCAGTCCGGTTATTCCCAAGAAGGGAACAAGATACCTGCAAGTACTCGCACCAAACCTTGCACAGAGAGTGATCCTCCGGAACTTCCTGTTTCGCCCGCTTGTTGAAGTGCCCGTGGAGGATAGAGCGACAGTAATAATCGTTCGAGTTCATGGCCATGACCCCTGCCTGTCCACCGAAAATGTTCTTAGCCTGCAGCGACCAGGCCTCTATTTCACGACAGGTTCCTATCATCTTGCCGTCGACAACAGCGCTGTGAGCGTTGGAACAGTCCTCGAGCACTTTGATGCTGACCTTTTGAGAATTACCCACAATCCTCGCATTTGGCAAGGAAATTCACAAATGTGTGACGATGACCACCTTCGTCCTAGACATGGCCCGTCTCGAAATCTTAGCCGGGTCGAAGTTGCCATCTTCCAGAGCATCGCATAATATTGGTACAGCCCCGTATTGTAGCATGGGAGAAGTCGTGGCGAAGAAGGTGTATACAGGACAGAGAACTTCGTCACCTCGTCGCAAATCGAGAGCTTGAAAATGTGGAGGGTTTCGATAGTGCCCGAGCTGCATCCGAGCGCATGCTTTATATCGTGCATCATTCGCCATCTGTCCTCAAACACCTTGTTAATATTGGACCGGTTGTAGATTGACAGTGAGGAATGCATCTGACGCGCAAATTTATCCTCGGATTCCGACGTAAGCATTAGCCACACATGCTTCTCTCCATCAAAAAAAGCCTCGAGGTGCGGCTTGCCTGGTCTTTGATGAAAACCGAGACTCGAGGTGGCACGACGTTTAAACTGCTTGGATGAGGCATCATGGAAATGGAACATCTCGTTGCCGGCGCTATCTCAAAGTATGACCTCTTTGGTTCCAAGGCAAAGATGCCGTTAGATCCCGTGATAAAGAGAGACTCTTCCGCAAGGTGAGCTACGCCCGAAAGATGTACGTGGCCGATGTTGTGCTTCGCAGCTTCTCCGAAGTTCATCATGATGTTGGAAACGTCGTCCTCGTTATAGGCTTGCTCAACTCTTGGCCCCTTGGCATTTTGGGCAGTGACTGAGTGGGCCTGCCGAAGAGGGCCACCATAATTTCCAGCATGTGGCAGTCTAGGTCTTCCTACGGACAATGAATAAGTGTCAGTTATATGGTGACGAGTGGTGGATGGAAAGGGGGGAGGGGCGCAGGGGAGGCAAATTTGAACGTACTGTGACGCCATCACTTTTCGCTATCCGTGTCGCATCCAGGGCCGTGATGCTCGTATTCAAGGCCCCTCTGAACGATACAACTTGACCAATCTGAAGCATAGGATCCCTTGTGGCCAGATACCGAGGCTCGAAGCATTTTTGCGAAGTAACGGTATTCTCGCGACTCCGCGATCGGTTTCTCCTTCAAGACGAGCACGGCAGCTCGAGCGAGCGCCTCGCAGTATTTCAGGTAGATTCGATGTGGGACGCAAACGACGGCAAGGTTCAAGTGGTTGTTTTTTTTTGCTCAACAAGTCATTGAGAGCGGTGTATACGCGGGTATTGTGAGCGGCGATAAACCAATATCTGTCCCGGCTCTGAACTACATCACTGTTCCTATGTAAGCGTTGTCATGATGGATCGTGAACCATTCCGAGGCGGCTTGTAAGCTTGTCTTTGATGTCATCCACGGGAAATATACTCCATGGATTGCTGGCATTGTATGTAGCGTGGTATTCGTCATCGGACACATTCTATTGCATCTCTAATCCAAACAGGGGATCGTTCATCACCAACTTAACATTCCACATCTTAGGCTGGTCAGGTGACCAAGGAGTATCAATGGTCCCTTGTTATCTAAGAGAGATCCACTAGTATGGTTTTAGAGATTTTTTTCCTGTATCATTTCCTGTGTAGTTGCAAGATAAGGGTCACTAACTGTCCGAACTCATGCTTGCTACTAATATGTCCACTTTGACAGTTTAGACATTTAGTTTTCCCATGGTGATGGACGGTGGAACAACGGCAAAATTCTGGTACCACTGGCGCTGCTTCTTCGAAGTTGCAGCAATGATGTTCCTGGCCAATCGTACCTCCTAACTTGTATTATCGTGATTTCATGACCACCTTCGATGCTGAAGCGTCTTGATTCATGCCGACTAAACCTTTTGTGTCACATTGCTTACTATTAATAAGACTGTTGACTCGTACATGATTCCACTGGGATGCCAGCTGGTAACTTCAACAGGTTCGGTAGAAAAAGGATATGCCAATGACTACGCTATGAAACGAAGCACAAAATTAAGAGTGGCACATGCCAAGCAGGTATAACACTTGATATTATCATGGTTGGAATTCCCACGCACTAAGACTAAATATATTACAGGGTCACTTCCTGTAATGGATAGTAGGTTACAGAGTGGTTATCTCAGCTAGTTTGCGAGAAGCCGCTTTAGTATGTTCTGTCAATCCAACCACGTGACACTAGGCAACCAGCCAGCATTGTCACACTTCCACGCCATTCCATGTGACAAAGGCTCTTCCGACAATAATGCCCCATAGAATGCTACGAGGGCAACAGCAAGGAAGGCAGCGAAAAGCACTGAGATCAACGGGCCAAGCTTATCCAGGATCTTGGCGCTAACAGGGATACTGCAAAAGCAGCTAAATTACAAATTGAGTATTAATAAGTAAAAGGTCTTTCTCACTTAGTCCTAGACCTAGAAGTATAAATAAGGGTGGCTACTTACAAGAAGCTAACGAGCCTGTAGCTCGTTCCCAAATATCGACCGAAGTCATGGAGCTCACAGAGCCTACTCTTTCGTTAGCGTGCGCGGGATCCATCACTCAATAAATGATAACAATAAGTTACTGGCCAATATACACAGGGGCCATTCTCATGATCCTGCTTCTGCTACTGCCGAACATGACTGCGCAAATATGTAGATTAAAGAGGGCCTGTACGTGATAACGGGCAGCCAGGGACCGTAGATAACGACCAAAGACATAATAAGAACCAAAATAACGGTAGTCAAGCTGCCATAGCGATCCGAGACTGCGCTAGCAATAATCCGGCTAACAAAAGGTCCTCTTTCGTAGCGGAAAAGAATATCACAAGTAAAACCTTCATGCCAGTCAAGTATAGAGACGTACGCATTATAGACAGCTACGGGTGCGAAGGCCATGGCATCCTTAAAGCTCCTGGCTTCAGCCCATACTAGCAGCATATCAATGACTGCCACGACGACGGATTCAACGCCGATTTTTGTCGGCGTGGAATTTGTGATGATACCCGTTGGCTGAGATGCAATGTCTCCACGCGTGTAGGTCCGATCCTCGATTTCCACGTCGAAAATTCACAAGCTGACTATGAAGTAGCGAGTCCTTAAAGTTGAACAACGTGGTGCATGCTTATATGCCCGGCTCTGAAGTGCAATGACGTGGTATAGATAAGTACTCATGCCGAATCCCTACTGCCTTAACCACTGTAAAGGCAAGGGCGTACGGCCGAATTGATAACCGTGAAGCCAGCTAAATCGTCTAACCACGTTCAATTTGAAGCTTCAATCTCGACCAAGGTGCCTCAGGTGGGACTCCTTCAGAACACATCCAACAAAGCCTGCTTCATTAATCGCGGCGTTATAACTGTTGCCACCCTGGAGTAAAAAACATACCAATCGCAACAGAGCGACTTAAGCACTGGGCTCCGAGGTGTTCATTGAGATTTGAACAGCTGAAGCAAAATTCAGGCGAGTTACCCAAACCTGCAATTACTGTCAGATAGGGCACCTGGTTCCTAGGTTCAGAAATAATATGGCACTAGAGAAGACTAGTGTCACTTAAAGTTCAGACGGCGAAATGAACCCCTCTTCCCGAAAGTAACTCCAAAGTTACGGTCCACTTAGGGGTCAGACACCTGAACAATGTACCTCCGACATTTTCCAAAGAATCTATAAAAGGCAGAGCAACGGGAGTTCGCGAGAACAGAACACAGAGAACAATACACCTCATTCATATACAATCTTACGCACTGCTGACTACTCGATTGGAAACACGTGATATTCGACAATTACTGCTATAGAAGAGGTATCAAGCTCTGAGTGCCGCCCGCGGATGCGACTAGAATAGAATCCATTCTCCTTGCTTGTTGGCATTTATTATGGACATAAATACACCCGGATGGGCAACTAACAAGCGCAGCACCCAGCTTCGAGTTGCTTGCTTGTTGTAAAACTATGTGCGCTCCTCCAAGGCCTACTATAATATTGGCTACCTTCGTGGGCTTCATCACCCTACGTAGATGCCTGGCCGGTACCGCAGCTTTCGGAATTAGTCTACACAATTAAATTAACCACTGGTCCTTATTGTGTGCTCGAACGTACCATCTCCAACTTCAGGGCTCAATAAAGGCCCTTCAATTCTAAACTAGGACGTAAAGGGGTATTGCCATAATCTCGTTATAAGATAAACTAGTTACAATGCACACTATTTCTAACATGGATAAATTCAGTAAACCTAATTTGAGGACGGCAATCATTCGATTGCATGTTGTTTGAATTATATCATTATAATTACGCATTAGGTTGGGTCGTGTCTATGTACTGCGTGCATCATTTTCCATATCTACAATCCCCTCATTTCATTCTGCTACTTAGTACCAGTCCTTATGCCACCGCCGTCATCTCGTAAGGCTTGACAGGAAGCGTGACTGGGGTGCATTTGACCTCGCGATCTGAGTAAATCTGACCCATAGTCCAGTTGGGGTTCTGCCACGTTGTATCTGTGCATCCCAGAGTCAGGTTGATAGCACCATATCCATGGAAGGTGGCACTAAAATATCGTCAGTAATCATATGCATGAGACCTCTTTGGAGACGTGATGAACTTACGGGTACTTGGGGTCGAGATCACTGCAGACCCAGGTCTGATTGACGTTCAACTTACCGCTCGGCCGGCTGAAGTCAAACGTCGTTTTGGCCGTGGAGCCGTCGGGGACGGTGCAGGTATACGGCATGGTGCCGTAGAAGAAGTCGGAAAGCTGGTTGCTGGAGGCGCTGCATGAGGCCTTGTACGTGAGGGCTGGGTTGCTCAAGTTGAAATTGACGTATCCCCAGGAGTTCTGATGGGCAGGGGTTGTGAAGGTGTACGAGGCATGGTAGTCGAAGTCCTCGACCGTCCAAGCGAAGTCCTTTTGCGAGGCGGCTTGGCAGCCAGGGTTGCTATCACGCATCTCCAACCCGAAAGGGGCTGCTGCCGCCAGAGGGAGGATGGCGGCGAGGGAAGTGATAAAACCGTACATTGTGATAGTTAAGGTAGCAGTGGCAGTGTGGCAGGGATTAGTTGATGGTACTTTCGCGCAGTGGTAGGAGGCAAATGGTGATGCTGTTGCTTGTCTTGTGACTTTTGAGTTTTTGTTGTGATGCCATTGTCAAAAGAGGGGCCTAAATGTCTTATATATGGAAAACCAAAATGCCATGCGGCAGCTGTTGCGGCTGCCGCCGAACCACTGACATGACGTCTGGTGGCTGTGCAGGTAGTATTGAAGTTCTAGAAGCCAAAATGCGTAAATGCATGTGTTCCCATGACGATCTCGTATGTAACGTCGGCAGTCAATCTTGGTATGCCAAGACCTCGTATTTTCCCCAAAACCGTATAGGGCGGTGAATGGCGCTTACTAAATGGCCAATACATGTTGTGTCTAGTGTCGGACCTACTGGCCACAGCCCCGACGTCATCGGGAGCCCGCGTCGCTGGGATTGGTCCCTGGCATTTATTTTTACCTTGCCAAACGATAATTTTGCATCTTCCCGTCTTGCTATTTTTACCCTCCCTCGAGACCATGGGTTGCCTGGTGTTGTATTAGTGCATTACAGGGTAAGCCGAGATATCGCAAGATACGAAAGTGCAAGCAATAGCGTGAGCCTCCAGCTATTATTCGTTTGAACAGTTCTGGTTCAATGTCACGTCGTATGCTAGGGTGGGAGTCGGGCCGTAGTAAAAGACCCTCAGAACTATCTGGTGGAATGTTGATTGTTGCCTCCATGTCTCATGTTCCAGACTATCAGGTGATAGCTGTATGATCACATGCTTCGTGGCGCAGATGAAGACTAACATATGCTGTAGACCGCAGTTGAATTCTCATGCGACTATAACACAACTTTGGTGTGACAGAGATTGGCGGTGAAACTCACGGTCAAAGGCAGCGGTGAATATCCGATGCGATTCCAACTATGAATTGAGCTGATAGGGTTGTGGTTGAAGCTCCTGCGTTGTTGTTTTCAAACACCGAGGCTGGGGCTCTATTATAAGTTCCAATGTTGGAATCTCATCGATGTACTCATACAGGAACCCACGGGATTTATGTTTTCAACCTAGGATACTGGTATTACATACTGAACCACAGTATGAATATTTCAGAGAACTGTCAGGGCTCACGCATTCGTAGTGTGGAAGAGTGTTCGCTGGGCGTTCTACATCTTTGGTCAGTTTAATCAGTAACAAATTGCCGTGTTTCAAAATACTCCTATAGCAAGTGCCACTTTGGAGTTCGGGCAGATTTTTTCGGCAAACTCTAACCGCATTGACCACCTTTTTGCATGCACCCCCATTTTGCAGGGTCTAACTGAATCAACCTAAATACTTCGTCCATATTATTTATATACAGAACATACTTAATTTAAGTGTCCGAAGACTTAGATATATTCTTTCGAGCCCTCTTTTTAGGAGGGACCCTTCCTTCGAGAAAAGTATCAATTTCTAATTGCTTATCCGGTAAAATAGGCCGTATTCGCTTATTTCGCTTGTCCTGGGCTGTTCGGATCGCTGATAAGTTAACGAATACTTTATTCTGGTCTGGCTCGACGGGCTGGCGTATATCTGGAGCGTATTTATCGAGTTCTTTATATAGTTGCTCGTTTTCGATACGTAATTTGGCATTCTCGGCGGCCTGGAGTGTAAGAGCCTTGCCCGCCTTGCCTACTAGGGTACGAATCTTACGAGATACCCCACCCTCGGCTTTCTCTATCGACTGTAGTTGGCTAGATAGTTACTGCGCTTCCTGAGGAGTAAAAGCAACTAAATGTGGTGATATTGAAACGGGGTCAGGCGGTCAGTAGGATATACCTACCACCTAACACACTGAACAGTGTGACGGTTGTCACGTGATTGACCTACACTGGTTTGAACAGATTGATAAGTGGTTGCAGATATCAAAGTCAGGGATTTTGGTATTGGTCTCTTTTGGTGAAGACATCTGGTACGGTGGCGTAGTGGCAAGGATTGCAACCCCTAGCACGGCGTGACAAACAGACGGCTTCAGTACCAACAGATCCCATCTGTTAGTCTGAGCAGACGAAGATCGTGGTACTGGTTATAAGAGTGAAGCTCTTATACGTCTGGTGCGCGAGTTGGTCGGATGTGCCTCTGATACTCGTATCGTGATAATAGGATCTCGAACGTAAAGATAAGCTGAATAACTAAAATAACTAAATAACTGACTGAAAAGCGAAGGTGAAGATATAGATAAGAAGGAGATGATGATATGAAGATGAGGATGATGATGCGTGAAGATGAGGGACTCGTGCCCTACTCTGCCTCTGTGCCTCTTAAAGAAGAGAAAATAAACTTTCTCCTAGCCCCGTAACCTATTTCCCTGATGTCCGGCCTTACCCCGTTACAATATATGAGGCGGAGGATCACAAGATACGTCGACTAGTCCTTCGGAGCCTAGGGGCCATATATGTCAGAGACACTGAACGCAGGACACCGATGGGGTGCCGGTGGGGTGTTTCGGACAAAAGCCTCCCGAGTCATGATTACAATCTATGTGAAGTTTCGGGATGCCGAGAGTCAGGATTCCCGGCATCGCCAAACCTGCGGCTACGCCGGGTCCAAGCGGCGGCCTAGTTATCTATATAAGGACCATCTCGAAGTAGGATAGGGAAGGAGTAGAGATCAATGCATCATCGTGGGCACCCCTACCTGAGACCGCCAGTGACCACCCGGTGCTACGTAGGAGGGACGCCCATTACTCCCCATCACTCTGTACTATTGCCTTCGGCCTAGCCGTACCCTGACAATATACCAGTCTTTCGCCAGCCAGATTTAATATTTTCCGTAGTAAAGGCTCTCTCCGAGGCACGTAGATATGCTTCTAGCATACGTTGCTTGTAAATTGGGGCTGTAGCCTTGTAGGAAGCGTACGCCCTGAGCTTTTGGAGGTAGTAGGTTTTCAAAGGTGAGAACGGCCCGACATCGCACGGCTGGAGATCGTCACTGCAGTGTGAGGGTAAATACAGCACGGCGACTCTATTCGAGTAGGCTTTCCACATAAATTCGGCATGAATATGTGTCTGGTGGCCGTCGAGAATAAGGAGTCGCCATTCGGTACCCCTAGGCTTCGTCTCGGGGAGAAGAACCTGATCTAACCACCTATTTGCGATAACTTTATTACTCCAGCCCTTACTCGTCGCGGTGTATTCCCACTCAGGGATATTTTGGTCTCGGAACCACTGTGCTTGGACTCTCTTGCCGGAAAATACGCAGACAGGTGTACCCCGTTGGGTATGTGAAATGTACTCTAACCAGGAGCACCACGACGAAGCGTCCGACTTTGATACGCGTACCCGGCGTGAATTAGACGTCCCAATAACCGTAACATGCCCAGATTCCCCCTCTTGGACACCTGTCTCATCCATATTATACTCGTTGTCGGGTTTGATACGATACTTCGTACGTAAGCGTTCGAGGAGGGTGTAGAAGTCTCGGATCTTGTTCGAATCGGACGCTCTAACTCGGCTAGCATCTACGACGCGCCCAATTTTGGTACGTATCTGTGGATGGCGGCTAACGAAGTGATCCACCCAGTGTTGGCCGAGTGTATTGTTATCCCCTTGAGCAAGGAGGATTTCGGCAGCGAAGTCGGCCACATAACGCTTGCTAGGAGCCCGTCCACACACTTCTTCGTGTAGGATCCAGTTCACGATAACCTCCTCTTGCTCTGGAGTCAACTTTTGTTGCCTGGAGGCCGCGTCGCGATGCGAATTACCGTGACGAATACGGTAGGACAGTGTAGTCCCCTTGATACCGTACCGATGAGCTGCTACGGCCTGGGAAGAGCCCTGACGGACAAGCTCTTTAGCGCGTTCGATTCGCTGCTCAAAATCGTCCAGACTATTCTCCACTGTATTAGCCATTTTGTACGTAGATAGGGAGCAATTGCGAGGTAAATTGAGAGACGTCGTGTTGTTGAGGCGTAGAAATTCCCTGCAAAATGGGGGTGCATGCAAAAAGGTGTTCAATGCGGTTAGGTCGGTCTACTTAGTAATGACTTGAAATTACAAAGTTCATAGAGAAGTTTGAGGTAACGTAGTCCACGGTCCAATTGCACACTTCGGCAGATTTTCGTACGCTACCACTTTGACCTGCGGTTTTTCACCACATAACTATGGTTGGTTCTTGGAATGAAAGTAATATGATTCTAGCATTACATCGCTTCAATCTGATCCAAAATTAAGTGTACGTCGCGCTGGTCAGATCTATAACGTACCTTTTAGAACCCTTGCGTATCGACGCGACGATAAAACCGCTCGAGCGATTACGCGATCACCAACGCAAAAGTTGACTCCTTCCGAAGAAGAGGCAATCGTACGACATATAACAGACCTAGATTCGCGAGCATTTCCTCCCCGATTGAGTGGTGTTGAAGATATGGCCAACCGATTACTTCGAAGTCGTGACGCGGGACGCGTCTGTGATGGGCCAAATCTCGTCCGAAATGGTCGTGACGACTTATGATCGGCGCGGAAGGCCTAGAGCAGCCCAGCAAGGAAATCGGGAATGGGTTACAGTTATTCAAGGCGTTGGGTCGTCCGGTTATGCCCTCCCTCCGTACATCATTTTCGCCGGCAAAACCCACCTCTCGTCATGGTACGAAAACAGCCCATTACCGCCTGATTGGGTTATCGCAGTTACTAAAAATGGCTGGACTACGAACGAGAGAGGCGAAGATTGGATTAAACACTTCGATCATCACACCAAGTCTCGTACGAAAGGCACTCATCGCCTATTGATCCTCGACGGTCACGAAAGCCATCACTCGACCGATTTCGAGGTATATTGCAAAGCTAACAATATCGTCACGCTTTGTATGCCTCCTCATTCGTCGCATAAGCTCCAGCCTCTTGACGTTGGTTGTTTTCGCGGGTTAAAAAGAGCGTACGGAAAAGAATCGAAGATCTCATGCGAGCACATATAAGTCATATCTCGAAAGAAGACTTTTTACCGGCGTTTTTAAACGCGTACAACGCAACTTTCACGGTTTCAAATATCCAAGGAGGTTTCCGAGGGGTAGGAATAGTTCCGTACGATGCAGATTATGTCATATCACAGCTCGGTGTGAAATTACATACGCCAACACCTCCGGGTAGCTCGGCTGGTCTCCCCGTCCCTTGGGAATCAAAGACTCCGAACAACCCAACCGAAGCCCAATCACAAAGCGATTATGTGAAAAATAGGATTGTACGACATCAAAATAGCTCACCAACGTCAATTTTTGCTGGAATAGATCAGATTGCGCGAGGTACAACGAAGGTTATGCATCGGCTTGCCCTTTTAGAAGGCGAGGTCGAATCACTTCGAAAGGCAAATGAGACCTTAAGTCGACGTCGCCGTGCGAAGAAAAAAACAGCTACAGAGTGGAGGGTCACTTCGTATACAAGCTGGACAGGACCTACAGTCTCAACGAGAGGTTGATGGGCAGTTACATGACGAATTTCGTCAAATTGGTGGTCGTACGAGGCGGCGAATTGCGCGTGTACGGCGCTGTAGAATCTGCGACGAGCCCGGAAATAATGCGCGCACTTGTGGAAATTATGTAGAGACGTCTGAAGATAACGATTCTGAGTAGTTTCAATTGATGATAGGCGTTGTGGTTGAATTAACTTATACATTGTCGTATAAGGTCTGCCAAAGTGTGCAATTGGACCGTGGACTACGTTATGCGAATTCCCAGCAACTACAAGTACATATAGCCGTATTCGGAGATGTGGGTAAGAAAATGAATAGAAATCTCTCTGGGATTCAAATCTGTATAGAAGTTTTTTTATGCTTCTGCAGCATTTGGTTCATATGGAGGCTAATACTCCAGTATAATATCCTGCTGATTTATCGAATCTGTTCAAGTCGAAACTGCTAGATTACTATTCGCCTGAATTATTTACTACTAAGATGATCGAAGTAATTCGAAGATATTTGGTATTACTTATTACTTACTTATTACTGTCGGATAATACTAAGTATTAGATAAGATATGGAGGCCCGCGCACCTGCTCAGCGTTATCATATTGTACGATAGACTTTAGCCCACTGAGGCCTCGCAAGCACGATCAACCTCGCAACACCAGTAGCGATTCATACCATCGAGAAACCAGATTATTGACAAAGGGTTTAATCCTTCAATTACTAGTAAAGCAATGAGAAAGTGATGTTGTAATTATATGTGGCTGTGGGCAATACAGGCAAGAAAGCTCTATTGGTGATGATGATGGGACTGACTCCGAGGAATTTGCAGCTACGGAATGGCTATCTACGGGCAGTTGGCCCAAGCGCTAGAGCTAACACCTAACCTAGCTAGTATGTCTGGCGCATGCAACACTCTTATTATCCCCTATCACTTGCCGGACCGCTAAAAGTGTGCAAATCTTCACATAATTGATATATGTCACTTCATGATAAGCTGAGCATGAATAAGTGATATTACAGACCTATCAGGGGCTGTAGTGGATTCGTGTGTGACGTCTATAGACTGTTGCTCTCCCAAACCACTTATAACGTGTTTTCTCCCTTGGGGTGAAGGTTTTAAGTTCCTCAAATCAGTACTCACTAGAGACAATAAATCCAACCACCTAGGATATCCAAGTGAATTTAAATGCAGCCTGTTGTTCGTATTCCTCTTCTATTGAACTCTAGTCCCGTGTTTTCGTGGCTGCACTGAGACAAGTTGACATCACGATTGTGCTATGCCGTAATGGCATGCCCTGATGACATCAGTTGATTAACCTGTGTCCATCCACTACGTAATCAGGAGGCAGACGCTTCCGTCTCCTATTGCTTGATTTGAGGAGTGCCTCAAATTTCGTCAGGGAGTCGTGTTTTCACCAAAGCTAGTGTGATAATACATTTCGCGATTGCAGCTTGTATTATTACACCATACTTAAGCAATTTCTCATGATACTGATCCTAGCTTACGTTGCCCTCCTAAAAATTGCGAATTCATCTTGGGAACTAATTATGCAGGGAAAGTTACCCTGAAGTGTGCGTCGTTACATTCTCGCCCGGGTAATCAGGATCGCGACCGTACTTGTGTCACTGTCCCGAGACTGTGTTTTGCCAGACACCGTTTCGCGGATGTAATGATTCACAGCAGGTATTACGTATGTTGCGCATGGTTCCCAGGGGCAAGTTTAATTTAGCTAAGTCAGCACCATATCACAGGATTCCTTAAGATACAACAAAATCTACATGAAGCCGCGCCTACATCTCGAAGCAGTAATTTCTACAAAAGGGGCAGCATCGAATCATCTCACACATTGGTTCAAATTAACACAGGCAAACCATTTCATGGGTTCAGGAGTGGCTTATTCCCTCAAATAGAGTTTTCTGTATTAATATGTGCATGTTTTGTCTGATTACTGGGGCAAACCCATAAGCTGATGCACATCAATAATTCGTGATCGTGATGAAAGATTAAAAGAAGTGAACTGCAGCTGCAGTATATCTCTCTGAAACCTGCCAGCCATTCCGCCCCTGGCTCATTGAGACGAGCAGATTGCATTTTTGGACGTTTTCGGGACCTCTAATCCTCAGTAGGTGGAATACCGAAGCCACCCGTGGGACCTGGCCATTTGCCGGTGAGAGTCAATGTGGGCTTTCCTTTGCCCTTTCCAGTGCTTCACGTATGGAAATCAGCAATCAGTGTTGACGGGCGAATGACAAAAAGCCAACGAGACCTGAAAGTCGGGTGGGGCTTTGCGAAGGCGTACACCGGGGAAACATCTACTTCTGAGACGGAAGAGGACAAAATTGGAATCATTGTGGAATTTCTTACGGAATAGCGAATTGTGGAGAAGTAGACTTCCCCGTCGGCCACCCCTTGCCAGTCGGCGTCGATTTGCCCTTGCCGGTCGGTGAAGACTTTCCCTTGCCGGTCGGCGTGGACTTTCCTTTTCCAGTCGGAATGGTAAAAGGAGGCAATGAAGGTGTCGTAGGGGTGCCTTTCCCCGTCGGCTTGGAGCCTGGTACGCATTAGCTGTATAACAGGCGAAATTCACGGAGAACCAAGATCTTTACTCACCTTCAGAGTGAGTTGGCTTGATCAAATCACCTGGAGACTCCACGGCAGGTGCGGCAAGCTCTTCGCGCAGCAGAACTGCTGTTAGGAGCACGTGGATCAGACGAGTCATTATTGATGTTTTGCTAAGATTCAGAGAGTAATTGGGTATGCTAGCATGAACGAGTCGATGATAATAGTAGCTTAGGGTTTGGCCATGTCCTCAGTCTTTATAGAACCGTGTGATGAACCTTGGGTGTCTTGAATGATGTTACATGGCCACAGCAGAGCAGGTGCAAAGTGTAATTTCCCCATGAACCACTCTCTATACATAATATCCGCTTGCGTTACGACATCCGTCTCCGTGGATGAAACTGTGTGATTCGTACTCGTCCCGAAAGTTCCTCTTATGTAAAATGCAGTGCGGAGCTAGAAGCGTGTTTTGATGACTTTATCACATAAAATGGACCACAGCAACTGTTGTTTCTAACCGCTAGCCACATTGGTTTTCGGTATCTCGTACCCATAATACACAGGGATAGGGGGTAATAGGTATGCTTTGGTGGTACCATGGCCCTTACAGCTATGACACCTCGGTCAGGCGTTAATCTGAGAGGTAACGTCATCCATTGCTTTTCTGAACAATATGACTTGGACAGAAATGAGCTGGGAAGCTTCCAGTATTTTTCCCAATATAACCAGCCCAAAGATGAGCTTCGACCTTCCTAGATGTGGGAACTACGGTATGAGGGGGGGAAATTCGGGAGTAACGAATTGTTCGCAGTCTATCCCAATACTACAGGGCTGTCGTTAAATCCTGTTCCTGGGTAAATATTCCGGGTCTACTACCGTTGCAATTCAGTTTCTTGACTCAGATATCCACGCTGGATACCACGGAAAGTTCCTGCATGCGGAAAAATGACAAAACTATCAAATACCATCCCCCACCACCCCACCGGTAACCAAATTAGCAGCACCTACACTATAATTACTTCAACTTCAATTATATGGATCTTAATAGAAATTGAAGCTATTTCCAAGCCGATTGCACGAATAAATAGCGAATTGAATAGAGTTTTCAATTTAGGATTTTTATAAAGGTTACACGATACTCCACATCGGTACTACGGAGCTCCGGCAGCCGTAAAATTCTGATTCTACTACTTTTGAGGCCACGATGCCCCTCTGACTATTATTCTATAAGTACTACGCTTCAGTACACCAAAATGCCGCGCCGTAGCTGGACAGAGGACCAGATAGCTGAGGCTATTCTAGATGTTACCGATAATGGCCTGTCGCAGTACAAATCCGCCCAGAAGCATAGAGTGCCGCAGCAGACCCTTTCCGACAGAATCAAAGGCAAAGGGTGGCCAGACAACCCTATACCGACCAGAAAGCGGGTTTCTATAGCCCAAGAAAGCCGTATAGTCGACTGGATCATCAGACAAGAGTCCTTGGGATATGCCCCTACGCACAATCACGTACGCGCTTGCGTTTCTACACTTCTGGCTCAACAGGGGGATACCAACGAATTAGGGAAGAATTGGCTGAACCGATTTGTCTCTAGACATCCAGAAATTCGTACCAAGATGGGTAGAAAGCAGGAGACAGCTCGATTCAACTCGTTTACACCAAAAGCCGTACATTGGTACTTTTATATCCGTGAGAGAGAATACGGCTGGATTAAGCCAGAAAATACAGTTAATGTCGATAAGGGAGGCATAATGGCTGGCTTTTGTAACTATCTATTAGTCTCTTAGGCAATTATCTATGCTAATTACTATACTATAGGCCTTGACGGGCTCGTATTGGGGAGTTCTGACGCCCAACAGAAGGCTATAATTAAGAGCTCACAGGGCCGTAGTTGGACTACCTTTATTGAAGCCACTACAGCCGATGGCCGCCTTCTAGAGCCAGGTATAGTGTTTAAGGGCAAAGAGCTCCAAAAACAGTGGTTCATTGACCAATTCCGAGAGATCTGTCCCCACTGACGCTATATAACGTCACCAAATGGCTGGACAGACAACCATATAGGCCATCAGTGGCTTATTGACGTATACTTGCCTCAGACGCAGCCAGCAGACCCCTCTGATGCTAGGCTAATTATACTAGATGGCCATGGATCCCACGCCTCTGTAAGTCTTCTAGTTATTGCAGTATAACTGTACTAACTGGGCTATATAGGATGAGTGGATGACTACGTGCTTTATGTCCAATGTATACTGTTGTTACTTACCGGCACACACTTCCCATGGCTTACAGCCAAATTGAAATGGCCCCTTTAACGTATTGAAGTCGGCCTATAGGGCAGAAGTCAGTAAATTGGATAGAATGACGAATGCGGCGCCAGTTGATAAAGTCAACTTTATCCGGGTTATAGTACTGCACGCAAGGCTATAACCGATAAGGTAATTAAATATGGCTGGAGAACTACTGGAAATTGGCCAATTTCAAGGGCCAAGGCACTACGGCATCCAGAAACCCAGGTAGATGTTGATAAAAGGGGCACTCCACCGCCGCCACAAGCCCCTGGACTTGACAGTGATTCTACACCCTGTACGAGCCGTCAAATCCGCAACTTTGCGAACAAGTCAAGCCCACATAGCCGCTATAGGCTACAGAAGGTTGCCAAGGGGGTTGAAGCCTTAGAGGCAGAGTTGGTAGCCGAACGCACTAAGGCTACGGCATTACAGTGTTACGAACCGTTGGCCCTGAAACAACATTACAGGCCCGTCGGCAGGCTAGGTGGATACAAACGCTAGGATCACGGGACCCCACATCGGAGGAAGGAAAGGACCGATAGGTCACGTGATCTACAGGGGTGGATATGTTGGATATGTTGGACAACCAACATATCCAAGTGGGGATCACGCCCGGTCATCTAAAAGCGCATATGGCCAAGAATAGTATAGATTCCCTCCTAGGCACGGCCAAGGGAGCTCGTTTGTTTTGTCAATGGGCGGAGGAGACCAATTTCTTTACTGAGATCTGCCCATCGCACTGAACAGGAATGTTAGATGAAGACAGTCCCCTGTAACATAGATTCGACTAGCATAGACCATGCCGGCACTGCGCCCGGCACGTCTCACGTGATGAGACGTTAAATTTCAATCAATCAATCAATCAATCAACCAAGTGGGGATCAGTGAAGGAGAGATGGGCATATAAGGGACAGGACTCCCAGGCATTTCATAGATAGACAGTCTCTACTTCAGTGATCAATCTAACCCATTGGTGAGGCAAACTGCCTTGACGACTCTATTCCCAGTTACCCAGAGCCCGATACTCCATACGTCAGACCCCGATATTATTGCTAAAGGACTCCGCAGCAGGACTTACTTACTAGCACAAACCCTTACAGACTCTTTAGTGGTTTACGCAGCTAGACTATTAGAGGTTTCGTTACATACAGGAGGAACTAGACCGCTTGAAAAGGGGTAAAAAGCGCAAGTCACTGCCGAATCCGAATCGCCGTTTTATAACAGTATCAGAAGCACTAGCTGCAGGGGAGCCTATACCCCCTAATAACCGTCAAGAACCAGCCAATAATGGGAAAGTTGTGGAAGTTGAGGATGAAGGGGTTGATTCATCAGAATCAGAGGCTACGGCCGATGATTTGCCGGCCGCTGTAGTCACACGAAGTGGTCGTACAGTCAAGAGATGTCAATATTCTTAAACTCCATAACAATAGCTACATAATGGTATAACTACGGTATAAATAGCTTCAATATGTACGGAATTATGTGTAAATAATTCTTTTTATTATTATTAAATACGCTGTAGGCTCGAAGCCCCCAGTACCTCTACTAGTACTCCCGTATGTCAAACCGTGCCCTAATGGCTGGACTAAATACATACGCTGCGTCGTCGGTTCGCCCTATTGGCGACTGCGTTGCGTTCACTACCATACTACGTTGGTTCTCAACCTACCAACAAAGTCCCCCCTGAGAAGATCGATGCTATCTGGGCCTTGAAGCTGTCCGACCCGTCCCTAGCAGCCACCTTACAATAGTCCCACTAACTACTGGTTCTCCTGTTGCCGTTGCGAGGTCTCTGCGAGAGTATAGTGGCCGTGGTGCGATGGCGGCCCGTAATCGTTCCCTCGGTCCTTCCAACAGCCCGCAAAAGAGGATTACGTGCTCTGCCGTCTCAGGGGCATCGCCACAGCGGCATAGCGGCGAGTACACGCCAAAAGCCCCTGTCTTGAATAAGAAGGCTGCTAGTCCTATTTTTTCCGTCCTGATCTGGCACAGCGTAGACGCCTCCAGTCGGTTCAGGCCGAAATACTTGCCCCCTTTCGGTATCTGCATCGAAGGGCCCTCCGGTTCCTCAGCGATGGCGCGTCGCTGGCGATCGTGATGCTCTGCTCCGGTGAGCCATCTCTTCCTCCAGTGTCCGAAGAGGGCAGCCGGGACCTCCTTTTCCTCACTCATCCACTCGGAGCCCCGGGCCTCCTTCTCCATAGTGTACCCTGCCGGTCGGAGTAGCTGCGACGCCTGCTTCCTCTTCGCCGGCCTATCCTGCCGGAGTATATGTGACGCTTTAGCGCTCGCGCTGCGAAGCAGATTTCTCTTCCCGCTAAGCCGTAGCCGTTCTTCAAACTTAGCAGCCCGGGCACTAAGATAGAGGTCTAGTGGCGGGATTGCTGCTTCTGCTTCCAGGTGGCGAACCGGCGTCGCTTTGTGGGCGCCACAGACTACCCGGAGGCACTGCGAAATATTACATATCAGCGGAATCACCGACACGCTTTGGGAATACGAACAATTTTGCTTTCCAAAATTTGTTATTACTCGCAGTGTTGAGTAACCGCTCTCCGAGCTTTTAATTCGTTTGATATCGCAGCAAATAGCAATCAGACAAACCTCCACCCTTCATCTCGCCTCGAATGAGTATAAAAAAGCTATTCCCCGCTTTCATTAGGTGTCAGCCTTCTAGCTCGACATACCTGTGGCAAGCCCACCTTCGGTCCTACCGGTGTTCCTCTGTTTGAGCGCGAGAAAGTGAGGCTAACCGCTGACACCATTAGGCGTGTCCCAATCAAGTATGTCAATCTATTCGCCTTCGACACCAGCGGACTGACTATTAGCAGTGACGAGTGCAAGGTGTTGGCGGGTGACATCGCCTTAATCGGCGCGCTTATTAAATCCGTTACTATTGCAGCATCGTGCAACCTGTGACGACCTGGGTTGCATCGCATTGGTAGAGACCTCGATTAGGTGCTATCGACCAAGATTCTACTCTAAGGAGCGAAGGAAAGAAGATCACAAACTTAGGTTTGAGGGAGCGCGACTAAGTCGTCCACGCTTGGCGGGGCTCCTGCAGGGGTTATGATTGGCTTCCCATCTGGCACTGCCATGGCAGGTGTTCCAGCTGTAAGTCACCTGGTTGTAGTGAGTCTGCGAGGGTTGACCTTCACACAACCAGTATTGAGGTTCATACGATGCTGAGAAATGCGAGACCCTCATCGCCAACTAGACAAGTCCCTACACACAATAATTCATACCAATAGACGCCTAGCAGTGTCATCTAAAACGACGGCTGTTAACGATGCCACTAGTATGAATGATCCAAAATCTGCCATGTGGCCAATGTGGGAGGAGAGGATGTGTGACCCAACTGAGAAGGCGAGCAACTCGACTTGCTCTATTGGCGCTTATTCTGCTCCTGACGTCAGTGCCACCGACATCTCCGATCAAACTCGCTGTCAACTTCGGCGTAACAAGGGCCTATGCATCGTTATCAAGAACACTGGCCACGATTACCTTGGTAAATCGGCTGGGCCGGTGCGCTCATCATCTAGACTTACCATCTAAAGAGTTTCGAGTACATATCCGAGTACAGGCTTGGCAATTTCACTGGTAAGGCAATCCATGCAGGCTCGGGCGTGAGATTCCTTGATGTCTACCGGACTGCCTACGAGAATGTCGCATGTTTCGTTGGAGGAATGTGCGTTGTGAGTTTTCTTTTCCAAACCCAAATATAAATTATACCGGCCCATAGAACTGTGTTGACCCATAACTAGAGCGTCGGCTTTGCTGGTGGATAATTCTCTGGTGGAGGTATTTCCCACTATCCAGTCTATTTGGCATGACCGCAGATCACGTTTTAGCTATTGGAGTCGTGACGGCAGATGGCCAGTATGTGATGGCTACCGCGAAATCCCACCCTGACCTTTTCTGAGCCATTCGTGGTGGTGTCGGCGGCGGCATTTATGGAGTCGTGATGTCTAGTATGTGCTGTTCTTCTGTTGGCTTCAGTCTCTAATAGGAGCCTGAGTTGTCCAACTAGTCTGACATTGTTCTTGCGGCTGGCTAACGGTGATATTGCAGTTATCATTAGACTCTAACCTCAAATTCAACTGAAAACGAATCACATTCCAGACATTTGCTGAAGTTAGCAATGAGGCATTCCGGGAGGGCGTGCGAGCATACTTTGAGAATTTTGAGCACTGCACTGACGCCGGTTTCTACAGATACATCAACATCCGTCGTAACTATTCCGGCTACAACAGCTCTGATTTTAGTTTGGCGAGTGAGCCAATAGTATGTTATTCCCCGGCTTTTCTCGGTCAGTCGGCCAAGCCATTATTCCAGACTAAAATCCTGTGTGTCGATAAATGGCCCTAAAACCTCGATTGAATCCTTTAATGAGGTGATGAAGCCCTTCTTCGACCGGCTTACCGAGTCCTATATCCACTATACCAAAGAACTAAAGCACTTTGACACGTTCTATGAGGGCTGGACTGTGACCTGACCCGACGACGAGTTTGTCGTCGCCATGCTTATCGATACCGAGGGGAGCCGCCTTTTCCCCCGCAAGATCTGTAAAATCCTGAGAGCCTGACGGCGTCTCTTAACGATATCCGCAAGGTTAGCAAGCTGGGACACGGTATCACGAGCTTCAACGTCATGCTACAGAACCCGTTCGACGTGGACAACACCGTCAAACCGGCGTGCTCTTCTCTGAAAACCAGACACCTCAACAGATGGCCGCTACTAAAGCCGAGCTCATGAACACTGTTCTCGACCCCTGGCATGGGATTGTGCCGTCTAGCAAGCTTGGTGGCTCCTACCTCCACGAGGCTAACCCCATGAGGCCCTACTGGGAGGACGACTTCTACGGCTTCAACTATTCGAATCTGCTAAGCATAAAGCGCAATTCTGATCACTGTGATGGCTTCTACGCCACAACGGCTGTTAGTAGTGGACTGGGAAGTACGCACCAAGGAGCAGGGTGTTCAAACCCAAAACGTCCGTCTATGCCGCCTATAGACTTGAAAAAAGAAAAGAAAAAAAAGAAAAACCCCAAGTTCCGTTTTCATGTCTTTCAGGCTGGTATATACAGGGATTTTGCCGTCAGATCCCATAAACCATTGCTCGTTGACATAAATCTCGGGAGCCCGGTAGTCCTCCACATAAGCCCCACTTTGTGCATGCTTCACATAGACGTTTTGCAAGCTATAACAAAGCATCGAATGGAATGCATCCCTATCTCTCTAGTCAAAAGAGTGAGGATGAACATAAGGGCCTTGATTACAGAAAATTATGCTTGGCTTCGGATTTTGAAAGTGATGATCACGTCGAAGCATAACAGTAACCAATACACCAGAGGATTAGGGCACAGGGTTTAACACCCTGTCAACTGGCTGTCGTAGCTGGAAAGAAGGAAACAGCTTTTGGGTTCAAAGGCTAGTGCGGGCCGACGGTCCATATATGCCATACTTTTCATTGTTGGAGTCCTTCTGCAATTATGAGCGCTTGAATGTTTCTCTGTTGTTGTTTTCCTATCGCCGAGCTTGAGACCTTGTTAAGCAGCTTGCGCTAGTCTTTTGGGACTTTTATTTCCACATCTTTCTCTGAATTTTATCAGATCTAGCCTTGTCCTGTTGTTAGGAATCTTGAACAGATAGAAAGAGCATTCCAGGATCGTGAGGTGTGCTGATTGGGTTTTATGCTGATACGGTTTAAGATGCGAGTGCCGGCTAGCGTAGTCTCCGACAGGGCTACTTGTTGCTGAGGCCAGCCGTAGCAGCCTCCAAAGTTTTCTTAACACTGTCAGCAGGAGGTTGGGGCTTTCTGCAGATTATTCCATAAATATCGTCTTTATGAAATGCGGGGAGAAGCATATAATCATTCAATGAATATGCACACAATGAAAAGTAATCATCAATTGTTTCCCGTAGCTGTTCACACTTGGCTGTCAGGGCCGTCGTCAACAGTAGTGTTTCTTTCAGAAATCATGGAAATGAACCGTCTGAACGAAATGAGTGTGTCCAACGTGGTTCAACGGCTTCGTAAGCCCGTCTGCTGGAATCAGCCATCCGAGCACATGAGTGGGGTTGATCCTTCCATGTAGAACCTTTTAATTTGCATAAGGGTACCGATAGGTAATATAGCGTTGCTTCTTAACCACCTGAGTAGCATTGTACCACTGTTTTGCTGAGATGTTATCTTGAATAATAGGCATAGGCCTAGAGGCCAGTTGTCCACAATTTGCTTCCATGGCCGCCTTATTCATAGCGACGTGCTTTGCTTCCGCTACTGACTGTTCGATGTAGTCCTGTAATTGATATCTGATATTGGTAAGTTGGGTGGGCAAGGACAAGGTCTGATTGCATCCTTTAGCAGCTACTATCGGATAACCAAACAGTGGAGATAGTCGTGGGTGATGGTGTGTTCAAGTGGGACCCGGCGAATGAAATAAGCTCCTGAACCTTACGTAGATCGAATGAATCTCGCATCAATTCTGGCAAGCAATCCCTGGCAAATTGCTTCTCTCCCGCACGTCAGATTCACCTCATGCGCGGTTGTACAGGCACATAGTTTTGGAGACATTGCTCTGAGATAGCATGCATCACTTATTCCGTTTTGCTACTGGCGCCTGCCAGATCTTCCAAGATTGGAGGGTGTCAGGGTTGTGCTGCTACCGTTGTCCAATCTATAATTTGGCATCGAGATTGGCGGCGCCATCCTCGCAAGTTTTGCTTCCATCTGTCTTGTCGCGAAATTTGGCAGCATTTGGGTTGCTGGAACGACGAAGCGCCCATTGTTCCACGCTTTGATCGTGATCGGTGGCTTGCCATTCGTGACTATATTGGCTGGTGTCTGCAGAACGGGCAGCAACGACGTCATAGACTGGAGAAAGTTCGACTGCTTGTTGGAGCTGGAGCTCCGAGCTGAGTAGCAGCTGAGATCTGCGTGGGTCGCGAAAAGTCCTTGAAAAAAAAGGACGTCGGTCAAGAGCTCAATGACAAAAGTAGCCTAAGCGGTCGTGAGCAAGGTAGTCTTGCATGAAAACGCTAGCGTGTCATACCTATCGCTTGTACGTGTTCCATATCGGCATTGGAGACAGAAACACAGAAATTTCTTGCAACGCCTTTGGGCAAGCATTTGAACCAGTGACCCAGACACAATCTCTAAAAGCAAGGCAAGGAGCGTCGAAGCTACCAATGAGGCAATTGGCGTGTTTCGATGACATAACTAGAATTGTGAAACGCTTGCTGCTGTAGTTGCAGCATGTTGTCCCTCCCGTGTTCGCCCCTCCCGTGTTCGCCCCTCGATAGAATGAGATTGGGAATTTCATGATGCAGCTGAAGTGGGTTCAGAATCAAGATATTTTTTGGCAACCAAGTCAACCCTGTCCCCTGGCCCTGTGCCAAGCTCGATAGCGTGGGCCCCACTCTAGCAATTGCCGCAGCTTCTACCAATGGCCACCACCCTGCAATTACATGGATCGCTTTTCAACTCTACACAAGAGCTTCAACCTTCAAGCGCCAGCTCCATTGGGCCCAATTACCCTGGCAAGCCTTACATGCGGAGTTCGCGGCAATGCAAATTGTTTTGACGGAACGTTCTTGCATCAAATTGATTTGGCCGTTGACGGCAATCGGCATAGCAACGTCGCGCGCAGTCCTCTCTCAAACCAAGCTAGGGCCAGCGCATGCCAGATGGCCCAGACCAACAAGCCAGTAACCACTTGAGCACCGTAGCACTTTCCTCGCGACTATGACGTACTGTAACCTAGATTTTCACGTCACCACCCCAATGTGAACCAAGATTTAGACACCCAGCGCAGATCAAAGCCAGTCGACGCTACCTACAGCTACCCGCCCAGCCAACAAATTATTGATCAACTATCAGAGCTCCCTTTCATGTCACACAGACCTATAAACACCAAAACCCCCTCTTCTTCGTGCCATTGTTGAAGAAATCTTTTCTTCTGCATCCATCCTCGTCGCGACTCGATCAGACCGCGCGCCAATATCATATACCCAAGTATTTTCTTTGTGATACCCCCGTCGACCTGAACGTTGACTAATTTTCGATTCCCTACTCATCCCTACTCAACCCACATTGCCTGCTCTCGCAATTAGCATAACAACCAGAGATACCCCCATTAACCGCAGGCATGGCTTCAGTCAATAAACCAACCGACGTGAAGGTGAAGGAGGCAGATGTCAACCGTAAGCTTCAGGTCTACGGTATCATCAACGCATTTCAGAACGGCAAGGTCCCATCGGTATGTAAATCCAACACTTTGGGCAGGTTTTTGGCTGGAGAACCCCGCTCACCAATTATTCCTTTAGAATGACCAGATCGACGTCGCTCTGAACAGCTTCCTCGCCTCCAAGGCCATCTCATCGCCTTCTCCCAAACTTTCAGCCGAAGGCCAATCCCTCATTGTCGACTTCAAGAACGTGGTGAAGCAAGCTCAAATTCTCCTTCTTTCCAAAAACGAGGGAAACCTCTTGCAGGACTTTATCTGGCAAACGTCGCAATTCGACGCGAAGAGTGTCAACACACCCGATGTCCCGCTCGCCAAAGAGACAGTGAAACAACATGGCGACAAGGCACGGGAGGGTCTGCGGACTTTAGGCACGTTGCTTATTACCAACGGCCAGTTCCGAAAGCTGCTTAATGACGCTACTATCCTTCTCCGTGACATGGCTGGTGATGCTGCTGCCAACGCTGCCACCCGTGTAAAGCCATCCGAGGAAAAACTTGCACAGATTGACAAGCCCGCTGATGACAACACGTGGCACGATGCCCCCGATCTTTCCAAAGCCACTCTTAAGTCGCAGTTGCAGAATGTTTACAAAGGCGATGTGAAGAAGGACGCCGAGGCTGTTGCCGATGCCAGTATCAACGCTGCCCAGTCGAACGCGTCGGCCGTGGATGCCCAAGCTGGTGTTGAGACAGCGCAGAACAGTGCTACCCAGCAAGTCAAGCAGAATGTCCCGAATGACGTCCAGGAGCAGACCAAGGAAATGAAGGACTCTGCCAAGAAAAGGGCAGCTGAATACCGGGCTCGTACAAAGGAATACCTTGCCCAGAAGATGCCCCAGGAGCGCCGCGAACAGACCATCTGGCGTCTGAAGGTATGTGGTCATGATGCCCGAAAAACCACGTTGAAATCTCACTGATGACTTTGTAGAAAATGGTCCTCGAATGCCAGCAGCACCCGGACTACCAGCAGGCAATAGCTACTTTACTAGACCTTGCGGAGCTGTATGGTGGCCACGGCAAAGAGCTTACTTCCGGTGGTACTGGTACCGTGAAGGAAGCGAGATTGGCGTTGGGTCAGGCCGAGGCCGATCTTAAGACTCTGATTGAGAGATTCGCCAACGGTACATCTAGTGATGATCTCTGGTCATCCATCAACACAATTTACGCGGACGCCGATAGGGATCCGGAGCTTAAGAACTGGTTCAAGTCGATGAACACATACATTCGCCGATGCCTTCAGGAGCAGGGTTACATCATGGAATCTGCGTCTACGCAGGAGTGGAACAAATTGTATGATCACGGAAATTATCTATTGCGTGACAGGTACAAAAACCACACCGATCATATTCTTGATGAGCTCAAGTTCCTGGCCACTCAATTCGACGAAGACTTGGCAAACAAAGCTTTGACTCAATCGCTGCAGAAGCTGTTCAATGACCTGGGCAACGATGCCAGTGGGAAGCCCACCTTCAAGCCACATTTGGTGAAGGATCTTACCGACATCATCTTGCCGGCGGCGTTCGAGAATGTTGCCTACATCCCCATTCCTCGCATTGAGTATTCGGATCCCCAAATTGATGCTGTGGTTGAAAACCTGGTGTTGGAAAGCGACAACTTCATGCCCAATGTGTTAGAGCTCACCAGTGATCACTACTGGCGCTGGGGACGTAAGAAGATCACTGGCAAGAACAATAACGCTATCGATGTGAAGGTCAGTGGGATACAGATGGATTTACGCGACGTGAGTTTCTACGTCAAGCGTAAGCAAGGTTTCCCATCCATTACCGATACTGGTGTTGCCAACATCTTTATGGGTGGTGAAGGCTTCTCTTTCCGCATGAAGCTTTCCACCGCTGATGAGAACGACAAGCAACACTTCCTGAAGGTTGACAAGGTGGATGTTGATGTGAAACACCTCAAGATCAAATTGGTTAAGTCCAACCACAAGGCACTCTTTGGTATTTTCAAACCCATCATGCTTAAGGTGCTCCGCCCTGCCATCCAGAAAGTGGCCGAGAAGCAGCTTAAGGAACAGTTCGCCCAGTTCGACGAGCTCATGTACCAGGTCAAGCTGGAAGCAGACCGAGCGCTTGAGGAGGCTCAACAGAATCCTGAGAATGCGCCCAACATTTATAAACGCTACGTCACTGCGCTCCAGAAGCGAATGTTGCAAGGCAAGGAGAAGGCTGAGGCTGTCGTTGCGGACAAGAAGATCAACTATGCCATGACTCAAAACGACAGCATCTTTCCCAACATCAAACTCCCGGGTGGAATTAGCTCTAAAGCTACGGAGTATAAAGAACTCGCGAGTAAGGGCGAGAAGTGGGAAAGTCCCGTTTTTTCGATTGGCAACGCTGCGAAGAGCACTGATATTCCTCGTGCCCCAACCATTACTCACAAGTCACGTACCACGAGTGATCCGGTTATCAATGATAACACGGCCAACGGAACCCAGTTCACTAAGCCATTGAATGGAAGTGTTTCCCCGAACGGCAACACTATCACAATTTAGGAGAGTCATCCTACGGGGAATATAAGTGGGTTTGATTGTCCAGACTATGAGCACAATGGCGGAGAGTAAATTGGATTGATCGGAGAGTAAACACGACGGTTATACCCAGGACGGCGACGGCCTATTTGGCGACAGTGAAAGCACACCGAAAACGTTTTATACCAGTTGCTTTTGAAAATTCCCTTTGCCTACCTTTAGCTCTATGTAGCATCCCTCGCGTAATACATTGCATATTATACCATGTTCGCAAGAAAAACCACCTGACATTTGATTGATATTTTGCATGGCGTGGCATCTTCATCATTGTTGTAGTCGAATATCAGTGAGAAAAACCACCTGACATTTGATTGATATTTTGCATGGCGTGGCATCTTCATCATTGTTGTAGTCGAATATCAGTGAGAAAAACCACCTGACATTTGATTGATATTTTGCATGGCGTGACATTTTTATCATTGTTGTAGTCGAATATCAGTGAGAAAAATCACCTGACATTTGATTGATATTTTACATGGCGTGACATTTTCATCATTGTTGTAGTCGAATATCAATGATATTCGACTACAACGCATCACCGTATCATATCAATGGATACAAACGCCTAGTACCATCAGAATCCCGGTATACGCCCTCCAGATGTCCATCTAGATTGAGGAGCCGTCTGCAGCAGTCTAGGGAGACTTGAAGTGCTAAAGAAGGTATTCTTGAACCCCCGCCCACGTGAACGTATTTCCAGAAATGCGCCTGCTAAATGCAACGGTAAGCTGTTGTACATCGATCTCTTCAGCGAGCATTTGTTCATCCGTAGGATATGTCTGCAGGAACCTGTATTGAGTATCTTGCTGCCACAAGTAGGAAATTAGCAACATCGTATAAATGCGGCCGGGTCTCACGAGCAATTCGTCCAGCTGGTCAGGATGATTAGAGGTCATGACCACGATGCGGCCTTCCTTCGAGTCAACAACATCAAGAACGTTGAGTGAGCCTGGAAAGGTACATCGGGAATGCGGCAATCCTCTAACCGACTCGCGGTCGTCTTCCTTGTCACGTTTAAGTGCCACTGCGTCTATGTCCTCCATTAGGACGATGCAGTGACACGGCAATGACTTAAAGATCTTTGTGAGATTGCTGTCACTGGAATATCTTGGCAGGCTCGGCACATAAAGCGGAAGACCGAATCAACTTGCCAGAGCAGTCAAGAGTGATATTTGCTAATCATTTCGCATTATAATTGGTTAAAATTGCTTTTTACGATGTTCACTGACGGAATGGTTGGATACATACCTATTCCAAGCGGTCCACGCAGGTGGTAACCCTTACGGTATGGAACGCCGCGCGTCGTGCAGCACCGGTTGTTTCTGGGTAAAGAAAGGTCGCAATGTTGGCAAGAGCTTGTACTTGACCCCTTTCTCGATGTAGATGGTATCCAGCGATCGAGGGGATTTGTAATGTATGCAATTTCCTCGTGGATGGCTTGACCCTTGAAATGGCAAGCGGCGTTACCCGGAAAGTTACCCCTGGAGGTCCCTACCCACTAAAACTGGGCCACAGTCCCCCTATGTGTGTATCCTGGTCGATCTGACCTCACAGGACTCAAGTCACGAATATCAGGATTGATTTCGTGCCAAGTCAGTTGTGTGGTTCAGATCTCTTTTGATGGTGTTTTTTCTAGAAAGCTCAGCTATTTCCGAAGCTACGAAATGTTGCTTAAGAGCAATGATGTAGCCAATCAGATCCTCTGATTTGGATCCACATATGTAGACAAGATCAATGTTGCACTCATGTGATGGGATACCCCGTTATTGTAGCATAAAATAATGTGGGGTAAACCGATGTAGAAAGATATAACTTTTCCACCGAGGTGCGCTGGTTTTTCTTCTTCTTTTTTTTCCGTTGAACATCCGCTTTGTTTCTAGCTCTCACGTCTTTTCCTCTATTGCAAACATGACTGGAGAGGTACATGGGAGTCGCGTAACTGGGCGTACACGCGGTAGCATAGTATAGACGGAGCGATGGACCCGGCGAGATTCGGCAACAAATGCCCTGTTCATGGGTCTCGCATTCCAATGTTATCAGGGCGACACGGGCAAGTTGTTCACAGTTGTCATGAATACTACAAGTGTCCTACAGATTTACATACACTGCGAAATTTGTTAATATGATCCAACTGTTTCATATTTGATGCGTCTTCATAGATCTCCAGATCTTCCACGGCAGCTTCCAACTACTCCGCACAGCAAATGGGTCAAAGTTGGTAGCCTCCAGTCTTGACAAATAATCGCCAGCTGGTACGCCCTCAAGTAAGACACCAAAGCCTTGTCGGAGATCTCTATTTGTTTGGTCACTCTCGAGCTCATCATCCACATAGTTGTGCTCGGCTTCCCCCTGATGCTCATACTCATGGCCTGGGTCCTCTCCAGCTTGGACATTTTTCAACATTTCCCTGGCAGTGATGAGGTGATCGTTTGCCCTAGTAGCTACTTTGAAAACAGCATCTTGGAATCCCTCTGCTTGTGGACCATATCGGTACACATCCTCTTCTCTGAGCCCCACCTCGGTCATGACATCCAAGGGGAGAAGCAGAACAGGACTTCTTCCTCCACCAACTTCGTTTCCATGGGGTGACTTGATGGGCGGCCCCGGTGAAGCCAATATAGGAATGCCTCTCAGAACGGCAACGATGCCACAGGCCTTACCGATGTGACTTGCGAGATGGTCGACATGCATGGATTGGATGGGCAAAGCAGCCAGAGTCGAATACATCAAGGTTGAATATGTGTTCTCGGCATACTCCTCCAATGCGCCCATGCTGGTGAAAGGACGATTGTCCATATACTTCTCCCGCGTGTTGATGATCCTCAACATCCAGAATTTGATAGAATTCGGACTGTGATCAGTATATGTCTCCTTAAGCCCAGTCAGGACTTTATGAAGCAGGATCATGATGGGCTCCTTCGGTGGTCGACCGGCACAGGTGTTGTTGACAGCATCTCGCCAGAACTGCATCCTCATCTGTCCCACGGTGGGATTCGATACGAGCTCGGGTAATCGCACTAATTCAAGGTTGAAGGCTCGAAGCGCATCGTAGGCATCCTGGCGAAATCTCGGGACGAAATTTCGAATAAGGTATGAATCGTAATCTGACTTTCTGGTTCTGTTAGCCTCGCTAACTCCTGGTAAACGAAACATAGGAGTACTACCTCAATTGCTCTACGCAATACTGTCGTGCTTCAGCTACTTCAGCGTCTGTGATGTAGCTCCTTCTCGATGGTTGCGCAATGATGCTGAGCCATTGCAGGCCGCGACGTGCAGTCCTGGCACAATACATGGACAAAGACAATTATGAGAAATGACCCATACCGGTGGAGTTGACAGTTATTCCCAGAAGACAGTCTTGAACGCCTCAATTTTGAACTGGCGCTTTGCTCTGACATCACCGAGGTGCACCTTCTACTCAGCGCGTCAAAGAAAATCTAGCCCCACTTTCTCCATTTCGGACACATGATTTCGCGATTGATCGTCGCGTCTTGACAGAGCTCATCGCGTCACAATCTCGAAATTCTGCCTTTCCTCGACTCAAACACTTGCCACCGTCCCTGTAGTCGTTTTCTCGTGACGATGAGCTGGTTCGACTCTGGGGAACCGCCCGCAAAGAGGCGACGGTTCTTTGCAGATGCAGAAGACGACGATGGTAGCATCAGCAACTTGGGCGTGTCTAGCTCTTTGTCTGGCCCGCTGCGCTCACCCTTAGCAGAGAAGATTGCCAACGATACCTCGAATCCCGAAAACAATGGTGCCAGAGCCGAGGATCCCAGCGAGCAGAAGCCAGCGGGTTTTGATCAGGAGACTTTTGAGAGCTTTGTGGGTGACAAAGTAAGCCCTGATGTTCTGAGCATCATCCAAAGGAGCTGTGGCGACAACCTTGAGCGCGCAGTCAATATGTACTTCGACGGAACTTGGAAGAAGTTGAAGAAGCAAGCTACTTCGGAGCCATCGACTCAGCCGACTCTTCCCCAGTCAATCAGCAGTATCGTGTCTCCAGGTCCCGACATAGATATACCCAATGTCCCTACTCGTCCATCGGTGCCCGAATCGCGCTATATCGGGGCCTTTGGTGTGGAAGGCTGGTCCACCAGAAGTGGCACAAACATGTTAAAACATGGAGATATTGTCAAAATTGAGCGTCAGAAGATTCAACCTTCGCAACCCTTAATGCTTAAGAAGAAGGGAAAGCTTGGGGCTCCGCCCCTTGCACCACGCGTCTATGCCTCTTCAGCGAGACGTGTTGATGTAATAGTACGCTTCACCGACTCGAGCGGCACGGAAATCGGAAGACTTGCGAAGGATACAGCCAACTGGGTTTCCTCACTAATTGATCAGAAAGTCTGCAAGTTCGAGGGTGTTTGTGTTTACGCACCGGAAAGGCTGCGGACCAATGACACGGTCTTCTTGCAACTGAGATGCTATCTGCAGAAGACTGCTTTTCAGAATACAGGCTTCAAGCCAGCGGGCAACAGGGCTGCCAACCTATTTGAACAGAAGGAGTCTGCAGAGGAGCGTGAGCTACGACTGCGCCAGGTAGCAATAGTAAGGTTATTCCACGAGGTCAATCTTCTACCCACAAGGAGTAATGAGACTGCGGCGAAGCAAGGACGTCAAGGTCTTCTTGAAGCAGCCAAAGCAGCCGAAAAGAAGGAAAAGGAAGCCACAAATTCAAACAACCGGTAGGTAAACTTACCGTACTTGGTTACCTTTTCTAACATGTTGTAGTGATGCTCAGGGATCTTCACCTCCATCAGAAGATGCGGAAGATGGCGAAGAGCTGGAGCAAGACCAGCTTGACGCGCTATACCGCAAAGCGCAGTCCTTTGATTTCGACACGCCAGAAGCAGAGCCGCCTGATACATTCGTCATGACGCTTCGTCATTATCAGAAACAGGCGCTGCACTGGATGCTGTCGAAAGAGAAGGATCAGAGGAACGAACCCCGCGAGCCATCCATGAATCCGCTCTGGGAGGAGTACTTGTGGCCTACCAAAGATGTTGACGACAAAGACGTGTTGCAAGTTGAAGGCCAACCAAGCTTCTATGTTAATCCGTACTCGGGAGAGATGTCCTTGTACTTCCCGGTTCAAGAACAGCATTGCCTCGGGGGTATTCTCGCAGATGAGATGGGTCTAGGCAAAACGATCCAAATGCTTAGCCTGGTCCATTCACACAAGTCACAGGCAGTCCTGCAAGCGCCGCAGCCGTCTCGGTCGATCAATAAATTGCCCCGACTACCCGTAAAATTTGCGGGTGTTGTATCGGCACCAAGAACAACGTTAGTGGTTGCGCCGATGTCATTGCTGGCGCAGTGGCAGAGCGAAGCAGAGAACGCATCCAAAGAGGGGACTTTGAAGTCAATCGTCTATTATGGAAACGAGAAGAGCAATGACCTGCAGACTCTGTGCTGCGAGGCGAACATCGCCTCCGCTCCGGACGTTGTAATAACCAGTTATGGAGTCATTCTTTCCGAGTTCAACCAGACTGCAGCTAAGGACGAGAACAGGGACTCCCATCGCGGCATTTTTTCACTCAACTTCTTCCGCATCATACTTGATGAAGCACACACAATCAAGAACCGGCAGTCTAAGACAGCAAAAGCATGCTACGAGTTATCTGCAGAACACCGCTGGGTACTTACCGGCACTCCTATTGTGAATCGGTTGGAGGACCTTTTCAGCTTGGTTCGCTTCCTCAGGGTAGAACCTTGGAATAACTTCTCCTTTTGGCGTACTTTCATCACCGTTCCATTCGAGTCCAAGGATTTCATGCGTGCCTTAGATGTGGTCCAGACTGTCTTAGAACCACTGGTCCTGAGACGGACGAAGGATATGAAGACCCCTGATGGGAAGCCGCTGGTGGCCCTTCCGCCCAAAAGTGTCGAGATCGTGAACATCGAGCTGTCCCAGCCAGAACGCGATGTATATGACCACATCTTTACCAAGGCCAAGCGTACCTTATCCGCCAATGTTGAGAGGGGGACAGTCATGAAGGCATATGCAACCATATTCGCCCAGCTCCTGCGTCTGAGACAGTCGTGCTGCCATCCAACCCTCGTCAGAAATCAGGAACTCGTTGCTGATGAGGAGGTCGCTGGAGCTGAAGCGGATGCGGTCGCTGGGCTGGCTGATGACATGGACCTTCAATCTTTGATTGAGCGATTCACTGCGGCCACCGATGACGAAAGGGATGCCAACACATTCGGCGCTCATGTCCTGCAGCAAATTCGCGACGAGGCTGTCAACGAATGTCCGATCTGCTCTGAGGAGCCCATGATTGAGCAAACGGTCACAGGATGTTGGCACTCGGCGTGCAAGAAATGTTTGCTTGACTGCATGAAGCATAGTACCGATCGGCATGAAGTGCCCAAATGCTTTAATTGTCGCGAGCCGATCAACGCCCGCGACCTTTTTGAGGTTGTGCGTCACGATGATGAACCAGATGCCTCCCGCCCGAATCCGAGGATCAGCCTCCAACGCTTGGGCGTAAGTCAATCCTCGTCTAAGGTAGTATCCTTGGTCAAATACTTGCGGGAAATGCGCAAGGAGCATCCGCTCATGAAGACGGTCGTATTCAGCCAGTTCACATCTTTCATTTCGCTCATTGAACCTGCTTTGTCCCGAGCCAACATGAAGTTCCTACGCCTTGACGGATCCATGGCTCAGAAGGCACGTGCTGCCGTCCTTGCCGAGTTCCGTGAAGCAGATCAGTTCACCATTTTGCTACTCAGTCTACGCGCTGGTGGTGTCGGCCTGAACCTGACGTCAGCTAAGCGCGTGTTCATGATGGATCCTTGGTGGAGTTTCGCGGTTGAAGCCCAGGCCATCGACCGTGTTCATCGCATGGGCCAGGAAGATGAAGTTAAGGTTTACCGATTTATTGTGAAGGACAGTGTGGAAGAAAAGATGCTGAAGGTCCAAGACAGAAAAAAGTTTATGTGGGTCACGACAGACTTGAATACGAAGACCGTTGTGCTAACTTGCTTGCTAGTGCTACATCCCTGGGTATGATGACTGACGAGGAGAAGAGGCTGCAAAGAATTGAGGATATCAAGGAGCTCCTGAGCAGCTGAACGAGTGAATGATACACCAAGCATTTTTTACCGGAGTCATGGCGACATATAGACGGGAAGTGAATAACGATACAAGGGGCATGTATTATAGGCACTCTATCCCTTTAGGATCGAGAGGTCCTCTTCATCGCTTGTGTGACGCAGAGCTAGGGCTGAATGAAGAGGTCATGTCATTGAGACCTGTAACATTCGTATTTATATCAACAAACCAACAACATCACTAGCTCGCCCCAGCCTCTTTTTCTCGAGTACGTTCGGGTTTGATCCACGAAACGACACAATCTAGAATTACATTAACCCGGAAGGCAGAAAACCATCTATCGCGCTTGATTTTTAGTGACAAACTTGTCTCCGCGACCGAAACCACCAGGCAGCGCATTTTTCTTGCGACAACTCCAGCATGTCAACAAGACTAGACATTATGGTACAACAGTGCCAACTCTGCCCAATCTATCTTCGACGACCCTCAACCCTATATAGTTGATATCTCCTACATAGGTAACGATCTCAACGCCGTGGTCGCCCCGTCCGCCTTAAACACCCAGTACCTTTTCACTTCGCCACGCAGGGATTCGGCCGTCTCCTAAACCGGCCCCCGAGGGTCCAGTCCCTGCTTCCCACAATTCATCTTTCTGGCAGTTGGAACTACGATCCCAAACCCAACCGACGTGTATGTAGCAGGCATGTGCAGTTTGCGCCGGGGCCATACGGGTATGCGAACTCAAATTGGGCGCCCTGCACTGCCAATAGGGCAAGTTCGTCGAATTTCGGTGCTACATCAACATATTTGGGGGGCGTTCTGGAACGTGATTGGATTCTCGTGGACGAGTCAGGAGACCCAGGCTCCCATTTTGAGTTGCGGAAGGATGTGAAGAGTACTTGTAGTTTAGGCATACACAACTCTGCGGTACCAAGGGTATTGATAAACTAGCAACATATATAGTGGTGACTATTTTTCTTGCATTTATAGCTCTGCAAAATAATTCAAGAGTGATTGTCATGATCCTGCCAACCCGCATATTCGCATTGTGAGGCTTGTGGACTTTAGTTTAGACTTGGAAATGCCCGAGTTGTCAAATAACACAAGCCTATGTCATAACTCACGTCTGCTGAGCGTAGATCTTTCCACATAATGACCTATAATTATATAATCGGAGCCATCATACGAAGTGGAACAAAGTAATTACATGCTTACAAATCCAAGTCGTCGCCTCTAGTCGGTACGGCGTTTCCAACTGGGCAGTCTTTCTATGATAGGTTTTGGCGTGAAGGAGTTCATCACTAGCATACACCAGTTTATGAACATCATTCTTTAGTTGTATGGGATTAAACGATTGCCATCGTTTCTCCGGAAAAAAGAGTACAAAATCTCGATGTATCGCATGGCAAGTCCGCTTCGCCATCCCTGCTCAGATAGATGTCGATTGCTGACTGCCTGCTACACCCATCTACCAGGACCATGCTATAATATGGTGAACCTCAACAATTTCGTGAAGGAAACATGTCATGTGGACCTGTATTAAAAACTTAATTAACAATTGGGACTGGAACTTCGGGTCTTACCGACTTATCTACGTTCCTCCTATATGCATTGCAAATCGGAGTTCATAGCGGACTTCATCAACGAATCTATGCCTTCGAACGACATTTAAGGGTAGCAGGGAAGATGAAATGGAACTGGTAAGAGTGAGAGGGCAATGATGATTGCCTACTTTGGGGAATTGTGATTAGTCAGTCAATGTGTTTTAGATAAACAAACATGACTGCTGTTCTTCTACTGTAGTGAATCACTTCTAACAACCACTATCCCAATCATCAGTTTGCCGAGTAAGTGAGTAAGGACAACTAATCATCCGCAAGCCGGAATCACAGCCAGCCACAAAACTAGGACCCTAGACTAATAAAAAGTGAAGGAGTTCAAAGTAGCAGCAATCAACAGAACAGCAGAAGTGCACATAGATTTGAATTACTGTAGATATTACCGGCAAGCTAGCTTGTTCCTTGTGTTTTGTAGATATAAGATATTCTGTCTATTCAAAGCAAGCCACTATCGCAGTTTTCAATGATAAATTGACGACAAGTAGGAGAAGTGACACCGAACTTTGTGATCGTGTCTCGATACTAGTCACTCATGACATTAATTAGGGATAGGGAATCATTTACCCCGAACTCAAAACTATAAGTAACAGTCAAATCCACCTCCCCTGCATCTGGAATATTTCAGGATAGTTAGATTTTACTATCAAGCAGTAGCAAAGATGAACCCTTAGTAAGTTCTCATTCACATTTGAGCAGTACCTCCACTAAAGTTTTCGCAGCCTCTACTACCAATACCCAGCATACAGGCGAGTAGAACTGGCCGTCGGCGATATGCGACCATCAGCTGTCCCTTACGATCCCAGATTTCACACTGCAGGCTTCTATGTCGGACCTACACAAGAGCAGATGCTCATTGGATACTTGCACAGCATGAATGAGTCATTCGCAACTCTCGCCGAAGAAGTCCGTTGGATTAGAGAGCAAATTGCCGAGATCATACTGTGGTCCTCAGTAGAATCCCCTATTAGCTCCGCCAGTTCATGGAGCCAAGTCGACCTACCCGAAGCGCATGGCGAATACCCACGGCCATGCTGTCATTTTGGCAGCTCATCGACATCCTCTCGTTCTTGGAATCGTAGTACATCGAGCTCAGCCTCTTATACCGATGTACCGGCATTCGCCCGAAAGGTGGCCGGCCGATTCCGAGGCCAAGACCAGAACGACAGCAGCCAATCCGGTTCCATTACCGCGACTATGAACGAGCTTGCACCCTCTTTCCGCCTCCTCGAAGGAGATTTGGAAGAGACTCGCAGCCGACTTCAAGACTTGCGTGTTTCGGCCGAGGAGACACAGGCTGAGCACATACAGGAGAAGGTTCGACTTCTCGCCGACCGGCTCGAGGAGTCTATCAACCAAGACTTAGCTAGAATCCGCCTCATCCACGAAGCCCAGGATTACACCGAACTGGCTGCCTTCTCAGAAACTCTGATTCCAATAGACTCTTCTCGTCATTTAGGAAGCAGTAGATGGGTGGATTCATCCAAGGATGGCCAGGGCTCGGAGCCCGTCTGCTCTCGCAATTCGTCACCACTTTCTCCTCATGTCAAGATTCCTACGACAGGCGAGAACGACTTCAAGTCTGCAGAAAATAGGGACTATGCTAGTAGCGTTGAGGATGAGTCTGGTGAAGAACTGATTGTTACGGGGAATGAGAGCGCGATTGTAATCGACTAGACAAGAAGTGGATATACTGGCGAAGATGGTAAGTCAGGACCGCCACTATAGCTAGATATTTTCTGATCAATAAAGCGCATTTGTAACGTACAACCCCACCTTTCCGGCCACCTAATCTGCCAACTACAACAAACAACCTTCGGCACAACAGATTATCGTCGGTATTGGCTATTATTATACAATGCCTCGATATTCAGAAAATTCGATTCAAGGCGCTCTCAACGATATCAATCAAGGGATATCCCAGCGCCAGGCTTCCCTCCGATGGGGCGTTCCACGCTCTACCCTCCAATTACGACTCGGCGATGGCCTCAGCCATTCTGACGCGTCAATCGCGTCGATGAAGCTATCTAGGGAAATGGTTTAACGATTGCGACGATATACCTGATTGGCAATATACTTATTCGTCTAACGGTTGGATCAGTACAGATATCGCCGTTCGATGGCTTCGTGATATCTTTATACCTCGTACACAACCAGTTGATCCCGACGAGCAGCGGCTCTTGATATTAGATGCAGGCGTCGCAGCTACTCCGACCGGCAGGGTACACTGTGGAGAAGGAGGCCCGGGGCTCCGAGTGGATGAGCGAGGAAAAGGAGGTCCCGGCTGCCCTCCTCGGCCACTGGAGGAAGAGATGGCTCAGCGGAGCAGAGCATCACGATCGCCAGCGACGCGCCATCGTTGAGGAACCGGAGGGCCCTTCGATGCAGATACCGAAAGGGGGCAAGTATTTCGGCCTGAACCGACTGGAGGCGTCTACGCTGTGCCAGATCAGGACGGAAAAATAGGACTAGCAGCCTTCTTCTTCAAGACAGGGGCTTTTGGCGTGTACTCACCGCTATGCCGCTGTGGCGACGCCCCTGAGACGGCAGAGCACGTAATCCTCTTTTGCGGGCTGTTGGAAGGACCGAGGGAACGATTACGGGCCGCTATCGCACCACGGCCACTATACTCTCGCAGAGACCTCGCAACGGCAACAGGAGAACCAGTAGTTAGTGGGACTATTGTAAGGTGGCTGCTAGGGACGGGTCGGACAGCTTCAAGGTCCAGATAGCATCGATCTTCTCAGGGGGGACTTTGTTGGTAGGTTGAGAACCAACGTAGTATGGTAGTGAACGCAACGCAGTCGCCAATAGGGCGAACCGACGACGCAGCGTATGTATTTAGTCCAGCCATTAGGGCACGGTTTGACATACGGGAGTACTAGCAGAGGTACCAGGGGCTTCGAGCCTACGGCGTATTTAATAATAATAATAAAATGATATTAGATGGTCATATCGCTCACGACAACGTCGAGTTTATGTGGTTAGCCTATTGTAACAAGATCTCGTTACTATTTTTGCCAGCACACTGTTCTCACGGGCTCCAACCTCTCGACGTCGCCGTATTTGCTCCATTAAAGCGGTACTATCGCTCATTAGCGAACTCTCTCGATCGAGTACTGTTCTATTCCATTTAAAAAGTCGACGTTCCTCTCGCTATACATCGAGGCATATACGAAGTCGTTCACGATCAGTAATATACAATCAGGCTTCTCTGCAACTGGAATATACCCATTAGATCCATCGCGACCTCAGCCGACGATAGCCCCCCTATCAGAACGACCAACTACACCACCAACAGCTGGTAATTGGCTTGATCCGACAATAATAGCGACGCCAGTGACTAGCTTAGTAGCTAAGGAGAGTCTGGCAGCGATTACGCCATTGCGATCGTCGCAACGGCTATTGTTTCGGAAGCTGACTCGTCGGCTAGATGTACAGAGCGTCGAGGTCGCTACTTTGACCCAACGTGTACACGCATTAGAAGCTAAGATAACTTCGTTACGCCCCAAACCACGTAAGAAGGTACGATTAGGGCCTAATGAACGATTTGGTAACATTGTACAGATTAAGGAAGCGATGGATCGAGCCCTTGAAGTAGAACGGCAACGAGACCAGGTACAACGTCGGAATCAGGTAATACTGGACCCAGCTAAGGCGTCAGAATCTATCAGATCTATACCTCAGGAAGCCCTAGAGCACAGCTTTCTATTAGAGCTGGTTGTACCTGAATAGCTATAATGGTACGTTGAATACACTGTTTCGAATACCTTCAATTGGATTGCAATATGTGGCCGGAAAGGTGGGGTTGTACGTTATGCTATATTTTGTCTACATATGATTTAAGGTCATTCATTTGTATTTATGCAGGGCGATGGCTATACTATGCATGCTGGGTGAAGTTCTTGGATTCAATTGCATTGGCGGCTAACCCGAAAATGGCTCGAAACTGACTCCGCAGTCAACTCCTATTCACTATTTGGGGTTTCATTACTATTATATCCTCGTGAGATAGTTGCGACTTCACGATTTCAATCTATGATTTGTAACAATCCCAAAGACGCAGAATGAACTAAAAACCAAGGTATCAAGGCGATCGCCATTTTCCCAAGGAGTCTCGCTTAAACCAAGGACCCGCCGTAGCCTATGGGCTCCGGTCTGGCTCACAAGGTCGATTATAGTCCCCATAGACTTCCGAAATGTTTTAAAATCTCTGGCCGTACCCAGGGACCCTGATATCGCTTCCATCGAGTTCCAAGATGGCGTGCAGATTGTGGATCTGCTCTGGTGACCTCACCCAGTCATCACTCGCCTCTGAGAGATGGGGCGCAACACGACTATCCCTGGTCGAAAAAGAAAACACCGTCGAGGGCGGCGAATTCATATAGTCCATCGCCGATTCTGGCCTGTACGTTGAGCCATCCAGCATTGGCATTCTGGGATTAGCTATGGTTGGGGTGCTAGCAAACAAGTCTGAGATGATGGGTATTAGCGCTGAAGGGTATTTGCAGTTTTATCATAGCTTCTGACGTACCTTTATAGGGGCTAAGCGGCTGCGGTGCCCGCGTTACTTCCATTTGATCAGCTTGATTGTTCTCGCGGCCCTTCCGCCGGCACCAGAAGAAAAGGAGGAATCCCAGGAGTGCCAGCACAATTACTCCACCAACGGTGCCACCTGTAATAGCCCCTATGGGCATGGATGACTGAGAGGAGTCGGATGCAGCAGCTGTGGTGGCCACAAATACAACGACGGAGGCCGTAGGAGAGATCCCACTGAGGGTAGTCGTACTACTTGCGTCGTCTCCGGTTGATATCGGTGTTGATTGACATCACATTTGTAGGTGTTTCACTTGTCGCACTTGAGGAGGTGGTGGTAATGTAGGGGGACGAGGACGACGAAGACGTTAGAAAGGGCGCTGCCTTGCTGCTATCGTCGCTCAATCTTGCCGCCAGGACATCAAATTCCGCGCAGCCATCATTACAGGGATTGTTCAGACAACAGCCAATGAAGGGCGGTTTCGCGTTTTGACATGTCCACCAGGTGCTAGATCCGTACGGACTGATGCAGTCTTGAGCATCCACGTTATTATAGCTGTCTTTGTTGAAGCTGGCCCCGTACAACGACGAGCTGGGGCAATCGCCTGATCCATCAGCGCATGGATCGATATCACAGCATCCGAGGAACCGCACGTCGCTGTCTTGACATATGTAGAATCTTCCCCCGTTGGGACACGAGAGCCCGAGTTTCGCGATTGGGTTATCACTCATCATATAATTTGAGTCGATAGGCTACCACAGGAAGTGAGTCGAAACTTCGAGGGAACAGAGTGATCTAGTTTTGGCTTCCTGGTCGATCGTTTGCCTTGTCCTCTCAGCAGCCCATTTTTGCCATTGGCTCCCCGATATATATTTTCATGTAGTCATAGGTTTGATTGAGCGGTTGGTGGATTTAGGCATATTGCAAAAAGTGCGTGAGAAGCCCCAGGTTTTGTCTAGACCCCAGCCTATCAAGTGGGCTGTGTGTGCGTCGACGCCCAACATGCATACTATTTCGACCAACTGCATACACTAGGTCATAGTGCCAAGAGCTTGGTGCCAACCTCTGGCGGTGTTGGGGACATGATTCAAGTAGAGTTAGTGCTTACTGATATGCAACAGATTCCGCAGACGGTTTAGGCTGAAACGAAAGAATACGAAAGAATCATGAGAGAGATAAATATCCCAAGAAATTTAGTAATAGATCAAAGACGACTTTGAGCTTGCTGGGGGTGATATACCTGGCGACCCTCCCTTTTCCATAAACAGATCTGTACCACCACCGTGTCAACATCAGACCCGAATTTTGAGTTGTGCCTGTAGGAGATTCCGTGATCATTGCAGAGCGACCTCCCATATATACCATATGACGTCCTATTGTAGAACAAGTTCTAGAGAATATCGGGACTTTCGTATTTGGTGCAGCATCGTGAAGTTGACCACTCCTAGACGTGAAATTTGGGAAATATAGCTGACGCGGAGGAGGCATGTCCTAAATCAAACCAACATAACCATCTAACAACACATAATTGCCTAATCAGGATCTCCAGTTGTCAGGTCCATGTGCTCAGAATCCATGTCTTCATCTCGAACAATAATCTGTTACCATCCAACTATCGTCTTCTCGATTATGTAGACTGCTTTCTAAGTCCTTCTGATTAGTGCGCCATCGCGGTCACCAACATGGAGCACCAGTATTTGCAACAGTCTCAGTTGTGTCCTACCTCATATTGACACCATTCGGAAGATCGGAGGGACGGCAATCATGTATCAAGGCGAAGTGATTACAGAGTATGACTTGAATTTTCAGACGTGAAGAGTGACAAGGCTCCTAACTCAAGCAGGCGCTCTGACGAAGGCCTTCGATGCCACGGCTGTTGCCTAATTGGTGCATGAGGCCTTTTAGACTGGATTGGGTCCCTCACAAGCTACACACCCGAGCTCTCCTTCAAGTCGAATTCATCCTTGGCTGGCCGTGACCGTGATAGAATTACTTTCCCATCGAATGGGTCTTGCACAGCTTGATGCGCTGTTGCTTGCTAATGGTGAAGTCAACATGCACCAAACTTCACTATTGGCATGTCAACGCATCTTTATCCCGTGTGTCCACTTCAATCTCAGTGGCTGTACAAAAATATAATGTATGCACTAATAGGTTGGGGGATGATTGAGCGGGCAATCTACTCATCACTAGGCGTGGTTCTGGCGTCCCGTATCCTCGACAAAGTCGGACTGAATCAGACTACTATCATCGATTTGCGAATACCACCCAATTAGAGGGCTTTACCTTACCTTAGACGAAAAGTCTCTAGCGTGGCCCTTAATGAGGGGATTTTGATGGTCTCAGCTGGCGATATTCGGAGCACGGTCCATGATATGCTGAATGGGGTCACACTATGCTGAATCCATTCCACTAGGATGAAGCTACCTTAATACCGTCGAGTCAGCTTTTGGAACAATTCCTATGTTTCTGACGAACTCACCGCCTAGGATTCGCCACAGTGAGGACGCCAGCGCATTTCAGCAAGACGGGGTTCAATCCCGGCTTCTTGACAACAAAGTGCCAGTTTGGGAGATGGGACCCGAGCCGCGGCGTTGATACAGGGTGTCTGAACGCCAGGTCTTCACCAGGTCTAAGGGCCACGTTGGAATGCAGGAGAGAAAAACATTCTCTTCTCTGTTGGCCGTGCAACTCTGTGCACGGACACTTATTACGAGAATATAATGCTTACTGGGGCAGCATCACAGAGCGAACTTACCGTACATAGTATCAACACGTTTGCTGGTAGGTATAGATTAAGCTTAAACATTGAAAAGGGGCACCTGTAACCTCCGTTACAACTAGGGACGATTATATCTTTAAGCAGATACTGAAACAAAATACTCAGTAACGCCGAAATAATATTGGATAGTTAGATTTCATCTTTTAGTATAACGTGAATATACACCGAGCTGGCCATGACACCGAGCTGGCCACCCTTACATAACCTCGCATAGAAATTTTACGATAGTAAAACCACAATGCCGTAAATCAATTGAAACTACTCTGGATCTTCCTCTCCAGAAGATGGCAATGCGATATTACAAGTTCGCGCATTATGCCCAGTCCCGTTGCAAATACCACAGCGCCTCGGGCGCGTTTCAACACGCTTTGCGCGACCACCATTTCGGCGCTCTTCTTGCTGTATCTGCGTCGCCAACTCCCTAGAGTCCCGTAGGTCCTGTCCTTCTTGGAAAATAAGTGATTCTCCTTCCTGTAATTGCATTTTTTTAGTCCTCCGGCGCCGGCTTAGCATCTTATTTGCCTCTCGAAGCTCAGCGCACTCGGCCCGTACGAGGGCGAGCTCGTGCATTATCATTTTTGCTCCCTTCGCAAACTGGTCGACAGCTGAGAAAATATTTGCGACGTGCGACGAACCTCGAGGCCCAGCGCGTTCCAATGGGCCCTGCGTTACGTGTCGCGCGGATAGAATTTGCCATTGCTTCCACATCAGCAATCCGGGGCGGAAACGCTCGTGGATCTAAGTCCAGTATATGCTTGATAATGACCTCCTCTTCTAATTCTGTCATAGTTCGTGAATTGGGCAAAATATCGCGTCGGAAAGGTACGCCGTTTTTACGCGTTTGGAGGGTGCTTCGGGGGACTTGGTACGTTTTTGCCGCTTGTCGGAGACTAAGTTTTTGGTCATTTTTGAGAGCTTGAAGGGCTAGCATTAAGTCTGCTTCGTTGTATGACTTTGCCATAATTGGTTGTTGAGAAAATCAAAGATTAAGTTGGCCGGTCGCGTTGGCGCATGAAAGTGGCCAGCTCGGTGTCATGGCCAGCTCGGTGTACATTCACGTTAATCTTATAGGATACTCCGATGTTCTAGTATATTAGACAGGCATAACTTTATTTTTTTCTATTTGAAGATGTTGTTTATTTTGTCCTCCTCTTAGTATTAATGCACTTGTTGGTGGCACTAGAATCGACGCACAGCTAGAAAGGATTATCTTCTTAGGTTGGAAGGACAGCAGATAAGAGTATGCATATGTTACGGCATTGTCCTGGGAGCTAGTATTAGACTTGGAAGTTTAGTATAATGTTCAAAAGGTCACATGGATAAATTGCCAAGTGTTCATAGTCTAGCCTGCAGAATGTGACCTTCCTTATGGTAACTTGCCAAGGATCGGCTCAACCCAGCTAGTGTACACACGACGTCCACCATCCACCGCAACCCACCAAATATCCAGATTTTACAGTGGAGATAATACCAACGCGGGGAACTGGTGAGTTGGTCTAGCTGATATTTAGCGGGAGCCCTATTATTCGTATTTAGCATGTACTACCTGGACCTTGCTAGCCCTGCTAATGCTATATAGGGACATGTACGCTTGAAAATTTCTTACAATTAAGTAGTTATTTTATCTCGCCATCCTCCCATCGGTCTTATAACGCTAATATACTTTTATAGAGCAGGATTCAGCCCACTCTCGAGTTATTCGGCACACGTTAAGGGTGTTATCAAGGCTTCTACGGCCTATCCTAAGGCTATCAACTACCTATTCTAGTGCTTCCGTGGCTAGACCTTCTCTAAACACGTGAAGGAGATCTTATCGTAGTCGTAGGAATCTATAGCTATAATATTTATAGGAATTAATGAATCCAAGGATGAAATAGGTGAACTCTTGAGCTACGAATTGGCTATAATCGACGAGTCTAGGCTCGGGCAGTTTTATATATTATTAGTGTGATGAACTCGTAGAGTTAGGAGAAGTGACCGCGTTACAGGCTACAGTAATTTTGTAGACCTTAGGTAACAGATATTCGAAGGCTAACTTCGCGAAAAGAGGACCGAATCAGAAGCGGAAAATAGGTGACTAACAAATATGATGACAATTACGCGTTACCGCTTCAGAGTTTCGACTATTCGTAATATGCGTCAGCGCGAGTGTGTATAACCTTTTAGAGCACAGAGAGAAAGATGTGGCGTGTTGTCCATAGGAGATCTAGGTTGGTACTGGTAGATTTGTATGAAGGCCAAAAAAAGATGTTTTTTTTCTTTTTCTATGATGGTTACTTCTGGTTTGAGGCGGGGTTTTGTAGCCCTGTACTTGACCGTACCTTCCCATCTCTGGTGGGTTGGAACCTGGTGGCTACGCACGGTGCACACCTGTGACAGTATTTATCCATGTTTTTGAACATCGTCTATTTGCGGACATATCTATGTCGTCAAGTATCTTCTTCATAGGAGCTCTGAAATCCTCCCCACTTGTGTACCCTCCGAGTCCCATGTGACCTTTACTGGCTCGTGATTGCCTGAAAACCTTTCGCCGCCGAACCAAAGTTCGAACCTGATATCTGCTGGTGCTACAATAGCTCGCACTTCGAAACTGCATATATAGTACTTCTTGCCCTTGATGAAGAAGCGTTTGGACTTCCGCTTCATGATTAAATCATTGTTCTGGACCCCAGTGAGGTCGCTCTTGACCACGCAGAGTTGTTTTGCGCCACCTATTGTCGTTAGTGAACAATCTGTGTCATTTTATGGCTAATTGCTCACCTTCGGAAACACTTTTGGGGAGGAAGTCGCGGTCCTTGTCTGATATATAAATAATGGAATCCCAAGACCTTGCCTCATCCCCCGGATCGACCTTCTTGGTAAAGGTTGACGTTATAGGGATATTGGTATTGATGACATCACCCTGATTTTATTAGCACCGCTAACAGTAAAGCGTTTACGGTGTCTTACCTTTCTAATCAACCAGTCAAGCTGGCCCATTGCATATTTCTCACCATCGAAAGGGTCCTTCTTAACCACGTCGTTGAAGTGGATATCGGGATTATACTTCGCTTTGCATATGAACCCATAGCTGGCTCGGGCTATCCTGCTGACAATCACTGGAGTGGAACCAGAATAAAGCTTCTGCAACCGATCGAGTAGCAGTCCTTTGACCACTACGAGTTGCGGATCTGGTGCTTGCAGTATCTTGACTTGCTGGGCATATGGATATGGGTGAATCATTAACTCATGTTGAATGCGATCTCGAATATATCTTGAGCTGCCCAAACCTCCCGACAGGATCATGTGTGTCTAGTATGATTGTTAAGCTGAATACAATGCTGGAATGTCAAATTCTGAACTTACTAGAGAGCGGTTGTTGCCGTTGATTTGCATCCAGTCAAGCTGTTCCTGGATTTTGCGCATAATGCTCTCAACATGTGGATCAAAAAGAGATTGGATATCTTCCCTATTTCACATCAGCAGGGCGCTCCTCTTCAATGTTACCAAATACTTACCATGTCAATACGATCCTACCTAGCTCGATCCGCGCCCCTGCATGTGTGAAGTTGAAAGGCACACCATCCAGGGGTAGCTTGTACGTTGAGGATTCATATACTCGCTCCCCAAACTTGTGTTTCGTCGTCCGGAATCTTTCACTTCTCACCAATCTTTCCGCGCAGTCAGGGGGAAGTTGATGGACCAATTCGGGGAACTGACTGAGGCGGCTGTTGACTAGGGAGACAAAGGCTTGGTCGATCAGAGTAGAGCCAATACCAATGCCTTCCACCTGGTTGATCTGGGCGAGTAAAGGGAATGGCTCTCTGGCCTCCACGACTTGCATCAACGCAAAGTCGGTGGTTCCGCCGCCGGCATCGACGGAGAGGAAGATGTCCCCAGTTTGAAAATCAACTGTCGAGTTTTTGATGGTCCCAACGGCTGCGGCTTCTGATTCAGTGAGTTCAACTGTTGCTGTGTGCCTCGGGCCCTCGACTCCAAATCCCGCACTCCTAATTGTATCCTTGAAGTTGTTGATGGTATCTTGACTTCTCCATGTTGTAGGCACGCTGAAGACGAACTCTACTGCTAAGTTCTGCCAGCCTACATGGCCTATGCCCGTATGCAACTCAACGGTGGACTTGACGTGCAGATAGACCTGACGCAGGTAGTCACCAACCAGCTTCTGGGCTTCATGAACTGACCCAGGCGCCTGGCTTATGCCTTGGTGGTGCGCTGCATCAAGCGTTTGATTGTCGAGGAAGATCTTGAAGAACTCTCGCCTTTGCTTGTCGGTGAGATCATCATCCTCGCACAGAAATCCCCAGGATGACAAGCTACCATCGGGATTGTAGATCAGACAGGTGTGGACCTTTTGCTCATTCTTGCTGGATCCACCAGGCCAGTTGTGAAGGACCTGCAGAGGCGATTGTAAGACTTCGTATTTCTGAGGTCGAGCCCAGGCAACGCCTTCGTTCAGGGTCAATAATCTCGGATCATATGTTTCTCAAGGGAACTTGCCGGTATAGGTGGTGCCCAGGTCTAACGCCACAATGATGTCCGGCTTGTCACTGGCCATCCCTGGTGTCTGCTCGGGGTGCACGTTGCCCCCACGGTAAAGACTACAACAGGAAGCAGGATATGGATTATTGGACGAGATAGAGGACTCTATTATGAATGAAAATAGCGGCAAACGAGATTTAAAACTGCCAAAATGCGTCTTTTGCGTCACAAATTTGCTACGGCTGCGTAGAATACCCGGGTGAAAGTGATTTGTAATGTCGGCACTGCCCACAGCCTTGTCGTGCACATAGATGAGGAGCAAAGTGAGTGAGTACCTAGGACTCGAATTTCCGATCGCTGAACAGGCTCTGAAGCTATGTCCAGTTCACCGGGCCGCTACATGTCGACACACCTGGCTGCGGACACTGTGTCTAATCTTGGAAATATGGCTCGGCCACGAAGTTAGTTGCGTAGGCGCGGCTTTTCATGGTACCACACAGCTTGGGCGCACTTGATGCAACCTAACCGAGCCCATTCGTGTGTTTGCCCGTTGTCCATCCAGTTAACGACCCAGTGAATACAGCTGGTTGGAATAACAAGGCTTGCTGGTCGGGATGTTGGTGGAAATCGGCCCCCAACATAGAAGCAGGCTGAGGATCGACGTTGCAAGGAATTATGCAGTTGGTTCAACGTAGAAGCAGGCTGAGGATCGACGTTGCAAGGAATTATGCAGGGGGTTCAATTTGAGCAAGCCTTGCTGCTTTTGCGATCAGTGAAACCCCGCACCCTCTCACCCCGTCTCGGACTCTCCCCTACATTGGAGGCATATACCCGTTCTTTTGGGAAAAACTATGGGGAAATATCTGGAGTTCCAAGCTGTTCGTAGGTTTACTCGGTTCAGAAGCAGTACTTCAGGTACTTAAGTGACTAGTATCAAGCAATGATAAGGCGGGCGAGCTTGTGAGGGCTACCCCTAATTTGGATCTAGTAATAAGTCGGCCTAATGACGACAGGGGAGGGAGGCTATGCAGGAAACTCGAAGGAACGTATTAGTGCTAAGTCAGAATAGGAGTATGGTGCCGCTGCGGCTGACAACTGCATGAAAATGGCGCGCTGGACAAATATTGTATGCCACTCAAGCACAGCCAGTTGATAGCTTTTACAACGTATCTTCCTCGGCTTGTCTGCCTCACACCCACGACACCAATTCCTGTGACATCGCGTGTGGTTATTTCAACGTATTTTTGCCCTTTCCACATAACGGGTATCTCCAATTTCTGAATTCAAAATAACCAACTATAAAAGTTACCTCAGGTTTCAGCATGGCGGCAGCAGCTTCGGCATCGACGTCAACGTCATGGCTATTGACTACAGTCACAAAATCAATCACCACCACCATCTCGAGTAAAACATCGGAGACCACAAAGACCACGGACACCACCCTCACGCAGTCCTTGGGATACGATATTGTCAATGGAATTACGATAAACTCAACATGGGGCCCGGAAATTCCTTCCAAACCTGCTTCGTCAACAGGCACTGGGCATCATATTCAAACATCTTCTGCGGTGTCGACTACCCTGTCGGATAACCGAATATCAGGGAACACGCCATATTCAACCTCAAGCGCGAGGCCAACTGTGAGTCCCGGTGTGCGTTCTGGAGCAGCCGCAGGCATTGGTATTGGTTGCGCCGTTGCTGGTCTTGTAATTGGAGCATTGGTGGCTTTCTTCCTGCGCCGTCGGCAGCGCAAACAACGGCAACCTGAAAATTTGCCGATGGAATATGACGGGAAAGAGAAAGACTTTCCTAATGTTCCTGTGGCTGGAGATGTTCGCTTAGACCAGTTTCTCCTCGACAGCAAGCCAGACAGGGACCTGACAACCGAACTGAGGTCCTTGAGTGATTTGATCCAGCAACACGTCGAGAGTAATTACCACCTTGAACCAGTTCAGAGAAGCCCCAATGCTCTGGCTCCGGCTTTGGCCAATCTTGGGATATCTCGGACTGGAGGACTTACGACTAGTCACCTCGCTGCTCTGGCACTTGACCCAAGGACCAGATACCCGGCTTTGCAACATGTCATCGCAAGAGCTACCTTTGAGAGCACCGCTCTACAGAGCGACTCTTCCATATCTCTTCTACCAGAATTCACGGGTTCATTTGCGCATGCGGTGCCACCAGTTGAACCGCACCGAGGAAGTTCTGAAGGTTAGTATAAAATGCACACACATCTATTAAAATGAAAGAATGCTAATGAGAGCATCGTATAGCGGTTGCTGCTGCTTTCTCAAAATGGAGACAGCTTTCTGCCTTCCTCCTGAATCCTCATCGCAGCGAGCGAACTCCTCTTACACCGACCGAGGATGTCAGTACGCAGCAAGCAACGCAGCTCGCCGCTGCGCTCAACAAATTCCTCGGGCCCTTCATTGCGGGCGATCGCGAGAGCGGATATGAGCAAGAGAACCATTTGCGCGAGGTCATTGTTGAATGCGCTTCCTTGGGCTATGTGTTGTTCTCCCAGCCACAGGAGTACAGGTTCCGTTTTGACAGCGATGGGAGACAAGTAGGCATTGTGGTCCACCCTGGTTTAGATAGAGTGCGTGATGAGGAGGGTCGAAAGTACCCTTCACCTCAGAGACTAGCTACACCGATTGTGAGAGGCATTTGAGTGCACACGAATAGGTTTCAGCTGCGTAACTTACAAATTTTGGTTGATAACAGTTGATTTCATTTGAAACGAATCATTTTGAAATCCAATTCATGTAATAGGCCGTAGAAATCAGCGGCCGGCATGAAGATGCGCGGAGTCTCCAGAGAACAATCTAATGTGTGGATGATTGACTGGAAAACTGGTACCCGTAAGTTGGGTTGGTGAGCTCAAGCGAATCCGAAATACGTGGCGCGTGGCACGGGTAGGGGGCGCAGCAAAGATCTCAAGAATTCCGGGACGACCAATGCATATCTATTTCGAGAAGAGCTAATAAAATGTGACTAAAATATAGCCTTGCATGAGAAAATCATGACGAGAAATGAAAATGAACGAAAGTGCTAATGCCCAGTGCGTGAGACCATGCGGCTGACTGGGTGTGGAAACAAGTCACCCCTGAGCTGCAACCCTGGCACACAGCCCTGACGCACCAACCCTTCGCCATTTCAACTGTAGCTTAACTACTATAGTAGACCAGGTCACCCCGCCAGCAAAGGCCCCAAGCCCGACGATGCAATCAAATGCCCTCTACCCCGCGAAAGATACCTAGTATCATGATAAATTGTTTAAGCTGAAGTAACGTCTGATGTGACTTTGGCAAGCTTTGCGCAGCCCGCCATGTTTGCTGGGCACTCTACGTCTAGCCAGAGATTCAACTCGATTGCCAACTCGTTGAGGTGGCTGGCGCGAGCCGAGAACGTCCCCGATGAGATCCAGCACTGCCTGCAACTCATTCCGTTGGTGTCTCGCGACGCGCACCATCTTTGTGACCTTCGCAACGAGAATCTTGCCGTTCTCCGGAGCACACCGAGCGAGCTTCACAGGATAAACGACCTCCTCGCCACTTGCGCCAGAAGCCTCGCCGACGTCGAAAGTATGTTGGAAAAGTACCGGCCACAGGAATATGAGGGGAAAGTGCAGGCTAGTTCCACTATCACATGGATGCTGGCCGACTCGAAGACGTTTGCTGTGCGCTCCCGCAACCTCCAGATCCATCACCAAAACGTCTTGAATGAGATCAGCCACCTAAAGATGTACCGCATGATGGACCCAATGTTGCAAATGGCAGAGAAAGCAGACCGTCAGTTTGAGAACCTCGATCTTCTCAAGGGGCTGTTCGGCAACAATGGGAAAACATCAACCACAGGTCCGTGTCTCTTTGTCTTGTGACATATCGGTTACTTATGGAAATAAGATATTCATGCTCCTCAACTCTGCCGGGAGTCGCCTACGACAAAATCAGAACCCACGTCACAAGCGTTTGACATCATGGAGCATCCAGTGAAATCTACATCACAGTTCGCGCCAGCTAGCGAACCACCAGTACCAGAGAACTCCAGTGATAGCTTGTCGCAACCTCCACCTTACGCACCCCTGCGGCCTTCTATTGTCGAGCCTAAGAAGACTGCTTCCAAAGCGCCCTCTATTGGCTCAAATGATTCTAGCCGTCCGAGAATGCCCTCAACCCCAAAGGCAGTTGCCGCAGAGCTGCCCAGATCACCAGTCCATCAAACTCGTAATGAGTTGAGCGTCGCACCTAGATCCTACAGCATGCCAATCAGCCAGCCTGGAAGCGGACTGAAGTCGCTTTTCCAGGCTCCTGTGCCCTTAGCGTTGCCATCCCCTGATCAAAGTCCCCCATCCCGTCCAAATCCGACGAAACACAGGTCCCTCGGTGCGTTCCCGACTCCAGTGGTATCCCCCATGTCCAGCATGGCAAGTCTACAATCAGAGGCTTCGATCCCAACTGCAGCATACCAAATTCTCGCCCCCACCCTGGAAACTGCCCGGCAAATTAGCAAACAAGAATTACCCTACCAGAGACTCAGGCCTCAGTCTTTCAGCACCGCGAAAGTGCCAAGTCCCCTCCAAACCGTTGACGACGATGATGCACAGAACAGTAAGCCCGTGCCACAAGGACGTCATCGTGGGCTGTCCCAATTGTTTGTGTACCGACCACGGCCCATTCCCGACCAGCAAACTGCCCAAAACAGCGAGGCGCACACACCGAATGATTTAATTTTGTTCGAGCTTGAGGGATCCAACCCAGATTACGTGCAAGCAACCGAAATCCGCATAAAACGGGCGCAACATGAGAGGAACGCTGAAGAGTCACGGAGCCGACTCGGCTCAGATGCTTCGGCGTCACAAGCGTCACTTGTGTCTCAGAGGTCGGATACCACCACCTCGTCAGTGGCCGAGGTAGCTGCGAGCAGAAGGGATGAAATAGATGCTGCAGCTTGGCAGCGCAGAACGCAGTTGTTTCAAGTACCCCAGATGAAGGAGAGCAGGGGACAGTGAGAGACTTCGGGGCGGTGCTGGATATTTGCGCGTTGAATGCGATGGAGACATGAGTGATGAATTTGATGCATTATACAAATATTATGACCATCAGCGGTGTTTCGGGTACAGACGATAGGGAAGGTGTGATTATAAGTCATTTTGTGGGATGCATGCACATGTGTAACTGGAAATAAGCCCCTCGACAAAGTTTTGAATTTCAATGATACCATTATATATTATGAACTTGATCGTCATATTCTGCTTATAAGCGATATTTGCCCATTGGCACTAAGCAAGAAGCGAATTATTATGTGTATAATAAAAAAGCGCTGTTTTCACTAACCTTCACTTAGAGACTCCGTCAAGTTTTGAACGTGAAACTGAAGAACATCAAGGCTTGGAAGGTTGCATCAGTGAATACTTGAACTGTTGTTAACTGTCAATTTGGATACCTTATTTGACGCCATTTCCCGATTTATCGTATCTCATCAACCCCAGCAATAAATTCGGTTTGCATACAAGGCCTTCACATAGATAGACAGGGTTTTAGAAGATTAGAACGGCATTGCTCATCCCGGTGTCTGCTTCGCTTGAAAGTTGGTGTACTTATTACATTGTGGGTCGCTTAATTAACTTGAACGAAATTGCTGAGTTACGACAGTGACTGTTCCCAACAACCACCGCCATCACGATACTAAAAGCTAGATTCAGTGCCCACCGCATAATTGCGTACTTCCCGAGTTTAATCTGGAGCAAAAGAGGATCCAAAAAGCCTCAAATCTAAGTCTTAGCAGTGTATAATAAGGGCTGCGGGTAATACAGGACTGTGTAATAGACCGCAGTGATACAGATGGAAAGCACGGCAACACAACCCTTCGAATTTGGAAAGAAAAGATGCTACTTCTCCTGACAGAACTGCTACAATTTTTACCCAAAAGGTCTCATATCTGACCACCCCAAGCTCAAGACTTTACGCAAGCCAGGAAGAGACTGTGGAAGATTTCATGATGTAATGTTATGTGACATGCGCCTCCAAAACAAAAGCCCCACGTCCAAGCTCACCCACAAGACCATGCAATCAAGTCAAGTTTTGAAATGTTTTCCCTTCAATATCCCTCTATCATTTATATCCCGATCCTTAACCTTCGAATCATCCAGCAACTCTTCAATTTCGGTTCTCTCTTCGGCCAAACTGATCGCTCCAGGCTCAAAAGTGGCTCGGGTTATGTCCCCGTTCACCAAACCAGCCTGGGCATCCGTATCCGTAGCCGTAGCCGTAGCCGTAGCCGCAGCCACATTCTCCGTAACCACTACCACAACAATCGGCGGCAGGGCGAGCGGCAAAGGATAGTGATATACCGAAGCCGGATTCGTAGTGGCAGTAACGTTGAGCTTCCAAGTATACCATGTGTCGTGCGCGGGCGGATCCCACGAGACCCATATCTCCGTGGCTGTGCTCAAGTAGCTGACGCAGTGGCGCTCAGGGGGGAGGCTTCTGCTGTCTGTCTTGTCCGAGTACGAGGTGAAGGTGAAGCCTGGTTGGCAGCACATGGCCTGTCGGTTGACGAGGGTGGACGACTCAAAGGACGAAGTATCAGTGTGGCTCAATATATACGCCGTTGTCCAGTCTGCCGGGCAGGCGGTGCCGGGGTATGCGGCGGTGGTGATGTCCGCGACTTGCGAATGCTGTCCGTCTGTAGAATGCATTGTCAGTAAGTGCAACATACCCAGGCGGAGGGTAGAGGTGTAACATACGATAGGACTCGGAGAAAAGAGTAAAGTAACTAGGTGGATAGCACATGTCCTTCTTGTCCAGATGGTTGGCGTCCAAAGTAAAAGCCAGAATACACGGGAAAGCATCGAGGTAGGGCTCCTGGTTGTATGCTACTGGACAGTAGACTGAGGGCTTGCATGGGTTCTGATTTGGATCCCCGTTGTAAGGGTAGCTGAACGGGGTTGTCTGAGCCGGCAGAACGAACGTTGTCGTCACGGGGGTTGTTCTTGTTATGGTCGACATGATTAAGAGCACGATTCAAGGGAGCTACTCCAGGAGGAACTAGATTGATGGTGGAATTTGAGTGACACTATTGCGCATTCGATCAGGACTGATTATCAATTTATACACGGTTGACCATACGATATCATGTTTGCTCTGATGCATAATACGTTTTCAATGGTATCATTGATGAACTGGCTGACTTGGTCCTTCTCGGGATATGATACGTGAGTCCACGAATTATATCATATGTGATGGCATGTTGTGAAATGGTTGTAACGCCGACCAGGTACTATCATCATCCAATTTCGCTTCTTGAACAGCTATGAATTCGAAGCTTCGAACGAGACTCCGGCTGTGGTATCCAATGAGCTCTTCGTAATCGACCCAGATGAAATGCAATGTCGGACCCTATTTGGGTTTGTGCAAGTCTCAACTTTCCTTACCACCGGATCAGGCCCGAGCAGTCCGTCATGGAAGCTTATCTTGTGTGCTATGAATCGGGTGATACTGGAGTTGGTAAGCTCGGCTTTTGTCAAGCTTGGAGCCGCTCGCAATGTTGATCATCTATCATCCTACTACCATGACACATATTTGGTCGAGGAGGCTAGTATCGTCAACAGGAATATGACGAGACCTGGGCAAGCGACGGGATGTATCGAGTTATATTCGGGAGCCCAACCAGTTCTAGATGCCCAATGATCGGCTTTCCGACATAATTACGGCAAACATTCATCTTGACCGATAATATGAATAAGTGTTCGCCCTAAATGCCGTGTTGGCACATGTCATGTTCGCAAACTCGTACCTGCAGTATTTGAGGTGTTGTAGCACTCAGATTGCGACTTGAGAAAGCCAACTGTCGTAAATGCCTATTTAGACACATTATGACGTTAGTTGGATGGCTAGTAAGAGCCCATATCACTGATACCATAGCTTCTCAATCTGACGAGACACTTGTTTCGCGGCTAGAGTTAGGACGGATTAGGGTTATCGATGCTTCTTGATCGATCAGCACTGGCTCGGAATAACCCGGGACTGTTCGATCCTCCTACGGACAAATTGGACATCATGAACCCGATTATTTGTCTCGTTCGACGTCTCCAACATGTAGCGGGAGTTTTCCCGGTTAATCTCGCATGCTATTGCCATAGTCGACTTGAGGAGTTGAAGCCGCCGCTTATCCCGGGGAATGATGATTTGCTAGGCACGAAGTGTCAGATTTATTGGTGGCGGCCCAGGGGTCTCGGTCTCGGCTGTATCCGCTGCCCTGAAAACTGGATGGGCCTGGGTCAACAAAGCCAGTGGAACAAAGCCAGTGGGAAGCCCAGAGATGTTTTCCCTCTCACTTCAAGTTCATCCCATCGAGTCTGATATGATCTCGAACAAGTATATCTCCACATTTCCTTGATTCAACGTCATACGACCCAGGCCATCGTGTGGGCAATCGACGCATTGGACCTGAGCTGCTCACATTTTGTGTTGAGTGCTCGCCTCACTCGGTTTGCTCACACACCAAGCATATCGAGCCAATATGGATGCGCCGAACGATGAGTTGGCAGTCGTCGATGCATCTGCATGCGAGACCCTTCACACAGTCTAACGTCAATTCTGGCCCAATCCGTCCCACATGCAACGCATCACAGCGTCGGCACTATGCATTCTGTGATCAGCTCGCAGATCTCATGATGGCCCAATTGACAGAAATCCGAGAGCAGCCGAAGACAAGTCTGATGGCACCCGCCTTTGGCTTTCATGTTCTTCGCTGGCGTAATTTATTTCGAATGCAACCACTACTATTGAACGCTTCCGGACATTGGCCCCCTTCGAACCTCATGTTCAAGCCAAACGCGCTGACCGACCGTCACTATCAAGTTGACGAAGTAAGTCTACGGCATTGTTGCCAGTCCTAGAGTTGGGAACTGTGCTTGATAAGCCAGGAGACCCAATCCACTACCTAGGGTAATCACCTGGAAAGCCAATGTTGACAACTGCTACAACTGATTTTTCAGAGCTCTTCAGTTTGGGAAGGTCTAATATGGTGAAACCGATGTCTCGCAGCTTGTTGCGGCCAAACTAAAATAGTTGAGATCGTGCCGTCGGGCTTGTCTCCCCAAAGCCATGCTGCTTCTTGCATCTCCAAGACGAATGAGGGCCCGGCCCAGACTGCACGCACCCTATTGTGAAGCCTTTCAACCTGCATCGCATCAGTCAACACCCTTCTCACGAGACGAATGAGCGACCACTGTCCACGACACTAACCACAGTCATGAATATTCCCTCTCCTCGGATGCATATGCAGTCTTTTTTGAGGCAAGTCGCCGTTGGTCCACTCGACCGTCGCTTCTACTGCCGCCGCTACTTGCGCGGGTTATGAAGAAAGGTTAAAATGGCAATGCTCGCACAACGGCCGCATCATGCGTGCATTTCTCGGGATTCTCTTTTTTTCCTTCTCGTCTTCGTTTCTCTACTCTCATTACGCTTATGTCATCCTTATTCTCCAATGAACCCCCTTGTAGTCCCAATTGTCCATCATCATCCCCATGTATATCCCCCTTTCCCAAAGCGCAACCCCCAACATCAACCCCGCCCCGGATCCCGGGTCCGGAACGGAGTTAGCGGGGCTTTACGATCACGACCTTGTCAATTATGATGTCTTCGACTTGGTCTCAAATACCATGTTCCCCTGGTTTCAACGCATGGTTTCCCAAGTTCTTCATGCCTTCACACCTGCATCTACCTCGACAACACCGCGAGGCCCTTCATTGCGGAAGCGTACCACGACGGAGGAGATGAACGTCAAGATTGGAATCATTGTCGGCGTTATCCTGGCGGTCTTCTTGGTCGCGACGTTCGCCTTTTGCTGCATCTACCGCAACTCAATTCGCTTAAAGAAACGCAAAAAGGTTCGCCGTCATCGCAAGTCGGGGGGCTCGAAAAGCTCCAAGAGCTCAACAAGTTCCGGTGGTGGTGACCCTCAACTTCCAACGTCTCCGCCTGCACCTGCACCTGCCCCTGCCCCTGCCCCTGCCCCTGAGTGAGCCGACATCACCCTGAGTTTGTACTAGAGGAGTAGGAGCTCTTGAATGAGCGATAACGGCTACGGGGATTCATATAAATCACTTCCCTACCTGTTTCTCACCAAGGGGATACTTGAATGAAGTTTTACTTAGCTTCCCTTTGTATCACGAGATATTGGCGCATTATTTGTTTCGGTGTAAGATATTGTTTTGCATCTGTACGGGTACGGGGACTCGGTGTATCGGTATGTTTTGTTGTCTCTAGAAAAGCGAGTTACCTGGTGATGTGGATTTATGAGGCTACGTACAACTACTGTCAAATGATACTTCATGTTATTGGGACAAGTCTCAGCTCTCACCTGTGAAATTTCTTCAAATCCACTACCAACTGCCTACAAGCCTGCTGTAATGCTCACACGTAAGTGGAGACGATATCTCCCGAGTGCTTGGTTTGGGTTCCGTCCCATTTGATGCCCAACGAACACTGCCGAAGCTCTAAGTCGCTGCATACCCACCACGGCGCAGTAGCTTCTCCGCGTTATGCCAGCTCATCCACCCATGCCCCAACTCCATGCGACCAACGGGATACGACGAGTTGCCCCATCATCAGCGGGGCTTGTCCAATATAAGGGGCGTGTTCTTGAAATTGACTTGCCAGCAACCTAGCCCGAGGCTAGCGTGCCCGGCTTATCTCGTCTGGTTGGGGAGTTGAGCATGCTATTCAGAGGAGAAAGCAAGCAGTCTCCTCGCTTCTGCTTCTGAGTAGCTTGCAAGAGACACAGGGCCGGTGACAAGTGAAAAATCGTCCCATATACCCTAATTTGGGCCTGTTGTGGAGCAGGAGATTCTAGTGGCATGTCAAATGTGCAGTAAAGCTAAGCTTTCTTCCCTCGGCATACTTCTTGGTGGACTCTAAGTCCCAGCAGCGACACAAATTTGCACCCTGAGTCTCCATCAATACCATATCTAAAGTTTAGAACGCTTGATTCATATTCCCCTGCTGTGGCGCCCACAAAGCGACGCCGGTTCGCCACCTGGAAGCAGAAGCAGCAATCCCGCCACTAGACCTCTATCTTAGTGCCCGGGCTGCTAAGTTTGAAGAACGGCTACGGCTTAGCGGGAAGAGAAATCTGCTTCGCAGCGCGAGCGCTAAAGCGTCACATATACTCCGGCAGGATAGGCCGGCGAAGAGGAAGCAGGCGTCGCAGCTACTCCGACCGGCAGGGTACACTGTGGAGAAGGAGGCCCGGGGCTCCGAGTGGATGAGTGAGGAAAAGGAGGTCCCGGCTGCCCTCTTCGGACACTGGAGGAAGAGATGGCTCACCGGAGCAGAGCATCACGATCGCCAGCGACGCGCCATCGCTGAGGAACCGGAGGGCCCTTCGATGCAGATACCGAAAGGGGGCAAGTATTTCGGCCTGAACCGACTGGAGGCGTCTACGCTGTGTCAGATCAGGACGGAAAAAATAGGACTAGCAGCCTTCTTCTTCAAGACAGGGGCTTTTGGCGTGTACTCGCCGCTATGCCGCTGTGGCGATGCCCCTGAGACGGCAGAGCACGTAATCCTCTTTTGCGGGCTGTTGGAAGGACCGAGGGAACGATTACGGGTCGCTATCGCACCACGGCCACTATACTCTCGCAGAGACCTCGCAACGGCAACAGGAGAACCAGTAGTTAGTGGGACTATTGTAAGGTGGCTGCTAGGGACGGGTCGGACAGCTTCAAGGCCCAGATAGCATCGATCTTCTCAGGGGGGACTTTGTTGGTAGGTTGAGAACCAACGTAGTATGGTAGTGAACGCAACGCAGTCGCCAATAGGGCGAACCGACGATGCAGCGTATGTATTTAGTCCAGCCATTAGGGCACAGTTTGACATACGGGAGTACTAGCAGAGGTACCGGGGGCTTCGAGCCTACGGCGTATTTAATAATAACATATTCCCCTGAGGACGTTACTACATGGCGGCAAGGGCAACAAATGAGGATTGCTCCTGTAAAAGAGGCCAGTTCACTTATTGTAAGACAACAGTAGTACATTTATACATTTACATGAGTCCAAACCTCTCCCAGCCTGCACAAATTATACATTCCGAGTGAGGGATAGGACGGTAGTGTCAGGGACAAAGCTCTAATTTAAACAATCAGGTTCGGACCATGATACCTTGTAGTCTGGTCATAGACTTTAGCGGTTGTAGTAGACGCGCGCTCGGGGAAGCCCTTGAACGAAGTGGCGTAAGTTGCGACTGAGTGGGCAATCAGCTAGGACATGTTAGCATAGAAGTAGAGCCGGCGAGGGCAAGCGTGAGGAGCATTACCTTGGTGTTTAGTTCCCAGGCCGTAAGATTCACATTGGACACATCATCGCAAAGCTGGTGGTAGCAGGGGTCAAACCAGTCGCCTGCGTTGCCACCAAACATAGCCTGCTGCTCCTCTGTCTTCACGCCCTCTGCACCAGTGGCAATGCCGCCGGCGGGGATACCAGCTCGGATGAACCCATCGTAGTCGCTACGTCCATCGAAAGGAATGAAGGTGTAGTTGAGGCCGTGGGAGTCGTACCAGTCCACATACAGATCCCGTAGTTCCTCTGATCCGGCAGGGAAAAGGTCGTTGGTGGCATTGTAGATCTGATACGCGAAGTTCGGAGAGGCCATCATGTCGTAGTCCATGAAAAGGCGAACTTTGAGATTCTCCTCGGGTGATAGATGTGCTGCATAGTGGTCAGATCCGAGAAGTCCTTCCTCCTCAGCAGCCCACCAAGCAAATCGAACGCAGTTCTGTGCCCAGCATTATTAGCCTTGAACGATGTATGTAGTGTTGAGTCTAATAAGGCGCGGATCATCCCGAAAGCTAGAACGACTCGCAAGACTGGAAGCTTCGAACGGGGGGTGGTGTACTTACGTTAACAGAGTACTCGGTCAACTGTTTGGCAACCTCAAGGAGACTCAAACTGCCGGTGCCGTCGTCATTGATACCCGGACCTTCCTCTACACTGTCGCTGTGGCCACCGAGCATGACGCAGTTATCTGGGTCTCCCTCAATAGTCTGAGCGATAATGTTGTCGGTCTTGATGGATTTGACATCAGCGTCCATGTATGCAATGACATCAATGTCTTGGCCTTTCTGCAATTTCTCTATAAAGGGCGCGGCTTCCTCTGCCGACAGACCGAAAGTTGCAACATGATACTTGGATGGGGAGCCGAGAGTACCACTGAGACTGCCCTTCTCGTTGTTGTAAATGACGGCGGCGATTGCACCAGCCTTGCCAGCGAGTTCTGACTTTGTACCAAAGGGACAGACGCCGCGAGAGATGAAGGCCACTTTGCCTTTGAGGTCAGAATAATCCTTAGGTTCACACCCAAGGTTGGATACCAGGACCAAGTCGCCGCGAACAGGCTCCTTGTGCGATGTCGGAGGCGTTAGGCTCATGGCCCGAGCGGACCTGGGAACTTCATCGCCAACAACGAGACGATACTCTGTGACCTTGCCCATTACCGCTGGGAATGTCTGGTTGGAAAGACTGTAGTAATCACCAAGCTCTGCGAGGGTTGCATAGATGTAGGACAGCGTTCCCAAATGGCCTGTGTCAGATGAGCATCAACGGACGATCCAACGAGCTTGGGTCGCTATGGTGCAAATGATAAGGGTCTCCTACCGTCGCTCCCAATCACCCGTGTGGGATGATTGTACTCATCCTCTCCCAGCTTCGCGATCTCGTAAAGGTCCATTGCTCGCGCGAGCAGGTTGTCGGCGGAGATGCTGTCTTGCAGAGCTTCCGTGTTGACCAAGGGCCGTCGCGCAGGCGTGCCCACAGCACCCAGGTGCACCTGGTCTTCCAAAGTAAGCGGGATTTGGAGTGAGGCGGCAGTGCCCAACAGTGTTATGGCTGCCGCCATGCGGAGTCGTCCGTAGCATGTCATCGTAACTCTATTTGTGTTCCAATGTCAGTTCGGCTAAGGTTAAAGAGGTGAGATGACAGAAAGCCTCACCGAAGTTGTTTATCACAACACAAGGCCAGCGATTAAGCTATGGTGCCGCTAGCCTGTAAGCGGTCAAGCTCAAGCAGGGATGGACAGCTACTGACGCAGGAACAGCTCGGCCCAATTTGCCGTTTCTGGCGTTTGCCGATTATCAAGCGGAGAAGTCCGCCGAATAACCTGGGGGACGGGGGACAGGGACATTCGTAGCTAATGAGAAAATATGTCAAAGGGGCAGAAATCAATCCACAGATTCTAAGTGCTTGGTTGCTTGTATTTGACATACTAGGAGCCCTGCTGAGGCTTACAGTCGCAATCATGAGGACGCGGGCGAGGAGTTGTGTCAACATACAACAATCAAATGGTTCCCAGCTTCTCATTGTAGAACAAAAGGTACCTGTATTTTAATGGTTACGGGGCACTTCCCGTGTTGCCAACTATTCCTCGCCTGTAATCCCACATACCTTGGTCATCCAAGTTCTCGAACCTTCAGTGCGTCCTTGCTTAAAGTTACCGCTTCGACGGCTACCATACTGAATGTGATGCATGAACCAATTGCTACGCTCATCGTGGCAAAACTCTGGCAAGGTCAAGTATCTGATATCCCTACTGGCGTTTCCCCAGTAATGACCCTGCTCGTCAACGCATTGGCTAGATAACCGGTTAACATCGCCAAGTTCAGCATGGAAATCAACCGCAAAATGGTAGAAATAAACTCACGTAACGAATGCCCCAGCTTGGGATTGGGGAGTTTGGCATCGCCTAGCATTTCTCTGACACCAATGTCGGACATGTTATTGTTCATAAGCGCCGGAAAGCCACAGGCGTCATAACCCTATTCATGTGCACTATAGTAAGTCATTACCAATGATACCTAAACTCCTTATTCTCTCGATCAGTCAAATCCAGAAACTCGCTGTTTTCTTTGTGTCCGATTCCTGAGTATATGCTGTCGCGCCGCTTGTTTTCCCAGGAGTAGTACGCCATCAACAGACCTGTCGAAGCGACGGAAACTGCAGCGGAGACTACGATGGTGATTTTGGCAGGTAGATAATCCGGCTTGTCGACATCGCGGAAGGTCAATGGCCCAATGATGTTCCCCAGACCTGTCCCAAAGTCAGTAACGCTACAGCTTTCCATGCCCCATAGGACTGCGAGAACCGATCTGAGCTTCTCTTGGACTTACAAAATGAGATCAGCACAATCGCATTCATGGTGACCTTTTTCGTGTGCCCGGCATAATTGGCCGCCGCAAGGCTGTATAGAATCAGCAAGCTACTTCCAATAACATTGGTCAAGTAGTTGCCAGCTAACAACCCGCCCTTATTGTCATGCGGTAAAAAAGCCAGCAAACTTCCCCCGAGGACACCACCGATCAGCAGCGTGGCGATGATAACGGGTCCGCGCATGTTGAATTTGGCAACAACAAGTCCGGCCGATAACACCGATATGCACGCCACCACACCGCTGGGAATAGACAGTAGAGCCGTCTCCTTGCTCGTATACCCGAACCCTTTGATGATAGTAGCCTGGTACGACGACACCGCGCCGTTCGGCACATTGCTGCAAATGGTGATCAAGCTTAACAGCCACGTCTGTGGATCCCTGAAGCACTCTACCACTTGGTACATCTTGAAATGCTTATTCTCGATTCCCGTTTGGTTTTCGCGCACGCGCTCGATAGCAAACTTCCTCTCCTCGCGGGTCAACTTCGAGGTCATGGGACTGTCGGGCATAAACACTACAACCAATGTACCGACGACGATAGTGATGAGCCCGAAGAGCAAAAATATGATCTGCCACGAAGTGAACCGCTCACCCTCGTAGTGCTGGAACCCAAAACTCGCCAAGGCGCCGATGATGCTGCCCGTTCCGGTCCCGACGTACCAGAAGCTGACGCGGGCGGGCTGCTCCGATTTTTTGTACCACATGGACGTGATGAGGATCAGGGCCGGTGCTACGGCGGCCTCGAAACAGCCGAGCAGCACGCGCAGGGTGACGAGAGCGGCCCAGTTCTTAGCGGCGGAGGTGAGGGTGACCATAAGGCCCCAAAGGATCACATTGGCGCCGAGGTACTTTGATGTGGGCAAACGCTGCATAAGGTAGCCGGTAGGAAACTCGAAGGCCAGGTATGTAACGTAGAATACGAGGGCCAGATGGGAGAATTGGTCGCCTGTTATCGAGGTGTCGTCTTGGAGGCCCATCACATTGGCGTAGTTAACTTGTAGTCGGTTAGCAAGGGGGTTCATAAAGGGGGTTCATAGTTTGATTGGTAATCGACGTACTCAATGTCTTGTCTAGGTATTGCAAGCTGTAGCAAGCCCCTATAGTTGGTTTAGCAAGTATTCAAAACGTCTTCGTTTCCCCCCATGATGAGAATGGGTTACTGACACATGAGGGGCACTATCCGAAAGTCAATCTTGCGAACCAATTTTTTCTCGTCAATCTCTGTCATCACCGTGGTGTTATCATGGTCGAGATACTCGAGAGCGGCATCCACATCGGCCGCTTTGGACACTTGCCCCTCCGCGTCGACCTTGTCGCTCGACATCATGATGATTTCCCCGCGCAGTTTGGTATATTTGGTGAAAGGAAGACGAGATAATCAGTTCGATATGGAGTATAGCTGATCTAGAACTGTCATCAACATGTATTCTAACACAGATGGAAAAGGGAGGATATCTAAAGTATCAGATCCTGGCTGGTATAGGAATTCAATGAGGAGAAACAATATCATAGATATCATGGACGATCCCGAGAGCCAGGGTCATTATTTATAGCACAGGTCGCCCATTGAGTCTTATCTTGGTGATTGCAGGGGAACAGGGTGGGATGCGGCTAGGCTCCGAAGCAGTATGATGATCGATTTCGATCTTGGAAACATGTCATTGATAGGAAAAATCGTTGGACAACCATACGCTTCGTTCCCAGAATCATTAATAAGAGCAAGCATGCTTTCATGAGATCTCCAAATGAATGTCTATAATAAATATCCGGGGAATTATGATTCTTAAGGAAGCTTCTCGGAGCCCGAACCAGTTCGTAAAGTCGGAGGTTCGGGATTCGAGCGGAGGTGTTAGATCAGCGCCGGTAGATACCATCAGCAGCCGAGTTACATTACAAGATTGATAAAACGCCTGCAGCCAAATTTAACAACGGTCAGTGGCCTGCCCCGATGTTGATGAAGTCGAAGCTGAACTTTGTTAGCTCGGTGGCTGAATAATTCCAATAAACCACTGTGCTGATGTCAATAAACCAGGGAAAAGACTAGTATAATATTTCCTGAACGATTTAAATTCATCTGTTTTTGAAACATCAATGTTTTGAGACTGAACTGAGCGGTTCCATGTCGTGACTGCACGAGTAACCAAGTCGCCCAATGAATAACCTTCAGGCAAGAAATGCCGTTCATGCACGATCTGGGCCGTGAGCAGCCATGCCTAAAAGTTGAAGCTAGCTTTTGACCGTCCTTAAACATGGACACAACATGCGCTCGATTCCATGGATCCAGCAACCCGTCCCCATTTTCTGGAAAATGTCGCCCCCAATTATACCATGGCCTTCACAAGCAGACACCATCTTATTTGCCGTATGGTGAGATATTGTATGCCGAGAAGTGAACGATGTCGTAGTTGAAGTCAGGATCAATACTCCTTCAGCTGCTAATCTCGTCCTATCGACATCAAAAAAGATGAAGTATAGAGTTCCAGCAGCGTCTTTGATACCACACTCACGACACTTTTCATCATCCCGAGACAAATAGATGCGTGTAGTGAACGTCGCATCTGACTTGCGGCTCTTCGACAGCTTCCCTGATTCTAATTCTGCAGCCTTCCGCTTGCGCAATTTGAACACCGTGCTTTCATCGGAGTCGGCAATATCCTTCGATTCAAATTCCGAATCTTTGCTTTAACTTTGTTGGTCCGACAGCTCTTGGTCCAACATGTTCAAGTCGCCTTGGGCACTTCGGCAGATGGAGCCCCTGAGCCTGCCAAAGTCAAATGTCACCTTGCTTTCAGGGTCCTCAGGCTTGAAGATATTGATTGATAAATTTGCGTTGCACCTTGGCAGGCTTTCAATTGCGCCATATGGTCTTCAATCCTGTCGCACTGTGTGAGACAACTTCCTATCATGTCATGGACGGCGGGCTGATCCATAGGAATCTTATACGTGCCTGCAAAACGAAGATATTGGCTCAGCTTGGGAAGCCGGCCCGGACACCTAGCCTTTGCTGCTTCTCTATTTGTCTTCATGTAACGTGGGATGTGTTACGTGCTGAATGCAAATGCACGGGCGGTAGCTACACTGCACCCAGCAAGAATCAGACGGGTGCCCTCGGCTGTTTGGGCTTCAGCAACCGTAATTCCGAGAATGGCTTCCATTTTGTGGAGGACGTTGTTCTTGTGTGTGAACGTCAGATATAGTTCAATAAGCTTCAGTATTTTGATCCTAATGGGCTGACCACGGAAGCCGTCAAGGAAACACTAGGCCATAAACAGGTTGAGGTGAAGGTTCGCCTTGATTGTTTGTAGTTGGAATCCGAGTGTCAATTGGCAAAGTTCTTGAAAGTTGCTCCGACTGCTTTATCCAGGACCATGGATTTGTCCATGATGTTGGTTGCAAGGCTGACAACAAAAAATCCAGCTGACTTGCGCCGTGATACGGCAGTGGCTCCATTGAGCTTCACGCCACACCTAGTCTTGTCTAACGCTAGCTTTCATTTGTGAAGGAAGTGCGTTATCATGAATAGATCGACGTCGAAGTTCGCCTTGCTAGTTAGGGAGCCGGGCTTATTCAATGTGTACTGCTTCCACCAGAATATGTGTGATTTATCCTCGTGGGAGAGCTGCTCCTCCAATGTGACCATGTCAGATGGTGGTTTGGCACACTAATCCGGGTTATCATTGCGTTTTTGAAGAGCAAAAGGATCTGCACACCTGCCATCAGCCATGACATTCCGCAGTGTCGCTTTAAGCTCGTCCGCATTTGCTGCCGCGCTGAAGGCTATGCCGTAGGATCGCAAGTGGGCAAGAAGTGTAATAGAGTGCCATATGGTAAGAACCCCAATTTCAGACGAGGAAGTAGCTTGGGAGTGATGCCACCGACCTTGAGCCCCCCTTTGTCGCAAGAGAACTCGCCACACCGCGCTGGCTCAGGGCTGCCGAACTAACTGAAATTCATTGTGCCTGCAGTGTTTCCCTGTAAAACCGATGGAGTTTCGGTATGAATGGCAGGTGGCTGCAGATAGTTATTTAATTACGGTATGGAACATGGGAAAGCTACATGGGGCATGTTGAAGAAAAGAGTGAAAGTCAAAATCGAAATTGGAGAACAAGTCTAATGATGTAGCGGATATCATGGATCCACCTCACGGGGGTTGGTTCCAAAAGGCTACGGTTGGTTCCGAGTAGGCAGTGTCACCCTGGACCTCCCAGATCACTCAAGTAACACGAGAAATGAAGCTGTTCAAATCGTAATTCGTAGATTCACTGGCCTAGAGTGTCTCGAAGATCCAAGCAAGTCGAACAGTGACGGCCGACTGTGCCTTGATAAGGACCTCGTGTCAAATACATCCCAAGGTGCCATGCCAAGGTGCCTTGCCCGTTACCTCTCAACACCACCGTGGTGAAGTCGATGCGGCCATTTCCCCGCGACGAGTAGGTTCCCTGAAGTCTTCTCGCTTCATCTGGGAGATCGGCGTCAGGCCTTCAGAATGCTATGATGATCCATCTCCTCAAGGACCTCTCAAGATTTCTCGATGGGCGAAACGAGAACAACACTATCGCCTGGAGAGGATGTCAGCTGCGCCTCTAGCTAGGTATGCAGAACATAAACTTACCTCGAACGAAGAGCATCTCCGACTTCTTCGTAACGGACTGCGATCGATGTCAGCGAAGTGCTCAAATAAACATGGCTGGCTCAGTATGATGCTCACCTTGATCTCCTGGTCGTCCTCAACCCTGATCTTCTCATCGCCCTCGTCGTTTTCCTCGTCATCTACAACGTAAATGGTCTCCTCAACATCACTCAACACCAAGTTCATGTGGCTGTCATAGGCCTAACAATGATTCAGCATGCGATCTCGTTACAGCTGGGGCGCCCAAAGACATACATGTAAGCGGCCCTTAAGCTCCCTGTCGCCTCGCAACTTCACATAGACCTCCTCGTTCAAACACAAGCGCACGAGATCCAGCGGCTCCGACGCGGGTCCTTCTTCGCCCTCAGACATGGTGAAGAATAGAGCTGCTCACTGGGGTCGGAAGGTTGGTACTTGTTGCAGTTGCAAACGGCCGGATGCTGATCGCGGGTTTGAGACCTTGACGTGAATTCATTCGATGAGCTAGCTTGGTGTTGCTTGGCGTCGCACTGTTTGACGCAGAGGCAGCAGATGTGGAGAAAGGTGAGGCCGATACCGACCGCCGCGGTTCAGGGTAACGTCGCCGGGGCTGCGCTGGGGAATTGAAATGAGAAGTTCGAAGAATTCGAAGTCAACCCCATAAAACGCTCGAGCTTACGTACTGAACTTCATCTGCTGCCCAGCTCCACCCCTCGTCACGATTCACCATCGTCTATCTTCTCGCACAGTCATGACCCACTCGACCCTGATCAATGATTGCGGCTACTTCAGTAGTGGAGCTGGCTGGGCCTCGTCTTGCACTTTATCGACCGCCTAAAGGAACTGCCTCGAGAATATTGAACATTCGTCTGCTGCAGCAGCAACAGCAACAGCAGCGATGCTTTCACCGGCCGAAGCAGACCACCAGTTGCCATCCCCTCTTTCCGAACCTCTTGCACCACAATGATAACGCCGCTTTTGCACATGCGCTCAATGCGCGCCATGAATATTCGACTGCGACGGCCTGCAATGAAGACATTACGGAAGCAGAGGCTTACTTCCTCCAGAAACTAGTCCGCAGATACGGCTCTTATGCTCCATGGGAAAACGCCAACCCTACTAAAGCTTCCATTGAGGCCAATGCCGGATTGTGTTCTCGTCTATCGCAGAATGGGAAGCCAGACGACTCAGTAACGGTGGGAGGACCTGCTGGTTCGTTGTTGGCAGACCCGGATGGTCTCGCAGAGAACCTGCCAGGACCATTTATCAAGGCCTTGGATGCATTGCAACAGAGGGACTCCCGAAAGCTGCTTATCTACTTGAAGCAGATTGCTGCCATGCCCATGGAAGAACTAATAGAAGCCGTAGCAGTCTTGCCAAGAACCACCTTCTCCGAGTTTCTGCGCGCATTGGATCCTACCAATACTGGACCTGACAACGACCCAACTCACGGCGCACAAATTCAAGTGGGCATGTGGAAAAGACTGAACATGGAGCACGCTATCGACGACTGGGGCACTAGGAAGCTTTACATCCGGCTGCTGCAGCGTATGCTGAGGCTGATGGTGGCCTTGCAAAAGTCCGGACAGCAGCTGAATATCAACGACTACATGCCTCTGATCAGAGCCGCGGGTGCCACTTCGGATATGGAGGGAGCAAAGCTGCTCTGGAAACAAATGCAGTGGACCGGAACCAATCACTGGCGGCAGAGCGATGCTTACAACGAGTTCATCAAAGCCAGGTTTTTGGTTGAGCCTCTGTACTATGGCTTCGACAAAACCCGGACCATGGTGCAACCCCGTAACCTCCACCGAATGGGCCATGTCAAATTTCCTTGGTACACCATTAAGAAGTTGGACCGTCTTAGATTCAATACTCGTCTCCTAGGTCATCGCTTTGGATTGAACAAGACTGTGTCGCATGCCCAGGATGTCTCGCGCGCTTTGAGGAAGCGCAAACCCATTACGCGCGTTTTCCAGCATATTCTACTTCATGGCCACGACATTAACGAGAAGCTGCTCTGTTCAGCGATGATAGCCTTCGGCCGCGCTGGCTCGTTGCGGTTCATCAGAACGCGTATCCTGGAAGACTGGTTCAATATTTCGGTATACAAGCACAAAACCACAGGTGTCGTCCAGGTTGGGCCAGCTACCCGCAAGACAATGGCGCTTAAAGACTTCACACGTCCAGTCCGTCCGAGGATCAGACCGACTGAGCAACTACTACATGCTATGGTGCAGACTTATTGTGGCAATGGACAACTCGCCATGGCCTTCCAGCTACTCGACTACGTTTCCAAAGCATACAACATACCCATCACGCCCAAGATTTGGTTCGAGTTGCTCGAGTGGACATATGTCATGAGCGTCCCCCCAATATCCAGCGCTTGGATGATAGCAGGTCTCCGAGACCGGGTCCCAGACAAGTCCGCCACGGAGATGATCTGGAACACGATGACGGCCGCATACAACGTAAAACCCGGATTTGATCAATATCACTTTCTTATAAGCTCCCTCAACCACCGCGGTCAATACAGCTCCATGATCGAGCACATGAGGGCGGCCCGGAGATTCTACGATGATAAGTGCGCTGAACATGAAGCCGCTATCTTGGAGTACATTCGCGCACTCCGTGACGGCCTCCACGGCATCGCGCTAACAACTGTTTTCCGCGCCTATCAGCGCACTCGTTTCGAAAAACAGCACATGCGATACCGAATGTCTCTCTGGTGCCGCAGATTCCTGCAGAAGAAATTCCGCACTCTGAACCTGAATGATGAGTTCGCCGTCCGGCACATTCCGGATTTCGTACGGGAATTTCGCGAGTTTGTGGAGAACCCCGTGCTCTACCGCACAGCAACAGGGTACGTCCAGCTGCTGGACCCAGTGCACGAGTTCGAACACCGCGTCTATGTGCGCTCACTAGACCTCGATATTCCGATGAGGGGCCGGGGTGGTCGTGAGGGTAAATGGCACCTGAAGAGGGTCAGGCGACGCCATTTCGCTATTCTTAGTAGCCACAGTTTAGCGGATCGGAAAACCCACAAGTTAAACCCTTTGTCCCTGCTGCTTGGGGAGCTGGACTCATTCAGGACACCACAGTTACCTGAGTACCGGGGCAAGAAAGAGTTGAAGGCGAACGAAATCCCGCTCAGGATGCCCAGGACAAACAAAGGGGCACGAGAAGTATCACCCACAGCGCCCAACTTCAAACCGAGGCGCACTAGGCAGTGAGGGATTCAAGCCCTGGTGTGTTGCAACAGTTCATGAGTGCATGGGTCAATGCTAGAATCTATCATGTATTTTTGGAATTGGTTCATGATGACCAGGCATACTATGTACTCGGTTGCAAGCATCAATGTTATATGCTCTGGAAATGCACAATTGGGCTGTTAAACGGCAAAGCCCTCATGACCAAATAACTCTGCAATGAATATGTGAGAAGTGGTATAATAGGCCACGATCTGCTGTAATTGTATTTGTGTGACCAATCACCCCTCGTGTTCTCATTTATTTAGCCGATCGCTGTTCTTTGCTCTTCACCCTCACCAGTCTCAGGTCATTAATGGCCATATATCGGCTCAGCGTAATCCAACCCCACCGAAACCAGACCATCTGGCTCAAGTGCGCATTAGTCATGGCCTTTCGTGCAGTCGCCATACTTTCTCTACCCTCAAACAAGTCGCTGAAGCTCACCAGTGTTGCCGGGTTGCCCATCTTGTTCTTCTCTTCTGCCTTCCCGCTCATCTTGACTCCGACGATCGTGGCGAACATATCCAGAAACCCAGAGTACTTACGTGCCGCGTTCAGCGAAGTCAGCGTGTACAAATCGATTGGACACGAACCGTCGGGTGAGATCAGGGCAGCGATGAAGCGGCAGGCGCCGTGGTAGAGGGAGGTGTGGTTCGGGTGGGATGAGACACCCGTCGCGTCGAAGGTAACGAGAACGTCGATATTGGCAGTCGGTGTTGAAGTAGGGGATGAAGGAGAGCGGGGTATCACGGACGAGTTGGGCTGCGAGAGTTGCGGCGCGAGGCCCGAGGCGAGGAGTGCGGCAATCTTATCGGCGTCCCACGTGGTCGTCATGCTGTCTGGGAAGTCGCTGGAGCATTCGAGGTTAGCGGTAGATACTAGCAAGTAACGATTGCATGGGCAAGAGGCTGCGGATGATGCTTCGGTCTTCCTTGGCAACATTGGCTGGAAGCGAGGGGAGTAAGTAGCAGCGGTGGGAGACTAACGGGAGATCAAGGACAAACACGTCGTCCTCGTGCCTCAGTCCCAGCATCAATGCGCTTTTGACCAATTCTTTTTTACGTGTCTCCCCTAGCCCGGCTGCGTTGCCACTGGACAGGCACAGGATTTTGACGTGGTTTCCCGTTTCCAGCGGGGTCAGGGCCAGCAGGGTGGGCGCAAAGAACATGGCTTCATCATCGGGGTGTGCGATCAGCAAGCAAATGCGCTTGTTGCGCAGGGTCGGGAAGTGTGTTCGGACGTAGTTGGTCGCGTAGTTGTAGAGCACTAGGAGCGAGATGACAAAGACTACGACGAAGCCGATAGAGACGAGGGCAGCAATGACATTGCCGACTTTTCTGCCTCGTGGGAGCTGGAGGCTTCCCATTGTACATTTGGGTCTTTGGAATTGGAGTACGAGTCTTGCGAGAGCTGGAACGATTCAGAATCAGCCATGATGGGATGATGGAGGCACAGAACGGCAAGTCGGGGCCGTTTCGTTCCTGCGCAATGCGTGGGGGATGCAAATGCAATGCAGAACCCTGAGTGACGTGCCGAGGTTACCTTCGTGAGGCAAGGGTACCTAGGGTACGCGAGTACCAAATAAGTAAGGCGAGACGGGAGTGGGAGCGGTCAAGTCGCGTGTTGGACCGCGTGGATATCTCTTGTTACAACTTCCACTCAATGGATTGAGCAGTTCGGGCCAGATTTCTCTAACGACCCTGAGTCTGAAAGGCTGAAAGAAAGGGGTAGAAAACAGCGAGAGCCTCCTACCCCTTCTTTGTGCTGATCAGGTGAAGAGGGAAAATGCCACCTTGCGATTACTTATTTGGATGAGGTTTACCAGATCAGATTTATGTTTCCCCGATGTGCAAAAGTGTCGAAGCAGGGGTCCGTCCAATTGACATGTCGGCAATGGTCGGCAAGTCGACTCAATCTCAATGGCACGGAGCGGAAGCGTGCTACATTAGACTGCTTTGGGTAGAATGCAGGAACAATTCATTTTTGGGATCTTCCAGCCGACTCGGGCGCTTAACGCTGAACGGCTAAGCTTAAACATCATGACAACTGCAAGCACTGACTTACCTAGGTACCATTTCAGACCATAGTATAATATATACAACCACTTTAGGTATAGATGAACAAGTCATCATTTTCTCACGTGGCCTAACGTATTGTCAAAGACTCTTCTACTATGCAATCGACTCCTTGTGTATCAAGGCAACTTTGATGTACTTATACCGTCTCACATTCTCTCAACCCTGCTGGAGTTTACTATTCTTTTCCTAATATGTTTACTTGTCTTTCATGTAAGTCTCTTGTCGGCGCTTTCACGGTACAAGTTAGTTCTGGCTTGTCTCTCTACTACCACTCATGCATTACCACCAGTCTGGGCCGATATTTTCGTATTATAAATACTCATTTTCGACGCTCAAATTATACACCGAGTCCATTGGGGCAAACCCAAAGCCATTTCAAGAGTAGCTTGGAAGCCCTTGGCGCAGATCAGATCCCCCAACCCCGCCATCGGATAATTATATAGTATCTCATATTCACAAGGGTCTTGCAACTATCGGGGTTAACGTCACAATGACTTTTTCCAGGATGAGCTCCCAAATGTTTGAAAGCTCAATGTTGATTGAGCATGCTACGAACCTTGAGGGCTTACGCAAAGACACTCCCAACGATATATACATACTTACTGCCTGGGTCACAGTTGAAGTTGACCATCCCCTATTTCAACATGGTCAACACACGCAAAGAACGCAAAGCGGCCAACATCAAGCTCAAGCAGCCCGATCGCTCCGGTCCGTCCGACAAGACATTACTCGAACTAGCCCAAGAACGGTCACTCTTTGACATGGCGGATGCCAGGCAGCGCAAACTCAAGAAGGATGCACAATTAAAGACAAAACAACAAGGAGAGGATATCGATAAAGAGATTGGACCAGAGACAACGGTGGACCGTGTCATGGAGACCATACTCTGGAGCGTGAGCCTGGCCATGATGCACTTCACGCTTGACGTGCTAGTCCAGCATCAGTATGCAACAGATCTTTCTTGGCCGACGGTCTGTACTCGAGGTGCCAGGGCACTTGCTGGTGAGTCCTCGACCGTGCAGTCATGTTCTGGTTTCGATTGGTAATATATGTAGCTAATCCCGTCTCGTGTAGTATTTCTTCCTCTTTTCTACGTCCTGCACCCTCACGCCTCGTCTCCCACTCTGTTGCCCGGACTTCCAGGCCGATTCCAAGACCCCTTACGACAGTCTATTTTCTTCATGACCAGCGTGTGCTCGGGTTGCTACCTAATACACATCTCGAATACGTATGCGTATCTAGCTGTAATGAAGCAATCCCCTCCGCTTGGCTGCCTTTGGGTTTGGTCTGTGGTTGAGCTGAATCTCATCCCGGCCATGGCATCATTCGCATGCGCAGTGGCGTTCATGTGGTTTGGAGGTTATACATTTAAATAACCACCCGATAGTACAGCATGTTATTCGAAGCTTTTCTATAGCTCGAGCCATAAAATAAACTACGGAGAAAGAAACACCAAGACGCTTCCGGGATGGGGAAAGCCATAATCGGCGTAAGGGCTCGGAGCATAACACCTGATCAGTGAGCGACAATGTGCACCATAATCTGGACAAGCCAACATCATGCCATTTCGTGTCACAAATATGGAGATGGCCTCACAACTCAGCCATCTACCTATTCGGTGAAGCCGTTCTTTGGGGATGAAGTCCCAGATTTGCATACACTTGTAGTGCGACGCTGAATATTCTGCTGTCTGTGGGAGATGAGTTCGATTCCACAACAACTCCCACTCAGTCTTATCTCCGTCGCGGAGGACAGGTCGGCCTCACGGAAGCTCTTCTTCAAATAGCTTTTTGGAGTAGATGTTTTGTCAAAGCACATCGCGCAGCTATCAATGGGTGGCATACCCAAGAACCATCCATGTCAGTCCCAAGTAGAGGCCAGTGCTGGGGCAAAGATCCCGAGTGAACGCCTCGTATCATAGCGAGGCGTCTCTCCATTTAATGCTGTGAATAAGTAGCGTATGAGTCCTCTGTCCTGGAAGTACAATGCTCAGAGGGCAAGTTTCTAGGCCGACAGAGTCTCGCTGTTTCCATCAGTATACCTCAGATGGTGACGGATACGACTACTTATTCAAGTCATCGAGAGTCCCCTGCAGTTTAACAATGTTACGACCAAAGAAACAAGATGGTGATGATTCCTCTGAATTCGGATCAGAATCCTGGTGTTCGACATTGGCTGCGACTAGATGTAGCAATGTCTCCAAAGACTGCCGAGCTGCCCCAACGATGTTGCAGGGCAGTCTACCACCAACATACGAACTGCAATTGCCAGCGCAGCTTTCCTCTGTGCCACAAGGAGGCATGAAGAGTTGCGGAATTGACTGGTTGAAACTTTCTATTGCTAAGAAGTCAGCGGGAGAAGAAGAAAATCCAGCGTCGGCTCCGACATGATGGAAGGTCTCTTACCTTCAGCAGGATTGCAGCCGTGGGCTAAACAATGTAGCGCTCAACTTCCGTCTTTCGGGCTAGGAATTTATCCAGATGGTCAGTCAATGTTGCGCCGTTTCTCGTCAACTGTATGTTTGGGAATGCATTCTTTGTACCGGACTTGAAAGGGAATCTTCTTTGAGCGTGGACTAATAGGAGAATCTTCACCATCTGGCGATTGAGGGTTCCTGGCTCTATTTCAGTGGATGATGCGGTAAACCAGGTCCTTAAGCCGGCGTATCTCGCTTTCTGATCCGCCAGCTTCTTCAGACCGCCTTCAACCACAGTTTCGCGCCACTTGTTTCTATGCTGAAGATCTTGTTCTCCTGCCAGTTGTTTCAATGTTGTTCGATGGCAAATAGTCCACCAAGGGAGAGAGGAGGGAAGCGTGAGCGCCTCTTCAATTGCTTCCCCCAGTAGGTCTAGACATACTAAGTTGGGGCGGAAGATTAACTTACGAAGATATCATGCTCATTTCAGTGGAGGATGCTCTTGCCGTCAGCGCATCCCTTTGCTGGACGAGCTCCAGCGCTTTGGCACGGACGGGCAGCCAGACCATCGCTACTGTGATCGTGAATCTAGAACTATTGGGTTAGGACTTTCGGGGAAGTGCAGATGGGATTTCCTAAGAACGCTTTGTAATAGAACTACGAACAGGAGGTACAGACAGATCAGAATGTTCCTCTTTGAAGTCGGTGAAGATACTCGCCCCAGCTTTGCAGAACCAAGATCTATCGTCGACCACCATTGATAGCCATATGCTCGGTGCCCTTCATCTCTGTCCACCCAACAAGCTCCAGCAGCGGCTTTCGAGATCTTCCATGTCGTCCATGACGAATTTGTACATCTGATATGTTGTCAGGTAATGGGCCCTGGTCAATCGATCCCCAGCGACCTTTATGAGCTCCGCAAGCTATATTGACTCGGTCTTGTAGGACAGCAACGTCGTGGCGCGGAAGTATTCCTGTTCGCTGTTTCGTAGATACGTGGTGCGCACGTAGACCGCAGATATGATGGCGACGACGAAAGATAGTATCCGAGCAACGCTGGAGGCGAGAGAGAGCGAAGAGTCTTGGTAAATTGGGTCATGGGCTTGGTCGTTGACTGTGAGTCGAAGCTTGGCTGTCCGACTTCAGAGTGGCTGCCCGTGGAATTGGATCATCTAGCAGTGTCAGGAGCCTGCTTCGATTAGTAAAGACTGCTCTGTCTTTTAGTTACAATGCGGAACTCTTCCTTACTGTTGGATGATACATGATTCTGACTGAAGATGTTTAGTTGCTCGTACTTCTGGCGTGGTGCCCCCATGCCCCTGAAGTTGACACATCAGCATCAAGCAATCGGCTTTGTTTTTACTCGGAAACAATGTACCAGACTCGTACTTGGTTTATACCTTCTGGACGGCTCAAGTGTTGATTTTACCAAGTTTTCGAGGCCACAACGAGTTGACATATTCAAATTTGTGTTACAGCAGAAACTTTCGAATGACATCATCGTCCTCGGTCTTGTTTCTCACTCAATGTGTAATTAATCTAGTTGGCAACGGCATATTCCCCAATGGCAAGCAGATACTTCCATTTCATACCCTGGGAAGAGTGTTATGATCACTATTGTAATAGAGAATTGGCGCAACCCAGAACTTGATGGCCAAATCTGCAAATGTATCTAGGAGCCAACATTCAGCCACAGAGCTCCGCCCGAAGAGAACGTCCTCTGCTTGCTCACTGGGTAATGTGGGAATAAAATTCTCTACGCAGATGGCATTCAAAGACATCAGCTTCAAAATGATAAACTGCAGTGCCGTTCACTACAACAACAGTTGACTTTAGCCTTTACCATGCGCAGGATGCTGGCTGGTAGTCAATGGGCCTGCCGCCGGAAACTACTGAAAGGAATCACTGTAGCTGTCAGCAGCTTGCCTAAAAGCACGTTTCTCACTGAAAAGAACCTTTGTGCTTTGCTTTACACCAAGTGAAAGCATCTAGAAGTGCAGGACCAACACATATACGGCAATCCATACTGTCTAGTTTTGATGATCTATTAACCTTACAGTCTAAATGGGAGACAAAATATCCATAATGGTGGTTCACGCAATACAGTGCGTTGGGCACAGTAGTCAGCATGCATTTTTCATCATTTCCTGGCCATGAAAGCCAAGGAGAACCAATCTTTTCACCGTCATCCTTGAGCTAGGCAAGACTATTTGCCATGGAGTGATGATCGGAGTTGGTTCATGAATCGTACAAGATAGTCTGAATGCAACATGCACCTTGGACAAACTGTCAGAATCTCTGTCCAGTCTGTTATGGCCCTGTTGGAAGTATGAATGTCCCAATTATGACTGCTACATCCTAGAACTTACCTGTTGTATATGATGGGAAGGAACGTCTCTTCAAACAGATCGCAGTTTTCAGTCCCAAGATTTCAACGCAAGAATAGAATTCTTGAACCTCCATTTCCATCCTCTACGACAATTTTCAGGGCAGATCCCCCAGACTTTGTTGCTAAGATTCATGGTGTCTTCCGGTTTGACCTTGGTACATTTCGTGAGCGCCAGGTCTTGAAGGCAGGTGTGATAAACACGCCTTGGAGCGGCCACAAGAGGCAGAAAGCCAGCCTAAGATGTTATGATCCCAAGTGTCTCTCGTCATAGAAGAGTCTTAGAAACTTCTCTTCAGCCCGACACGATCTTGGTGTAAGTTAAGTCGCCCACATGCAATCATGTCCAACTAATATTTCCGGCTGTTTATGACTGACTGTATCCAGTGTCTCCAGAGCTCCAAGCTTCAAGGACTCAGCTGGCCACAGGGCGGTCGGAATCCACTCTCTTAGGCTGTGGGCGATCTCAACAATGACAACATCTGCATTCAATGCTCACGCAACCTCCTTTTACTGATTCCTTACAATGGGTTGGTAGTGTCCACCCATAGGTAGTCTAGGATGACCACTGCTCTGAATAGCTTCAGATAGTAGATAGCCTGAAATACCCCATGACAAACTAGTAGATAACGTAAGAACACCAACGTGACTTCCTTGTACGCTAGAGTGATTGTGTATTTTCTGTGAATGGGTACAGGTAGTTGCCCTGTTTGCACTTGTGCTGGCAGTCTCTTAGTTCCATCAAAAGAGCGCGTTCCGACGCGTCTCGTAAACCTCCACATACGGAATCGACGACCTCTGCTCGATCCCTGGCCACTTCCCATTTCAGACTTTTCCTTCCATTCACCTGTCAACTGGCGACTCCCAACACTTCAACATCTTTACCCAACTTGACCCCGCAACACTTTCCCACTCCTTTTGCCTGTTTGACCCAGACATCAATACCTTTACATCAGAATCATCATTCATTCTTGAACACTTTAGATTCCTTGAAAATCTTCGCGCCTGAATCTACGGTCGCTGGATTTCACGGATTCTCCCCATCCCAATTGTTCGATCATCACGATCATCACGATCATCGCAATCATCGAAGACTTGAAGGCTTCAACTTGTCACCGTCCTGTGAAGCATCGTCACACCGAGCCTACCCGTCGACTCGCCCCTTCAACGTTACATCAAACAATCGTGAAAACATCCCTCAATTTCGCAATCACCCAGATCGCGCAAGATGAACTCCCAATCTTCTGATCACTCCGCTAACAAGCGAATGTACCCGGATGACTTCCGCGCCACCACTGTTCCCTACACTGGATCTGGTGCTGTTCTTCAGGGCTCGGGATTCGTACCTTCCAGCTCCATTGTCGGACCTGGAGTTGTCATGACTCCCTCGGGAATGTCTGTTGGCACCGAACCTGGTCCCGGCTATGACCTTGCGAAGTCTTCGGGCGCCCAGATTGGTGTTCTTGGCCAGCCTGGTCACAATTCGCCCGTCCAGTACCGCATCGCTCCTGCTCTGAAGGGAGGCAAGAACAAGATCCTGCCGCCATTTGAAGATGCCGCAACGCCATTCAACTCGCCCACTGGTCCCCATCTTGAACGCCGTGACTGGCCTATGATGGATCAGGAAGATATAGTGACCAGTCCTCTCCTCTCCGTTCCCGCCGACGGTAGACGACTCCACCACAGTGGCGGGAATATGCCCACGTCAGAGATCAAGGACCGAGTGACCAACTTGAAAGATATCCTGCGACAACACGCCAAGGGTTCCTCTCTACTTGCTAAGTCCTGCGAGGCCGTCATCAAGAAGTATGAGCGTGTCCTTGATCTTGATGCCTCTGGTGAGCATTCTGATCCCATGGCCAAGAGGGTTATGCTTGACAGCAAGGCGGAGAACTCGATGGGCACGGGCATAGGATTGGCGGATGCAATTGACGCACGTCACAATGATTATGAGAAGACCAGAGCCCAAGCTGTGATCGAGGCTCTTGAAGCGGAGAAAGTCCTCTTGCACCACCTTCACGATCGAGGTCTAAGAAGCCCAATGGCATCCACCAAGGAGAAGACGGATGGCACCTCGGACCACCAGATCGGTGCTAATGGCTCGACGGCCACCTCTGAGATGCCTTGTCTCCATATCTACAAGCCCGGCAAGTCTCTGACTAGTGAGAAAAAGGCTTTGACAGCTGCCACTAAGGACTCATTGAACGCAGCTGAGATGCGTGCGTTGGGCATTAACAAAAGTGGAATGACCGGTGCTAAGGATTCGACAACCTCCATCAAGCTGTCTGCTATCCCTGTTCATGGCCCTGGCAACTCTTTAACCAGTGTAAGCAAGGATATGACGAGCACCGCTAAGAAGGATGTTGTCATGCGCGTGTTGGGCATCGCCGAGAAGGGTGAATCGACCAATTCGACCAATACGCCGCAGAATCTGTCAAACTTCTTCAACAGGCCGCTGCCGATCCTCACCAAGAACCGTCTACCAACTATCGCCGAGAACAAGCTTAAGAAGGAGGCTGATGATACAGACCTTGTGATGATCGATTCCAGCCCCTTTGATGAGGAAGGGTATGAGGTCGTCGGTGATGACGTCCCGGAGGACGTGATGCTGGGCAACGTGAGTTCCTTGAGATCTTTTTCATCATTATGGCTTGGACTAACATGACGTAGAATGCCTAAAACTCCCTTGTCTGACACATCACTTTTCTTTCTGGCAATCAACCAATCATTGCTTTGTACTCAGGTCTGCGTCTTTGATTTCGAGTTTGTCTAAGGTTCGTCTACACACCCTGACTGCGTCGAGACATTTGAGCCTCTCACTGACAGGCTGATATCAGGGAACATCTGGATTTGCCGTGGCATTTGATTTAAAGTGCCGGAGGAACATGGATACCGCCTGCATATACAGGTTACAATGTCTTGTCTTCCAAGGACTGCGTTTTGGTGTTTTTGGATCTTGGACGACCGGAGTCCGACTTTCTGACATCATGGAATTGAAACAGCTTGATGTAGCTTGTTTCAAGAACATTGCCAGATTGTCTTCTCATACGTCGCTTCATGGATTGCCAGCCGTATCAACTCGTCTTGTCTCTTGGAAGTGCAATTGTCTCCAAATCCGGTTGACCAATCGACTACAAGGCGACAGAAGGCATACCGAAAGCAGCAACATTTCGAGAGACCCAGCCTTCTTTTCATGTTCGCATGGATGTTTCAGGCATAGGTCTACCAAACGCAGGTCTCTGGCCGCTATTCGAGATTCTGGCTTTGTTCCTGCCGCCGATCAAGAAGTGGAAGTTTCGACACAAAAGCACAACACTGGCATTTGCATTTGCAGTAGGGCAGCACTAACTGACCCTTTTGATGGAAGCTCAGGATGCGATGGACATTGAGCTAAGGGTATGGATCATGATTTTTGTTTTCGGGCATGCACAAAGCATAGTTCTAGTCAACTGAGACCTTTGCACACACATCAAGTGTTGGCCCTGTGATTTTCGTGATTCCTTCATTCCACGGCTTCGAACTGCATCACCAAATAAATGACGGGCTCTGGTGGGGTTACTACATCATATCAGGTCTACTACACTGGAGTATCAAGCCAACTTATACTATTATACTCATGGTGCGCAGTTTATTTGGTCATCTACTTGGCTTCCTTCCTCGCAATCACATTACCTTACAAAACCTTGAATGTCCCAGAAGAAGTCTTTGCAAGTTGATGCCAGGAAGGGAGTAGAACCATGAATGAATTATCGTGGGCTGCTCACTGCCTAGTCGACATATTTGAGGTGACAGATCCCCTCTTTATCCATAAAGTCTAAGTGCTAGTCCAAAGGGGCTATTTTAAAGGTGCAGTCACAGTCATTGTTCTGCACATCAAAGGTTACATCAATGGTCCGACGCTCTGTCTTCTCACATCAACAGAGCTCCTCCTCCTGCGGGCATCGACGGAGCTTCTCCTCCCAGCCAGACTCTGATTGTTGACTTTCCTCCCCTCGACCCATTTTCGGAAAACACGAGACTTCCACCTTCGCGGCAGTCTCCACTTTGCAGCCTGCAGCAGTCTCTCTCCTCAAGATGACTGCGAATTGCTGTGGAGGGCCTGATAGCCGGCCCAAACCAAACTCTCGGGTCCCTTGATGTCGCCAACTCCAGTCCAGTAGAAAAGTCCACCCAAGCCCATCCATTTGACATATTCTGCTTTCCGTTGGACGGTTTCGGGCACGTCAAAACTCACAAAACCCTTACCGCCGGGAGATCGGTCGACGAAGCTCGCTGCGCCGGCGCTTTGGTCTATTGAGGCCTGGTGGATCCATTCGCGTGGCATCTCGTTGTAATCCATTTCTTCCGCCTTTGTGAACGGCTGCCCGACTCCGTGAGTTCCCTCAAAAGACCTCGCATACACCGGGATACCGAGGATGAGCTTCGTGGCCGGAAAACCGCGAGAAAGAATGTACTCGACGGCCCCATGACAAGAGTTCCGCAAGTTAGGGTGGGTGTGTTCTAGCTTCCCCGGCGGCGGAAGAAGCTGACCCTGGTGCCCACAAACGTCGGTCCAGGGGCCCACAAAGTCATACGCCATTAGATTCAAATAGTCGAGTAGATGTCCAGCAGTGGGCAGATCGAGATGCCTCAGGCAGTACTCCCCCACTGGCAGCGCCGTAGTAAGCAAATACCTTGGCCTCGGCAGCGCCCGCCGCAGCGCATGAAGCAACGCCATGTAATTGGCCCCATCCTGCGGCGTCTCGGGACACTCCCAATCAATATCCACGCCATCGAACCCCCACCTATCCACAAACTCGCGACAACTCCTCGCAAACGTCTCCCTGGCCGCCGGATCCGCCGCCATGGCGGGGAACTCGGCGCTCCCGGTGCCGCCGCCCATGGAGACGAGCGTCTTGAGCCATGGCCTGTGCGCCTTGAGTTTGGACACGGCCGATAGACAGCCCTGCTCGCCGTCGGCGGCGATGGTGCAGTCGGCGTGTTCGTCAAGGAACCGCAGGGTGCCGTCAGTGTTGATGAGGACGAAGGCGTACAGGACGTGCGAGATGAAGTCGAGTTGGAGGGAGGAGGGGGGAAGGTCGCGGTAAATGCGCCAGCAGGGGTAGTAGGCGGCGTTTACAAAGGAAGGTGACATATTCAAATAGGTAGAGATGTTTCGCTCACGTGTGGCGTGGTGCGGTACTTGCTGGTGCAGGCGGTCAGGTGGGAGTGAAAGCGCGGAATGCCGCTTGGGGAAGCAGATGTTGATGTAGGCTGTCAGCTGAGGCGGGGGTGAATTACAAGCGCCCACGGGTAAGTCGGCTCTTCTAGGCAAGGAAGGCTTGTTCAGATGCAGATGGATTTGAAAAGGGGAAGTTAATCATTAGATTGAGCCTCTAACGGCAAGAATAACAGCTGAGGAAGGAAGTCAGCGCATGCCATCCGCCGCCGCCTCCAATTCCACTAAACGGCCGTACCAAGCCTCTAAAGCCAGTACATGCTAGAGCGCTCGTGTTCCAAAGGCAGAGGAGCCGCTACGGATTCTAGCTCAGCGTCAGCATTCAAATTGGGTCCCACAGCCCCATTGCTGCTCAATTGATTCAGTCGGCAGCCCAAGTGCTATTTTCAGTGCAAATTAGCATCCTACCATCGAGACTGGTGGTTAGATATCATGGCTGAAAGGGAAGGCCAAGTTGTCAGAATTTTGCCTGAGTAGATATTTGACCCCGCGGCGATGTGGCTGGCTCCCACTTATATCGTATAATTCCATATACTGTCCTGGCTATTTTCTGGCATTCCCGAGCCCCGTTAACATGTTTGGAAACCCGTATTGCCAAGTAGGTGATAAAACAAGAGCCCGCCCGCGTTGACGGTAGATTTGTCTGCTTAGTATTTCCTTACTTACCAACGGGAGCTATAAGGCTTATCTTTCAAAATTTGAAAATTCTTAGCGTTATATACTGACCTTTTATACGGCTATTTGTAGGTAAAGTAGGTTTACCGCTAACATAGGTACTATAGTGTGTAGGGATAATTAAGCTATAAGTGCTATATATAGTAGTTAACTTAGTAGGACTAATGCTAGCGATCTACTAGGATTAAGATCTTTGGGTCTTCTAGCCGAGGGGCTTAGTCCTCCCTCCCTCTAAGAGCAGGCTCTTAAATAAATAGCGTAGCAGGGTCGCATAGGGTAGAATAACATATATAGGAACGCTCGGTATTCCATTGTAGCAGGCTTGGTATAACCCAGTCGTTCTACCTGAACTAAGGTACGCTATTTATTTTTGTAGCAGCTTGATTCCCCTATCCTCCCAGGCTGTTTGACCAGAAAAGGTTTCTACCTGAGAAGCAATGGCATAGAGTTCAAGAGCATATAGAATTGTAAACACTAAGACATATACGGAATTGTGTACGTATGGCTGCTGGACATTTACTCAGCATTACGCTCTTTAGTCAACTCAAGTGTTCCAGAATTAATCTTCAGGGAGTGCACGAGTAAATTGAAAAGGAAATCGAGTGTGCTGCGATTTGCTAAAGAAGCTTTGTGGCGAGAAGCTCATCATTGACGTGTAATTTTCTGTAGCGATCCGTTAGTCTCTAAGTTTTTCTTGCGATGGAAAGGCACAGGAGAGCACGGAAGGAAGTGCTGCATCTACACTACCTTAGGCAGTTCTTGACCCTGCTAGGATATAAATATCACTAGCTCGAAATATATGAGCCCAGAACATATAGTGCTTCTCACACACTTGCTGATGGCTCTTGGTCAAATTGAAACATGGATAAGGCGCATTAGCAACTGTTTTGCAGCCAGAAACGAATATCTTCTTCTGGTGCTTCTGATTTGGAGTTAAACCCTGTGATCAGCTCAAAGCGCGATGACGACAGATCTAGCCCAGCTACGCGTATCGCAATATATCCTCAGCGATGAAATAATACTCGTGAGGACTTGATCCACGTTAAGAGTGACCGTTGTACTGTTTTTGAGCGTCGTTGTTTCTTCGACTGCTGTATCTAAATAGTCGAGTGGCCGCTGTTGAAAATGAAGTCAAGGAGATTGAGACGACATCTTAGACCAAAATCATAGAGGCTTTGATGAAATACGACCCAGACTTTCTGCAAGCAACCTTGATAACCGTTGACTTCGATAAGAAACTGGCCCCTTGGTACATAATGGAAACTCTGAATGTGATATTTTCCCTCGCTCAGTACCAAGGAGATAGCTGGCTGTGACCAGCATTGTAAGCAATGATACGAGAGATATAGTAATTACGAGATGGAGTTCTGTTCCACAAGATTACTATGTAGCGCATGACGCTTGTGCGTTTTCTCTAAACCAACTAACCAGACCAGCAAGTGCCAGGCACTTGTCGGGCACGATCATAACAACCGCCTTGTCGTATCCACCCTTGCCCACCGACTCCGGCCCCGTGGTCCACTTTACCCCAACACTTGCATTGCATAGGATTAACTGTTCACAGCTCTGAAGACACCATAATTGGTGCGCATAATACCCATGATCGATACTAGCGGAGTACCAGATTGGAAACTGCAACAGTACCCACAAACTCCAACGACCTGCACTCATTCTTGTTAGCCAACCGGCGTAAGCCGGCTGGAGCTGTCCTCAATACTGCACCTTGATCATTCAACAGATGATGTGCCGCGGGGCTGGTGTAATATCGGACAGCCATAGGTCAATGAGGACCACAACGTCGACCGTCTCGTGACACAACACGATGGAGCTTATGTTGATTCGTGAGGTCATAAGCTCAACCCATGACTATGGCTGTATGGGGCTTGGGGTATATATGAAGCGACCTCCCGCTCTAGTGCCCATACACCGGTCAATCTTGATTTGACCTTAATCAGATCTAACCTTTCCGTACAGAATCTACAGCGATGATGACAGGCTCAAAGTCAGACAAGATGAAGCCACTCCCAGGCTTCAACGTGGCGAACGTGTTCGAGAAGCGGCAGTTGCTCGTCGCCATCAACTCGATGGCGGCGCTATCCATTTTCTTCTTTGGCTACGACCAAGGCATGATGGGCGGAGTGAACAATGCTAAGAACTACATCGATCTCATGGGGTTCGGATACGTCGATCCGGACACGAAAGAGCCGATTGTGACGGATGGTCTGCTGCAGGGTGGGATTGTGTCAGTGTACTACCTTGGCACGCTGTTCGGATGTTTGTTGGGAGGCTGGATTGGCGATAAGGTCGGGAGGGTGAAGACGATTGCTGTAGGTGCGGTGTGGGCGATTATTGGTGCTGCGTTGCAGTGCTCTGCTATGAATCATCAGTGGATGATATGCGGTATGTCTCAGGCTGGCTCTCTCATTTTGGTTCATCAGGGGCTAAGCTGACGGCAACTAGCTCGAGCTGTGAACGGGATCGGCACTGGGATTCTGAACGCAATCGTCCCTGTCTGGGCCACTGAGACTGCTGAACATACTTCTCGAGGCCAGTTTATCGCCATCGAGTTCACGGTGGGCAACTTTCACCGCCTTTATTCCCATCAATTTTCGTGGCTCAGAGAGGCAGAATCTACATGTACGCAGCATATACTGACACCAGGAGTTGAACGCAGTTGAATATCTTCGGCGTTGTTGTGGCATACTGGCTCGAATTTGGCCTAAGCTTCATCGATGGAGGCAACTCGGCGGTCCGTTGGAGATTTCCCATTGCTTTTCAGATAATCCCGCTGCTGATACTCCTGGGGTCTATCTGGTTCTTCCCCGAATCCCCTCGGTGGCTGGTCAAAGTCGGACGAGATGAAGAGGCGCGGTACATTCTGCACCGTCTGCGCGGCTCTTCTAGGGACGACGCTCAACGTGCTGAACTGGAGTACCAAGATATCTGGAATATTGCGCAGCTGGAGCTCAAGGAGTCCAAGAATAACTCTTACTTTCATATGCTTTTTGGCATCGGATCGGGCGAATTGCACACTGGCCGCCGGGTTCAGTTAGTCATCTGGCTCCAAATTCTTCAGGAATGGGTCGGCATTGCTGGTGTAACTATCTACGCGCCCACCATCTTCCGCATTGCTGGGTTTGATACCGAGAAGAGTCAGTGGATCAGTGGGCTCAACAACATCTTTTACATGTTCGCGACCTTGATCTGTGTATTCACTCTGGATCGGATTGGGCGGAGATGGACACTGTACTGGGGTGCCGTTGGCCAAGGTATCTCCATGTTTCTTGCGGGAGCATTCTCTCGGCTTGGGCAAGACGCTACTCGTAATGGGGATTTGTCCAAGGCGAACTCATATGGAGCCGCAGCCGCAGCGTTCGTCTTCATATTTACGTCCATCTTTGGTGCCACGTGGCTTACGGTGCCATGGTTATACCCAGGTTAGTAGTATACTGGGTCTCACAAGTTACCGAGTACTTCGTTCCTTAATAACACCGATTCACAGCCGAGATATTCCCTCTCCAAGTCCGAGCCAAAGGCAACGCATGGGGCGTATTTGGATGGAGCATCGGAAACGGATGGCTTACACTGCTCTGCCCCGTCATGTTCAACGCCATTGGAGAGAATACGCTACACATATTTGCCGCGTGCAATATCATCGCTATTCCCATCGTCTGGGCCCTGTACCCTGAGAGTAATCAGCGAACTCTGGAAGAAATGGACCTGCTATTCGCGGCACCCACGCCGTGGGTTTGGGATGCGGAAAAGACCTTTGCCCGACGCAAAGCGGAACAGCCCGATTTGGTGCATGCGGCGAAGAAGGGCGAGAGGGTTGTGGACCCGGAACCTGGGGTTACGGGAGTGCATCGCGAGCATGTGCTTGAGAACGCCGGTCAAGAGGGATGTGAGGGGAAACTGGCGGAATAGGAGAACTAACATGTAGTCGGTAGCACACTGTGCGAGCTATTCGACACAAGGCGCAACTTCTGGGAATACTAGAAACTAGATTCAGCTCAACAGATCCCTCCGGGAATTTGCAGCCAAGACGTAGATCATTGGTCATAGCTTTCGCGTCGGTCACAGATTTCGGTAGGAGCTGAGACGACTTGAAACGGTTTTCTATTCTTGGGCATCTTGGCACAGTAGCCCTACCAGCAAATCGAAACCTTGGTTTATACCATTCCCTAACTTCATGGCATTCGTCCACGTTTTGGTGATTACTGCTAAATATGCGAGCCTAGGAAATTCGATTCCAACATTATTTAGACCCCCAACCACGACCAATCCCCCAACCCATGCGTCCTGAGAAGAGTGAACTCATTTCATATGTGGATTGATGCATTTGGTGTTTCCACCGAGGTTTTCTCAAGTGAAATTTGCGGCTTGACGTGTTTCGGCGCTGCCATGCGATTTGATGCTCGGGCTGCGTGCTGGCTATACTGCATTCAAGGCCCTAAACAACGAGTCAGTCAAACTATCTTATAGGTCACAGTACGCATGCCACTCACCATTCAGGCCATGTGTCTCTTATTCGGTCCGATCATTCTTTGGCGATAGCATTTCCCTGGATAGCTGCGGCCTCAACTGCTGCTTCCCCTGCTGCCTCTCCTTCCTCGCCTCCAAAAGTGAGAGCACCATCACCTACTACCAAGGCAGGCGAGTAGGCACCAAGGTTGATGTTCAAAGGGACAGCAGTGGCGAAAGTTGCCAGCGTCGCGAAAACGATGGCGAAGGCAGTTCTGGCGTACATCTTAATTGTCTGGTTGTGATGTGGTCGAGTGGTGCGGTAAGATGAAATTGAGCTTTCTAGGTTCCAATACTCGATCGAAAAGTGGATGTGATATTAAGTGATTAAGTTGGAGAAACAGATGACCAGATCTTGGGAGCAAAGCGAAGAACAGAAACAATGCACCTGTGCACGTTCAAGTCGAAGAGAAAGCAACGAATATCAAAGACAAGTGACGAGAAATGTCGATAGACAGATACCGCAAAGAAGAGAATGGAACAAATAACGGGCTTGATTACAGTACGCAACAGAAACACCGTTCTTATAGCTTGAGGGTGCTCATTGGCAGAAGGCTGGACGACACAGCCAAGACCTTGGCAGGATTTCAAAGCTGACGCAGGCGTGGGATCGCCGTCCACGTTGAAATGTTGCACCGACCATAGCGCGTTTGAAGGCCGAACGGTGGGTCCGGGTCGTCGTCACGCACCGGCATTTGGTTACCCCAAGACGGCAGTGATTCAAGATCGATTTCTTGGTAGGATTTCGATGATGTTTTGACTTGGCGCCCGACACTGTTACCAAGAAACAGTTATGTGCTTGTGGTTGTGGTCGGTGCACTAGAACCAGTTCTGCTAGTTGGGGCAACCCTGCTAAAAGCGACGCAAAGGACTCTCTTCTACTTCGTAGATTTGGTAGATATTACTCGAGTCAGCCTCTGAATGTAACGTCGCTGTCAGCAGGGAAACGGTCCTGGCGGGACAGCCAGATTAGCACTCGAACTATCTGTTCTTTGTGCTCGGGCTATCTATCGCTGGCCAAGATACCCCTGTGAGTCGCAGCCACTGCTGCCAAGTTGATTTGACGCAACGGCCTTGTCACACAAAGAAACAGAACACTGGAACCTGGACTTTCTGTCTAGACTTGGACCTTACAAACCCCATCTGTTCTAAACCCCCAATTGGCATGCGCTGTGTGCCCTCATGTTGGCCAACAGAGAGACACACACATCGGCTTTCTAATCTCCGTATCCATCAAAGCTAGATCGCAAATGTTTCTGTCCTGAACTCTTCTCCTAAGCTGGGGTAAGAAATGCTTGCGCGTCTCATCGAATGCGATACGGGTGGCATTGAAGTTCTCCCCAGTCAGTATTAGACATGAAGGATATAACTGCCGGTTGTTTCATGATACTTCGAAGGGGATGACCTAGGGTTAAATACACTGCAAACATGATCTTCACGGCCAAATTATTATGGCATGATCACACAAACCTGCCAGCACGTTACTTCAACAAACCCTAGTGGCTGTTGAGGCTCACAGGCTCATTGCGAAGGTTTGGCCCCATAAATACAACCTTGACAGCCAGTGGTAAGCTGAGTTACACGAGATGCCAGTAATATTTCTCTATTATTAATACTGGCGAAGTTTTCACTGTGCTGTTGCTTTAGTGCTTTTGCTAGATTTTTCTTCGCTACGAAAGTAAGATATTTGCCATAAGAAAACAGTGGCTAACTCAGATAGGCAAGAACAATGATACATATTATCTGATGAATTGATGATCGGGTATGGGACATCGACTCTTGTAAGTAGGTAAGGATTTTGCTGAGAACATGACAATTGCACCGCACATTTTATTATCAGAGATCAGCAAACCCATGGACATGATGGTGGGATCGGCATCCCTGGCTCGGCGGCGAACAGGCTGCAAAGCATTGACGCTCCCATCTTTGATGCAAACACAGGTCGAAGATCAGTTCGGCACGAAATCACACCAGGAGTGGGGGAAGTCTCTCGCCCTTTATATCCCATTCAGTTCAAGAAGTGGTGCTGCAGCTGAAGATACAAGGACCACATAGTCAGCCTAAATAGATCAATTTACCAAAAGTGGCTTAGTATCCCGCATTCAGGAGGTTAAACAACTTCCCCATGACTAATATGATTGTAGGCCGTCCGGGTTTTGCATATTGACAACACAGTAAGGCCTTCGCCAAATACTCCCGCCTTTTGCAATCAAGTTTTCCAGCGTCGCGTTCCAGAATGGGCAGACAATATGTATCAACAATGGACTTCGAGTCTTTAAGGAAAATCGGAACGGGATATATTTTGTTCATTCAACAGTCCGGGATGCCAAAAGGCGGCGGTCGGCTGGAGAGCCCTCGAGGCAACATAGCGGGAAACTGGTCTTTGTAGCCCAGAAGAAGATCCAGGGAATACACGGAATCATACCAGACAAGCGCCGGAAGCGCCAGAGGCCCCCCTTTTTAGGAACGAGTGTGCGGCGAGTGAGAACGTACAAAGCAAGGAATTGACGAAACTTGAAGTGTTGAACAACTTCGGCATTTATGCGGATCACTTCGATCTTAGGAGCTGGTCATCGCAGATGCCACACTTTCACGAATTTGCAGCGCTATGAGATGCCAACAGAATGCTTGATCGGCTCTATGCTGACGAAATTAGGGATACCGGGGTCACTTCGACCATGGGCACATGCACATGAAGGCTCTCAAACACTTGATCGGCATGAACGGTGCCCAGAACACTCTGTCGGACCTGGCATACAATGCAGTCTCCAAGGCAGGTCTTTACGGCGCCATTGCAACTTTCTCCAAACTCTACTTTCCCATGTTGAGCCGCTATCCATCAATATTAGACACGATTTCCAGGGACCGCCGAGACTGCCGAGATGCAATATTCGAAGTTTTTCGGCTGCAGATTTCTACCTGTTGTGTAGCCCACAAGGTTATTGACAGCGTAGCTACGTTAGCCGTCTTCACTGACGATTGGAACTCGGCACAAGCCGACCGAACTACCAAACTCGACCCCTTCGCCATGATGGAAGAGTCCTAATCCCTCCTGTACAACCCTTTGAGAAGCCAGCAAAATCGCCAAATCCCAAATTCGACGCTCAATATCGGATTCAGTGCGGAACCCATGACCCAGACGATATATACCGTCATGCTGTGCAATATTTCTCACTGGTGCGGGAGCATGATCTGGCACAGCGTCCGGTTTTCTATATGAGATCATTGAGAAGGGATAAGAAGGATTAGAAATGAACTATCTCTGCAATCTTGAGTCAGAAGTAGATCGGGAAATATTGCATAATGTTGGACTTAGCAAAACCAAGAACTTAGATAAGTGATATAATAACAACAGTCCACTTCAACAAGAGGATGCATAGGTGATAACCACCTGGAGGACCAACAGCAATCATAGAGGACAATGCATGTGGTTCACACAGTCATGGCGGATTCAGCGCCATGGATCGGAGCAGACGTAATACTATGTGTCTGTCGGCTGGTGTAGTTGGTCACTTCGCTGGTAGATAAGTCTCGATTTCAGCCTCGCCCACTTGGGTCGGTGACGAGTCGCGGGTTCGAATCCTGCAGCTGACACACAAGGGGGTTTAGTCAACCCTTATGGCGCGCTGCCCACCTTGTTGACTTCGCCTACCTAGCGATAATAGGGAGATTGGTGCAGTTTAGGATTACGAGCATCCTAGCCAGTCGACCGTCAAGCACTACGTCGGCGGAATATAACTCGACAGCCGGTCCAGAATTCGAATCGTTAATCCGGCCCCTTATCGGACCTCGCCTATCCGATAACGCTCGTCGGCGAACCCGTCCCCTCACGATAGAAGGCGCGCAGCACGCCCTCTCGCCGCGATTCTTGCGAGCGTCTAGACCACGTTACGGTCTATCCACTTGAGCGTATGGTTGAGATGTATACGCTCGACGAGAACCCCAATTAGCAGATACTACGACTTGTCGCGACAAAAAAAATAGTCGAGCATCTTCTGCACATCAGCAGCATCCCACCCCTGAGGACGAATTTAAGTGCCGCATTACCACACTTATCGGTAGTTCAGGCAGGGGTTGTAGCACAGACTTAGGGAGGGACAGGAGGTTTAGTAGTCGTTTGGCTACAAGTTTACCTGTATAACCGCCCGACGCGGCTTAAGGGCCCGCTATATCATCTATAGCCCCTTAAGGGAGTACTTGTAGAGGTACCGAGGGTTAACACCTACGGCGTATTTAATATTATTACTATGTGTCGGACCGCACCAGATATTTTTATAGCTCTTTCGTGCTCAACGACTGAAGGCACACTGTTTTGTATATAGGGCCCTTATGGCGGGCCAACTTCACTCCTTTGGACTTGGGGATATCAGTTATAGCTTGTAATAATCTCGATACCATGTTCATTGTGCATGCGCGTTCACTGATATCCGGAGCATGTCATCAGTCCGATTCTTTACACTCTGGTGTTTCATTTCATTGTCGAGTATAGTCTTGAGCAGGTGATTTTGAAAACATAAACCATAAGTGCAAAGTACTTGGGATGTTCTTTGAACAATGGCAAGATGTTGTCTTTAGATTTACCAGGGCGCCACTGTATAATCAGTAGTAGAACGAGGCCTAAACTCCCTGACACACTCACTTTACATGGATTCAACTTTTAGAGTGGCCAGCAGAGGAGAATTCAGTGCGGAATCCAGACATGTTTGTTTCACAAGCTTGCGGCCTGCATTCATATCTATGTCTTGTAAAAATATGTTGACAGTCTGTGCAAGACCCTCGTCTCGTATAATCTATATATCCAGAAATGATCCAGCCGGTGATGGTGGGAGGTGTTCACTAAAACTATGAAATCTCAAAAGATGGACAAAAGACATCTTCAGTTCGGATGTAATATGTCGGTTTCTTGGGTCTCTATGAACTGTGCCTTCCTGGATATAAACATGTCGATCTAGGTTCATGAGTTTTAGTGAGCTCAGCATGACGACTTATTGGATTTCTCAGATAATATTTCATTGAAGACGAGCAATGCTTGCTCTTTTCTTTGCTATGCGTCTGCTAATGAGAGGTCCATGTGGGAGAGTGATACGCCTGGGCCACGCAAAGATGCTGAGAGCGATTCGTGATTGATCCTCGGAGGTAGTGACACTACGAGTTGCGAGCGTCTGGCCGTGCCAACTATTGTCTCAGTCCTTAAACTAAGCAGTTTTCATGGCTGCTGAGAGAGAACAGTTTCACTGGACGATTTCTCAGACACTGAGTAGTAACCTGACAAGATGGTGGTTGACGTCGAAAAATGCCGTTTTGGCGAAGCTTTCTGTGGAAACTCTCCATTGGCTCGGGGCGCATAAGAAGCATAATACAAACGGAAGTCGATGCGTTCCGTATGATCCTCAGAAGTGAAGATACGGTCCGTCTGTGACGACTGACACATGGACGATAAGCAGGGACATCCTGACATGGCCTGCCCTGATCTGGACGAGCGCGTTCCCCTTATAATAGGAGAACGGCCAGACATACTTGTAACCCTTTCCTTCTCTTTCTTCCCTAGTTTAGTATTCAACAATAGAGATGCACTGATATGCAACCTTGATTCGTACCTATGTGCCTCTGCCTCGTTACACCGTCTAATGGAGAATGGACCATAACATAAATGTTGTAATGACCTAGGAACACAGCTTAGCTGATCTCCCTTTTTTATTCCTTCTTATAACTAGACTAGGCTGTCAGTAAAAGATATAAAGATAAGGAAAAAAATATTGTGATATGAGGATAGGCTATAGTGGTAACGTAGTCCACAAGCGAACGGGTCACCCAACCGAACGGGTCACGCCCATTGTTAGGCAACCTTGGTGGGCTTTGCCAAGACCACCAAGGTTACCACGTGACTTAGCCCTTCGGGACTAAGTCCAACCTTCGTGCTCCATAGGACTAGATAGAATGTCATGCTTTTACAACCTCACAAATCTTTGACCACCTTTGCGTGTAACACCCATAGCAAAAAATAGAACTAAACTTCCTAACTTTACCACGCAACTAATTCTCGATGGATTCTGCTCAAAAAGAATCTCAATTACTCCTTGCAACTCAGGCTATCAGAAATGACTCAACACTGTATCCGACGTGCTGCAACAATCTACAAAGTCTCGAATACTACTCTCCAGGCGCGTCTTCAAAAACGTCAATCACATCGCAATATCGAAGCCAACGGTCGGCATTTAACAAAACTAGAAGAAAATGCGATTATTCAAAGGATAATTGAGCTAGATTCACAAGCATTTCCTCCCCGGCTAAGTGCTATTAAAGATATAGCAAACCGACTGCTACGCGACCGCGACGCGTTACGCGTCGGCAAGAACTAGGCCTCCAACTTCGTTAAGCGACAACCACAGCTCAAGACGGTATTCAGCCGTAAATACGACTATTCTCGGGCCTTATGCGAAGATCCAGAGCTTATTCAAGGCTGGTTTGACCTTGTGCGCAATACAATTGCGAAATATGGGATCGCCGATGCCGATATCTACAATTTCGACGAGACCGGCTTTATGATAGGTCAGATTACCGCATTGATGGTTGTTACGAGCTCTGAAAGGAAAGGCAAGCCTAAGCTAGCCCAGCCTAGCAATCGGGAATGGGCTACGGTGATCCAGGGCGTCAATTCCCAAGGCTGGACGGTCCCGCCATACATCATTGTCAAGGGCCAATACCACCTCTCTTCCTGGTGCGAAAACGACGCGTTGCCGAAGGACTGGAGGATCGCCGTGAGCCCAAATGGTTAGACTACGAACGAATTGACCGCAGATTGGCTAAAACACTTTGACAAATACACCAAAGGCCGGAAATCGGGTGTATATCGCCTTCTTATCCTGGACGGCCACGAAAGCCACCATTCCGACGCCTTTGAGCAATATTGCAAAGAGAACAAGATTATTATACTTTGTATGCCTGCCCACTCTTCTCATATCCTCCAGCCACTATATGTGGCATGTTTTGCGCCGTTAAAAAAGGCCTACGGCTCGCAAATTGAGAAGCTCGTCCGAGCCCGGATTTCGCATATCACAAAGGAGGACTTTCTTCCGGCATTTTGCGACGCGTTCAAGAAGAGCCTGACCGAAAGCAATATTCGTGCAGGCTTTTAAGGCGCTGGGCTTGTGCCTTTAAGCCCAGATATTGTTATTGAGAAGCTAGATATGAAATTACAGACTCCAACGTCCTCCCGGCCCCCTACGCGGGAAACCCTTCTTTAGGCTTCTCGGACGCCAAACAACCCAACCGAGGCTACTTCGCAATCCGAATTTATTAAATCTCGAATTTCCAGGCATCAAAATAGCTCCCCGACGTTAATTTACGATACTATCGATCAGTTTTCGAAAGGAGCGCGAAGTATTATGCATAAGATGTGTCAGAGAACAGAATGCCATAGGCACCGGTGGGACACCGGTGGGGGCTCTGGTGTAGGAATGTGCGAGTCATGACACGATATGGAAGTCTTGGTTTGCGGAACAATCGGGGAAACTAGTGCTCCGCGGCTCCGACGTCGGGTTCTAGCTATCTATGTAAGGGGCGGAGGCCCGGGAAGAAGATAGAGGGAGAGTAGAGATCAATGCATCACCGTGGGCACCCCTACCTGAGACCGCCAGTGACCACCCGGTGCTACGTAGGAGGGACGCCCGTTACTCCCCATCACTCTGTACTATTGCCTTCGGCCTAGCCGTACCCTGACAAGATGGCTTTACTCCAAGCTGAGGTCGCCGAACGTCGAGAGGCAAATGCTCTAATTAGCAAGCGGCGCAGGGCCAAAAAAACACGAGTACGGCTTGGAGGATCACTTAATTCACAAGACGTACAAGATCTTCAAGATCAAAAGGACGTTGCGCAGCAAGTACAGCAGGAAATGCGTGGAAATAGCGCTGGATCAAATCGTGGCTAGCCACGGCAACGGCGCTGTGGCGTATGCGGGAAGACCGGGCATAATGCGCGAACCTGTCAGGTAGAGATAGAATCATCTGGGCAAGAGTATTCTGAGTAGTTTTAATTGATTTACGGCGTTGTGGTTGCGAAATCGTGTTGAATTCCATGTTTTGCTAGTTGGCGTGACCCGTTCGGTTGGGTGACCCGTTCGCTTGTGGACTACGTTATATTTAATATTGAATTATCAATAAGTCGAATACCTTTGTATATGAATTGGAAGCTCGATGGATTGAAAAGCGAATTTTGTCAAGCAGAGCTGAAGAAAGCGAAGGAAATAATTGCAGAAATATCTTGTTTAAAAATATACGTTAGTTGCCTCCCGTTTAGAGCTAGTATATGTGCATCATCCTAAAAGCCATAAACTGTAGTTACTGTGACAGTTTGGTACATTTCGTCCATATTCTGTCCCTCAGAGCATGTAAGTAAGACCAAAGGCAATTAATAGCAGTGGCACCGGAGATTATGTGACCTTTATGTGTAACATGTCAACTGAGCCATATCTGTTTTTGTTACGCTACAAGTTGATGGCATATTGTATTTGCGTTGTTCATACTATATCATAGTTACTATTTCAGAACTTGCAGCACACCATGCATGTGTTGAATAAACGAATTTTGGACTGCCTTCTGGCAGGGTAAAGGATAGCTCCGCCCAGACTGTGGCAATCTGAGACTAGGCATCTTTCAAATACGAATTTGACTCATTGAACTGACACGTACTCTATAATAATGTGTTACCAAAACCCTCAGCATATAGATGAACGTATGTTGGTCTGGTTTGAAGCGGTCTGCTTTTGCATTTGTCTGACGCTGGATTGTGCGTTGCAATATCGGGGTTTTCGCAGCCCAGCTTCTGAGGCAATTGAAAAAAAGTTTCAATGTCAAGCAGCCTGTTGTCTGCATGATGCGCCCTCCCAGCTTGCCTGCGGTTGGCGGCCGGCAGGCCGGCAGAACTAAGGCTAAATACGACGACAGCTTCATCTCTTGGCCGTTGACTTTGGAGGGATCTGCGTAATGCAACACCGGCCTGTACATTGCCTGTACATTGAGGCTCTTGTAAAAACTTCAACCTCACCTTCCCTTTTCAGGAGACCATCCAATTGCAAATGCTCCCTCGATAATCGCCCAGCTTACCTCCGGGTAAGCCATATTATCGAGTACCAAGTCATAACCCGGCGCCATGCGCGAGTTCATGGATTACATCCAAAGCGCCTTCTATGCCGCAACGGGCTGGAATCGCGACAACTCCTACTCGTCCCTGAACGCGACGGCTGACGCTTTGCTTAGCTTCCCTACCCCACGGGGCCTCCGGATCACCCTCGGGTCACTTGCCACGCCCCAGTTCGCGACCGCATACCAGCTCGGCACCGTTGGCGTCGTCGATGGCTCGGTCTCGTACCTGTACTCGACGGTCTCGCTCCGCAACGCGGTCGCGCAGAGCGCGAGGATACCTTTGCCCGATCTCCTGAAGAGCTACAAACCCCTGGTGGAGCTGCCGCGCGGGACAATAGGGACAGGGGACTTCCTCGAGGGATGGGATGCATCAGAGAAGAATACGCTCGCCTACGGGCGTTTGTACCTGCCACAGTCGATGCTGGAGGCACTTGTCGTGAAGCGCTTCTCTCCCACACTACAGATGCAGATCAGTGCAGTGTCTGATCAGACGTTGCGTAATGGCGGTACGGTTCTAGGCATGGTACAATACGACCGACAACGATACGGCATTGAGGGTTTGGCATCATCCGATGGAGGCCTCATGGGAGTGCGCGGCTTGTACAACTTTGGAGGTGATGCGGAGAACTTGAAAACGCCATACGGCTCTTCAAACGATGTTGCGACGGGGAATGGTATTGGTGAACGGGAAGGCATATACGGACGGTTTAGCACGGGTGCAGAACTCTACTACGGAACACTCAACAAATCGGGAGGCATGAGTATGGGGGTAAGGTTCGCAACTCTGCCGACATACAGAGGAACACCACTCACGGCAACGATGACGATCAATCCCTTGATGGGAAACATCAGCTGGAGCTATGCAGTCATGGCTGGAAAGTTCTGCTCGCTTGCGACAAGAATGGACTTCAATGTCTACAGCTACGAAAGTGAATGGGCAGTCGGCACGGAGTTATGGAGAAGGAGGAAGAGTTCCTGGGCCGTCGATGCTGGTAAGGAGAGCCCAGCGCCAGAGCAGGCGCCTCCACCCAAATTGGAAAGGAGCTTCCAGGCCAAGATCGAATGGAGATTAGACGACCCGCTACCGGCACCAGAACCTCCAGAAATGCAGTCGGCCCCGAAAGAGCTTGTCGAGCCCAAGAAAAAAGACAGAAGCTTTCGCGCCAAGATGGAGTGGAAATTGGACGACCTTGGCCTCATGGAGCCTCAAGCGGAAGAGGACAATGATAAATACTCGGGCGTTCTCAAGGCGAGGCTGGATCAACATCTTAAAATTGGTCTTTTGTGGGAGGGAAGGGTCAAGTCGTTGCTATTCAGTCTCGGAAGTGGGATCGACCTTCGCCGACTCGACACGCCATTCCGGAGCTTAGGCCTCGAGGTGCAGTTCTCCTCGTGAGGGGTTGACTGCAAATATGATTGGGATCATGCGATCGTATAACTGCGAGATACTGCGCCGAGCCGGGAACCCACCGCGGGAGGGCATCCATATACCTGGCATTGGAAGTGGTTCCCGGGGTGGCAACCCGAAAGTAAAGCCGCTCTGTATGAATGCAGCCATGAGAGCCTATGAGGGCATGTACAACTTATGTGGTGGTGCCTACAGCTACAGACAAGTCCTGTGGAGACGTGATGTGGGATCTGTGTGGATGTGGTTCGCTGAAACTGCCAAACACCTTGATGGCCATCGACTTGTTACTAAGTCCAGTCGCCGCTGACCGTTACATTTACCGACCCTAAGGCATGAACAGAAATGCTCAAGGCAGCTTGGCACGTCGACCACAACAGCAGCTGGGATCATGAAATTGGTCCGATCTATGGCTAAATTCAAGCTGCCACGGAATATTGGAGTAAAGGATGTCCCTGGTGTGTCACTGATCGAGATATGCGAAGGACCGGATGGGGTCGGCACCAAATGAACCATGATTCTCTAATGGACGAACTTGCAATGAACACCACCTTGCCCCTGCAAACAATCAATATCCGACTGTTGGCACCTCCGCCTGGCGCATACATTGAACCAATCACTGGAGTGCTTCTTGTACGACTAGAGCAAGTCGTGTCTTCGCACAGAATAAGGCAATATTAGAAGAAACATTGTCCTACCGTCACCGGGCTGTGAATTCCCAGTGTCACCTCGGAATGTTGCTGTTCCACGTGCTCTGCAACCCAAACACGATTCGTTTTTGTTGAAAAATGGGGTTAACGACTGGAAAATTATTCAGCGGTTTATCGGTAAACCTAAGAGCGATAAAATGGGCCCATCTGCATGGAGATGCAGCACGCAAGACCACATCGTCTGTCTTCGACAATGTCCGGCCAAAAAGTGAGGACCTTGATGGACAGATACATTGACGAGTATCTTGACTAGGAGTATTGAAGGTGCGGTTTTTGTTAGGGACGTGACGTATCAGACGCCACCTAATGCAACAACGGCCCCACCTGCTAGAGGGGCATCACCGACTAGGTGGGCACGAACAGGCACATGCAAATACGAGAGGACTTTAGAGAAAATGGACAACGAAAATGAATTGGGAGCCGAAAAAATCAAGGCACCTGGTTGAAGGTACAACAAGCCAGATGGTAGTTGTTTCTTTCATTGTTTTTTTTGGGGGGGAGGGGGGTTGTTACAGGACTGACAGTGAAGGTGCGACAAAGCTGAGTATGTGACCCAAAAACGTGAGCTGCAAGCGACCAGCCGAAAGTTGGGAAGACCTGGGTCCTGCTGACATTTACATCAGGGTTTTGCGGTAAGTGCCCATCAAGGTCCTCACTTTTCGAACCTCCACAGCTGTCTCACCTTGTGCCGTCCCAATGGCAAGTCCGCGTTCAGCGCGAACGTTTTTTCCGTTGCACGGATCAAACCTTGTCATTACCGTTGAAAACATTGTGAATCACAGTCCTTTGTTGTTATCTCTATTCTTGCTCACGAGGAGGTTCTTGGTCACTTTTGGTTATTCCGTATCAGGACAGACAAATTCTTTGCTACGAGACATCGGGGGTCATCTGCACGCAACTCCAGAAACCACGAGGCCGGTCATTGCACAGAGCAGCAAAGCACATGACAAACACCCCATTATCCCTCCTAGTGAAGTACCACGACCAATTAAAGGACGCAGGGACTTCGCGTTGCAAGATTATCAAGATCTGAAAACTGAAAACTTGCATCGGCACTGTTCCCCTTGAAGGTATGAAAATTTTATAGAGTTCGAGTCAAGTCGGCCAGTCCTTGTTCACAGGCTCCCTCGTCCGTGATTGCCCTGGAGTACATCTGGATATCTTGTGGCAGAAGCCAACAAGGTTCGCACTGTCCATTTCACAGCTGGGCTGTCCATACTGCCCAATCACGCTCAGTTACATCTTGCAAATTTGGTTCACCTAGGGCCTGGTTGCATGGATACATGTCCCATTGAAAAAGGATATTGCAGTTTTGGAACCGCTGGGTTTATTCGGAAGTCATCCCAAATTTATAAATAACTAGACACCTGGATGGACTTTGTCAAGAACTATTAATTCCCAGAGGTCTGGCTAACAGCATCTGCAGGTCCAGAATCGCAACCTTCTGCACCTCGCCTGGGCACAGAAAGCTTGATTTTAAATCCAAGAACCTCTTGACAAACTCTACAACTATCCGCGACTGAAGTGGAAGCTGCCTCTCCAGGTCCTCCAAGCACCACCTTCTTGGCAGCCGCGCCTCACCGTTCAGCTTGAAACGCAATCCATAGTTCCAATACGGAGCAGACCACCGAAACGGCCTTTCTTGACCATTACACTTCCACAAGCAGCTTCCCGTCCAAACTCAACTTCAGCCCTGCGACTGCACGTATACCTACCGGCACCTCCAGTGCTGTGCCATCTCGACGAGTACTGATCGTCAATTTTGCCAACATCCAATCCAAAAATGTCGCACTTCACCCAGGGCATCGGTGCTCTGCTCAAGCTGCGGCAGGACGCCGACGCAGGGGCAGAGGAGGAAGTCAGTGGCTTCCAGGTCATCACCGACTGCGACTCTGGTAACGAATACGATGGCCGCATGAACGTTCGCATCTCCGCGATCTTCGTCATCCTTATTGGCTCCCTACTCGGTGCTCTCATGCCTGTTGCGCTTGCTAGGAGTTCCAGACTGCAGGTCCCTAAGATGGCCTTTTTCATCGCTAAGTACTTCGGTTCCGGCGTTATCATCGCCACTGCCTTCATGCACCTTCTCATACCAGCCTTCGAAGCTCTTGGTTCACCATGCCTGGAAGGATTGGATATCTCCGAGTACGCTTGGGCAGGCGGCATTACTTTCATGACCATCATGGTTATGTTCACCATCGAACTCCTGGTCAGTCATTTCGACATCTTTGGGGGGCACGACCATGATGCTGAGGGCTCGGATCCGTCGCTGGATATTCTTAAGAAGAATAGCGAGGCATCGACTCCGCCAGCTCAAAACCAAAAAACCGACATTGAGTCTGGCATCAATACTCAGGACAACGGTGACCAAAGTCGCGGTAGCACAGGATTTAAGGGATTGCCTAACGACGTCTCCTACCCTCCTGGTGGCGAGGACCATTTGGGACATCACCGCGACCACACCGAAAACGACAGCCACGCTGCTTTCGCCGCGCAGATGACGGCTATCTTCATCCTGGAGTTCGGTGTCATCTTCCACAGCATTTTCATCGGGCTCACCCTTGCGGTTGCAGGCGAAGAGTTTATCGTCTTGTACATTGTGCTCGTTTTCCACCAAACCTTCGAGGGCCTCGGTCTTGGTTCTCGCCTCGCGACTACACAGTGGCCCCGAAGCAAAGCCTATATGCCGTATCTGCTCGCGACCCTTTACGCCCTCAGCACCCCTATTGCCATCGCTGCTGGTTTGGGTGTTAGACAGACCCTTTCCCCTGGTGGCACGACTACTCTGATTATCAACGGTGTATTCGACGCGATCAGTGCTGGTATCCTCATCTACACTGGATTGGTTGAGCTACTGGCCCATGAGTTTATGTTCAACCCCCACATGCGCAAGGCTGGACTCAAGACACAGATGTTCGCCCTGGGCTGCGTCATGCTCGGCGGAGCTTTGATGGCACTGCTTGCCAAATGGGCATAAAGGCACAGGGCAGGCTTGAACCACGAGAGTGGGAAGGCGGTTGATTGACACCACGGTACACTTGATGGGAAGCCGCTCCGGGGAATGGAGGCACAGTTTATGCACTAAAATGATCATGAGACGGACTCTGCGCAATCACTACTGCTATTTACGCCCCACGCAGTCGGGGCTGATGCAGTCCATCAAATGTTGCACAATGGCAACGACAATAGACGATAATCACGACCTGAACGGACCACTTTTTATGTTCCTAACCCACTGTATCGTACTGTATGCGAAGCAAATTTCGCAAGATATTTGACCAATATATAATTTTCTGCAACTTTTCTTTCACACGATTGAGCTGGTGCCGCCCATTAAGTAGGGATGTTCTCCACTGTCAACAGGGGGACTGATGACAAAGCCAGCCCAAGCGATGAGCAAGTCAATCCAATTTACGCATCAACTAAATGTACAGAGTTGAATTATTGAGGATTCGTGCGTGCCTCTGTCTGGACAATTCTTCCTAGCATCCTTCCCATGAGCAGTCCAGACAGATTGCGGCATATACCACCCCTCCGCGTTCCATGCAGCCCATAATTGCCCTTGAGACCCTCCCTTGTGTGTAATCCATGATTATCATCCATCCCTTTTCGTGTGCTGAATGAATCAAATGCAAAAGCTCTTCGTCCAATGTGTGGTCGCACCTCATCGTGGTTGTCTACAAAACTCCCGTGAAACTGCCTTTTCTCAATAGAATTCTATTCATATCAAGCAAGCTGTTTCTGTTCGCGTCTTGGAAGGGTGGCTATGCAATGGACGACATCGCGAAGCGCGTGCGAACGAGTCACAGAATTCGCACCTACGAATCGTTGTGTACGAATATCATACAGATTTGGCTACGAATCGTCTCGAATCGTACGGATACGACCTTCTAATTACATAGTTAGCTTCCTTTCCAAATGCTCATTTTGGTGATGGATTGATATACTTACTGAGCCTTGCCCTTCAAAGCTTTTCGACAGAGTGGGGTCCGGTATAGCGTGCGCTGGGCATATAATCTATCATCGAACATGAAGCCCGGAAACCGGAACTCTTGAAGCTTCAGTTTGGACACCTCTTCGCTTTTCGAGATCCGGTCGAACAGTTGGTTCATCTCGCAGCGGATAGGACGCTGCGGCGTTCGCACCTCCGACCGATCCAAGAGGAGACTGCCAGGCTGCTGCTCCCTATTAGGCTGGGTGATGGCGTTCTGCGGTATGCCCTCCTCTAGCTCGGGAACAGCCATTGCGGATGCATCATCCGTTGGATATTCCTCGGTCATCGTGGCGTCTGATTCATATTCGTCGTCCTCCTCTGGATATCGGCTCTCAGTCGCATAATTAGGGCCGGAAAGGATTGAGCTCAACGCTTGGGCAGACTCAGACTGTTCCATGTTCATGCAACGCTCGGGGTTTATCTTATTCGCGACCCGTTCCACGGCCTTGTTATCAAAACCGATCTGATCCAACTCTTCTTCGTATGTTCCAAATACGGCGCCCTTGACTTTTGGCTGAAGTGGAACAAACTTCATTTCCGGAAATTCAGGGAGAATTGCATCTCTGCGTTGTGACCCTGGCGTGTCTCTCCGGATAGAGCAGAATGCGATGCTAGGAACCATTTGCACATCAAAGGAGAGGCCCGTTTTTCTCTCCAGGCACCGAAGAAACTTCTGACATGACTTACATGGCGCGTCATCGATCTGAATAACTATGTTACGCGCGTCGCCAAGGATGGCGCCTCTAAGCGTGCCAAGTCGCTTCACCAGCCAGGAAATACTCGTGTTTTTGGGCTTGTTATGTAAAACGCGAACACTTTCCAAGGCACTCCTGTGTGTCTTCAGTTAGTGATTGCTACTTGAGACGTCATACATAGCTTAAGACACGTCCAAAGGGGAGAGACCACTCTCTATAGCGCTCACGACCCATACTCGAGGGATGGTCAAAATGAAATGCTGAGCTGAAGGGAGGGCTATCCGGGCACTTACCAACTAGACAATTGTGGCTCACAGTGCCCAGCTAGGAACCGGCCTTGGTGCTCGGGTTCAGGTTTCTTGGCCCCGTTGTCGAATTTGGTTCTGTTGAACTTGAAGCCGATTGCGTTGGCAACATAGGTTCGTGCAATTCATGCCATTTCGCCACATCAAGAAATTGGGCCCCTAGAGGACCCTTCCTTGCCTTGTACCCGCTGAGAGTGTACTTGAGGGCCAAATTCTCGCTGCGTACTTTGATGAGAGCTGGTGTCTTTTGCTTGCCAATAGTTTGGCCAGTCTCTTGGACGTCAACCAACGCGAACGTCAGTATCTTCGAGCCACTCTTCCCAATAAATATAGAAGTATGTTCTGCATTGTTTAGCTGAAGTAAAGCCCTCGGCAACATGCTCAGCATTCGACGGATCTCTGCGCGACGGTCAATTGCCAAAGGGTGTTCCGAACCCATATTGTGCCGTAGGAAGTGGAATCGTTTTCGTTTCATCAATTGTGTTTCCTCGGCATAATCCAGCGCTCGCAGGCCCTGGCTGTCTTCTGCTTTATGGTAGGCAGCTCTGGGCTTGCGCTGAAGGCGAACACCGCCTTCTTTCAGCAGTAGTTTCACGATTGTGTCGTGGCCCATGAGGGCTGCCAGCATAAGGGGTGTGCTGCGATCGCGGGTTCTTTCATAGAGTCTGCGGTGATTACGGCGGAGCTCCTTGATAACCGTCTCCTCATCGCCTCTGAGATAAGCAACGTGGATCAGGTGAAGGCCTTGATGCTTCGCAGCGGCACTTCGTGATTGCGCCATCTCGATGAAGTAACGTGTGGCTGGAGTGTTTCCGATTGAGGTGATTGTAAGCTTGAAACTGAGGTAGAAGAAGAAGAAAAGGAAACGGCCAATCAACTACTGTCGAGTTCGGTCCAAAAGGCGCTTGCCAGGAAGGCCAAAGCTACTTGTTGCCCCAGGTCGGATGCCGCGAGCTTCAGGTTAGTTGCATCTCTCCTGGTTGTTTACAGATCAAGACTGATCGAAGGAAGAAATTCGTATGCCCAGCAGTGTTGATGTGTTGTTGTGGGTTTGCTTCTGAATCTGGTAGAAAGTTAAAGTCGACTTGAAATAAGACAAGAGCCGATGGAAAGGTACGTATCAGGACCAAGATGAAAAAATAAGACAGGGAATGCACGCGAAGACGTTCCCCATCGAGAGCTTGCCTGTTCTGTCACCGACTTATCGTCGAGGAGGAAGGAACGGCAGCTTGATCGACGTGTGCGGGCAACTTCTAGAACTCAAGTTCTTTTAGGATGGCTTCCTCTTCAATATAAGTGGGATTGAAGATGATGGTGCTGTGGTATTGGATGAGGTTCGGAAGAGGCTCTGAGTGTGTGCATTCGATGTTGTAGGTGGTTCTAGCAGTGGAGCACCCGAACCTCTGAAAAGGTTGAGCGTCTTCAGAGGTTATAGAAGGTGGCCGCTGCAACTTCCCATCGTCCGATGGTTTGGAAGATGGAAGTGTAGGAATTATCTGGGGTACTGTGGGATTGGAAAGTGGCGTCTGGGGTTCCCACTATTAATCTGAACCTTGCTCATCTAAGGTAGAGGTAAAGGGGCTGATTAAGGGTTGGGAGAACCAAAATCTGTCGGACTTAATCATGACTGTGGAATATTATGGCTAAGGCCCTAGGATAAATTATGATCGTTCTGGGTAATTTTCATCTTCTTCCACTGTCATACCACTGTCAAACTTTCGTCTTTTCATAATGGAACACTTCATCAGCAAACCGTAAACGTGGATACGATTGCACACAACAACGAATTGATACTAACGGCTGCCATCAACGACCTCTGTTTCAACCGTCTGCAAATCCTGCAACTGGAAGTGTGCCATCCAGACTCGATGCAAGAAAGCCACTCCATCTCCACTATGACCGATACCCCTCTCGACAGCCTAACTCTACACCGATTTCCAGCAAGAAGAGATGAGCAATACTCTGGATCTGAGGATTAGTTTGAAGTTCAATTTGCAGCTTATTGGACAGGGATCTTCCCAAATACCAGCAGACTCGTTGTACGAGAGTACGAGGTGGGCACAGACAATGAGGAATTTCGGCGAACTTGTTATCCTAGATCGCCTCCACGGAAGGCGCTCGAGAAAACTTTCAGGATCATCGTTCAATCGGTGACGGAGTATTTTGAAAGCGTCGAAGAGACGAATTACAGATGTTGCCAGGAAGATTGGTCTCTATCCTCACAGGAAATCCTTCGGAGTTAGCACATGGTTTGATGACTTGCAACGAGAGAAAACTCAGCCTCTCAATTGAACTACGGTATTTGAATGTTCTCAATTTGGCCTTGTGCGATTGTGTGGAAAACCCGGGATATGGTTGATTTGCTGGGAGATTTACGGAGCTACAAGCAAGGTATATGATAAGAGCCGGCTCGGAAGGTTTATTGAAACGACCAATTCGCGGAGAACATTGCAGGTAATATCTCGTTCGCTAAGACTCTATTGATGTCCTGTACCTTACACAACGGTATACTGTTATCTCTCCAATTACAATCAATAACTCCCATTGCGCACTTGGACAAATCAAAATACAGACTACGTAAGCAGTTACACCTCAAGTTCTGTGTGCAAATTTGTCTGCAGTCACCAATGTATTGAAAAGCCAACTCGTAGACTGCTGAGAGTGCCCAAGCAGGCATTTCATGGGTGGATGAAAAGTATTCCATGGTTTCTCTTTAGTTTTGTTCTTCTTGTTGACCAGTCACCTTGCAGGCGCACGCCATAGCTTAATGCTTGGAGCAAGTTTAACGGATGGGAACAAACGGATAAGATACAGCACTCAAGCATGCAATGCCACCAAGAGTTTCGACATATCCAGACCGTTGTTACTGTTCATAACTGTTTCCATCATTATGATTGCAGCATTTTAGTAAAAGGTAGTCTCTTACTCCAACACAAAACAGCCACCATTCTCAACCTCAATCAAGTTCGGTTTTCGTGGCAACCCATCAAACCCTAAATCCCTCTTCAAATCCTTCTCCTCTTCAAGCCCCGACTCCAGCGTCCGGAAAGTATCTATGACACGCAGCATGATCAGACCCCAATAAGCCAAGGGCGCATCATGCGTCTTGACCCAGTACTTGGGCTTCGCCATCCTTTCCAAAGCCAAGCCCCCAGAAACCCCCAGCGTAGTTCTCCAGCCCCAAGAAAAGCTATCCTTCAGGGCGTGCAGGATAGCCAAGACTGAAAATGACGGGTCCATCTTCCCCAGGAATGCTTGCAGCGTAGCCTGGTCCTCGCAGATGCCATGTGGCGAGTACAACAAGGCCTCGTGAGTATCCGCATCGGATGACCACACAATCGCCGTAGCGAAATTGAGCTCGTGGTGACCTAGTAGCCGGAAGACGCTCAACCATGCGGGCAACGGCGCTCCTGGATGCAAGTCCCGCCAACTTCCGCTTTCGCCTTCAGGGTCGAGATCATGCGTCGTGATGATGGTGTCGAAGTGCTTCCACGCATGCACCATCGCAGACGCCTCCGCGGTGGCGAAGATAGGAATCTTGGCGTCGAACGTTCGCAGTGTGGCCTCGTGGCAATGGTCAAGATAGTGGAAATTGACAAAAATGGCATCGATGTGTAGAGTGGAGGAGCTTGGTTTATTTTCGCCCGGGACGATGTCATCAGATGCTGCGGCCTCTTCAACCTCGCACGCCAGCTTTTCGACGTCGGGCCCGTCTCGTGCGATGGGATTTGAGGGTAGGCTAAGATGTATGAGCCACCGTGACAGGGCAATAGCCGGACCAGCTAGCCAAGCGTCGGATACGACGTGGTAGTAGGCCTTGCCCAACTTTGCGCGCTCGGCAGCAGGGCAGGGAAAGGACATGAGCCATGAGTTGTCGCCATTAAGAGACGTGAGGATAGGTCGCAGGTCCTGTTTGGAGCCATCAAAGTGCGCCTTTAGCGTTGTAGCTCGCTGAGAGGCCATGGCTTCGACCTTCGTGGGTTAGAAAACGGTTTTTATCTGAGCTGGGAAGTCGCGTGTTTATGTTTGGAACACAGTTGAGACATATTCTGTCGTTTGGGTCAGGGAAACCAGTCAGCAAATAGTCCAAATTTTGGTACGCTTTTATTCGCCATCCTGCTTGCGTGAGATTTGTGGCTTGCCCGTTTCATCCTTCCAAGCTCATCGTTGAAGCTAGTGATCCATCATGTGTTTCTCTTGTATCGTCACAAGTAGCGGCTGATCGCTGGCGCTTGATCTACGTACGCCTCTGGAAAGTAGTCGACCGCTTCACCGGACTTGGCAGTACCCAGTGGCAATTCTTCGTCAGTTACCTGTATGTACTAGGTTAGTATATTCAAACGTGAGCAATCTGGTTCCCAGATTTAGACTACTTTCTACACAGGTACTAATGCAAGAAATAACGCCATACCGAAGTACCGGTGTTGGCTTATGGCAGAGTGAGCAAATACGCAATGCGCACAACGGTGATATTTTGCACTGTCTGTAGCCGCCTTATAGGGGCCGTGTACTTGGACCTGGGTTAATCAAGTCCAAACCTTTGATTTCTAGTTCCCTATAAGACCGTGTGGGCAAATACAGGCAAGAGAGTTGTATTGGTAAAGATGATTGGACTAACTCCCAAAGGCTGCACGGAAGGCGCTATATATGGGCAGTCGACCCGAGCGCTGCACCCAGCACACAGCCGGTATACCTGAGGCACATGTTGGACTGAAAGGCTAATAGTCTTCTATTGAAAAGGTCATGATCTCTGGAGAGTCTGGCAAGAATTGAACAGCGGCCATTAGGGCCTTATATAGATAGAAATGAACGATGCATGTCACACAGGCAGAACTTGTGTGGTACGATGTGTGGCGGCCATATGTCCTTCCAAGACTGGTAGTTGGGTGCAATGGCCTTGAAGGTCCAACAGCACACAACAGCATGTATGTTTTTTTGCGGGGGAGGGGGGGTGCTATATTCACATTATACTCGACCTTGACCCTAGCTGCATGATGAATCACCCAGTGTGAAGAAACCATCTCTTTGTCAAAAGGGAGCTGAACCCCTTGGGGCGTCTCGAGAAGAATTTGCACATATAATACAGTGCCCAGACAACACCGTGGATCGACATTACTGCATCATTCGATGTTTAAAAACAAAGAAAACAGAACTTCCACCTTGAGAGTTTAGACCGGCAGGTAACATTTCGCAGTTAATTGAGATTACTGTTGGGACTTCAGTGAACTAAGAATCCGTGAAGAAGTACACTATCAGATGCTTGCTACTTACGATGCCGCTCACTGCATCCTTCGCACCACCCACCAGCCCACTCATCTAGAACTGCTCATATGGTAGAGATTTACAAAATTATTTTTCCTGTTCCAATACTAGCCTTGGGTTCGTTATCGAACCACACGAAACTCGAGTGAACGAATGTTGCCAGCGTTCATGCATAAACCCTTTGCGGAGAAAGAACGACCTTCATCCTGTGTAAACAAGTCATTGCCCGTAATAAAATGAATTACTTGATCATAAGCAACATTGACTGTGAAATTTTGCTTGCCAGTTTGTTAGTATGAGTGGTCCTTATGTATGCGTATGTAGTGATTGAAAATAAGGTGAATCAACTGAGCGAGATAAGAACCTGATAATAATCTATGGCATACTGAGATTTGAGGCTTTTGCGAATCGAGTTTATTGTACCGTCCACCCAGGTTGTGATGGTGATGAGTCCATATCCAAGGATTATAAAGTAATCATCTCACGGTGGGCTGGTTAGAAATTCAGTACCAGTAATCCCGACAATAATCCCCACCCACCGACGTATGTAGGCAATCAACTCGACGGCCTAGTGTAAATCTTGCTTCCGAATCGGGCAATAGCAGTTTACCTGCAGCGGTCAAATACCATGTATACCCCTGATTCGGGTCCATTGCCAAGATGGCAAGGGATCAATGCATGGATGTTCTCTTAATTCGGCGAAGATTGGAGGGAACACCATGAATATTTCCGCCAGTAACGAGACTCGTGCGGTTGCAGGCGCTCCAACCCTTCGTCTCTATCTCGTACGAGGGCCAATTGATTCATTCAATAGGGAAGTCAATATCGCGTATTTTGTTCTGTGGAGCAGGATGCATTTGCTATCCACAAACACTAAGCCTGGGGAATATGATGTCTTGGCACGGGCCTAACATCATCAGTTTTCCCGAATCATTGTGGCCGTCAGGGGGTACAACAGGCTCGATAAAAACCGCCGCGGTGCCACAGCCGCAACATTTAGGGGGTGTCCCAGGCCACTCCATCTACGACACTCTTTTTCAACCCTCACGATGAAGTACTCCCTCTCTCTTGCTGCGTGCGCGACCGTCTCCGCCGCAGCGGCGACGACCTCCCTCCTGGCTCAGATGGCAGACACCCACATCCGCCGCGGTGTGGAAAAGACCTACGATTACACGCAGGCTGTTCTGTACCTCGGCATGGAGGCGGCGCTCGCGCTGAAGCAGAATGAAACCATCGCCGACTGGTACCAAGCGCAGGTCGACGGCGTGGTTCTCGACGACGGCACCATCGCCGACTGGGATTACAGCTTCTACTCGCTCGATGAGTACCGTATGGGCATGAGCTACCTGTACTGGTACAACCGCACCGGCGACGAAAAGTACAAGTCGGCCGCCGAGGTAGTACGCGAACAGCTGAACCGCCACCCCCGGACGCCGTCGGGCGGCTTCTGGCATCGCGATCCGACGTACCCGGATCAGATGTGGTTGGATGGTATTTTCATGGCTGATTCGTTCTACTCCAAGTGGACGAGCTTGTATGATGCGGATAATGCAACGGCGTGGGATGATATTGTGTTGCAGTACGACAACATTGAAGCGCACTGCCGCAATGCCACTTCGGGACTTCTGGCGCACGGTTACGATGAGAGCAAGGTCGCTGTGTGGGCTGATCCCGAGACGGGTGCATCGCCCCATGTTTGGGATCGCGCTGTGGGGTGGTACTTTGTCTCCCTGCTTGAGACGCTGCAGGTGTTCCCCCAGTCTCACGACGGGTATGCGCGCCTGCTTGAGTACTTTACCACCCTTGCGGCGGCTGTCAAGAAGTCTCAGGATACGTCTGGAGGCTGGTGGTTGATCATGGACGAGCCTTATCCCGGCATGGAGGGCAACTACATTGAGAGCAGTGCCACGGCTATGTTCACGACCGGCATGTTACAGGGAATCCGATTAGGCTTCATCGCTGAAGATGAGTACCTGGCTCCAGCTCAGAAGGCTTATGCCCTCATGACGGAGAAGTATGTTGTGGAGAAGACCGATGGGACCCTGGACTGGGAAGGGACTGTATCTGTGGGATCGCTCAAGGGTAATGCTACCTATGAGGTGAGTACCTTTCCACTTGCTCTCGATTATTGACCATAAGCTGACTTGGACCAGTACTATGTGAGTGTTCCCCTTGCAACCAACGATTTTAAGGGTGTTGGTCCCTTTATGCTGGCTTCCTACGAAATGGAGTCTTGGGCATCGACTTAAGGCGGTGAGCCAGTTGCTTCAATTCAAGACCCTTTTGAAAATTCAGTTCTTGTGGTTTCTTGCGCCAGTCCAGTTTATTCACAGGGCTGGAGTGGAATAGTTATATATACCAACTTCAGAAAAATACACCAATCATGAGAAATCTTCACGGCCCGCAGCTCACTGCAACCTCCGTGTCTCCATCCTGCCTTCTTTTTTGAGATTTTCCAGCATCAATTGAAATACCAGTGGGATGGTAATTAGTCTCCGGGCGATAATGTGGACATCCACTTGTTCTCACACTTGTCCCGGTTTGACTTAATAATGCCAATGCGCCTGGAACACCCATTAACTATCAAACTACGAGCATGTAGAACTGGCAAATTACCACCTGAATCTCCATGAAAAGGAATTATTTCCTTGATCGAGTCCCCAAAGTACCCTAGCACAAGTATTCCAATGTGACTGTTCACAATGCTCCTTTGAAAGATGCCGGTTCTGACTCGGGTTTACTGAGGTGGATTTGTACGGTGCACCCACGTATAGTGCCATGCTTACATCCATCATATTCTCTGCAGTTGATATAATCTGCTGGTAGCGGAAACACATCCAAGAAGAGGGTTCATGAGCTTTAAAGTTTATTGGAATCGTAGAACGAAATATGATGGAATGAATGTTGGTTTGCCATCTTTGTGTTTGAGCTGCCTGAAGTCGATGTTACACACGAGCCTTTTCAGAAAATGCAAATAGTTCGCATCTGTCCACCAGAACAAATAAATTCCATGTATGTGACTAGACCAGCCCACCCATGTCCACGATGGGAGGTGACGTCGCTGTCCGGTTTGAATCCTGCTCCGAGGGACAGTTGTAAGGTCATGGCAACACGTCAGTTCCAAGGAGGGGAGAGAATTGATGTTGCCGGTCATTTGCGCCCTGAGAAGACGATAGGAGTGGAAAACCTTGTACTGTGCCTAGAATCACTGGCATTATAGACATACTTGTAAGACCTGTAGTTCTAGTACAGTCTGTAGGTGTATGGTGGTCTCTTGCGCTAATTGCAAAGGGGACCACCCGGCAAATTCAAGAGACTGCGAGGTACTTAAGTCTATTAAATATTAGACAATCTTTAATACTGATAGACTTGTACGGGCTACTTAACTACCTAGCTAGTACGAAAATAGCTACGAGGAATAGGTATTCATACTAATAATAGCTAGACTGTGAGGGAAAGTTGTTTAGTATTTACGGAGGAAAAAACGATACAGAATTTACCCTTCTGTCTAGGTTTTAACAGCCTAGGAGAGATGATAGGAGCGCAAGCCCCTGTTATTTTTTCAACAGATAGTAGCTAGTCTACTTCACTGCTTTCATAAGCTGTAGGCTTCTATAAGGCAGTGTAATAACGAGAATTAAAAAACCCCGACAACATTGGCTGGGTTACCATCTGGTCCATCGTGGAATGCCCCATTGGGGTCATCGCATGCTCTCTCCTTCCTGTGCCGAAACTCGTCTGGGTTTTTATGTCTTGAGAAGCAACGTGGAGCGGCTCGGGGATGAGTCTTAAGCGCGATTTAATGGTAAGTAAACCCTGTTCTTCTAACGTCCGTCTAAAGCAGTTTCGTGAACCTGGAGCATTTATAACAGCGTAAGACTCAGGCTGTTAGAGTGCACTCCAGGAACGGTGGTACGCGGCTTAGTTTTCTGACACTTCAAGGCAGATCCCACTAGACGGGAACGGCTCAGCTTGGCGGAGGCGGCAACCGTGAACCATCAGTATCAGTTATGAAGAACTCAAGGTCTTTCCTATTTGAAGCACGCCAATTCTAGTTGTATTATTTATATTTTGGGTTATCCTCTGATGATGAACCTCATCGGCCTGGCATGAGCACGTGATCCTCCTGCTGCACTTCCCTAACGAGCCACCGAACGCGACCTGAACTGGCTGCTCCCCCTCGACTTCGACATAGACAGTTGATACAACACCCACGCTATCGACACTAGCGGTAACGTTGCCGAAGAGCTGGACCACAACTACACAAGCGGCTCCAACGACTGCCGCCATAAGTGTGACCTGGGTATAACAATGTCTACTTCCGAGCATGCTGAAACAACGGCTGATGTGCGTATTTCTACGATTAATACTTCGAGAAGCACATGGCTGTACAGCACATCCTCGTGTTCATCCAAGGAGACGAGGCCAAGATCGTTGCTGACTCGCGGCATGATAACTATGAGATGAATGATGCTGTGATGTTCACTGGGACGAAACTCACTGTAAGGTCTGTAAATCTGAATAGACATACTAGACAGAAGGAAAGCTAATTCTCGCATAATTATTGTGTACAATACAGACGACAGCACTATTCACAATTTCCGCTTCGCCGGTGATGATGACAACATCGAGGACTACAAAATAGTCTGGTTCCGTGGCGCGTTCGTCTCCTGGAAAATATTCCCAAACAAGGAGATCAGTGGCAATCTTGTTTCTCACGACTTTGGTAAGGTTTGATCTATGTGATTGTGGTTTTTTTTGGGGAAAAGGGTATTCCTCTTCTTGGCTTTTCTCCATTTTGGCGGGCTGAGGTTGATTCACCAGAGAGCTGGCTCAGAATTGCTCAAAAATACACGTATTTTCACATCAGACGAGTCATTCGACTATTCCTCGTCACTTTATAGCCCGGTCGTCGAAATTTGAGACATTCGCAGGTATTGGTCGTAGGGGGGCGTGTTTGCTGAATGTTCACATCGTTTCGCGCAAACTCCCTCCACGTCAAAAGTAATCACAAATTGAAAGAGTCACATAACATAATCACCATGAATTTCATGATATAAAACTGCACTGAGAAACTTTCACCTCTATTAACTATAAGTATTCCCGGTTACACAGTGTTCTACCTGCTGAGTTAGGTCTAGGGTCTACTAAGAGTCGTAGTATCAACATGTCTCAACCAACACCCCAAGAAACTGTACTTGCTATCACCGAGTTGCTCGAGGCATTCCTTCTCCAGCTCGATATCAAGACTTTACTGTTCGCACAGAGTGTCTGCAAGCGCTGGCAAGCTGTGATCCAAAATTCGCCCAGCCTACAACGAGCTCTATTCTTTAAAACAGATCAAACCTCTCCGTTCGCGCACAACGAGCTTCTCCAGAAGAAATTCCCGCGATGGTTTGAACACCTCGCGCTTGGACCTGAAAGTGAGCCCGGATTTACCTCCATCACGCGGAATCCAGTAGCAGACACCGTCCTCTTTCCCTCCATGCCCTGGATCTTCTCAAATTTAGAAGCCTACCAACGGCCCGAAGCAAGCTGGAAGCGCATGCTCATCCACCAGCCCCCCATTAAGGGCATAGGCGTTCTCCTGACTCTGCGCCAAAGATTCATGACTCTCATCCGGATAGGCATCTCGGACCTGTCCCCCTTTCTCATGCAGGATGTCTTGGACGCCAGCTTGAGTGCGCTGGAGAAAACATGGTCGAACGGGACGGAAAGTTATCGGGCGACTAGTTTCCGTATGCTGTGGCGTAAGATGCCACCTAGTCTTTCCTGGCCTGATATTGATCTGGAAATTGATTTTGATAATGTTGATGTTCTGCGGCAGATCATGAGACGCTACGGACTGGTGTTGCATATAAATTCAGTGGACGTCCCCTCACGTGGGTTTTCTCTTGGGCGGGATTTAGTGTACAGTTTGACGGAGCCACATGCGAGTGATGAGGCTGAAGAGGAGTCTGGTGGTACATCAACAGGTTTCTGGCTTGATTGAGTGAAAGGTGAGCAGAAAGTTGTTATGTGAAAGAGAGGGATTGCGCTGGGAGCGGAACGCGAGTTCGCCGTCAGCCTATTTTGCCCTTAGTATGAGTCCTAGTTCTAGTATATTATACCTACGTAGTCATACTTGCTCTTATCTCCAGATTTAGCAAGTGCAAAGACTGTAGTATGATCACATTAGGAAGGACTGTCAGCAAAGCTCGTGACTATTACTGCTATAATCGCAATATCCTGTGTGCTGCTGCGTCTGGCAACACCGACTCACAAATACTCAAGGGCATAAAATAGTTTCAGAGGTAGATTCCGAATATGACAGCCACTGTGGTGGAATATGAGAGGAGTTTTGATTCGGATGGAGGTGGACGCGCGGTCTTCTAAGATCAAGGTCCATTGTACAACTCATTTCCCGATGGTCTATTACGCGTCACATTTTACAACTTCAAGCTTACAACACTTCCTACAGGTTTTTGGACTCATATTTCAGGAATTGTTCAATCAAGAGGAACTAAGAAAGGTTCTGTCAGAAACAGTTGACATCGTCTCAAATTTTGTGTTTGCTTGAATGATCTGGGATCGACCTGCCAAGTAACGGGATGATCAACCACCAGCAGGGGCTGTATCGCGACCCGCACTAGGACCCCTGGTGGGGTTTCAGTTGGGATGATTCAGCTTTCCTGACACGAAGCGTCGCAGAAAAGGCCAAAACGTAAGATCGGGAGCTTGGTATCGTCATATGGAAACTCTTTTAAATCGAGCGTGTGCCCTTCGCTGGATCATACACATCAACAATTTCAATAACTTCAACTCTAGCTACCGAACGTCGACATAGGATATTGTTGCGCAACAAGCTAGGGCAACCCGGCACATCAACATGAAGAACACGACTCCGTACGACAGCCTGCGGTTAAATGAACATGAGGACGACGATGTGGAGGAAACGATCGATTTGGACGAAAAGGATTACATGCACGGCCAGCTACAGCCGAGGAGAGCACGAGTCCTAGCCGCAGTAAGGAAACACCGCTGGTTACTCGACACTTTCTTGCTGCTGGTTATTTTGGGCCTGTTGTTGGATAAAAAATCGAGTCAAAAAGAAAAGAGCCACGAGTTTGAGGGCGCAGGAGATATAACTGGATTTGCTCCGAAATGTGAGTTTCGGATCCAGGGAAAGGGCCTTGTGGCGCATTTAGTACCAGACGGCTGACATCCAGATCCTGCAGTCTCTCAACAAATAACGTCCTTCAGTCCCGATGCGCTGTTTATGCCCGAGAATTCGTCCGAGTTCTTTTCAGATGAAGTCCGGCAGAAATGGCTTAGCATCGTACCGAGTAAGCAACACTACACATGGGCATATCTTCATTCGGGCAACGTTCCTGACAGGCTGTTACAGAGGGGCTTGGATACCTACTAGTCAAGAATCCAGAACAATACGACAACCTCCCAACACCATTGGAGGAGCAAGGGGACAAATTCGTTGTCACGACGAGTATGACGCACCAACTCCATTGCCTGGTTAGTCTTGGGAAGACCACTCTTGATAATTTTTCCCCAGCTGACAACCGCCAGTACGCTATCGCAGAGGTCTATGCCTCTCTATCGTCAGGCAAAATGACGCCAACGGAGATGCCATGGCATCTTAACCACTGCTTTGATTACATACGTAAGTTAGCTCTCTATATACATAGAACACTCTGTTTCTATGAACTTCTTTCGCGCACAACAAAAACTAACACGTGGGGTTAATAGGTCAAGGCATAATGTGCGCTGGTGATGTTGCAGTCGAGGGTAAGCAGACTACATTCCCCGAAGGCTTTGTTGGATCCGATGGCTGGGATGCGAAGCACGTGTGCAAAGACTATAACCAAGTCTTGGATTACTTAGAAAAGAATGCAGCCAATGACGAGGTCTGGATTTAAAGTAGGCAATCAATCCGTTTTTTTAGACACAACTGAAGGACGAGGTGTGTATAGAGGAGGAATTTTAGAGAGCAACGTCCTGGGAGCTTCTTTCAGTATACCCATGATACTCTTCCATTAAGCCTTGCGCATGCGCCAGTTTTCATCCATGATCCATTTACCAGCGCACGATGTATAGGCCGAGTCAAATACGCCATCCGGTTCATACTTCTCCCTGATGTTAACTAGGCGGTTCCAGTGCGTCTCGTAGATCTCTTTATGCCAATTTTCTATATAGGGGTCGGCTTCGTTGCTATATGACACGCTATTGGGAGCTGCGTGAATTAGTAACGGGTCTAGCTTGTTGGTCATTATCATAAGTTGTTACGCATGTCATCTGCATTATTATTTTCATACGGAAATGTGATGATTTGCAGGGCATCCATATCATGCCAGGCCGGGTGCAGTGGATTAGGTTTGTCGATCCGGTCTACCAGGTGGACAGAAGTACTAGATATAGAAACACTATCGAAAATCTTCTTCAAGGCCTTGATAAAATTTGCAAAGGACTTGCGGTCCTTAAGGACCCCGAACAGGATCATGTATTCACCCGAAATCCATTCCTTCATATGGCCGGAATCACCAAAGCTTTTGGTATACTCAACCTACACTGGGGTGTCTGTTCATAACTCAACAAGAGGCGTGATGTCACTGTTGACTATATATTCGGAAAGGGAGTTGAGCACGGATTTCACTTGCTGCGTGGTTTTGTCATGTGCCAAGAAGGGGAAAAGACCAAAGTACACGGATCCAAACGCATACAGATGAATACGCCTTGTTCGGTGAAGTCGGAAATCATTGATTAGAATTTATCGGCCATATTCCAGAAGGACTCGCCAATAACTAAGGCTTTGGGATACAAAGTGTAGCTGCCTTGATGGTAGTCGTTGGGTACACGCGTTCAGTCATTGACATAACCTGTAATCTCTGCGGTCAGTGGCAGCCATTTATCCAACTAGACCGTGTCTGTCTGTCTGTAAATCAGTCACTGCACAGACAGTATCATCGTTACAGACTGATTTGAAAATAGGGCACAATAAAATCGCATTGCCAATGCCCACGTTCTCGCACCGCCACCATTCAGGGCAAAAAAGGTCCACATTCTGAGTTCGAGAGGCTATCGCCAACTGCTATTTGCGAGTAGAATTTCCAAGTTCAGTGTTTAATCGACAGCCAAGCCTAAATTCCCACTATTGAATAGATGAAATGTCAGCAGACAATGCAGATAATACAGAAGAGAGAGATGGCCAGGGCTCTTTCATACCTGAAAAACCGTGTCCTCCACCTTGCATGTATCCTTCAGCTTGGTCAACCTCAGGACAATAGCTTATTACCATCACATAACCATGAGCATTCACTACGCCTCAGGCCTTGAAGCCCATCATACTAGCACCTAGCTTGAAAGATGGCCCCTGATATGATCAATCCTTCCAATCTATTATTTGCAAAAACAGAAGTTAGCTGTAATCAGGTACAGCTGTTGACGAGCGGGGTTATAACAGATTTATGAAGTATTTCGCTTCGAATTGGAAAACATATCCAAGGCACATATAGTAGATGCAAGCATTTCGTTTGATGTAACATTCGGAGACTCGGACCCTTTCCCGGAGGTGTTGCATGCACGTTGCTAGAATTATCTTCACAAGCTGAGCCCATAAGGTAAGCACCTCCATTTCTGGGCAACCAATAGTTCATGGTCACTGCGTCTACTGCTTACCCGAAGCTGACTACATTCGGAAGTTTGGGCAAGGCCGTCCGATACATACGAAAGGATCCTTTGACCCTCGGCCAATCTATTCATCACATATTCACGGTTGCCAGATGGAGCGCACATTTACAATCACCCCAGCCTGTGACAGGCTGTGCCTGATATGGGATCCGGAGCTGCAAGGACCGTGCGTCCGGATCCACCAAAGGAACCATCGAGGGCATACAAAACATAGTCCGTGTTCCCGGGACAACTCGCATATTTTACTTTCCTCCTCAGTTAGATAATTAACAGTATTTGGCCATGTTGAGCTGTATAGTTTCGCAGTGAGCCCGTCACACAGCCTCTCTCTGCTCCGTGCTAGGTGGTGGGCTCATCAGCAAGAAACATGTGTTGGATTTTGGGCAAATGGTCTTATATTGAAAGTGTTATGATCTCTGGAGAGTCCTGAACGATGTGGATGGCGGCCATAAGGGCCTTATATATACAAGAAATGACTGATACCTGTCCAACAGACAGGACTTGTGTGGTTCGATGGGTGGTGGTCGTATTGGCCCATAACGTACGGTGCGTGGCCATATGTCCTCCCAAGACTGGCAGTCTTGATGTAGTAGCCTTGAAAATCCAACAACATGACCAGTCCGTCATTTCTGAAGATCTGATATCGGATCAACAAAAGATCACAACGATAGAGCACAGCTCGTGGCGATTTCGGGAAGAACATTGCGTATTGTACTGAGCGCCTTAAGCCGTTCAATCTTATGAAAATAGACACTGGGGAAGTATCTGGGGATTTTAGACCTCGATTATTAGGCAAAGCAGCAGCCAGGGAGGTGAAAGGTCCGCTTTCTTCCACAGCAAAGTCTTACATTGCGTCCAGATGAGTTAAGACCCCAGAAGACGATGAACTAATTTGAGCAGTGGTTGCGGTAGTATTCCGCATGTTTACATCAAAAGAAGTGCCAAAGACTGCAAAAGGGAGATGTCAGAAGAAGAGGCGATCGGTCCGAGCATCAGGCTGCGCTAAGCACAATGAATAGTTGGACTAAACGATGAAAATGCATGGTTGCGTGGTGGGAAGGGAAAGATGCGCGCAGAGCAAGCGTGCAAATTTGACATTATTTTAAGGCGGTGCTCATCTTCGTGAGTCCCTGCAACATCAATGGGGCCTGTCTCCTCATCCTAAGTAGACACAAATCCAGACCCAAGGATGCAACTCCCTATTTATACAGTGTGCTATCCAACTAGTATGTGTAACGGTAGCACATGACTCCATTCATAGTGTCAAGAATATCTCGCACACGAACGTCTGGCCTCAAGCCTCCAACATAAACCATCGTGTCGAGGGTCAATGGTGTACAGGGACTCTTAGCGTCCGCACATCCACTGATGCTAGTCTTGCGAGACGCATCGGCGTTCTGCCATATGCGGAAGTTGCGGTCGATAAACAAATGATGAAGGAAAAATACGGGGTCACCGGGCGAAGCTGAGACATCCGACATAACCGATCCGATACCATTGTGGCCGTAGGCGTGGGGACTGAGATAATAGTTAGTCGTTGAGCCAGACGGAACAAATGGACGTAGAACCTACCCAAGCTCTGCACAGCTCGCCATGTCATGGAAGTTGGTTCGCGAGTTGCACGTATCGACGAAGCCCTGGTTGCACTGAGCAGTCAGGGATTCGTCAACGGCCCGAGAAAGACAGTGGTCCACGTTGTCGCTACCGGGACCAAGGTGAAGAGTTCCAGTGAATTTCTGGGGCCCAGTCAGTTGATAATCCGCAGCAGTCAGTCAGCATAGGCATGACTTACACCAGTGGTAACGCAAGCACCCTGTCCGTTTGTGCCCTTGGCTGGTAAACTCCCGAAGTAGGCCGAGGTGAAGATGGTGGAGGCGGCAAATTTGCCAGCATCGAGTGTCTCATCCCACCACGGGAACGCACGGTTGAATCCACACTCCGCACGCAGGATCTGCTCAAATGTCCAAATGAAATAACGGTGCCATAACAGAAACTTATCATTGCCGTGGATGTTCGGCATGTACAACTGGTGGACACGGACCAGATCCTCGTATCTATTCTTGGCGGGTGCCCATTTCCCCGACGGCGGTTTGCTTATCAGGCAAGCGATAGCGTCGACAAATGCTGCCCGGTCCGATGCTGAGTACTGGCGCCACTCGTAACGAACGTTTGGGTTTGTGCATGTCGCCGCAACGCTGCCGGCAGTAGAGAGGGCAGCGGTTTTGAATGCTACTTCGTTACCGGGAACGGTGGTGGTGTTGAATCCGTTGGGCAAGTCCTCGCCCTTCTTGGCTTGCTCTAATGATATCGTCTGGAAGCTGCCGAACTGTGCTAGAGGGAGGGCCTTGACGAGCTTTTCGATGACGGCGCCGGAAATGGCGGTGGCGCCTAATAGGGCCGGCAGCACGAGGGAGCACCGCATGATCGTCGAGTCACGTGGGCGTGGTTCTGTAATTAACGAAAGTGATTAAACGAATGTAAGTTTCCAATGTAAAGCGTGGAATGAGGAACGATGAGAAACCAGTCGGGTTGCTGTAGCTCTACTAGTATATGTAAAGCAGACCCGAAGATGGAGAACCTCTCGGATCTAATCCCAGAAAGGGGGATGATCACGGTCTTTAATGACAGTGGATCCGGGGCATCGTGGAGATTTGGTGGATTCCGCCAGGATTCTGTCTGTGGATGGAGAGAAGCACGCTCAGGTCAGAATGGGTCTTGATCAAGTCGACGATTACTTTTTCGGGAATAGATGTTGCCAACGGGCCAATTGGTGCCCGCTGGCTTGAGCAGCCGCACGGCGCTACCAGCGCCATCAAATAAATTGTCGGTGTCCTGGCATTTGATGGCTGGCGCCGAGATATTACGATTGGGCCGACGTCCTCGCATGTATTTACCAGTCCGTCAGGATTGGGTCGGTGGGCTATTCTTAATCTGGAACAAATCTGTTGAAGAATCAGGGGTTCTGAACAAGCTTAAAAATGACCGCTTGACAGCGCGCCCAATCAGTGGAGAGTAGCAAGGACTATCGCCGAATGAGGCTTGCTGGGCTTGGCTTGGCTTGCCTAAAAACAGGGGCCTTCTAATCCTTCTAACCCCTGAAAGAAATACGAGCCCACTTGATACGAGTCAATGTCAAGCTTTGCTGTGTAAATTGGCCGGTGTATTTCGGGAGCTTGGCTTGAAAAACAAACGCCGTGCCATCTGACGTGAGCTGCTTGTTTTCGAGAATGGCTACGATCGGAAGGTCATCACTAACTCATTGTCATTGAGACTCATTGAAGTAAATTGATCACTTGAAGCGCATGCTATCTTCTTAAAACGTCAACAGATAACACAGGATCTATGTTCGCTCATATAACGATCTCTCTAGTTCATACCACGTCAACTTAGACAAATCAGAGTAAGGATACTAATTTCCGACACATTCCATTCCATTGCTACTCTAGCATTGTAAGTAATTGGCAAAATAAAATAAAATAATATTAAATACGCCGTAGGTGTTAACCCTCGGTACCTCTACAAGTACTCCCTTAAGGGGCTATAGATGATATAGCGGGCCCTTAAGCCGCGTCGGGCGGTTATACAGGTAAACTTGTAGCCAAACGACTACTAAACCTCCTGTCCCTCCCTAAGTCTGTGCTACAACCCCTGCCTGAACTACCGATAAGTGTGGTAATGTGGCACTTAAATTCGTCCTCAAGGGTGGGATGCTGCTGATGTGCAGAAGATGCTCGACTATTTTTTGTCGCGACAAGTCGTAGTATCTGCTAATTGGGGTTCTCGTCGAGCGTATACATCTTAACCATACGCTCAAGTGGATAGACCGTAACGTGGTCTAGACGCTCGCAAGAATCGCGGCGAGGGGGGGTCCGATAAGGGGTCGGATTAACGATTCGAATTCTGGACCGGCTGTCGAGTTATATTCCGCCGACGTAGTGCTTGACGGTCGACTGGCTAGGATGCTCGTAATCCTAAACTGCACCAATCTCCCTATTATCGCTAGGTAGGCGAAGTCAACAAGGTGGGCAGCGCGCCGTAAGGGTTGACTAAACCCCCTTGTGTGTCAGCTGCGGGATTCGAACCCGCGACTCGTCACCAACCCAAGTGGGCGAGGCTCAAATCGGGACTTATCTACCAGCGAAGTGACCAACTACACCAGCCGACTTGGCAAAATATGTCCTGTCAGACTTCAAATCATCCTCGGGCCCGTAACTACACACAAGAAGTTCCAGCAGTTGTCAGGTCTAAAAATAGATTCCCAATCGGGCCTAGAGTTCGTCTGTCCTGCATAATGAATTGCCAGTGTCTCATGATAAGAATGAGAATGTCGCTGATGTGAGCGTTCGCCGATATCATGACTTACACCTATAGAAAGACCAATCCGACCTGGGACGTAATGTTCGTGTTGTCTAAAGTTGCAAAAGCAAGGGACCTCGAGGCATTTCTGTTGAGTCGCTTGAACTTATGCCACTTGGGTACAAGCAATGATTGCAACGTTGCACTCATATCTCGACGCCTTCTTCAAGAAATCCATTGAGCGCCATTCACGAGAACTCATGATCCGTGCTGGTGGTACAAAGAATTAAGATTAGCCATTTAAATTATAAGTTGATATCTGTGGTGCTATCTGGTACATAAACGAGTACCATGTATCTAGCTTATACTTGCTGCGTTTGACGGTGAAAACAACAGCAGTGAATAGATTTGTCAAAGGCACATGAGCTGTTGTATCGGATTTTCTCATACATGTATTTACCTCATCTTGTGACGTATCAATCCAGTTTCACTACGCTGATCGTAACTTGATTCATTCCATCGGCGGGGGGTAGCTTGCCAGCACCCCCAATCAACAAATAGCTCGGGTCGTCGTTGAAGACCATCAAAGACCTTGTATAAGACACTCCCTCGGGAGTACTCACGCTCTCCCACGCATCCTCAGCACCAAGGGCCTTGTTGACGAAAATCTGAGAACAGCACCCGGACGAGACGATGATGGTCCCGTTAACGCCTCCAGCAGACGACCACACGACGTACGGCGAGCCGTTGGGGACGGTGCCCTCGGTGGTGACGATAGGGTGGTGCTCAACGTCAAAGAACTTCTCGGGATCTTTGGACAATCGGTAGAAGACGGGGAAGGTGTAGCTCGTTGTTGTAGGGTTTGGCCCACCGCCATACTCGTACGTATAGATGTAATTTCCGTCAGGAAGCAAAGCAACGGTGGGCATACCGGGGCGATCAGTATAAGTTGAGTATGCGACGTCTTCAACTACTGGACCCCAAGTCTTCAGGTCAGTGGAAGTTTGGTGCACGAGCTTTTGGCCGTAGGTTTCGTTGTCTCGTTGGTCCGAGTAGTAGTAGATGAGCTTATCTTCATATACCATCATGAAAGGCTCCCAGACTATTTGATTGTAAGTAAAAGGCCATTCGTATAGATATTTGGTTTGGATAATCTTACCTGGAGTGAGACCATTGTTCGGGACTGCTTCACCACCAGCGGCTACGTGAGAAACGAATTCCCACGTCACTCCGCTGTCGGTAGAAGCATAGAGTTCCAGCTGGGTGGTGGAAAGATCCGTCGGGATAGACGATCCAGCCAATAGCAACGTCCCTGGCTGAAATTCGCCGATTTGCTTCGGTAGCACGTAGAGCGATGGTTGGTAGCGGAGACCCTGACCCAGTGCCGTATCCTGGACCCTGGAAATCTCACTCCAAGTCGAGCCACTGTCTTTGGATTGGTAGATGGGGAAGTACACCGGTGGCGGCTCGGGGGAGTAGTTCTCCCAAGTGGCCAGAAGGTCGTTGTTAGGGAGCTGGACGGTCCTCTCGTACAAGACTTGAGGGTCTGTGTAGTTCTCGTCAGGGGTGAAGATCACGACGCGGCTCAGTTCGTGTGGACCTGAGTTGGAGACTCTTGAGTTCAGCGACTTGGATGGGGCAGTTGCCACAGTGGCGGCCAGAGCCAGCCACGACCCGACTAGAGCTGTGTACATCGTGGTTGCTGACTGGGACACAACCAGGAGAGATTAGGACACTACAAAGTACAATTTGGTCCATGACACTTGCATGATATATATACCGTTCCATTTCAGTCGTCATTCATCGTTTGCCATGCGATGGTTCCCCAAAAGATCGGCATATTCAAGTTCTACTCATGGTTCCCGTCTCCGAATTCCTCGCACCGCCCACAATCACTGTTCGACCTGGGCCTTAGGTCACGTCCACCAATCAGACCGTGGAATCGCCCTAGTCGATGGTGTATCGCAGCTCGGCACTCTGCCCAGACATCTCTATTTTCTGGGGTAAATTGGGGTAGGCTGATGCGCGCCTATCAGCGATCACCAAACTAGTCGTAGCGAGCTCTCCGCATACGCGGTCCCAGCAAAACGGATCATGTGTTTTCTGTGTAGTAGATTGACCGCTCGCATGTACGTAATTATATAGCCACTTGGAGAACAACATCGGGGAAACCCATTCCGAGCCTCCTGGATACTTTGTCCCAGCCTTCTTTAATACCCAGGGAGGTAAGTGGAGGACCGAATAAACTTCGCTTCCCCCGCCCCCCACCCCACCCCCCGGTAGAATAGCCAACTTATTCCTGTCTGCTGCACCGGAATATCGTGCTGTCCCACGTGATTCCACTCTTGGTGCACGGCTTATTCTGTCCTCGGCTTCTATGGTAGGTGGTAGCTCTTGGTCCTCCAGAGGTACCCACCCTGATATTTGCGGAAGGTTACTAGCTAGATTTTCCCGGTTCGATTAACGATGGCAGAGTGCCACATGTAAAGATAAAGTTGTGTGAGAGGTCATGAATCATGATGACCCACTCTCTTCCTTGTATCTCAACATGGAGTCTTGTGTATCACCGCCACAGGCTGACCAAAGAACCATTTGGCCAGGTAGTCCAGCACGGGTCGACTGTAATAATCTAGTATGCCGGCATTCATCTGCTTCAGCCTCTTCACACCCAGTCCTTGCGCTTCTCCACCGCCACGTGGTAGGCAATCACCGCCGGTAGTGTCATGTAGATGGCACCAAGCGGAGCAAATTGGACGGCATGTTTCAAGGAGTTGATGATGCGCTTGGCATTCGCGCGATCCACTTTGTCAATTTCTTCGGCGAACTGGGTCGACCGGTGCGCTGTTTTTCTGAGAGCGACATATGATCACATAGAACGACGGCAAGACGGTTCAAAAGTATTGTCAGGACTGAGCAGTAGGTCGCCATTCGCGAGGAAAGCTGATCATTGAACCAGTTTACAATGGGTACACCTGGATCCGCCAGAAGCGACTTTCGTAGACGAACTTCGGGTCCTTGAAGTCACGATCGAGTTCCGCCCTCATATCTTTAATGACTTCACGCATGTCCAACACCTTCGCGAAGACGGCTGACGTGTCTGTCTGATCAAAGACTACGTACAATTGACGGACATACTTGGGCACAGGGGGCAGATAGCACAGCTCCGCGACCAGTGTGTTATCAAGTCGCTCAAGCCTGGTTGCATGCGCATCGTTAAAAGCAATATCAAATCACTCCAGACTGCTCAGCAAACAGTGCGGGTTGGCAATTATCGAGTTGGTGATCTAATATGATCAGCTTTGTCCCATGTCAGCACCGAGGAACATAACCAACTATACGACCTGATGAATTACGCAGCATGGCTTTTCCAAGCTCGTCCTGTGCACAGGAGACTCCGCATAATTGAACCAAGACGGATGCACCATCGGCATGATGTATGTAGTTCCCCGTCCATGAAAATCGACCCATGGCCTCGACAAACCCAAGCACCGTAACAGTACCCAGCGTGGTGCTGCGCAAGCGGTCCTTTGGGTCAGCTATTGCCGATTGAAGGTTCCTAACGGCTCCGTCGCAAAGTCCAGGATCGATCTTTTGCCTCTGATCTCAATTCAAAACACAGAGGTAAACGTCAACCAAACGCTTCATCGCCTGGTCTAGGACAACAGATTCACCGAGAGACCTTGACATAACCTCTTATACGACCTTGCACTCCATGGACAGACAGAGACCTGGGCAAGGCTCCTCAAAGCTGGGCGAGATGTGCGTGCAGAAGAAGACTTAGAGCGCGTGTAGCCTTGGGACAATGCCGAAACTTATATTTCTGGTGACTGGCCTGCAACGGTGAGTAATCTGCAGCTTCTGAAAGGCGTTGCCATTTGGTGTTTGGTTGTGGCAATAGATCAGTTGAATAGGGTTTCGGACTGCTGAACTGTATAGACTGCAAATATGAGTTTCAGGGCCAAATCATGATCGTGTGGTCACACAGGCCCTCCAGCACGGCAATTCAATAAACTCTAACAACTGATAAGGTTCTCAGGCCCATTACGAAGATACGGCCCCAGAACCATAACCCTGAAAGTGATACTTGTTCATAAGTGTGTGCCATAACCGAAACGTGTGGGTAATTATCATTAATATACCGCAACTGTCTCCATCATTATGCTTAATTAGTTTAATGACGTCGTATATTACTCAAACCATGATCCACTGGACGTGAAACTACTCGTCTTGTTTCGTCTCATATGTCTCCTGTACAATCTGCACCCATTCAGTTGGAGAATAGGGGCAAACAGAAAATATAGTCTTTGTTTGTTATCCCACTGTGGAATCTGGATACAAAGCTCACAATTTGATAAGTGTAATGGACAAATAAGCCTAGGTTCAAGTTAACCAATCATAAGATTCGAAGCTCATGTCTAAAGATTGATGTTGTTCGTGTATGCGCTTAATTCGCTTTCGCTCAACGATGCCAAGCATTAACTTCCTGGCACAAAGGCATAGGGAAATATAAAAGATTACAGGTTGGGTTCCATGCATGATATGCTAGCACAGCGTTGATATTTCTCGGTTTTATATGGCAAATAGCTTATATACTTGGCTCTCAATGACTCTATTTGAGCAATTTATAGACGTCATCATGTCTGCCACTGCTATCGATCAAAAGCCTGTTTTCCGGCTCGACACACTCCCAAGCGAGCTGGCCCTGAATATAGCATCCTTTAAATTTTTGAAACACCCCTAGCTCTTCGGACAACCTCAAAAGCCATCCAGGTAATACGCGAACGCCCATTTCTCGCGGAGTCCTCCGCCGTATACGTCAATTCATGCTAACCAAGAAAATTCTAGGAGTTCTCTGCGAGCCTCTTCGAGATCTCGCACGTGTCCCATCTCGCCAGCACCCTCAGATACCTCACCATTGGGCTATAATGCTAGTTCAATATCTGCATCGGGGTCTGGACTATCATAATAATTCAAGACTGCGAATTTATAACGGATAAGATGTGGAGGTACCAAAACAACCAAAACTGGCTGCATGGACATCGCCTGCAGGAGGGCTTAAGAGACTGACTAACCTGCGCAGCCTAACACTGTCGGACCAGCCACGCTCAAAGCCAAAACCCCTTTTCGTGATGCGACAAAAAGAGACGCTCCATGGTTACGGCGTCCAGGAAATCTTCAGAGGCACCCCAATTTTGCTCGACCGTGACGACATGCCTCATGACTGCTTCCCTATGGGCTGGCTTTCATACGTAGTTCAACGTCGCTTCCTACTCCATTTTAGCAGTTATTGTGAAGGCGAAAATGCCGATGAAGGTGCTGCAAGTTGATCTTGTCCGCTCCGCAGCTTCGCTCGGCGATCATTTATTCAGTGTTACCCTCGAGAGAAAGGGTTGATCGGTGACTACACGCACATGTTGCGGGATCTCGAGGCACTTACCTTGACTATCGACGCAGAAATGGTCCCGGAAGCTTACTCGATACAAGGTAGGTCCATAATTAATACTTTTGGGAGGGGGGAACTGCCCCGGTTCCTTGTTGCGGCGAGACGTCTGCTGACGTTCAGATTGCGATCCAGATTTGAGCATTGGTGGCATCGTGAAGACAAGTTTCTGAATTGGTTCTCCCGAACCGGGCTTTCCACCGGTGCGTGCGGGCTTGGCGCTTCCTCGACTGCCCGATCCCGTTTTCTGCCCACATCTTATGGAGCTTGCCTTGAAGAGGATGATGTTCGTGGCTCCTGTCCCACGGGTACAACTCGCAACTTCGCGTATTGAAAATATTCCAACTGCATGAATGGACCTAAACAGTATGACTTCCAAGATGAGAACCTGTACACTACAGTTGTTGAGCCTCGGAAGGGCATTATCAGAGCAATTCGGCGCTACATGCCTGATCTAAAAATTGTGTCGTGTCCGAAACCTAGGTGTGCAGTAATAAGATGCTCGACACTGACAAGCTGGTACATGTCGTCACGTTCGGAAATGAAGGTATCCCAGATAGTCACCAGGAGCAGGAGGCTTTTTATACTGAAGGATATGACGAGGCGGAAGTCGAGATGTAAAGCGAAAAAGATTGGATCCTATCCAACGAATAGATTGAGTCGGATAGGTCATTAATAAGGGGCTGAAGAGGATGTCAGTGTACCTGATGAACATACTGAGCCGGATAATCCTAACGAGCAACTATAGGAGAAAGCTTCGGAAGAGCCACTTATACCTGTTGGCCATACCTAATGTAGAGGATAAGTTCTTTGCTGGCTGGTATCACCCAAGTACACCGGACGAGACGCGAAATTTCCTACGCACGGCTATGGCCATACATGTTTCTTGAAAACATTGGACGCCACGGAAATCAATTACAATCCCTCAGAACTTTGGCCCATCAATGAATCTGGTAACGATACGTACGATCTGAGAGCCGGGCATCTTTATCCGATTTAGACTACACCTAACGTGGTTTAACACCGAGTCGCGCATATCACCGAGTCGCGCACTTTTTCAACTTTTCCAACCTTTTGACTTCAACACTTATTTCCTCAACAACAACACCATGTCAGTTCAAACCCAAGAAGCCAAAATCAACCTTGCCATCGAAGCTATCCGATCGACCAAAAATATGAGCCAACGTCGAGCAGCAAAGCTATACGGTGTACCCGAGTCCTCACCAAGATAGAGGAAAGAGCTATTGTTCAGCATGTACTTGACCTAGATTTGAGAGGGTTTCCTCCCCGGCTAGAGGGTGTGGAAGACTGGTTCCGGCTTGTATCGAATATGAGGGTCAAATACGGGATCCAGGACTGCGATATGTGGAACTTCGACGAGACGGGCTTTATGATGGGCGTTATTCAACGCTCGATGGTCGTTACCTCGTCTGAACGTAATGGTAGAGGCAAGAAGGTCCAGCCAGGTAACCGGGAATGGGCCACGGCGATTACCTGTGTCAATTCGGAGGGTCGCGACATCCCGCCATTTCTGGTAATTCAAGGGAACTATCACCTTGCTAATTGGTATACTGAGGGGGACCTACCAGCCGATTGGGTAGTCAAACCGACCGAAAACGGGTGGACGAACAACGAGACTGGTCTAGACTGGATCAAGCATTTCAAAAAGCACACTATCTCGACCAAAAGAGGCGTGTATCGGCTGTTAGTATTGGACGGGTATGAGAGTCATACATCGGCCGATTTCGAGTCTTATTGCAAGTCTAACGGCACTATTACTATCAGTCTGCCCCCGCACTCGTCTCATCTAACCCAGCCACTTGATGTCGGGTGCTTTGGGGTCTTGAAACGTATATACGGTCGAGAGATTGATATATTTATCAAGTCCCATATTAACCACATTACTAAGGCCGAGTTCTTTATCGCCTTTAAGGAGGCTTATTTAAAGACAATAACCGACAAAAACATCAAGGCAGGGTTTCGTGGGGCCGGCCTAGTCCCCCACGACCCTGAAGCCGTTATCTCGAAGCTGGATGTTAGGATTCGGTCGCCTACACCCGTTAGCCCCTCTCTTCTAGATGCTGACCCTTGGGTTTCGCAAACGCCAAATAACCCGACAGAGGCTCTCTCGCAGTCCGATTTTGTCAATCGCCGAATCTCCAGACATCAGGGAAGCTCTCCAACCCCAATTTTTGATGCTGTTGGCCACCTTGCGAAGGGTATAACTCGATTAGCCCATGAGAATACCCTCTTGAAGGCTGAGTGCTCCACCCTTCGCAAGGCAAATGAGGCACTAAGCAAGCGTCGGAGGGCAAAAAGATCGCGTGTCCGGCAAGGAGGTGCACTTACTGTCGAGGATGCCCTGGACATTTTGGCCCGGAAGGACGCGGAGGCCCAGGTAAAGGAGGACAAGCGCTCTAGGGGGGGTAAAGAAAAGGCTGGTCCGTCGACTGTACGACGATGTAGTAAGTGTAAGAAGACCGGACATAATGTAAAGACTTAATTGAACTTGAAATTATAGTGTGGTAAAAAGTGCGCGACTCGGTGTTAAACCACGTTATAGAAGGGGAGTATTTAAAAGTTCTATAATGGTTGGTAATTATTCTACCATTCTGTGCATGATATTGAGTATTTACATAAGTACAACTCGATGATCTTGCATGGGCACGCCGCTTATTCTGTTGTGTACTTCGTAGTTGTACGAAGTTGAGTGCCAGCACTTATCCAAGTTAGATTCCTGAGCTGACCCTTGCTGATGTAGCCCATCTCGATGCCAGTAGGACACCCTAGTCTCAGGGTCAGCGGTAATTGGATGTAGCCTTGGTGATGCAGGTCCCCGCATGACATGCTTAAATTAAATAGCCAGGCATTGCAATGTCTCGTTCCAGGATTTTCAAGATTTCCATCAGGCTCACAATGGGAATCATTCCGGCCTTAAATCAGGGACCGTCCGTCGCGTTGAAGTGCAGGCAGAACATTCTCGTTCGCACCAATTCCAATTGCGGAATGTTATGCTGGCGGTGATAACGGCAGACCATTACCATTTAAATGCGACCTTTCTGGCTGGCAGCGGCTGCAGGACTGGTGGGAGATGCTGGGGCCAAATGTACGGAAGACAGCTGTTTGCGTGGTACGTGTTGTTAGTCAGTGAAGTATGAATGTTGGCATTCATGCTGACGTCTTCCAAAAGCTGTAAGACAGGCGGCACCTGGATCCCGCAACGCAGATTGCGAGGCTCTCTTTCGAGTTACTATAACGCCACCTACGAGGTTCGCACACTTCAACCCAGACAAATAGGAAGCATCATTAATGCTGTTTCAGCACCCTTTTCAGCACAGTCATAAGCAGAACAACGGCTACAACCACTAGCACAACGACAGAAGCAGAGAAGGCCACTCCTACTGTAGCGCCTTCCAAGAGGTGGCAAAATCAGCACGATGTTGTCGACATCTTGCTGCGACGCGTGAATGCATCTACGACCTCGTCAAGTTCCGCACCGCAGAAAACACCTAGCTATGCGTCATTATGCAATTCAGTAAAGGCATATTCATCGGCTTGTTCGTGTCTGGGTTTCAAGCACACTACGATGACTCTCGCAACGCCGTTGATAACGCTGACAGTCAAGATTCGGGAGGCTGCGACGGTAACGGCGATTGAGACCTTTCTGACGACGGAAAGCCACGTCATTGCAAGCAACAGCTCGACACCAGGTATCAAAGCGACCAGCACGGACTCAGCGAAATCCTCAGCCCAGGGAACCTCGAGTGTCCAGGAAAGCTCACGAATCGCTTCAGACTCTGTCGGTTCCTCTGCGGAGACTGTACGAGAAATACCAAGTGATACCACGGCACCGGGAATTGCGATTAGTGGGAATGAGGATCCTGCATCTTCCACCGTTTCTTCTAGCGACTCGGAACGGAACAGTTCGAAAACAGAGAGGTTTACAAATGCCACCAGCTCGTCAAAGCCGTTGTACACAAATGGCACAGCGCTCCTTTCTAACGAGACAAGTGCACATCCATCAGTCAATGCCCCAAGCATCGGTCACTACTTTAGTCCAACGGGTGTGGCAGTTCTAGCCAATGTGACTAGCAATAGTCATCACATCAACGCAACCAAGCTGTCAGCAGTTCTGGATGTAACTAGCACCGACAGGTTCCTCAATACCACCAGCGCTATGCCGGCCGCCAACACAATGAGTGTTCGCACCCATCTCAATACCACCACAGCTCCATTCTTGGATGGCACGAATGCAGCCCAATCCTTCAATAAGACCAGCCTTTCCCTTCTCAACAGCACTGACTTTCACATCGCGAACGCCACGACTCGTGCTTCTTTCCTCAATGCCACAAGTACAGTTCCACACTTGAACGGCACGGGGCCTCTGCTTCTCAACAACACCCGCATCCCGTTAGCCAATGCCACAACGTGGGCTCCCTTGCTCAATTTAACGTCTGCCAGCTTCTCCAATGCAAGCACTGCTACAACCTCATCAAGTCCAACGGCAACGCTCGATACCACCTGCGGAACTACCGCAGAGCCATTTTTTGTCCAAGTCTCCCAGCCGTCAGGTCCCTTCAACGGTTGGTTTCTCAAGCTCAGCGGAGACATGGTCATCTTCAGTTCTTCCGCAAACCACTCAAGCAAATTCAGCGTGGAGTCTTCGGGGCATCTCTGCGCTGTTGGATATCTTGGGGAAAGTGGCAACCCGATTGTTGCGATTGTCGAGGACAAGGATGGGCTCACAGGCAGTGCGGTGTATTTTGTCGACGGCGCAAACATGGAACAATTCGGACCAAGGGGGTACGATTATTTGGCCTGCTCTGTTGATGATGATTTGGCATGCAGCTTGGACAGTATGGCGAATTGGGTAGGCTGCGGGCTGGGTTTGGATATTTCTAGCGATTCGGGACAAAACGTGGTGGTCGATACGTGGAATTGTACCAGTATAGCATTGTCAGTCATTTACGAATGATGAACGACGATACCCGACGATATACCTTCTCCTGGGCAATAATGCCTGGGGGTTTGGAGGCTGGGAGCAAGTAGTCATCCTCCCATAGTCTTGACTCAAATTTCCCTCTTGTATGATCCAATGTTGATAAAACTCTTGCCTGATATTGCCGGATCCTAGTTTGATGCCAGCAGGACCAAAGCTGGTTGGATCGCATGCAAGCATCTGAGCACTTAAGCAAGCAACACTCCACGACCGGAAGGAATGAGAAGATTTAGCGTCTCGAGATTTAGAATACAATAGCACTCGTCAAAAATAAATGCCCAACATTCATTTTCCGGTGGCCAACAGTGAGTAGGGAAGGTAGCATCCAATGCATAATGAGCATGGTAGGCTCAAGACCCACATTTTGCCAGCCATTTTTAGCAGTCGTAGCGGATTCCGTGCTACCCGAACCTATGCGCTCACCCCCTGTTACTTGTTGCTTCACCTCGCATCGACGACCTCTAGCTGATGTCCAGCTTTGCAATGCAGTATTTGCAACAACATCGCTGTATAGAAGAAATCGACTTTTAACTACACGTCTGCCCTTTCAACAGTACCGCACTCTTCAATCGCCGTATACTTTCAGGTCGACATCGTATTCCAGCCCCGAGCTATCCGACCAGGGACATGGAGGAGCATGATTCAGTTGTGGCTGTTATAGCTGAGCGAGTACAACAGTTCCATCGGGATCAAAAGCCCTTCAGGTGCTACCATGGTAGCACGAACAGCACGCGCACGTCAAACCGGCGGGTTGATAACACGGTTGACACCAGCAAACTGGCCAACGTCCTCACTATAGACACAAACAACAAGACCGCTTTGGTGGAACCCAATGTGCCGATGGATGCCCTTGTTGACGCAACGCTAAAGGCGCAGCTCATACCCCTCGTCGTCATGGAATTCCCCGGCATAACAGTTGGAGGCGGCTTCAGCGGATCAGCGGGAGAAAGCAGCTCATTTCGACACGGCCCCTTCGATTCCATTATCAACTGGATTGAGATCGTTATACCAAGCGGCGACGTCATGAGAGCTTCTAAGACCCAACACACCGACTTGTTCTGGGGCGCGGCCTCGGGATTCGGCACGCTCGGGGTCGTAACGCTCTTGGAGGTGCAGTTGAAGGAAGCGAAGAAGTATGTCGATATCTCGTATGTCCGGGCTAAGAGCCTCCGTACGGCAACAGATGGGATGGCGAAATTGGTTGAAGAGGAGGTTAAACGTCCCGGGTCCATTGATTTCATCGATGGCATCGTCTTCTCGCCATCGTTCGCAGTCGTCATGGCAGGTCGTCTCGTCGATGAACTGCCCCACGGACAAACGCCGGTTACCTTCACGAAGCGGAACGACCTATGGTTCTACTTGCATGTCAAACAGAAGATGAAACATGTGGCTGGAGAGCTCAATGATTTCATTCCTCTGGTGGACTATCTCTTCCGTTACGACAGAGGCGGGTTCTGGGTCGCTCGATATGCTTTTCGGTACTTTTGCACGCCCTTCAAAACTATCACTCGGAGCTGGCTGGATAGGTTCATGCATACTCGCGTTATGTATCACGCTTTACACCAGAGCAAACTAGCCGAGCAATATATCATTCAGGATGTCGGTGTCCCAGAAGACAAGGTCGCAGATATCTGCATGTGGCTGTACGAAAACTTGAGGACGTACCCTCTATGGTTGTGTCCACTCCGGGTCCGCCGCGACAGCCCAGACTCGGCACACGGCCTACACGCAGGATTTGGCAACACAGAAACGCAACCGTATCTCATCAATTTCGGTGTTTGGAGGCCCGGGTCGAGGAATCGTGAGAAATTCATACGCCAGAATCGAGAACTCGAAAACAAGGTCCACGAGCTTGGCGGGAAGAAATGGCTGTATGCGTATGCATACTACACGGAGGAAGAGTTCTGGAATATTTATGATCGGGCGTCGTATGATGCTTTGCGAGCGAAGTATTCGGCGACGTATCTTCCCAGTGTATATGATAAGGTCAAGGTAGATCTTGGCTCAAATGGCCGAGCTACAAGGCCCTGTTGGGGCATACGTCCTTTTCAGGGACTATACGGTGTCTGGAGAGCATGTTGGGGTGGTGACTACCTACTTGCGAAGACAGGAACAACGCCGAGAGCACCGAAGAATGAGTGATTGAGGGAGAGAGGCCCAGCGATTGGAGATCTGTTCAATACTTTCTGATTACTGACATCCAGGGGGACGTTTTGAGTCATGAATTAGTCTGGAGGCATTCTTCTAACACACAAATGCAACGCAAATACCATCAACATTACGCCGTTATTCCTCTTCGACTCGGCAAATCTAGATGTCGGTTCTCTTGACCACAAACGCACCCCGCTCGATGGTGTTGACGAGGATGTGGCCACTTTTGAAAAACGGGTAGTGACTCCAAGTTCCAACAAAATCAACACTACCTCCACCCTCCGCCTCGTCGTCCTCGGGGTAGATATCGAAATACCCGGCCTCGCTCACATTGGCGCCAGTAGGGTCTTCGGGCAGCGAGGAAATGTCCACGATCCGCAGTCCCGAGCCATAGTTGCTCTGGTAAGCGTATCCATCAATGACGAATTCTAGTTTCTATTAGCCAATCCGTCTTCCTTTTGTTCATCGTTCAACTCCGGTAAACTCACGATTGTGGTCGATTCCCTTGGTGGGGTGGCGGTATAACCCAGTTAACTTGGGCGCGGCGAGCGACCGGATGTCCCAGAAGTAGGTCACGGGGTATCCAGAAGCACCCTCCCCGGCCTTGTCATACTCGTCGTACTCGTCGTCAAGAACAAGGAACTCCTGCCACTGCGTGTCGGTGACCCAGCCCTGGTGCGTGTAGCTGGCGCCGTCGTAGCTGGTGCGACTAATGATATTGGTCGTGTTCTTGTCAGTGACGTCAAAACTACAAGGACATGTTAGCAAACTCGCAACCAAAGTCATGGGGGCTGGCAAAGGGAATTGAGGCTGCACGTACATCGTCAGGGTGTCCTCGTTGTACCCGTAACAGATATCACGCCCGTCGAACTGCTCATCGGGGCCGCGGTAAACAAGACACTGCGCGTCGTGGACGTAGCCGTCACCCGGTGCACAGCCGGGGGAGAAGGGAGCTGAGGGGTCGGTCAGGTCGATGAAAATGAGACCCGAGGCGCAGCTGTGGGTGCGGGGTTGGGCGCCGACGGCGACGGCGTATTGCTTCTCTTCGTTGATGACGACATTCTGCATGTACGTATCAGATCCAGTGTGTCTTGGCTGGGAAAATCACCATCAGCACCTACATGAGTTCTGCCGACGGGGAGACCGTTGAAGTAACCCGTCAGGTCTTCCTCATTGTTGAAGGTCACAGGACTGGCTGGGTCGACATCAAGAAGCTTCGACATGTCGAAAATCTGTATGCCATGGTAGTATGCTTCAGAACCTGATATTTTCTCATCAGTGTCGATACAGACAAAATTCTGGAGGTGTAACAAACCAATGACGAGGAAGTTCTTGTAACCACGAATCTCTCTCCAGAGCGAGGCGTTGGCGGTCGGGTACTGGGGCAGACGGCCCAAGTAGATCAACTTGCCGTCCGCGTTGATCTCGGCCAGCGCAGCACCGTCGCGCTGGGCCACGGCGACGAACTCTCGGCCGTCTTCACTTGTCCAGCCCCAAGACGAGGAGCCACCACCCATCGCGCTGCCCAGGTCGGCATGGCTCTTGAAGTCGTAGAAGTCGATCTGGGCCTGTTAGATATCTCACTCGGCCTGGAGGCTCGGGTGGGATCACTCACGTTGTTACATTTGAATGTGTTGTTGGCATCTCCGGGAACGACTTCAGCGAGACCGCCAACACAGGGGACGGCATCGGCGGCAGAGTCACGGCTAGCATAGATGGTCGAGTCCATCAAACCTTGCGCCTCTCGTGCGGCCCATGTGGCCTTGATGCCATTGGGTGTCAGCTGTCGGAAGTTTATGGTTGGTCTGTCACCTACATGCTTGGCAGCCATGAGAGCCTCATGAACCTCTCCGCTGGTGTACTTCTCATTCTTGGCTGGGTTGACAATTTCCTTCGCAGATGCAACATGGCATCCTGCCAACAGGGCAACGCCCAAAGTGCTGAGGGTTTTCATCTTGGTTTTCGAGTTACAGTAAATAAATATCTAACGGCCAAGGGGTATAGATTATGCCTTTGACCTGCAGTTGGGGCATAACACAAGACACATTAGACAAGACGGCGCGAAAGATGAGAAGAAGGAACTTTCCACGGGTGCTGCGATTTATATAGTGAACCCCCCCTCGGAATTTCGCAATAGGGTGCTGCTGGTACGCATCTTTGGTTTCGACTCTGGATGGTGGTCTCATCCCATGCATGCATAGAACTGCAGTACGGCATGGGTAGCGGCTTACACCGGAAGGCGGCAAGACGGCGGTCGATGGGTTGTCATGAGGCAGGTCAAATTGACCATTGTCCCATATCGCACCAGCAATGCTACATTCAAACACTTGGTCCATCTCGTTGCATTGGCCTAATGTGGTAGGTAACAAGCATTTGCAATCTGCAAATCCCGTCGGCAGAGTTCAGCATTGCGGCACTCAAGCATTTGACGCTACTCTCCCCAAGCCTTGGCAACTCAAACGGGCAAATCAGAGAGTGTTTGTTCATCAGCGGGCTAGCCTATCAGAAAACGGCCATGCAGGGTTAACCACGAGCAAGGGATCGGCTGTTGACGCCATCTCTGCCAAGGTATTCTACACGGGTCTTGGCTCCCACCTGGTGCTTGCGACCTTCTCGTTTGGAAGCAGTGCAATTGCAAATACTATGATACTGTGTTTTCTTTCGGCTTATCTAGCGGGGTATGTTCGAGATCGAAACTCTCGGGACGTTGCCGTTGAAGGCAGGCGGCGGCGCGGTAGGGTGCTGAGATGTCTCCTTGTATGGCGCGATTCTTGGCAGCACGTTCGGAATTGAATAATCCCGGGCCAAAATTCTAGGTCTTGGTTAACTTAGGATTCGGCCCGGTTCCTAGACTGTGGCAAATGGAGTGAGCCAGGCCGGTAGAGGGCAAGATTTAGATTCTTGGGTAGGGTTTGGGGAAGACGGCATTAGTGGAAAGTATATCACGACAACCTCTCGGGTCTACGGATCGCTAAGAATCTTGGTTTAGACTATATCAGATTGGACTATAGATTATTATTATTAAATACGCCGTAGGCTCGAAGCCCCCGGTACCTCTACTAGTACTCCCGTATGTCAAACTGATGCGAGTGCATATGGGGTGTGAATTGTTGTATTGGGAAAGGATGGCCAGGTCAGCTATTCTGGCCTGGCAGAGCTCTTTTATAGCTCTTATCTATCTTATCTCTAGCTATAGGGCAACCCCCCATGGGGTCACGTATCACAAACCGTGCCCTAATGGCTGGACTAAATACATACGCTGCGTCGTCGGTTCGCCCTATTGGCGACTGCGTTGCGTTCACTACCATACTACGTTGGTTCTCAACCTATCAACAAAGTCCCCCCTGAGAAGATCGATGCTATCTGGGCCTTGAAGCTGTCCGACCCGTCCCTAGCAGCCACCTTACAATAGTCCCACTAACTACTGGTTCTCCTGTTGCCGTTGCGAGGTCTCTGCGAGAGTATAGTGGCCGTGGTGCGATAGCGGCCCGTAATCGTTCCCTCGGTCCTTCCAACAGCCCGCAAAAGAGGATTACGTGCTCTGCCGTCTCAGGGGCGTCGCCACAGCGGCATAGCGGCGAGTACACGCCAAAAGCCCCTGTCTTGAAGAAGAAGGCTGCTAGTCCTATTTTTTCCGTCCTGATCTGGCACAGCGTAGACGCCTCCAGTCGGTTCAGGCCGAAATACTTGCCCCCTTTCGGTATCTGCATCGAAGGGCCCTCCGGTTCCTCAGCGATGGCGCGTCGCTGGCGATCGTGATTCTCTGCTCCGGTGAGCCATCTCTTCCTCCAGTGGCCGAGGAGGGCAGCCGGGACCTCCTTTTCCTCACTCATCCACTCGGAGCCCCGGGCCTCCTTCTCCATAGTGTACCCTGCCGGTCGGAGTAGCTGCGACGCCTGCTTCCTCTTCGCCGGCCTATCCTGCCGGAGTATATGTGACGCTTTAGCGCTCGCGCTGCGAAGCAGATTTCTCTTCCCGCTAAGCCGTAGCCGTTCTTCAAACTTAGCAGCCCGGGCACTAAGATAGAGGTCTAGTGGCGGGATTGCTGCTTCTGCTTCCAGGTGGCGAACCGGCGTCGCTTTGTGGGCGCCACAGACTACCCGGAGGCACTCGTTCTGTATCCCCATCAGGCTCTTAGCTGGCCCTGCCGGTTCCTCACTTATAGTATGCCACGCAGTCGCCCCGAAGGCGATCGCGCTACGGATAACCACCGTATATAACAGCCTCGCCCGTATAAGATCGCAGCCCCACGACATATTGACTAGCTTTGTCAGGGCTAGCTTTTGAGTTGCCATTTTTGTTTTAACACGCTCAACATGGGCGTGCCACGTCAGTTTGCGGTCGAACCAGACTCCTAGGAACCTCGCTGAGACTACCGGCGACACTGTGGCGTCCCCAAGGCGAATACTTTGCGGCAAGGGCTCTCGGGCCCTAGTAAAGTGCATTAGCTCACTCTTGTCAGGAGCGAACTCCATCCCGTGCCTCACTGCCCACCGCTGACACGTAGCCCATGCGCCCTCCAACCGGCGGCAGGTCGTGTCTGGATCGGTGCCGACGCTTAGCAGGTTCGTGTCGTCCGCGAACCCGACTACTAAAAGTAGTGGGTGCTGCTCCGCTAGCTCCTCGTACAGCGTTGAAATGTATAATATAAACAGTATCGGGGATAGCGGTGACCCCTGGGGGACGCCAGCTCGTAGGGGGATTGGCTCTGACTCCTTGCCATCGAACCGGAGGCGTACCGTCCTATCCTCCACGAAACTGCGTACCCACTCCTGAACCCACTCCGGGTAGCCTTTCCGGGCTAATATGGAAATCAGCCGTCTGTAATTGACCGTATCGAATGCCCCCTTGATGTCTAGCTGTAGCAGCGAGGCGATGCCCCCGCGTCTCCACGCTGTATAGACCACGTCCTCAACTATACGTATTGCCAGTTCGGTGGACCTCCCAGCGCGGTTACCCATTTGGCCGTTTGGTAGTAGGCCGGTCGCCTCAGCTACTTTGGTGATACGCTGGCTCATCGCCGTCTCTATTACCTTCCCTGCCGTGCTAAGCAGGGCAATGGGGCGCCAGCCGCCAGGGGTCTGCTTCTGAGCTGTCGTTTTATTAGGCTTAGGGATAACAACCACCCTCGCTGAGCGGAAGCGCTCCGGGTAGTACCCCAGCCTAAAGCTGGCTGTTGCCAGATCCGCTAGGATCTCCCACAGGGGTTCACCGCAGGCCTTTAGCAGGCCAGTGGGGATCAGGTCGTTGCCGGGAGCCTTCCAAGCAGCCGTTCCTTTGATGATAGACTCGATATCCATTGTAGTCACCTCCCTAGGGACGTTCAGCTCTGGTCTCGCCTGTAATAGGCCGCGATCGAGGTCCGATAGATCTATACACGGGTCTGGGAAGAACCTCTCAGCTAGTAATTTTGCCTTCTCATCATGTGTACGTGCCGTAAGCGTGTCGCCGGCGTCCCTCCGGAGATCTGGCAAGCCGTGGGCCTCAGGGGGGGCCCAGCTCCGTAGCCTAGCCCACCTCTGCAGTGCCCACAGGCTTTTGTGATCCTTTGCCGTCCCCTCGAGCTTCTCGTGCCAGCTACGCGTCTGCGCTTCGCTGATTTCGAGCCGTTGTTTTTGGCCGGCTCTTGTATATTCGTCCCAGTTGGTCTGCGACCTTGCCTGGAGGTAGTCCCGCCGTCATCTCTTAGTCTCAGCGCAAGCCTTGCTAACCTGCGGGCACCACCACGGGACCCCAGCGCCTCGGCCAACGGTGCGTCTCGGGACCGCCACGTCGGCGATCTCTTGTAGGTTCAGGATAACCCAGTCAACAGCCTGGTCCAACTCCTTTATCGTCTCAACCGGCAAATAATTCATAAATCTCTGGCTTGATTCGGCTACGTGACTATAGATTTGTTATTGCTTGAGATGATGGAGCACATGGACCATGATTGGAATCTGTACAACGAGAGGGAGTTTATGAGCCAGCGTCAGTGCTTTCCAAAACTATTAAGTAATCAACTACACTAGAATAACTATAATCCTTTACCTCTCCGTACACAAAAGGAGTAGGCTTTGGCGTTATTCAGTCTAGGCATTGAAGTCAGAATTCATATGATTAGTCTACTGTTATGGGGTCGGTAGATCTATGTGATACCGTAACTCTTGGAGGATTGATAAATTTGCTATCTTAACCACCAGAATAGCTACCCAACAATAGTAAGGGGGGTTGTAAACCGCCGATACCATTAGAGTTTGGGTTACTACCGGCAAATAACAGTGTATATATCCACAGCCAGTCTGCCTTTCAGTATATCACATTTTGACAAGTTGAATATGCGCGATGATGTCTGCCGGTCACACGCTATATAACACTGAGATAACTCATCCCCATTACTACGGCCATTAACTCAATATCATTAAGATGCTAGCTGCATCTGATTTTAGCTGTTCGTTTGGCAAAAAAAGAGTGACATTAAAATGCCCACAGTGGAAGCAATTTGGGGCATGGTGCTACCAACATGTGCTGGCGGAGCTTACTGATTTCGTATAAAGGTTTGGCTAGTATTGGACCGTGGTGGTTTGATGCGTAACATAACGAATAGCTTGAACCAGAAATTAGCACGCATAGGTCGACTTTCCTCGATCCTTGCTGCTACTCTCAAATCTTCGTTGACCCAATGTTGTGAAAAAGATAGACTATACGCTAGGCCACATAGATCGCAGAATTGATCTAGAAACACTGCTTGATAGCTCCGCGTCAATATGGCTCCTTCGTGATTCAAGATTGAGGCCCTTTCCTGCGAGTCGGATCCAGGTAACAGTTGATGGCTCGTGTGGGGAAAATGGAACAAAATTGATTTCTTAAAGCAAGTATAAGATTGTCAGGACCACCTCACTTAAGCTAATTTCTTCTTCGAAACAATCGAGTTCAAGGAAGACTCACGTTGCGAGCAGCAATGTCAAAGACAGCTGCCAATTCAAGAGGAACTGCCTGAAACTAGAGGTGAAATTTTCCAGCCTAGGCGGTGACTGGTCGCTGCGGCACAGGATGACTAGACCAGTTATAACCATAAGGAATTTCTGTTCTCGAAGTTAATCTCGAGGCGCCTTGCACTCAAGTGGATCCTTCATGGTTTTGGGACTGCCAAGCTCTGCCTGAAAATCCTGTAGGATGGGGATGAGAGTCGACAATTATTCCATAACAGAATCGATGCTATCATTTCGCTGGTCTTCTCTTGTCTTGAGGCCCTCCAAGATGTATTTAGCACTCTCGTGCTTCTCGACGAGCGCTTTGGACCTTTTCTGCATTGTTTTCACAGCGAAAATAGCTGCTTCCGTTATAAAAGCGGCTTTGAGAAGGGGTTTCTGGTCTCCTGGAGCGGTCTTGAAGTCCAGCCAGGCTTCTGAAATCCACGCTAGCATCTCTTGGCACTCAGTCAGCAGACTCAGGAGGGTGAGATAAGTGTCTGCATTATCGTCGACAGTTTCTGCAGCATATTTTCTCAAGCTGCGACGGGGTTTGTGAACAGCCGGGAGGTAGTCGATGAAGTTAACCTAGAAATATCCTCCATCTCCAGGTTTGTGAAAGCATTGATTGTGACATGGACATCTGCACGCCCAGCCGTGTCATTCCGCCCAACGGCTTGACATATCAGGGGGGAGCAGGAAAAATACCGTGAAGAGTCCGTAAAGCCTCTATCATATGGACATGGTCAGCATCCGTATCCAGACCCTTGATGATTCGGTCCCGCCTCACATCTTCCGGGGATCTGATTACATCCTCCAAAACCTGATGACAATACGTGGAACTCGTACGGGGGGATGGTTGCGTGTGTCAACACTTTGACTACTAGCCAGCTCGCGATGAATTTTTGTCCATCTTGGTGTCGTTCGCGGTTCGTGGCGACTGAAAACAGTCCGGAATACATATTGTGGCATACCGAAGCTGTACAAATGGGTATCAATTCCTCTATTCCGCACTTTCTATACCTCCGTAGCTCCCAACTCCATACGATACTATCTAGACAAAAACATAGCAAAGTCGCTGGCATATACGCTGGTATATATATGGGCTTGACGGCCTTACAATCGCATCCTGTTATGTTTGGTCCTCGCAGTCCTCGCCCGGTCCGTCTTCGCCTGTCTTTTCTTCCGCACACGCAAGATTTTGCGACGCTGATATAAGCGCACAAACCACTCGACTATGGTGTCGCGCATAAGCAGCAGCAACGTGACCCCAACCACGGGGATAGCAATGGTCCAACTGTGTTTATACCAGTCAGCTTCCGTTCCGCCCACTTGAGAAATATGTGGGTTGGTGGTGAACTTACAAGAATATCGTGCCCCGGTACAGCTCAGGAAAAGGGTCGAAGTTTTGTCCAAAATAACCCGTGATGAATGTGAGGGGAAGAAAAACTGGTCACGGCGTCAGTAAATGTTCCCCATGTAACATCTTATGAGGATGAAGTTGAATCTTTGGAAGTAAGGATATTTCCCAAAAGAAGATAACCCCAGGAAGAAATGACTGCGACAGATACTTACCGATGGTGACGATAGTAAGCTGCTTCATACTTTCGTTTTGGTATGCCGAGATGGTGTTGAAGATTAGGTCAATCATGCCATTTGCCGACTCCTTGATCTGGTTCAAGCTTTCAGTGATGAGAACGCAGTGATCGAGTACATCTCCCAGGTAAGTGTAGGTCATGGGCGTAATAATGACTCCCTCCAAGGTGTTCTGCAGCTCCTTCGTCGCTTTATCTTGCGGCAACTCCGTTTTATGATCGCGCAAGGCATTGATGAGAGCTCCGATGGGATTGACCAAGCTGTACATTTTGCTTATCTCCGAGATGATGACATAGAGGGATTTGGTATGTTTAATGGTGGGATGTGTAAGAACGTCGAGCTCCAAATCGCCCACCACGTCCGCGTAGCAAGCTGCCACTGGTATGGCCATGTCGATGATAGCATCGATGATTGCTTGACCGACCATGGAAGCGTCGCATGACTGTCGCAAGATGGTATCCGGGCTGCTGAGTCGCGCCAGTATGGGCTTTTCCACGTCGTCGGCTGATTGTTCGAAGAAGGCAATGACGGTGTTGTCTGAAGTGACAAACATCGCGACCTGTTCAGCCATCACTGCCAAGCCTCGTGGCGCAAGCGCACTGTGCCTCTCCATGTAATCAGTGCGGGCATCGTTGCTCGAGGCACGGTATCTCTGTAAGGTGCAGAGTGTGTTAGGGTTGAAGACGTCGGAGAAACCAGTGGCTTGGTGGTGCATAGGAGGAGGGCCAGAATTGGGTGGTGTTCCATTTTCTAGCACGCTAGGTACAGGTACGCCATGCTTTTCCCTCCTCTTGCCAGCCCACCACCTCTGGAGTCTCTTCCTGAGGCCTTTGACAGAAGAATGACTTCTCGTACTACGAATATCATGGTCTTCCTCTTCGTCGTCACTGGTGTCCGGGTCAATCATTCGTACTAGCTTCTGGCAGGTCATGACCATAAAGGCGTGTGTCGAGTACCAGTCAGCCTTTGTCCGATTCTTGGTGTTCATGATATCCTCGATGGCCAGGCGGTGGAGGTTCTTGTAATTGCCCAGGGCTTGGATGACATCCCAGCTTAGCCCGTTGACATTGATCCAACGGCATTTAACCCACTCTTCCTGAGGCCGCTGCAGAAACTCAATCATCTCCGTATTATTCAGTTCGTGTATAGCGAGTTGGTCCTGGGAAAAGTCGACGATGGTAATCTGGCACTCGGCATGCAATTGGGACATGGAGGCATGGCCGCCATCGGGCTTGGAGGTGTCGACACCAGGCTCAGCACCGGGGTGCCAGCCAGGCTCTTCGAATTCATTGATGGTTTTGAATGTGTTGACGCGAGTATTGCGCCTCTTGAGTCCTATCCGGGAGAGTTCAGTGTCGGAGCGCGCGATGCCCGGCGTCGGCGAGAGGGGGGAGAGCCTGTTGTTCGCAGCCGTTGGTGGCAAGTCGGTGTTGAGATCAAGGGCATAGTGAACATGAGGTTTTCTCGCAAATGTTTCCGCCGGTGCCGTCGAGGAGGGGCTCACCGTCATGGAGACCTCCGGGGAAGAAACGGGAACATCGGGCACGCTAGTGGTTGGCTCGGTCGCTGTATTTTCGGAGGAGGAGGAGGACGACTGTCTCGACATTGTGATTGTGCGACAAAGTTGGATTGCCGCGATATGACGCGGTCTTGTAAAGTCCGTGGTGGGGCACCACAAGAACAACAAGGTGAACGATGCTTGAGGGAAAACGCCAAGATATTCCAGGTACTGGGATTGAAGCTCAATATCCCGAGCTTGATAGAACGGTGGAATCGGAGAGTAGGGATGAAAGGGGAAACGGTTTTACTCTGTAATACTGCGACGTGGGAAAGGAACAATTGATCTACCTCCTTTTCCGTCTCAAGTAATCTGGGCTGCATGGGTCGTGCGATTGATCAAATCAACCAAACCCACTAGTTTCCTCGAATCTCAATTGGAAAAGCTTAATGCCTGGCATCCGACGTTTGGGTTTCAGCCTTAAGCAAGGTCTTGCTATTTTGACATGTATATGAGATGAAGCAGGGTTGATGAACGGAGTCATGCTTGACAACTTGGGAAATACACCATCGGAGTATCTTCTCTCGATACCGACCCGGTGGAAGCAAGTAGATACGGTGCCATGCTGAAGCCTTTCCTCCACAACCCATTTATGTTGATTTGTCTCTCTCCATAATCAAGTTATCTCTGTCAGTAGAAGCGTCCAGAATAATTGAATACCTCATCTCTAGGCAAGACATTTCAACATCAACGCACTCACCTGGTAAAAACTGGCTCGTATCCACCACCACACGACATATGCACTTTGACGCCGATCATGAAAAGCGTTCTTTTCTGTCCTGCACACACCAGATTGAACAATGACAGTCTCCTAGATCTCAAGCCACTTCGTACGGCTGGATAACTAAATGTCCGCGATTGTAGGAGATTGGATGTTTGCCAGTTGAGTGAGATCCCTGCGCCAACACGGTGGCACCCAGCCCACCAAGAGATCTCCTCGAGGAAATTGGCAATGTGTCTAGTCGAACTCTGCTCCCACAATTGAATACTCGGGTTTGCGAGCGGGTGAACCACGTGCGAATTACGGCCCGACCGCGCCCATTAAGTACCATACATACCATCTTTTCCTCATTAGGCAAGACTACCTTTATCGGTCGCCTTCGCCAACAGCGCGTCCTTCTTTCTTCAGCTTTTCCCACCCGTGAAACACTGAAGTCGCGTGGGCTTTCCCTTGTCGAGACCAAGCCAGGCAACTTTTCACCCAAATGCCTGAGTGCAGCAGCCGCGGGGGCGGGGTTGGGTGCGCTTAGCCTTGTTCTCGCCCAATCTCTCTCGCAAGGGCTCTGCCAAAAGTCTGGACGAAAAGTTTCAGTTGACTTGGATGAAGCCATGCGAATCGAACGACGTGGGACCAAGCAGAGCGCTTAGGAAGTTGAAGCGTGGATTAATTACTCCTTCGCTAGCTCACACTTCGATGAAGGGCCTTTGGACAACGACGTTGTCATCTGGCATGGCCAATGTTTGTATGCAATTGACACTAAGATCTAACCGTGCTGACCGGCCTCAGCAAGTTTATCACTGGAGCTGATACATAATTTTAAATACGATTCTTCGTTTCCAAAAAGCTTCACTTCTTACTTGATTGTCTTAATCGGTTCTCTTTGTCGATATCCAAAATGCCTTCAAACGAGAAGTGCGGCGCAGAGGAAGGTTGCAAAAAGGTGTTCAATAAAATGTGCTACGTGCGATGGAAGAGAAAACGCCTACGGCAGTTCTAAATATAACTCTTGCAAGATGGGAAAGCTAAGGATGAACTGTCGGAATCCAGGTATTGGGGGCTCTATTGGCACTATGAAGCAGCGAGAGGGAGCGGTCCTCGAGCTAGCTAAATGCGCTTTCGTTTGTAGGGGGAGCGGTCACACCCGCGCCACATATAAGGGCCATATTGCAACCAGATAGTCAGAAAAACACCGATAATTACACTAGGCGCGGCAATGTTTCGACGCTCTAATTAGAAAAGAAAAACACATGTAAAAACTTGTCTGATTTGATACCCTAGTTGGTTGGGCTACCTCGTTTCTCGCGTCGGTTTTTGCTTTTGTTTATTTCATTACTTTACATAGGTTTTATACTGATTGCTTGGATAGCTGCTTGTTATCACACTCTCTATAAAGGAGAACGTCAGACATGAGAGATATCTCACTTTACCAGGATAACACCAGAAACGTCACGGGGCGGGCGCGGCATAATTCCTACACTTTCCTTCAAACAAAAGCTGGTTCCCAATTTCTAAATAGAACAACCAAGTCATTCTTTATAGCTTTCTTGCAAATATCACAATTATATTACCAAACACTAACTTGACCAGGGCAAACAACTATTGATTGAAATATCCTTAGCCAGTCAGTCATGTTGCCTTATTCTTGCATACTTCCAAGAGTGTCTCCTGAGTAAGACCTTTCTGGATATCTACAACTTAAAAAACTACCTATTTCATCGACTGTTTTGTCCGAGAGAACACAGAAAAGGGAGGCCACATCCCCCTCTACACTATATCCGCAAATGTCCATTGTCGTTAAGAATTACGATTCCCGACATATGGCCCAAATGGAACTTTCGAAGAGAAAACCCTTGGAGGTCATCTGGTACTTAGTGGAAGGGGACAGTCGTCAGTTCACTGCCAGCACACATAGATGGCAGCTGAATAAGACGTGGAGCATACTATTCAAAAGTTTGGACATCGTTAGTTGACTTTTATCTGTCGCTGCCATCGCTAGAGATCTTCTCTGTTTCACTCTTGACGTGCTGAGGACATTTTTCAGGGAAGAGTGCTTGCAGGTCGATAACGCTAGCTAAAGCCGCTTCGCATATGACGTGGAAGTTATCTGGGACAACGGATCGGAAGAGGGGCCTACTCCTCTAGGGCAATGCAAATATCTCGAAAAATGTAGGTCCCTGATGCTGACGTCCAGGTGCCGGGCTTTCTCAACACTATTCGCCTTGTGTAAAATGTCAAAATGACGGCAGGACTGCTTGGCCCTGACTAGATCGAGGTGCAGGCTTGCGCGCACAGCGTCAACTTCCAAGGCATATATTCATTGCCTGCGGTTACATGCAACCGGGAACAGAAATGACAGGCGAGGTGGCTGTGGTGGTGGCCTCGGTGATCTGGGCAAGAATGGGCCACTTCCGGCCGAGAAAGTGGCTGGCTATATCGTGGCACGAGTGTGCTGAAATATTGATGCCCCGCAACTGGCGTCGTTAGAGGAAGAAATAGGCATCAGAAAACTTGGCTATACACTTCACATTGTCATGTGCGACATTGGCGACTGAGGAGAGTGTGCGTGGCCTGAACAACTCAAGCCCATCCACCAAGACATTCATCCCATGAGAGCCCCGGGCAGCCCGGCTCGCCAGTTTCTTGGGGAACTGTTCAAGATACACGAATATGACAAGAGCAGTGGGTGGCATAACAACGGCCTCACGGATTCTCGGTGGTTGTGCAGACAGGGGTCCAATCGCTCTGTACTCCAGCATCATGAGGACGCCGCGACAGCAAGAAGCTGCAGTCGCAGGAGACCGTGTCGGCAAGGCAAGCTGTATATACCCCGATCTTCCAAGTGTAAGTGTGGTTGAAACTTACTTCCTTTCATCCCTATCAATGCAAAAAGCTACTTTCGGCCTGCACCTTGAGAACCTACTGCGTGCAGTGACCTTATCACAGTTAGTCCTTCAGAGTCAGGTTCGTTGAAGGTGCAGCACTTTTTCTACAACAGAAATTCGCAAATCCAAGGAATCCTCGAACTTCTTTAACATTAGTAGGGATGGGCTAGTCTTTCATACTATATCTTGCGCGGTTAGTCTGATATTTTAAGTAATACTAATTATAATAATGAGCAAATCGCAGTGCTTGCCGCTTAGGTTAAAAATACGTAGTAGAGCCGACTTCCGTGCGGTGGCTAGGTAAAGGTTGGGCTCTGAAGGCTTTTACGACCTGGGGATTATAATTTGAAGAAGACGTCTTCAGAGTTGTGACAACATAATAAATTACTTGAAGATACTCTGTAGTGGCTTTAAAGTATCGTGCATACAATGTAGCTATCAGATTTTCAGTTTAAATTTTCCGATGGCTGGGCCCACCCTTTAAGGCATACCTGAACATTTCTAAAATCTATCCGGCGTTCAAGCTACTTTTTCCATCAGGATATAACCCATTTTGGTCAGAATAATACAAGCGTATCTGTATGAGAACGGCTGATACCAGTCGGCCTGGCCTAGCAACAGTAGGCTCTAGCACGTGCAAATTACTAAAAATAGTGAGCCCTTAGCTTAGCAACCCCTTGGTAACCAACTCACCAACCGAGTCTCAATTAATATGGTTTGGCAACCAAAATCTGGAGAATTGGTAGGTTGAGTTGGCTGGTTGACGTCAACCCTTGGCAACCGGGTTGAAGTGGTTGGTTGTTTTGAGAGTTAGCTGCTACGCCGCTGGTGCTAGAATGGCAGCATTGTGGGGAGCCGAACTTCAATAGTATACGGCAGTTTAGTCGCAATGTAGTATTGAATTTCATTGAAATTTCTGGCCTGACTCTCGGTTGGCAGGTCGTAGTAGAACACTCCCCGCAACTCGTTTCAGCGCTACAAAGACACAAACGGAGCTGGTGAATAGGAAGGGTATTGGGTGAATCGCGAACCTGAGTTAAACCACATAATAGCCTCAAATATCATGTTGGGGTTTTTTGGTAACCACATGACTTGATAGAATAGAATCCGTTGGCTTGTTGTTTTATCTATATCTATTTCTTTTCACATTGTAGTTGGCCTCATAAGTAAGATCGGTTCCGCGTGAAAATTAACATGCCATATAAAGTACCGGCTTTAAAGAGAGACTTTTGTAACCACTGACTCGTGCAGCCCGCCTCATCCAAGCCTCTGGAGGGACCGGAGAGGTCAATATGAAGTTGGACCAGAAACCTTGGTTGCTGAACAGGTCCACCGCTAGGGCCTGCCATCAAGAACCCCAGATGCACTTCTCAATCACTCATTACTCGAAACCGAACGTCAAAAAGCTGCTCGATGACCATCCATTAGCAGCATTATACTCATCGAGCTGCGTGGTTCCGCGAAGAACCTCGTATCTTGCCATTGACCTGGAGTCGCCTGCTTCTGTACAATTGTCGTCTCCACCAAGCAATCCAGCAATTCGCTCTCCAACCTCACGAGCTTCAAACCATGCTCCGTGTAGAAAGCCAAAGTATTCTGCTGAATTTGCTTCACCGGCAAACCACAGGCGATCAAGGTTTGCACGTATGTTTTGGTGCTTTTCCAGAGTCATGCCAACGGGCCAGTTGCTATATGAACCATATGACCATCTATAATCTTTATTAGCACCATTCAGTATTCCAAAGGGGGAAAGGGACTGTAATCACTCTTTCTGGCTCCATCTTGGATACAAGAAATCGATGGGCTCTGGAATGTCCTGATCTGGAAACATCGTACGCAACACAGCCATGGCTTCTGCCTTGGTCTCCTCATCAGATTGCTTCTCGATGCGGTAAGACTCTTTTCCAACCACAGTAGCGAAAATGATGTTGGAGTTTTCTAGGAAACCAGGTGCTGATAGACTTTGCCATACCGGGTAGTATCCCCGAATTATAGAATCGGCATACAAAAAGAACTGGGTATCTGGGTCCCAAAATGTTTCTTTGAACTGCAGAAAAATTTTGGTGTACGTGCCCATCTGGAACTGCTCGATGGCTTCTTGCTTCCAGCGCGGAAAAGGTGGGTTGAATTCGACGATCTCGTTTTGAAGAACTCCCAAAGAGAATGTACATATAGCATACTCGGCTTCGATGCATTCTCCGTCCGCGGTTTGGACCTTGACTGCTTCATTTGAGTATGAGATTCCCTTGACCGTCGTATTCAACAACAACAACCTGGCATCTCCATCTGATAAGAAAGCGCCAGCCTCGCCGATAAGCCAGGTATTGAATCCCCTTTGGTCGAAAACAAAGTTGTTTTCGTCGGAAAACTGGTAAAAGGTCAGATTGTATCCCGTGATGCCGAATAGGAACCCGCTCTCTTCCGGTGTATAAGACGTCTCCCAATCCCACTCCCACCATTCGACGGCCTGGTATTTCATGTCCTTTTTGGGCTTCCATCCTGCCAGACTGAACCCTGCTCGTGCACTGGTATCTTGCAGATTGTCTTTCAAGATGTAACCGGCATTTTGTTCGGCAGACGCATACGCGTTCTCAAAAGTGTCGAGTAGGCCGGAAAAGTCGTTTTCACCAGTTTCGTCAAAGGTCAGGATGGAACTGTAGTTTGAGTAGGCATTTTCGACCTGGTGCTTCTTGGCAAACGTCCAGATGGGGTTTTCTGGACCACCTTCCGAGCCAAGTCCTTGTACCCAGTTCGCGCCGAGTTCCACGGTGTACGGTGATCCGTCCGGCTTCTTTCCAAAAGTCGTGTGTAACATGCGACCCCCGATGTAGTCATTTCTCTCGATAATGACAAAGTCCTCGATTGATGCATTGGCCAATGCCTGAGCAGCCGTTATGCCTGCTACTCCGGCCCCGAGAATCGCGACCGATGTTTTGCGACATTTATCGCCTTCCTCTCCTCTCTGCTCGGATGCTGCATGGGCGGAAGCAAGAATGCAATACCATGCGAGCAAGTGCTTCATGGTTCTAATGCACATGGTGGCATTGGCGTTGTCCCAGTTGAGATCCAGCCCAAAAACATGGAGGTGGACTAAAGAAAAGCGATCAGATTCTTCAATCCCTTCATCTTAAATAGCTGAACATTATCTCTTTGCATGCTGGATCCAATCGATAAGCAAGGAATGTGATGTACAGAACTGATGCCGTAAACATCCAGTTGTCTCACTCCCTGAGTTGTGATTGGCCCCAGATCCGTCAGCTCGGATGTCTTACCCCAGGTATCGGACTTATTGCAGCTATAGCAAGGCACAGGATTGAACGTGTCTCTAGTCTCCCTAAGTCCAATGGAGTGAAGGTGGCCATAAGGGCCTTCAGTGTGCCTCTTGGCTGCTTGCAATAGAGCAGATTGAATGCCTCTATATCAATCGTCGAGCACGAAAGAGCAAGCAAGAGCTGGAAAGGAAAAATCAAAGCTAGAAAGGCTGGTGCGGTCCGACACCAGGGTCACGGCAGATGAGCGTGGGGTTACGAAGAGGTTCATGTTTTTCTAATAAGGCAATCATATGATATTCATCGGCTAGCAAATGTAATTGCAAGCATCGATGGCAGAAATATAAAATAGCCGCACGCTTCTGTACTTGATTTTATGATACAGGCTGTACAAGCTATCGCTATTTGCAAGCAGGCAGGTTGAGTACACTCGGCTACATATGAAGCACTTTCTTTTTTCATCGTTTTCCCGTTCCTATTCTAACCTCAAAATCTGATCTATTTTCTATCATATCTGTGACTCTAGTCCCTCTCTATCTGTGTTCGCAAATGGGTTTGCAGGCTATGGCAAGCGAAAGGGCTCCGCTCCCTGAGCTGCTTGCTGTACCGGAAGAAAACCCATGGTGTCGCACAAAACAGCACCGACAGGCCTGCAACAACGGTGCCAGAAAAGTTCGCGCCAAGCCCACCGTATAATTCATATGCGATTAAGGGCATCAGCCCAGATACGATGGCCCGCACAAAGGCCAGACCGCAAAATGCAGAAGCCGAGTATAATAGGTAAGAGTCAGCTAAGTAGCCGCTGAGTGTGTACGCCATTTCGTTTACCGCAAATCCAATAGGCACCAATGCCAGTGTTGGAACTATCCATACAACATGGACGATTGGTGGCACCGTCCAAGCGAACCAAATAAGTCCACCCGCAAGAGCTGGAGCAGCCCAAGAAAACCCCATGATCTTGTCCTCACTGCATGTGTCAGCATGAGAAAATCCGAAACGGAGTTAGAGGGGAATAATCACGGCTCTACGACTTGCTGTTTACTCTGTCGCGACTTGACAATCTTCATATCCCAGATCCTTGGCAAAAAGGTCAAGGGGATCCCGGAGGCAATCGCCAGGAATGGCAAAGATGCTTGAGTCCGAGACCAGCCCATCGACATGTATACATCTGTAAGAGCCTCGGTGAAGAAATAGATCATTCCCCAGGAGACTGCGAAGACGGTCGTGACCATCATAACCAAGGGTTCGCTTCCTAGGAGCCGCACCGGCCGGACGGCGACCAAGTCCAGGAAAACCTTTACATTAGGGAAGTGATCCGGATTATTCCACTCGAGATTTTCGATCTTACCTTGCTCTCGAAGTTTTGATATTTTGGTCTTCAGCAACTTGCTCGGCCTGCTCTCACGGATGGTAAGAAGACATATGAATATTGCCGCACACACAAACGCAGAGCTATAGTAGACCCATCTCCAGCCAAAGGCGGAAGAAATGTGTGCTGCATACACTGGACCGAAGCAAAGGCCTGCCGTGGAACCAGCATTCCATAGGATGACTATCCAGACCCGTCGTTTGGTGTTAAAGATGTCCTCAACGCTACCGGCCGTGACAACTGCTGGCACCGCGGAAGCAAAACCGGCGACAAAGCGGCCAATCCACACGGCGGAGACATGTGGCACTATTCCCACAAAAAGGCAGAAAATGCTGAACGTGGCACACGAGATGAGGTAGGGTGTTCGACGACCCAGGAGCTCCGACAGTGGGGGAATCAGGCAGCCCCCAATGGCTTGACCAAAGTTGTACCTATCGTTTCTGTAAGCCAAAAGACTGCAAAACATGACCGAAAAGATAAAAATTTACATAAAAGTAAAAGAGATGATAGCAACTCTTCTTTCCAATCCAAATTCGGGCCCAGCTTCGTGTGCTACTGCAGCCTTTCCACCGACAGCAGTCAGTTCTTGTGGGTCGATTTGCACGAGCAAGAGTTTACTTACACCCGTCGTAGCGATAATTGTCCTGTTTTTGTCAGTTAAATTAACCTAGCTGTGAAAAGGGTGACTTGCACATAAAACTCCAGAAATATGATTATGACAGTGTCGAAGATTTTGCGGTTCGTAGACCAGTTCCGTGGATGGTCAGGTGAGTCGGACCGCCAGCGTATGAACCCATCAGCATCTCTTTCTAGTCCGATAGATGCCAGCTGATCTGCTTCATCAACTTTGCTGACTATCTGCACCATGGTCCCTATTATTTTGCCCATATTGTCAGATGAGTACGCACAAAACGGATAGACAAGTTAATCTTAGTCAATGACCATCGACCGCATGCCACAACATTGGGCGAAGAGGGTCAATTATTAACGATTATCGAGGCCCCAGTGATATTTGTCAAAGTTTTTGCAAAAGTGAAAGCTTTTACCTGCATGATTACATGCGAAATAGAGGAGTCTAGATCTGTCGTTGGGCAGGGGTTGTGGCCGCCGCCATTTCGAATCGCACAAATCGGCATCATGGATTCCGGAAGGATCAAAAGGCGACCATTTTGAATCTGACCCTTTCTCAAAACTAATTTAAAATTGGGACTTTGGATAACGTGATTCGGAACTTCGCAAATCATACCGTTTTGCCTAGACTGCTTGAAGCGCCAGCGTATTATCCCCAGACTTTCATTCGAACCACACAGCATCAGTTCAGCGTCGAAGGATTGGGACTAGGGTGCAATGCATCTCAGCCGTATGCTTAATTCTCACCGCTGACTGAATTCCCCAATGCAGAAAATTCCTCATAGTTTATGCTTAACCGAGAGTGGTCCAGTTCTGATGTAAGCACCTTGACTCGAATTATCGTGCATAATACGGCCAGACAGGCACTCGCCGACATTTCGGGGAATGAAATCATAATTCATCCCGTTAAAATTATATGTTGTGACTCATGAATGAGAAAAGGTCCGATTGCTTTCAATCTGCTAAATCTCTTCAAAATCAAGAATAGACGAGGAAGACTCATTTCAAATCGGTCTCAACGACTGCTCTGAGCTGATTCAAACCTAGGATTCTGTCTAGAGCACCTCTTGTTTCTGATACCATGGCATCTAAGAAGGGCAATGGACATTGGGGCAATCCTATACAAACCGGCTCTGCCTTTGACTTCAGGAGTAAGCTCACGAACCCCTGACTTCCTCACGCATGCACTCAAAGGCACCTAACAGGCGATGTCATAACCACCCCCTCCCTAGGGATGCTCGAGGCGATTCAACAAGCAACACTCAATGACGATGTATATGGCGAGGACCAAACGACCCGATCCTTTGAGAACCAGATCGCGGCTATGTGCGGCAAAGAAGCCGCCGTCTTGGTCGTGTCGGGCACGATGGCGAATCAATTGTCAATAAGGGCCTTGCTCCACCAACCACCGTACTCCATACTTGCAGACTCTCAAGGTGGGTTGTTTGGATTTTCCTCACCCCGATCAATTGGTAAGGGATGCTGATACACATCGAGCCCATATCATCCACTTCGAAGCCGGTGGCCTAGCTCACCTCTCCGGAGCCATGGTCCAAGCCATCAGACCAATGAACGGTCTCTACATAACCCTCGCTGATATCGAGAAACACGCCATCCTCTCTGACCAACCAGAAAGATGTCCAACGAAAACCATCAGCATCGAAAACACGGCACACGGCAACATCATACCCCTAAACGAGCTGCATAAGATCAAGTACTGGGCAGCTAAGCATGGGATCGGTGTACATATCGATGGAGCACGCCTATGGCACGCCGTTGTCGCCGGGGCAGGGACACTAGAACAATTCGCTTCGTATTGCGATGCACTGACCCTATCATTTAATAAAGCCTTGGGAGCTCCTATGGGGGCTATGGTTGTGGGGTCCCAGGATCTAATCAAGAGAGTCAGGAGACTGCGGCAGAGTATTGGAGGAGGCGTTAGGCAGACTGGGATCATGGCTGCTATGGCTCGGCAGGCTGTCCTGGATAACTTTGGTGCAAAACAGGTCGACAGCAGAGGGGAGCTGGAAAAGACGCATGACATGGCGAAAATGCTGGGAAGAGCGTGGACTGATGCCGGTGGGAGGCTGTTACGGCCGGTTGAGACGAATATGGTCTGGCTAGACATGAAGAGCGCAGGGATTAGTATAGAAGCTTTCAATGAGATGGGGAAGCGTCATGGGATACTGGTGAATGGGAAGAGGATCATGGTGCATCACCAGATTTGCGAGGCTGCTAATCAAAAGTTGACACGCATGTTTGACGAGCTTTTAAGTCAACGTGTTGTAGGCAGAACGTCGACTTTCAACGCTCGACTATAGCTGAGGTTGTGGATAGTATTAATCAACTACTTAAACATCCAACATAAGACTATGTAAGAACATGTGTTTCGAGAGAACACTGAAATAGACAAACCGAGTGGCTTAGGTAGAAGATACAAATAGTATTCGAGTACCAACTATCGAACGAGTAGACAAGAAGGCTCCATTATCTCGCAAATCGCCGTCGTAGCTAACACTTATACAAAGCCCCCATACAAGCCACCGTTTCAGGCATAGTCCTGAACAGCGCTCTATCGAAAAACAAATCCGCTATCGTAATAGCGTCGACCCTGGGATCCCTCGTTCGAAGAAAGCGCAGACTTTTTAACGCCCGCGAATTCAAAATCTCGTTTTTCCGCGCCACTGACAAGGCCTGTGAGATCTCGTACACGGGCTGCGCAAACAAAACAGGGGCCTCCGGGCGCGCATACCAGGGCACTGGCCGTGCCCGGGTCATGGACATGCGCTGCTGGGGCCGGGTCAAGTAGAGCCGATCTAGACTGAAGAGATTCTCGTGAAAAGCTTCTAAAAGCTTCGGGTGCGGGTGGATGTCGTTCCAGAAACTTAGGGGAGGTTAGCGATGTGGTAGTTCTCACTCCAGGCGCGGCATTCGCGGCTTAGACCGCGGAGAGCGTAGCTGTCCATGGGCTCGTTGAGATTGCGGAGGAGTAGTTTGTACCCGTCGATGAGTTTTTGTATCTGCCGGGTAGAAGTAGGCATGGCATATGATGAACCAGGTACTTAAGGCTCTGCTTATTTGGTATAACTAGTCAAAACGTTTCTTTTCAAAATGAAATGTTTTTTACTCAAAATGTCTAAAATGTGCTGTAGTTGCTTTTGAGGTAGAAAATGTGGCGAGACTTTCACGGGTATAGTCCCTATTTGAGTCAAAATTCAATTATCTTGATTGGCTGTTACATACGAACTCCCTCTGATTAAAGCTGGTGCGAAGACGGACGCTACTTCGCCATTGAAGCTGTTTGCCAAAGACAAAGCAAAGAACGCACATCCACCAAGCCACTATCATTTTCTCGGCAGCTGTAACAACCGACTCACACCCAGCTTGGAATTGCGGCTATACAGCATGCAACTTGGTGCATAGGCAGATCAATAGAGGCTACCTGCTTGACTTTTGGGTTCGCAGAATGAATTTTCTCATTGGCGTTAGCCAAGCTTGCGTCTGCCCATCATTCAAAGTGCATTTGTCATTGAAATTTTCGACAAGTAAACCATAAAAATTACGGCGGGTGCCAGGTTTATCACTTTAATACAAAAGGTAGGGGGACCCACTGGTTAGGTGAATCCCTTCAATTAGATACTATAACGTTGCGCACTGCTGCATTATAGCATCATCCCCCCTAGGTGCACGCATCACACTTCCTATTTCATCCAGTGATTGCTGTGGACCACCTTTTACTCGCCAGGTCAGTCTTCTAGGTGAACCCAAAAACTCAATTCGTCTTCGCGAATAGCCTCAGTCGTTACCATGCTGCCTGCTGAGATCTACTTGGCTGGCCTATGAGCTCGCGGCTACGCAATCCCTGATGTCCTTTCTATGGCTGTAGGATTTGCCACTCAGTACAGTGGCTGGGCAATGTATAGATGGATGGCGAACAGATACCACTGCTCGGAATGGGAATAGTCCAGCTATTTACCCAAGACACTCAAGGGAGATCCACAGGAAGACAACTGAGGTTGTTAATACTCGAAGCCATTCGAACACCTGTATATGAAATGCAGCCATGCAATTCGCTGGTTAGTCCAAGCAGAGCTAAGAAACTCTTTCTCTCAAGCAACACTTCAGGGGGTCAACAGTACAGTAATGTCCGAAATACGGTATACTCCTATTCCCCTTTCGGCCTTCTCATAATCAAGCTTCGAGACAACCAGGTCACTTCAACCTAGTTGGTTGCCAAGGGTTGACGTCAACCGGCCAACCCACTAATTCTCCAGATTATGGTTGCGAAGTGGTTGCCAAGGCTAAAGGCTCCTATTTTTAGTAATCTGCCCGTGCTAGAGGCCCCTGCTAGCCCTGTAGGATCTTTTGCGGTGCTCTAGCGCTTAAGTTGCTTCCCCAATTACTATGGAGTCCTAAACAACCACTACACCGTGAACCCCGATAGCATGGTCACCTCGCTAATACGCTGGTGGCCATCAGCGAGGGCCAGACCACCTTGACCCAATGGGCTACTAGCATGAACGCCGTTTCAAGTACCCACTGCTCACTTAACTTCCTTATAATATAGGCTAGTTATGTCAGCCGAATACGAGCGATCATTTTCATCCATTGGTAGGATGATAACTTCACAGCGGTCTAGCCTTAACGCCAACCTCATAGGTATGTGCCAGACACTACGAAGATGGTACAGGCCGGCTCAGCAAACCTAGAAGACCCTCTGTTAGGGTCTATAGTGGCTGAGACGGCCATACAGACATACTGGCTAAGTGACCAGGATGAGCCTATAGAGGAGACCGCTGCGGAAATCGCCGGCATGCTAGTAGGGTATAGCGCCGGCGAGGTTAACGATGACATTATTTCCGGCTAGTTATGGCAACTACCTTAGCAACCAGTCAACCTAGCCCAGTGCGGATAGCCGGTTGATCAACCTAGTGATTATTTTGCTTACTAATTTGATCGTCAACCCAACGGAAGGGGATGGTGAGGTTGATTGGGTTGACTCGAGGCTTGGTATGTTATTGGGCCTGTGCAACGACGTCTGATGATTACTGGCCGCTGTCAGGGGAGTGAGCAGACGTGGTTGGTAAAAGTGGAAAGGCTTCCTCGTTAGATGAGGCTTCCGACCTTCGATTCGGCCGTAAGTTTTCGTCACTAGCAGTATCGCAGTCGCTCGACTCACACGCTTCGTGAGGGCCTGGATTGAAACGTTCTAGTTCTTTGATTGCAAGACCACAGTCAGCCCACTTATCGCTCGAGACTCCATGGTAAAGACGCTAATGATACTCTCGGAACAGTGAGAGATCTGGCAACGCTCCGGAACCTTGACAAAGATTCTAATTGTCTTCATTCAGATTGGAAGTAAATGCTTCTACAGAAGCCCAAGTCTATCGCGGATTTGAAAATTACAGCTTTCGCCAAGTCTATGTTTTGGTACGAGAACCCCGACACAGTCACCCCAGTAGCTATCAGTGGGGTTCACCAGCAGTATGTTAGCATAAGCTCCCAAACTGCCATCTCACGAGTGATCCTGCTGAATTCTTATTTACCTGAGCAGCACTCATCGGCTGCATTCTCCTAACTCCCTCACGGTTCAACCCAAAACCTCCATTCGAAAGCTTCTTAAGATTGACTGACATATGTTGCCTACATCAATGCCAGTCGGAGTCTATTCTACAACAAACAGACCAAATCTTGCTTCGGCAATCTACCACACAATGCTGCTGATACGCTTAATACTGCTTTCATAGGGTGGATAATACGATACGAGTTGCACTGCACCAATAGTCAGCAATTGAACTGATGTTCTTCAAGTGTTAACCATCGCGTTCTCCCCATAATAACAGCGCTGAACGTGCCGATCGATGTTCGAATTTCCAGTGACTATAAGTCGTGAATTAGGGCGGCTGATAGTACTTCGCACCCGTTCATCTGTGGACGCTGGAAACATGACGAGAGCAGAGCGCCCTAGCAACCGTCATACATCAGCATGTCAAAAGCCAAAGCATTTTCAACACCACCACCAATTTTAGTTATCTCCATCGGAAAATGAAATCGCTTTCATCTAACCACGCTTAACAACAGGACTTCGTCCACGGATTTTGGAAATGTGGAGCCAGAACTAGTCGGCACATTCATAACGCCTCTCAGAATACTCGTTCAAGAGGCACCAGAGCATCGAACGCTTTCAACTTTCGATGGGGACTCATGAAAATACAGCTTTATGTTTCACCCTACACTTTCTCTAGTCGTTTTGTCAGGATGGGGACAACTTTCATTTGGGTGGTTTACTAGCATAGGTAGCTGTGCTTACTAGTAAAGACCCTAGGTTAAATACTTCTAATCTTCTAATTGTCTTTAGCCCCAAATCAAAGCCTTACCATCCCCAAACACATAGCGTTTCCCTCTCGTCTTCGCCCGTTTTGACTCGCAGACCCTGCTTGCCTATCATTCCGTCGGCAACCTACGGGAGAGCCTCCGCAACGGAACCTATGTCCGAATCATTCTCTTTCGCCAAGGTGGAGGGCCATCTTGATATCAAGGGTCAGGATAACGGCCAGCAAAGAGATATGTTCAACGAGCCACAAAAAGAGTCTGCGGAAATATCAATGCGCTACGAGCGAGCCGTGTATGATTCCGTCTGGTTACCCAGAAAGCGAAAGAAGAGGCTGCTGGATCAAGTCCTGCACAACGATGATACGACAGACCTACGACAGAGGCTTCAGGAAGCGTACTTGCATGCGTCTAATGCTGACAACAGGCCTGATGGGAACATATTCACTCATACTATCAACGTGACGGGGATCATCAGCGCACATGTAATACGTATATCCAACGTCGAAAAGGATTGCGACCTCGGGCATTGAGTTGTCAATCACAACAGCTAGCAAGAACTAACGACACACCCGAACCTTCGCACCTTGCACACTTGCCCTTATTGCAAAGTAATCAGCACACTTCACTCGTTCTTCTGCCCATCTCGAGCTCCGACACTTCAGTTAGAATCGCTGGAACAAGGAAAGCCAGAACCCCAACAGCATATACGATCGCCCTTCACCGTATTTGCCCAGTATCCTCGAGAGGAGCGTAGAGGCCGTTTAATCGCTGAATCTCACTAGAACGATGTCAAGGCTGGCGAACGTAACGACAAGCAGGCAGGGATGTGCTTTCAGCATTGGGGAAACGTGCACTACCGGTGGATCTAGATCCAGGACCTGTAGGCATGGCTTCGAAAAGAGGGAGAGTTGAAAATAAAGAGCTCTGAATTACGAAAGGGTTTGGGTCGAGGATACCTGTCCCTGTGTTATTTTAACAAGATAAGTGCCATGGCCATGGCTCTCTCGCAGCTTAAAGCCAGCTCCAGGCACACAAGTGGCTTGCGAATTACTTAAGGATATGATTGTGGGTTACATCCAATTTCCTCTACTTTGCTGCTTCGTGGTTGCTGAGTTATCTGAATACAGTTCATGTGAGAACCGCTGTTCCGCCGAATCAGGGCCCGTACGCGAAATCGTAACACGGACTTTTGCTTGGACCTCCTAAGAAGATTAACAAGATCTAATTATTGCACATTATCGAGAACAGCGTCGACACAATTTTTACGGATGCTTGGCGAACACAGTGCCGGCGCATAGCCGAGCACTTGCTTTCATTTGCTGTGGCCGATGTGAACGAGGTGAAGCACATCCGGTACTCATACTTGATTTCTGCTACGCCGGAAACATCGAGGAATATACGCCGCTTGCACACGCTTGTGCGGCGCAGGATTGGGATTTTTCGAGTGGCTTTTGAACGGGGGGCGGATCCTGATGCACTGGGTGGGGAGGGCCTTCGAGGTGCAGTGGTGGATGAGGCCGTATTCAGGCCGAACGACCCTGGGATGGTGGAAGTATTGGTGGAAAAGACGAGGAGTAGACGACCAGTTGATCGAGCCGAGCCAGGAGGTGGTGGCCGAGCCAGGAGGTGGTGAGAAGTTGCGCAGGACTGTTTGTGGTTGAACTTCTACAGGGTCCACGTAGTTGATTAATAACATCGAAATATGCTCCGAACCAGCCTTGGAGACGGGAAAATCTTTGAAAATGGCAATTGATCGCGACAAGCCGCTAATGCTGGTCGACTCAAGCTTGCCACGTTGCTCAAGCGGAGCTACTGTCGTGTATCGGCTACGGCCCCTTGCTGGGACACTGGTCACCCAGCTCTTCTTGTCCTTCTTAGACTCGTTTTCGTCTTGTTCCCTCGGGATCGAAATAGAGGGTCATGATGATGACCTGCAAATCGCCAGAAGCTGTATTAGTTATGATGGTAATGATGATGACGGCACTAACGCCCAGGAGTCGGTATCTACGGCAGCTGGCCTGAGCGCTGCGCCCAGCACACATCCGGTGTGCTCGGGGCACGCAATAAAAGGTTATCAGTGCAAAGCTTGGTGGAGACAAGTGTGGAAAGACGTTTGTTTCCCTTCATATTTGAGATTCTCGTCGATAGGAGAGTCAATTGTAACTACATTAACCACGCCTCTATTGCTACAGTGAAATATCATACCTTCTTCCTACCAATACTACATCGTGCAGCATACACAGACTCCCGTATCTCAAAGGAACACTCGTTTCAACTCCGCAATGCATAGCAACGTTGACTTGTAACTGTTAATTGGACCGGACAATTTTGTCTCCAACGTCACTAAAACCGGGCTGCGCAAATGCAACACAGGAGAGTTACGGTAGCATTTTCCACGCCATATTCCGACGTTGGTATTAGATGGGGCTGTGGGGCTAAGGGGCAGAGGGACGAAGGCATTTCCTACGTAATCGCGAGAGGAATTGGATGGTGGTGTCTCGACGTGGGCTTGTGTGGGGATGGCTGATGAAGGGCAGCCGACCCAACAGATCAAATAGGACTAACGGCAACCTGTTCTGATCTTATTGTAGTTTGACAGGACATGTAATGCTTACTAGCTAACAGTGAACCCCACTTCAGTATTCGATCGAGTCAGACCACACGTTACCCAACTTAACTGGGCGGTGAAGTTCCGCGGTTCAATGTACGTTACTTGGGATTCAATGGCGGAAAAACGTCTATGAAGAATGAGAGCTAAATAGTGCCGATCGTCTGGAAATTACAGTGAAGGAGGTGCCAGTATGACGAGTCATTGATCATCTCCAAGCTGATAAGCTTGTTTGGAAGTTGTCTGGCAGCTGTCTCTATCAAGTCCATATTTGGCACATGTCTGCCCACTGCGGTTTTTCACCCCTGGCTAGATCGTACTAGAACCCACCTTTTCTCCCCTATACTTAGTCGTATCCTTGACACTCCACGAGAGACCCTTGACTGGAAGGACTTCATACCCGATGGGGTGGTTCGCGAACCATGAACTTGGACCACATAGGTTTTGAATGACCATGGCCTTTCCCCCGGACTTGCGCAGAACATTTGAACATGTTCTATCGTTCTGCGCAACTGCATTGGACGCCATCACGACCGAGCGCAATCCTTGACGGCGGTTTCGATACAGCTAACCGCTCTTGCACATGGCGCTATAACTTCTATGTAACGCTCCATTTTCGTATGTGCAGCATACGAGGGGCTCTGCAAGATTGACGATAAACTGGGTCGGTTGGTTGGAAAACGGCGGTTGAAGTGGAAAACGAACGACAACAACTGGTGACTGAACAGACAACAAGATGGCAGGGTCAACGGTTTCGTTGGAGGACATTGGCTCGATATCACCTCTGCCGGCCGAATACCGCCGAGGCCAAACGGCCATGGCGGTTATAGGCCTTCTATCTCTCGTCACGACATCGGCCCTGTGGTTTCACATCACATGTCGTCTCTGCAGATGGAAGATGAAGGACACGAAACTGACCCACAGTGCAGCTCAAGCCAGAGACAATCCGACCGGAGTCGACCTGTCCCTCGGACTAGCCGAGAACCACTACCGCCAGGCCAAAGGATCACACCCCCTGAGCCCAGAAGCCGCAGAGGCATCAGCAGCAGAGGCGAGTCGAGATCAAAACGAATGCGCAACTTTAAGGCCCAGACCAAAGGGGGCAAACCCTCTACTCATCCTCATATACAATCTCATATTCGCCGACATTACGCTCGCAGCAGCGTACACGGCCAATGTAGTGTGGCTTCGGGGGGACGCGCTCGTCGTGGGGTCACCGACGTGCAAGGCGCAGGGGTGGATGGTGGGCTTTGGTTGTCTCACGACGAGCGGGTTCCTGGCTACCATTGCCATGTACACGTACTTGGCCATCGTCCGAGGATACCAGCCGTCATCGCGAATCATTATCGGGAATATCGTACTGCTTTGGATATTTGCCATCATCGTTGCTTCTCTTGGACCCCTAATCACCCAGAGCGAGGACTATTTTGCTCGGCAGACACTTTGGGTAAGTAAACTGCCTCCCATCTGCAGAATCTTTCCCCGTATCTACATATGTGCAAGTGACTCGAGCTGAATCCATCAACAGTGCTGGATCAGCGACACCCACGCCCCCTGGCGCCTCTCCATCTACAGCTGGAGCTTTTTCGCCATGGCCGGCACGTGCGTCCTCTACTTCCTCGTCTTCCGGGCCCTGTACCGGGAAAAGCGGTCCTCACGCTTCATGCCGCACAGCGACTCCATGTCCATAGTACAATCCCAAGGCGACGATGTCGAGCCCGCCAGTCCGAACTCTAACTTCCATAACTCAACGCCCAAAATAAGTACCACGGCCCTGCGTCCCTCCGGTCATCATCCAGCTTTCCTTGTTTATCCGTTCGTCTACCTGGCCTCCGCTATGCCTCTGACCGTCGGCAGTATCACCCCGCTAGGCAGGTCAGTTGGCTTCATGGCCTTCACGGGCTCCATGCTAGCGTTGAGCGGGTTCCTAGACGCTGTGCTGTGGTCCTCCATTATCGCCTTCAGCTCGTCCGATGATATCGTCAACACGGGACTTGATCAGTTCGCCTTTATGCGGACACCGGAGGGGCGAAGTTTCGGGAATATGGTCTGGGTCCAGGGCGGGGCGTACACTGAGAAGCAACCAAAAGGCCGGGGATGGTGGAAGTTGGGAGGACTGGGAGTGGATCGGAGTAGTAGTCAGTTATCGTTGAGGTATGATGAGATTTGTGCGGCCGAGAGTGGGATTCAAATGAATGTTGTTACTACGGTGGTTGTGGAAGATGACGGGCGGGCTCAGGCGAGTAGTAGGGCTGGACATAAAATCCAGAGTTTGGATTTATAGTGTTGTAGTAGCTTCTCATTGCTGACAATGGTTACCTAAAGACTATGTGTTTTGTTCGTCACTGTGCTGCCCTGATTTACATTCACAATTGCACCATTTATTATCAGTGGAAACGTCAAGCTCACTTGATAACCTCGGTATCCTCAAATCTCAACTACATTTTATTCACATACCTTAGTTCATTCGAATGGACAACAATCCTAAGGATAGTCCTTGTTTTATCATCTTCCTATACACGATGCCGCCTGTCGACGATCCGCACTTTCCTATGCCTCCAGAAGGCGGGAATTACGTCAAAGATAAAGATAGCAATTCGAAGCAAACTTTGCCGGTAGCATCTATAAATGACCTTGTCGAGTATCTTAACAACTAGGGCCTCAATTAGACTATATTCTCCCTAAGCGCAACAGTCGAAGATAGGTCACATCCAAGGACAAACTAGTAGTTGATAGCTTCACGAAGTAATACAGTTTTCCGTGTTGGCATACCTTGTTTGTAGCGATAAAGAAAGGGATAACTTTGACGGTAGACATAATATATCCGCGGTGATACCTACAACAGCCTCTGGACGCATCTGACCCTCTTCTACACCTTCAAGAGCCTATTGTGACGGAAAGCCAAAAGAAATTCAGAAACGAAAAAAAAGGCCGTGACGCGGCAGATAGAGGCGGCCTTCCTGACGTGCTACGTGCGGGCAGAATCACCACAACGCAGCATAATTATAAAGCTCTAAAGGTTATAACCTTACTTATGATGACAGTCACGGATATAGATAAATGTCGAGGGCTAATTGGACCCAGCCGGCGGCAGCGGTAGCTTCAATAGCCCCGTTGTCATCGCGTAACGGATGCTATAAAACCAAGCCGTCCATAACCTTATGATACGTATTCGGGATACAAACAGGATTCCAACTCGTCTCGCAGGTTTATATAGCAGTACGATTTAGCTACTTCCCCTTCCTTCCCCCCACCCCCCCCCCAAAAAAAAAAAAAAAAAAAAAAAAAAACTGACACCAACACTTTTCGTTGTGCGCAGAACCCTCAAGCTCCTAAAGACACGCCCCTGGCAGTACCAGATATCCTTACCAGACCCAAGTTTCACCGAAAGGTGTACACAAAGCTAAAAATCCCCTACAACGTCATTAGGATGTTCTTCCGGAGATCTGTCGAGAAGGCCTTCAAGCTCGATAAGACGCCAGCGGATTGTCATTAAGCATGAACAAACCCATTGACAGCGTCTCACCGTACACCATCTTTGCCGTTGACGATGCCATTTACATTATCAACGCGAGAAACGCGTGTGGAGCTACGTGGTGCGCAATATGACCTACGGCGCCATTCGGATGGAGCGCGACCTTGGCGGCATCATGTGGGTGGTGACGCGCGTCAACTACGCCTCCCGCGAGATGTTTGCCATGACGATGCAGATCCTCATGGTGGCGAATACGGACGGCATAATCTGGGTGCTTAGTGAGGAGGACAAGAGGAAGGCAAAAGGAATCTGGTTAGGCACTGTAAAGGGTGTCTTTTTCAGATTTACCAGGTCTGCATGCCGTTTTTTTGAGGGAGGAGGGGGGGAGTATGATGTTGAGCTTGACCATCCAGGCGCTTGTGCCGTATCAACTGCCCATCCGTTTAGGGGTTCCACATGCAAGCGACACCATAGTCCTCGCTGTTGTAAGCTCTAGCCAAGAACAACGGCCAGTTGAGAGTCATTGCAGCGACTCAATTGAGCTAACTAGTCTAGCTAATTACGCTATATTGCAACACGTAATGGGTTTAGTGTCAAAAAAGCTCCAACAGCATAAGACGGTTTACAGGGAAAAGTTCTTCTCTAGTTCACGGCCTGGCATTAGAGACTGGTGGTGTAATATATAAACTGGTTCACGAAAATTAGTGTCTATGAAATCAGATGTCCTGCAGGGTATAGCGGGGCAGAGTGTGACGCAGGGTGCTCTGGGGTTACAAGGATACAGCGGGTTGCACTAGTCAGACGGGGGCACACTTGTAGGGGTAGTGAAGGTATAGCATGAAAGCTCTTGGCTACTTGTAAGCTACCTTCTTATAGCCGAGGTTCGGCACCTGGGTGTTGTGCTGAGCTCAGCCCCTGACTGCGCTGAATGTGGTTATTTACCCGTCGGATTCGTGCTAACTCTCCTTGTAGTGCCAAGTAGCCTCGGCCTGCTAGCCTTATCGTCCACCATGCCAGAGGGAGTGACGGGACGTAAGATGAGGTTGAGACCAGGCTGCAGGAGATTTATTGCGAAATGTCTTAAATAGTAGGTTGCGGGAGGAAAGGTAGGCTACAAGAAACAGGTGCTGTGAGGTGGGGCACTGCAGTGCAAGACCCACTTACAACCTCTTTATCTAATCTATGCTTACGGCCAGGGCGGTAATACTGTACTGTACATATATCCTACTGTATCTTACCTTTTTAGCCGAGCTTTTCTAATACGTTTGGCGTCCAAGAGATTGTTACACGCAAAGGTGGTCAAAGATTTGTGAGGTTGTAAAAGCATGACATTCTATCTAGTCCTATGGAGCACCGAGGTTGGACTTAGTCCGAAAGGGCTAAGTCACGTGGTAACCTTGGTGGTCTTAGCAAAGCCCACCAAGGTTGCCTAACAGAGATGTTCGCGTCTTCATAGACCGAACGGAACGAAACGTGGAAAGTATCAAGGCCGTTTCTAATAAGATTCTCCTCGATAGTCTCTAACCGCGATACTCGTGCCAGGAAAGTAAAAGGAACCGAACGAAGTTGTGTTTCGTGGTATTTTAATGTGTACTGGTTGCGCCTAGCTATTAAGACAAAGCGGCATTTCTAGGAGTATTCAGCTAAAAGCGGATCTATGTATGGAAAATCATAACTCCGCTAAGCTAATTAACGCTAACGGTCTACATACTAACCTGCCGAATCCTTTATAAGCTACAAGAGAGAACGTAAAGTAATGAAGATCCAACATTAGCGAGGGACCCCTTACGTGAAAGTTGAACTACATTCAATGTTCTACACTAGTTACGTATAAGAAGGGAGTGTGCCGGTCATGGCCAGCCTAATCCCCTATTAGCCTAGGGCCATGCTCCACACAGAGAGCTCCCTGGCCAGGGACATAGCTCCTACATCCTTGCTCCTTCATCTTCTTTATTTTCGTTTGTCGGCTGGTGTAGTTGGTCACTTCGCTGGTAGATAAGTCCCGATTTGAGCCTCGCCCACTTGGGTCGGTGACGAGTCGCGGGTTCGAATCCCGCAGCTGACACACAAGGGGGTTTAGTCAACCCTTACGGCGCGCTGCCCACCTTGTTGACTTCGCCTACCTAGCGATAATAGGGAGATTGGTGCAGTTTAGGATTACGAGCATCCTAGCCAGTCGACCGTCAAGCACTACGTCGGCGGAATATAACTCGACAGCCGGTCCAGAATTCGAATCGTTAATCCGACCCCTTATCGGACCTCGCCTTTCCGATAACGCTCGTCGGCGAACCCGTCCCCTCACGATAGAAGGCGCGCAGCACGCCCTCTCGCCGCGATTCTTGCGAGCGTCTGACCACGTTACGGTCTATCCACTTGAGCGTATGGTTGAGATGTATACGCTCGACGAGAACCCCAATTAGCAGATACTACGACTTGTCGCGACAAAAAAATAGTCGAGCATCTTCTGCACATCAGCAGCATCCCACCCCTGAGGACGAATTTAAGTGCCACATTACCACACTTATCGGTAGTTCAGGCAGGGGTTGTAGCACAGACTTAGGGAGGGACAGGAGGTTTAGTAGTCGTTTGGCTACAAGTTTACCTGTATAACCGCCCGACGCGGCTTAAGGGCCCGCTATATCATCTATAGCCCCTTAAGGGAGTACTTGTAGAGGTACCGAGGGTTAACACCTACGGCGTATTTAATATTATTTTTATTTTCGTTAATAGAAGTCCCTACCCTGCTGTCTGCTTGTCTCAGCCGTGGCGATGCTCGCCATGCCAGGGAGAGCAAGCCGTACAGTTAAAATAAAGAAGGAGAAAAGCAGGGACTAAGGCAGGAGATTGGAAAATTCAAGAAAGACATACTGATACGTGACCGTAAGGAGGGTCACCCTGTAGCTATAGATAAGATAAGACAGGGAGCTCAAGACGGCGTTTGGCGTGGTGAATGGCAGGTTTAGCTGGGTGGCCCAGAAAAGAGACCCCGGGGCTGAGCAGCAGCAGCTCAGGACCACGTCCAGCAACGGAAATCGAGGCCGTCTAGATTCGACTCAGAAAATGGGCTGTTATGTGTAAGGTCCGACAATAAGATGCAATAGTTGCATCAGTGGAATAACCATCTATTGAGGGTGTGATATGCATGCTACTTTAGTCCATCGGCATGGTGTTATTTCTATGATGACGCATGCCTGATGAATCCTGATGAATTGATCTGTGATTCTGCGTGGTCTAGACTTTACTGTAGCAGCCGATCCTTTACCCAAAGGGAATAAGTGGTAGTGGGACTGCAGACACTGTGACATTTGGTTGTTTTCTATTCGGCAAGTGAATGGACACGAGTAATTTTTGAGCGCTCCTAGCAGCTAGGAATAAGCAAGTGGTGCTTAAGCGGAAAGGCCGGGTTTCCGATATCTACATATTTAACCAGCCATGTAGATAAACAGGATGGTGCAGCAGATTAGGTCATTTTCTGGGGTCAAGTTGTCGCGTGAGCTTCGTCTAGGTTGCCCCTAGCGTTGGCAACTCCACAAGCTCGTCGCAGCTTCTCCAGGAGCCAGCAACGACTCCCACCTGACTCGAGGGTCGTCTCGAGCCAGACAGCTCCGTGAAAACTCCAACTTATCTGTGCTGCATGAACACAAGGTAAAGCAAGATGGTAAGTGTTTTTTCTTTGGTCAGCGCCATCGCTGTGTGAAGATGTCCTGTAGCGAGGGCATATGTATTCATCACTGAAGCTGGTGCATCATGGTCTCAAACTTTGGGATGGCAGCATGTACGGTGCAAGGCTAACGTTGGGAAACTGTAGCCTCGACGAGCTTCTGCAACGACTCCTCTTTTGGCGGACGACCGCCACGACAGCGCAAGCGAATCCGAAGACGATGCACTCCGCGGCAGCTCGGCCTCGGCCCATACGGGGCGCTCTCTATACATGCGACTCCGCGAAGTCTTCCTCTTCGGCTGGGCCCTGCTAGCTACTGCGGGCATCCTGATCATGGCCGTTTGGGTTTCCCACAACAGCCAAACTCACTTCTCGAAGCCGGCGGGCAAGCGCAACCTTATCTTTATGGTATCGGACGGAATGGGCCCGGCCTCTCTTTCGCTCACGAGATCGTTCCGGCAATACACTGAGGGACTTGAATATGGCGATACTTTGACATTGGATAAACACTTTTGGGGTAGCAGCCGGACGCGCAGCTCGAGCTCCCTGGTCACCGATAGTGCAGCTGGGGCGACAGCCTTCAGCTGTGGCAAGAAGAGCTACAATGGGGCTATCTCTATACTGCCAGACAAGACTCCGTGTGGTACCGTGCTCGAGGCTGCGAAGCGAGCTGGCTTTGTGACTGGCCTGGTTGTGACGACCGATATAACGGATGCGACGCCTGCGTGCTTCGCCAGCCATGTCGACCTTCGCGAGCAAGAAGACGAAATAGCCATGCAGGAAGTCGGCGAAGGGCCCCTGGGACGGGTCGTTGATCTGATGTTTGGTGGGGGAAGGTGCCATTTCCTACCCAATGGGACGGAGGGCAGCTGCAGAGCAGATGACGTTGATGTTGTGGACATCGCCAAAAGCCAACATGGCTGGAATTATATCGATAGTCGCGCTGGATTTGACGCCTTGTGGGAGGGAAAAGTGGATATTCCTCTCCCAATGCTAGGACTGTTTGCAGACACCGATTTCCCCTTTGAACTGGACCGTCGGAACATGAATGAGGTGTACCCGAGCTTGAGCGAGATGGCCAAGACAGCAATTCGAGCGTTGGAGAAGGCGACGGTCAACAGCGACAAGGGCTTCTTCCTCATGATTGAAGGAAGCAGAATCGACCATGCCGGGCATGGAAATGATCCTGCCGCCCAGGTACGGGAGGTTTTGGAATACGACAAGGCTTTCAAGTTCGTTATCGACTTCCTGAAAGAAAGCAAGACGGAGGGTGTGCTGGTAGCGACGAGCGACCACGAGACTGGCGGTCTGTCAATCGCGAGACGTAGGCTCTACTTGGAATGACTTCATTCGACGCGGGTGCTAACACTGTCACAGAGAACACCCCTGGTTACCCGGAGTACCTCTGGTACCCTGCAGTCTTGGCAAATGCCTCCTCGTCTTCTGAATATCTGGCCAAGAAGCTGCATCGACACATCGCCTCGCTCGAAGACCCTTCAATGCTATCAGTGGAAGAGCTCACGACATACATCAATGATGAGCTTGTCGTTCCGGGGCTCGGTATCTCAGACGCATCTGATTCCGAATTGGCCGAAATCGTGAAGTCCACCGAGTCGGCACAACCACTACTCGCTAAGATGGTCAGTGTCCGAGCACAGATTGGCTGGAGCACTCATGGCCACTCGGCCGTGGATGTGAATGTCTACAGCTCTGGTGGACCCGGGACTGAGGAAATTCGAGGCAACAGAGAGAACAGTGAGATTGGTCAGTTCTTAAGGAATTACATTGATGTGGACGTCGAAGCAATTACGAAGGAACTTGTGGAAAAAATGGACCGGAAGCCGTCTTTCCAGTCGGTTGAAGCAACGACGGCCAAGGAGGGTGACCACTGGGCTGCCCATGAAGACTTTGAGATGAGGCGGCTGACGAATGACATTGAGTCATCTTAGAAGTTTCCTACTGTCACTACTAATGTTGCATACATAAATTCAGGTAGTGAGGGTACTTGTCAATGAGGTGATTGGGTGTTTAGCATGTTTTCTTACCAGCTTCGGCGTAGCAATAATGATACCCGCATCAACTTTCTCTCCAGTCTGACTCTTTTGAGAGAGATGAGACAGTAAGCCGCTGCGGATCCGGCCCTGCAAGCTGCAGAAGTTTGAATGTTCTAGAAACACAATCTTCATCAAGCGAGACCATTCGGCAGTTTCACCGACCCGTGACACGGCTGCAGGTGTAGGCCGCTGGGGGGGCCAAGCTTCTCTGTGTCACCACGGCTAGGCTCCACCTTGCCGTATTGGGGTTGCTTAGCTGTTGCTTGCTGTACATAGTGTCAGTTTCCTCCCATGACCTGCAGGGCCTTCAACATGAGAGCTGAGGATGGCTTGAAACTGCTAGGCAAGCATTTTTTGTTTGTGAAACGACTGGTGGTGTCTTTTGCGTGTTAAATATACAAATTATTTTTAATTACATGAATGGTTCTGGGAAAGTCCATGTTCGTTGTTTGAAACCCAGTTAGCAGTGCTGCTTATACGTAGTAACCTTCCACCATGCTTCAGACAGCAAACCCTGGATTCAGCATATTGATCTGAAGAGATCCAATGAATCCGTAGATTGACAGTAATGAGAAACCAAATCTAGGTAGTCAACCGTTTGCTATGACCTTGGACGAGGACAATCTACAGCTCAAGTTTGCTGTTAGACTTGAGGTTAGGAAAGAGAGCATCGTCAAAGCTGAGTCAACACTCGTAGCGAAAAGCGAGATCAGTTTAAATCTGGTCTTACGTTGCTTGCTGTCGGGATCGGAACGGGTATAGAAATATTCTGGAAACCCTGTGTCGAAGACGTGTAAGTGATAGTAATACCATAGAGGAGTGGGTTCACACTCTGCTTTCCTTGTACACACCCGTCCTGCTTTCTTCACCGTCGACTGGTGTTTCCATGCTTGGGTAATTCTTGTGCTAGATGGGCAGAGTTCTTGGATGTGAATACGTTCCCTGGTTCACCTTTGCCAGCACAAAGGTCACTACACCAGAGCCTTCTCTTGTGCTTCAGGTCCAGAACTGGCCAAATTGCCGGCAAAAATTCATTACAACCACGTCCCTGAACGAACGAAGACAATCACTGGGCAATAGTCATTATCAACCATTTCTATCATCCAGTCATTCCACTCCCGGGACAAAACGGTTGTGAATTGTTTCCGAACTCAACCAATACGTTAACATCATCGCCCACACCGCCATCGCCACTCACTAGACTTGGCTCGTCATGTGCTTCTACTTCCTCGTCCACTACATCTGCGGTCATAGCCCCTCTTCCCTGTTAAGCGGCCACTCCTGTGTGAACTTCCGAGCCCAACTCGACCGCATCCACTCCCCTGAGGCTTGGAGGACACCAACGAAATGCAACCAGATTCCCTTTGACTGGCCTAGCGCCTGTGAGCCTAATCCACTCAACACCAGAATCGTCTGGCACTGGTGTGGCTGGGAGTGTCGGAATACTTATGACCCCATGGTAAGTTAGAGCCCTTACGTATCTTTGTCTCAATATGTGTGACGTTCAAGTTTGAGGTATATATCTATGTGTGTTTCCCTTACCCACCTAGTTACTTTCAATTTTCGGAAACACCTAGAGTATGATGCGAGCTACGAACTGCTCAGGACTGACTATGATTTTCAGGGCACAGCTGAGTGGCTTAGTGGCTACAATGCTACCGGTGGAATGCAGGGTATGATGCAGACAGGAGGTGTCATCGGCCAAGGACTGGGTGAACCAGGTGCCAACTTCCAGGTTGAGAGGGTGGGCATTGGCTGGAGATCTTGACTGGGCCATGGATGGATATGTGGCGTAATGGACGAGTAGGCGGGCATGAAGCTGCACCGTCACAATGCAGCAAGCGAGAACACCTGCCTTGGGTGTGCTCCAGATGTTGACTGCGGTTAAAGTACCTGATATGGGCAATGTTAAACGAGATTTAGACATTAATTAGAAGCCAGAAAATCATTCTCACCTATTCCATATCTGCGTTGCCTTGTCAGATAAAGCCTTGCTAATAGACCTTACTGGCTATCATACTGGCTATCTCACGGTATACGAAGTCGCGCTCCTAGTGACAACCTCAATTGTGGGCGTGGTAGGACAAGTCGCAAGTAGGATAAGTCGCGTCAAGGCCATGGCTTCCGGTCTGAATAGTGCATTGTGGATGAAGCAACTTGAGCAAGCTATCTACAGTATCTCGTATGTAATAAACTATGTGTGTCCCTTTGGTTCTACTCCGATCCATGGAATGATCGAATAATACAGGTTGGCCATCCCCGTTTCCCCAGTCATTTCGAAGTGATCCGGAAAGAGGGCAGTCATCTCAATAGTTTACCGCGGTGCATGTCGTTGATCGACCGGAAGGAACCGGGGGGAAGGTTGTTTCAATGTGGGCGGGAAGAAGTCAGAGCAGGCGGAATAATTTAACAAAGCCCTGATCCCATGAAGAACATGGAAAAACCAGCGTATACCATGCAGTACAGAAGCTCCAATGGATCAGTATCCAGCCGCTGCAACAGAGCCATGTCTAACGCCGCCGGGCGTTGTGTTGAAACTGCAAGAATTCCATCTGCCGCCAAAGTAGGTATCGTAACATCTGCATCACCACTATTTTTGCATTGATGATATTGACTAACTCAAGACGTTTTTGGACATCCTTCAACCCATTGCTGTCCGCCGCGTCAGCGTCAACATCCGGCAAGCTCTGTTGATCCAGTTTATTAAGTATTCCCTCGTAGTAGGAGTGACCAGACCTCAGATACCGATCGTGCGACTCCTAATCGGACGCGGATGAGGTGTCCGAATCATGTTCGCCAGGGTCGTAGTAGTACTCGATCTCGATACTTCCTTTCAACGTGTCGGCAAAATAATTTGATAAGAAGGTCGTTTCGCCTATGCCGAACTTGTAAGCGCCGAGCTGGTTGTTAATGTCGATGACGATGCCTTGCTGATGCACGGGATCAAGCTTCATCGCGAATTCTCGCAAAGCTTCCCAGGTGAAAATCGAGATAGAGTTCACGGACAGCTGATTCAAGTATCGAAGGCTCCCCAAAGACTCGAGAACATCATCGTCCATCCACTCCCCTCCGAACCGTAGCTCCGTCAAATTTGGCAGAGCACCAACGAATTGCTTCAAGTCGGCCATTCGCACATACGCCTGATTCAGGTTCAGACACTTCAGGTTGTGAAGTCGACAGATGGATTCAGCCAGGGGTGGGTTTTCGTGAATAACCAGGCCGTCAGGGGTACGATCTTGACCACCCAGGGTGAGATCTTCAAGATTCTCCTGAACTCCAAGAGCGGCCCACGCAGAAGACGTGTCTTGTTGATCTTGCGAGCCGAAACCTTCAAGTGATAGAATGCTAAGTTTTAGAGTTGGTGCGTTGAGGGCTTCCTTGATAATCAAAAGCGCGTCCTGCACTTGGGAGAACCTCAATCCACGTAGATTCTGGCAGCTCTGAACCCAGGCGCTCACCTCCTTCAGATAACCGGCACTATATGTCTTCAAGTCGACTCGCTCATGTAGGGCATTTTCAATCTCAAGAAACTCCAGTGCAGTGCAATCGGAAAGCACGTTAAGGGACTTCATGGCCTGAGCAGACAAGCTGCCAAGCGAGAGGAATCGTAGGGACTCAGCATGGCCATTTAGTGCCGTCAGAGTACGCTCGCCGATGTCGTTTAAGCTTATGAGCTCAAATCGCTGGAGTGTGTTCTGGCGAAGGTTCTGAAGAAACGACGCCATGTCGTCATCAGCGCTGCTACTTCGGTAGTAATGTACTGTCAACTCGGAAAATCTTGGGCAGGATTCGAATATCGCCCTTCCCGCCTCGGCTGTGAGGACGGACCCATCTCTTAGTCTCAGCGATGTCAAGGCCGGCAGGCGAGAGATCCAGTTTGGCAAGACATCTACAGGAATGTGATTTCCTTCGAGATGGGCAAGGGCGACAGCCGTCTCGGTTTGGTCAGCGACTTCTCGGATCCTCTTTGTCACGAAATCGCCGCACTTCACTGTGAAGGCCTGAAAATCGATGCCCGCCAACTGTGTTGATTGTTTTCGGGTCGGACGCTTCAGTTGGCCCTCGCGGGCGACAAAAAACTGCTCGGTATCATCGTTGGCGTTGATCAGGAAAGAGCGAAGGTGTTCGTTTTCTGGCTTGGTCCATAGAGCGTCGAGAAGTTCTTCGAAGTGGCCGCAGTACAAAGCTCGAACATAGGTGCAGTAAGGGTACGCTGTCTTTCCAATGCTTGATCGAATGATGCTCTTCCACAGACGTGCCCAAGCTTGGGTATTGACGGTCTCGCCGGCACTAATAGAAGACAATTCCTGGGTGCTGTTGCACGCAACCCCGTTAGCTACCGTTTTGTAGAACGATTGCCTCACATCAAGATACATACCTGTAGAGCTGCTCCAGAGCGATGCTTGCGACCCGTCTACTCACGAGGGAGCATCGGAACAGGGTGGAAAAGTCGTTTTGCACAGCGAGTGCCTGGCATACCAGGAGAACGATTTCCTGGGGAAGCGCACTTGAAGGCATCATTAGATGCTTGGAGTGCCTTCCTCAGGTTGAATATGGGATTGGTGGATGGACAAGGTCAACGACAAGTAATGGGAAGGGAAGAGTAGAACGTTATGCTGCTCTGTCCCCTGAAGGAATCTTGGAATGGCAAGTGTGGCCCGCTGTTGCAGATTTGGGCAATTCGTCGGGCAGAGGCTATGTATGGTTGGTCACCTTGTGTCAATTTGTACACCTCAAGTTTAGGTAAGGAGTAGGCCTATACAGATACGAAGTTTATGGTGTGCTGTTGTGGTTATGTCCAAGGTAAGAAGTTGGTCGCAACAGGCTACTTGCTCGGGTTTGAAGTGCAAGTGCTTGATGTCATGAAGCTCTTATGCCGCACTAGTGTTCGCGCGTTGAAGTTCCGCTTGATCCGCTTGGCGACGCACTATGTGAACGCTCGAATACACGATTGATTGCGGAGAAGATGTACGGTGTAAGTACTGTACGTGTTCTGAATCAACTAACTACCCCGCGACGCGCCTTCCGTCGCGACTTCAGCTTTTGTGGAACTGCGCTTGGGCAGAGGCTATTTCTAAAGTTGAGCCCTTGGACTTTCGAATCCCTGCCACTAATTTGTGGAAGATCTTATCCGTGGTGGCTTTACTTGTCGGACTTCGTTGTACGACGAACCGGACCGAATGACATGCATCTCAAGCGGTAAGAGTGAGTGCGCAATCTCGCCGACGTGGACAGTCATGCATTGAGTGCAGCAGAAAGGAATCCCAGTCTTGAAGATGACTCTGCTCCGGTTCACGCTGAGCGAGGAAGGTGTCGGTGCATTTCGAGATGCTCTGGCTTGTCTGAACAAGTTCAGCGACGAAGTGTCTCTTGAGGCCAAGCGGGATAAAGTATGTTTGCCGTTGCTTATTTGATTTTGGCTTGAGGGTGCTACTAATCTGACACTTTCCAGTTGGTGTTCACAGCTCTGAACTCATCCAAGTCTGCATATGCCTGTTTCTCGTTCGCAACTAACCGTTTCTTTTCACGGTACCACTATGAAGGCGCAGCCCACAATCGAGACAAGTTCTTCTGCAAGCTTTACAATAGGGTGAGGTGTCACCATGCGCGCAGCATGCCTTTTCTGACCAAGTCCTAGGCCCTCCTATCCCTATTCCGGGCTCGCAGTGGAGATCCCCTGCATATGAACGAGAAGGATACCACCATTGAGCGATGCGATGTTGCCATTGAGGATGAGGCTGGGAAGAAGAGCAGGTTCATCGTCAAGATCACCTGTAGAAATGGTAGGTCGTCCGTTTTGGGCAGGTCTTGCCAGCTGACATGATGAAGGCATGACCACGAAATATCAACTACCTTTCGAGGTCAGTCCGCCCGTGCACGCCAAATTTGACAATGAAGAGGCGACCAATCATTGGTCCATGTCTTCTCGAACACTACGCCAACTCATGGACCACTTTGGACCTGGTATTGAGTTTCTCGATATTCATTCCGAGGATGACCAAGTTGTCAACTTCACTTGTTTTACTGAAAAGGTTGCAAATGGCGATGGTAAGTGTATAGTCCATTCTTGTGCCTAGGCATATTATTACTAACTTATTCCCAAGAGGTCTTGAAGAAGCCACTGCACACGTCCATTGCTGTTGAACGGGACGAATTTGAAGATTTCGAAGTTGCGGAGGACAAACTGCACATCGTCATCAGCGTCAAAGACTTTCGAGCCATTATCCAGCATGCTGCATTTCTGGGCAATGAGATAACGGCATATTACTCTATGCCTTCCCGTCCGATGCAGCTAAGATACGATGGCGACGGGGTCCAATGCGACTTTCTCCTAATGACGGTCGGTGAACGAGGGGCGCCAGGTCAGCAGCGAACCAAGAGGTCGAAGGCCAATGCAAAGGTATCGAGACAGCAGCAGCTAGAGTCTGCCACTAGTAGGGCAACCTCGCATGCACCGACTCCGGCGCCGCAACCAATACCAGCACCGCGCCAGGTTCCGATGCCTTCTCTGCGACCAAGCATGCAATTCCCATCGCAACGGCCTCCGCCGCCGGCTTTTGATGATGATGATTCACTTTTCGTACCCCAAGATAATGACAACCAATGGGATCCTGTCAATGTCAACGAGGAGGACGATGAAGAGGAGAATGCCAGATTGGAATGGGGTGCTAGTGCCCAGCCAGTAAGATCGCCCCTTCGTCCACAATCCGCTTTGCCCTGATTTTGTTTTCCAGAACCCATCTGCCATGAACATGAGATCTGTAATGGCCCAGAGAAATGCCGGTGACAGTGCTATGGGAGATGCCTCTACTGATGCACCCGAGAGCCAGATACCATCTCACTTCGAGCCAACACAGCCTCTCTCAGAAGTCCGTAAGTTTGGTCTGTTCGGTGATTAGAGAGGCGCCTGAGAAAATCTCTTACCTATGTCGGATGTGTGTGCGGCCTTGCACGGATCACTTGCTGTAGTTACTTTGTTTGGAGCTCTTCCAAACGTTGATAAGAGTTGCTTAGTGTTTACAGATGTACTCCTTCTGCTGTAATGTAGATCCAGCTTGTCGCACAACCAGCTCCAATAGCTGTAATCCTCGAACCCTCGGGAAGATTCTTCGATGAAGCAATGATATTCCACCGTCCTTTGACGTCCCCGAACTTGCCATCAGCCTGCGGTCCACAATTTCCATGTTCGCCCCATCCCCAGGCAATCACTTCGTCGTCCTCTGTCAGAGCGACAACATGCTCGCTCCCTGTGGCGATGTTTTTGATCTTGGGCACATTTGCTGGTGGTAGCTGACCGTGATCATCCCGACCCCAGGCTACCAACGTCCCGTCTTGCTTTAATGTATATATGCTGCCCCAACTACCACCGACAGTCTTTAGGTTTGGCGATGAAGACAATGCACCAGATTTCATGTTCCACTTATCAGGGCCGAGGAATTGGATTTTGCCTTCACCTGGCTCCCCAAACACACAAGTTGAATACTGACCGCAAACAGCTTTGAAGACTTTGAAGTTCACCCCACTAGGACTTCCAATTTTGCATGGAGCGCAGAGCACAATTGGGACCGGCGGCGATGCGTCGTCCAATGCAACGGACTGGCCCAGCTGGCCTTTCCTACCGTTCCCCCAACCATAAACCTCGCCATTGTCTAGCACGGCCACGACATGAGCCAGTCCGCCGGCTAGCTGCACGATTTCTGTCCCAGGCGGAGGGAAGTCGGGAATCAGCGTCGGCTCCACGATACCTTGCGCCTTGAAACCCAGCTGCCCTTGCTCACCGGTCCCGCAACTGTAGACAAGAGAAGCCCTATCATTTGCATCCTTGACGACAAACGTAGAGGTGTCCCAGGTGCACGCCACATGGGCAATAGGGCCCAGGGTTTCTATGTCTGACAGCACGAGCTCCTCAAATTGTGCGTTGTCGGCTGTTGCGATAGTGGTAATCCCACAAGCGCCCTTAGACGAGTCACCGCTCCAGTAGGCTTTGCCCGACTCTGTGACGACGATGGTGTGGTTGCCTCCTGCGGCTACTTTCACGATGGGGGCCGATGGAGGGGTACAGTGGAATAAGACGGGCTTGGGAACGGAAACATCCTCCTTGTGTCCGATGCCAAGTTGACCAGATCCGTTGGAACCGAGAGCGAAGAGGCCGGCCATGGTGATTTAATTCAGCGATAAATTTCTTCTGTCGAAGTTCGTCTGCAGAAATGTTGGCAGCTTCAAGAACTCATCATGTCAATCTTTGTCACTAGCAGTCCTAGTGGCTCAATTGGTTTCTAGCCTTCAGCCACTCAGATCCACATCCATGAGGGCCATGGCAGTGCCAAGGCTCGGCTCCCGGAATCAAACTTCTGCCGGCGCATGTCCCACTTAAACTGCCAGAAAAACCAAACCTTCAGAAAATTCTGTCCTCGACACTGCTCCTTCTTCCTTGATCCTCCATATCCATATTCCCCTCGCTTCTGATTTATCTTGTACTCCGATCTGGGGCCGCGGATATATAAGAGATGTGACGAGCTTCTGGATTTCTGTTTCTTTTTCTTCTAGACCGAGAAGGAGTGCATTCACCAGACAAGGATCGACGAACTACACCTATTGTTCGCTGATCTATGACCACGCAATGGCGGCCACTACAATCGATATGTCTTTTGCGATGGGCGGCTTTGTGGTCGGTATCATCGGCATGGGTGATATGGGCAAGATGTATGCACGGCGGCTCAGCGACGCGGGTTGGAGGTAAATGCTACCCGTCGACTAACGAGGACACAGCTTTCGAGCTTCCTGTTCCACCTTTTTGGTACGTTCACACACTTCCTTCTTATTTACACCATCACCCCATTGCAAATGATGACTTGAGTGCATTTGGCTCGAGTATCGCTCTCCGCTTGGTGGATCGGCCATTCTGGTCCCCATCTAAGTTGTGAGCTTTCCATGATGTTAACTCTCAGCTACCTTAAATTTTCAGTGTCTGACGCAATTGCTTAATCAACTTTCTCTCTGGACTTGGTCACTTAGACATCGCTAATGATCCATCTCTAGATTTAATTTTGTAACACATGCTACCCGAAGTCGAACTGGAATGCGCACAAGGTCTAACCCGAATTGTTGGCAGTATAATAGCTTGTGATAAGGATGATCAGTACGAGGGTCTCAAGAAAGAGTTCGCAACCCGGGTATAATATGTAGCTATCCACACTCAGAAGCCTATGCTGAGAGTTTATCCAGAGTAATGTGCAAATTCTCCGTAATGGCCACCTTGTATCTCGCGCCGCCGATTACATCATCTATAGTGTCGAGGCTGCTGCCATTGATCGCGTTGTTGCCCAGTATGGCCCTTGTACGTCGATATTTCCCCGTCTCGGCACCTGTCCCACCGCGCTACGCATCCAAAAAGGCCATACGCTGAACTTGATACAGCCACCAAATTAGGTGCCATCGTCGGTGGCCAGACGTCATGCAAGGACCCCGAGATCAAAGCCTTCGAGCATCATCTACCGGCGGATATTGACATTGTCTCTTGTCACTCCCTTCACGGCCCGAAGGTGGATCCTCTGGACCAGCCCCTGGTAATCATCAAGCACCGGGCATCAGCAGAATCACTGTCCAAAGTCGAGACAGTTCTCCGCTGCCTGAAATCCAGACACGTATACCTCACCGCCCGCGAGCATGATCGCATAACTGCCGATACCCAGGCCGTCACACACGTCGCCTTCCTGTCCATGGGTAAAGCCTGGCATGCCATGAAGCAGTTCCCCTGGGAAGGCGCGCGCTATGTCGGCGGCATCGAAAACGTCAAGATCAACCTCATGCTACGTATCTACAGCCAGAAGTGGCACGTCTACGCCGGCCTCGCCATCCTGAACCCAGAAGCACGGAAGCAGATTGCGCAATACGCCAAGAGCTGTACGGAGCTGTATAAGCTCATGCTCGGTGGTCAGGCCTACCAGTTGAGGGAGAGGGTCTACGGCGCCCGGGATCGCGTGTTCGGGCGCGAGGGTAAGGGGGGTGGCGCGCGGTGGGCGGCGGAGCCGCTGCTCCGGGACGAAATTCTTGACCAGTTTAGTTTGGGTAAGAAACCTGAGAGCCTGCTGCCCAACAACCATCTTTCTCTTCTCGCCATGGTGGACTGTTGGTCTCAGCTTGGGGCGGTGCCGTACGATCACATGATCTGCTCGACACCGCTATTCCGTCTCTGGCTCGGTGTCACGGAGAACTTGTTCCGCAGTGAGACGCGCCTGGATGAGTCGTTGCGGATCGCGATTGAAGATAACACGTTTCGCAGTGATGATCTAGAGTTCGTGTTCGCAGCTAGAGGCTGGGCGGAGTGTGTTAGTCTGGGGCACTTTGACACGTGGATGGAGAGATTCATGGACACGCAGAGATTCTTTGAGCCCAGGTTTGCTGGAGCCATTGAGGTTGGCAGTGCGATGGTAACTGCTGTGCTGGAGAGTACGAAGAAATAGGATTTGGTGGGTTCATACAGTCGAAGGCCGGTAAAGCTATGCATTTGCGCCAGTTAGAGATAGAACATTCGTACATTCATTCAGGACGATACATTGTGCAGAAAGTGATTGAGAACTATATCTTGTAATATGAATTCGCAGGGGCAGTCGTGTCCACGTCGTGGTGGTTAGGCACCCCAGCCATCTGCTCGCCCGAACCAGTCAATGTAACCATTCATTACGTCGTAGACGGTGTTCCAGTTGTCTGGCTGCTCGGCGAATATGTCGCGGGACACGACCTAGCCAATGAGGCCTATATGGGGTTAATTGAATGGCTTATATATTGGAACAAGGGAATAAACCAACATACTTGTGGAGCGTCTCTGAACGGGCACATGGAGAAGTGTCTTGTCCGAGTTCCTTCCCGCTCGGAGTGTGACCAGAACGCTCGGTTTATTGGTTACGTACTGGCTTGGGAGCTCGTTGGCAAATTTACCGAAATCCTCGACATTGTCAACCATGACGGCTGTGGTCATGTGTAGGACCGACGCCTTGCGGAGGATAGTACGAGAGATCGTTTTGCCATCCAGCATCATGATGATGATGCCAATGGTGGTGATGTAGATGGCCAAGTCAAAAGTTATATGCTGTTGGTTGTGGGCGTGTGACACACTCAGTGTGGTGCTGTAGATAGGTTACAAGTTGGCGACTGGAATATAGGAGATGTAGAGTAAGGGGGAAACAACTGTCTATCAACTTCTGGATGAGCGGCAGACAATAAATAAGCTTTCCTTGGGTCTGTTTTTGCTCATTTCGATTGCAGCAGTCGCTGATACTGAATTTTCTATATGATTTAAGTCTGAAATCAGAGATTGTGAATACTACAGTCTATGACTTGAGAGTTCACGATGGTGAATTTTGCAGTCTTTAAATTATTGTAGTCTCAGATCAGTAGCCCATAATATTGAATGTTGTAGTTTCTCATAACGTACCCCACGGTCCAATTGAACACTTTCGCGCATTTCCGTACAACCTAGGTTTTATCCCTTATTTTCCACCTTCTACAATGGCACGTAATTGGGAAGAAAGCGATATTCAATTAGCGCTTCAAGCGCTTCAAAATAACCCCAAACTAAGCGTACGATCCGTAGCACGGATCTATAATATCCCTCATACAACCTTACGTCACCGATATCGCGGCGGTACTTCACGACAGGATATACGATCACCAACGCAAAAGCTTACCTATTCCGAAGAAGACGCGATAGTACGCTACATAGTCGACCTAGATTCATGATCATTTCCTCCTCGAATAAGTGGTGTTGAAGATATGGCGAATCGACTACTCCACCAACGCGACGCAGAACGCGTCGGTATTAACTGGGCTTCGAGCTTCGTACGACGACAACCAGACCTCCGGACGCGTTTTAATCGAAGAATCGACTACCATAGAGTCCTCTGCGAAGATCCCGACGCGTACCGCGCGTGGTTTTATCTCGTATGGAATACAATTAATAAGTATGGAATTCAAGAGGAGGATATCTATAATTTTGACGAGACTGGGTTTCTTATGGGTCAAATCTCATCCGAGATAGTTGTAACGACCTCTGATCGACGTGGAAGACCTAGAGCAGTACAGCAAGGGAATAGGGAATGGGTTACAGTTATCCAGGGCGTCGGATCGGACGGCTATACTATCCCTCCGTATATCATCTTTGCTGGTAAAACTCACCTATCTTCGTGGTACGAAAATAGCCTACTACCAAAGGATTGGGTTATCGCGGTTACGAAAAATGGCTGGACTACAAATGATTATTATTATTATTAAATACGCCGTAGGCTCGAAGCCCCCGGTACCTCTACTAGTACTCCCGTATGTCAAACCGTGCCCTAATGGCTGGACTAAATACATACGCTGCGTCGTCGGTTCGTCCTATTGGCGACTGCGTTGCGTTCACTACCATACTACGTTGGTTCTCAACCTACCAACAAAGTCCCCCCTGAGAAGATCGATGCTATCTGGGCCTTGAAGCTGTCCGACCCGTCCCTAGCAGCCATCTTACAATAGTCCCACTAACTACTGGTTCTCCTGTTGCCGTTGCGAGGTCTCTGCGAGAGTATAGTGGCCGTGGTGCGATGGCGGCCCGTAATCGTTCCCTCGGTCCTTCCAACAGCCCGCAAAAGAGGATTACGTGCTCTGCCGTCTCAGGGGCATCGCCACAGCGGCATAGCGGCGAGTACACGCCAAAAGCCCCTGTCTTGAATAAGAAGGCTGCTAGTCCTATTTTTTCCGTCCTGATCTGGCACAGCGTAGACGCCTCCAGTCGGTTCAGGCCGAAATACTTGCCCCCTTTCGGTATCTGCATCGAAGGGCCCTCCGGTTCCTCAGCGATAGCGCGTCGCTGGCGATCGTGATGCTCTGCTCCGGTGAGCCATATCTTCCTCCAGTGGTCGAGGAGGGCAGCCGGGACCTCCTTTTCCTCACTCATCCACTCGGAGCCCCGGGCCTCCTTCTCCATAGTGTACCCTGCCGGTCGGAGTAGCTGCGACGCCTGCTTCCTCTTACTACAAATGAAAGAGGCGAGGACTGGATTCGACATTTCGATCAACATACAAAGCTTCGTACGAAAGGTGTTTATCGCCTCTTAATTCTCGACGGCCACGAGAGCCACCACTCGACCGCTTTCGAGCTCTACTGTAAAGAGAACTCTATTATCACACTCTGTATGCCTGCTCATTCGTCGCATAAGCTCCAACCTCTCGATATCGGCTGTTTTTGTGCACTGAAAAGAGCGTACGGTAAAGAAATTGAGGATCTTATGCGGGCACATATTATCCATATCTCGAAGGAGGACTTCCTCTCCGCGTTCTTAAAAGCGTTCCAGGCAACTTTTACGATATCAAATATCCAAGGAGGTTTCCGAGGGGCAGGACTCGTACCGTACGATCCGGAATATGTGATTTCACAGTTAGATGTGAATTTACATACTCCAACACCTCCGGGTACCTCGTCTGGCCTTCCTATTATCTGGGAGTCGAAGACCCCATATAACCCAATTGAGGCACAATCCCAGACCGAATACGTGAAAAACCGAGTTATACGGCATCAAAATAGCTCTCCGACAGCTACACTTACTGCACTTGACCAGTTTGCGAAGGGTACGACGCAGGTTATGCACCGGCTTGCTCTTTTAGAGGGTGAGAACGACTTGGATTTGATGTTCCCGTTGAAGGAGCAAAAGGAGGGCACATATGCCTAACCTGTCTGTATTGTAGCTAACTCTGGTCCTCTCTTCGAGGGTCTATGTATGGAAACAAAAGGGTTCTTATATAGTCAATGAATGGTAGACTTGCTGATTAATTCAGACAAGTTGTAGAAGCATATAGATAAGTAGGGAATGTTCTATCCTTGCCACATTTCTCGTAATAGAGGTATGTGGGGATGGTCGCCGTTCTAGGTGGCGATAGTGGCAAGTATAGGACCCACATGGCCCACAGGGCCCATATTGTCCAACTAGTAGTAAAGGCTGCGTTCAGTGGTGTATACTGGGGGCTAGAAGTGTGATATTTGCGGAGAGCTTTGGGGATAGCCTGAAAGACGTCCGCTGTATTGGCTTGATGGCGGTTTCGACGGCTTCTTGTAGTTGTATTCGGCAAAAGATTCGGATTTAGCTCTGATCGTATCTCGTTAAGCATACGGGAGCCTCGTCCAGTGGCTCGTGACTGCTGGGCTAGCGGTATTATTGGAGAATCTGGCGATGGGTCTGGTGATGGGTCTGGTGTTGGCAGTTGTTCTGGTAGCAATCCTTTGTCGGCTATAAGCTCTGGAGGTACTGCCACGGTAATAGAGTCTTCGATTCGCTCTGATGGTTCTCGGTGGTCCACCCCCTCAGCGTTAGAGATGTCGTTAACTGCTTCGTCAACGCTGGACTCAGTTGTTCCATTGTATCCGAGCACGATTTGCAGGGCTGTATCATCATTACTAGCCTCAACTTCGATATGCTGGATTTCATCGTCGATTTCCCTAATCCGGAGAGGTGTGTAATGTTCCGATGGATCGTATACTCCTTGTTCATCGAAGGTTACATCTCGTATGGATATAACTTTGTTTCTGGTCGGGATCCAGACCTTATAGACAGTCTGGTTCTTGTACCCAACATGGTATCCGATATATGTCCGAGGCTCCATCTTCTTTAACTTATTCCTTCCGGCTCGATAGTCTTCGGTAAGGGGATAAGCCTTGCATCCCCATGCAACGAGGTGAGAGACTAGAGGGCGGTGGTCTTGAATCGGGAGATTATCTCGTTTGGCAAGCCATTCTGAGAGAACTTCGATAGGAGTTTTCCACTTTAGTCGTTTAAGTGGTGTCCGATTTGTTAGATATGTAGCTGTTTCAACAGCTTCTGGCCACAGGCTTGGCGGTAGCCGTGAGCTAACTATCATGGCACGCGCTTTGGTATTGATTATCCTCCCAGCTCGTTCGGCGACGCCTACCGGCTCCTTGGTATATGGTGGTGCTTGGTTATGCTGTATGCCGGTACGCAAGATCCATTCCTGAAAATGTTTGCCGAACGCTTTCTCGCCATCTGACGTAATTGTTTTCACGTCAATGTCATACCGTCTCTTAATGTAGGATACAAGGCTTGTAAGGGCAGGAAAGGCGTGCTTTTTCCGTCGAAGGGTATATGTAATCCGTACTCCGGTAACTAGGTCAGTGCCGATTAGAGCCCTAGTTCGTCCGTCGTAGGCTGTCTCGTATTCGAAGAGATCAATATCCATATGTTCCAGGGGTTTGAATCCTCGGTTTTTGGGATGTCGTGTAATGCGGCGTGTCCCTTTTGCGAGAGAGCAGTCTTCGCACTGGATCGTAGTTGGCGCCTTAATCTTTATGCCTGTAACTGCGTACACAAGCTTCTCTAGGCTTCTGGGGCCAAGATGGGCCATCCGTCTATGCCAGAGTGTAGCGTCACCGTCAAGGGGTTTTTGAGGTCGACGTGAATCGTTCCCATGGAGCTCCTGCTTCTGCTCAAACGGATTTGTGGGCCTTAGGTCGATACCCGGCATCCCTGGAGTATCTACTGTAGGTATAGATGCAGGCTCTAGTGGTATTGACACCCTCTCATCTTCGGAGAATTCAGATACCTGTTCGGAGTCGGATTCTGAAGGTTCAGTGGAAATTTCCACATCTGCTTCGTCGGTAGCAAAGGCGCTGCTATAGGTCGCGCGTTGGGAGGCTATAAATGGTTCCAGATCATCGTTGGCAGCGTTGTCGTTTGTTAAGGGAATGTATTCGAGAATCGGCTGGTTATACTTTTCTGTAAGGTAACAGAGGGTTTTCCGATGTCCTGCCCGAATGTAATACAAAGCTTCATGTTCCATATCGTAATAGATGCCGGCTTTCTTGAACAACCTAGCAGAGGCGAGGTTTGTATGCATGGCGGGGACGTAGGCGACGTTCTCGAGGGTAAATACCATAGACTTTCCTCCTGGTCGTCGTATTTGGATTTCGACGTCACCCCATAAGAGGATATCTAGAAGAATACCTCCACTGATGATTTTGTCTGTAGGAGACGCGCTTCTGATTTTCTTGAATCGGGAATGCTGGTTGCATATATGGATGCTGCTTCCAGTGTCGTAAAGGGTTGATCGTTTCAATGGATAGTCTACCTGGAGGCCTGTAGTAAAAGCAGAGACCTCGTGGATCGTATTGACAGTATTTAACTGCTTGGTGGGTGCGCTGGCGTTGTTGCCAGCGCCGTACCTTCAGGCCTTGCCTGGTATGGTATCGTTGCTCTCGTTATTGCTACTGCTGTTGGCTCTTTTGGCCGCTCGTAGCTGGATTTTCTCGATCAACTTTCTAACCTTCTCATCCTTCAGTTTTTCCTCTATCTCTCGCTGCTTGCCCGGGTTCGGGGACCATCCAGTGGGGCGAAGGCTCTCGATAAGGTAATAACAGGCGCTATACCGGTGGTGACTACCACATAGGCATGTACGTGACTTGTCGTTTGTAGAGGCTGCTGGTGGCTCTTTTCCGTCTAGGGTAGGAGTAGCTGCGTGAGCGCCTCTTGAGATGGTATGGTATGTGTTTCCGAAGGTTTTATTCCAACGGAGGTGGTTTGCAAAGGCATTGTAGATAGACTCGACTTCCATTTGCTTCGCTGGTGGGTTCTGGAGCTCCTTGTCGATGTCGTGCTTCCAGTTGCTTGCGAAGTCGCTTGCTACGGGGTATACCGCAGTAACGAAGGCGTAGTGAGCGTGGTACATTGATATGGAGGGTAGGCCAAGCTCCCTTGCTTCGAGGTAGGTCGTCCACCACTCAGAGAGCCAGCTCTGGATGTTCTTCCCTTGGGATAGAGGTTGGCATAGCTTCTGAAAGCGGCCATCGACCTCCATTTTGTACTGTTGGCTTCCTGGCTTAAAGTACTCCTTAATGGCTAACATCTTATCGCGAAGGGTTGGCTTGCTACGGAATAGGGCGTGGTGTCGATCCGCAACGTTGTTAAAGAGCCAAGCGTCGAACTTCTGGGCTTGGGCATCCTGAAGTTGATATTCAACAAGCTTCTCCTTGCGTATTTCGATTAGAAATCTATATTTGTTGAATTCCACGGCGTCGAGGTCGGAAATATCGGTTGCGCCGGCCTTGACCTTACTAACCGACGGGACCAGTGGCTTGGTTGGCAAGGGCACGACCTCGTATTCAGGGAGTTTCGGATCGATGTTGTTCCAAAGTAGAGGGGCTTCTGCTTTGGCTCTGAAATAGAAGGCCTCGTACTGGTAAGGTTCGTCCAGTTTCCCGGAAAGAGTGAGAGAAGCCATGTTGCTATGTAAAGATAATCGACGAGAATGTCTTGAAGGTTTTCCAGTGGCTTAAACGCACACCGGGCTCATAACACTTGGATTTGATGTTCCCGTTGAAGGAGCAAAAGGAGGGCACATATGCCTAACCTGTCTGTATTGTAGCTAACTCTGGTCCTCTCTTCGAGGGTCTATGTATGGAAACAAAAGGGTTCTTATATAGTCAATGAATGGTAGACTTGCTGATTAATTCAGACAAGTTGTAGAAGCATATAGATAAGTAGGGAATGTTCTATCCTTGCCACATTTCTCGTAATAGAGGTATGTGGGGATGGTCGCCGTTCTAGGTGGCGATAGTGGCAAGTATAGGACCCACATGGCCCACAGGGCCCATATTGTCCAACTGAACGCCGCGCTTCGAAAGGCAAATGAGACACTTAGCCGGCGGCGTTATACGAGAAAAAAACGTTTACAGTATGGAGGATCACTTCGTATACAAGCTGGAGAAGATTTACAGTCTCAGAAGCTAGTTAACGGAGAGTTAGATAATAAATCGCGCTGGAGTCGTAGTCGTACGAGGAGGCCAGAGATACTTCAGCAACGCTGTAGGACGTGCGGAGAGCCCGCTCATAATATGCGTACTTGTCAGAATAGTAAAGAGATATCTGAAGAAGATAGTTCCGAGTAGTTTTAATTATTTTTTTACGTTATAGTTGAATTAACTTATGTCTTATTGTACGAGGTCTTAAGAAGTGTTCAATTGGACCGTGGGGTACGTTATGTAAGTTGTTACTTGAGGTTTTGTGTATCTTTTAACTTCCACCACCCCGGTAGTAAGGAAGTTGTTTTAATGGTTACCATGCGAGTTGGGAATCGAGGATTGTTCGATTCCTATGTTATTAGTCACCCTGGATATTTCGGTCTCTATGGCATCGGATGGCGACTATGAATACTTCAGTTTCTGCATTTAGTTGGCAATAGTGAATAATTTGGTCTGCGTGCCCCAGGAAAGCGATAGTAAATAATTTATATATTCATAATTAGCAGCAGTGAGTGTCGACTATGTATGGAACGGCAACATTGAATTGGATGTATAAAAGGAAATCCGACTTTATGGATTTGAGACTGAGTCCTTTCACCGCAATGAATTACTTGTGTTAGACTTAGTAGCCTTCGATTTATCAAGCTCTTCAAATCATCAATTGCTCTTCATGGCTTACTTATATATTCATTGGGCTGGCCGATGACACAATTAAATGAACATCACAGCTGCGAGAGACCAAATACAGCTCGATACCAATTGGAAGCCATGGAATAAATCCTGAGAACTTGAAGTCATTTCTACTGAATCATGATATCTTCCATATTTTGGTTACTTCTGCTTATATCACAACTTTATTCTTCATTATTCTAATGTAACTAGCTAATATAAACACTGTATATCAAATCCCCCGCATTGGTGTTATTCATTCCTTTTGTACCCTGAAATTGTCATTTTATATTCAACCTCGACCTAGACAGACAAAATCATCACTTCTTTTACCACTAGTTTTCATTAGTTTCAATACTGAAGCTTAGCATTGAATGCAATCCTCTGATTGTCCTCCCCTTGCAGTGGAGGACAATCCGATATGATAACCTAACTGAATTACGACAACATTCACGCGACCCCACGCCTCGAGTTATTTGATAACAGAGGACTAGTGGCACACAGTCCACTGGCGGAGCCCTAGTTACTCCTTCTACCGTTACACCTGACGGAGGTTAACTTAGCTGAATCAACATCACAATCCTCCATGATTTGACAGGATATGCCACTGGAGTAAGAAAATGAATCGCAATCCTAATAGCGATTGCTGCGCAAGGTCTTCTGGATATAAAATTGGACATTTGCGAATCTCGATGCAGAACATGTTGGTGTATCTGGTCGTCTGAAGTCTTCGGGTTAAAACACTCCAAGCTCCATCTGGTTGTCTGGTACTTGCGCTTCAGTGTTTCTCTCCAAGATTTGACACAGCGCTTCGTGTGTATCGAACTTGAGTATTTCGAATCTTTCGGGATGATACCGAGATTTAGTCATATGGCGGCATGGTAGGAAATTGATATATCATGTGTGTGCTCATCAGAAGTGTTTTGGATTGCAGCACTATCCAATTCGAGAACAGATTACAACTCCGAGTCTGACGTCTCAAGGTACTTCATTCATATATGGTACTCCTCCCACCTTATTTTACATTTGATGGATGTAACATTATGTTAGCGTTGCCAATTTACTAAGATCTCGACTACCGAGCCAATAGCAGATTTAACAAGTTACGAAGTCAGTTTTTGTCGAGCAAGTGCCTTGCCGGTAACATTGCGAGTAAACTCCTGGATCAAGAAGATTGTATGATTGAAAACACCCGTCTCCAGCTTTGCTTTGATCGATCGTAGCTCGACCGTTTGGGCGTCTGTTTCAGATTCAGTTGACTTTTGTTCTAGACCAAGCTATCCCCGCGAGGTGATTCGCGCGCGGAGACCAACACTACTCCGCGTTTTTAAAACGTCGATATCTGATTTCTCAACGAAGGTTTGGTGGCGGGAGAGTTCCGTACATGTTTCTCCCATCCTGTTGATCTGCAACAGCCATAGCCAGCCCTAACGAACGACGTATCGATTGCCGAATGGAGAACTCCGTGCAAGATGGGACAATTGTTACGCGTCAACTTTTGAACAAAACCTAGGAATAAAGGGCCATGACAACAATACTAGGAACTCGGCATGTTGACATCACTAGGTAGCAGCTCCAACGTTCAGACGAAATAACGTCACAACTGGCCTGAGAATATCAATTATGGAATCAGAGCCTTGGATCTGTAGCGTAGTTTTAAGGCTGTAGCTCCCCATTTTCTGATTTCGGACGTCCGTATGATTGCTTTTGTATTCTTTCCGCATTTACAGCGATACAATATCTCTATCTGGTTAAGGTATGGTCATTTGGCAGGCTCAATAAGACCATAACTGCCTTGAAGGCAGACTACACCTTATAAATGGCTCGACGACCGGCTCTGGTGACTTGCTTGGCCGTGTTTTTCCTCGGACGTGTAAACGGTCAAGACCTGATGGGAGAACCGACCTGCGCGGTGAGTAGTTAACCATGGGAATTTAGTACACCACACCGACTAATATGCACAGACACCATGCGTAAAGACCGCAGTACCGGCTGGAGGATGTACTATTGGGGATATTGGTTGCATGTGTGGCCCAGCATTTGTTTCAATATTCGCGATACTAGGTCCCTGTCTGGTATTACAATGTGAACCGAGGGATATAAATTCGATGTCCACGATCGCATCGGCGCAGTGCGAATCTGCAACTTTGGGGCTTTTCACAACCACCACACCTACTGGGACCGTCGGGAAGCAAGACGTCACAAGCACAAGTGCATCGAGTACACAAGAACATACCAGCAATGTGACACTATCCGCGCCGTCGACGCTGGTCGTGTCTGCGGCAATGACCCCGATCATACCTTCGCCCACAGTAATCTCAGGATCGCCGTTTGCCTCATCTTCTTTCTTTTCTGGGTTAGGCGAGAGCACGCCACCAACCACCATGCTTACGCCTACTTCAATGCCATCTTCAACGCCATCAAGCTCGAGCAATGAGACGGATGGAATGGGAGAATCAAACGAGAAAAGCTCGCGTGTCGCCACGACAGCCGGGATTGCGGTGGGCTCAGCATCGGGCATCTTTGCCTTTGGGATTCTGGGGGTATTCTACACCTTTAGAAAGTCGAGATGGGGACAGGCATACCTACAGGCGCGGCGGAGCTCGATTGATTTGAGCTTTCCCCCATGGCCAGAGGTGGAGAAGAGGAGGTCGAGGTTTCCGGCGATACATGTCAATGCCGGGCGGAGTATTGTCGAGTTGGATGCACCGCAACCGATCTTTGAGCTCCCTGGGAGTCGTACTTTTCATGAGCTTCCGGGTTGACATGATTGGGGGATTGTGGGTAGCTACGAAAACTCACCATTGACATATAAGAGTATATTTAAGAAGTGACTGGTCATCTCAGGGCTTGGCCTGGCTTGTCTGGCCACACTTCGTACGATCTTGCATATGAGTTATGCCGGTAAGATACCTCAACACGAGCTTGGAGTTCATATTTACGACTTAATTACACAAATAGAACAAGTACACGGAAGTTTTCTTGTATTCTGGCAAGTGACTACTACATATCGGGTACATCAGCCATTTGTTGGTTTGGCTATTCCCGTCGGTCAATATATAACGAATGTTGTAGCTCTATGGAATGGATATTTCAAACAATGGCAGCTAGTCTATCACATATCCACGAATCGTGGTAAGTGATCTTTAGAATTATGAGAAACTGTGAATAATGAGAATGACTATAAGTGTTCGTTAACCTATTATATTCATCGCAGTTGCTGATGGCATGGATCAAACTTCATCATACTAGATTTACTTTACTTAACTTATTCCTGGTTTATGGTTATGTTGATTCCTTGCTTTAGCCACACCCTGAAGCTACCAACTATTATGGCTGACTTTATACTTACCCATGATTAACTTGTCTTCGTGATGCTTTATTGCTTTTCTTGGGCCCGCGCCTTCTCCCTAAGCTTATTTTCATCGGCCATGCTTCATCTTATTATGGTACGCTGTCCAACTTCTTGTCCCAATTTGCGAGGGATCTCTGTTACCCTATAAATAGACTTGTTGCTTCGTGCATCAACGCGTTGAGCTTCCCGTGCCACTTTTGGATTTATTCAGCTGCTCGCTGCGTACGTGGAACTCAACGTCAATCAACGTCGACCCACGACCCTTTCCGCCTCGTATCCGATTTCTTGGACAGTTGTATAAAATATACGAGGATCTCGAAGTAATGCTCTCCGAAAGCACGATGACCTGGGGTGTTCAGCTTGAAGTAGTAGAGTTAAATGGCCTTACTATAATTCAGGGTCTCGCCGTGTTGGAGTTTGCCTCGTTTGCGGATGGATTTCATGACAGCTCCATATTCTGTATGTAATTTTGGTATCTCTAACCATGTCATATTGGCCAACTCTAGTAATTGATACATAGGGTGTATCGATGCAGATGGCTCGGCACACACACTCGGTTAGTGCTTTCCCAGGCTACTTGGGCGCGACACCAAAGAAGACTCCCGAGAGAGTAGCATGGCAGCTAGCAAGGGATATGGCAAAATTGACCATCTGACTGCGCACAATAATGTCCAGAAGATCCATCGTGATATATAGGCAATAATTTGAATGAGGAATTAATGCTTGCATAAACCACGGGAGGCGTTTACAATAACCAAGAGAACAAAATGCAATGCCCGAGTCAAAAATTGGACCACCTATATTTTGCGTTGAAGCGTATGCTTGGCTGCCTCGATTGATAGTGCAAAGCCGTCACAGATTTGATCACTGAATCCAATCCTTTTAGATGGCCAGGTTATGACAGCTCAATAACCTCGGATGAATCAGAGGCCTCAGGGCCAGCAATCTCTTCTACCGCAAGTAGCGGGACCAAAGCTTCGCCCATTTCTAAATAGGGCCATAAGTCAGCGATTACTTTCGTCGAAGAAATCGGCTGTGGAGACAATGATGATGTGTGCGAAGCCTCAATACGCGGAAAGTGCTATGCTTTAAATAAAAAAGGAAATCAGTAATTCCTTGTTATCACAAAACTGACTTGACCTAAGTTCAGCTATATACCAGTTGTGATGCTGAAAGACGAATACAGAGTGAAAGGCCCCCTGGCCTTGAGGTTTCGTGGGAAGGCACTACGTTGAAACTCGAAGAAACTTGTGTGGAAAACTGCAGTATCCCCATCGATTCCCATTGGATCAGGTTGCTCCGTCAACCTGGCATTGTACTCCAAGTGTTGGTCTATGGACATCTTCAAGAAACTAGGAATGAATAATTGGCTGTTAAGTGCCATGGTTACGTCATGTTTGACGGCCCGGATGAAGTCTTCGATAATGACCCCTCTCTACTGGGAAAAGATGAGAATGACACATTCAACCCTGATCCTGAGGAATACCGACTTGGTCCTCTTGTATCCCAAGAGCGAGAAATGGAGACTTAAACCAGACGACCTCCCAGTATACGATCTCGTCAAGGGCCTCATTAAGGACAAGCCAACCTTGAATTCGGCCATTATTCCACGCATGATGAAACATCTTAATTGTACTGCCTTAGAATTTGCATCCTTGACGCCAAGGAGGATACGTATCTAGATGGCAACTTATCGATCTTGGCAGCTCGATGAGTACTCTAGATACCCGAGTGAGGCGACGACCAGGCCATAGTGGGTATCGAGCGGTTCGACGAGATGCTCAACGATTAGAACGACGAACACCCGCGTGGTGGGCGGATATGGCGAGGATCGATACCGATCAGTAACATCATAGAGCCTTTGCGAACTGCGTCTTTCTACAAAGATCTGCCCGGCGATTTATTTCTTCAAAATGAAGTTCAACCCATCTGCTTTTGACTGGCGATCTGTTTCGGGTTGCACACAATAGTAGGGGAAAACACATAAGCGGAAACCAGGAAGTTACCGGGAGTCCTAGGGTCGAATCCTACTGTAAAAATACCGGGGACCCGTTGAGGGGGACGCGACATGTGCCCGGAAAGCGTTGCAGATAGTATTCTATACAGTAGGAGTTCTCAGAGGTGCACTTCCTACATGGCAGATCTGTCAGGTACAGAATATAGTTTTATCATGGAGTGACAGACCATGAGTTTCCCCTCAGTTGGCAGTTGCTGTATGGGTCGTCTCCATTTACTGCCTGCCTTGGCGGCGGGGTAGCCAACTTCGTATCAACAAGCGGGAAAGCAAAAGAGACAGCTTTATGTATACTTTGGTTCGAACTCTCATGCATGTTCGTCATTTAGAATACTATGAATTTCAACTTTCCCAGAGGAGCGTTTCATTCCCTGGCTTCTTATTACATCGGACTAATTCAAATCTGCAAATGCTACCCTCGGCTGTGAATCATGAAATGGTGGAGAATATTCAGTAGGTGGCCGTTTATCCGCTAGACGGATAAGTGGCGTCATGATCCAGCAACAGAAATCCCGCTTCTCCCTTTACATGTAATTATAGTCGGACCAAGTCCAACTTTCTTCACCGCCGCAATACTCGTAGCAGGGTTAAGATGGCAACAAAATCGAGAAGCGTTGACTGAAGCGGGGATTAAGTGGACTTCTGCGTCTGCACTATCGAAAGAAAACCTGGACGGTTCGTCAGATGTCATGGGGTTTGTGGGGTGACAAGTTCCCCGGAAATTGGCGAATGATCGGGTGGAAAGAATTGCACCATCTTACTTCTCCAGTACTCGTATTTCTTTGTTCATATAAGTCGCCGTCATCCAGATCTGACCCCACTGCGATACAGCAGCCACCCAGTCTCGACCATTCTTCTTGATTCCACAGCCTTAACTGCGATTTCGAGATGGTATCTCTCCTCTGTGGTGTACTTTCTCTGGCTCTTATCAGCACAGTCTTCGGTGAAACCCGAGATTTCACCAAACATGTCAACCTGTTCCTCGGTACAGAGGGAGATGTACCAGGCTCAGCCTTCCGGGGAGGAAACGTCTTTCCTGGAGCAACGTTGCCATTTGGAGCAGTCAAAGTGGGAATGGACACAACGAGGTATGCAGGCTATACACGGTTGCTAGCCATTCTCTGACTGGCTGCTGGACAGATGGAACGTTTCATATCAAGCGAATGCTGGATACACGCCCGATGGGAACGTCACGGCCATCTCCATGCTCCACGTGAGTGGAACTGGGGGAGCGCCTACGTATGGACTCATCCCACAAATGCCTCTCACTACGCTCGAAGGTGTTAATCTTTTGGATAATATCACATACATGCAGCCTCGTGTGGGTGATGATGTGGCCAGTGTGGGTTATTACAAGACCCAACTTGAAAATGGCGTCACGGCGGAGATGAGCGCTAGCATGCATGCTGGCGTCATGAAGTACCAATATCCGGAAAACGAAGGTCGATATGTCGTGGTAGATATAAGTCACTTTCTTCCAAGTATTGGGAAGAAGGAGCAATGGTACAGCAATGGGGTCATAGAGCGGAGCGACGACGGCACTACGTACTCTGGATATGGCGTGTACCGAGAAGGTTGGGCCACGGGTGAGTTGGTTCATTCATTATGTTTAAAATGGGCCTCAATTGACTTTATCATAGGAGGAGATTACAGAGTGTACTTCTGCGGCCAATTCGATACTGTTCCATCAAACGCACAGTTCTTCTCTGGAAAATACACAGACCCTTATTGGCCTAACGCCACTGATGTGAACCCTGTATTCACCGATTCAACATACATCCAGGGCGGGACTGTGAGCTATCAATATGCTGACCGCGTTGGCGCCTTATTTGAGTTTCCCGCCAACGCTTCGACAGTCACATCAAAAGTCGGTGTCTCTTGGGTTTCTGCAGATAAGGCATGTCAATTTCTGAACGAGATTGTGGGTTGGGATTTGAATGCAACGGTTGAAGCAGCCAAGGACCAATGGAACACGGAAGTCTTGTCAAAGATTGATGTTACGAGCGCGAATAAGACACAGCTGGAGATGTTTTACACGGGAGTGTACCATTCTCATCTGATGCCTTCGGATCGCACAGGGGAAAACCCCTATTGGGAGTCTGACGAGCCATATTATGATGACTTCTATACACTTTGGGTAAGCCACAGCCATGAATTTTATATGTAGTGTCACGAAAACACTCGGGGATGGTGATGAATGGAGTAGCAATCAGCCCATGCTAACTCTGAATTAATAGGACACATTCCGATGCACGCACGCATTAATTTCACTCATCCTGCCCCATAGACAAATCGACATGATTCGCGCCATGATCGATATCTGGCGGTTCGAGAGATTCATGCCTGATGGACGAAGTCGCAACACCAACGGAAGAGTCCAGGGCGGTTCAAACGCTGACAACATCCTTGCTGATGCGTACGTCAAGGGGCTCCAGGGAGACATCAATTGGACCGACGGTTATCTTGCCATGAAAACGAATGCTGAGGTCGTGCCGTACAACAACTTCGACTGGGAGGATCTCAGCGGAAGCACCAAAGAAGGCCGTGGCGCACTGCTAGACTGGAAAAAGTATGGTTTCGTGACACCGACTTTCGGGAGGAGCATCAGCAAGACGGTTGAGTATTCGCACAACGATTTCTCGCTAGCTCAGGTTGCTAAGGGAGAGGCGCACAAGGACGTGGCATTATACCTTAATCGGTCAACGTAAGTCAAATTACTTTCATTTAAGTCAGAAAAACCCATGGGTAACATTTGGAACAGGGGGTGGCAAAAAACGTGGGCGGCAAACGTCACGTCTCTCAATTTTACCGGCTTCCTGGCACCAACCTATGGAAACGGCAGTATCAAGGAGTACGATCCGCTGAGCTGCGGCGACTGCAACTGGCAGGCAATCAGTTACGAGGGTGTCCCATGGGAGTACAGCTTCTCGATCCCGTTCGACATGAAGACTCTCATTTCCTTGATGGGTGGCACCGAAACCTTCGAAGAACGACTTGATGCGATGTTCATCCCAGGATTGGCTCAGTCTAACTCAGGGGGCAATCGAGCTGGCGACACAATCTTTAACCCTGGTAACGAACCCAGCTTCATGACCCCGTTTCTGTACAATTATATTCCAGGGCGGCAGCACAGATCCGTAAGCCGCTCAAGGGAGATCCAGGATCAGTGGTACAACACCGGGAGGTCCGGCGTTCCCGGAAATGACGATTCGGGTTCCATGAGTAGTTGGATCGTGTGGAACATGATTGGTATTTACCCTGTTGTCACTCAACCGGTGTATCTCATTCTGTCGCCGCGGTTTGAAAATATGACGATTCGACTTGGAGACGACGGTGGTGTACTGAGAATCAAGGCGAGTGGATTGGAACAGGGTAGTTTCATTCAAAACTTGAAGGTGAATGGACAGATGTGGAATCAAAGCTGGGTCAGTCATGAGGATCTTGTCGGGGGAGAAGGAGGTCTGCTGGAGTTTGAGATGGGGCCTGAACCTAAGATGTGGGACACGGGGGAGTTGCCTCCCAGTCCGGGACATTTGGGCCAGTGACTTTGCATGCGATATTGAGTGACATCTATGACTATAGCCAAAGCTAATTTTCAATAGAAATTGATGGCCACCGGGTTACTATCCTGGAAAGCGTGCAGAAATGAAAGGACAAAGAACGTGACAGCAATGTGCTGAAGTCGATTGATAATTTCGGTACACGCTCAGTGCGTGTGGATATCAAAGGATTATTCTATTAATCGGTAACAGCTTCCAACCTATTCGACCGTCGTTCGTTCCCTGGAGTAGGCTTAAGGATAACGTCCCACACTCACATGTGGGACACCCAAAAATGCCTTATTAATACCTCTAGCCTCTAACTTCAACCTCTTTATCTTTACCAATATCGATTTAATCGTTACGAAATTTTATGTACGTCTTCTTTATACTACTATGAGTTAATATACCGAAGATGATATTGAAACGGGGTCAGGCGGTCAGTAGGATATACCTACCACCTAACACACTGAACAGACGGCTCCAGTACCAACAGATCCCATCTGGTGGTCTTATCAGACGAAGATCGTGGTACTGGTTATAAGAGTGAAGCTCTTATACGTCTGGTGCGCGAGTTGGTCGGATGTGCCTCTGATACTCGTATCGTGATAATAGGATCTCGAACGTAAAGATAAGCTGAATAACTAAAATAACTAAATAACTGACTGAAAAGCGAAGGTGAAGATATAGATAAGAAGGAGATGATGATATGAAGATGAGGATGATGATGCGTGAAGATGGGGGACTCGTGTCCTACTCTGCCTCTGTGCCTCTTAAAGAAGAGAAAATGAACTTTCTCCTAGCCCCGTAACCTATTTCCCTGATGTCCGGCCTTACCCCGTTACAGTATGTACTAATAACCGATCTGCGCTACAGTTAAAGGCCAAATACCCACATCACTCCTCAGAACCCTTAATACACCGCCGCGCCAGCCAACAAGAACATAGCCAAAATAATCCAAATACCCCCCATCCACGTCACACTCCTCACCATACCCCACCTAGGGTCGTCTTGCAATATCACGTAGACGATATTATACGCCACCCGCGTTCCCAAGTACACAATCGACAGCGCGTTCGCCGTCTTCGGGTCGACATCCGCCGCGTTAACCGCTACTACAGCAGCAGCATAGAGCGATATGGTCTCGAGGCCGTTGGCTACGGCGGCCTCGGCACGGAGGATGCGGTTTTTGGTCTGGGCGGTTCTGGTCAGTTTATGACGCATGGGTGGGGATGGAACGAAAAGAAGGGCATACCTTGTAATCTAGATCATCTGCTTTGGAGACGGCGGGTTGGTATTTGCGTGGATCGGCTTGGTTGAAGTACTTGCGGCCCAGAATGGCGCTGTAGACTTTGGGGAAGAACAGTAGAATGAAGGCCGCGGGGATCTGGCGGGAGTGTCAGTTTGATATAGTTAACTGCGTTCAACATGATAGTCGCAACGTACTGTGAAGAATGTGAAGTTTCTGTCGAAGGCCGCCATTGCGAAAAGAGTGTGTTGAAGCTTGATTGAGGTTAGAAAAGTAGGTGGAGCGCTTATATCCTGCGCTCCTATCTAAAGACTCAAGAGTACCTATATGCAGAGTCGTAGGATTAAGGTTATTTGATGACTCTTGGCATCGCAGAGCTTGGCTAGGTGTTTGTGTTTTGCTTGCATTGCAACGAGACAGAGGTGAGTTGAAGAAATAGTTATTGCGCAGTGGCCCAGTTGCCCAAACGTCCGCAGGTAGGATGGATCCTGAAACGGGCACCCGTTTCAGACTGGCTCCCCATAATTCCCACTCACAATGCTTGCCAATTGTTTCCCCCACTGTGAGTGTCTTGGATTTCTCGAAGAGGTAATATCTACTCCAGGGGGAAAAGGTTTATTTATAAGGTGCTTCCTTAGAGTTGTTCGTATATTTTCTGGTCAACGGAAACATGTATTTTCCTTGAGAAAGCAAAATAAAAGAAGAGAAAACAGAAGGAAACAAGCACCATTCGTATAAATTAGATCTTAATTTACCCACTCTAGGTTTTAGTACTATTTTCGTATTATCCTGTCAGATGATTCACCTTTCAGGAATACACTTCTATACTTATACAGCTGCAAGGTCGTTCGCTAGCAGCATGCAGCCAAATCTATGCTTTGTAAGATTCATAGATAGGAATTACTCTATCAGCTATTGGTGACAACGTGTGACCTACGGAAGAATAACGGATGTGTCAAAGTACGATTCAATGATATTCTTGGTAATGGTATCCGAACCCTGTGGTCCTGGTTAAGAGCCTATCAAGAAGACGATATTTATATGTAGCTTGTTTCAGCTTTGTATGTTGAAGTCCACACAATCATCTGGCCTGTCGCCTTATGAACACCTGTATTACCCTTTGCCGACATTTATGTAAATATGGCGTCAATAATGTCAGTGAAGCGCTTCCCCTCTTCCGTCACGACCTCCAACTAGTGCGGCGGTAAGTCGATCTTGCGAGCGACTATCATCCCTGGCCACTTCGCGTCGCGGAGCTCAGGTGTCTGATAACCAGATACGTATTGCAAAGGTGCGTCAAACCGTCCAAGCTGAAGCTGCTGGCCACACTGTATGCCAAAACAACACTGTCGATATTCACGTATTGTTGATGCAAAAGCCAGGTTGGCTTAAAGTTCGGGAGAGTAGCGAATACGATCCCACTGAACCCTGCATCAGATTTTGTGTACCACGAGCACGAACTAAGGAGGGTCGCCACCGGCGGACTCAAACGTGGGCGGTAGTTCGTTGGAAGTATTATTGCAGATCTATGCATGTGTTGAACACATACAAGACTCCGAAGGGTGGCTGGTATAGCCTACTCTGTCCACCAAAGCATTGACTCCGAAGTCTCTCGAGGAAACCGCGAACAGGGCTATCCGAGTGCGAGCCATGCCTTTGCGTGCACCATATGGACTACGCCTCGGGAGCCACGGTCCTCCAATAAGGCGACTGTTTTGTCTGGGACGGAGACAAGCACACCCAAGGAAAGGATTAAGCCAGGTTAACCCATCTTTTTCACTTATTAATAAATATGGTAGTTGGTGAATGTCTAGTTGCTTAGCAGGTTGTCTATCTGTGCTCTCGTGTATATAAGATGAACAGGAATATCCTCGCCTGCGGTCTCGTCGAAAAAGTAGGCGAGGCCAGCAAGAGGATGTTCGAAAGTCTGCCCCGCCTGATGGGAGAGCCATTGAAGTTGGGCCTTCGCATTGGCTTGGTATCTTAAACTGATAGTGGAATCATAACAATTGCTGGTACACTGCCGGTAACCAGCGCCGACTGTTTAACGAATGCGTTTCGAGATCTTAGAACGCTTCGCAAGAAAGATAGGAAACTTGGGGGAAAATGGGGGGAGGGGGCAGGGGGGTTTCAATTACAAGATGCTTACATTCGGGAGCTTAATCAATCCTTCGCCCTGAGATGCCGTCAGTGGCAGAGTCTGGAACAGAACCCTAATAGATGCGCTGTGGTCTCGCTCATGTTCGACGCACCGAGTGTAGTGTATGAACCGGTCCCGGAACTGCAAGCCACAACAGTATTAGTTATAGTTGTCACCGAATATGAAACCGTTCTGATGGAAGAAGCGGTAGTCGTGGCTATTTTCGTCTGATCGGTCATATTTAAGACCGTATCAGTTGATATTGTGTTTATGGCTGCGATCGAAGAGGAATTCCTAGCGCCAATAGGGGCAGTGACGTCTCAGTAGAGGCGTTCTCCGTCTAAGCAGTCTCAGTGGGTTTATTTGTTTAGTCCTGACTTTCGGGGAATTTTCAAATCAGATCTGCCTGTGCCATAAATGTTATACTATCCATCGGGTGTCTGAAAACATGTGTAAACCTATGGGTCTGAGCCTCACCGATCTTGACACCAATACTGGTTAGAGGTACTATTGGATTGTGGACAAATGGTCTTGTATTGAAAGTGTCACGATCTCTGGAGAGTCCTGAGAGAAGTAAATGGCGGCCATAGGGGCCTTATATAAACAGAAATGACTGATGCCTGTCCCACAGCCAGGACTTATGTGGTTCAATGGGTAGAGGTCATATTGACCCATACTTCGTACGGTTTGCGGCTTTACTTTTCTCCTTGACTTGGCAGTCTTGATGGAGTAGCCTTGAAGGTCCAACAGGTACGCCTCTTGTACCCAGGGAGGAATACTATCTCGATGGTGACGACGAATGGTAAACCCGCTCGAAAACTCCACATTATTGGCCGAATAGTATCAAAACGAAGGGCCTTATGGTTTCGAAATAATAGATACGGTGGTCATGTTGCAAACGATAAATTTTAATTTCGAACAATAATCCGCGTTGCTGATGTAGACTCTTAATCTTTATATAGTGATGGTTCATATGAGAGAACCCCAACAGTGCCCTCAGTCTCTATTATTGGATATAAACTCATAGTACTTGCATGTAGATAGACTTTCTCTGTATGGTAAACCCAGTGTTGTCACCCAACAAATTTCAACACAGAAGCACAACGTCGACAGCAAAGCCATTCATTTTTTCGACACTTTTTCTCTCTATCCGCGGTTTTCTATGTGCAGAATTCACCGTTAGACATACCTACATTTCCATAGGGGTCCCTTTGGGGCCTGTGTTGGTTCGGCTCAGCACCACTGGGCCTAACTGGATAAATACAACCAACAAATACCTAGTCACGCGTTCAAGCTATGCCGTACCATGTGTCAAGTGTTATAGTTCACGAAGTGAACCACGGCCAGGCGATATATCCTTAATTACTGAGGGATTGATTAAAGATTAAGACCCGGTCTCTCAAAGTCTAGTGCAACACCTTCAGGCAGACGTTTCACACACATATAACTACCTCAGATCCAATATATATACTACTGCGTCAAGTGTCCGCAGTCAGTTCATGAAGCAACATGCCATTTTTCGTATCTGGCTGCTCCACACCGTTAATCAGCCAATACTTCATTGACTCTCCATGACAGCCTTTTTGGTCCCATCGGTGCATAGGGACCAGCTGCTGTGTCACAGTTGCATCAACAAGTCTTTGCAGTTTCGGCCCGACCTGAGCAAATATTGTTCTCTTCCACGCCCGAAATCATTACTTCAGATCACGCCAAAGGGACTCGCAGCAGGCTCGACATGATTGAAGTTCACAACAGATGATGCGGCGGCCAAGACTACATGATTCCGTTCGCTGCGTGACTAAAACCATGATGCAAGACTTAATCAGAGGTCATATGCTCAGAACATAGGACAACATTCGGAGTATGCTATGCACACAACCGCATATGCGAGCATACTAAAGTCTTAATTGGCAATCACTTCAGCACAGTGTACTACGAGTCTCCAGATCGTTATCAGTCTTCATTTACTTCGTCTGAATTAAAGCACTTAGGTACATGAGAGTGTCGAGTAGAGAGTAACCTGTTCTCCGCTAACCTCCAAGCCTGCAAACCGAAGGAAGTAGATACCTTATCATTCATTCATTCATTTGCAAGACCAACAGGCGGAGTCCGCTTCCACTATCGACCATTTTTGCTCGCTATGCTGCCCCGTTTTCTTCCCTACTGCAAACACACAGAAGAAAATAAAGGAAACCCGAACAATTTGGATTGCTCGAGAGGGTGATTTAAGAGAGAAGTGGTATTGTGTAGACCCAAAGTCAAGCCATGAACGCCGTTCGATGCCTGATAAGATTCAATGGCGACGTTTTACTTAGGAAATGCTGATGCCTCCAGCGACAGCCTGCGGGTGTGCGTCGAGGTCGACCGCGTCAACCGTGGAACGCTGTTGGGCACTTTCGCGTACGAGGTTACCAAAGTACTTCACAGCGACTCGGCTCTCTTCTCTGACTTTCATGGTTTCGTCCCGCTTGGCCCCTAACTGCTCTACTGACCGAGCGAGTCCAACCCGCAAGTTGTCAGCAGGAAATCGCAAGACCTTGCGCACTGAGCTGGATATGCGAGTACTGTTGGAGTGAATATAATCAATGGATAGCAGCTGTGTAGAAAGTTTGGTCGAGAGTCGATGGGGCAGGGATTGTGGAATTTGTTGGAGCACATAGGCTGTGGCGGACACGACTACACCACGGTTAGTACAGGCGGTAAAGCCTATGTCAGACGGGAAGCTTACCTGCTACGACGATACCAGGGATGATGAGTCGTCGTAGATTGTCGTTGCCGAGGACTTTAGCTGCGCTCAACGCGTGATCCATCCATCCGTATCCACCAATAAGTCTGCCACCGACAGCAGTTGCAACAGTCAGGGCCATACCAGTACCGGCAACTTTCTCTTGCCGCTGCACCAGAGTTGACCAATCCACGAAGTCCCAAAGTTCGGTGGGGATTTCGACCTGTTTGGCGAGAGCATCCCTCCGTCTTCGGAACATGACATCAGAACGGAAGTTGAGGTCGTGGTACTCGTCGCCAAGATGCAAAATGCCGAGCTGCTTGATGGCATTCACACCGCCAACAGTCTGGACGCGAGCGTGCTCCTCACAAGCAGTGACGGAAGCCGAGATCTCAGAGAGCATTTCGTCCTTGAGGGCTTCCGCATATTCGAAGGCGCTAAAAATTCCATGGTATGGAACACCCAGGTTTCTGTCCCCTATATTGGTAATCGCGGAGTTCAGTGACATCCTTGTGTAATCATAGATCCCTTTGCAGGTTTCCTCGATCGTTTGGTCGATCTGGTCGCTGACCTCGGACTTGGCCCTCGTCGATGATTCAAGGAGAGGCTCAAGATCTCGTAGCTCTTGTGTGACCCGATCGAGTTCGGACTGGGCGACTTCCGAGTTGACAGTGGCGAGTACATTGACGTCGTTGAGGATGTTCGTTAGGTACGTCTTGGCTGGGGCAAGCTTGGACTTGGCTCTCTTCTCCAACACAAATCTACGGAGGGATTGTTCCAACTTCTCGAAATCTTGGATCTTCTCCTTCTCCTTCTCCTTCCCTTTACCTTTCGGGTCATTGGGGTCATCTCCACCGCCGCCTCCGCTATAGCTTCCGCTGCCTCCTCCGTCCGGGCCGCCAGGTGGCGGTGCTGTGGGGACGGCATTGCTGGAGACAAAATGAACGAGTTCACTTGACTCCTTGAAGGTCCGTGGACTGAGGCCATATACCTGATCCAGAATCATCTTCTGACAACGTTCCTTGTTTCGAATGCCATCATAACCGTTAACGACAATGAAAAGGTACGCTTTCTCGGCTGCGGCTGCCCAGATGAATTCCTTTGCCGACATGGTAAAGTGGTTGGCTGCGGAGACGACGAAGACGACCACATCGATTTCCTCTTGTCGCGCGAACACAGCTGTGGTTTTGGTCGTATCTGAGTTGAGACCCGGCGCGTCGATCAAGGCAATGTCAACCACGCCGTTGTTGAGCAGCGATTCGTCAATGGATCGAACATCCCGCACGTAGACCTTGCACTGCATATAGTTGCTATTGTCGATGACGATCTTCTCAAGCTCCTGGAGTTTGAAGACATCGTACGTGGTCTCGTCGTGACGGTTGTATACGGCATACTTGTGAATGGCATGGACCTCCTCGATTCCCCCGTTCTCTCTAGCGTCAAGCACTTCGCAGAAAATGCTGGTGCAGGGCTGCTGATCCTCTGGGAGGACTTTCCGTCGCAGGAGGGCATTGCAGAATGTTGACTTTCCGGCGTTCAGGTCTCCAGTGACCAAAACCTTACTTGACGTGTCCTCTATTCTTTCTCCCAGTGACTGCAGGTGCTTGATACTCGAACTAATCTTGCCATCGAGTAGCGATGCGATCGACCCTTTCTCAAGAGAATGGACCAACTCGGCCTGGTGCAGAGCGCCGAGTTTAAGGTCCAGCTTCAAAACGGAGAACTCCTGCGCAATTTGAGGTGACATCAATCGAGGTTCGGAGGCGGCTTTGTTCTCTGCGTCTTTGCTTGATTCAGCGGTGCTGTGGTTATCCAGGGTTGTCGCGGCTCTGCGTAGGTGTCCCGGGTGCTGTGATGATGACGGCTCGCCTCCTATTGACATTGATTGCGTGTGGTGGAAACCTGGACGGAACGAGGGCCTCTCTCTGCTAGAGGAGCTGCTGTCAGCTGTTTGCACCGACGGGTAATGCGCCGGCCACGTGGCATTGTTTTCCTGCAGCTCCTTCAGCAGTTCGACGACTTTGTTTATGGAGCGCCGAAGCGATAGGCGCTGTTGGTTATACCACAGTTGGTGGATGGCAGCGGCTTGGTTTCTTCGGTCGGTATCGCCGTGGCCCGTAGACGTCTGGAGTGGCATGTCTCCCCGACTCGGATCGGTTCGTGGAGATCCCATGGGTAGCCTTGGGGATCCAATATCATTGCCAACTGTGCTTCCACCATATCCCGAGTCGCTGTCAAGTAGTGATTGTAGTCGTGCGGCGTGATGCGATGTCGAGCCATTCCCAACGGTTACATAGCCTGGCCGACCGCTGCTCCCGGCGCCGGCATAGGAAGTCGGGGCTGCGTCGTGATCGTCATCTTGCTCATCGTGGTGTCCCTTTGGGGACATTCCCTTGGACGAAAAGTACTCTTGGCCCATAGCTAAATCGTGAGATCCATCAGCGCCTGTGTTGACGAAAAACGAGCGAGGAGAGCGGTAGGTTAAGGGATTTCGGTGTGGTGATAATACGATTCTTAATGAGCTGTTCCGGTCGGCTCCTTGGTTTAGCATTGAAATGGTTAGAGGCGAAATTTGCCTTTGGGAGGAATACGCCACATTGATTGGCTGTAATGCGGAGTTCGGAAAAACACGTCATGCACGATGATTCAAGTATGGCAAGTGGATCAAGCGAAGCGATGTGGATAAGGACAATGGCTTCGATAACGCGATAACGATAACATCAGGTAGGTACGTACCATGCCGGCGCACTTGGGTGTCTGCATGTGCCTAACTGACTAGCCAAGCAATCCACGAACCAAGACGAGACGAGACGGCAACACCCGACACGTAACCTGCTTTCAACCTCGTCAGATACCCATTCGACTTCTCAGGAATCGAAACAGCGACTCGAGACTCGAGAGTCGAGAGAGGGAGCGCCCTGCTGCGTCCGCATTTCATTGAGTGCACCCTCGTCTTCGCTACGTACAAGTGCCCCGGCCTCTATCGGACCTTTCCACCAAGCGCCGCCATGAATGTAGGCATCTCCTCTCCCTCTGCTACTTCTGTCCAAGCAACTTGCTAACAGCCAACCATCAGATTCTGGAATGGGCTTTCGGGAAGCGCATGACGCCCGCCGAGCGTCTGCGCAAGAACCAGCGCATGCTCGACAAAGCCATCCGCGAACTTGACCAAGTGCGGGTCAAGCTTGAGAAGCAGGAGAAGACGCTCGTCAACCAGATCAAACAGAGCGCCCAGAAGGGTCAGATGGGTGCCGCTAAGATTCAGGCGAAGGACTTGGTGCGCACAAGGAGATACGTCGAAAAGTTCTACGGCATGCGAAGTCAACTGCAGAAGATATCACTGCGACTCCAGGTGAGGCGATTCAACCATGCGCCGACTTCCATCTAAGAAGAGCTGCGATGGCTAACCAACTTCAAACCTGCACTAGACCCATCGAACGAACGAACAAATGATGCAAGCCATGAAGGGTGCGACCGTGGCCCTGGGCAGCATGAACCGATCCATGAACCTGCCCGCCCTACAGCGCATCGCCATGGAATTCGAGAGGGAGAACGATGTAATGGAACAGAGGCAAGAGATGATGGATGATGCGATTGACGATGCCATGGATGTCGGTATAGAAGAGGAGGGTGACGAGGTCGTCGAGCAAGTCCTGGAGGAGATCGGTGTGGATCTCAACCAAGCAGTGAGTGGCATAAATCACGACGTCCGTCCGCTTCAAGTTCTAACATGTACGCAGTTTGGGGAAACGCCTACCGGGTTGCAGGCCGACAAAGTTCCCGAGGGGAGAATTGCTCAGGCCATCGGCGGCGGCGGTGGTGGAGCCGCTGACCCAGGTGATGACGACCTTCAAGCGCGACTTGATAGTCTGCGCAAGTAACACGGTGGCCTCGAAGATGCTGGATATTGTATATCTCTCCTTAGTGTTTTGCAAAAATCAGGAATTTGAGGCAGTGCCCGTGGGTCTTTGCGGGCACTTCTGCTTGCCGTGAGACACTCGGTGTCCTGGCATCGGTTGCATGTTGGGAGCGAACTTGGTTTCGCTCCCCGAACTTCAGTGGCAACTCCTTTCTATCCGGACTGTGGTTCAAGGCGTATCACAAGCAAAGGCACCATCGGACTACCAACGACAAGTATGTACGATACTACGGGGATGTGGGACTACCATCGTTGTCGGCGTCGGAAACTATCCTCGGCATGGCTGCCGTCCAATAACAATTTCAATAACCATCCAAAGGCACATATTACAGGCCCTATCAGAAACCCGAGCCTTTCAGCTGATGTCGGCAGCTGCTGTAATGATTTTTGATCCACTACTGAGATCGACGAGTGGCATTTGAGCCTGAGACTCGATATTATTGTACACTATTGCTTGCCAATCATTGGTGTGACCCATTTGGCACATATTTCCTCTGATTGATAATTTCTAGTTAGAGAAGATTCGTAAAGTGCACAACACTGTGGTTCGTTGTTAGTAGTATTGTGATTGCACTCCAAGGCGGTGGCCAGCTTGCTTTGGTGAATATGTTAATAGAACATGTGACGAGTGGTCCACCCATATCACTTAGGCATATCAGCACCTACGGAAACATTTTACGTTATTCTTTGTTACCAATATCACGACGGCTTCCAATACATATTCACTCAGTCCCTGGAGAAGAAGCTCCAGCTCAATGCTGGGCAGTATACTCTTGAGTGGTCACCAGTTGCCGCATATAAATATCATGATGTTCGATTTCCACATCCACGAGTCTAGATTAATCCCAGCAAGAAAAGATATCCAGTAGAATAATCGAATCTGGATAATGAAAACGTAGTCTAAGCCATCCCTGGGCCTAATTACAATACCTTCAAGGTACCATAGACAACGCCCCCACTGGGAATTACTATGATATCCCAAGCTTTCCTCTACTTTTAAAGACCAGTCCTGAACTCCGCTACCGCAGCATTCAAGTCGAATTGAGATTCCCAGCTAAACAGAGATCAAGGACGACCTGGGCTAGGTACAACTTGTGAGCTTCACGGTATCTTCTCTTGCTCAAGAGACGCATCTAGAGCTGGGAAAGTCAATGCCCACTTACTTGGTCTTCCCACTGGCACCGAACTTGGTTTCGAAACTGGCCAGCCGTGCTTGGATGTGTTTCTGGCGGCTCTCTTTGTGACATCCCGTTTCCGCACTTGGCACCCAGGGTGCATCGGTCTGGGTGAAGTGCATGATACGGGATGCCATCAGGTCAGAACCATCTTGATTCGATGTCTCAGGGGTATTGAGGATCACGCAAGTTTTTTTGCCCGGTGATTTCCCCTCTTTAAGAGTGACCGTAGAGGATTTCGTCATGTTGGGGTTCGTTTGTAAGTGTATAGGATATGGGCAGTATAAATTTAGCAAGTCATATTGAGTCTCGAGAAGTGAGCGATCATGGGTGTATTGTGTCTAGTATTGAGAACATGAACGTTCCTTCACGTATTTATATACAGTTACTCTTCCATAATTAGGCAATAGGTCAATAGTACAGATCTCGCTCGGAAGAAAGACTGTTTTGCAGATATTTACCACTCACTCGTCGGACATACGACATCCTGTGTTTGCTCATGACAAGATTTCGCCAAATTGCGCATTTCCAGGAGTGTTCTGAACCTGAACTTGAGATTTGAGATGATCAGAAACCGGATTTGGACTGCGGTGAGGCTGCTTGAATTCCGATTGGGTCCTATCCAATTAACCATGTGAAATGAACTGGTGAGCCTCTTGCGGGGTTTTGCGCATTTGAGCAAAACTCATCATGGCCAAGCTCCCAGTTGGCATCTTCACGAATGTCTGATGTTTTGATTGTGATTAAGGATATTGGCGATGTAAGATTTGTCCGCAAAGGAATACGTTCGAAGGTGACCAAATCGTGCATGTTCCGGATATCAGATTCCTCGCATTCCGACCAATTTTCACCTTTGTCAACTACATTCTCATCCGCGAGGCTATCCGGGGAAAGAGATCTCAGGGTAGCCAGGCATGTCTAAGATATTTGGAGCAAGGTTTGTAGGTGTATTCCCAGGAGGCAAACGTCCAAGTCTGCACAGGCAGGAGGCCAGACAACAAGGCAACCTACGGAAAAATGTACTTTGGTTGGGCGATGATGACTACACCTACGACATATGATTACGAAGGTTTGGAGTGAAGATAGCATGGCAGCATCCATTAGCATAATGACGATATCTCTGTGTTGGCCCCACATAGGTGCAAAAGGACGTATCCAGGTTTCTCCAGCTCTGTTACGTTGAAGCGCCTCAGAGATCAGTCATTAGTATCAGCCGTTCATACGTGTGATAATATGTATACTAATTGCAAACAGAGAAAATCGCAATAGCCATTATAGACGAGCCCCTCTGAGCAAAACCAGCTAGAAGCGCCGTCACGGTCGAACAACCGCCTTTCCCTCTTGAGCGAAACTGGATGTGCGTCCGTCCATTCTCATTCGAAACGGATTAGCGTTGTCCCAAACCCAGTTTCCAAATTAGTAGAATATTAATAAGGGTGCTACATTAAAAGCCTTAACTTACGAGCCATGGAGACCCTTGCTAGTGATAACGTTATAGATATCCCCAGTGATATATTATCCTAAGACATTTAGAGTCGTCGAATAGGAAGCCTAAGAGACAGACAGCTAGTAAAGCGACTCTATCTCGTTAGGATATTCCACGATATTGTCCACATCATACCCGTATGCACTTCTATCTTAACTATGCTGGATGGATATACTTGGGTTAGAGACAGTTGGAAAACTAATAGCGACTTCGTGACCCGACAGTTCAAGACCATGAGAAGGCTAGTCGGGACCGGAGGCTTCCCGGTACGTCAAAAGCAGCCCAACAACCGTCTGTCGTGAGGCCAGTCTTCGATATCTAAGCTATAGCAACACTGTCAGACATGCTGCCGCCTGACGCTACCGTAGAGGCTTCTGCTTCAAACTTCTACAACCCATAAGCTCTCTTTTTTGGAGAGATTATGTTGCGGTAAAGGAAAATCAAGTCTACTCGCGTCGATTAGTCACTGTCACAGGAATCTATCGATATCAGAAGCTCCAGTTTGTCCTGAAATAATACAAGCTACTTAAACCAGATGCTCTATTTCCATGTACCATCATCATTGGCCAAGCGTATATCTGTGACGAATTTGTCTTTTAGATTAAAAAAGGCGTCGATGGCGCAAAACGCAAACAAAACATCTTCATTTGCGCGGCTAAGTATGCTGCATATATACTTCGAGATTAGTCAAACTCTGGTCCTGTCTCATTGACATCAAGGCTAATATCAACATCTAAAACTGCAGCCAGAAATCATTAACCCCAAGCTCCATGGCGGGAAGAAACTAATTTAACAGAACCTAACCCGCAGGAAAAGCCAATCCTCCGTCCCACATGTTTCCAGTGTGTTCGTTGTGTAGCCTTGATTTGACTGCCTTTCTATGTCTTAGGATTTGACCTGTATTGTTGATTACTTACTTGGTCACAAACTCATTCTGCTGAGAATTACAACATAGGGAGATGATGTCATGAAGAAGTAGACTAATATAGCGCTTGGATAACGTTACCATGTTTGTTTTCACTCAAGAGCCCCGGTTATGAAGCTAGGCGGTGTTGTATCCCCGGGTGTGATTCGTAGGCGAAGGCTGGCCGATCTGCTGTTTCACGGGTACTTTACCAAACGTAAAACTCCATGGAGAAGCCATCCGAGACGCAAATAACGACGCAAGAACAACACCTAGACGGGGCCCAGTGGGTGATAAACAACAACGCACCAAGTAGAATAATTACGTTATGTCACACTAAAATATCGGGCTGGCCTAGTACTATCTTTCCTTCGCTACGATATTCATTCCGTCACCCACTCGGGGGCGTTGTTCCAGTACAGCATAGCGTGGGCCAGAATTCGACGAATCCCGGAGAGTCTCGAACCAATGTAACCATAAACAGCTGTCCTCAGATTATATGCGTAGTTCTCCTTGGCTTGCACTAGTTGTAGCAGGAACAACGTAGCTGCAGGGGTTCAAAGACGGTTACCTGGAAAGTGGCAAGCCGAAATGAACCTCAGAACGCATGGATGATCTGGGAGAAACATTCGGGCTGAAAACCGATGGCGTTTGGATGTTTTTTCAGATCAATTTCACATGAGTAGACTACTCAAGGCAACTTCATTATTTGTAGGGGTGTGTAGGCTTTATTGTTCGTCTGGGTTGGCAGCCTCAAACGTCAGAATTAACTTTTGGCTTCCTGAAGCCGGATTCGGGTCATCCACCCACCAACTTGACTCAGGACCAATCAAAAAGTAGTGCACGGGCCAGTTTATCGCAGCCTAAGAGCTCGACTCAAACGAAGCTGCAGGCACTCTCCATCATTGCGGGCCCCACGTTCTCATCACCTTGCAGAACTCACCACGGTCAAACAACCTACCCGACGCAATTGCCTTTTACCACCTACGTACCATAAGCGCCAATAGCGTGTAGCACTTGACGTCGTGCCTTCTCCCCTCTTTCCTTCGTCTGCACCTCTAGGCCAGTTCACGATCGAACCTGCCGTGGGTATTCGACATCATTTGCGCCTTATCATGCACCCCAGACATTGAGTGCATCCTATTTTAAAGTATTGAGGCACAGATCAGGTATTTGACCCCATGCACCACCCTAGACCCGCTGACGTTGCGTTGTCCCTTTGCGCCCATCGTCCATTGTTCTTGTTACACTACTAGTCATTTATCGCATCACTTTCCCATTGTTTGCGAATGGCCACCTGATCGTTCAGTCATCTAATAGCTTCCTGTTGCACCTTTCTTCGTTCCTCGCCGCGTGATCAGGCCTGGTTGAAACATACTTTGACTGATAAGCTGGTAGCGACGCGAACCTCGCACCTCATTATCAACACCGAAATCACCCCTCCACCCTCCATCCTGGTATCAACAACGACCATTGCGCATTTGAGCAGTCCAGCAAACTCCCATGCGATCCTGAGACCAAACCCCCTCATCGAAGTATTTTCATCCTCGTTGAAGATTATCAGCAGCTTCCTTCTCGGCATTAAACCGCTGTTCGACACCCCACCCCCGACATCCATCACCTTCACAAATCTGGCAGGGAACAAGCGTCGCAGTCTCTCCTCACAGGGAGGTCTGCTGAATAGGATGTTTGGTGGCGGATCCAGCTCCGCTGCCTCCAAATCCGACTCGGCTGCACCAGAACCAGCAAAAACGGACAAGAAGTCGCCATCACCAGATTCCAGCTCTACGCCCATTAAGACGCCGGACCAGGCGGCCAGTGGTGAGAAGCGCAGTGGAAATGGACAGACTCCGGACACGGGCAACTCGGAGAAGAAGCGCAGAAGTAGTGGTGTGGGATCGAAAGCGAGCAGTCTCATAGCTAGCGCCAAGAACTCGTTGAATTTCTCCCAGGTCGGCCGAACGAACAGCGACCTCAGCGCATCTCAAACTCCCCTGCAGAAGTTGGGCAAACAGGATCCCGCGCTGGCTGTGCCCCAGGGACAGCACAACAACTCGGCGGGCGAGTCGCTTCCTGGCCCTCGATCAACTTTCCGTGTTGGCGTTTGGGAGGACAGAAACAAGAAATGCCGACGTACTATGGAGGATACTCACGCGTTCCTCTACAACTTCCTACATACCCCGGCGCCTCTTTTGACCGCCGATGCCGGCAACAAAAGCACGAAATCGAGCAAATCCGCCGACGAGAATGACGGGCGGAGTGAGACGACACTGCAAGACATGGTGGAGACGGATAATGGCTATTTCGCTATCTTCGATGGCCATGCCGGAACCTTTACCGCAGACTGGTGTGGCAAGAAACTGCACATTATCCTCGAGGACATGATTCGTAAAAACCCCAACATCCCGATCCCCGAGCTGCTCGACCAGACCTTCACCAACGTTGATGCGCAGCTCGAGAAGCTGCCTCTTAAGAACAGTGGCTGCACTGCTGCCATTGCCGTTCTTCGCTGGGAGGATCGCGTCCCGAGCTCAAGCTCCGCCACTGGTTCACAAGCGATTGCCCCGGCAACCGTGGCTGCCTCCAAGGCCACAGATGCGTCAAAGTCCAAGGACAGTAAGTCTGATGACAATGACACCGCCAGTGTTGCTCCAGAGTCCGCTCATGCGAAATTAAAAGGCGCAGCTGCGAGACAACGAGTCCTCTACACGGCAAACGTGGGGGATGCCCGTATTATACTCTGTCGGTCCGGAAAAGCATTGCGTCTGTCCTATGACCACAAAGGTAGTGACGAGAACGAAGGCAAGCGCATCGCGAATGCTGGTGGCCTTATCCTCAACAACCGGGTCAATGGCGTACTGGCCGTAACACGGGCACTGGGAGATACCTATATGAAGGATCTCGTCACTGGACACCCATACACCACCGAGACTGTCATCCAGCCTGATATGGATGAATTCATGATCATAGCGTGTGATGGGGTGAGTACTTGACTTTCTCGATCACCGACAATATTGCTAACGAGGTTCCAGCTCTGGGATGTCTGTTCAGACCAAGAAGCCGTGGATTTGGTTCGCGAGGTTCAGGACCCCGCCTCAGCTGCGAAGCAGCTGGTCGACCATGCTTTGGCTCGCTTTAGCACCGATAACCTGTCCTGTATGATAATACGCTTCGACAAGGCAGCTCTTCTAGAAAGTCAGAAGGACAAGCCCATCGGGGTTGAAGGCGACGTGACCGAACCTGGCTGCAAAATCAGCGAGGCAGAGAAAATCGTCAGCTCGACGAAGCAAAAGATCGCAGAGGGTGGAACCCCAGCTGTAGGCGTGTCAGCTAGCAATAGTGGTCGAGGTCATGATCCGATACCCATTAAGGACGGTGAGACATTCCAGCCAACCGCTTTGGAAGGCTCTGTTGAAGAGGAGCCCGGTCCCTTGGAAGATAGCGATGCACCTGAAGTCACTCCCGACGCCATTCCCGACCCGAATGCCCTGACTTTTATATCATCGGATTCTGATGAGGCTCTTTCTAAACCGAAGGCTACCTAATTTTCCTACCTGTGTTGGGCCTGCAGCATTACGTTCGTTCATGACCCCTGATGAGGGGTCAGCCACAATTTTACCAGAGTCTTTGGGTCGGTCGTCTTTGGGTCGGTCGGCTTTTAGGCCGCCCGAAGGACGGAGGATCATGCTACGTTCTCAGAAACGAGGGAGATCAACGAAGTTCCGTGGTCCTCATTATTTTGGACCAGGGAAACATAACTTGTTTGAGTACAGCTGGGGGCAACGCACATGGAAAAACGGGCAGGAAATCGAAACCAGTCACCCGCAACTGGCGGTGACGAAAGACGAATAGGACAGTGCGAGCTTGCTTGTATGGATCTACGTTTAACTGTATGTGTACCTAGGATTCTGCCTCGATCAAGCGAGGCAGCATGGGGATGACTAGGCTTGTCGAAATGCACAAGCAATAGCAAGCAACGAAATGATGAGCAGCTTTTGTTTTCTCCTCATGTTGATATGTTGAATATGAGTTCTACTTGTTTTAATAGTATTGACCTGCGCTGAGAGTATCTAGTGGCGTGCATCATCAACTTTATTTGCGGGTTTGAGGTTAATAATAGCGTGAGCCAAGGACCGACCGAATAGAGGCGGGTTCTGCATGAGCAGGACATCAATACTGAGTGTAGAAGCAAACGCCTTGGAGCCAGACAATGTTTACCTCAGCTATTACTCCAGCGGCTCGTCTCTATTCCCCGAGTCTCCAAGTTGCATGGGCCCATCAGATCAAGAGACATTCAGCCGACGTGAAGGACGAGCAATGTGCTGATGTCTCCCAGAAGGCCTTGAATCACTGTGCTCTGAACCCTGCATATGATGGCCCTTGGCCGTTGCCAGAAATCTACCTCCAAGGCCCGAGATAACGAGCGCAGACTAATTACCATTCATCCATGCGTAACAACAGCAAGGTTGTACATCTTGGACACAAGCGCACGACGCCGGCACGGGCCGACCTGGGCCGACCTCCCAGCATGCTGGCCCCTGCTAGCCACGCTCTCGCCGTCGTAAGCGTCATCCAAAGGGTATGTCAACCTCGCCTGACCCAACGTCACTCTCAACACCGCAATGATAACCATTTGACTCTGGTCGCTTCACCTACGGCAACGCGGGTGTGCGCCTCGGAGGTCGCTGACATTGTACTGAACGAATATGCTGGAGAAATGCGTCCCATGTGTCGAGCGCGCCTTCGTGTACGTGTGACGATGCCGATTTTTCGGTGAACGAGACTGCTGGCACCGCGCATTATAATGCCACGACTGCTAGGTACGCTAATTGGACCTGCGAATACATTGGTTGAGCCGTTAGTTAATTCGGGACCGGTGCTGGCAGCCCGGGGTGTGTTTGGGGATGCGTATGCAAGAGAGCCTCGATGGACTGGGGAGGACTTTGCGGTGATCCGGACACCGGTTGATAGGACAGGGAGACGGATGCCGGGACGCGCCGGTAATTTGGCCCATGCATGGTGCTGAAGGAGTTATCACTAGGGGTACGGCTAAGCGGATGCATGAGTGGACGCGTGGGTCAGCGTCAGTGATGTGGCTGGATGTTTGTTAGTATGCTAAGCATTGCGTATGCGAGTCCCGTAGTGACAGCAGACTGCCTAATTCCAGGGTGCTGCAAAACTCGGATACACACAATCATGTCCTCGATGAGTTTATGCTGTGCGAGCATGAATGCTATGGGTCCGGCTGCTTCGCCCGATATATATTCGGCCGGTCGTCATCGAAGCCCTTGCATTGCGTAGATGAGCCTGACGAGAGGGGTTAACTTCAAGCCGTAGGGCCAGCAATAGAATACGAGTAATTTTACCACTCTTAGTGTTGTCGTTAGAACCTTCCAGGTCATAAGACTTGGCCATAGTCGAGTAGAGTGGTCGGTTGCGATCTCGATATTTCCCTGGGGCAAGGCTATTGGTACTGGGAAGATGATGGTTCTTGCTCTTAGCAAACTATCCCAAAAGGGACACTTAAAGACAATGCATGCGTCCGTCCCAGGTGCTATTATACTGGCATTCATATAGTGTGACTGGGTAGCATTTGAGTTCATCAGATCGTGCCGCGAGTTCTAAGACCCGCAGCTAAGTGCAAGCGAGCCTCTCAGCTTGGCTACGCGCCTTAATTGCGCGAACAGCAATAGTAACACCAGTATTGTGATCATAGATTTTAGCAGCTTGGCAATTTTCCTTGTCACAGGTCATAGCCGAGCCTAGTGCTGTGTGCACTCACGCAGCAGGGAAGTTTGGAAACACGCAATATGGAAGCGTGTTGTGATACCCCGCCTATCATGCCGACAGACGTCAATTGCCAGCGCTACTGCAAGTTCCAGGGGAGGTCAAAGCGTCGGGGAAAATGACCTCTCTCGTCCCGGCAGCTTGAAGAACGTTGACCAGGTTTCGAGGCAAACGCCGTCGTGCTATCATCAGGCCAGACGCAAGATGTATCAAAACCTGGGAGGGCCGACGGTCTGGGTCTCGAGAATTGAAGTGGGGGAGCATGGTTCACGAGCAGTTGCCCGTGACGTGCTGCTTATTGTGTACCCCTAATGACAAGCTGCGGAAGAGAAGGTGGTCGTCTCAAGGTTTCGCGCCGGTGGATGACAGATCTGCCAACACCTACTAATGCGCCAACGTCTGATCTGATTTGTTTCGTTTCTTTCGGCATCGCCGCCATGTGTCTCCGCAGTCTGATGAAGTGCGTCAGATTGAATGCAGATGAGGAGTGCCTGCCTGGCCCGCCGCAGCATATGTGATATATCTCATTTTGCTTCCGGTAAAACCAGCAGTTGTTGATTGGATATTCGCAGTTGGCAGCTGAGCAAAAGGGCCTAGTTGCAACAGCAAACAGCCCGAGAGTCCAGATCCGGTCTCGCTTGGGAAGGTGCATGTGCTGGCAGTTGCACTTCATCAAAATATCGAGCGATAGCAGTCCACGACGAGTGGAAGATAGCGCCATCGTCTGTTCTCTCATCGAGGCGCTTACATCGTGAACTTCCTGGAGGCGAGGCCACGGACTCGCCATATGCGCCCGTCCATTATACCCTGCTGTCCACGATTGCAACTGCCTCCAGGTGCGCATTGAGCAAGAGAACAAACAATCGTCTTCTGAGTAGGCGGGTTTCAATATACGAACGATGGCAAAAAAAATGGACAAGTAAACATCTCTTGCAGGCATGATGGGCCCTTCTGTACTTCGTAGATTGTTGGCCCTGGATTGGCTGCAAAGCATTGAAAACCATGCTAGTACATAGTATCGCCGTAGCGTGGTCTGCAACTTCGAAATTACTGGATGAACACGTCCCATTCAGGGGAAGTGCCAGCCAAAAAGGCTGCTTTCTGTTCCTGGCACTTGCCTGTTGTGGTTGTACTGCAGCTTTCCAAATGAACTTTTGGCTAAAAATTGAATTTCTCTGGCAAGGAGCCCCGGTCAACCGGTCTTTTTTTTTTTCTGCATCTTTGTTGATTTGATTGTTGATTCTGGCGCCCCCCCCCTGGGGAGCGAAACTATGATCATCTCAATTCAACCGATCGCACTTGACAGTTCTGTTCATGTGGACATTCATTTCGCCTGAAATGATTTGAAAAAGTGTACGGCATTTCCTTTCAACACCACGTGCTCCATTGGCCCGTCCTGTGGTCCTGCTTCCTGCTTCATCTGTCTCACCCCACATAATTACCCAAGTACTTTGTAGATGCGCCTACGATAATTCTCCTATAATCTAATCCATGCAGCGCCGGCTCACGCCCCCCTGCTCTATATCCCTCCAACCCCTATCGATATCCCTCCATCAAATATTGGTATCCCTCCTTAGCGTTTCGGCCATTCTTCTGCGGCTTTATGATTCTCGTGTGTAGCATCGCTCGCAGCCCTCCCGTTGTACGCGATATCCTTTCTCATTGATGAACATTCCCAATTACCTGGTGCAGTCAGTAATTGCTGCCGCGAATGCTGCCCCGTCCGCTATCATCCGTCGACTAGATGTCGGTCTTTCGCCGCCACGCATCCGACTCTGAAGGTACCCCTGAATTGGCTCTTGATGATTGGGGCTGCACCCCAACCCGCGTCTTGGAAATCCAGTAACCGACTTCCCAATCGAACCGCGAAACGTCTCTGTCTGCTGAACGAACACCCACGGTCTTGTCCGAGGATCGAGGATGTCACTGAATGGGTTGGACCATGCGACGATCCGCGAGGCGCACGAGGCCGCTGCCGCCGAGCCTGGAGGATGGTATGGCATTTCTGGAATTCACCTCTCCCAGCCCGGTCTGCGCTTGATGGTCGGTCGGGATCCCACGTGGTGTCATGTCACCTGGTGTCCCGTGATACATTGGTTTAGACGTTTCCGCGCCGTCCCCAAACGTTTTAACTGCTTCGCATTACTGACCCAAACTTGGCTTGACATAGGTTCCTCCTCAAATATGCAAGTCGCGACGAGATCGATGTCTATACCCGGGGAAGTGGTGGCATTGTTGAGATTCGTAATGCCATTGCGAAGTACGAGGAGCAGTCGCCGCTGTATGGCTTTCTCAAATACAGGCGGAGGAATGTCATCTTGAAGTACCAGCCCGAATCCTGCTCCAGGCTTGTCCAAGGTAAGATAATGGCATATGTCTGGCTGCATGGTAGTGTGAAAGACCAGTGACATAGACGGCTGCTAACATGACATCCTGCAGCCCGTGCAGCAGTCCACTTCAATGCCGTGTGTGACAGGTTCTCACCGTACGACACGACGTTTGAGATGGCAGAGGCCAAGGATCTCAAGGACACAAAGCTCTCGGCCGCTTGCTCCCTCCATACCCAGTCGGGCTCAACTTCGTCGTCAACAAGCTCACTACGTCGCCGGAGGTTAATGGAGATCACGGAAGAAGAGGAGGAAGAAAGAGAACGGAAAAGACAGTCAGTAGATACGGGGATGGGGGACAATGGCGCTCCTTTATCAACAACTGAACCTCCGGTGATTTTGGATTCGCAACAAATCCATGCACCCCAAGAAACGAATTTTGCCTCGACTACTGAACCACCCACATTCAGTGGCGGGTCACGTCCGACCTCACCTACAAAATCAGATTGTGACTACGGCGACCGCTTATCCTCGCAGTCAGCCCGTCCTAACTTGTATAGCTACTCTAGCTACACGTACGGTAAGCCCAAAGTGAGACTCGCCCCTCGACCATCTCTGGATATCAACAAGAGGCCGCACACAGCGGGCAACTTTAGGCCCGTTGCCACTGTCCCGGCGGGATTCAAAATTTCTTCAAAGGGTTCAAAGAAAGGCAAGACGGACGACCAGACACCTGATGAAGATTTGGAAAGCTCCAAGCATGCGACGAAGGCTTCGCAGGCAATTCCCGAACCGCACCAAGACTCATTACTACCACCACGACCTGCCACAAGCTCTGGAGCTTCCATGAAGTCGGTTTCATCGATTACGTTATCGACGATCAAGGAGAATAAGATGACACCCGAGAAGGCGCGTCTGATGAAGGCGATGAAGTTGAGGCAGCAAAAGCAAAAGATGAACGTCATATCTGACGAGACAGTACCGGCCAACGATGCGCCGAGGCCAGATGAAGATCTGGACGCAGCTACGGCAGAACAAGAGGAGGCAGAAGACAAGCCAGCGGACACGTTGAGGTCACAAGTGGACGATGCTGGGACGGTTTCAAATGCGGATTCTGGTATCGCTATTGACTTTCCCACACCCATGACCGTTGATGCCGAAGCGCACACAGAAGACACATGTACGGATTCGCGCCCAGCATCTCCCACAGCCGCTTCGTCCGAGATTGGTGATTCCACGAAAGCATCGTCATTATCCGAGTCCACCGATGAGACCATTCAGCATGCCGGTAAGGAATCTGATGGGGAGGAAGAGGACATCGACAATGATGCGCCAGATGTCCCAGAGACCCTTCGCATGGTCGTTGAAGAGGCGGTGACGAGTGATGATCATGTGGAAACTACCCCACCGGTCCCCATTCCAGAGCCCGTTGAAGAACCTAAGATTCAAACAATCGAGGGGTCCGATATCCTAGTGCAAGAAGATGCGCCGGTCGCTCAGGAATCTCTGGAAATTCTAGAGACAAAAAAACCGACCACAACATCCAATTCTCATGCTGTCCTCGAGTCCACGGAGGAGAGTAGGGAAGCGAATACGGATGCGGCGCGGGAAGAGACGACACGGGAAATGAAATTAGATGTTCCTACGCAGGGAACTGAACTGCCTCCCAAGGAAGAGGCCGCTTCAGCACCATCTCCTTACGGTATACCACTATCCAGATTTTCGACCAATGACGCAAAGGCGTCAACAACATCGACTCTCAAGTCCAGGTTCTCCACTCAAGATCTTAAGGCTGCTGCCGATCCAGTACCCGCTCTCAACACCACTGCTTCCCCGCCGCCCGTGCCTGAGAAAGACAACGAGCCAGTAAAAGTAGAGCAAGGAGCGGGTGTACCTGTCGCGAACTCCGAGGTCTCACCGCACCCGGCACCAATACCGGAAAAGTCCTCGACGCGAAAGATTCTTGAACCTATTAAGACCGACTTGGCCAAGAACACACCTTTCTCCGAAGTCTCGGACCCGCTGCTCGATGACGATGCACTCCTCGATGAGTTACAAGCCGCACGAGTCGAAGAAGCAGTCATGGTTTCCTCCAAGTCGCCCACCAAATCCTCGTTCCCGCCCTTGAGCCCCATGACGTCGCAGAGTGGGACAAAGACGCCGCCGCTGCCACGATCAGTTTCCAACCCCATGCGTGGCCCGCTCCTGGCCCCGGCTGACATCAAATCCAGCTCAGCAAGGAGTGTCTCGGCAGGAGGCGCCGCTTTCCTACACAACGTGACTCGGCAGTCGTCCAATGCCGGACTGCAGGCCAAGAAGAACAATCTGGGCTCTAGCATCTCCCAGCGCATCAAGGCGTTGGAGCAGCTTTCTGGGAAGCCTAAAAACGCCGAGGAACCGCGGCCGAGATCAGCAACACCGTCTTCGACTTTTTTCACCGTTCGTAAGCAGAGCGTGCGAGATGGGTCCAAGTCGCCCTCGATTGTGGACCGTGCAAATTCTATGACGGGCTCTATGACTGGAACCATGGCTGGCAGGGCTCCAACCCCGGATCAATCTAGAGAAGCTTCTCTGGATAACCCCAATGCCTCCGACAGTCGGAGGAGGTCCGGCTCAGTGGCAAGCAGACTTTCCATGTTCGAAGTCCCGGCGGTCAACGGCCCCGGGGGTCGACCAGAATCCATTCAAGTCATAGCTCGGATCGTGAGGGACCCGAATCAGTCTTTCCCTTGGAAACCCGAGGTTCGCAAAGAGCCCGCTGACTTCGCCACGGCTGAGCTGAAGCAATCGCCCTTGGTCATTGATCATCAGAGGGCTGAGCATGTTCCGCCAAGTACACCTATTCCCGAGCCGCAGCTCCCGATCGTCGAGGCACCCAAGGAAACCATCCAGGAGAGGCGCTTGTCCAAGGATAGGAAGTCCTTGTCGGAGGACTGTGCCGATGGGAAGAAGAGACGACCTTCATTGAGTATTGTTAAGGACTTTATTAAGGATCGCCGTGTTTCCCTGTCTACCAAAACTCTCTCGACCGACAATCTAGGGGCTGTTTCTCCAGCACCGACCGTGGCCAAATCCCCTTCAAGGCCACCATCAGCCCACCATCCTAGTGGGACAAGCATTGCGCGTCGTCTTTCCATCTCTAGCCGACGCTCATCCTTTAACAAGGAACGTGATGGTCCCACTCTCATGTCTCCCTCGGCCTTGAACGATGCCGGCTCTGGCGATGATGACAAGTCGAGCCTAAATAAAACCAAGGGTCGAGCCTCGCGCTTCATGCGCCGCCTGTCCAACTCTTTCGTTGGTGCTAGCCGTAAGAACACTACCCCGAGCATCTCACCGACGGTTGCTGAGGAAGAAGCCGACTCCGCCCCTGCCGCAGCCGCGGCCTCAAAAGTTGTATCCAGTCCAGACTCGTCTGCGTCTAACGTCTCGGCGTATTTAGGCGAAGTGAACGTGCAATTCCCGGAAAACCTGCTCTGGAAGCGTCGGAGTATGTGCCTGGACTCGCAGGGCTTCCTGATCCTCAGCGCTGTGCAAGGAGGGCCCTCATACGGGAAGGAAAAGACCGGTGTGAAGCGCTACCATCTCAGCGACTTCCAAAAGCCATACGTACCCGATGTTGAGTTGCAGGAACTACCCAATAGTGTTGTTCTAGACTTCGTCGAAGGTTCTGGACTGCAAATTGCTTGCGAGGATAGACAAGGGCAGCTTCATTTGCTGCACAGTAAGTTGCACTTACGAGAGTCCATTTCATAACTCAGTTGACCATGACATAGTCCTCGAAGATGCGCATCGGAGCCACTCGTCATTCGGGCAATAAGTACGACCTGCCCAACCCTCCGCACCCCCCTTTTTCCCCTATGGCATCACAACCAGCCCGCTGCATCGGCAGCATTCAGCCATTCGCCCATTACGTCTCACGACAGATACCCACATCGCTTCTTATTTCGCCAATTTTATCCAAAAAAAAACCGCATCGCATGCAATCTCCTTTGTCTTACAGCATCGACGCAGTCAGGCACCCTACTCGCGTCGTCTCTACCCCTTCACGCCGTGTCCGATTTCATTAGAGAAATCAGCACGCATAATATGCAGCTTGACAGCTACACTACAGCTCTTGTGCCATTTCTTGTAGCACATGAACTTTTGACTCTCGAAGAGTTTGTTTTCGTCTTTTTCTTTCGTCAAAATCTATACATGTCTGCCCCTTTGCGGAAATGCACCATGATACCACTTCGACGCATTCTGGGTGGGCACTTTTTGTTGTTGAAAGGAGGTAGTTTTGTGTTGCGGGAGTTTTGGCACTGGACGTGCTACTACTAAAAGTACTACGTCCACACCGCCCTCCTGAGTGGGAGAAAATAAGCAGAAGAGGCGTAATCAGGGAGGGAAACGATACCACCGTGGAAATGTTACCACATTTGGTGGTATGGGGAAGGGGGAAGGAGAGAAATTGGATGGATGATATATCCATGTACATATCAGTACTGTTGAATATTATTGCCCATAAGACCATGAACACTTCGCAGCTCTGCTATCTCCCAGTTAACCACTGCTCTCGTCCACTTGAGGTATGAGTAAAAGGTATGAATGAAGGTTTGATGTTCTTTGGTTTGATTAGGTGACGTTCCTAGTAGCAGATGTGGCATACGTGAATAGGTATACATTATCCCTGTGTCTAACAGTGGCATAACCGGACTGAACATAGGTCGTGTTTGGACAGACGACGTCCAGGTTATTCCACCGTTCTAAGGTCCCACTGATGACACCTACTTTAAATATCTTCAACCTAGTATACTGATAGACTCCCTGGACTCGGCATTCTTAAGCAAAATCTCTCAGCTGGTCAATCTCTGCTTCGATCATGGTACTCACGAACCCCCTGAGCGGCCGTCCAACGCCTCACAGATCATGTACAAACGCTCTTCCCGCCTAAGATTTCTCCCTATGACTACGGGGAAATAGTCTTGCCAACCCAAGTAATCCTGCATAACCATCCTGCTCAATCGCCCGTTGCCGCCAGGAAATGGATGGATGCGAACGAAATAAGCCATTGCTTGGTACTTGAGCACAATGGAATGAAGCTGGCACCACTGCTTCTCGGCATGTGCCTTATTGCGCCACTCGAAGAAGCGCTTCATACAGGCGGGAACTTCGATATGGTACAGGAAGATTCGTAGGGGGTTGGTTCGAGTTGATGCAGGGGTTTTTTGGTATACGCCGAGTTGGACCCGTCTTTTTTAGAAGAGCTATTCTTGCTTCTCTAATAGCGGCCGTAGACCTGTATTGCAGCCCACAGGGGAGAGTGCGGAACATCTGATGTATGTTCTAAGGTATCACATCCGAGTGCTTAGGGTGCTGGAGACTGCCCTGTAATTAATATTACCGTGTTTAGGAGATCTCCGTTTCTAGCTTTAACGACAGTTATTGGTACATTCTTATGAATTATTCAAGTTTGCTCTGAAGCTGCTAGTATGTATGTTTGATACAGAGTTTCTATAATACCGGCCCAATAGGTTTTATACTCTCATAATAGTCAGATATACCTATGCGAGAGTCATAGGCCAACCGAATAAAGTCATACCTTAGAATATGAATAACCTAATAAAGTACCTTAGTCAAAAGACTGCAACTATAGGAGCCCTCAAGACACTTGAAGACGCTAGCTTATCTAACACAACTGTGCCAAAAGGAATCCGCACATAACGCTCTGGGTGATGATTCTGTCGTCTTTCTTCTTTTTGTCTTCGATAAGCTAAAGTAGCCTTTTTAAGAAATTCGGGGTTGGCAAAAGTCAAGATTTTCCCGGATGTCAAAGTAATCATACTTCAGAATAACATTTCCACAGAAGTGATATAACCAACGGAGAATTTTATCGCAACTATTAAAAGAGACTTCTCTAATATATAAGTCGAGAAAAATACCGCTCTACTAATACTACCACAAAATTCGGGACTGGATTCTGCCCCTGCATGAAATAGTGATGCTGCACCAACTTTTAACACCACATTTTTAGACTAAGTGCAGACAATAGATATTGCGTCGCCTTTCTCTCGATATATGACGGCACCTGAATCGTAGTCTTTCTCTCGTAGTCTCCTCCGAGGAAGTAGGCTCTGTACATTGGGTCCTATCGAAGAGAGCCGTCGCGATTCAAGTCTTCCAGTAGACCGCACTGTGAGACAATATGGCCAGGCATGGTGCAGAAGAAACAGTTCCTGGTCGTCATCCCCATTAATTCGGATAAGGACGGCGTTGTCTGGTCTCGTAGTCGTACAGCTGTCCTTGACGAGGGATGCCTCGGCTCATGTCCGTATTTCCTTGGGCCTGGTGTACGAGTGGCTGATAGCCCCAAGGCTGCTGCGGCTGGTATATAGTTCTCGAGTCGTCCGTCTGGTGTCTCTGATCAGACGGACCCTCTTGGCTCAGTCGTATCTGCAAGGCTCTGATCTGCTCTGTGAGGGCAGTCGAATTTAGCTGGCTTTCATCTTGTCCATCTCTCTTAGGTTGCTCAAAGGCTACCATGTTGCCCTGATCAGACGAAAAAGGTCTGTCCGTTCGCTTGTTGTGGATATCCAGATTTATCTTAGTCCTCGCCCATCCTCGAACCAATTCCTGGGCGAAGAGGTACTTTATCTTGAAGATCTCTATGTACGTCATATTAGCTTTTCGTATAATATCATCAAGACTGTCGCTGTGGATTCCCTCAAATAAGCCTCGAGTGCACTCAAGGTCGCTTAGGACTCTTGTAGTACCCTTCGTCTCACCAACCCGGATGCTATGATCAAGACAGTACGTATAGATCTTCAACGGATTCGACCGCTGTGGCTGGTTTTCGAGGTCTCTGAGGCGATGATAAGCACTTCGAGGTTGTCTAGGGTCTCCGATTGCAAAGGTACCTTTCAGAGCCTTCACTACGGCATTCCAACTGTCAAGTTGATCGATAGCGTCCTTCACCCTCTCTTGATGTGCCTTGTCCTTAGTCCAATATTGGATTTCAGTAATATTTTCAGCATCACTGAGTCGAGCTCTCTCAAAGATTCGAGCGACCTGTTCAACCTAGTCGGATACGCCATCCGCGTCAAAGCGGAGGTGTGGGTATTGCGCCACATAGAGGATCATACATAGCATAGTAAAAGCTCGAGGCCATCTCGATCGGATTCTCGGTGGTCTTGACGGAAAAGATCTGGACGGGAGTGGTCTGATCAGACCTAGATGAACAACGAATTTCGTGATCGTGGACGTCGTCAATTGATGTGGTGGTGAGAAAAACTGGTCCGTCTTGCGTATTGCTTTCCAATCTTCGCTGTGCGATCTCTTTGTCGACTCTGGAAAACTTTCGTAGGAACTATTCTTCCATGGGTTCTGTCCTAATGGTCATATCTCTGTGTCTGAGTCTCTCTGTCTTCTTCAGAAAAGGAGTGTTGAAGCTATGGTGTCCGGGTCCAATCCCGTACTACTCTTGCTTCCCCTTTCTCCTTATATTCCTTAGTCCGATGCCGCTCGTCGTGTCTGTGTATCCTCTTGTCTTCCAAATAAGAGCTCAAGAGCTGCATGCTAAGTCTCAACACTTTAATAAAAGCCAAACTTAATCTGCAAAGTTCACGGCCAATTTCCGCTGTTACTTTCCAGACCTCATCATTCCTGAAAACCCAAACATAGTGTTGAATGGACCCCATCCATGTCTTATTTGAGGCTATCACAGCTTCGAAGTCCCAATCTCGTTGGTCTGATCACCGCGGCATTCCATCGGTAGTCTCGAGGGCCTGCATTTCTTCTTCGATTCCCACATTCGCTGCCCTCATCGTCGCCTCATGGCCAGAACCTTCGGGTCCCCGCCCCCCTAAGTTTGTTGGTCTCGGCTCCATTTTCGAAGCTCTCGTGTTCTTGGCAGCTAGAAGCATTTGGGGGTCCCCATAATGCCCTCTTCACAGCTGACCTGCTGTCTTCCATAATCGCGATAGAACAAGAGACCCTGAAAAATGCAGACTGCTGAGCGAGAGACTCAGTGTCGTGAAGAATCTGAATTGTGTTGCCTCCCTCTGGTCACCAATGAAACGGGGTCAGGCGGTCAGTAGGATGTACCTACCACCTAACACTATGAATAAACGGCTCCAGCACCAACAGTACGTTTACCAAAAATGCGTTACCCACAGGTATATTTTACACAACTGAGCCCATAGAATAGGAGCAAAGCAACTGATCACCTGTTGCATCACCTTGCACCGTTCCAGATATCCGGCCTTACCCCTGGAACAACAGACCACTGCTCCGCCGCAAATTCGAGCTCGCCATTCTGCTGCATAACATCCGGATCAACATAAACATTCAACGCCATCTCCCTGCTCCCAACCTTCGACACCCTGAAGACCACATACACCGTATCCGGGTTTTCTTCTCCCAGTCTTCCATTGGACATGTTACGCATCTACTCAAGTCAGCCTGTCAGTCCCAGTTGCTCCCCATACTGACACAGAAACATGCTTCACACAAAGTAAGGAAAACTCACCCTTCTGTACTGCGACTTGCTCATAAAGAATGGCGTCTCGCTGCCCATCGTAGTAGACTTGACTTCGATGAAATACTTGGGTCGGCGACCCCTCCAGATGACAGAAGCCAGGCAGCCGCTGTCAATAAGCAAGTCCGTCAGCTTACCTTCAATATCATGATACGTGATGTCAGCCGTCTCGCGCCCGATCCAAGGAGGCATGTCGGCGTAGTCCGGGTGCACAGTGACGTATCGCCGAATGGTGCTCTGCCAGTTTTCACGCGAGAACCCAGGGAGGTTGGGATCGAGATGGGATAGGAGTTCGAAGACCTGGGCGGACGAAGAGTTAGCATAAAGTGTGGTTTGGAGTTGGGAGCCTTGGAAAAAAGGGAGGGATGTAATACGTACGAATAGTTCCCCAGCGGCGCCGATCATCCTGTCACGTTCGAATTGACTGGTAGAGCGAAAGTGGAAATAATCCTGAGGGGCGTCCGTCGTTGCAGTAACTTGAGGCAGTGCGTTCATTAGCGTAGACATGTCAAAGCTGTCCCGACGGGGAAGAGTGGCACTACGTGCCGCAGTCAGGACTGCGTCCAGCAATTTGAGGTACTTCGAAGCCGGACCTTGACCATTCAGATCCGAGTTTGGACTAGGAGATGGCTGTGGTGATGGAGAGAAGAATGGATACTGCACAGGTCTCGCTTCTTGTGGTGCTGAGGCACCTCTTCCTAATCGGCTGGACGAATAGACGGCAGCCTGAATGAGTCTATGCGTCCTTGGACTTCCTTCGGAAAAGACAGATGAGGCTGGAGTCTCAACTGCTGAGCTGTCAGTATCGTCAGACCCTAATTCTCCTGGTGTCACCACCCCATGAGCTTGGTCAGAGTCCGCTGTTGGTGTACTAGGCCGCAAAACAACAGCAAGCTCGGGAGCCTTGTCTTCATTTATCTCTTCAGGAGGCTCCTCGAGGAAGTCCAACTCCGTGACACCATTATTTCGGAGCGAAGTCGAGACCACCTGAACGGAAGCATTCAGAACGCTTCCGAGCACACGCACAGCTTGTTCACTATGCTGAGTGGGAAGTTTAGGAGCGCTGCCCATCATGATCCACTCAAACATGCGCTGGGGGAGCACATCAAGGTAGCAGCTTTCCTGGCGGGCGATATCCCGGGGCACGTAGACAATCAAGTGGCCCTGCTTTTCTTCGATATGAAGTTCACTTTGCGACTGCCTGACGCGCAGGGTTTTTTCATCTTGGAGGAGTTGCAGCTCGGAAGCAATGCCATCTGTTTCAAGCACAATTGTGCTTCTCAAGGTCTCGTATAATATTTTGGGGTCGCCATCAATCCTGGGGCTGTTAAAGTGTTTGGCGATGCTGGAATGAGTGTCAAGATGAAGTCCACAAAGAAATTGAGTTCAGAAGTAACTTACCGGCTCAAGGCATATGCTTTCGTTTTCAGGTCTCGTCGTGGGCATGAGATGGCAGTCCCGCTGTGGCCCAAAAGCGTCGACTTTTCGCTAACACACGAGGAGACACGGCGGGAGTCGAGTCCGGCCCATGTAAGAGTCGGCTGCAAGCGGCGTACTTCATCAAGACTGAAGTCGAGAAACTTAGCACTATCCGCAAACGCTTCCCAGTAATGCTGGCGGTCGTTGACTGCAAACTCCTCTTGGAATGTGCAAAGTGAGCTATTCCCGTTTCGCTTGACAGGAAACACAAAGGCTTTCTGGACGGGTACAGGATCTGGCAGTTTTTCAGTTGGCGATGACGATGCCAGCAACGAGTTGAATTCCCAGATCGCTTGTTTCATACTGGGAATTTCGGTGGCTTGCGTGGCACCTAGTCTGATGAGCTCCTTATACACCATTTCTAACGTCAAAGTCGGAACACCTAGGAAGTCCACCATGAATACCTTCAAGTCCTGGTACATGTTGTTTAAAATCGTCTTCCCCTGGATTTGGGTGGCGCTTGACCACAGGCAATCTGGAACCTTGCGCCAGCCATCCGGAGCACATATGTAGTCATTGAACCAGAATTCGTTCCTAACTTATGATTAGAAAGAGACAATGAAGGCCCGAAGGTGTGTGCATCGCTTACTTGATCCTAGCCTTTCCCTCTTTTGACAACTTTGGGGCCAAGCGAGCGAGATCCTGATACACCGCTTTCGCTCTTTCCCTCTCGTACTTGATAGACAGTCTCAGGGCTTTCAGCTCATCAATCAGGTCGCCGCATGTGCAATTTTTTATATCAAGCGTTGTCTTGAGGAACTCTGTGAGTATGCCACGACCTGGTTGTGTCTCACCGAGGAAATCTTGGAACACAAATTCGACTGGACGAGCAGTGGTCATCAATGGAGAAGCATCCCAGCGGCAGCTGCTAGGGCTGACCCAAGCCGATGTGTGCAAGTCTTTGGAAGGCAGCAGAAGCAGAGAGCCTTTCTCGAATTTCGCTCTTTAGAAGGTGTCAGTACTTGAAATATCTGCAAATGCGAATACGCCTTACCTGATGGTCTCTTGGTGGGTTTCCCGCCCAGTTCTCACTTGTGACATGGAGTAAATCATCTTGTACAAGTCGTTAACTTCATCTTGGTCGACAAGTTGTTCGGCAAGGTTGAGTTCGACAAGTTCAGAATCTCGACGTGCGACGTGCTCAAGCATCTCCAGGTAGAAACCGAGGTCATCGTGTTTGCCGACACCAAAGGCAGTGTGCAAGAAGTCCCAGGCACTAAGATCATCTGGACACAAGGTATCATCGAAGCTCAGAAATGGGAAGTCATCAGCGATTTGGTACTCTTCGCACCGCTCTTCCAGATCCGAAATGGGTAGGTATGTATTTGACAGTTTTTCGAACTCGCCGTTCCCGCATGGGACCTTGGTTTTTGCAATTTCATCGCGGATCGAATCACTCGCCATGACGTCCTGTTGGATCGATGCCCAGTGGAATTGCAACAATCCAAGAAATTCTTCAGGACGATGCTCCATTACGTAACGACACACGCTTGTAAGTGATCCATCCCAGGTCAACCGTGGATGGTTGCAGATCCCAAGTTCGCTCCGCAGCCATTTGCGCCAGGAACCGATTCCGACAAGGGGTTCTGTTGAGTTGAGTGGCGACTCCAGATACGCAGGTACCAAGAAAGGCACCTGGAATCCTGGTGCACCCTTTGACTCGCCGGGTATCGAGGCGACTTGACCAAGCAGTCGCTTTGCGCCGTAACGATGATTGTGAGCAATGTAGACATCCGCTGAGTGCGGCATCTTCAGTGACCCACCCATAGTGATGACCGAAATCGAGCTGTATGCCTGTTTTTCATCGTGTTGGCGGTTGTGAGTTAGGTAGAGGAACGATAGATGTGCCAGCGAAGCCTTTTCGGGGTACAATGAGTTCCCGAAGAGCAACGCCAGGTTTGAAGACTTTGAGTATATCTCAAAGATAATCTGACGCACTTGCCGAACGGATAGCTCGATTGCACCGAGTTTTGCAAAAAGCAGCCGGCGCTCCGGATTTTGGACAGCCGACTGCTGTATCAGTTGGAGATCCAGATCGGTAGGAATGACCACGCCCTCAACGGTTGGGAACGCGATAGGAACAGAACTATCGTCGGCCGATATCCATCCTCCTCTCTGAGTAGGGATAAGCGGCATTTTTGAAACCCGATGCCGATGGCACGGCCTTAGCCGTCTGCCATCTTCGGTGAAGGTATAGATCAAGCTCGAAGCTGCTGCGGAGTGCCACTCTTCGTTGGTGGCCAGGGACTTCATCCTTGAATTCGGGCTTCCAAGATCTGCCATGGCACGGTCGAGAATTTCGCTCATAGTAATCACAACAAGACGGTATTCAGTCAGCTTGGCCAGATCCGAAGCGACATAGTGTTTCGAGAGATACCTCTCGGGGTTGATGTCTTCAAAGATGGCCTCGCCGTTGTGGTAGGTACTTTGCTCGCTATGTCGCCGCATCTGTCCGATCAACTGCAACTGGCCTTGGCTCAGGGGTCGCAAGACCGAGGCACTTGCTAAGTTGCCTTTGATTTGATCGACAAGCTTGCTCCAGTAGCCATCCCAGGGGAAGTCGTCATGTTGAGGTAGGTACCTCATCCAGCGGTACTGAAGTGTGTCGTGGTCGCACATCTGGCGCATCGCCTTGACGAAAGCCTCTGCTATTCCCCCAAGCAGGCCGACGTTTCGGGCAGAGGTTGTGACGATGTCTTGACGGTTGGCCTGTGTCACAAAGTCCGTTTGGATCAAGAACTATAACAGTTAGTACTTTCTTTTCCTTCTCGGCCATGAAGAAATAGAGATAACGGTTGGTTTGCAACTCACCTTGAAGCCCATGTTGCGAATCGGTAGAAAAGCGAAAATGTTCTGCGCCTCGGTAATTGGAACGGATTCCTCTGTCATCGGGAAAGCCAGGACAACTTCAGCCGTCGAATAAGCTTTGTTTGTCTCCTCTAATACAGAATATTCTCTGTTCTCATTCCTGGCAAGGCTTGTGGCGACATGTTTGGTGACATGGTAGTACGTGTCATGCATGGTACCGTTGTCGCACATTTTGCGTAATTGGGTGCGTCTTGTGCCTGAGTTCGAGCTGTGAACAGTATATGTTGTCGAGGAGGTCGTCTCGAGTTTCTCGTTGGCATGATTGATGTCTATGCGTTTGAGGTTCTTCAGAAACAATAGATGAGTGGCTTCGATATCCTGGAACTGCTTCGAGATGGTCTCGCGTAGTTCCGCCAGGTCCGCCTCGTGGCCAGTGTCGTGGAGGTCGAGGGCTATTCTCGTCACTCCAGGTTTTACTTGCTGATCCGGTTCTTCCCAGGTAGGCGAGATCATGCCCATTCCTGAGTCATTGCGCCGGTGCTGGAAGTAGAACGAGAAGTTGCCCGATTGGATGCGCACTTTGTATGCTGCCATGAACACAGACTTGAAGCCGATGCCTTTCTCTCCGATGTACCCCTGGGCTCCGGTCTTGGAGCTTTTGCCAATGTTACATATGGCTTTCAGGTTTTCTTCTGAGAAACCGTCCTCATTGCACTCGATGATGATGCGCGATGGACTCATTGTGAAAGACACGTACGGATCCACACCCCTTGCATAAGCTGTAGAGTAATGGTTGTCATCGGCATTCTGGAGAAGTTCGAAGACAAAGCGAGCACTACTCGTGTACAGGTTCTTCGCCAGTCTTACATAGACGACTGGTCAGCATTTGATTGTGAGATAAAGTGGGTGGGAAATTGTACGTAATTGCTGATGAGCCGATCATCTGATCCTTCTTGGACATGGCGTGTATAACCCTTTGTTTGATCTCCGGTGGCAAGGCTTTGAGAACTTCCTCGCCTAAGTATCCATGGTCATCCGTGATCTGCTCGACGAGCGCCTTTGCTTCCGCTCGCGAAGACACCCTGCTGGAACTCATCGCGCCAATGTGATGATCCCCGGAACAGACAAAAGGATGGACACGGTTCGAGAGCCTCGGCTTCCGGAAAATGAAAACGCTGATTCCTAGTAAAGTGCCTCCAGGTTTAAATATTGCGACCCCGAAAACCCAGCTTCGGGACTTTGTAAAGTAAATTGTTAACCGTTCAGTGGCCGGTGGAGCTTAACAACGTCCAGCGCAATACTATAGACAGCGTAACAAGGGTGATTTGGCATGCCTGATGAAGATTCAATCCTGTAAAAGTGTATTCAGATGTCTTTGTCTAATTTTCAGAACATAAACATATTCGAGGCAGCACGGTTGCATTTAATTGTTTTCCAAAAGTCTGACATGAATGTCTACCGCGCCGCAATGTCGATCGCTTGTTGGTTTCAAGTTTGCACTGAGCATCTGTAAAAACCCCCGCAACCGCCAGGAGATTATGTTGGTTTCATGATCTCTATCGACTGCGCGGCATCCTTCCGATATGTGCAATGTCAATGAGTGCCTGCATATCCCATGGGTTTATACTCCAGAAAAGGATCGTATACCCGGGAATGCGATCGTAAGCGCCGGCCCGTGTTAAGAAAAATACTCAGCCGCTCTCCCGGACCCCCGAAGGTGGCTTACTATGCGTCTGGGCAAGATAAGAAGGTCGGTTTATAGCCTAGCGCCAGCGCATATTCCTCTTGCCTCTTGCCTCCCTATTGGCTGCAACCCAATCCAGTTGGGCAGCACTGAAGCATCGTCTAACCTTCGAGTTAAATATAGAGTGTGTCCTGCCGAAGTCGGGCAAAAGTAGTACACCTCTCCTAGAATCTTCACTGTTAAGGCGATATAGCCCATATAACACTACATTACCCCCTCTATGTCACTTACAAACATTTTCTACGAGCAGTACAATTCCTAATTGGATTATTCCATGGCCGTTTTCCATCATCTGTCTTAACCTTTCTATTATCGACGTCGCTAATTTCTCTAAAGGATCCTCTAGTATAGCTCTCTAGGCGGCGTATAGATTATATTTTGAGCTATGAAGACTCAAACTTGAAATGTTGTATAGTATCTACTATAGTACAATGGGTGGTCTCCGAAATCATCCTTGTACTGTGTGTGATGTGCAGCTTAGCAGTATCATAAAGCAGTTCCTCCGAGATTCGCGTAAACTGTAAATGACCGATCTAAGCGGTATTTTCAATACTGTCACGGTCACTGGGAACGATTGTTTTGGCGATGAGGTAGTTTTAATCGAGACGATTCCTCTATTTTCGGAGCCACACATGGAATAGGTAATTGCGGAGGTGAACTCTCGGCTGCCTCTAGATCAAGCTGTATACTGCAGTGACATACTTATTGAACCAATTCTGAACATAACCGAGACCCATAGGAATGCGTTACAGAAACCAACGGAAAGAGAGTTCTACAAGGCATTTCATGTGACCTCCCCAATAATTCCTCCTGATGACGGTTTTCGGCGCTCAATCGAAGCTGAAGGATTTCTGTGCAGGTGAGTACTCTGATTTCCCCCAGGTGAGAGGCTTGAGCCATGTTATGAATTCTACCGTGGCTTGTTGCGCCACATCACTCATCTTGGCATATCCCATGATGATAGGATTTCGCCCAAGGATGACTCGGCAGGTTGTGAAATGCAGCTTACATTATCAGTTACTGAGGTCGGTGTTGGTAGTGTTAGAGTAGTAATATGAGATAGTAAGGTAGCCTGGATTTTACCGATGTGTTCTTTGCTTAGCCTTTCTGGAAAAGTTGTTCCGAGTTCCAGTGACGGTATAACGGAGCAAAGGAGTGAGTAAAAGGCTAGAATCGCAACTCGTAATCTCCCAAAGGAGGCAAGAGCCAATTCTGGCACTACTGGATACGATGCAGAGCACTAACATTGTTGAGCCAGGATAAATCCCATTGAGTTTAAAATAAGCCCATCTTTCATATTTAAAGCATATGAAAAGTAACAGACGCCTTTGAAGGGTTTCGACAGAACCATAAGTCATCCCCAAACTCCTGCGCCAGAACGTACACGAAACCAACAGCCGAAACAAAACATTCAAATAGAAGACGGGCCGCTGATCCCACCTGATGAGTGCGTAATAGCCATTTTCGAGACCGAGATAGGTATAGGAGGCCGAGTATCCTCATCCATAACCCCTTTGCTCCTCTGATCGTCTTCCACTCTGCCCGGCACAGGACCAGCAGGGAAAGGGAAGTCCACCAATCGGCCCCCCACCGTCCACGAATGTCTAATCGAGTGCCCCTCACCCTTGCAAATATAAACACCCGGACTAATAGGCGGTCGACAACGGTAGGCAGTGACGGTCGATATGGCGGGCGGGAGGACAGGGCTGGCAGGTTCGGAGCAGGTGTTGCTCATAGCGCAAAGACAGAGTAAGGAGTGACTCGCAGACGCTGTAGCGCGGTAGTTAGGTTCGCTGTGTCGTCTTGTGGGAGGGGCAGCTGAAGGCGAGCCAGAAGAGGGTTCGAAGGTTGATAGGGCCCCAGTTCCGAAAATGTCGGGACTGGGTCTGTGTGGTTTGGGATGAGAGATAGGGACGGAGGCGAAGCCATACGAGAGTGAAATCGAGGGCTTCTTAAAGGGATGAGGCCCAGAGGAAGAAAACATGGGAGGAAGATGATTGGTGCGTAAGCTACAGGAGCGTTGAAGGCTTGTAAACTTGACTAAGAGAATGCAATAATTGGACGATGAGGTTAGAGTTTGCGAATAATCATCCGAGATGCACTCGAGTATTTGAATGCTTAGCTCAACGGCTATCGAGTCGACGAAATGGAGCACACCAAATGCGTCTTTTCATGCTATCCGCCGCCAAGGAAGAGTTTCCTTCGACATCATTCTTTCTTTTTTTTTCAGAAGCGCCGCACACAAGTTACGACTGCTTGCGCATGTTCAACTTCCCATATCAAGCGCATGCGAACAGTCCAGGGCTGGTCATCTCATACATGTGCCAACGCGCAGGAGGGCGGAGCCTAACCTACAGTCCCGTGGATCCAGGATATTTGGCGAGGCACGGAACGTGAAGCTCGGGATGGGAGGCTTAGGACCACACGTCCTTGTGGACCATGCTCCGTGACCAACCGAGATACATCATCATCATGTGCGAGTCATGACTTGGCCAGCTGGAACAGGTGAGCGCCGATCGTGTAAGTCTGCCAAGCAAGACAGATGATGGCATCATGGGGAATGATGCCACGGATCGGGAGGCCTCACAGCGCACCATAGTAGAGGAGTTGGAAATTCACCCTGGCATGCCCTGGTGCTGACAGTTTGTCGACGCAGTGTGACATGGAAGAAGGCCCCAAGGGTCCCTCCCGCGTGGTTGCAATGCAGAGGGCCCAGAGAAGCCAGAGGCCAGTGGAAACCAACGAGGATTGCCTGTTTAGGCAATCCGGAAGGATGACGACGTATCATATCCATTTATTTACACGCAAATACCCATCTGGTTTGAATGTTGATTAGGGAGCCCCGAATGTGACTAGTAAGAGACGTAGATGATAGTGTCTCGGCAACTGCGAAGCGGGTCGGACGGCGCTAGATGAAACTTGGAGAAACGACGCATTATTCCTGTGCGGTCAAAAGCTTATAGGTTGGGGTCGCTGTGTAAAACGGCGGAGAAGAAGCAAGCATGGGAGGCGAACGGACCACGTGTAGTCTTCTATATCAAAGATACGTCCCCTTCTCACGATATCGACTATGAGCGATTTCCCAACTCCTGTTATTGCTCTACACCACGCTTTTGGTAACGAAACGAACCACATTTTTTCCTTCGTGCCGAGTGCTCACCGTCTTATGCCATTCTCCATTCGTTTCGTTGCTTATGGAGTCGCTGCATATCTACAAGTTTGAGGCATTTACAAGAAACTCTGGGCTTCTGAATCAGGACTCCGGGTCGCGCGCCGCGGCAAATTGTTGCGATCGCAACTACCCACGGACTACCCTTCATTTTCTATGTCAGGCCTACCACCTTTCTTCTTGAGTCACGCGTTGCGCCACATTCGTTCCGTCGTCTACTTATTTTGCCTCCAGAAATCATGCATCCCCTCTTGCCCACGAACCCCTAAAGCAACAGTCCGTGCAACTCCCTATGGCTGTGACAGGCGTGCTTGAAGCTATACACAACTCTATCTCAGCATGATTTCTTGACCATCTTACGTCCTTGCCATTCCGGACCCTCGATATGACGCAAACCTCTGGGGAGCAATCCCTCCTGCACGTCTACATCCAGCTCCTCCGTCTCCGGGCTCTACGCCAATCTCGGACCAAGACGCAGTTACCTTCACCATCATCGACGAGTGGTGCACTGTATCAAAGCTGGTGCTGCAGAACGGTCAAGGTTGTCTGCGGTCAGGAGACTCGGACGATGCGAGTATTGTATGCTGTCAAGGACATTGTGCTGTGTGATCCGTGGTGAAACGGTTTTGCCAGCCGAAGTCTTGACGTTATCCAGAGAGCCGCTTCACCTTCACCCGCATCCGCATCCGCATCCGCACCCCGGCGTGCGGTGGTGGATCAGACCGAGAAGGAGCAGAGACCCAGCCCAAGGGGGTGCGCGTAAGAGTCAAACGCCGGCAGGTTTACTAGCGGAACGAACATCCAAAATATAATTGTTTGAAAATTCGTTGATTACGTTGACCCCAACCCGGAGTCAAATGGAATACAATGCAAACCGCCCCTGTCCATCTGCCGTGACACATACGCAGGCCAAACTATGATACAATGCTGCTATTTCGTGAGATGAGAAGAGTCTTTTCCGGTCGTGACCCCCGGGGATGGCACAAGAATGTACGCTATCGGATTACAATCGGTTTGCTCTGCAGTCGGGGGTATCCTCCAAACCACGATGGGCGCAGTTTCAGGGCGAGTTCGGATAGTGTACAAGAAGATTGGTTTTTGTTCGTATCAATATCCGCAGTAGCCTTCTACGTCGGAGCGTAGAGAAAAAAAAGGTCCAGATGCATTACAGAGCAGGCTGGGCCTCTCGGCCAAGAGCGGCGCCGACCTGGTCAGCCGTTGGCGAGCCAGCGGCATTACCCGCAGTCAGAAGCTGTTCTCAGAGTCAACAACGGCGTATATCATGTTGATTGTGTTCATATTGGGGGCTTACCTCTCCGCCCATCTCGCGCATCTTCATCTCCTTCTCCATCTCCATAACCTGCTGCTCCTCAGCCCACGCGAGCGCCCACGGAACACCCAGCAGGAGTGCCGAGCTGCTGAGAACCCATAACGTCTTGCCACTGAAAGACAGGACGGATTTGAATGTGTCGGCCGTGGCGTTCACCTTGTTGGCGATGCTGGCTCGTGTCGTGGGAGCGATGATGTCACGCAGCGCATACAGGCGCTCGCTGAATGTCTCGCTCGTCGGATCGTAGTCAGATTCGGTAGAGATTTCGGAATCTGTTCTCCCAAGTCAGCAGCCGCAAGCGATTTTTGAGGGACGTCGAAGGAATGGGCGACGGCGCATACCGGTATCTGTGAAGTCGTCATCCTCTTCTGGGCCAGGCTGGCCCTCCTGGAAGTACTCGTCTATTACTTCTGTGAGTTGAACCATTTTTTTGGCCTGCGATTATATTGCGATCTGGTGGAGAGGTTCGGGCAATGGAGTTGGGTTGATTCCGGAATCGCTGCGCAATCAATGTCTTTTGTTTGGGGATATAGAATTGGTTCTGGCGGGTTTGACTGCTGAATCTCGAGGAAAATTCACGTCCGCATCCATCCAATCGGGCCCAGCAAGTTCAAGAGGGTCGTTGAAGGGCCCGTGCACCGAGATGTAGCTTCTGTGGCGGGACAAAGCTTTTGCACCTTCCGATGGATGCTTTGCAAGCTGTGTTTATGCAAATACCAGTTATCTGCATAATAACCTACTACATGCATTATGTAAGTCAACGGAACACGAGGAGAAATCCTTCAAAGTCTTTCTATACTGATTTTAATTTCGGGCTAGCTCCAAGGCTATCTCACCTTACGAAATATGGGCGAGAGTGTCTAGTGGTTTGTTGCTGAACAGTCTTATAGTAGAGTAGGAAGTATGCTGAGATGCTCAAGTGAAGTCAATGGGACCAGTGTTCAGTGACAATTATGTCAGAATAATTTATTATTGTGACATCACTGCCCTCTTTCGCTATCAAAGAAATTCGGCAGCGATAGAATCAGAATCCCTCCATATAGTAGCCCCCGCTAACGGTACTTTTAGAGCGTGCTGTAGGGAGACAGGACGCAACCCAACGTCATTTTGCGCCGACTATTACTTATGAGGGTTTAGGTCCTACGACTGTTCACTATTGGCAATGAAGGCAGTACGAGCAGCACTCTTGGACGCATTTGCAGCGCGATTGGCCTGTCGATACTCACCGGCCGCAGCCCTTGATTCTTGGTGTTGCTGGATGAGGTTAGGAAATACTTTAGCCTTGTAAGGTAGGCAACATGAAACCGCATTTCTCGCTCATGATAAATGGTCAAATTAGGACCTAGAAACATTAATTTGCAGTTCTTACACGCCATCTTCTCTAGCCGTGTTCCACTGGCATACATGTTTGTTTTCCGTTGTTGTCTGGTGTGTTGGGGGACGAAAGGCTATCTGCACCCCGAAGTTAGGCATGTTTTTGCTCCCAATGATATATATTTACCTGTTAGGTGCCGTCCTTCCTAGGACCGCCACACATATGTGAACACCAGTCACATTTCCTTGCTGCTTTCTACTATTTGCACCCTCTGTGTTTCTTCAGCTCATTGAGTAGTGCAAGATGCCGACCAGGTTCGTCTCCTTTCAACAGCAGCAAGCAGCAACAGAATGGCGCACTGACATCGTCCTCCAAATAAAAAAGAAGACCTAAGAGCTCCTGAATCATTGATGCCCCCTGTTATTGGCGAGGGGAAAAACGAAGTTGATGCGAAGAATTACAGCCAATAAGAGACCGGCCACCACTACCACCAGCTTGTGAGACTCGATCCAAAAAGAGAGGTTTGATTCAGGAGAACGGCGACTCCACGAAGACAAAGGTAAATCGAAGGTTTCCTCGAGGTCCGGTTTTTTGTTCTACATACCTTGATGATTAAGGGATTGGGAGTCTCACATTCTGCAACATGCTGGTGTTCTGAAGGCCTTAAAATGACTCTGGAATCATGTACCTTAACTTGCTGCCTGCAGGCGTCGTGAAGTTGTCTCGGGTAGTTCATAGCCCAACCCTGCGATTGCATGGAAGTATACGTCCCTAATCGACCACAGCTTTTGGTTCACCTGATGACTGCAATCAACGCGTCGGGAACACCATCAGTCAAGTCATAGACATCGATGAAAGAAGCAGCTCAAGTGCCATATGATGGATTGTCTCATCGACTATGGATTTTATAATGGTCTTGTCTATATGCATGATATGACCATACTATGTCCAGGTGACTCGTATCACCATGCGGATTATCAACAACAGATAGGGTAAGTATAACCCGTCCGTACCACATTGTACCGGTTATCCGACAATAAGTCTATGCTGTCTATGCCAAATCGCTCCTATCCGTAGCAGCCCAGCCACGCCGCATCTAAGCTCTATTTAGTTTTATGTCGTCACTGTGTCCGGCCCTTGTGTGGGACATCCACAAATCGTATTCCTCGCCTCGTCGGCGGTACTCTAGGTGTATCGTCATCATCACTGTCGCTGTCCTCGGCCACCTCGTCGTCGCCCATTCCCAGCACTGCTTGGCGCCGCCGTCGTTCGGCTGGCGTCTCGGACTCGGCGTTGTTATCTTCGTCGTCCTTGATACCTGACAAGGCCGCCAGTCTCCGGCGCCGCTCTACAGCTGTCTCTGGTATATCGCTAGGGGCCCCTGAACTATCAGGTGCCGTTGCGGGAACTACAGGAGCCTTTGTCTCGCTTCTACCGCGAGTGTCCTGCTGCTCCTCATGTCGTACCGAAGCATTGCTCTCCGTCCGCGTACTCATGCTCGTGGTCGCTATCTTGACGGCCGGCGGCCTCGAAGCTCCAGCTGGGTTTGATGGCCCTGCTTGGGTCTCTTGCTTCGCAGCCAACTTGACGGCTGGTGGGGCATCCAATTTCTCGAGCACCTCACGCCGCGTGCGCACATCCAACTTTCGCACCTCCTTGAGGAAGTCATCCTCAGTCATCCGTCGACCTTGGCCAGCTAGCGTGAATCTGATGTTACGGCCGTCCTTGTCGGCATCCTCTTCTGATATAGAAGCGACGCTCTTCTTTCGGTCGCCGGCTCCAGACTTACCAAAGCCGGTCCAACTGCTGAATGACTGCTTCGCCGCAGGCTTCGCGACACCACTGGCACTCGGGCCGGCTTCCGAGTCTTCGCCAGTCTCCTTGAGCTTTTGCGAAAGTAAGCCTCCCATGCCCAAGTACTTCAAACTCGCTCCCATCAAATCGGTGTCACCTTCGGGCTTCTGCGCCGGCAGCTCGTACTTCTTGACAACCTCACCGTCCTCGTCTTCAATGATGATCTGCCAATTGTCAGCAAAGGGTACATGGAAGTCGTTGACGAAAAATAACTCACCGTGTTTCCGAATTGGTAGGCTCTAGCTGGGGCGTGTTTTCGATCACTTGTTTCCCTGGTCTTTCTCTTTTGCGCTTCCTCGTTACGCCATTCGCCGACTCTCTTCTTGAGGGAGGCGTAACTCCATCCAGGTTTTTGTGTCTCGGCCTCGACTTTGTCTTTCAATTTATGCAGATCTTGCATGGCATGATGGGCAGTCTCCTCAACCGCCAGTACCTGGCCTTGCTGATCTTCAATAATCACATGACCACCTTCTTCATACACCTCAAGCTCCGGGGAGCCGCCATGCTTCGTCTCCCCTCTCGATCCGATGTCCTGAACGGGCGCCGAGCCTTCCGTCTTTTCGGAATCCTTCTCACGTGACCGCTCTGATGATGATCCGCCTGGTGAAGTGCCAGAAATCCTTCGTTGATCTGAAACCTGCTGTCCACTGGGTTCGATTGATGGTGACAGAGGTTCAAACTGGCCGCTTTGGCTACGACGCTGGGGGAAAATGGCAGACTGGCTGACAGGGCCGCCCGGTCCGATGCCATCGTCCCACTTGTTGTTCTTCTTACGGCGACCAACGAGAGAAGACGCACGACTACCCGCTCTGCTCGAGCTCTCCTCATCTCGCTGGCGTCGGAGGAACTGGCCTGGGAGACCGGTAGGCGGTAACGTCCCGGGGGGGAACTCCGGGAGCTTGAAGTCGTCCATGTCAGTATCAGACATGGTTCGAGCTTGTGATCGAGACTGTGAGGAGATCCGTGGCAACCGGTTCATCCATGAGGGACCATCGTCTGGTGCCTGCGTATAAGACATCGTGAGAGTTAGTGTGTTGATGTGCTTTCCAAGCGTGAAGACTGCTATAGACGACCCGTGAACGATGATGGAGGCAATGACCATGAAGGTCACAATCGGCCACACTAGCGTGACAAGAACGTAGTGGGGGCTGTCTTCTGGGGGTAGCTCGGGCAAGGGGATGGTATGCCCTGTTTCAAGCTCCGCACGAGCAAGAATGGCTATAAAGATGGCACCCACACCAATGGGGCCAAAGTGACCCGCAAAGAGGGCTTCACGCCAAGTCTTGACATCTGGTATGAATGGCTTCAAGGCCAACATGATGGGGATTCGTCTGAAGAGAATGACCAAAATCGCCATGAGACTCAACTTCCACGCCGAGAGACCCATATCGGCGTTGTTAAACTGGTCCCAGGGAATGATTGTACCCAAGAACACGAAGTACGCCAAATTGATCAAGAGATCAATAACGTTAGAGACGTGAGACTCCTCAGTCTTGGACGAGAACCAGCCATCGTTTGAGAACCCGACACCTGCAGAGAATCCTACCAACAAATCGTCGACGCCGAGAATACTGCCGGATCCAGCACAAAACAGAGCCAAGGTGAAGTAAAAGACGAGGAAACTCTCCCGATCAATCAATTCATGCTTCTCGGCGTACTTGATGCCATGGCGTGCAAAGTACCCGATGAGGAATCCATAGATGGCGCCGAAGATGCATTCATACAACACCGTGTACATAAACCAGTGGTACGTCGTCTTCTTGGCGTCTAGGTTATCCTGGATGAGGTAGATGGCGAGATAGATGAAGGGAAAAGCCATGCCATCGTTGCAACCTGATTCAGCAGACAGCAGATCTCGCAGATGCTTGGGGACTCGTTTGGCAAACTTGCCCTTGCCGACGACGGAAGAGGCAAGGACAGGATCCGTAGCTGTGACACAGGCAGCCACGGCCAAGCTCTCGAGCCAGTTCAATGGTGGGATAAGCCACCAAACGAAGAGACTCGTAATTAGCCAGCCAAAAGTCATGACAGGAAGCAGAAGCAGAATGACCGACTTCCAATGTTTTTCCATGTAGAATTTAGGCAATTCGACACCAACAGCAAAACATTGCACGACGAGAACGATTCTAGAGAACTCGAGTGTAACTTCGTCGACATTGCCCCATGATTGCGGGTCGATGAGGTTTGCAGCATGAGGTCCAAAGAACAATCCGCATAGGGTTGCTACAGTAGCTTCACCAATGTACATGCGCTCCTTGATGATGGTAGAGCAGAGCATGAAAAGCGAGGTGAAGCCCCCGAGGATGATGTAGACCAAATGGGATTTGGTGATTGACAAGTGCTCCCACGCCATTTGTTACTTTGTTTGCCGAGAAACGGCGGCCGAACGGGGAGGGAGGAAAAAAAGGGTGGTCGGGGGTGATTCGGGGTGATTCGGATTCAGGGTCCAATGACGGTCGTTCAATTCGAACGTTGGTCTGACGCGGGTGCGAAGGTGACTGCGCCTCCGAGCAACACAACAGGTTGCGAGGGCGTGTTCGATATCGGAGACTCCCCAGGCGATGGATGCGGTCCCTCGCAAAATATAGCCTTGATGCATTCAGATAGAAGTGGTTGTGCCAAGTTGCTGGCAAACCTGCTAGAGAACGAGCCAAGGAAGGTGGTGGGCGCCAGACTTCCGTGGCTTTAAGCAGTCGCGAAGCGTGCAGAAGCTTCAGCTCATCGCAGAGAATAACTTGGAAGTGTCGTAAGTATCATTCTCCAAGGAGAAGCAGAAATTTTAATTATATGTCAACGGGAAAAACCTGGAGAAGCATACCGTAAAACAAGGTCGGAACGAAGAGTACAATCATCCCGCCCCGAGCGAAGGGAACCTGTCATTTTAACTCAGATGCATCCAACTTAGAAGAGAAGCCTCCAGGCGATAGGAAAAATAAGTTGGGGCAGTTAGCGGGCCCGATGTAGGGGTTTAGCGCACTCGGTGGGGCGTTCTGCACCCAGTTCTAGCCCAGCGCAGGGCCCGTCCGCTGGCCTTCACCGGCGGTCTGATATGCTCTGCAGGTTGGGGTGCCACCAAGTACCGCACAAGAACCGAGATTGGGCGCTGCTTTTGTTCAGTCAACATCGGGAATCATTCTTTTCTCTTTGAGCTGCTCTCCACGAATCGGTGCATTTGTAGATCAGTTAATGCAAGCCAGTTCGTCCCGATTCGAGGTTCGACTCCATTGCAACCTGCCAATCATATTCCGGACGACCTTGGGACAAGCACGTCAGCATCCAAGGTTGGAGGCTGAAGTTTCAAGTGTCAGAGCACTGCCTATAGATTGTTACCATTGCCATATTCGAATTGCGTGAATGCCTGCGTGAATGCCAGAAACTTGGTAGTGACCAAGGTTATCAGAGCACCGCAGCAATGGGTATCGGGGGATGTTGCGGCCGATCATCTGGCCTCAACGGCCGCACGAGGCCATGGTTGGGATTTATGGACCCTAGTATTCCTGTCAGTCTCTTGCTGGGTTTTTGGATGCCCGACGATGATTATGGTTTCCACTTCTGGGAGCACTGCTTTTGCTGGTAAGGCGAGGATCCGAAATTCCTGACAGTATGCTGTGCTCTGCTTCATAGGAGCCCCAGACGCGCCCTGTCAATCGGCAATGGCAAGACGAGCACCACGATACTTGGTTCGGCCGATACGCGGCTCCAACAAATTGAAAAAGATTTCTGTCCACCTTGAAAGGTGAGGATGTTCTACTTGCAAGTACTCATCGGGGACATTAAAATACCTAAAGCCCGCGAACGTGAGCCTCGAGGCTACAAGTAAGACGAGATAATCTTCTCAGCCTGAAACTTCATGCTCATGTACAACCGTCCAACCCGCAACTTTGGCAGGTTGATAAAGCAGCAGCCCTAACTAGATTTCTTACAGGCCCGTGATCGTCTGGGTACATATCGGCTACTTCAGGGTGCACATCTCAAGCTCACATAGGGGCCCTAAATTGGACGACGTGATCTCGACCGGCCGTAAAGTTTAGCTTCAAGCTATTGCATTAGTTCTCGACCTGAGGGTATCTGGTTTTCTTTCTTACAAGACTACCCCGGCTGCTGAAGAATTTTCTTCATCGTTATCAAGTCTGCCCGTGACGAACCACAAACAGACCACCATGGAATGGGGCGGGACAGATATAAACAAACAACCGTGCCGAACTTCCGGTTTGTAGTCGAAAACAAGCCGCAGCACATGGTGTTTTAGCCTCTTGGCGGGGTCGGCCAATGAATCAAGACGCCGCAGTTTTACAATGGGTCCAATGCGAGCAACGTACGCCGACGTCACAGTGGATGGGAGCCAATTTGTCTCTAATACCAACCACCGTAACCCAGGCGGCCAAGCTCTAAAAAGGCTTTAGTCGGGCTTGGCACTCTACGCGTTAGGAACGCGCGCAAGAAATTCCAAGACTACTTAGCTCTGCAGCACAATGCACGGACCGTCATGGAGGGGAAAGCAAGAAAACTGCGGGGTCAATCCCGATCTCAGGCATATCCTCCGACTCGTCCTCCGCTCCGTCCCATGTCCCCGGACCACGTGGGGGTTAGCTTGGATGTCATCCGCGGGTGTTGGCTTATGGCTGCATTCTGCATTGCAGGAAATCAACCCCCAACAGGTATATTGCTAAGGTCACGAGATTCAACGGCGCCGAAAGTTAACAGGAGCGATGCAGGCGACCGCCTATTGCACACTGGATCGCTGTGCCCGTGTCGGGTGCTTCACCGACCGCCCGGTATTCCTTTCAGATCAACTGACTTGTTGGGATCCTTACAACTCATAATAACATTAGGGATGTGATAGATCTCCTTCCTGCACGCGGGAAGCGCATACGTAATCAGAAATAAGGATTGCTTCACTATCTATTTGCACAGATGGTAGCAGGAAGTAATGATAAAAAAACTCGGTAATAACCATACGAGTCTGAACTAACTGTTTCGCTTCAACGGAGGCTTTCCACATTATGACTTGACGTCCAGGCTTTGGCAATCTGCCCCTAGCACCGCCAACACAGCTGTCAGCCGTCTCTTGTCAGACCGTCCTTCAACTGACCCCCAAGGTCCCGCATGCCATGTCTCTGATTGATTCCTCCACCGTTACTGCCGCTTCCCTCGCCCTCTGCAGTTCAAGGTAGAACGCGATGCCGAGGACCGCCTGTAGTTTCATCAACCACATGGCGAAGCGTGTGCCAGATTGCATTGTTTTCAAAGACGTTACCCAGGGATGACTTGAAGAACAGATCCGACGTCCGAGTCAGCTGGAAGAGACTTATCTTGTCGAGGATCAACATACATGATCTGTACCAAGATCTCTTGCGCCAGTCGTTCCAACCCACCTAGATTCCGGTTCCGGGGCACTTCTCCTTCAACAGCGCCTGGCTTTCTGAGCTGGTACTAAATCATCATTATTCATATCAACGTTTTGAGGTTCTTTATCTGCTTCTCTAAGTTAGCTGCAGTGCCCTGCGATAGCTTAACTGGGGATCTTATACCATTGCCTTTGTTTGACTTGAAGCCTTTCAACTTCCGCAGAAGTAATTCAACAGGGCCCGGCATCAATCCAGCTCTTCAGTCGCGGTGATTCACAGTGTCCGGAACGAACAGAAGAAAAGGTTACGAAAAATAACATGATTCATAAGCGAGTCGCACACCCAAGCGAGTCACGCACCTAAGTGAGTCGCGCAGTTTTGCCTTAAACTCGCTCCCTCAACTGTTATAACCTATCACTCCATGACTAATAAGAAAAAAAGGTTATTCTTAAGTATATTTTAGATAGAGATTCGATATGGTTTTCGCCTACGGTTAAGGATATAGAAGATATAGCTAATCTCCTACTCGCGGGGCGTAGTGTAACAGTAGGTACTGTGTAAGGGGAGGCCAGGCACAATCGTCAATTCCTAACGCCAGTAGCAATTAGATACAAACAAGAAAACTTGCCCCTCTAAGTCGCCATAGTGCCTTGAGCACTATTTGAGGGGCCCAGAAGGTTTCGCTGAAACGCCATCGGGTCGTCATGATTTCGCCCGCCTATCCAGGGCCCGATCGCGACCTTCTAGCCCATCCTAGTTATAACTTGTGACACGTAGCGCGAGACGCGTTAGTAAGTACTAGGCTTTAAACTTCGTATAATGGTGACTAGAGCTCTAGACGCGCTTAAATCGCCTATTCGACTGTTAGATAGCTTTATACGATCATCCTAAGAAGATTTAAGAATAACGTGAATGTACACCGAGCTGGCCATGACACCGAGCTGGCCACTTTCATGCGCCAACGCGACCGGCCAACTTCATCTTTGATTTTCTCAACAACCAATTATGGCAAAGTCATACAACGAAGCAGACTTAATGCTAGCCCTTCAAGCTCTCAAAAATGACCAAAAACTTAGTCTCCGACAAGCGGCAAAAACGTACCAAGTCCCCCGAAGCACCCTCCAAACGCGTAAAAACGGCGGCTCGCCCTCATACGGGCCGAGTGCGCTGAGCTTCGAGAGGCAAATAAGATGCTAAGCCGGCGCCAGAGGACTAAAAAAATGCAATTACGGGAAGGAGAATCACTTATTTTCCAAGAAGGACAGGACCTACGGGACTCTAGGGAGTTGGCGACGCAGATACAGCAAGAAGAGCGCCGAAATGGTGGTCGCGCAAAGCGTGTTGAAACGCGCCCGAGGCGCTGTGGTATTTGCAACGGGACTGGGCATAATGCGCGAACTTGTAAGATCGCATTGCCATCTTCTGGAGAGGAAGATTCAGAGTAGTTTCAATTGATTTACGGCGTTGTGGTTTTACTATCGTAAAATTTCTATGCGAGGTTATGTAAGGGTGGCCAGCTCGGTGTACATTCACGTTATTCCATACTAATATTATTTGTAGTCTAACCGTTATAGGAAAGGTCGTGTTACGAACCGTTGGCCCTGAACCAACATTACAGGCCCGTCGGCAGGCCAGGTGGATACAGACGCTAGTATCACGGGACCCCGCATCGGAGGAAGGAAAGGACCGATAGGTCACGTGACCTACAGGGGTGGATATGTTGGACAACCAACATATCCAAGTGGGGATCAGTGAAGGAGAGATGAGTATATAAGGGACAGGACTCCCAGGCATTTCATAGATAGACAGTCTCTACTTCAGTGATCAATCTAAGCATCAATCTAACCCATTGGTGAGGCAAACTGCCTTGACGACTCCATTCCCAGTTACCCTACTTGAATACTTCAGTTACCCAGAGCCCTATACTCCATACGTCAAACCCCGATATTATTGCTTGAGGACTCCGCAGCAGGACTTACTTACTAGCACAAACCCTTACAGACTCTTTAGTGGTTTACGCAGCTAGACTATTAGAGGTTTCGTTACAATATACCTTGGCTAGTGTAACGGGGTAAGGCCGGACATCAGGGAAATAGGTTACGGGGGCCTAGGGAGGGCTCCCCTGTCTTCCTTACTTCAAAAAGGGTCACGGAGATAACAGGCGACTTTCAACAACTCGTCATCTCTTTTCATCATCTTATTCAATCAACTTGACTTTTGTTTTCTATTCTAGTTAGCGAGCCCTTCAATTATGCGGTTCATTCCTACGTGCACTTAGACACTACTTTCGAAATCCTATTATTATGCCCTCATCCTAGCCTTGACAATGACAGAGGATTGTATCTTGCTCTGATCAGAGCAATCTAGTGCTAGTGAGAGCTTCAATTCGACTTCCAGAGCCAGACGTCTTGTTCTGAGAATCATTCCGACGAGAGTCTCAGAGGCACATCCGACCAACTCGCGCACCATACTTGCAAGAGCGAAGCTCTTGCAACCAGTACCACGATCTTCGTCTGATCAGACCAACAGATGGGATCTGTTGGTACTGGAGCCGTCTGTTCAGTGTGTTAGGTGGTAGGTATATCCTACTGACCGCCTGACCCCGTTTCAATGGTGATCAGAGGGAGGCTACACAATTCGGAGGCTTCACGGCACTGAATCTCTCGCTCAGTGGACTGTACTCTTCAGGATCTCTCGTCGGATCGCGATTATTGAAGACAACCGATCAGTCGCGAAGAGGGAATGATGGAGACCCCCAAATGCTTCTGCTAAGGACACGGAAGACACGGAAGCCTCGGACATAGAGTTAAGACCGACAAACTCAGAAGGGCGGGGCTCCAAAGTTTCTGGCTACGAATCGACGATAAGGACAGCGAATGTGGGAATTCGAAGAGGAAGTGCAGGCTTCCGAGACTGCCGAAGCCACGACGGCCTTATCAACAGGATATGGATAGGGACTTGGCACACAGCTCGGCACACAGCTCTTGAACTCTTATTCAGAAGATAAGATACAGAGAGATAAGAGAGCACAGAGCACAGAGCACATCATCAAGGAGAGACAGACATACGACAATCGGCATCGACAAGAAGGACAAGAGTATCAAGGGCATCGACAAGAAGATCAAGAGCATCAAGAGTATCGACAAGAAGAACAACGGCACAGGACCGAGAGCATTGCAGAAGACAGAGAGACTCGGATACAGAGATGCGATAGACGATATGAGACTCAGATACAGAGATACGACTAGTACGACAGGACCCATAGGAGAATAGTTCCTACGAAGGAACAGTTTTCCAGAGCCGAGAGAGAGACCGTACGGCGAGAAGCACGGAATCTATTATTCGCCTAAGACTGATCAGACTACTCTCGTCAAGACCGCCGAGAATCCGATCAAAATGGCTCAAGCTTTTGCTATACAATATATGATCCCCGATGTAGCGCAATACCCACACCTCCGCTTTGACGGCGATAACGTATCTGACTGGATTGAGCAGGTCGATCGGATCTTTGAGAGAGCTCGACTCAGTGATGCTCAAAAGATTGCCGAAATCCAGTACTGGACTAAGGACAGGACGCATCAGAAAAGGGTGGAGTACGCTATCGATCAACTTGACAGCTGGAGTACCGCGGTAACGGCTCTGAAAAGTACCTTCGTAATCGGAGACACTAGACAACTACGAAGTGCACACCAGCGCCTCAAAGACCTCGAGAACCAGCCTCCACTATCGAATCCGTCGAAGATCTATACGTACTGTCTTGATCATGAGATCCTCGTTAGTGAGACGAAGGGTACTACTCGAGTCCCAAGCGACCTTGACTGCACTCGAGGCCTATTCGAGAGGATCCACAGCCACAGCCTTGAAGACATCATAAGCAAAGCTGATATGACGTACGAAGAGATCTTCAAGATGGAGTACTCTCAAGCCCAGAAGTTAGTCCGAGGATGGGCGAAGACTAAGGTCGATCTGGAAAACCACAACAAGCGAGCCAAGAGATATTTTCCGTCTGATCAGGGCAAGAAAGGACAAGAGGAAAGCCAGCCAGATGTGACTGCTCTCACCGAGAGGCTCAGAGCCTTGGAGATACGGTTAAACCAAGTAGGTCCGTCTGATCGGAGACACCAGATGGAAGACATAAGGACTGCGTACCGGCCACAGCAGCTATGGGGCTGTCAGCCACTCGTACAGCAGGTCGTACACCAGGCCCAAGGAAATACGGTCAGGACTCAAGACAGCCCTCGTCAAGACACCTCTCGTCAAGAACAGCTGTACGACTACGAGACCAGACAACACCGTCCGTAACCGAATCGATGGGGCACGACAACCAGGAAATGTGTCTTCTGTACTATGCCTGGCCATCTTGTCTCACAGTGCGGTATACTTGAAGATTTGAATCGTGACGGCTTTCTCCGATGGGACCCAATGGACAGAGCCTACTTCCTCGGAGGAGACTACAAAAGACAGACTGCGATTCAGGTACCGACATATATCGAGAGAAAGGCGACGCAGGAGGGTAAGTCTATCCTACGAGAGGTGTGCGACTGGGTCATGTCGAACAACCTTGATCCTCAATTCCAGCGGCTTGCGGCCTATTATCTTAGACGAGACTTTGGTATTACGAAGAATTATACGAGCACTCTCCAGATTCAGAGCTCCTCTCAGCCGCCGCAAGTACAGGATAATCGACTACAGATGCCAGGACTAGTACAGCCAGAGACCGCGAAGACGAACACAGCCCTTAGTCCCGACGTCCGATCAGCCGACCTTGTAGTTACCAAGATCCTCACTAGGTCGATAGTCGAAGATTCGGACAGCACGACAGTTGAACCGTTTTTGCAGCCGTCTGATCAGACGAAGAGGAACGAGACTGCTGATACTACGAGGACCACCGCTGTGGACGAGGCTACCGTCGATAAGAGGACTACCGCCACGGACGAGGCTACCGTCGATGAGAGGAATACCGCTGTGAACAAGACTACTGATACTAAGAGGACCACCGCCGCGGACGAGGCTACCGTCGATAAGAGGACTACCGCTGCTAAGAGGATTGATACGAGCAGTCAGACAGTCCTACTATTCGGTCTGGAAGTAGACTACACTTCTCGGAGGAGCTTGTCAAGGAAGAAGATTCGGAAGCTACTAAAGAGGACGAGGAAGATACCGGACAGCCAGGCAGAATCGAGAGAGGCGGACTTTGAGGACCTTGTTACTCCGTCCTGCGACTTTGACTGGCAGGAAGATAAGTGGAAAAAGAAGTGCGTCCTGGGGAGGAAAGAAAACAGGAGAGAGTCCTTGGGAGGAAATAAGAGAGGAAAGAGAGAGTCCTGGGGAGGAAAGAGAAGTACGTTCTGGGGAGGAGAGAATACTTCAGTCGGATGATAAGGCTACGAGAGGAAGACTGTGGTGCGTAGGATACAGGATTCGGACGCAAGTCGTCTGATCAGACTATCAAAAAACCCCCCTCCCTCCAAAATTTTTTTTTCTTTCTCGAAAGACACCGCTGCTATGATTAGAGGAAGTATTGGATTGTGGGCAAATGGTCTTGTATTGAAAGTGCCATGATCTCTGGAGAGTCCAGAGAGAAGCAAAGGGCGGCCATCAGGGCCTTATATAGTCAGAAATGACTGATGCCTGCCCCACAGCCAGGACTTGTGTGGTTCAATGGGTAGAGGTCATATTGACCCATACTTCGTACGGTTTGCGGCTTTACTTTTCTCCTTTTGACTTGGCAGTCTTGACGGAGTAGCCTTGAAGGTCCAACAGGAAGACCTTTGCCTTACCCTTTATTTTATATAGGTTCGACTGTCTCTGGGGACAGAGACGAACATATAGGGGAGGAATGTAACGGGGTAAGGCCGGACATCAGGGAAATAGATTACGGGGCTGTGAAGGTCAACCCTCGCAGACTCACTACAACCAGGTGACTTGCAGCTGGAACACCTGCCATGGCAGTGCCAGATGGGAAGCCAATCATAACCCTTGTAGGAGCCCCGCCAAGCGTGGACGACTTAGTCGCGCTCCCTCAAACCTAAGTTGTCATCTTCTTTCCTTCGCTCCTTAGAGTAGAATCTTCGTCGATAGCACCTAATCGAGGTCTCTACCAATGCGATGCAACCCAGGTCGTGACACCCACCAAGGTTGCCTAACATTATAGATAAACCATGGTTTTCCTAATATCATCGGGTGTTCTAGTAGGGGTACTACGTAGTAGTATATTAACTGTAAGGGTCAAGGGTAATTACCGGTCATAGACCGTGACATTAACTACGAGAATCCAGAGATTTCTACTATTAAGTAGGTGATCCCTAGGATCGCGGCTCCTTCTATAGTACTAGATGTCACGACCTGGGTTGCATCGCATTGGTAGAGACCTCGATTAGGTGCTATCGACGAAGATTCTACTCTAAGGAGCGAAGGAAAGAAGATGACAACTTAGGTTTGAGGGAGCGCGACTAAGTCATCCACGCTTGGCGGGGCTCCTACAAGGGTTATGATTGGCTTCCCATCTGACACTGCCATGGCAGGTGTTCCAGCTGTAAGTCACCTGGTTGTAGTGAGTCTGCGAGGGTTGACCTTCACACTTCACACTAGAGGCGCCCTTCACTCTATACTCTGGAATCTGGATTAAAGGCAGATTTAGCTCTTCAAATAGCTATTAGCTTATTATAGCGTAGTATTGATAATCTTCGTCGACGAGAGTATAGGATAACATGGTTCCGTTTAGAATTATACGAATTAAAGTAGAATCGCCGTCCATTTTTCCTTTATATGTGTAACGAAACCTCTAATAGTCTGTAAGGGTTTGTGCTAGTAAGTAAGTCCTACTGCGGAGTCCTCAAGCAATAATATCGGGGTTTGACGTATGGAGTATAGGGCTCTGGGTAACTGAAGTATTCAAGTAGGGTAACTGGGAATAGAGTCGTCAAGGCAATTTGCCTCACCAATGGGTTAGATTGATGCTTAGATTGATCACTGAAGTAGAGACTGTCTATCTATGAAATGCCTGGGAGTCCTGTCCCTTATATACTCATCTCTCCTTCACTGATCCCCACTTGATTGATTGGTTGATTGAAATTTAACGTCTCATCACGTGAGACGTGCCGGGCGCAGTGCCGGCATGGTCTATGCTAGTCGAATCTATGTTACAGGGGACTGTCTTCATCTAACATTCCTGTTCAGTGCGATGGGCAGATCTCAGTAAAGAGATCCCCACTTGGATATGTTGGTTGTCCAACATATCCAACATATCCACCCCTGTAGGTCACGTGATCTATCGGTCCTTTCCTTCCTCCGATGCGGGGTCCCGTGATCCTAGCGTCTGTATCCACCTGGCCTGCCAACGGGCCTGTAATGTTGGTTCAGGGCCAACGGTTCGTAACAATATAAAGAGGACCGAATCGCGTATACACCGCTATAGTAACTACGGAAATATCGGTTATAGTATACGGACCAATAACAAAGATATAAAATCGAATAATTATTTATATAGCAGTTAATTTAATTTAAATTATAGTATTATAGGTATATAACTAGACTTGAAAGATGTAGTATGTTGAAAAATGCGTGACTCGCTTAGGTACACGACTCGCTTGGGTACGCGACTCGTCTGTGAATCACATTACACGACTGGGAGACAAAGAATAAACTGGCCGAGGGACCCCTTGCATTGTAGTTAACGTTAGTTGAGGTACTTCTAGCGAGCTTCTTGCGAGCTTCTGGTGAATACCTTCATTGTTGGATCATTTGAGCGAGGTGCATGACCTATGACCTGCACCGCAAAGAAAGTGCGCCCCAACTTCAAGGTTTGGATTATACTTTTGGCTGCCCTGACACGAGCAAGCAACCTGTCCACAGTTGCAACTTCCGAGCTTTGTCAAATCAGCTTCGGAGTCCTGCTTGGTTTCTTCGTATGCACTTCCTAGGAGACTACTGTTTTCTACGAACGAGAGCAGGCAGCAACGTGCGTCCACCGCTGAATAGCTAGAAGTGGTACTGTTCGCAACAAATTTAACTAGCTCTTGCAGGAATAATATCACTGGGGAAGATGATTGAGATTGGACTTCCGATGCTCACTGTCCTCTCGCATCTGTTCTTAGTACCAAATAGCCGGGCATTGCTAAATGAGTTGTTCAATGAGGTAGTCGCTACCCCTTTTCACCCCTTCCGGGCCAGAACGATCGTTCACGTCGATGACGCTCGTCTTATCAAAAATGAGTAGTATGGCCATCTTGCCTTTATCACTTGTCTCGTGTCTTTGAGCCATCGCACCTGCCTGATGGACGTCGAAGATGGCCTGATCCTGCTTGACACTTCGTCCGGAGACATCTTCCCCGTGTCAACCAACGCCAATTCCTATAATTCAGTTCAGCCTTTCGAATATATTTGTAAGTACCCTCACCTACCTAGGTATGTTAATCAGTATACTGTACCATACAGCTTATTCACACGCAGTACAGATGCCTCGTGTCACTGCGAAGGAGCAGCGGTATCCTGGACCGCCGCAGTGGACGGAAGAGGATATCGCGGATCAGAAGGGCAAGGTGAGAATCAATACTTTGTTCGCCATTTCAAACCCATGTCATGCTCAAAGTGAGAATTCAGGTCTGCATTGTCACCGGCAGCAACACAGGTATCGGCTACGAAGTCGCGCGAATCCTGTACGCGAAGAATGCCATGGTCTACGTGGCGGCGCGCAACGAGATAAAGGGCCGCGAAGCGATCCAGAGAATCAGAGAGGCACATCCGTCGTCCGCTGGGCGTCTGGAATTCCTTCAGCTTGATTTAGCCGATCTCGAAGGGGTCAGAAATGCCGCCTGTAGATTCAAAGATGCAGAGACGAAGCTGCACGTCTTGTTCAATAATGCTGGAGTCTTGATACCCGCTAGATCAAGATCTTTGAGAAGAAAAACACCCAAAGCGGGCTCCCCTCGCATCAACTCTCCCGCAATTTCTGCTGCAGAAGTTCGATCCATAGCAGCATCTTCCGCAGCATCTTTTGAGGCGATATCAGAACCAGTTTCCTTGGATAATGGGGATCAATTCAGCACCTCTCTCGACTCCTTGACTGCATCTCCAGATGGCGTGTTACGAGACGATAGCACTCCCATCTCCTCATTGAATTTGTCACCGGGCAGCAGGCTAGGAAGTGATGCGTCATCAACGCCCCCAAAGAGCGTATCCCCGGATACGCCGCGAAACAGAACCCCTCTGGCCATCTCACCCATGTCACCGAGTAACATTTCACGAAACGAAACGCCTCCGAACTACGTACCCACAGATTACACTAAAACAGCGCCGCACTGGAGACACCAACTTGCAGTCAATTGCATTGGACCCTTCCTTTTCACCAGACTGCTCATGCCCATCATGGAGGAAACGGCGAAATCGGCAGCAAAGAACTCGGTCCGGGTTGTGTGGGTGTCTTCATCTGCAGCAGAGCTCGCGACGCCGCACCATGGTGTTCCCATGTGCAAAGGCAAAGCCAGCAGGGATGCACACGGCTTTGAAGTCTCCAAATATGGTATCACGAAGGCGGGAAATTACTACCATGCGACGCAGTTTGCACGCAAGTATCGTCATAAAGGGGTCATCAGTGTGGTTAGTGTCTTCCACGGCCGGAGAAAGCCTGACTGACTGACCGAGGTGATAGGCACTAAATCCTGGGCACGTGAAATCCAATATCCATCGTCATGTTTCCGCCACATGGAAGCGACATTTGAGGGGCAGAGTGTATCCAACCGTTTGCGGCGCATACACTGAGTTGTTTGCTGGTGTTTCTGATCAGGTGACTCTGGCCAAGACTGGATGCTGGAGTGAGTGCTCCAAAGTTATTTTCGACAGGATTCAATAGACTGACCTACTTCAAAGTCGTCCCCTGGGGCCGATTCACCGGGATCCGGGACGACTTGTGGAAAGGTGCCTGGCCAAAGGAGGAACTAGGCGATGGCGTGGCTGAAAGGTTCTGGACGTGGACTGAGAACCAGATCGGGGATCGCCTGCTCGAACCCATAAGCAAACCCGAAGCTAGCACTTCAAAGGCCTCCGTCAACTCCGTCACTCCACCAAGGGCAAGTACGCCGTGTTCCACCGGCTCTCTCGGTCGGTCAAGGGGTGCTTCTTCTCTCTCTACCACATCGGGACGTGGTTCTCCCAAGGACCGTCGTCGGAAGAGAACTTCTACTCCCGGAAGTCCACTCGCAATATCTTCTTCAGCTGTGTCCTCAAGTGGTGGTTCTTCTCTCTCTACTACACCGGGATGTGGTCCTTCCACAGAACGTTGTCGAACGAGATCTGCTCCCGGAAGTCCACTCGCCATTTCTTCTTCAGCTGTGTCCTCAAGCGGCGGTTCTTCTCTCTCTACCACACCGGGATGTGGTCCTCCCACAGACCTCTGTCGGACGATATCTACTCCGGAAAGTCCACACGCAATATCTTCTTCAGCCGTATCCTCAAGCGGCGCTTCGACGGGTTCATATTTCGGCAATCATTCAGCAATGAGTCGGTCTTCTCCATTGAACCGCCCCATGAGTCATTCTCCTCGATCAAGGTCTTGCCCCCCGCGGTCGTCGCAGGCTCAGCTAGCCAAGGCTTTGGAAATTGAGGCCAGAAACCTGCGCCCTGCATTGCCAACTGTCTTATCTGAGTCGACGCCGCCGGTCACCTCGTATGAACCAACACCGGATCCTGAAGGGCCTCCCGCTCCCAATACTTCGCCAATTCCGGATGCTAGTAACGTCTCGATCTCGCTCCGGAAAAGAGCAAAGGAAAGAATACGTCAGACTCTGAAGTGGGTACGGCAACAGGAAGAAAAGGCATGTGACGAACTGTAGCTTACCTAGTTAGACACGCTCGAATAAAACGGAACAACCTAACATTCTCGTATATTAACCCAGGATAGGCTGTAGGAATGCCGTACCATAGCCTCGAATTCTCCGGTGCTTAATGGAGTACATTTCGTACTAGAGTATCGTACTCGAGTCATCAGCCAGAACCAGTGTATTTATGGCTTCGAGACACATCCACGAAACCCGACAACACTGCGTCTTGACATCCTTCATTCACGCCGGATCTGCCCACCAAGACAGCTCTCCATCCCACAATACAACAACCAGTGGTGATTTTGTTCTCAATCCTAGCCTTATTAAAGACGTTTATGCACAAAATTTTATGATTCGGTCTTAAGTGCTTATACAGAGCAAGAATTTTGATCCCAAGTTTAACATGTTGATTTGGACTGCACACTCGGTTGGGAGCGGAAACTGGCGGACGCAACAAGGGGGCATTTCATCGTCCCATGTAACGCAGAAGCTATAAAGAAACTACATCATAGAGGCTAAATGTCCAAGATGGAATACTCGATTATGCTTCAGTCAGGACTTTATTCTGTTGTTCAGGGACATCCTCGATCGTGCTTCTCGAAGCAGGGTTTCGTCCTCCGATATGTATTTTGGAAGTGTCTACAGAGCACTTGGGAAGCAAGGCGACATACATTTCCCTGCACCTTTCTGGTCTATCAAAGTATCAATTGTAGGTATGTTGCGGAAATTTCTTGGTTTGAGCCATTGTAATATGTAGCAAAAGTGGTTCTAAATGGCGGCAAATAGGACAACGGATCATGACGACAAGTTTTTGCCGCGCATTCGTAGCGGAAAGTTATTAGAAGACCTCAAGTTTATATTGGCTTACTGATCAAGACAATTTGATAAACTGTGTTTGGCTGGTGTCCCATCTTCTGTCTTCCTGGTGGAAAGACAGTGTGCAGCGACTGAATTGAGAGGTGGCACCTGAGATCGACAGCGTCCAATAAACTCTGATGTGGCGAAATCCCAGTCGTCAGATGTATACTAGTAATTATTGGGTTTGTTCTTAGGATACTGAGTGGACGTCTACTTAATCCTCAGTCAAGCGGCGTGTATCTTAGGAATTCATTTGCATATTCCCGATTTGGAAACACCAGCGAATGAATGATCTTGGAAAACGGAATATTTACCTACGTTCTTACAGGCTGAATGATTAATAGTGCCTGATTTCACTTGATTTGGGGCTTTATCGTAGTTCATCTGCTCACTATATTTTCTGCCGACTTCAAACAGCACCGCGATGCCCTCATCCGGACCGCTCAAATCGCAATCAGCAACTTGCACGCCGCCCAGCCTAAACAACATGAATATCCCCTTCAGCTTTAAACCAACAAACTTTTCAACCTGTCCCACATCAATACATTACCAACTGACAACCCACAACCAATAATGTCATCACACCTAGAACGGAAGTTTCCTTCCCTTCCACCCCACCTCCTTAATCAGTGCTACCATGGTCCTTCACTTTGGGCAGCTTCGATACCACTTACGACTTCAAGGCTCTACTTCAATTTGTGAAGTTTGCCCTCGAAACGCACACTCTGTTGCCCAACTTTGACCAACCCATGTTCAATCAACTTGAAGTGGTGTCCCACCTTCACCAGTCACGTCACCCTCACCTATATTGACCTTGGACCAATATTCAACTTTATCGCACACCATGAATTCTACTTTGCTGACATTCTGTATTAGTCAGTTGACCTCTACTGTTCACATCTCCGTCATTCCACCCTCTGTTGGACAATCTATTTACCAGTCACTCGCATCACAGCATGGCAACCTATGGGAATGACTTTGACAAGGGCCTTCACACCAACTACAATGGTCAGTTCATTAACGTTCTCGGAAGTTCACGCCACACAACTTTCTCGGCACAATCCCTCTGCGAACCTGTGGCATCCGAGGCCCAGGTACAAAGCGTTGTAAACTGATTGGGGTCCACTCCCATGAAAGCTCTGGCCGGGGCGTGTGTGGATGCTGGTGCCGTTCGGGTTATCCTTCCTACATCTGGGCAGATGCAACACCCCCAGCTATACTCACGGGTCTGGGAAATAACTCCGTGTCTACGTTCAGGTCTGCTGGGGGAGTCTTTGAACCAGGTTAAGGCCATCGGCCGCTGTTCTGCACAGTCACTACAGGTGCAGCCCGATTGTCACCCTTCTCTCACAGGTAGCGGGTGTGTATTGGAAGCGCGTATGGGGGCTTTCGAAGGCAACCTAGGACCTTCAGCATGGACTTACCAGTAAACCACGTGCTGGCGGGGTTGAATGAACACAGGTTAAGCATTTGACTACCCATTAAGAATAGTACTGCTCTATGGACTTTATCCAAGAGCTTGGTAGCATCGCACGCAGTGCTACCGCAACCGAGGAGAAGCGTATGACATGTCCACCGATATCACCAAAATGAAGCGGGTGGACAACATGAATGCGTTTACACATGCAAAGAAGTGCGATAGAGAGCTTTACGTGCTTTTGGCCCATCTTGGCAGCTAGCTCCTTATGTTCCCGGACTAGACTCAATAGGAAATAGTACGAAGATTGCAAATTCAATAATCTTGAGTCTCGACATTTTTCAGTGCGATATTCCCGAAATAGAACACATCGGAAACAGGGATTGAGACGGATCTTTTCCGGGCGGGCGGGTTCCTGGAGGCGGGACTACGGAGGACTCCTGGATCCCGACAAACCCGGAATGCAAATCTGTTCGTCGAAGACTGACAATTCCTCCAATCAGCTAGCTGGCATCTTGGTCATTCTTGGTCATTCAATGCGTCATTCTTTGACGTCGTTCGCAAGATGTTGGTGTTTCAAAACACGGTTCGAAGTTATTCAGGGGACAGGGACATGATTCTAAAAAGAAATGTTTTAGCGCCTGGAAACGAGAATTAGACTTGGGAAATCCACTCTGGAACCAGCCATGCGGCTAGCGTGGGGTCGTCTTCATTTCGCGGGTCTCTCCCCCCATCTCTTCCCCCTCCCCTTCCCCCAGCTGACATTGGGATGCCCACTAAATCTGTCTATTATACGCCTAATATATACGACGTGGTCACTAATCCTCCCTTCAAGTTTATCAATTCGTAAGAAGTCCCCGGAGATGTTGACTATTCCACGCTTATTATGGCCTATGACGACTGCATTATGCAGTGTTTCTTACCTCGCAGTTGCGCATGGCTTTGGGTTTGGACGGCAGGCGAACTGCGGTTCTTGAAGTTTCAAGCTGTAAACGCCAAGACGGTACGGTGGCGGGCTGGCAAGTCAACGGTGTTGGCTTATTTTCGAGTCTGAGCATACAGTGCTATTCTCCTTCATCAGCCTGGAATCCACGGTATTTTGCCCTTGTCTTCGTCTGCGAACTCATTAATTGTCAGGGTATCGATATGATTGCCGACGGCTCAAAAAGGCACAAGATAATGACGAAATGTATGCTGTTTTAGGATGCAGGATGCCTGTCATTGAGTACTGGGCACCGCTACTGGCAGGAGTGACGACGACTCTTTGCTTGCAACCTCTCGCTATCTGCATGTGGCACAGTCGCGGGCTCCCACTGAGCCGTGAGGCCCCTGTTCTTGATGTGTTGTTCTTCGGGCCCATTCCGGCCTCCGACACCGTATGCAATGGAAGGCACACAAGTGCTGTGGAACAAGCTCTTGGCTTGCAAGAGAGTAAAATGAAACCGAAAAGTGCGGTGTCGTGATTCGATACAATAAAACTGATATTGGTGATAAAAACGAAGCACGCGACTCTTGCCAGTTACGACTTATTCTCTTGGCCGATCATGGTTGGGAAGTTGGGGCTGGTCAATTTCTTGGCACATTGTTTAAACCTCCCCTGCAGAAGTCACTGGTTCTCCCAACCAGTAGCAGCTTACTCGGTTGACTGCGCCGTCTTGTGACAGTTTTTTCGCCGGCCTTGACTCTGCTCTGTTAAACACTCCGCTCAAAAGTGGCAGCCTAGCCTGGCATTGCCACATCCACCGCAGGCTGTGCCCGGTTTCTAGAGAGGTGCAAGGCGACGATGCTAGTGATTCGGTGACAGTTTTCTAGAAGCTCCGCCTGTGTAGGATTAAGGATTAGAACAGGTCCCCGTTACATAGGTCCACCATCCACCGACTTTAGTGGGTCCCTGACCTGCATATAGGCAAAGTAGGCTTAGCATTGCATTCAAGGAAAGAGAGGATGCTCACACACTTGCTCCCCTGTTTGGTCGCTGGAATTGCAACTAACTACCTTGTCGAGGTGGTCAAGCCTTTGAATCCTCGACTCGCATTTTGTTTTGCTACATTCACCGTCCATCCTTTTTATTTTTTTTTCTTGCCAGCTTCGGGAGAGATTAGGCATTCACCGCTCCCCTCTCTGCGGTTGCGACCGGCTCACCTCCAAGGCCGTCTGTTTGTCTAACCTCTTACCTCGCATACAGTTTCGAGATAATTAACGGCCTTCACACATGCCGTCATAGCCCTTAGTCGCATCCTATTGTTCCTTCGTCCCTCGTGCCCCCCTTCCCCTTTCGAGCGCTTCTCCTACTTCGAACCCCACTGTCCCCCACGGCTTGTTTGTGCGTGCGCCATCGACAGCCACCGGCCGTTTACCAAACTTACCCCAGATCTAAAGACGCGGCGGCCCAGGCTAGCATTCGGACGGCGCCAACATGGCAGACATGGACATCACTGACAAGAAGGATGACTGGAAAGGCGCGGTGATTTGGAAGATGCCAGAATGGATTGAGCCTGTCGTAAGTTGAATTTAACGGGCCACGGAACACTGCTGTGGGGAGGATTCCACATGCTGACTGAATGGGTTCCAGGCCATTGTGTCCATTCTCCTCTTTGCCATGTTCATAACGCGCAGGAAGAGCTATTCGATAATGGACCGCGCGAGATCCCCCAACTACAGGCCATTGATTGCCACCGAAGACTCGCCCAGGGTGTCAGACGACTCAGACCTTCCCCAGGTCACCAACACCCGGTACCCGCCAAAGCGACGCCGCATTCTGGGAATATGGACTGTCCAGACGCCAAATTCGACCCGGTTTGCCGGCCATATCCACTCGCGCATCCTGCAAAAGTTCCCCTTCCTCGTCGAGATGTTTTACTGGGCCATCACATACTTTTTCTACCGGATGACAGCCTATCTATCTGCACTGTGGTACGGAGGGAAGGATGGGCTGTGGGAGGTTGCACAGGATCACGGCATTGCTTTGTTAGAGATGGAAGCCTGGGCTCTAGGGTCGGGCGCCACGAACGGCACGCAACGATGGCTGGAGTGGAGGGTTCAACAATGGTTCATCATTGGTGCGGAGGCTGGCGATTGGCGACGCGTATTCTTGACGGTGCTGAACCGGGTGTATGCTCTGATCCACATCCCCGGGACGGTCGGGTAAGTTACTAAAATAGCCGCCGCAGAATGGAGTGGAGAAGCGTCTGCTAACGTCTGTCCCAGATTCATCGCCTACTACTACACCGTGGCGCCAAACCACCCTCGCTTCTGCACGGTTCGACGGACCATGTCGCTGCTGAACCTCTTCGCCTTCTTCATTTTCACCGTATACCCCTGCATGCCGCCAAGACTGCTTCCGAAAGAATTTGGATTCATCGATACCGTCAACGCCGAAGACGCTGCCAGCGTTTGGATGAGTGGGAACTACGTCAACAAATTGGCCGCCATGCCGAGCATGCACTTTGGCTATTCCTTCTGTATTGGATGCGTGTTTGTTTACGAGAGCGGTTTTCTGCGACAATGGTGCCGCCTCACCAGGAAACGGGTGGAGTTCGACAGCGCTGCCGAATTGGTCTCTCCAAGTTACCCCCCATCCAGATCCGAAAGAGACGGCCAGCGCTCCGCCTCCGCCAGGGGCATGTACCTGTTCACCGGCATTCTCTACCCGTCCATCATCCTGCTCACCATCGTGGCCACGGCGAACCACTACTTTCTGGACGCGGTGGCGGCCATCTTCGTGGTGCTCGTGGCGTTCATCTGCAACAAGATGCTACTGAACTTCTTGGTGCTGGAGGACTGGCTCTTGTGGGCGTGGCGCCTCGAGAAACCCGAGCCGACGACGGGTCTACGGGAAAAGATAAAATAGAGGAAGCGTGCGTGCATCGATTGCATAAGAGAGGGATGAGGAATGTTATTGTCGGAATTTTACTGTCTTATATACACATGCTAATTTGCATGCTCCCTCATGCGGGGAGTAGGGGCGTACATTCTCGAATACTGAAATCTTTCTTGGCTATTGTGCAAAGTACCAGAAGCTGTGATGGAGATGATGGTCGTGATGACAGGCGACGTTCGACAGCAGGCAAGCAGGTCTTAACTGCGAAGTCAACCTTGAAAATTGAGATCTGAGTAGAAGCGGGAATAGGGGGGCTGCTAACTACCTAGGGTTCTCGAGGAAATCGAACTCCGTGGATGGGTGAATCTTGAATCGACTGTTAGCAACAGCCCGGCCCCCAGCAAAAGATGGCTCGAGATATTCATAGAGCCCGTACCTTGCTTGGACATCATTTTCTCGGATTTAGCGGATAATATCAAGTTGCTCTTCCACTCCGCTGTCGAAGATTTCCCTGGAATCCACGATGTTATTGTATGCCAAGCGCAAGGCCATCTCAAGAACCGTCCGGCCAGTACAGACTTAGAAGCTTCACTCCAGGGAACCACATGGTCAAGGCGGACGAGATCCTCCCTAGTCAGTGGGTGTGCTCGGTTCACCAGAGCTTTCCGAGGGCATGGAAAAGCCGGAGCAATGAACAATCCACAAAAGCCACCAAAGCGGCTATGGTCGCGAAGTTGAGTATTTAACATGTTTTGTTATGCATTGCTGTCGTATTTCTCGTAGCTGATATTACGTGTTTGGCTCCCGTTTCTTCTCCTGTCTATGCGCTACCTCGCGCATACTTCGCAACTGTCATAACTCCCGACCGAAACGTCCCAGCTTGTTACCATCGCGGCACATGTTGTCGGACCGTCCCAGAGATTCCTTACCATAGCCCCGAACCATATCCTCCCGGGGCGTCGTGGGAAGATTCAATAGGCCACTGGCCCGAAGAGCAATTCTCGTCACCCAGCTGGTCTCATTGAGGGAGGTGGATGCCGTTCCCCGTCGTATTCAGAATCCCGATGAACAAAAGATAGAGCCAATTATGGCATCCAGATCCAATACTTGGTCGCGGACGACTCTCGCTGCCTAATTACAATGTCGGATGCGACATGCGCGGCCACGGATGGACATGCTTCAGTGGGCCAGACCCGAGCTGCTGCTATGGATGAATCCGAAGCGCCGAGAGGTCGAGGGTCCCCATCTAGAAGATCTCTTGGGCGTCATATGCGCGTACGCTCTCCAAATAGGCTTTGACTTGACCGTAATCCTTGCATACTGGATAGATGAGTGTCAGCCTATCGAGGGTGGAGGAGTGGTGAGGAGGGAGAACGGGGTTATAACGAACCATGCTTTGAGTCCCAACCGTCTGAGCCGCCGTTGTGGTCGGGGAACGTCGTCTCGAGACCTTCGATGGCGGTGTCGGCGCAGCACATGATGGTCTGGCGCAGGTAGCTAAAGCAGTGGATCATGTGCCAGTGGTGGTCGTCGGGTAATGTGTGGTTAGACTTCAACCCCGAGTATGTTTGTACGATGGCCCACTGTGTAGCTCAGCCATTAGTTGTTGATGAGAATGGGAGCACCTTGATTCTGACATACCAAGCAATGCAACTGGTGGGTGACCGACGTGGTGAACACGGTCGTACCTTCGTCCCAAATGATCGGAGTGGGCAGGTCGTGGTACTTTTCGGGCTCCTGGACTAGCTGGAATCCCATTCCCTCTGTTGGCCCGTTAGTGGTGCGTTGTTTCGCGAGGGAAAACACGGGATCGTACTAGGGAGGATCTCGTTCCACTTATCCAAAGTCTCATTGGTGAAAAATTCCGAGACGTTCTGCGGTGCGAAGTCGTAGTCAGGCTTGAATGTCTTTATTTGTTGAGAAACTGCAACATGTCAGCATCGTCGCAACCGTATAACCCTACGCAGCAGTAACACCCACATCTCGGCCCGACACCCGTCAGATCGCCGTTGAAGTCAAATGGGCTCAGTGGGGTTTCCCTTAGTTGCCCTCGAACGACGAGGCCGAGGATGAGGAGCAGCAAGAACGTGTCGATCATCCACCGATACGAATTCAGGGTAGCACATATCCGGGTTCTTCTTGAGTTCCCTGCTGACCTTGGAAGCCCCTCGAGTTGCCACTGCTTCTCTCTACCCATTAATGAATCCTCCACCTCTGTGCTGGATCTGTCGTCCGGGTCATCCAGAGCCATGTTTTCGAACTTGTGTTGTTTCGACGTCATCATGGTATACAGATCAATCAATGAATGGTATATAGCGCATGTAATAGATTGGCTTCGCACAGCTCTGCTAACGAATGGAATGGAAGTGGTTGTGCATAGGTCAAGTGTCGAGGACAACCAACATACATTCCTGGCCGTGAATCATGATTTATTCTGACCTTGGGGTTGAGCAGCTAGTCCGACCGTTTCGTCCCATGTTCGCCAGAGTGTGGCCCCTCGACATCTCTAGGAAGACTGGTGATGTTGCAACTGCAGGTGTTTGAGGCGAAACCTGAGACTAAGCGGCTGGGGTACCTGAGCTTTGGGCTGGAACTTGGCGGGGTACTTCCCGGGCATGGGTTTGGAGGCGATTGTCTCAGGAGTTAATCGCGGAGTGCAGATCGATCAGCGATGATCCGGGCGATCAACTCCAGGTCTTATTGACTCCACATGGTAAACTAAATTGATCGTCTGTCAATCTCACCGGTATCGTTCTTGAATATACGTGAACACAATAGGCATATCCCACCTGGGGGTCAATTGGGGAGAAATTAGTATACTTCGGAGTAGGTCCAGTCAGGTCTTGAAACTAGAGGCGTGGGGGGTGATTCAGCGCCAGTGGCCCTACTCGGACGCGGTTTTCAGTAGTGTTTCAAGCCCGCGCTTTAGACTTTCAGACAACAAAGCAGCCTCGCGAATCTTCAGGGCACCCCCTTGAAAGACTCGATTACACAAGCTGCACACTCTATACAGTGTCTGCCTTGCAACCTAGGTTAAGGGGATTGACATGGAGGTCTCAAACCGGCCATTGTTAGCTCACCCGTTAGCGGCATTACATGAACAGGCATGGGTATACACCGGGTTATCGCAGAAGGTCTTCAAATTGCTCTTTCTATAATCTCTAGGAGGTCCCGACGACGTGAAACATGGCCGGCGGCAACCACAAGAAGATCGGACGGTCCAAGACACTTCTACGAGTCTTCCTCGTTAGGAAGGTGGATTCGTCTATACATGCACTTCATGCTGAACCATGACGCATGCCGGAGAGCTGTCAGCTGCCTTGTCTGATCATTCAAAGTAGAGCCATGTGTCCCAATACAGTCAAACTCAGCAGATAATTGTCCATATGCATCCAGTGGACTCGTATACAGTTGCAGACATCTTTCGTTGTTCAAGATTCGGGGAGCACATTTGTAGGCACACAGCTTCAGGCCTAGCCCGGATACGATGCTAATATTTTAGGCTAGGGGATCTAGCGCCGGATGTGCCAAGAGAATTCTGGAAGAGGTGGTTTGAAGGACAACAGAAGGAAGTTCTTGTGGAATTTTCGTTCTCACCACGGACAACCGCGTCGCGTTTTTCTGGCTTCTACGGGTAGTATTCGAAGCCAAAGGTGGGAATACAGTCAAGATGTATGTTTTTCTTGGGTTGGTCAACTGCCTGGCTAAATCGGCGAAGTGCGGGGTTTTGTCGTGCACTCCGTCATACCTTCCACCTCGAAGATGGTATTATAGGAGTTGTCGCCAGTAGTCTCCTGGACGCGCATACTACGATCTGTTTCAGCAGCTGGAGAGTATGCTTCATAGCATCTGCTATTTCCGACCGACCACATGGTGAACAACATGCCCATCCCCCGATGATCCTGTTTGATCTGAACACAGTGCAAACAGCCGTACCACAGTAAACATGTTGCTACATGTCCTATTTACCGACTGTATCGCAGTTTGGCGAAGGATCTCGGAGGTTCTGGCAGCTTGGATCAGGACATGTCGCAATGCCTAATCCATGTGTACATACCACTACAAAAACTCCGCGCGTCACAAAGCATCTGCAACGGGACATCAGTCTTTTATGCTTTCAATTGCTAAACTAGGGCGCCTGTGACTAAACAACCAGGATAAGATTACTCTGCCGTCGTTCCGGTAGTAGCACTCTCAAGCTGGAACATGGTAAGTCGTAGACAGGGATGGAATTACACACAAGCGTAATTGCACTAAATATTCTTACTGGGATAGCCCAAGAAATATCGCAAGTAGCGTTGAAGGAGAATTGTTGGCTTCAGAATTATATCCACCATTGCGGAAAATAACATGGGACTAGTGATGATTTCTTTGATTGGCTGTATTTGATGGTGCTTTTGTCTATAGCTGTATCCCACTAAGCTTTGAAGTACTCATCGTTTTTCAAGTCGCTCTTCTACGCCGGCAAGTCTATGCTTGCAGTGTTGGTAACCTTGTCAGCAGTCACACTCTGGTAGCTCCATGAAATCACGCCGTATCCTCTTTATATTCCATTTCTACCGCGCTTCGAGGCTTTTGCGTCGATGTAGCGTCTGCGAAGTTATTTCCGCCGCGACTCCCAACCCGAGCAACGGCCAAGTCTGAAGTGTAGTTAGCCATGATAAGCCGTCCTGAGCGCAGATGTTTCGGTGGCAATGATGTACATGAGCCAAAGAATTGTAGAAGTCGAGACCTGATGCCTCTGGCGGGCTTATTTCCGCTTTGTTGCACGTGATGACACTACCATGCCGTTGGACACGGGTGGACTGGGGTGGACTGCATGGTTACGTATATAAGCTGTGGGCTGGCTATCTTATCACAGAGATCGACAGGTGGAACGAGCCATTTCCGTCTACATGCATGTGTCAAGTCTGCCACTGCCTCTTCTATCCATTTTCTGTTCCCTTTTCAGATTTCATGCGTGGACGAGCCATGGTGGAATGGGAGGACTTCTGACAAGACGCAGGATGCGCGATTATTGGCCACCCCACTGTCAGACGCTGGTTATAGTCCCCATAGCGGGTAACATCGGGGTCCTGGGTACGCTTGCTCGGGAGAAGATTGTATCAGGTGCCCGAAATGCAGGGTCGAGTAGAATTAAACGGACAAGCAGCGCCCTCTTCTACGTCCATTAATCTACAGACGCATCTGTAGCTCAATGTATGTCTCCTCTCTGAATGTGCGTGTACGAGCACCGTTGGCTTGGCTTTTTATGGGGTCATATCACAGCTTCCATAGTCATAATCCCCACCGGCTGATTGATTTATGGCTCTTATGTATGAGCTTTTCTCGAGGTATAAGTCGGTGCTACGCGTGTAGTAGTAGATAGGCACCGAGTTTACTTTCGTGCCGTATTGGGCTGAAACCACCCGCATCTCGTCCAAGTCCCGGACTTTTGCTCCCGACGAGGAGATTGGGTGTCCAATTGGAGACACCCCTTTATACCAGAAGCGTATAGGTGCAGATTGCCCAGGTATTAAAACAGGCTCTGGGCGCATGGTTGCTTTTGTTTCAGTGCGTAGTATGCAATGCGGCTTGCATACTTTAGATATCTTCCTCGACGACGTGTACGGCCCCTTGGCCAATGACCACGACCTACCAATGGGGAATAATTCACTGCTTGCTTTGTAATTCATATCATAGACTGGGAAAACCCTCATGCATGTATTTTTGCCGTGGGTCATTGGTGGTTGAAAAAGATGGTAGAGCTGCGGTGTTGATGCCGATACAGACAGGTCGTTTCGCATCGCAATATCCCCGTCGTGGAATCCTCACGTTTCTCCCTCCATCTGCCATATAAATACGTTATTTGAGCCTATTATTTACTCCTATCCACATTGGGCAATACCCCTGATAAGCATTCGGGTCCTTACCCTAAAATGCAAGCAGCCGCAAACGTGAAAATTCGAGTGAATGGAAACGCCGTGACGACCCATCACCGCCGTTGACACCATCTGCGGAAACATAGATCTAAAATATGACAGCTTGCCCGACCCGAACCTGCACATCACCAGCTTCTCCGTGCATAAGTACCGGCTGTGCGAATTCTCCACGGATGGTGACGGTTATGGATCATCTGGCTCATCGTGGTGACACGGCCCAATATATCGCCATCGCCGCCGAGCTCAAATTTCTCGTCCCTTTATTGCCACGGAACGCAAGGAGTCTCAAACACCATGCAAGCCCCCCTCTGGAAGTAGTAGACTTCATCAAGGACGCAGAAAGCCTCGATGATCGAGACCGCCTAAAACTCTGGCACCACGTCTGGCGCAAGATCGCCAACCTCATCACCGAAATCCCCGGCCAGAACGCCATCAGCAGCAGCGACGTCAAGAGACTCCGCAGCCAAGAGCGTGAATTCTGGGCCACGCACTGGATCGTCAAGAAAGCCAACTCGGCCGAGCCTGACAACAGCCACCCCCCCAACCTCCTGTGGGTCCCCGTGGAGATCAACTCCCCCAAACTGTCCTGGAAAGACCGCAACACCCTTCCTGCCATACAAGCCGTGCTGGAAGCTTTGCGGAAGCGGTACCACATCGTACTGAACCACACGTGCGAAGTGCACGTCCACGTCGGCCGGTTGGATGGGCAGCCCTTCTCTCTCCCCAGCTTAAAGCGCATAGCTGCTTTGCTCTGGCTCGCTGAGCCGGCACTGCGTCTTGTCAAGGATCCGAGGTCGCCTAATTACGAGCATGTCTATACCTGGAGCTCTCCCGCACGGCAACATAGCAGGCTTGCAAGAGAGCTGGATAACACGAACTGTGCCCCTGTGCCGTGCCTGCGCGATCTTCTCGAGGAAGATGGTCTTGATCCTGCCGTGGCTCGCTACCTGTCTTCGAGCGGAGAAGTCCAATGCTCAAAGCACAAGCAGGCCCTCCGCCTCATCTGGGCATGCCCCTCGCACCTCAAATTGGGTCGACTCATGTCAGGCGAGGGCAAGGCCTACCGCCGGCTGGGGTTCAACTTCAGCGCCTTTGGCGAGGAAGACGAAAGGGCGAGGACGAATCCCAGGACTGTGGAGTGTCGGTTTCTCGAGGGGACCATGGCGGATGATGTCGTGCTGGCTTGGATTCGTATCTTTGGGGCTATGGTGGAGGTTGCGCTGGATGCAAATGGTGGTGGGGATGCCTCGACAGAGCGGCGGTTTGCTAGGACGGTGTTGAGACTTGTTGATGAGAACGAGGCAGCGACGCCCATGGGCGAAGAGTCATTTGGGGAGCTGATGCAGGATTTGGGGGTTGAGGAGCGGGTTTATCGGCCTGTGCAGAAGATGATTCGGAGGATTCATGTGGGTTTGGTGGGTGGCGATGAGCAAGGAGAAAAACCATGAAGGTATCTGTCTCGGGATGATATTTAGTGTCTAGATGGAAGGTAATCAGCAACAATGGAGCGTGACAAGTTCGTTTGACCCGGTGACCAATGAGGGGAGGCAAGTCCCTGGAAAGGATACGGCACCAGGGTACTGTAATAATCATTTAATACAGCAATTCTTGATCCTACGTCCTACCACACAATCCTAATTACAGTCGTGTACTCGGGATCCTAATGTCTTACCAACGTTGCGGAATACAAGAAAAGGGGTATCTCGACAAAAGGGGACCAAGTTGTCAACCGATCGCCAACGCAGACGACCATCACGAACATGCTGGATCCCGTGTACTCCAACAACTGTGCTTCTCTGTACCTTATAGTAGCTATAGCCTTGGCCCTAGATGTCTCACTACCAAGGCACCTTGCCAGTAAGTCATATCCTCAATTCCGTGCACATCGGGAATTCCTAGAGGGGTTGGTCGATGGGTAAGTGCTCTTGAACTCGGGAAGCTCACCCCAAGTGCGTACCATGTCCACAAGTTTCAGGGTCTCGATGCATCTCAAACATGATGTGTCTTCCCTGGTAGAGCCAGGTCTGTAGCAGGTCTGGCTATTCTCGCCCTCGAGTGTTTGCAGCAGCCTCTTAAGCATTGGCCAGAGGGTGGTGGGTGGTCTCTGTTCGTGAGAGCCGTGAATATCAATTGAAAACGGCAACTTCAGCTTTCCTAGCAATTGTCCGATTTCATCGCCGTGCGATCGGAGAGCATTGATAGACTCCTCAGCGATGCCATCGCGCATAGCTCCGCTGCGGGCCTCGTAGTCGATGAGACTGTCAGCCACGATACAGTCCACGAGCATCTGGCGGCCAAGCTCGCTTTCGTGCAGTTTGGCCTTGATGGCCGACTCAAAAAGTTGGTGGATTTTTAAGAAGGCATCATCACCCTTTTCAGAACGCTGTTGCACGAACTCATTAAGCTTCGTCGTTTGCTTCTCGGGTGTTGTGTGAGGGTTGAAGAATGATACATCCACTGGAACGTTCCCAAAAGTCTTCAGGGACTTTTCAACCATGGCGAGAGCAGATGGTTGTCGACTTCCACTGGTCATTGCATCTTGGGCTTCATGTGTCTTGGCCACTTTGCCGCCATTAGTTGATTTGCCCTGCGTTGCGTTCTTGGCGTGTTGGAAAGCAATTAAGAGACTGTGGTGATGATAGACAGCAGTTTCAAGACGTTTCACCAGCATTTCGAGGCGTGCATTCATGTAGTGCAGACATGCACCAATCTAGGGCCGGTCAGCAGGTACAATAAACTCGAAGCCACCAGGATAGGAACCCACGTAGACCGAGACAATTCCCTGGAAGGTTATCGCTCTCTCTGTTGTGACATCTATTCGTCTCAGGATTGGCTCTAACAATTGCTTTTCCACCGCCATATGAGCGACTGGGACGACTTCATCCCACAGCGACTGGATCTCTCCGATGATGGCGATCATCTCAGCTTCTACAGCACGCTTGTACCCAGAAACGGCGGGTGAAGTGTCGGCGTATGTGGTCGTGGCCTCGCGGAATGCAGAATCCAGCGAGGCTCTGCATCCTTGCACAAGCATGTACACCTCCCTGCATGTTGTCAGTTCGTTTTCACAGACACTAAACTACAGACACGTACTCGTTGGCGTAGCGGCGTGCAATTGTAACGATTATATCGTTCTTTTTATGCTGATCGTCGAACGAGAGCTCCCAACCAAGAGCCTGAAGTTTTTCCAGCAGGTGATCATACTCCCAAGGTTCTTCCCGACCTTCAGAGTCACCAGAGTCTTCGAATTTCAAGTCCTTGGGTACTGGGAGCATGTGACCGATATGTTGGATGAACCTTAGAGCATCTTGAGCCTGATCCTTAATCATAGCATCGAGTTGCTGAATCTATTGTTATCTATGTCAGGAAGGGCTTGTGGGTGTTGACTGATTTTGAACGGTTGGGGCGAGTGACGCACCCCTTCATCAAGCTCTGCCTTGGTCTCCAACAAGCCTTGCTCTTTGGCTCGTTGTGCGGTGCCTTGTTCGTCGGTCCAAGCGTCGCGGGCGTGGGTTGAAGCCGAAAGCCGTGCCATATGGGTGCGTAGGGCCTCTGAGTGCTGCTGGATTGCATCCGTGTACGTATCCATGGATTCGATTGCGTCACGAACTTTCTCTGAATGGATGGTGGTACTGCCGTCGGACACCTCATTTGATGCTCGTATCTTGTGAAACTCTCCCTTCTTCTTCAGCTCCTCATAGCTGGACTCGTGTCAGCTACAGCGCATACGGATGGCCATTAACACTCACAATGCTATCTCATCTGCATCTAGCTGCTTGGAGGCAGATTCCCGAGATTTGATCGCAGAACGCATTTTGTAATCAGCGAACTTGTTCAAGATCTCCTCGTCCTTGAGGGCGAGCTGAACCAGTTCAGTCTTCCAGCCTGGATATTCCTTGCCCATCTGCTTCTCACAAAGAGACTCGAAATCACTGCCCGATATCGCGGCAATCAGGTCATCTGGAAGAGCTTCCTCATCTTGCTGAGGACGCTTCTTGTGCTTCGGGTGCAGAGGCATGTTGGCAATAGTCATGCAACTCTCCTTCAAGTGGACAGGATACCCCGGTCAGTAAAGAGTCTGTTGTCATCGGCAAATCACTAGTTGTGATTACCAAGAACAGAGATACTTACAAAAGAAACGAAAACAACAACGACAGCTGAAGAGCTATGAGGTGGTGCAGCAGTGTCGATCAATGACCTTAATCATGGAACAATTCATGCGACGATGGAAACCATGAGTGTCAGTCTGTTGGGATGGCAGCGGGTCTGTCCGAAGCCGCGTGCCAGGGGCGCAAAGTAACCTAGTATATTTGATCAGTTCCACATCTTGCTCCTGATTGAACTGTTGATGGCTTACCAAATCGAAGAAAGCCCGAGCGATTGCTCAAGAGAATGCTAACTGCAAATGGTCCGAAATGTTACTTGAGGGCTGATGAGTACTTGGAAAGCGAAGGGAAAGCGCTAGTGGATAATTATCGGCTGCGCTAACCGTCAGGTACTTCGTCGTATGTACAGCCACAGAGCAGCCACAGTGGCTCCGGGATATTGTTTTGATCGGGGGGGACTGCCCGGACCTTAGAGAGCAGAGCACAGAGTGTATTAGAGAGTTGAGACAACACATTTCTTAACTCGTTCCTTCAGGTGAGTCAAGTCATCTGCGCTGGGAGACACTGGATACCCCTCGGCCGCACTTAATGAAGCTTGGATCGCTGCAATCAAATACTCCCAAGTAGTATTGGATGGTACTGCTTCTTCTTCTTTTCCCAAGCCATGTTACTGGTAGCTGTTTGATCATTTTTCCCAGTCATATATCACACTGAATCGATCGGTCATATTGAAGACGTCTCCGTTGTGTACGCCTTCTTGATTGGTTTACTTTCATGAATTATTTGTCCACTCTGGCCCCGCGCACTCGGGTTTGAGCCGCCGTTTGTTCTCTGGCCGAGACGACAAGAAACGACTGATCAACCATTACCTCTAAATAACGGACGTCCACTTCGACCCTTGATGGGCCGAAAGTGACAAGTTGACCCAGACCGCTACAAGGCAAACGTGGCAGACGCTCTCTCTCTCTCTCTCTCTCTCTCTCTCAGATTGGCACCGCCTTTTCCCTCATGTCCCGGCCAGAGTAGGCGACCGTGTCGGACCAGGAATTTAAGGTTGTTGGTTCCTATAAAGGCAGCCCGTCTCCGCCTCGTGCAACAGAATGCGACTTGCCTCGTAGACCAAAGGAGCTTCCACGGTCGTCTATGGCATCAAAGTGAGACTCGGCCAGTGCAGGTGCACGCGAGCTACACAGCATATCTTCTTGCTGGTTGCGACAAGTAGCATCCAGTCCCATGTCGTGGTTCGCGGGTAACAAGCACAAGCTTGATCCAGGTCGTGTCGGGCCAGGGACGGCATTCCGCGTCAAAGTGGCATCTCGTCTGCCGGACCAACCAAGCCGCTCCCCATGTGCCAGGGCAGCACGGGTCACATGCCATGAAAACCAACGATGCACCCTGCTGTGATTCTTGATAGCCAGGTGCGTTTAAATGCGTCAAGATGATGACAGATTGGTTCTAGTTGGTGTTCCTAAATTGGATGCCCGTGGCTTGGAGCCGCAAGCATCCGTAGGATTGCAGGTGAAAGCCTCGCTCAATCTATGCCGTCGCCGCAATTTGCTCCATTGGTACCATCATCGGGTGGCTGGCGGCAATTGTAGCTGCAGCTGGCAGACAACGCCCCGGACTTGACAAGCCTGCTAGAGTCCCTCCTATTTTGCTATTGGTCTGGTAGCCGAGTTCACGCTAGCTATCGGCCTGTGAATTTTAGACTGTAAAGACGCAAGTGCCTGGAATGCTGTCCCCAACTCCGATCCACCAAGACCACTAACAAGTATCCGTCCCACCTTGCCTCATGTTTGTGGCTCCAAGGCTTTCTGGATTTTCAGCTTTAATTGCCTCGAATCTCTCTCAATTTCAACCCTGGAATCAAAGCCCAACCAGCAGTTCATGTAGGGGGTAGACCCTGTTGGTTCCCACTCTGTCCGCTGTCCCACGTTCTGTTTGCAGCAATCGTCGCTGAATGGCCAGCAGTTTCGAATATGTGCCACTGTAACGTGCAGCGGTCGACGTACTTCCTCTTGTGCCTCGATATTCCTTTTTTCCTTCTTGAAATGGAACACGAAAAGGTCTCGTGCTTCTTGATGGTCCCGATCTTGGACCCTTCTCGCAGATTCGGCGCTGTTTTACTGACGTAGCTTGTGGCCGAGTGGTTCGCACCTGAGTATACATGTTACCAGGGGTCCTTTTGTCGTCCGCAAGTAGCATTGGCAAGGTTAGTGTCTGTCCTGCCCAGTGCGGCATCACTATATACACCCAGCATTCCTGTCATAACAACCCTGTTTGGGGGCAAAGGGCCAAGGGGGGCCGCCGAGCCTCTAGATTTGATGACGGCCGTTAGATTCGGAGTATGCAAGTGCATTACTATGCGCAGACCCGCATCCGCCATGCTCCCCGAAGGCTCTGTCAGAAGTGACCAGTAGCCGAGCACGCCGGGCCTTGACGACTACCTGTGGGGCGAGTATATTGGGATGGCATGTCGTGGCAAGTGCGAGTGTTCCGTTTGTACGCCGAGCCCTATTACCGTCTTTGTTGTGGTTCCACGCCCGACCTGGCACGCCCGGACGCCTACTTCTGCCAGATGCGATGCGTGAGACGCAATGCTTCCGTCCTCTCTCTTGTCGTCCCAACATGATCGATCTTGTATCTCGATTCGTCGAGGCATCGGGTAGGTTTTCGTGCTTTTCAGGGGGCTTGTACATCCATTCATGGGTCCTCATCTGCCTTCATCCGCGGCACTGGCGGGTCAGATGTACCGCAGTTTATCAAAGGCAGATGGCAGGTTATGTTGGGTGAACTTGTGTATATTATTTGGAAACGGTTGGCCGTCCATAAATTCCAACGGCTTTCCGGGAAACTGTCTCAGTCTTCTGATTACTTCAAGACAACACCTTCCGCTTCCAGATAGCCATCCCCATCCACCTCACTCCAGCATACCCGTGCTCCCTCATTGGCTCCTTCTACCACCTCTACCCCTGATAAAACACCATGACTATGACCTGGGTGTCTCAACTATGCCGGAGCCTTAGGGCTCCCGGCACGGGCAAACGATACAGGAATGCCTTGATTGGAATCCTGTTCGTTCCGCTGAACCAACTAATCGTTGTACCTATACAACTCACCTTCGACAACCACCAGATAAACCTTCCCGCTTCCATTATAGTGATGCTGTTGGTATTGACCGTGATGCTCTTTGCCAACTTCATCCACGGAGGCACGGGTGATTGCTACAGCAGACACTTGAAAGGTCCAGTGAGTATACACCTCCACCAAAGCCGGTTATAGCCATCCAAATCTGACGGAGCAATCTATCCAGACCGACTTTCTCGGCCGCCACATGTCTTTTGGCTTCGTTGCATCATTCATCATGCTGAGCAAGGAGCACATCGAGACCGGTACCGATGTCCCAAAGATTGCATGTGCTTTCAGTAAGTTGGCCTGTACTCACATAATAACGAAGCGTGTTGGTTCGGTCGAACTTACGCACATGTGCCAGTCATAACCAGCCTCATCAGCTACATCGGTTGCTTTCTCTTTGCTATTGGGAGTTTCCGAATCGAGGAGTGCCTGAGAAGCCTGCGCAAGCGAGCCAATGACTTCGACACTGAGGAGAACCATAAGCCATCCCCAGGACCAGCGCCGCTCCCTTCTAAATATGCAAGTGGTAGACGCATCTCTCAGGTCTCGCAGCTCACTACGGTCCTCATGAACAATGCGTCGTTGTCCTCGCTCGAGACACTCAGCACAGCCCCCGGGGCGATGGAGTTCCTCGCCAGTACGACACCGCTCTGGATCTCGCTCTTCCTGCTCTGCATTATCGGCCTGCCTGTGTATTGTGCTGCCGAGTACGACATGCCCCTTGAGGTCTTTAGTTTCACCAGCTTCTGGATCATCACCGTCCTGTTCCAACGCTCGCTCAAGACGTGCAAAACCCTGGAGCTGCGTCCCCGACTCCGGTCTACCTTGGTCATCCTCTTCAACCCCGTCCTCCTGACCTCCATGCTCGGTACCGCCTTCTTCTGGATCAAAGCCGCCATAACCCATCGCTCCCTGCGCGAAATCCTCTCTGCCTTCCGCCGCGAGCGCTCCTGGGCCAGCATCGTGTCCAAGATCGCGGCGGACCACAACCCCCAAATTCACATTGGTGCGGGCGACCTGGCCCAAGCCCTCCTGGACGCGGGCATCGTGTCTCTGGGGCTGAAGATGTTCGAGTATCGACGGGAGCTGTGGAACAGCTTCACGACCGTCTTCTCAACGTCCATGGTTTTTGCCACCATTAACTTATTCTTAAACGTCATCTTCGCGCACGCCATGGGCCTCGCCCAGCCCGATGCCCTCGCCTTCGCCGCCCGCAACGTCACCATCGCGCTCGGTGTCCCCGCCGTACAGAACCTGAACGGAAGTACCACGCTCATGAGCGCGCTCGTCGTGTTCAGTGGCATGCTATTCCAGATGACGGGAGACTTCCTCTTCGCTTGGCTCGGCATTCGAGATCGACCCCAACAGCTACAGCAGCCCGCCATGACCGTCTGCGCAAGCGATGAGGAAAAAGGGGCGAACGACGATGCTGCTGCAGCGGGACACGGCAGCAATTGCAAGGTGGTAGCTGCGGGTATCGCGGTGGGCATCAATGCTGCGGCCATGGGCACGGCGCACCTGATTGAGCGGGACTCGAGCGCCACGGCGTACTCAGCGCTGTCCATGACGATCTTTGGGGCAATCACCGTGGCACTTACTGCCGTGCCGGCTATCGCGGATTGTTTGATTTCTTTGGCGTCTCGATGAAACGTCGTTCATGTCATGATTGGTTATCTACTTGGCTTTGCGTTTCTTTTGCATTTCTCTTTGAAAAGCAGGCGAATAGGATGAGATACCGGTGATACCCAAAGCGAATAGCGTGGAGTTCAGTTCTACAGGGTTTTCTGCATACAAGTGCAAAATTATTTGCTTTTGGGACGATAGACATTGGTCGAATGGTTGGTTGGTTGACGGGTTGCCTGTCATGTCACATTTCAGGCATCATATAGAGCAACGAACGAGTACGACTATCACTCTGGCCCGTGGTCGGGAGGTTTTTTCGTGCTCATGTGACTTCGTCTCAGTTTGGTATGATGTCCAAATACAAACGTGAGAACGGAGAAATGGCGATCCCAGAGATGGGCAGTGCGACATGAGAATGCTACGCCAAACCTGGGAGAGTATTGCAAGTCGCCAGCAGTATGTCAGACACAAGATCCGAAATCATTGGTCATCTCTCAAGTTGGAATTTGTTTTTCTCGGCATGGGAAGCAGTACGCTAAGACTTTCCCGCGTGTAGACTTACTCCAGCCTAGAAGTGAAGGTTAGCAAGTCCTTTCAAGCTTGACACAACGTTCGCGTAATTTCCTTTCGCACAAGGCGGTCGGTTCCCGTCTGATTTGCCTGGTTCCAGACCCTCTTGCCACTACCATCCAAGCCGCACCCGTAGAACCCCGGCTAGACTTTCAATATGCGAGAATAGTCAGGCTAAGAAAATACAGACCACTTACCTCTCAATCAGATGCAGACCACTGGCCGTCGAGACGACTCCGCTCATTTGCCCTGGCTGGAGCGCGAACGCGGCGTCCTCAAACTCCTTCTGCATGTCGCCTTTTCCAAAATAGCCCAGGTCCCCCCTCTTCCTCGCACTGCTGCAATCACTCTCGGTGGTAGCCAGCTCGCCCAGCGTCGTCTCGCCCCGCTTGATGCGCGCCTCGTACCCCTTGATGATGTCCTCGGCCTCCTGCTTGCTCCGCGTGATGTCGGCCTGGCGCCACGACGACTTGCGCCGGCTCTCGTTGTGCTTGACCAGCAGGTGCGCGGCCCGGATCTTGTCTGCCGGTTTGCCAGCCGCGGGTGCCGTTGCAGACGAGTGGTGCAGGGCCATGTATCGCTTCAGCTTCTCCGTATCTGTGCCTGGCGGCGGCTCCCAGCGAGAGACTTTATCTGTCGCGTTGAAGTAGTAGGGCAGATTCTTGGAGTTGCTGTGCCGAACTTCCCAGCTTGGGGGTAGACCGGTGTCATCCTAGTTCACATCAAAGCTGGTAAGCGATTGTGCCTCCAGAAAACAAGAGGATGACGATATGCACATGCGAAAAGGGTCGAAACTAGGGCAAAAGCTCGGAGCTGTTGCATGCCCTGCAGACGCAGTTGATTCTGCAACTTACCATATTGGTTGGATGTGGGAGTAATGGTCGATGTAGGTCGTATGATGTCGATGTTGATATCGATGTCGGTCTGCAGACGTCTTGTTGCTTGCAATTGCTCGAGGGTTTACAGCGTTGCTTTACGACGAGAGACAATGATGGTCAGACGCAAGGCCGGATATGCGTTTAGTTATTGGAGACAAACCCGGGCCTTTTTCGGAATTCAGCTTTTGAATCAAATCTCGACCGAGGAGTGGAAGAATCCTGCTTTGCGCTAACTCGGCCTGATGAACCAAATAAGCGGGAAGCGGGGCAACGAGGGGGAAGGGAAGACCTGCACATCAGCAGCCCATCTAAATTCTACCATCTGCTAGCTTGCTTCCTTTGGGTCTATTTGGGGATTTGGGCTAGTTAGCCTATCGGCTCAGATTGGGAGCTGGATATTGTTGCACCGAGCAACGATCACGAGGTTTTCGAGGCGGGGCAAGGATGACGATGAAACGCGGGGCTGTCGAGAGCTCAATCGCCGGGTCGTCTAGGGTGCGTTTTTACTGACACCGTGTGAAGTGCGAGCATAAGGTCTACTCGAGGGAAACAAAGCTTCACTCGTCATGGACGTTATTCAGATAAAATAATTGCTTAATCATAAGGAATGATAAAAGTATTTTTCAATTGGGCTTCTTTCAAATAGAACTAATTAATTATCAAACATCAAATGTTTAGACAAGCTGCATAGATCTATGTCTGCTATACACAGTCTCTATACTGTCCGAAAACGGGGGGAGGCCTTCTTGTTCCCTTGATCATTTCATTGGTTAGAATTTATCCGATTATCCGAAGTTGGTCCGTCTTTGACTTCAACATGGGAACCTTCAAAATCCGGCGCATTCTTGAAGGCACCGCGACGCCAGGAATCTTCATCCCATATCAACAGCTTCGCCGATTATTTTTCTCTTAAATAATTGCCGTGTTTTTGCCTTTTGGTAATTTCAGCGGTCAACAGCAAGCATACTCACACCTCACCTCACAAAGTCACCAACAACTCACCCCAGCAGAAGCGCAAACGGCCCATCATGGCGTCGCCGCAGTCCACCACCTCAAACGACGGGGCCAACAAGAACAAGCTCGAGCAAATCACTTTTAGATTCTGCTCCGAATGTTCCAACATGCTGTATCCCAAGGAGGATGAGGACTCTCACAAGCTGCAGTTTACCTGCCGTACCTGCCAGTACACCGAGGAGGCCACTTCGACGTGTGTTTTCCGCAATGTCATGAATAATGCTGTCGGCGAGACAGCTGGAGTCACTCAGGACGTTGGATCGGATCTTACGGTCAGTAGCGTCTCCATTCTCCTATTGCTCCCAATGCTGCTGCTCCTACTTGTGAGTCTTCGCCATCTGACGGTCCGGATTCCGCTTTCTGCTTTCGATGTGGTTTCACTTTGCTCCAGTGCGATACTTGCGGCAAAGTTGCTATTGATGAGTACAACCATTTCGTCCGTTCGAGCCACGATTGCGCCTGTGACTGAGTTCAGTCACTTGCGCATGCTGCTGGCCTCTACAAACTGCTGGACGCCGAACAGCAGGCGGCTGGCAACGCCAAGTTCACCTCTTACCAGATATCAAGCATGGCTATGTCGCATGTACATGATGCTATCGCGCAGTATCTACCATATAATATTGCGGCAAACCCTGAGGTAGACCCCCCGGAAGCCTTGCGCATTGGCCGTGAGGTTGAGGGCATGGCTTTGCTTTCTTAATCTCACCACATCCCCGACTTGTCGCCTTGTACGATTTATGTGTTCGAAGTATCACCGGCTCAGCGAATTCAAGAAAACGCCACTGCCCCTTTACCTCGCCTTCGGCCCGACTTCACCTTTGATATCAATCACAACCGGTCCATCGGAGATTCAGCAAGGACTCTCGGATACAGGCATAATAAGTACTAGTGCCAACTGTCAAATCCAGGCTAGTCTGCGTTACTTGACGTCACTTCACCTGAAGCCATCAGTGCGCGCAGGGTAGGCCACACCAATTACGGCGTTATTCACCCTCTTCTGGAACTCAGCAACACGTGGCAGACGTGAAGAGGAATATGGCGGCTCGGAATTTTTTTTCCTCTCATCGGTCCTTGGCGTCCTCGGCGAAGCCTGTCGGAACTGAGCATCATTTGAAGTAACGCACGATTGTCTACAGCATCGGAAACTACGCCAAACCCGCCCTCGATATTCCAAAAATCGTGCATCATGGTGCGTCTCCATGTCATTTCAAGTCTTCAAGACATTGCAACAACTCCACGACGTCGCAATTCCGGGACAAAAGAATGCAACGTGTCATTTTTAACCGAGGAGCTTCATACGGGTTCCCTCAAGTAGTCATCTTGCAGATGGATCTCCGACCTAAGTCCAAGTGAACATCGGACCAGCTTTGCACTGTTTTGTAGGAGTCAGCACGGTGTTCACTCTCTCCATTCCCTAGTATCACGGGGACATCGTGATTATGAAACGAGCTAGAGATCATAATGCGGGACTCTGCGGCAGAAACGTTCGGAGCTCTATCTAGCCACTAGGCTGGTGTACCCAAGCTGATTAGCACCTGATAAGCACCTGATTCGCCTGCACCGACGAAGAAATCGCATGCTAGAGCGAGTCATCATTCCACGAGAAGGCCGTCATATCGTTCGTCCATCATGACACGCAATTTCAAGGATGCGACGGCAAAGGACGAACCGCTCTTCATACGGCCGCAGTCGCGGGAAAGGCAAAATCCTGAATCTTCTTGCTGGTCGTTGACTCCATTCTTGGCGAAGACTTCGTTGACATGAACATAAACACCCTCGTGTTTTCTGTGACGCCGAGTCATACGAGCTGCGTTGTAATTGGAGACATCCACCTGGACCACTGGGCACCAAAATGGTCTTGCTGTACAGTCGACTGAGTTGACGAACCATGCCAGCTGGCTCCAGGCTGGTCGAGACCTGTTCAGGAAGTATGTGGAGGGCTCTGGGTTGAATAAACGGATTCCATGTCAAGCAGAGAAGCAGGGGGGGTCACCAAAGTGACCGCACGTGGCACTGCAGTACTTTCTGGCCGTCACCTTCGCAGGTAAGGCGCCATCCAAAGATGTCAGCTTAAGCCTGCTTGAGGATCGTGTCCGGAACTTTGGGATTTCAGTAAAAAGGGAAAACGGCTGCACAGTTCGAGGATGGCATGCATTGGACTCAAAGACTCTTCGCTGCGCCCTTATAGCGATACCCACCCCTAACCGAAGTGCGACAACATTGAGTGCATCACACCTCACTGCCAGTCCCAAGTTATTAGGATGTTTGGCATCCATCAGAGACTCGTCACGGACGAGCCATGTCATATAACCTTGGATTCCTCGCCGGATTGGTGTAGACTACTTGTCAGGCGCTACAAGCCAACTGCTCACCATCGATGGATCGTACAAACGCTGTCGAAGGAAGCAATGTCTCCGAAGTGGGATGCATTGAAAGCACAAGGGTCACACTACTATGTGCCACTACACGAAGACCCGAGGTGACGGTGATGACGTTGAAGTTGGAGATGCCATCTGTAAGAGGCCACACAGAAATATGCCCCAGTCACGCAAAGTGCCTAGCTCTGGCAGTCAATGTTGGTGGTTGATCTGTATCTCAGCCCACAGTAAATCAATCTGTGGATGGACGGCAATCAGCAACGCTAGCAGCTAAAGAGAGGGCTCACGAAAATTCGACCGAGATTCGATTGAGGCGAGCCATCCATTGGTGTACTACCAGTCTATTACTGGATGCCCATATAGTCGTTAGGCAACTCTAGTTACCCTTGCTAGGCACGACGATGGTGAACGAGTCTGATATCCGCATCCTATCAAAGATCACGATCAGACGGGAACCCTATCTGGCCCTCCCCACACCATTACCTCGTGTGATGGCCTGAATGGGGTCAGATCACGATCAAACGCCAGGAACATCATTGGTTGGGAAAATCATCACGTCGGCCACTCTGTTTCTGCACTGTGATGAAATGCTCCACACCACTTCTCTGATGGCTAGCTCTATCAAGTTCTTATCTCTGCATTGTCTCAGAGTTCAACCTCTACCCACACTCTGCACTGCGTGGTCGACGACTGGACATGGCATTCACATTCGCAAGGACACCATGCTGGTTTGGCTCTGGATCCTCCGATCCCGGCCTGGAGTGAGCAACGTTGAAAACCTTTGGCTCCGTTGCCCCATAGTAGTTGAGCACTCTTGCGCATCCTTCATTTTCCAACAGCCCCAGTACAGCTTCCAACTCATTCAGCCTAGCGGAGTTGTCAAAGTGTTGACATCGAGTCTTTGTTCATCAAGTGCTGGTTGTTGAAAATCGGAAGGGCCTGTACTTCCTACTCGGCTCCTCGAGGATTGAGTGGATGCTAAACAAGCTACGTGGTCATTACCAGCAAGCTTTGCTCCTTCAATGGTGACGAATGCTTTAATGAGATGCTGCGTACGGCCGGCTTTATACTAACAACATCCTCAAAGCCCATGGATAAAAGTGCAATACGACGACGCTAGTACCAATGGAGAACTAGTCACTCGTGATATGCAGCTTGGGGAGCATGCTTGATACGTTTTACGATTCTTTGACCTAATGCTAACATCACTTATTCTCCTAGCTTCCGCGCTCGAACAAGACTTGCCCGGTGTGCAAGCACGAGGAAGCTGTCTTCTTCCAGTCCCAACAACGAAGCGCTGAGACCGGCATGGTAAGCTCAAAGTACCTGGAATATCAGGATTGATTGTACTAACTTCCAATGCCTAGAAACTCTTCTACGTATGCTGCGAGTGCGGTAATATCTTCCAGTAGCGACGAGGACGTAGACTTTGGAAAGGGGATGTGGAGTCTTTAATACCAATTTGATAAAGTAATGCATGGGCAGGCGTTAGGAGTCTGCTGGCACGAACGCCACCTTTCAGACACGAAAACTTAGATTTGATTCTTCCAGCGGAGTGGATATTCAACCCAAAGAGTGCCATACTGTTCTCCGAGATGTGATATGAGTGTATTGGGAGTGGGAATATGTCTTCCAAATATAGATCCCCTATAACAGACGTTTTGCCTACAATACCAGTTTCCACTCGAACGCCAGCCAAATGCTTATACATGTATAGTACACATGTCTACTCGAACCGCGCCATCCACTCAGGCGCCTCCTTTTATCTCGATGTAATCCAACAGTGCACCTATGCATGCATGGGGGCCATGCTCAAGATCTTGCTCCACTTCTTGCGTCGCAGCTCGGCACCAACAACACCGTTTACTCGTGTTCCAATGGGGTCGCCAGCTTTGCTGATCAAGACGCAGGCATTGTCATCGAATCGAACGACGCTACCGTCGGGGCGCTGAACCTTCTTCTTGGTACGGACGACGATGGCGTGTCGGATATCGCCTCGCTTGACTTTGTTGGCAGCAGACGCGACACCCATTCCCGCATCGGTGGCACCTCTTTGCTTCTGGACAATGGCGACAAAACGGTCGCCTGATATGTGGAATCAGTCGACAACTTATTCCAGCAGGGCAATTGGAGCGGAGCAAATACCGATTGATGCATGTCTTTTCTGGCCAACGACAAGGGCACACTCGACAATGGCGGCGCCCGAGTTGTCGATGCAATTCAGCATCGTCTGAGGGAAGAAAGAGTCAGCACTCTCGCTGTCCCAAAACTCGACGCAACAACTGCCGCACCTTTAATTGGATCATCTTGGCCGATTCAGCCTGCTGCGGGGGCCGATGAAGCTCTGTAAGACGATTCCACGGTTGTTGGCGGGTCGGCCTCGCGGATGGGGAGGCTCTCGTCAAATTCAAATTTTGGCGTTGGTCGTTGGCCGTTCGAGGCTGAAAGACGGCGCGCCTCTGTCATTGGCCAATCTTCGGGATCGACCCTGTAACCAAGTACATCGTACCAACCCTGGTTCAATATCGGGGGTCAATTAGTACATACATGACATGGTCTAATGCTCTCCACGCACACGAGGGCCGCTATCTGGCATTGGCGCGTTGACCTGCCACCCTCTTTTCCCGTACCTCTGTGTCTGTGTGGACTTGAGGGGCCGCACCAGGTTCGGGTGTCAAGTTGAAGTCTCGTGAATTGCTTGCATAGCATTTCCGAATTTTCGATAAGGAGGGAGATCTGTCCCTCCCTCATGTTCACCTCTCCTTTACTTTGTTAGACCCGCAGCAGAATATACTTTTATATCTTTTCCTCCCGGCAATTGCGTGCATAATACCCATCCATCATCCATGAGAGCTGCCTTCGTGACTAGCGACTGCTGCATCCTGTTTCCTTGTTGGCGCTCTTTGGTTCAAGGTCCTTTCCATCCCAACTTCGTTGCGTTCATACCTTACTTCGCACCCTCTTGCCGCATGGACTTCATGTAACGACGCATTTGCAACAGTTGATATCCAATTGGCCCCGGCTCGCCTTTCCACCACTGCGCCTTGCCAACTGCATTCGTTTCCCCAATATATCAGCACATGAGGACCAATTGCAGCTAGTCACGACCGGTTCACCTCCCTCTCTCTACCTCCAATTCTCATTGGGGCGCACGAAGGGGCCTCCGTCCAACAGTTCCTTCGAGCCATTCTTTGGTCAACCCACCCCAACACTGGAGAATTCACCATACTCCCCACCCCTTCTCAAGCGAAATCTAGGAATCCAGCGAACTCGGAGTATTTGCGCATAGCGATTGCGATAATGCCTTTCCCAGCTTCAGCCAAGAAGCAGCCGCTGACGTTGGCTCAAATATCGGCTTACGACGACATACTCACAGATGCGCTCGTGGATCACGTATGTCGAGTCCCGACAGCTTGATACTGAGATGAACAGAGACTGACGGACTGGGCTTAGGCTTACTACTGGACGACGATCCCCAAGAATCGAACCACGTACCACCCCTCCAGAGGAGTGAAAGAGGAGGAGGTCACCAAGATCATTCAGGCGCATCTCATCGTCGACCCGGACCTGGAAGTGGCCGAGTCCAAGTTGCTTGGTCTGGATGGAATGCGCCGTTTCTACAATGGGCTCAAGACACCCAAGGAGAAGGACGACTTCCGCCGACACCTGCGTCGCTACATGCAGATCTACCTCCCCGACTGCCCCTTCGAAGTGAGCACGACGAACCGGTACACCATCAACACCCACGAAGCTGCCGTGACTGCGCGCCGCTTCGTCAAAAAGGGGGGATCGGTGAAATACCTGTCGGGCATCCAGGTCTTGATAACCCCTAAGGAGGAGAATGAGATCTCGGAGCGCAAGAAAGACTTCAGCATTGTGGTCAGCTCGCGCAACAAGTGTGCAAGCCTGTTCATGGGTCCTGCGCGATTCGCAAATCACGACTGCGGTGCCAATGCCCGGCTCGTTATCACCAGCCAGTCAGGCATCGAGATATTTGCGACACGGGACATCGAAGTCGGAGATGAGATCACTGTCACCTACGGCGAGAACTACTTTGGCGAAGACAATTGTGAGTGTTTGTGCCAAACATGCGAGGTCAATCTGGCCAACGGGTGGGAACAACCCGATGGCACTGTGCCCGTCAAGCAGAGCATTGAGCAGGTGAACGAAGAGGGATATTCGCTCCGTCGCAGACGTCGCGACGACAGCTTGGCCCGTTCCTCGAGGACGCCCTCTGTGACTCCTGATATTCGGCCGCGGGTTCCCAAGTCCAGGTCGAAGACGCTGATGATGAGTTCGGGCCGGGCGTCTATGACCAGTTCTCCTACGCCCGAGACGCTGCTACGTCAGAAGCGGAAACGCGAGTTTGACTTACTGAGTTCACCGCCCGCCACGCCGCACAAGAAGATGAAGACTCTTCATAGCGACGAGTTGGCCGTTTCGACGTCCATGTTGTCTAGACAGAACAGCGATGAAGAATCGAACGGCAGCGCATCGGCTTCTGCTTCCGATTCGGATAGTGCCGAGACCCTTCTCACCGGAGTTACGACCCCCGAGGAAGATGTCAAGGAGGCAGAAGCGACGAAGCCTGTGCTCAAGCTGGAGGACTTGGAGACGTCTTCGCTATCCGACGTCGCAATGGCCCCGTTCCCAGCAATTGCTCCGTCACCAATGGCCCGAGATGTGACCGCGAATGAAACATTGTCCACAATCGAGGCAGTCGCACCTGCGCCTGCGACTGGCATTCCGGTCATTTTCACTTCGACTCCTCCCGACGACAGTGAGAAGGCTGTCGAATCAGCTGACCTCATTGTCATACCTCCTCCGCTGACACCCGCTTCCAAGACGATAGAGCAGAGTCTACCAACCCCAACTACAGACCATGCGCCGCTGGCGGAGGAGGAAGAAGAAGCGCCCAAGCGGGGTCGAGGCCGGCCACGCGGCAGCGGAAAGTCGAAATGCAAGTCGAAAGAAGCGACAGTGACGACTCCCTCGAAAGCGCCAGTCAAGCCCCGAGCTTCTACCCCCACGCGCACCGAAAGCGTCGACGAATCCACGTCGCCCATTACGGCGAAGCCTAGTCGTATCCGCATCCCGGGCGATTACTCGCTGACGCCTGTCCTTCTCTCGGAGCCGGAGGCCGCTTGGGTGCGCTGCACAAACTGCACCGACCCCTTTGTGCAAAGGGATGCATACTACACGCGCAGCTCCTGCCCCCGCTGCGAGCGCCACTCCAAGCTCTACGGATTTCAATGGCCCAAAACAGAACGCGAGGGCAAGCACGACAAAGAAGAGCGGATTTTGGATCACCGCATGGTCCACCGGTTCCTCGATCGGGCGCATGAGGCGAAAATCAGGGGTAAGAAGAGTGGCAGTTCCATGGCGGAAACGCCTGCCGCGGAAGTCACGGGTAATATAAGGAAGCAGGGGGAGATGCGGGGAGCTGACGACGAAGACGAGCTGTCGAAGGTTAGGCGGAGTGGCAGGAGAAGACACCCCAGCCTCAAGGCCGCTGCCCTGTAGGAAGGTATCTGGAGAGGCATTGGGGGAGTGTTACGGAAGGCAGGGGTGTGGAGCCATGGTCGGGCGCTTTGGGCTTCGGAGAGAACGAGGTTTCATCTCTGAAGCTCTGCAAAACATATTCGCTTTCTCCCGAGGATGTGCGTGACCACAATCGGGCTTTTTCGACCTCAGGAGAAGAAATTTTTATCGCTAAGATTCTAGAACTCGCCCCGAGAATCACCCCCCATGTAGCGGCAGAAGACCGTGAAGACATGGCGAGAGATGGGGGGGGGGTATGAGGGACAACTTGCATCTATCATCTTGGTGTCCGGTTTCAACATCATGTAGCGTTTGCATTCTTGGCGTTTCTACCATGTTGTATACTAGCACGATACCGCACTGCGTACATCGCATTGCCTTTACCAACAATTATTTCAATATTTCCCACCTTATCCGAACTATCATGTCCCTTTGTTTTATCCAATCTGGGGATGTCAAGACTGGAATGGTCGAGGGTTGAGGCACTTTTGAGCCTGTCCCGGAGAACTGCATTCCTGCGTCCATAATGAGACCGAGTTTTGACACCTGCATGCGGAAATCGTGACGAGAGACGACACAATATCTCTGGCGGCTTTGTTTCCCAACTCTGGTTGCGAAAAGCATGGCCCATCAAGCTTTGTGGTTCGAGATGCCAAACTGGGCAAGATTCGATGATCCCGGTAACATCAAGCTTCTTTTTTTGGACGTCAAAATGGCCTAGCTCTCATCTTGTGATCTGTTTTAAATTAGAACTAGAGATATTTTGAAAGTTGCGGCTGGAGAATAGTCCCAAAATGAGGTGACTCTGCTGGATTTAGTAACCCTATAATTACTCATATTGAGACTTGGAGAAACCCTGATGCTGATGTTTCCTTCTGGATACTGTGAGATGCCAGCCAGCATTCCAATTTTTTGCACCTGCAGCTCAGGTAATGACTTAGTAGGGGACTATTGAGTATTCCATCATCAAGGGCCTCTGACGATGTTTACTGACCAAATGTGGTCAGTAGCGCGAACACTTGACTATGACATGGCACTGGAACTCTATAGATACTTGTATCCCCTAGTAATAAAGTCAGTTCTGGACCCTCCAGTTCTCAATCCTTTGTTGCTTCATTTGCAAAGCTCTAAATACGGCGCGAGAAAATTTACGCAATACGTTTGGACGACGGTCCAGAGTTCTGAGGACCACATGTGTATAGTTTACCTCGCTGTTGGCTTCTCAGGTACATTCATCTAGCAGCTATCATTTCGAGATCATTTTTGCATGCGGTGCTGTTCAAGAATAGGCTGAGACAGTTCATTGTGTCTATATAATACCCCTACCCCTTCGTTTTGTTTGAGGATTAGCTGGATCAGGGAACCGAGTCGATGGGTTCTGGAACCTAGGATTCCGAAGTAATTAACTATACCTAGTTGGCCTACCACCGCATTCGTTCTTCATACCATGACGCCTTACGTGATGTCACCTAAATTCATAGCCTTTCATATCCTGGCATTTACGGGGCAAATTAAATTACACTGCAGATATGTCCTTCATATGAAATTTTCAAACTGAAATCGTCTAATTCCATCGACCATGGGAAACAACACATCTGGTTCGTGGATAGACAACCTTTCGAAAAGATAATGGAGGTCAGCAAGTGCGATGCCCAACCAACGCTTCCAGACCTGCCCTGGCTAGCATTAACCCACAAGAGCTCCCCAGACGTATCAACTTGCATGCTAGGCTTGGTTTGTTGCGGGTAAAATTTATTGTGTGATGCAAAGAATCTAGTTCCTGAATACTGTTGATTGCGGGTTGAAAAGGGACACGATTTGAGTGCTGAGGCTTCACTACCCTTACTCAACCTGGTATCATCGGATTCTCTTCACATGGCCTGCATTAAACAGTAGCTGATTGGGATTTCACAATTTTCGGATTCGGAAGGGTATGCGAGACATGCCTAAAGTTGCAGATCCTTTGTGTCTTGGTAATATTTCACAAGGGGCACTACACGGAAGCATCACCACATTTCAGTGCTTTATTTCCGATCAATGCATGATTATGAGAATTTCTTTCTCCCTCTCTTTCATCTGTCTTTCTTCACACAATTGTCGTCTATCGCCGTCCCCACGGCTCAAGCCCTCAGGAAGTGATGGGCTACAGGCAGATAAGTAAGCATGATCCTCCTTGAGCAAAAACAGCATGGCATACGGCAACACGATGCGGGAAATCATCAACAAACCCATTGCAAAAACCGGCGCGCAAGTCGAGCAAGACACGGCCGACACGGCAGACGTTATCAACGCTGTCGCATCATGGGCTAACCACATCCACCAGTCGGTCCGTCGGGATCGAAACTCACCCAGAGTATCTTACCGGGTCATCCTGAGAATACTGTAGTCTTCCGACATCCAGAAAAACACCAGCCAATTCTTCTTCTGAACCTCAATCGCAACCGTAACCGTGATGGAACTCTTCCTGCTGCAGACCCTGAACGCCGTATGGATGCCCCTCATCGAACTTAACCAGCCCCAGAAAACGTACCAGCAGATGTGGGTCGCGGGGATGGAACGACAAAGTGAGGAGACGGAAGAACGTACCCTAGCCGACGAGAGACGTAGAATATAAATCGCTCCAGAGTTTCTAGGGCAGCGGAGACACCCTTGACAGGTATACGAAGAAAACCTTGCACCAGCCGAGAACTTCAACGTCCCACTAGGGCTTGAAGACCGAGAACATCCCGGGTAAAGACGCAAACGAAGATGCATACGAGGCCTACGATCAGGCCAAGGCCTTCCTGACGGTGAACAAGAAGAGCAGGCTCCCGAAACGGGATACGGACCGTGAGGCGTGGCAGAGTCTAGAAATAATCGGCCTGTACATGACGACGCGACATGGCGATAGAGGTATCGAGCTTCTGGGTCAACCTTTGCTCATGGCGGATATACCATCGTTCGTAGAGGACTTTGATGAAGCGATGGGTTGACTTGAATGCAATGATTATTCATCAGTCTTTTGATATTCACTTCCGGCGTCGTGGGAGGCGTGCAGCGTGGGGCCCCCGCGGGCGATGGGCTTCGGTGCGGATGACAGCACTAATGGATGCGCTGACGTGGATATCCATGACCGGAAGCGTGTAACGTTGAAGCTTGTGTGGACATCAGTCGAACAGAGGTTGTCAGTTTGGGTTACCTCGATTGTTCAAATAGCAACATGTTTTTACCTGCGGTTAGGAAAGAAGCAGCCGGACTTCTGGCTCTGTAGTGACACTTCCATATACAGTTGACATCATCTCACAACCAATGGTCGCGACACCACGACGCCCAGTAACGATTGAGAGTCTTCGTGGTCGAAGAGTATCAAAATAAAAATTCCCAAGTCAAAGGCTGTCAAGAAAATATTGAAGCAGGTTGGCCTACTGCGTGTCATAGTGCTTGAGTTCTCGAGGACGAATGCGGTCATTTGCTCAATTCATTGAGCCCACCAACTCCAGCCTGACATAAAAGGTAATCAGTCTGTTATCCTGTGCAGTGGCACCAGCACGGTCTAACCGTGTTCGTCTAGTCTGAGAACTATGGTAGTATGGGGAAATTGTGACGCTGATCTCAATGCGGGGGCTCTGTGTCCTTTCATCCTCACCGACTTCAGGTGATTGAGTTTGGGTCTGGACCCCTAAACTGATATGCCATCTGAAGTTTGAAGGCACCGAGGTTTCTAATTCACCTTGCCAACGGCGCTGTTGATTCTTGACAGCAGCCGCAGCTCGCAACCCGAGTTTCAATTTCTATAACGGCAAGCCATGACTCAACTATCTTTTACCAAGCCCGCCAAGTCACATCTCATCTTTTAGGCCGCGCTGCCCAGCGTCTTATCCGAGATGACCCATCTGGCTACACTGTTAACGGCTTCTGGACCCCCTGGATTCTGCTTTTGGGGGATCTATGTAGCGCCACCAAATCTCTTGGAGGCCATCTCCTCGGATTTTTGCCAAAGCGGGCACCGCACACCTGGGAACTTCGTATTTCTGGGCTGGACTGAGGGCCGAAAGGGGCATTAGTGTGCCTGCGAGACTTCGCCCGTGATGCCAGTGATTCGCATGGCGTCCAGCCATGCGACTTCTCGTGGTTGATAAAATCGCTCTCCGTCCCCAGTCTCCTCAGGATGTGGACGAGGAACGATAAAGATCGTGATCTTTTTCATACCCAGGCAATTGGGTCCGCTTCACCCTAATCAAGTCACTCGTTACTTTGGACATACACTGTCCTTTACCATTCGTTTTCGCCATGCGCGTTCATGCATTCGTTTCGCTTTCTTTCTTCGCTTCGGTGACTCTTGCTCATGTCAACCATGTCTTGAGACACCATCATAACTCGACCCTCTCCAATACGACTTCATATGATGCTGGTGATGATGGATATGCCGACCAAGCCCTGACCGCGTCGCCTAGCGTCACGACGAATTGTGAGGGGGAGCCACATTCACCAGTCTCGAAGAATAAGGGAGAGGAACCCCACGGAGATGATTGGTATCCGACCGGAGTATCCACTTGGATGCCCTCGCATACCGACGATGGCGGCTATCCCGCATCTTCGAGTTCCCCCAGTGGGTCGGTGACCTTCTCCGTGGCTGCTACGGGCAATGACTATGTTTCCGACGGCGCCAGTGCCTCCCAGAGTGCCTCTCGGCATGCTTCTTATGGCGTACAAAGTGCTTCTCGGAATGGATCGTACGCCACTGCTTATCCGACTGCGTCCCGGAATGGCACCTATACCACTTCTTCGTCTGCTATCATTTCTTCTGCTCCGTACTCGAGAAACGTGAGCTCGTGGTCCTCCTTCAGCTCCGTCTCCCGCTCGACATCAGTGTCGTTTAGCAGCTCGACCGCAACTAGCTCAACGTCATCAACTCCATCAGCCTGCGCATACTGGCTTGAGGATATGAAAGCAGAAGGGATTGCATCCTTCAACGCGGACCCCAATGGCTACAAGGTTTTCCGAAATGTCAAGGACTTTGGTGCTAAAGGTAACGTCCTGAATACCTCAGCAGCATAGATCTGTCTGAACTGGCCTTCACTGACATACTCAAAAGGAGACGGAATGACAGATGACACAGCGGCTATCAACGCTGCTATTAGCTCCGGTGATCGATGTGGACCGGGTACCTGCGCATCTTCAACCACCACTCCAGCCCTTGTTTATTTCCCCAATGGCACGTATCTTATTTCCGATTCCATTGTCGATTATTACTACACCCAAATCGTCGGTAACCCCAACTGCATGCCTGTCATTAAGGCCAGCTCAGGCTTCTCCGCTCGTTGGGTGATTGATGGAAATAAGGTAGGTCAATTAGAGAGGCTGCCCGCACGAATCGAATGGCTAACAAAGCTGGTAGTATGGGGCGAATGGACTTGGTTGGGGTGCAACTAACGTTAGTGAATACCCCTTCCCGTTTTTTGGTGAATTTCTACTCACTATTGCAGGTATTCTGGCGTCAAATTCGTAACTTGGTCATCGACATGACCTCAGTATCACCATCACTCTTGGTATCAGGAATCCACTGGCCCACTGCTCAAGCAACATCATTGGAAAACATTGTTGTCAAAATGTCAACCGTGAAGGGAACCCAACACGAGGGCTTGTTTGTCGAGGAGGGCTCTGGCGGTTTCATGAACGATCTAGTATTCGATGGTGGTCTGCATGGAATGACCGTGGGCAACCAGCAATTTACCATGCGTAACTTGACGTTCAACAACGCCGTCACCGCTATTCAACAGGTGAGAACCTCTCCCCGTAAAACACGCCGGATTCAAGAATGACACGCACTTAGCTTTGGGACTGGGGTTGGACGTATAAAGGAGTCAAGATTAACAACTGCGAAACCGGCTTGAATATGTCTGGTCTTACCGCAGCAGGGGCTCAGAATGTCGGATCTGTTGTCTTTATTGACAGCGAGATTAGCAACACACCTGTAGGCATCTCCATGTCTCGCAATACCACCTCCACACCGGCATCGGGCGGAAGCCTTATTCTAGAAAACGTTGTTCTCAACAAGGTTCCTGTCGCTGTACAGGGCCCAGGCAACACCATTGTGCTGGCTGGATCGTCTGGAGCGAGCAGGATTGATGGGTGGGGTCAAGGTCGAGGATATACGCCTGAGGGACCGAACGTGTTCCAAGGCCCGATCGTCGGGAACGACAGACCAGCAAGGCTGACGACGGGAAGCGAGTTCTACGAGCGCTCGAAGCCCAGGTACGAGCAGGTGCCATCATCGCAGTTCGTAAGTATTCGCGCAGCTGGTGCAAAGGGTGATGGGAAGACGGATGATACGGATGCTATCAACAGTGCCTTGGCTCTCGCGGCGGCTGCTGGCAAGATCGTCTTCTTCAACGCCGGATATTACAAAGTGACCAAGACTATCGTCGTGCCACCAGGATCCAAGGTAAATTCGTTTGACGCTGGTGGTGATGCACACAATATGCTGACTGCAGATGTCAGGCTGTTGGAGAAGCTTTCCCGGTCATCATGTCTTCGGGACCGTACTTCGCCGACATGGCCCATCCCCAAGTTGTGGTTCAGTTTGGCTTGCCAGGCCAAAGTGGTGTCATCGAATGGTCTGACATGGTGATAAGTTCCCAAGGAGCCCAAGCCGGAGCCATACTCATTGAATGGAACCTGGCGTCACACGGAGGTGCACCTTCGGGCATGTGGGATGTTCATACTCGGGTGGGCGGCTTCACGGGAAGCAAGCTTCAAGTCGCCGAATGCCTCAAGACGCCCAACACCACAATCACCCCTTCCAATATTGCCAAGGATTGTATCGCTGCTTTCATGAGCATGCACATCACCAAGTCAGCGTCGGGTCTCTACATGGAAAACTGCTGGTTGTGGGTTGCGGACCATGACATCGACGATGCGAAGCTCACGCAGATCACCATATATGCTGGGCGCGGTCTGCTCATCGAGAGCATTGCGGGAGGGATCTGGCTGTATGGCACGGGAGTTGAGCACCACGTGTTGTACGAGTACCAGTTGGTGAACACCAAGGACGTGGTGATGGGCCAGATACAGACTGAGACGGCATATTACCAGCCCAATCCTGACGCGACAAATCCCTTCCCGGTCGTCTCCACCCTCCATGATCCAGTCATCGCGAAGGGGGCGAGTGGATGGGGCCTTCGCGTTGTGGACAGCAGCGATGTGCTCGTGTACGGCGCCGGTCTGTACAGCTTCTTCACAAACAACAACGTGGAGTGCTCTAACCAAGGAAACGCATCCAAGTGCCAGTCGCAGATCCTATCGTTCGAGAAGAGTAAGGTATCGGTGTACAATCTAAATACGGTGGGGGCGACGTCAATGGCCACGATCGATGGACATGAGGTGGCAAGTTGGGCCGACAACCAGAATGGGTTTGTCTCGACCGTGGCTCTCTTGAGAATTTGAACCTACGACTCATCAGCACGCCTGGAGAGCTGGTCTGGTTTCACATTTAGGGACACCACGAGTAGCTTTGAAATGCAATTGAGACTCAGCTGCAATTAATTGCGTCCAGCATAACGAGCTTTCCCCAATAGGAATACGAGCTTGCCACTGCTTAAGCTGCATCCTGCGGTTCTCCACTGTTTCTTCGCTTCGATTCTGTGAACGGTCCGAAACTTCGATGCGCCGGAAGTTATGGAAGTAGATGCACACCCTAACCTTGCAATCAGCGTTTGAAATTCGAATCGATCCGTAACTGCAAGTTTGATCCGCCCGAACTGGCCTCGGCCACTCCAGACAGACAGATGCAGGAATGACGACACGGAGGGAAGTTTGGAAGCTTGCGCATGGTTTGCGCATAACCACGAAAGGGCTTTGGTGTATACTCTCCGGCTGTATCTGTGGTTGCATGATCTCCTGCCAAGACGTTTCCCACGTTCCATGATCTGTCGGGAAGTCCAGATGATCTGCCCTTGCATCAAATGCTTGCTGCAGGTCACATTTAGCCTGTGCAATTATTCGCAATGTTCCGAACGAAACAGCGCTGCGGAGGACAGATGAGTTTAATTTGAGGCAGTAGGGTTGGTGGGAAGCAGGACTAGTTGTGTCTTGGAAACGTTGGAAATGGTCGTGCAGTGCAGGGTATTCTGCTAAAATGTGCAAGACCGACCCCCTGAGAGCGCCTTCTTTTTCCTGTTTCAGAAGGTGCGATTGCCGACACTCGCGAGTCTGAAGGGGCCAGGGCTGTGCACACTTACGACGACCTGTAGTTCGTACTCTTTTGGTCAGAAACATCCAATTCCTGCGGATTCGGGCTTGAGGGCAGCGGGCATCGAATAAGGGTGTGGCAGGCGTTCCGAAGATCTTCAAACATTGCCAAGCAAAACGCTGCCAAGATTGATCTTCGACAGCGTTCTTGCGAATCCTCCACAGCGGGCCCCACGCGGCATGACCCCGTCGGTTTGCCATGATGCGATTCGCTGCGCAGCCGTGTCCTAGCCGTTTCCTAGCCGTTTGTGTGTCGTCTCAAGGATTTGAGAAACTTCAGGTGGTGATGGTGGATCGCCAGCGCAAATCGTGTGCCGCATTGTGGGAACTACGGCGCACATCTGATGATAGGCGTCATCCTATGTATGAAGGGCTCTTCATCGCTGGCTCGAGATGGGTATAAGAAGAAGGGTTCGTCGTAGCATGTAACTCTTTTTTTTTACCTATCATCATCATCAGCAGCTTCTTCCAGTCCCTTTCGACTTAGTAGTTTCTTTTCTTTTATTCTTAAATCTTTATTCCTTTCAACAATACAGCCCGGGTGGCTTTTTATATTTTATTACACATCTACGTTCACTTTTCACCACTTGACAATTTCCCCTTCTCTCACCACTCATCTATCCATCTAATCCATCAAGATGCGTTACTCCATGATCCTCGCTGCCAGCGGCCTCCTGGCCACCGTTTCCGGCCACGGCACAGTCACTAAAGTTGTTGGCGCCAACGGCGTCGAGATGCCCGGTCTTTCCATCGCCGATGGTACTCCCCGCGACTGCTCCAGCAACGGCTGCGGCTCGCAAGCAGATACGGCCATTATTCGGGACCGCGAGATCCAGAGCGGCAAGACGGGCCCTCTCGGCCGCACCCAGGGCAACGGCAACATCGACGCCTCGACCATGATCAACTCCTTCATGGGCGCTGGCTCTGCCCCCACCAACAACGGCACTGGTGTCGGTGAAGAGGACAACATCCCCGACAGCGCGAAGGCTCCCGCCAAGCGCTCCAGCAAGTTCTGGCCCCGTCAGTTCAGCCTTGCCGGCCTTCTTGGTGGCGGCGGTGCCGACAATGCCGCCCAGGGCACCAAGTCCACCGCTGCCGCTGAGACCATGGTCAAGGCCACCGCCGGAACAGGCGCTACATCAGGCATGCCAACCTGTGCCGACGATGGCACCATCTCCATGCAATTCCGTCAAATCAACCAGGATGGCGCTGGCCCCCTAGAGGCGGCCGTTGACGGGACCTCGGGCGGCACCGACGCAGCAGCCTTCAAGGAGGCCGAGGTGACACAGGATGTTCCCGGCCTGGGCATTCAGGGGTTGTCGCTCGCCACCAACACCGACTTCGACGTCAAGGTCGCCATGCCTGCGGGTATGACGTGTGATGCCACCGTCGGCCAGGCTCAGAACGTTTGCGTAGCGCGCGTGCGCAACGGGGCGGGAGCCGGACCTTTCGGTGGATCCGTTGCTTTCACACAGACGCCTGCTGCCCGCAAGCGTGCGATTGCGTACCGCATCAAGAAGCGTGCTGAGGACAACCGCCGCAAGGTGAGGTCGTTCAAGGCATAGATTGATCTTGCCTTGAGATATTGCACCGGCATGGGATGGAATACAATACATCCATGAGAGATTACATTTCCTTTTTTGTTTCTCACGTACTTCACCTCTTTAGAACTGGGTTCTGGTGATACACATACCTTACTTGGTTATTTTTGATGGCTGAATGATGCTTGATGATCATTTAAAACGTGGGTTTATCTTATTTAGTTTATTATATAGTCTAAATTGGAGAAGCTTTCGTCAAAATTCCCTTGTCCCTTCTTGATGCTATGTGTTTTCCCGTCAGTGCGTTCTTAGGTAACTTGGCGGATAACTGACTCCTGGGAAACTTGATTGGACAAGTTGCCCATCTTTCAGATGACAGATGACACTAACAATTCATAATGCGCTAATTCATCAATCTCGTCCAAGATTGCGATGCGAATTTATGGTTTTCCGGTATTGAATGTCGACATGCAGCGTCCGTTGTCTGCTTTAGCTACAGTGATATCGAACGTGTGTCAGTGGTGGATCCTATTATTACGGAAATTGTCCATCTGTTAGGGTTTCATGCCTGTCATGTGCGCATACAACATCGTACGTTGCGCGCATTGATTGGTGGCTCGTGGGTACCATATTCCGCAGTCTGTTTCCGAGCGTGTCATTGACCAGTATCTCTATCCGTTGGGTTAATCAGAACCTGAGGTGAAGTATTGCGTGCTCTTGTGTTACTTTTCACATATGTCCCAGGGTCTCTCCCATAACTTAGACCTCAATAATGTGGCAGATGCCCCAAGAAACTACCGCTTCCGTGATGAAGTGCATGATCAAGCCTACCTCTTTTGCCATCACGGCCGGCATACACATATCCCTGGAATCTTGCTGAAGCCATCCCCTTTTCGAACCTAAATCAACCCTTAGCAAACGCCCAAACCTCCCTCTCAATGATCCCCAAACAATCCAAATCTCTGTTCTCCCTCCTGACCCTCTCGGTCCTCTCCTTAAAACCACTGTCCCTCAAAACCCTCCCCACCGCCTCCCCAATCGACGCCTCCGTGGGCCTTTGCGTCCTCAAGTTCACGGCCAACCCGGCCCACTCCGCCCTTGCCGAAACCTCGGCCTTGTCCTCCGTCACTCCGGCCATGACCATTGGCACGCCGTTATTCACGCCGTGCATGAGCGAGCCGTACCCACCATTCGTGACGAATACGTTGGCGTGCTCGAGCGCTGCGTCGTAGGGGAGGTAGTCCACCACGAAAGTGTTTTCCGGGATGACAAAATCGGGGGGTAGACTAGCACCGCGGATGCCGAGCATGGCGATAAGGAGGACGTCCTGCCGGGGGGAAAGGGCGTTGATAGCGGGGATGATGAGCTCTGTGTAGTCCGTTGCTATGGTTCCCTGGGCGATGGGGATGACTTTCTTTCGATCTGCAGAGTTGGGTGGGAGGGCAGAGTTGGAAGTGATTATGGACCACCAGGCTGGATAGGGGTATGTCGGGTCGATGCCCTTCTTGGGCAGGGCGCCGGCGAAGCGGATGGAGGGGTGGAGGTCGGAGCGTGGGTATTCGAGGCTCGGACTGCACAGTTGGAAGGTGGTGTCGTACGATTCGACCCATTTGTCGAACATGTGGCCTGCCGTCAAGTCTTTGCAGCCGAGGGAGTCAAGGACGTGCTTGTGGTGCTCTATGGCACCCTTGAAGGGGCCCTGCTCCATTAACTGGGCAATGAGCTTGTTTCTCGCTCGTCCGCTTTCTGTGGAGTCGGGGGGTAGGCCGGGGCCAAAAGGCCCTGTGTCGATACTGCCGACTGGCAGCGGGATTACGTTGATGTTGATGACCTTAGGAAACTTGGTATATCCCTTCGGTAGAGGAGCACCGTACATGAAAGGGAGCACAGCCATGGAGCACGTCTCGGCCACCATGATTATCTGGCGAGACGGGTCTCTTTGCTTAACCATCTCGAGAAGGGACCGCAGATTGGCCGACCGAGAAGGCAGTCGGTCGGTGAAAATCTTCTCAAGGTCAAACACCAGTCTGGGGAATCCGACTGGAAACTTCTCTCGCTCTTCCAAAGTCCCTTCGGGCCAAAGCGACGACATCTCGTAGAATTCGGCCCCCACCTTGATAATACTGTCTTTGAACTCCAAAGCCGACATAAAAATAACTTCGAATCCGCGTTTCACCATCTCTCGGGCGACGTGGACAGCTGGGGCTGTATGTCCCGTCGCTGGAGCGGCCGTCATGACCAGTAAAGGTGACTTCTTCCGGCCATTGACCAGGCTGGAAACAGTACTCTTTTGACCATTCTGGGTCTCCTGGTCATGGTTTATCGTCATCTTGACAGTTGGTACGGAGCAGAGTGGATGGAAGCTGGGGAGAAACCGTTGGAGTGCCCTTCAAATGCAGATACTGATGGGGCACACAGAGAGATATAAGTGTGATATATTCAGGTAAACTAGGCTAGTGCTGGTGGGCTAGAACCGAGGAGTAGTGGTGGCCACGTAGGAACCAGCGCTGACAGTTCCTGCTCCTATCACATTGTCGTCTATCAACCAGGCCCAACGGATCAAAATGTGGATTACACCGCGTAGAGATTTCCAGCCACTCCAACAGTGCATGGTGCCGCTGGAACCCGCGCTAGCTCTATCACAGCATAATCTGTCAAACGGGTCGGTCAGATAGTGGAGTCTGGCTACTCCACTTGGCGGGTAGCTACTCTCACTGTCAGATGGTTCGTGCAGGGCCGCTACTAACACTTCGTTTCAGCCCATCAGCACTGGCCTAGCCTACCTGAATACAACACAGTTTTAGAATCCCCGACGGTCGAAACTCTATTCAGTGGAACGGCTGCGATGGGTCTCTTATAGACTGATCCTTCTACGCATCGTGTTACTCTGGCGGGTGCAAGTGGAATAGGGGAGCTATGCCATCAGCCGGAGTAAGCTGATCAGCGCAAGGTGCGGTGTGGTAAGCTTTGGGCACCTCAGGATTAGGAAGATGATGAATCGGGTACCGAAAGTCCGTACTACGGCCGAAGTTCGTGTCGTATAAGGTAACGCTGGTTGGCTTATGAGGACTGAAGGCCGAGGATGACCGGGTGCACAATTACATTGCTGGCTGGATAAGACAGCCAACATCTTTTAGGTTAGTAATGACAGGACCAAGACACACAGGAAGAAACCCCCTTTTTGAGCAGCATATTCGTGGAGAAGACCTTGCAAATCGACAGTGGAAGTTTTGTTCCTGATACATCCGAAGACAAGGGAGACCGTCAGATTTTCGAAGACATACCGGTTTTCGTCAGACTCTAGTCCGTCCGCCGATAGATGCTGATACAGTAGACGAATCCATATATCAAAGTTCGCATACTACTAGGAGTATAACGGCGAGGTTTCCTATATGTGTATGAGTAATAAATTAACGGTCGTCGAAATGAATGCTGTTATTTGTAGCAAAATCAGCAATTCGAACTTTTTATACTCATTTACGTACCTTATATTTACATAGCACAACTTCGATGGTACTGAAGACTTGGCGATGATGTCCACGAAACCCTTCGCAATGACTGTGGCCTTTAATCAAGTTGCATTCAGCATATATATTCACATGGTGAAGTAAGGGATCACATAGTTAACTTTCCAGAGCACCCATCGATAGACAGTCGTTCATATTCATTATAACATATTCTAATAAACAACAATCTATCAACGATTAATATGCAACCTGGCTGCTCAAACCATCTAGCTCACGAGCCCAGCATCGATGTTGCGAAATCTGGAACCAGAATTTCTCCAGAAAATTAGCACCCTCCTTAGCGATCTGGACCATCTCCGAAAAGCCACTAGAATCGACCTTATTTTGCGTCACCACACCGTATGACTCGACGGCACTGGTATCCTGGGATATGCTGATTCCCGGAAGGGCGAACGCCAACTTGAAGAGCTCGACAGCTTCACCAGTTCCACCGATGGGTTTGAGATGGCCAAAAGCTTCACGCATCCAGTGAAGGGCACGCCCATTCTTTGAGAGAGTCTCGATGGACTTAGAGCCTCCTGGTACGAAGATCGCGTCAAACATGGTTGATCGCATGCCCTCGAGATGGTGGTCGGCACGAACTCCACTGCCGGGGTTATTGTCACTGCCCGCCGGGAAGATTTCGTGTCGGCGGGGGGCAATGGTGAAAGGTAGAGCACCGGACGCTGTAATGGCGGCCTTGACGCCGTTGTAGGTAACAGAATCGTAGCCATCGGCAATGATGATTGCAATGCGACGAGTGGCAATTGTCGGCTTAGTTGGCGCAAACTCCGTTTGACTCAACTTCGGTGCCTTCTTGCCGTGATTGGGCCTGCTAGCCTTATCAGGAACAGGCCCACCAACCATCGCGGCAACACTTTGTGCAAGCTCAAGATCGATGTCGGCCAGGCGAAGCGACATGCGCTCATACACAATAGGATCATCACAGTGGTCCAGTTCGAATCCAAACGCACTAGTAATGTGAGCTCTCTCCGGCGGGGACAGACTGTTGAGAAATAGCTGGGCTTGGTTGAAGTGTTCCTTGAACTTAGGACTCTTAGCTCGTGCCTTGATGCCAGCAACTTTCTCGGGATAATCAAGATATGCACCCTCGTTGGCCGTTGCTGGAGGCTGGATTCCGTGACGGTTTGGGTAGTAGTTGATCGGGCCCTTAGTTATGCGGTGACGACCTTGGCCGTCTCGATTGAAGTTCATGACAGGGCACACAGGTCGATTGATGGGAAGCTCCTGCCAGTTGATCCCAAGTCGAGACAGCTGGGTGTCGAAATAACTGAAGCTACGACCCTGCAACAAAGGGTCATTGGAGTGGGCGATTCCAGGAACCATGTGAGCAGTGCAAAAAGCTACTTGCTCGGTCTGAGGGAAGTACTCGTCCACCACCTTATTTAATTCCATCTCTCCAATGTTACGCACAGGAATGAGATCCTCGGGCCAGATCTTGGTAGCGTCAAGGATGTCAAAGTCAAAGTCGTGCTCTTGACCTTCTGGAATAACTTGGATGCCCAACGTCCACTTTGGGTACGCCCCATTCTCGATTGCTTCGTTGAGGTCCTTGCGGTGGAAGTCGGGGTCTTGCCCGGCAAGCTTCAAGGCCTCATCCCAGACAAAGGAGTGAACCCCGAGCTCTGGGGTCCAATGGAACTTGCAAAAATGTCGCTCTCCCTTGGCATTGATCAAGACAAAAGTGTTCACACCGAAGCCTTGCATCATACGATATGAGCGCGGAATGGCTCGATCTGACATGGCCCACATATACATATGTGTAGCTTCAGTGTGCAAGTTGACGAAATCCCAGAAGTTGTTGTGAGCCGACTGCGCTTGCGGTACCTCATTATGCGGCTCCGGCTTCACGGCATGAACGAAGTCGGGAAACTTGATAGAATCCTGAATGAAAAAGACGGCTGCTTAAGTGTTAGTGCCCACGTTCATGGAGATAGGAGTCGAGAAGGGTTGAGACATACGAATATTGTTCCCAACAATGTCCCAGTTTCCTTCTTGCGTGTAAAACTTGACTGCGAACCCTCGTACATCGCGAACGGTGTCGGCACTGCCTCGACTGCCCTGGACAGTCGAAAAGCGTACGAAAACGGGCGTCTCTCTCGTAGTGTCATTCAATACAGCAGCACACGTTACATCGGCAGCACTCTCGAGTAATTTGAAGGTACCGAAGGCTCCAGCTCCTCGGGCGTGTACGACACGTTCTGGAATTCGCTCATGGTCGAAACGATGAATCTTTCACTGATAAGCGGGTGCGTTGGATGCTTGCTGGCATGCCACGTACCTTTTCCCTTGCAAAGGAATCTTCGAGAAGCTGAGGGCCGGTGCTCTGGTCATTGACAATCTTTAGAGTGTCATCTGTGTTACTTTGTCTAACACCGTAATCTGTTGTGATGCGGTCATCCTTCCCAGGTTCTTGAATGTCCGGCTGCAACTGAGTAGCTTTTGCGCCCTTTTCGCCAGACATAATGTTCTTTACTGTGCTTGGAATTATATTGGAGGCCATTTGAAGTTGTCGATGGCACTTTGCGGTGGACAGAGTAAAGGTTGGGGGCTCAATGGATCTTTATCAAGTCAAGAAGTGAGGAGTGGCAGTAGCGACAAGAGCAAGGGTTACTGTGGTTTTATCAAATAAATCAAGGAAGGGCAGGCACGAGTAACATCACGGCTACAAGGCCGCTGCTTCCCAATTGTTTGCAGTTGACGTGTCCACGCTGTTGTCAACACCAGTGTACGCATCATTGACGTCAACGTGCTCTCACGATAACAGGGTCGATCCATCTTGCGTTTCCGACGCTGCAATAGGGCAAGACCAAGGAATGTGTTCGGCGGCACAATGGGGGTAGGCAAGCCATGGTATGCGGATTGAGCGGCTCTCGAGCGTGCGTAGGGCCAGATAGATTCGATGTCCTGACCTTTCACCGATCGAATATTGACAAAGTCCATGTCATTGATAGGCAGTCCAAGCAAAGTGTTGATGTAATTATGCGGAGCTTTGCTCCACTGCCAAACCAGGGGCGATGGCGGACTACGACCCCACCAACCCAGCATGATCTAGCGTCGATGTCACGTACGGCTCAATGCCGACAAAGGGAACCCAATCAAAGCCCGTGAATTAGCATTGCGGCTACGAACGCTCTAAGCTCAGAGAGTTCGTGTTAAGTACTTGTCATATACTTGCCAAGCCATCAATCAGCCTACAAGTCTGATTTTTATTGTCAGGTTGCAACACGAGACGGTTTCGAGATTGGCTGCAAAGTTTCATTCTTTGGTGCTGAGTCACTCAGTACCGAGTTGCGGGGACCAATTCCTCGGACCACCACCGATAGGAATGCTTCTCACATTGAATCGTTTGGGAACCCCGCACCAGCGATCGAGACAAAACAACTTTGTTGCATCAATCAGTCAGTCGTGCTGTTCTCTATGTTCTCTAAGTGGGCAACTCGTGCAACTGGGTCGGGCTGGCTGTTAAAGTAAATGTCAGTCTGAGAAAGTAACAACAGGCCTGGTTTTGTGTCTCACGACAATTTTGCCCATCTCAAGGTTGTTCGCTCTATTAGAACCTGTGTCAAAAACGACGGGTCACATGGTATTGGAGCATAGAAGCACCATATCGTTAGTTCTAGCTTTGTCTAGACTGTTGTTTCATATTAAATGTGGGATTGAGCACCACAGTGATTCCTAAGGTTGAAAGGCGCTTTATGTTTAGAATAAAAGCGCTTTGTGCTTCAGGATCAAGGCGGGATAGAGGTAGCCTAGTAAGGCTGGACCCTTCAGATTACTTAAAGACAATGCACACAGCCAACAGAACAGATAGAGGGGATCGAGCATGGAAAAAACGGTGACCTAACCATAACCACCGAATTATTCTTTTCATATAACCGTCATATCACGGTCATACTGCAAGATACGTGAATATCTAACAACCTGTATATCACTAAAACCATGATAGTTCATGATAGAAACATCAAGAGGTACGTATTCAGTGATTACACATAATGCGCCGGAAACTCATCAGAGTATATCTCTAATATAAGCTGCGTTATCTGCCTCTACTTAAGAACACTTCTGGCCCCCGTAATGTATTTCAAACTGGTCGTTACCATGTTTCTGTTGGTTTTCAGCAATGAATTTACACCGACGGGCTATGGTAGCATCTAAACTTGAGTTTCTCGTTTCGGACCGTCCTGGAAACGCATACCTTCCCTTGATATCTGTCTGGTCGTATGATATTTACCTCGAGAATACCATCGGCCTGGCTTATATGGAGAATGGAATCACGATACGTCAAACGAGAAAAAATAACAACGAAGAGGGCTCCATCGCCCTTTCACTGATGGGGCAGTGGGAGCGAAGTTTCGTCAGTTATCCGCTTTCCCCATCTTGGCAACCTACCAGCAGAAACACACCTTGAAATCTGTGAGCATTTTTACGAGCATTTCATCATCGACTCACGCGTGGTCGAACTCGAAATTGTCACAACTCGTTGGAGAACGTACACCTCGCCCAAGTCAGAGCTAGCGCCAGAAACGAGACACAGAAGAGCCATGTTCGGCGCCGGGTCAGTTCGATATAACAGAGAGGAGGATGTGGTTTTCCTATGGTCCACCTCGTCGGCCCAGAATTCAGCTGGGTCAAATCCATCTGGCAATTGGGGTTAAGTGGGATCATTGCAAGTCGGAAGACCGGGGCTCAGATCCTTAATTTTGTTTTGAATAATCTCACTCATGCCTTGAAGGACGACGTAGATTCACGTCTCAGGCTGATATACTGAGATATGCCGATGATGTGATCCGTTCAAGGGGCTAGGAATCCAGCTAGGCAACGAGACTTCGATTGCCTCGCGATTGATCCTGTGCATCTGGATGGCGTCGCCCAGAGTATCCGCTGAGCAGAAGAACTGGGATCCGGGACTGAATGCTGTACCGTAGACGGCGTAGGGAAGTGGGGGCCTACGACCATGGAAATGCTTACTCCGGTCCAATCGGTGGATGTGTCGATGATAAAGGAGGGCGAGATGCTGGTTGTGATACTGTTAGTGTTGACAATGGAGTAGCTGATGAAATTGGCGTCCGTTACTTGTCTTGAGTTATCGAACGCCCAAATTGTGCCGTAAAGGGTGGTCTTGTTGTGCTGTTGGCCATTCGCTCACTACTTGTTTAAACTATCTCGTTTTTCAGCTATTTGCATCGGAGGCTATCCATGAGGGTGCTGCGCCAGGAGTATCTTTTGTGTCTACAAGCTCTAAGGTACGGGATTTTCCATCAAAAGCTACCGTGCATAGCACATACTAAAAGTACCAACGATCAGCTAGTGGGTTGCCGCATTGGCGAGATTAAAGAAACTCGACAGAGCCAACGGAACCAACATGATGGACTAAGCAACCGAGCAGTGTTACATTGATGACCTCTGACGTACAAATGACCTCTTCGTTGGCCTAATATATGTCGTGCCACTCGGATATGACTCGATCAGTCATTGGTCATATCAGCAAGGACCGGTCTGTCCATATCCAGATGACTTGGATCATTTCTTGCCTTCCGGCTGGCATATGCATATTCGATTTTGTTTGGAAAAGATCTGCCCCGATACACATGGTTCCCCACATGTTAACTATCCTAACCACTTACCCGGTGCAACATCCGATGGTGCTGGAAGCATATTTGTGGGTCTCTATGATGGCTGAAGATTGGATAATGAATTGATAATTCAACCCAAACGTAATGAATTTGCCCCTCTCTTACAAAAGTGAAGCACTTATGTTTTCGCATTTCACCTGCATGATGTGGCATAGGAACCTCAGTTTTGGTGTGATAAGTGTAAGGCTTGCATCCGAACAGTTTCCTCCTGCAAGAGAACCTGCCGGTTATTGATCGAAGTTCACACGGGAAGAGCATTTCAACGGGGTTATTCGTTTTCCGTATACGAAAGTGGATCACCATATTTCAAACCGGTCAGGATGTAGTGAGCAGGAATCAGATTCGATGGGTTGGGGGACAAGTTAAGATTGATGTAACAGACGAGGTTGAATGCAGATTCTGAGTCTTGGATATTGACTGGAGTATTGCTACGTCGTCTCGCTGCATTTTGAACTTGCTGAGTGTCGGCCCAAAAGCTTGAAGGCTATACACTACAGGACCCCCTTCCCCTCCCCCTCCCCCCTTTCGCTAAGCTAATTGAATTTTCAACCATGGAAAACAGTACTACTTTAATTACACACTACTTGGTAGCTATTAGGCGTAGAAACAAAATGAATATACTGTTTGGTAGCTAACTAGTAAGAGATCCTGCATAAGCCATGACATTTTGATTGCACACCCCAATTTTGTAGTCTTGCGCCGTGGCTCTAGCTCCAAATCGTGCCCTTCTTCATCGCTGGCCTCACTACCCCTTTCTTCAATAATCGGCACTCCACGGCCCTGTGGGGATATTGAAGCTTGTATAGTGTTGGGAGTTATATTGCCCATAAATCGGCTATTCGGAGTCGGCATTGCCTTGCGCCGTGAAACTGTCGAATTCCTAGTAGTTAGGCAGCCGGATTTTATGGCATCTACATTTATAGCCTTGCGTGCTTCTTAATGAGCTCTGATAAAGGTGTCATTATCAACTTGGCTACAGCATGTACGCTTAATGACATTAAATTGGATACTATCCGCGGTTTGCAAACTGTGGGAGCAGTGTTCTGGTGAATAACCACACTATACGTTGTGTAGAAAGCAGAATAACATCCACTCGTCCTACCAATCAAAATAGTGGGTAAGTAAGAGGTAAGTATTGAAGTTCTACGGCGGGCATGTCCTCTTGAAATTTTCAATAAACCACAGATTTTGCTGCTCTTTACCCTTAAATGTAATTCCAGACTAAAGGAGTCGTCCGTCGGCCGTCATAGCTTCGACAAATGAGGTCCATTGCCGGTCCTAAGAGCTCTCAAAGAAGGACTTCTTCGTCGAAGCGGCAGAGCCGATTACAAGCGAATCAAGCTCTGCATAACGTGTTAGTAAATAAGCAATGACCACTATAATCGAGGATAACTTACCAAAACCCACCACCCTGCCGCCCTTATTGACACCCACAGTTTTCTCTGATTCAATCCACCCGTACTGCTTCTCTCATATATTAAATCAGCAATTGACGGCTTTGGGGGTAACTCCATTGAATCTGACGGCTTCCTAGCGTCTGTCTGCTGGTCCGCTTTTGATTTTGCTGTGCCGTGAGATAAAACTGTTAAGTCAGTTACCCCCTAATAGACTTTGACGCCTTTGCTATTGTGACATGACCGTTGAGTTGACAAGGCGAAATTATGGCGGTATCTGCTCATAGTATGACATACTGATACCGTTGAGACGGTCTGCCAGGGTTCTCTGTGGCACTCAAATTTCTGGACCAATTTGTTCTGTGACATGCCATTCTCAGTGACAACAAGGATGGAATTTACCAACTGTGCCTACTTACAGGCGTACCGATTATTTGGGGCTATAATAACGCTGTTTATGGGTTAGCCTAGTAGAAAGAGGTAGAGGAGCCATCTAAGCAGAGTATCACGGATATCCCCTTGTACCCCAGTTTACTTTGAGAGGCCGGGTAACTTCGAAGCACCAAAGATTGCAAAATAACCTAGATTAACTATGTATTTACCTACTGACCAATTATGGATGTTGTGAAAGCTTGAAAATTAGCTTCAATAACTTATACAAAAGTTGTTGACTTTGGGTGGAAGTTATGTGATTTGGCTTAGCGAAAGGGTAGGGTCCCATGGTATAGTACCAACCTGAATTTAACTGTTGCACTATTGCTAATTTGTGGCAAATTAAGTGCTTAATTGATATATTTGCCACTGCTACACAAGAATCATACCGAATCGTAAACCAATGGAGACAACCTCGTATAATAGGACCAACATCTTATGCCCAAAATGCTAGTTATCTTCAGCTAACATTACGGTGAAGTACCTAGCGCTTCCCAGCGTTCACTGTCACATCCCCTCTCCTTGCCTCCCTCTCCTCAATCACGCCAAGCATCCTCCTTTACCCCTTTCTTCATCCTTAAGACTGCACATGAAGGTTGCTACCACCAACTGAACAACCTTATAGGACTCTGTATTGATATTTCAAATTTACATTTTGAGCAAGATGCATCTTACCACCATCCTCATATTATCCCTCGCCATTCTCGGCATTCTCGGCGCAAATGCCCGCAACCGAATAATTCCCAACCCGAACACAGCACTACCGACCAAGGTGGAACGATATCCCATCTGCCTCGAGGACTACGATACACACTGCTGCATGACGGCCGAACCAATCTCCAACGGCTGCAAACGCGGCAAGTGTACCAACAAGCCCGGCTGGACGTATGCCTCTGGACTGGGCAAGGTCGAGTCAATCAAGTACTGCCTCACAGAAGTCGGAGGAAATGACAGCTCATTCTGCAAGAAGCCTGGGTACAAGTAAGTAGTCCTTGTCGCTTTGTTTGTCGGGTTGCCCCTGGGGAAGACTCATGTATCTTTGGTGCATCTGACTATCGTGATTTGCACGGGCTGATGAAGGGTCAAACAGGAACGTCGGGTCCATTATCCGCTGGACGGGCCAATCCTTCGACCCCATGCTTAGATCGCCGAATTACCGTCGGTATTTGAGGCCGGGTATGTGACAGCCTTGGGTGCATCTCCGGCTTTGATCCGATGGGAAGAGGAAGTCGAGGTCGCCGAATTCCGACAGGTTGGAGGACTGCGGAAGCGGGAGTCAGGTTTTGGGGACTCCGATATGGCTTAGGTGATTGAGCTGGACTGGTAGGGGGATGTGTTTGCTGACCGGGTTGAGATGGGAACTACGAATAATGGTTGTGCGGAGCTTTCGGTCCTGGATAAGCATGATTTTTAGTGATCTACTCGTTTTTAATGTTTTAATAAATGAAAGCTCCTTCTTTGCGTTGAAATATCACTATTTGTGAGCACACGAGATAACTCTATAAACCTGGATGAGATGTAGCTCAATATCTGAACAACACAACACCTGCACGGTCAGCATCGAAAGCGTCAGAAACAGACCCCAGAGTCGAGGGCATGTTCTTGATGCCTTCCAGTATTCGTCTCACCGAATCTGCGAGCTCCATCTGCCATTCATCTACAAGACGCCCGTTGACCAGACTCGTTTCTACAATGGTCTCCAGGTATCGCACAATGTCATTTGCATGCGTGCCTGCATCATAAGCATCCCGCCCAGAAATAATCTGTCCCATTGTCCAAGGGCTCCATGCACAAACCGGAGCTGTCGGTTTCACGGGCAGCACAATTGCTGGTATATAGGTGAGGAGATGAAACCGAAGTCTTGCCTCGCTTGGGATTCTGGCCTGCGACCATGCTGATGCAGTCCTGTAGGGAGAGATGCCGAGGAAAAATAGCGCTGCTCGTTGATAATTGCCATCCTCACTTTGATAGTTGGGGCCATCCAGGTGACACACTGGTGCATCCTCCTGAGTGATACAAGACAGCAGAGTAGGTGCCAAGGCCGCGTCCGCTGTGTAGGTCTTCAGCATACCTCAAATTGTTCATCAAGAAAGAGCGACTCACCCATTAGACCCGGCCCCAAGAATTCCGCAAAAGTAAACTCCTTCATCCTCGACAACATCAATGCCCGGCCACTCGCATACAAGTAAGGACAAAACCACCCCTTGGCACAACTTAACTTACGCTCCGCCTCTCTCTCCTCAAACAACCTAACCTCCGCTTGCTCTCCAATCAACTTATGCTTGATCCTAATCTCGACATTCGTAATCCCGGCTGTCCTCACCACCCTATGCGGCGTCGCCGCTTTTACCTTCTCCAATCCCTGATCAACACCTTGCTCCACCGTCCACGAAGCACCATGCTGCACAATCTTCTCGACGGCCGTGAGGGAGCTCCCGATCAGAGCATCGGCGCCGAAGTGCATGACGCCTGCGAGGGCGAGGTCGCGTTTCCGCAGGTTGGGAAGCGTGAAGGGGTTGTTGTCGCCCCAGGGGGATAAGTATATAGGCAGTTTGACCGTGGAGGCCACGGATTGTACGCCGGCGCGGCCGAGGCGGGTCACGAGCATGTTACCTACGAAGCGTTTGGCAAAGCCGCTTTCTTTTTCGTCTTCCTGAGAGCGGTGGGATGAGGTGGATGCTGAACTTGTTGGTCTGTTTAGAGGCGATAGTTGACTCGGTGGAGTAACTAGATCGTCTTTGTTTTCCGTGGACTGGCGGGGCTTCTGATCTAGCAGGCCAATATGTGGCACGGGTGCTGAAGGGGCTGATAAGGGTCGCGTTAAAGTTTCTGGTGGAGATAGTGTCGTAGGTTCCTCGTGTAAGCCGGATGGGAAATCGTCCAAGTGACCATTGACAAGACCATGTGGTGGTGGCTCCAACGGACTCTTGTTTTGAACATCGACCTGATTGGGTGGATTAATCGACATCTTGAGCGCCGATTTGAACATGGAGCGGAGAGGGCATGGAACCGGAATCTGTCTTGGTCTCAAGCTGATATAGTTCAGGCTGTTGAGGCTATAGGGATGAAGCCAAGAAAAGCCCAGAAGGAGAAGTCACTTCTCAGAAAGGCCTTTGGTAGATTGACATCGATTCGTGTAACTATCACACCGCAAGTTTATCCTTTCAGCCACACTACGCCACAGTTGAAATTCACCGTTATTGTGACTGACTTATATGACTTCCAGCTAGTTCGAAGGTCAATTCGATTCACATTCAGTCCGTCAAACTGGCAAATATTATAAACAGGAGGACACTTGTTAAGTTTTAAAGATATGATCATGAATGTTCTATTTGGATTCATGGAAGATGGGAACTACACAAAACGGCACGTATGCCACAACTCGCCTCGACTAATTCTTTTGGTGAGACTGACTCAGAGGCGGTTAACTTAACTCAACATAACAGATCCAAGGAGAACCTCTATTTGTGTTCATCCCCTTTTCTCCAAGTTGTTATTCTTATTGATACCACGGGCCTTAGATATTTCTGGTTGATAATATCCTTCGTTCCAGCAAATGTAATCCCTGATATCAGCCCTAATAGGATACACCATATTACTCTATCCATGTCTCATACGACAGCCAATTATGTAGATGATGTCACTTCACAACCCCGAATTACTCCTGAGCCTTCACAGTCCTCTGTCCGTTATTCCAAGCCACCTTTCCCTCTTTAAACTCCCTCTCCTCCAGAAAATCCAACGTTTCCCCCCTCTTCACAATAGGCGACATCAGCAACCTCAACGCCATAACATCCCCATTAACATGCGGCAGCACATGCTGATCTGCAAACTTCCAAACCGGGTTGTTCCATGCCACAAGCCTAGTGTATAATCCCGAGCAATACACTATGTCCTTGGTTTCCTTCATCCTGTCCGTCTGGTAGTCCTCAAACACGCGCGTCAGCTCCGCCGCATCCGGTGCTGGCGAGATCTGTAGTAGTGCCCGCAGTCTGTTCACAAGCTGCACGACCCCTTGCATCCCACTATTCATGCCAAATCCCGCATTCGGCGTCATTTTGTGCGCCGCATCCCCAACGAGCACGGCGCGGCCGCCGTGCCACGTCTCCACGACGCCTTCTTCCAGATAGTTCATGGAGCTCCATCGCTTTGCGGCCCAGATATCTCCCATGGTGACAGAGTCGGAGAACCGGACGTCGGCATACTTCTTGGCGAAGGAGTCCTGGTCCTCTGCGGAAAACCGAGCTCGTTCCTTCGTCGGCTTTGCAAGCCGCTCATAAGCGGCGAAGTGGAGACTTTTCTCTCCCACGATGACCTGGATGGTCATTTTATCGCTATGTGTTTCGTAAAGGACCGTGGGGAGGAGGGAGTCCATCTTATCGGCATATCCGTATAGAGCCCGGTATGAGGTCAAGAAGGGGTCTTGCTGCTTTGACGTGAGCTTGGCACCGGTGCTGGTGGCTTGCTCATTGATGAGGCGACGGACAGCGCTGTGCACGCCATCGGCACCCAAGACCATGGAGCCGGAATAAGTGGTCTTGTCGGCGCAGGTCACTGTGACGCCAGTCTCTGTCGTTTCGATGGCAACCACCTCCTTATTCGTGAAAACCTTGGTTTCCTTGTTTGGCATCGTCTCGTATAACATGGTCATCAACTTCGCCCTGTGGAAACACATCCATTTGTGGCCATGACTGTTACATGTCTGAAGTAAGCATATAGAACTCGATCTTGACTGAGAGCTCGGGGCTCTTCTCATGATAGCAAATATGTGTATGTTACACGACGGAAAAGATAAACCCACTTGATCTCAATGGCCTCAAACATATTGCTCCTGGAGATTTCTGAGCCATCTCGTCGAAGATTGTGCTTCTTCAACACCGGCAGGTAAATACTCTCGGCCTCCTGAAGCAAACCCAGTTGATCCAGGATGCGCACATTGTGTGGCCATACTGCAAGTGAAGCTCCTGAAAGGACATCCAAAGCGTTCCGTTTCTCCAGGATAATCGAATCGATGCCCGCCTTGTTGAGTGCATGCATAGCCACGAGGGCGACGGGGCCGCCGCCCGCGATGATAACGCGAAACTCGTTATTATTAGCCATTCTCGCAGTGGGAATCATAAAATCCGGAAAGGGAGCAACTACGTACTATGTAGAACGGGAGAAAGGATTGAAAAAAAACACCGCACTCGTCTAGATCTGGACCCAATTTCATCACGTCGGCTGTGCCATAGTAATCCACCCAGAAGTGGGCCACAGCTCTGGGAGAGCCACTATTTTTGGCACTCTTAGGCGATGATCAGCAACAGCACTATAAGCAAATTTGACGCTATTCATAACATGTCAGATATTCATGTATATTTCTGTGTGACCGCTCTGTGACGACGACGTAACCTCGAGGCGATCGGTCCAATTGGTTGCTGTTGTTGTGTGCTCTGTTGCTAGTAATCTTAACCCCCCGTTACTGATCAGTCACGTGTCCTTTCTCTGACCCAATAAGCAAGTTGAAGCTATCCACAACGCACTTTTGTAAGGCTAGATTATCTACTAAAGCCTTTAGGTAAGTCACTTTAATAAAAATACCTTACGCTATAATAAGCTTTTTTTTGCAACCTTGGTGGGCTTTGCTAAGTCCACAAAAGTTACCAACAAGAAGACTCTCAGTAAGACCCTCAACAAGACCTTACTGTCTGGGAGATGGAAAGAATAACAAGACAGAAGATTTCTTGCTCCGATCAGAACAACAAGTACCTCAACAGGTACTAACAAGTAGAGCCTCAGCAGGCTGGAGGAGATAAGGGCCTCAACAGGTCCTTGAGCGATCACCTCAATAGGTACTTAAAACAAGACAAGACCTTAGCAGGTCATCAAAACAACAAGTGCCTCCATAGGCGAAGAGAATTGAATCCAATTTATATAGAATAGGCCCCTTGATTCTCTCTTTTTCTTTTCAAGAGAGTGACTACATACACAGGTCCTTAAATACAGTCAAGAACACGCTTACATAATTCGTCTGAAAACCGAAAAACAACAACCCAAAACCCTATCCCTAAGTCACTATAAGTCACATTAGCCATGCATGAAGCCAAATTCATAGCGACTAACTCGAGATTTCCCTTTTTCTGTCATCGGTGTAAACGATTGTATGCTCTACTATCTCTGAGATTCTCCTCTTGTTCAACGTTTGCTTGTATCTTATATATCATAAAAAGTCTTTTGGTGAAAATCTTAACATGGTTGGGTTTCACGATCATTGGCGTAACAGCCGCTGTATAAGAACATGATTAGTCTAGAGATTACTAACAGCCAATAATCCATGGCTCCACTCACCCGCTCACACATTAGCCTTGTAATACTGTGATACCAAACTATCTTCAGCACATCTATATTGAGGGGTGCTCAATGCCACCATATACACCCGCCGCAGGGGAAGCGGGCAGCAGGTAGCGGAATAATATTTTCTAGTCCTTCGTAGGGTGAAGCATAATCCATAGGGAACATATATGATGATACGGTTTCCCGGTCCCAGTCTGTAAATTATGAATATTTTATTGATAAATCCTACCTGGTGTAACGTTGCGGTTCAAGAACCATCGGCCGCAGCGGTGCATCACCAACCTCATCTTGCTGATATTGCGCATATAACAGTCGTATCAGAGCATCTCCGGAGGCATTTTTGTCTTTTTTTTATTTTGCAAGTTTCTTTTTCAAATAATCTATGTAAAACACTTGGAACGAACCTCTGCATGACTGACGGGGAATCACCAAGACCCGCCGCCCCTGCTACCTCCAGAGGTCGCTGCCGTCCATCCCAACCAGCTTGAGCCCGGTAGCGATGATGGCGTTCCCAAATTCCTCAGTTACGATCCTATGGACTGAAAGGATCGTTGGTTGTTTCATGCCGGCCAAGTCCAAATGAGGCAGAAGCCGCCTATGCAGCTATCCTAGCCCAGGACTGATCCGTTCTGACCCCGCCAATTTCATGTGCAGTCGCCACGAGCTGTTTCCACTGTCTATTGGCTGAATAATCAATGATATCCGGAGATTGACGTCTCTGAAATGTACATATCGCCTTTCGGCAATATGTGTTCAGGCGCTGCTGGGTGGGCAGGCGGCAAACCGCGCCAATATAGTCCTCGTCATTGAAGCCAATGATAGGGCGACAAAGCGTTAGCGCCAGCGATATAGTGAACAGACCAAGGCCTGTGGATCGGCATGATATTAGATATCGTGATATCGTGTGGCATATCTTTCAGGCTCTTGTGGGAAGGCGCCTGTCACGTTTTCGTATCAGGACGAGTTGGCGACGCTGTCATCGGCGGTGCAGGTGACTTCTCGGACAACTAAAGTGGAGCTGGAGGGTTGATGATAAGCGTAGGCGTAGTAGAAGACTCGTCAGGACCGGATGATACCACAATGGCAGGTGTTCCCGACGTTTCGGGACTGGCAACGAATGATGTGGCGGACGAAGACGTTGGATTGTTCCGTGTAGAACCATGGTAGACTGGCGAAGGTACCTCAAGTGTAGACCTCCGCGGTAGTAAGCCACTTTCGGCCGGATCATCGGACGACGGTGGGTGCGGGTTGTATGTGTCGAAGGAGTTGCGTTCACATGGAAACGTGTTGGAATGTGGCCTTCGGGTTGTAGCGGGCGACGGGAACATTGGATGAGATGGGGACTGAGGGGAATGTGGGTCTGTCGAATCTTCACCATCGACTACCGAGACAAAGCTGCCAGTGAAGCTACCCGCCCTTGAAGGTCGCTTTCGAAGGGCGGGCGTGGCGTGGCCCTCAGCATCCCGGGGCTGATTGTAACGCTCCCTAATCTGACGTAGCGCACGATTGCGCTGTTCCTCCCCCGGAATTTCGGGAAAGTCGTTGGCTTTCCCGAGCTTGAACTCCGAGTCATCAAAACGACCAGGCGCTGCAGTGCCTAGAAAATCGCCAATAGCCGTCAATGTCTCGGCGGCTTTGCGTCTGCCCGCATCGGCTGTCCAGGTTCGTTTGATGTGGTGGCTTTGCCCAGATCGACTCGTTGTGGGCGCCAGTTCGCTTTCGTTTGAAAAGCTACGACGAATGTCGTCATGTTCGGACAAGAATGTAGACAGACCGGCATCGACCTCCTGCATCATCAGCGAATCGGTATGACCTCGGGGTGAGGTTTCGAAGACGCCGCCATGCATACTTCGAGCATATCTGCTACCTGGTCGGTACCCTTCACTCATCTGCCGTTCGTCGCTGTGGTGGTGATGGGAGCAATTGCAGAAATGCGTGGTAGAATCAGGGTTTATATTCCCTTTCCTACCCTTTGGATCCTTCGCTAGGAGAAGGTATAAAGAACCAAATGCAGCAAGCCCAGTTCCAACCATTGGGGCCCATTGGCCTATGAGCAGCACGCGATATGTCAGCTACAGCAATGTGTATCTTCAAGAATAAAGGGGAACACCTACCTATACTGGCCATAGGCTCCGTCTGGAAATAAACTTGGTAACTGAAAAAATTGCGCTCCCCAAACACTACAATTGCAAGTACTGCAGAACCGATGACAGGAATCTCCACGACAGTACTGAGGAACCTCCTGATCTTGGTGTCGAACCTCCTCACCTCTCCCAGAGTGGCTCCGTTAGTGCCCTCAATGGGCTCGTCAATTCGCTCATCTTTGGTTCCATAAGCGAAGCGCGTGGTTCTCCAGTTGATTTCGAGAATCTTGTTCCACATAGATACGAGCGACAAGATAGCAGGTATGCAGCACGCAGCTGAAACGAGCATGCCGGCCCCAAACGTAAGCTTGTCCGGTGCCGGTATCACATAGATGTCGATTGCGGCGCCGCGTCGCATTCGAGAGAACGGACCATCATCTATGGAGCAGATAAGATCACAAGTAGCCTGCTCGTATGGGAAGTGCCTCACATCTCGGGGTATAGGATTGCCATTGTCATCATGCGTGCACTTGGACGTCGTGATCCGGTAGAACTCGACTGTCAAGCTTAGCAGTCCTTTAGGTGTAGGGTTAACATTCATAGTTTATTCCACAGACGACGAAGAATGCTGCTTACCGGCAAGGATAAGTAGGGTCCACAAGAAGATGGCGTTCCGACCGGGATCATAGAAGTACGTCTTGGACCTCCTAACTGTGACTGGACCGGCCAGGATGCCTATTGAGCAGAGCTGAAAGGCTCCGAACACATCCATATCGACAGCACCTAGAGCGATGGAGAAAGTCAACCATGTTGTCCGAGTTGGGAGAGGCTTATGAGGGGCGCACCGTTGACATGAAGTACAGCGAGGACGATGCCGTGGATAGCAGCGACGGCTGGGAACAGCAACGCTGCTGCCAAACAAGCGTTCCTAAGCCATTCTGCTTTTCGAGCGAGCACGCAGGTTGCTACGAGGACATAGTATCTACACTGAAGTGTCAGTTCTGAAGGCCCTGTGGATCTATGATAGGGGGACTTACAAGACCCTCGAGCCCGGACCATACTGGCCAGATACGGGCCAAGCGCACACTACTTGCAATGCATTGCTCGTAACATTCGTGGCAAAAGAAGATGTAGTAGAGTTGGAGATGGCGTTGCGAGCGACAGGATTAGTCAGAAGCGAGGACGAGGAAAGAAGTGCCGGCATGATCACCCGTCTGTCCCTGAAGAGAAGACTGATTTGACACGAAATACAGGACGTGTAGATACCGCGCGCACATGTATTATAAGCAAAATACGACTAATATCGTTAGCTGGTCATTTTTATTCCGTACCCGCAGAATATCGTCTGTAGAGGTTGCGAAGCGACAAACTCCTAGGACACCTCATTGACCGATATATGGCTGGCGGGGAATTAGGCATCGGCATTTGCCCCAGGACATAAGTCAGAACATATTGGACAATGCATTCGGATCCTATTGGTGGTGGCACAGCAGTGACAGCATTTACTCCTTTCACAGTGGCTTGCAGGTTCATGTTCTTGGCTCAAGTGTCAGCCAATACATGAGCTATTTCCGGCCGTTGCGTGATACTCGGTCGAAGCGGCTCTAGGGTTGTGATTTCCCAGGGCCGAGAGAACGTGATCGCAAACCTGCACCTCGGTAGACTCTGATTCACTCCCGTGCCGTGGAGTATGCTTACAGGGGCGAGTTGAATGTCTACCAGCCGCCATTCAATATTTTTGCAGGGATGTGAACTGCGCCCGCGGTGAAGAAAGTGGTTAAGTCCGAATCCATTGCGGAAGGCACTTGGCGTGCCGGGGGACGGACCTCCCGGTCAGTGGCCAGGGCTTATGGAGCTGAAAGATCTTTACTATTTCAAGTCCAACTGCCCATGGTCACATGGCATTCCTTTTGCTGACCGGCCTGCACGCAAAGAAGAAATGGTTAGAATTTCCAGAAGGTTACTATAGTAGACTCATCGTCTCAGATAAGCCATTTCTGCCCAACGACTAGGGTGTGGTAGACTCTTAATACATGCAGCTTACCTAGACCTGTCATTCATTTGGTCAATATTACTGGATCGAGCGAGCAAAATTTGCCAGCAAACCATACATCTACAGGTGTCAGTGGCGCTCATAAGAATTGCATGCGACGTAGCTTGTGCGACATTCAGAAGACTGACAATTGAGGTACTTGAGCCTTATCCGCACGGAAACATGCAACGGTTGCTGGTCCCGGAACGCGCCTGATCGGATCCGGATCCTTGCTCTTCTCCCATCTCCCAAATGAAGCATCCTTGATTTCTATCGCGGGCAAGCAGGATCGTCAGCCTGCCCAGTGCCCAGAGAAGACTTTTTAGGGCTTTCAAGACCGCCTGCCGTTTTAGCGTCGTGAATAACCGTGATGCATCCAGATATCACATAAGCGACGACAGCAGAGCAGTTGACCAAATCTTGTCGCCTAAATGCCGCAAGCACACCACTGTCGATCGCACCGAGATATCCCTCCTCCTGCTTAAGAGCTCATCACCCTCGTTGGAGAGCTGTTCAATCGACAAAGGCCTCAATGGGTAGTCGGTGCTTTGCTATTGGGAAACGTTGTTCATAGATGGGCTTTGTCACCGGCAGAGCGCCTGTCATAATAGGTGAAGTCGTTGTTGATAATAGCGCATTCTCCCCAAGTCGCCCGCTGCGCGAATTTTTCTGCCAAAAGTTGCTTCGGAATCAATCTTGAAGACGACTACGACCAGGAAATACTCGTCAAAATGTCAGCAGGTGATAGAGACACTGACACCAGTCTAATCAACAGCTGGCGATCAATTGTCACACTACTCGTTTTCGTTCTTACAAGTAAGTGCAGCATATCTTAGGCGAATGATGACCCGTGCGATTAGCTACTTCTAATGCAATGTGCAGACGTCGTTGTCCTTTTCCCCTTTCACATATCCATATACATCCCGCGGTTATTTTTGGACGTAGTACTCGTTGCCTTGAGCTACTTGCGAGTTATATTGCCCAGGCATGACCGCACCCATCATGGATCTCAAGGTACAACTCATGGAAATGGTGATAATGGCGAAGTCAAGCGCTTCTGGGTGCCCCTGAGATTACCTATGAACTTTGTGACGGCCCCATTGATAGCAGATCTCTTCCTGCTTGCCATCAGGGCTATCGGTCGAAAGGAAGTCCACGACGGCACCATAGGGACCGAAGGCATCTCCCCGCTCGATATCATGGCATTCTTCATCACTCTGGCATATATCGCTATTTCGATTGATGCATCTGGTCTCATCAGGTACCTAGCATTCAAGGTATTGCAGAAAGGAGGTAAATTTGGGCGTAGACTGTTCTTGTACCTCTGTATCTTCTTCTTCAGCCTGGGCAGTTTCATCGGCAACGACCCCATCATCCTGTCCGGCACAGCATTCCTCGCCTACATGACACGAGTATCGAGCAACATCATCCACCCAAGGGCGTGGATATACTCGCAATTCGCTGTGGCCAATATTGCATCGGCGATCCTCGTCTCCTCCAACCCGACCAACCTCGTCCTCGCTGGTGCCTTCAACATCAAGTTCATCGACTACACCGCAAATATGATTGTACCCGTCATCATCACCGCCATTGTGCTGTTCCCCGTTTTGTTGTTCATTGTCTTTGCAGATGAGTCTCTGATCCCTCGCGTGATCAAGATGCACGAGCTGTCTGATGAAGCGAAGGCTAAGGAGCCCGTAAACCCCAACATCCCCCACGGCCGAGGAAATGACGCAGAACTGGAGAAGGAAATGGCAAACAACGAACAGGGCAAGCTCCTCTCCCTTGAGGAAATCATGAATCCCTTTCTGGACAAAGGAGGTGCTATTTTTGGCGCCGTTATCATGGCTGCGACACTCATCACGCTTCTCGCGCTCAACGCCGCTAGCCAAGCGACCGGGGAGCACCCCGTCTTCTACGTTACCTTGCCAGCCGCCTTCGTTATGTTCTGCTGGGATGTTGCATTCGGATGGCACAATCGGCGTAAGACGCGCGGTATTGCTCGCAAGGGCCGACAGGAGGTTGAAAATGCTCGAGCCGAACGAGCGATGCGAGAGGAGGAGCAAGCAAAGCGCGCGGCCCTAGAGCAAGTGAAAGCATACGATCCCGATCTGATGCGAACGCATTCTCCGAAAATTCCATCGCCAAACCAAGACGGTACCAATGGAGGTCACGACAACAGCCTTGAGCTATTTGTGGTAAACGCCAATGAGGGAATTCCGTCAAGTGGAGAGGTGGAAGAAAAACAGCGAATGTCCTATGGGCAAGAGACAGATGTTGAGAGTCCGCAGGAGCGTCCACGGGCAACGCTTGTATCGCTCTTCGCGGATGCGTACAGATGGTCACAAGAGACGTTCCCAACTGTTACGGCAGTGGTGGCTCATCTACCATTCGCTCTTGTCCCGTTTGCCTTTGCCATGTTCGTCCTGGTGCAAGCCTTAGTGACTAAGGGCTGGGTGCCGGTATTCGCTTACGGCTGGGATCATTGGGTGACCAAGACAGGAACAATCGGGGCTGTTGGTGGTATGGGGTTCCTCTCTGTGGTTCTTTGCAATGTGAGTTCTGCATTTGGGTGCCTTTCTGTGATGCCAACTAATGTTGTACACTTCATGGCTAGTTCGCAGGTACCAACATTGGAACCACCATCCTCCTCTGTCGTGTGATACAAGCATGGACCGATATTCATGCCGAAAACCAGATCCCCATCTCCGATCGGACATTCTGGGCGACAGTGTACGGCATGGCGCTCGGTGTCAACTACGGTGCCTTCAGTGCGGCCTTCTCGGCGTCACTGGCCGGTCTACTATGGCGTGATATCCTGTCCAGGAAGCACATTCACGTCAAGAGACTCGACTTTGTGCGAGTAAACCTTCCTATCATTGCTATTGCCATGACAGTCGGCTGTGCGGCCCTCGTTGGCGAGGTGTATATTATCAGAGACAATAGCCCTTTCCATCTATGACGGCTCCAACCTCACCGAAAGGAAGCAGACCTTGTTACATTAGCACCGGCTAATCAATCATCAGTTATTCAACTTTGATGGCATTAGCTTCGGTGTGCTGCCAAGTTCGACAAGTGACCGCGAGAAGTGGATATCCGCCCCTATTATTCCACCTCACGTGAAGGATCGCGGAAAGTAAACGCTGCTCTTGTATCTTGGGCTTCGTTACTTCCAATTGAATTCTCAACGACCCGGTAGATGAACTTCTCGCCACTCACGCCTACCCTCATTTCGACCAGTGTCTTGGTCGATCTCTCCAGCAACGTGTCACCGGCAACGACTCAATATCTCTGAGGCGTCACGAAACCCTGAGACAACATGGCCGGCATACTCTCGGGCGGGAGCTTCTCTTTGAAGAACTCACTCTGCTGGCAGGATTTCAACATATCATTTCCATCGTTGGCGGGGGGTTGCCTGCCTACCTGGTAGACGAACATCCGAACACCACGAACATCCACCCCGTCGGCCCATGGAACAACAGACAACGCATCCATAAAGTACTCTGGCGCTTCTTCTTTCGAAGCAACCTTCACGATAACGGAAAAAATAGCCGCAACGGTGCTACCGCTCTCGGCAATCCGGGAGAGGGGCTCCAGTGTTCCTGCTTGCGAGCCGATGCAGTCGATGATCATAGGCACGACCGGCTTGGCTGTGCCTTGGTTCTTGGCAGCGCTCTCCAGCACGGCGGTCGTGACGTTGGGTCCTCGGTAGTCGAAACACGACTTGCGCCGAGCTTCATCAGGTACTCATGGTGATGAGGGGAGGCTGTGCCGATGAGGTGGCGGTACCCGTAGAACATGAGGGTTTCCAGCGCGAATTGGCTGACGGAGGAACCTGCACCCCAGATTAGGATGGGTTCGTCAGCTCGGGAAGGGGTGTAGTTGGCAGGTTTGGGCCGGGGGGGGGGGTTGTAGGTTCAGGTCGGCGGCCATGGCGTGAAAGATGGAGATAAAATTCTCTGGGACCTTCTACCAATACATCAATGTCAGCGTTTGAGTCCACCGCGAGTTTTCGAAGGCGATTGTAAAGAGCGAAAGTCAAAAGAGTTGCACCAATGGGATGGAGTTTACGTACCACGGCCTGCTCCATGGAAATCCCTTCAGGTATCTACAAACACAACAGAATTTCTTCAACTCCAAAACCTATCATGCCATCAAGATGACAAACCTTGGAGAACATCTACTCCGCCGCGCCAGAAGACCAACCAAAGATCTCGTCCCCTTTCTTAAACCTGCTGGCTTTCGGCTCAACGGCTTCAACCACTCCAGCGATCGTAGCTCCCATAATCTGGGGATACTGAGCGCCGATTCCACCATCAGCCTGGTGAAGATTGAAAGGCATCGAGGATGTGAATTTGGACTGGATAAGCAGCTCGTTGTCCTTGGACACGGGCGTTGGATATTGCTCTTGAGGCAACTGATACTACGGCGGAATAGGTTTTGGTAGACATGGCGGCTGATGGCGAGGTGGAGTGAAGGGGGGAGCCACTTGGAAAGTAGTTCAAAAAGGTAATCCGATGTGCCAGAAGCGACTCCACTGTATGCACACCGGCAGTATATATACACGAGGCAGCGAGGCCTAGGTAACTATCAAACCCATGACGTATTTCCAATTATGCCAGTGCCCAGACGTGAGGGTTGCGGATTGGTAGCACGCTGGGTTTGTCATATGAGCCTCTACGACTTGCGTTAGCTGATCTGCTGGATACTAAAGAACTAGATCTGCATAGCGAAGCTTGAGAGTTGTTGACACTTTTGAGCGCCGTTGTCGCTCCTGTTCACCATCAATGCTGGGGCACCCAGATTTACATAGCTTCGTATCTTTTCTGCGTACTTTAACGTCTCGGATACTTGATAGAGCGTAGCCTATCCCGGAAGTAGGTGGCCGCGGAAGGAAGAGGATTATATGTAATGATACACGTAGATGGTGTCACTGTCGAATATCACGTGTGTCCAATCGAGTGGTCAGAAGTGCGTAAGATTGTATATGAATGAGGTATATTGTTCTCTGTGTTCTGTTCTCGCGAACTCCCGTTGCTCTCCTTTTATAGATTCTTTAGAAAATGTCGGAGGTGCATTGTTCAGGTGTCTGACCCCTAAGTGGACCGTGACTTTGGAGTTACTTTCGCGAAGAGGGGTTCATTTCGCCGTCTGAACTTTAAGTGACACTAGTCTTCTCTAGTGCCATATTATTTCTGAACCTAGGAACCAGGTGTCCTATCTGACAGTCATAACGTGGTACCAGGGCTGTAACAAACTGTCACACTGGAATATTGAGGTGATTTCAAATTATCCCGCCTGCTACATCGTTGTTTCATCGGCTTGTTAGACTTCTGAAAAGTAAGTGAATACCAATGCGATGCTTGCATAGAGTGAAGCGTGTAGCCAGGCCCCTTGTTGTGTTCAAGATACAATCCATACTGAGACAACCCCACAAACTGACTATTGCGTGGTGGTGAACTCACTCTTTGGGTGACCTACCTAATGCGGCCACTTCACCCGGATGCGGGACCAGCCTCATGACGCTTCCTGTGGTTGGAACACCATGGCGTTGTCTATTGCGAGGAACCGAACGGAAGTGAGAGCTGTCTGGGTAGGAATTGCTTAGCTATGGCTTCTCAACTCTCTGCCCTATCTATCTGTCTTTGGAAATTGCGCGCGGAACTGCAAGGCAACTTTAGTGGACGGGGCAGGGTTCCAGGTTGTAAATGCAAAATAACAGTGTCAGACTCTGGAGATCTTGATGTAATTATCTCATCTCTATTGACCAATTCTATCTGTCTAGTCTATGAGACTACTCTCTACTCGGTTGAGCATTGCTATATTGCTCGGATATCTAACGCGAAAAGTCCAAAAAGTTGAAACCGTCTATCTCGTAAGATGATAAAAAAACATAAAGCCCTTGGGCTTCAGTGCGACCTTCTAATTGAACCAGTCAAGGTCAATAAGCAAAGATACCGAGAAAACGAAGAGTCGACACTGAGCTCTGTTGGCTGGGTACACGCTAGCGGACCTCTAACCCCTTTTTATGTTGCAGCCAGCTTTAGCCCCTCGAGACGCCGTTCCCACGGCCAGACTCCAACATATTCTCGGACACCTCGTCCGCCTTCTCATCGCTGCGCTCGCTCTTCTCACTGTATCCACGGGCGCGAGTGACCGTGGCACCCCGCGCGAAGGCAGCGTCCTGGGTGACGTCGTCAATGAGTCCATAACGGCGGGCCTCCTGCTCAACTTGGGCATCGGTTAGGAAAGGCAGCTCTTGGGCCGCTTTGACGTAGGACATGCGCCCTCCCTTCTCGTGGCCGGCTGCGAAGATGATGTCGATTTCCTCGAGTGAACGGTTGGCCGTCTCGGGGTAGAAGAAGTAGATGACGGGGATAAAGGTGGCGTTCATGACGGCGAAGAAGAGGTAAGTCCCCCAGCCGATGTTGGCCACCATAATCGGTGTCACCATAACGATTAAGAAGTTAAAAAGCCAGTTAGATATGGTGCTCGCCGCGTTGGCCTTCGCGCGTGTTTTGATCGGGTTGATCTCGGCTGGGTAGAGCCAGGGGAGCGGCAGCCAGGTCGCACCGAAGGAGGCAATGTACGTGAACAAGCCCACGGCAGCACCCTTGGCTGCGGCCTTGGTTCCGGGAATGAGACAGGCGAACGTCAAAACCATGGAAAGACACTGGCCGACAGTCCCGTACATGAAGAGCTTGCGCCGGCCCACTCGCTCGATAATGAACCACGACGTGGTCGCGAAGATGCTGTACACGATCATGTTGACTCCTCCCATGAGCAGGGCCATGTGGTGGTCTCCCGGCGTGATGGACGTCTCGAAAAGAATGGGGAAGTAGTAGATGACAGCGTTGCAACCTCCGACCTGCTGCATCAGTTGGCTGCTGGCACCAAGCAGCATGCGGCGGAAATGCTGCGTCTTGCCGCCGGTAAAGAGGGCCTTCATCGGTGTCGACTTCTGGCCCGAGAAGCCGGACGCTCGGATAGAGTCCATGATGACTTCGCGCTCGAGGACGGCCTCCTCGCTTCCCGGCTCGTAGCCACGGAGAGCTGCAATGACCTTGTCGGCATCTTCGTATCGCTCGTGGGTGAGGAGCCAGCGAGGGGACTCGGGCAGGAAGACCATGCAAATGGAAACGACCAATCCGAAGATGCACTGGAGTGCGATGGGAAACCTCCAGACGAGATCATCGGACCCATAGGAAGCGCCGTAGTCGACCCAATATGCGATTAACGTACCGAACGCAATAACGCCGCCTTCGATACAGATGAGGAGACCACGGTTCGAAGTCTTGCTACATTCGGCTTGAGGACTGTTAGGGACCAAATTGACAAATCCGGGGGAGAACGAGCTACCGACCTTGATAAGTGGGGATAGTGGATGTGTTGATTCCGTTGCCAACGCCAGTAATGACCCGGCCAATGATGAATTGTGCCAACTCGTTGTTGTTGTGCACGGCAGAGACCTGGATAATAACACCCAGAATCATGACGATTCCGCCAAGGATCATGGCCTTCCGTCGTCCAAGCAAGTCACCCACGCCCAAAATGAGAACAGCGCCGAAGAGGCAACCAATCTCGTAGATGGCCGTCACCAAACCCTGCATGGTCGAATTGTTTCTGGTGGCCGTGAACATGTCGTTGAAGCCCTTAGCACTGATGATACCGCTCATAACACCCTGATCGTATCCGAAAAGGAGGAAGCCCGTCGTGGCGACCGTCGAGACGGCCAGCGACAGTGGCCGCCCCGTAAGGCCCATGAACTTGGGAGGAGCCATCTTGAGAGGGTTGGCTTAAGCCAGGCGAGCACTGCTTGCCAAAATGGAGGAGGCGGCAGTACTGTTGCAAGGGGAGAGAGAGTAAAAAATAAAAATAAAAGGGGGGGCTCAAGCACGACGGGGTATCAACGATAGCACCGGGCACGGATGGGGAGAGAGGGTTCAAGTTCTTCCCCATCCCGCACACACGCGGGGAGAGACTTTATATCTTTACATACCAATCGTCCCTCCCATCCCGCATAACCGCTTCTTCTGTGCTTTTGCTGCTACAGCTCGTAACTGGGAAGGAGCCGGGGCAAGGTGCTACCACCTCCTTGCTCGTCGTCGCGAGTCATCGCGCAACACCGAAACTGGAGATTCGGGAGTAAGGCAGTTCCCAGGTATATGATTGCGGATCACAGGGCACAAAGGGCTCTGATAGGCCGGCGCGGCAACGCTGAACCCTAGCTTATCCTTGAAGGCAGACATGTGCCTCAGCGGCTGGGTGGAACCAATGAGGTCATCGCCGAACCGTCGGTGCCAAGCTTGCGAGGGGGTGTGTCCACGGCAATCGGCAACGGCGGCCAAGCACGGTGCGGCGGCGCAACGGGAGGGAGGGACGAGAACGAGGCTGGGCGGTGAGGAAAGGCTTTTTGCTCCAGGTTTATTCAACAAGAACTAGCCAATCAGAAGAGGGGAATTCGGGCAGGCTGGGGTCAAATGTGCCAAGGATGAATCTATGGCTCTCTAATCCACTCTTCTGACTCCATCTTAAAGCGGGCGGATGGAAGCCTTTTCATATCAAGCCATACCAAGCAAGTCAAGATGTCTTGATCGTCCTAATCCATACTCAACGGCAGCATAAGTGCCCTGTTTATATGGGGATCCGATGGAGCCGCTAGTCAGAGGCGGGTCCAGAGTTATGGGGTTCTTCCGGGCCTGACTCGGCGCTTTTGCTCTGACGATGACGGAATCGTACTCCATCCATTCGGAGGCCTGCAACTCAAATGTGAAAAAAATGCGGGTGTCGCTTCAGAAACGAGATAAATGAGGAGATCACAACCGCCTGGGGAAATTTCGAGGGGAAGTGCGTGTGGGAGGGACAAACCAAGCAGGGCCGACACGAGTTTTTGCGGACGTTGGGGCGGAGGAAATTTAGCAGCCTGGGGTATGGTCCGCTTTGAGAGAGAGCGTCGATTTCTCTGTGTCGGTGTGGTAGAGGTTCCTGGATAAAAACGACCTGTACGATCTCAACGCAACCGACGCGGGCTGGCGTCGTCACAAAACTGTGGAATCGGTTGGCGTGGCACATCTTGCATAAGTCGTTATCGTTTGATTCTTCGGACGATTTCCGTATCAACTGCATGTCCACTGCACGAAAGGCCCCAAGGGACCTTTCTCCAGTTTCCAATTCTGGCAAAGTTAAGAGGTACATATCAAGGTCCCTAATCAGCGGGAAAATGCAGGTTGTTGGGTGGAGTTTGGATTATTAGTGTTGCAATTTGTGGCCTATAATGGTTGAGAGATTCAGAGGGTCCGTCGTACGATGCATAGCAGTTTCCCCAGCTGGAGACATCCTGCTTTGGTCGCTAGCTCCAAACTTTCATTGCTGGACTTGGGTTGTTGGTCTTTGTCTTTGTCGCATTGACGAGCCAAACCACTTTTACGAAACGGAAAGTCGATTAGAGTTGATTGCTGTACTTACGGTTGACTGCTGTCCTTGCCACGATCGAACCCTTGACAATGATCTCCATCGGGCTTATCCAGGAGCAACTATTGCTGACTGATGCGCAACTGAGGCATATCGGCTGGCCACGCCAGTCTCTACAATCAGCCCATTCCATAGTACAAACAACACAACACCAAATACTGAGCCGACTTCCCTCCTGCCTGTGGGAAAATAAACAGTTGGTCTGAGCCTTGCATCGGCCCACCTTAACTCAATCTTGGCTTGCTTGGAATCGTTTGTAAGTAATTGAACCCACAATGTAGATGGGGCTGCAAACCCTGTGCGTCAAAAGTACACGCACCGTAAGTAAGTAATAAACGAAAACGATGACGTATAAAATACTGGAGGCCGGGTTAATGGGGGCAGTGTCTGTTCTCCTCGGCTCCTAACCCAACCAACCGCCGGTTTCTCGAGGTTGCGCTAGAGTCGGCTGGATGTCGGAAGTTCTCGGCCAGAGACGCGTCCGTGTTGTACGAAGTGCGAACGGTGTATAATAGGACCCACTTGGGAGGATATTGTGCAAGCTTCATGGTTCTACTGAACGGATTGCGATGCCTTGGCTGCATATGGCGGTGATTTCATCATCTTGAAGGAAAGTGGCTGGTAGCGATGCGGGTAAGAGTTACTCCCCTAGGATAGAGTTATTACCAGTTTATTCTAGCGACAGGTATCGGCAATGGTCAATCCGTTCATGACGATCACCACTCGGAAACCCCTCTAATACGCTGGTGACGGTTTTTGCTTTCAAACCTCGGAGTAGTGAGGTTGAGACTATTTAGGTGTGGTTCTCCATGTGCAGACAAGTCACACAGCATCCATGACTCGCAGTAGTCACTGCAGTTAAGAGGATCAGCCTCAAGTGGAGTTCGGATGATTTGGCAGTTATTGCGTATACTGGCGCTTGTAGAGGGGATGCGAGGCACTGGGGATTGTCGATCGGCGACCGCTACTTGATTATTCTCGCTCAGCTGGCCGGCTTATTTTCACAGCTGCTTTCGTCAGCAGAAGTGTTCTTGTAGATCTGCGCCCGGACGAACCCTATCAAAAGCGTATAAGATAGTCAATCTTATGAAAACCGGGATGGGACTCATAGGGGCTTTGTCAGGTTTCCAAGCATAGCTTATGAGAAGGAGACCTACACGAAGCTGGGACACTTAAACGAACAAAATACCAAGGGAAAAAGAAGTAAGGAGAATGAAAACTTATGGAGACAATGTACATGGTTTGATTTCAATAAGGCTCACTGTAACCCGGTCATAATAAAGATCCTTCCCCAGGCATTTCGTTGGGAGGATTTGAATACTAGCAATGTATGTGATGGAGGCAAAGCTAATTCTCCTTTGACCGGAGTCATCACTCTCAAACACGTGTTGAATTTCGCGACCTGCTTTGTGGGATATCAAGTTGTGAGTTTTCTGTGAGGATGGCAACCGTCCTTGATCTGTGATGCAGCAGAAATTAGAGCACTGGAGAGACCTCCACCCCTCCCCTCCCCCCCTAACAGGGAGATACGCACATGAAGCCGGCCCGTCATTGAACTTAACATGGAACAAGTCCTCCAGAGTATCCTGCCCCAAGCAAGTGATCTGCGAGTAAGGTGGAATTCGCAGCGGGTAATTCACGCGACTGTGTTGATCACATTATCAATTGTAGTATGGTCGCACTAGGGCACTTGAACTACATGCATGCACCCCAATGCGGACTTGACTTGATTCCAACATGTTTTAGCAAAAGGAGAAAATTAGAAATAACCTACAATCCTAAGCACTCGGTCATCTGTCAAAACTTTATCCCAGCTCCTCAGCCCAAAACGCCTTCCAGGCATTCGGCCACCTCACATCCTTGAGCTCCTTCAGCCAATCCTTGAAGGAAATCTTCTCCTCCCCCATCGTGATGACACCGTTATTAACTCCGCCCCATCCCTCAATCAGCGCCTTGGTTTGCTTGCGTCCCCTTGGACACACCGTCCTCCAGGCCACTTCCAGCTCGCCCTTCTGCCGCCGGGCCCTCTTGTCAAAGCACTCGCCCCAGAGGTCCGCCTCGATACAGTAGAGGCAGATATACGTGCTATCCTGCTTCCCGCTGGACACAACTTTATCGCACTCAGAGCAGATAATACTCGTGTCAGTATCCTCGTCTCGCTCTTGGTTCAATTCTGCTTGTGAGTCCCTGACAGAGAATGCTACGGACTCAGGCGATGACGCCCGAGTGGATTCTCCTTCAACCTTCCAGATCCGGCTCTGTCACTGTAGCATCGCCGTCATCATATGCTTCGAGTTCAGCGACCTTGTCCCCCCTTCTTTCGCGTCAGGGGCCTGTGTGACAATGGTGCGGTCTGACTCGGTCAGCCCTGTAGCCAACAGTTGGTCAGCTACCCTATTCCCCTTTTGCGGACTCAGAAGTTTTTTATGTCAGTTGCACTCGGCTCGGTATGTGACTGATTAATTTCCTGCGCGGACGGCGCAGACGGCGACTTAGCTTCTCCGTTGTTGGAGGTAGTGTCTTCAGAAAGAGAAGCGCCGGATGTCGTAGTCTTGGTGCTGATGAAGGGGACCGTCTGCTCGCTCTTCGGGATGCAGTGAGGCATTTCATTCGAGTCAACCGTCTCTCCATTCTCCGTAGCACTGTCAAGGTCCGGGGCTAGGGTATTTCCGCGCTTGTAGATTTCTATATCCACAACATTGATCTTTCAAGCGATTGGTCAGCTCCCGATTTGATGACATACGTGTGTACCGGCGCGGCAGAGCGGCATAGCATCAGTTGATCCAATACTACAGGTCCGGAGACTGGGGTACGTGTAGTTCCGCCTACCTTTGATGATGCCCACGGTTTGGCTCCAACACTTGGGTGAAAGGGGCGTGTACTCACCTGCATGCAGGCTGCCATCTGAGCTTCGCTTCCAAGGCTCCCAACGCTAAAAAGCACCTTGGCCAGTGTACGAAAGCTCATGCAGTCATTCCATCCCGTGCTGTCGCTCAAGTTAGCAATACAACCATCAAAGATAGTCGTGAGAATCTCCTGAAACTGGACAATCGGCTCAAGCTTGCGTGTCGTAAGTGCCAAAGGCGTCGCCATCTGCGACCGTGACGTGTTGAAGTCGAGCGCCTGGTACAGGAGCTCCTTGGCGCTAAGCTCACCTCGTACTTTGCTGTGGAAACCAGCCCAACACAGTCGAAGGCTGGGTGCGGCACCACCTTGATTTAGGAACTTAATGGCCTCTGAGTACATAGCAATGAGTTCGTCGCCACGCGGAGCTCAACAGCTGTATTCTGGATCAACATTTGATCATCGTCGAAAGCGATACTTGATAAACCACGCGCGATCCCCTTTCTTGAGTTTTAAGCACTGTAAGCGCGGCCTACCATGCGTTGGCGTCGCCGATGGTAGTCATCAGGGGGCCGATATCCAGAGACGCGTCGGGCACTTTGACGACTTCCGCCACAAGCATTTCCATCTTTCCATGTCATTTCGCATAATCTCAGCCGCGGCATAATTCAAGTTAAGGGTCGTGCACATGTTCTTGGTATCGCGATCATTCTGGATAGGAATCGAGTCCGGCCTACACATCAATGTGGCCTTGGAAAACATATCGCAATCCTGATCTACATGCGAGGCCTTCTCGTCTTCATTCTTGTTTCGGGCTAGTTGCAAAACTATCTCAGCCATGCATGTGTACACGTACAGTCTTTCGCCGTCGTCGGCTAGGTCTAGTCCTATCTTGATCTGCTCCAATGCAGGTTCGAACTGTGAGATAGCCATCAGCGACTGCACATTTTGGAGCCAGTCACAGCTGGCTTACATTGTAATCAAAATTCATCGCCATGGCAATGGCCCAAAACGCCCTCGGCGATTGGGGCACGCCGCAAAGAGCGTTGGCCACCGTCAGAAGGTCTTTTCCGTGAAAAAATGGGACGGCCAGTCGATAGCGGCGACGAACTTCTCAAAGTGCTTGTTAAGCTCCGCGTTTTGTCGTAACTCGGGTGGCCTCTCGGCATGTGCCATCTGCAGTGCTTCATGAGCGTGCCTAAAGGTCTACAAAGCGTTCTGATATGTGCTCTGGCGTTGCCCATGAATATACGAGCGGGATTTCTCACCAGAGGCCTGAACCACTCCTGGATTGCAGAGAACTATTCGCGAGTGGAAGCCAATTGAGCGGTGTGATCAACTCCTCGCTGAATGACTTCCAGTGGCGCTTCAGCCGTCTCTTTGTCTTGCCCAATGATGGAAGGGTCTCCATAACCCAACGACTGGATCTTTTTGAATAGGTTCTTTTTGCTATCTAGGACCCCACTGCTATAAAACAGTCAGTAACTACAACTTGCATAAATTTAAGCGATGAACAAACCAAGCTGTATGTCGAGAGAAACGACTCACAAACGTGGATCCGTTAGGTAGTTATTATTCCTAGGATGGACAGTGAAGGGGAAAGCTATTCTCAAGAGGACCTAACGTACCCCACGGTCCGATTAAACACTTCTCAAGACCTCGTATAATAAGATATAAGTTAGTTCAACTATAAAGTTAAAAATCAATTAAAACTACTCGGAACTATCTTCTTCAGATATTTCTTTACTATTCTGATAAGTACGTGTATTATGACCGGGCTCTCCGTACGTCTTATAGCGTCACTGAAGTATCTCTGGCCTCCTCGTACGATTACGACTCTAGCGCGATTTATTATGTAACTCTCCGTTAACTAGCTTCTAAGACTATAAATCTTCTCAAGCTTATATACGAAGTAATCCTCTATACTGTAAACGTTTTCTTTTCGTATAACGCCGCCGGCTAAGTGTCTTATTTGCCTTTCGAAGCGCGGCGTTCTCACCCTCTAAAAGAGCAAGCCGGTTTATAACCTGCGTCGTACCCTTCGTAACGAGAGGTTGGAGCTTATACGAGGAATATCCAGGTATAAAGAGTTCGATAATAGAGTTCTCTTTATAGTAGAGCTCGAAAGCGGTCGAGTAGTGGCTCTCGTAGCCGTCGAGAATTAAGAGGCGATAAACACCTTTCGTACGAAGCTTTGTATTGACGACAGGCAGTGAAACCACCCGCAGGTTTAAGGTGTGAAGATGATGGCAACGGACAACAAGATCCTCAACAAGCCCTTACTATCCGGGAGGTGGAAAGAATTAACAAGATCAAGAGCTCTTGCCCTGATCAGAACAACAAGTACCTCAACAGGTACGAACAACTGGAGCCTCAGCAGGCTAGAGAAGAAAAGGAGCCTCAACAGGCACAATCAAATCTATAGGGGAACAGAAAGTACCTCAACAGGTACGTCAGACATTGAATGCCTGTCCAAGTAAAGAGAAATTGGTTCAGATTACTGTGGAAAAGGCCGCTTGAATTCCTATCTTTTTCTCAAGAGAGTGACTATGTACATAAGGTCTTAAATACCCTTCAAGAACGCTACATAACTCATCTGAAACCGGAAAAAACGAAAACAAGCACCCAAAAACCCTAACCCCACATCAGTATGTTGATCGAATTGTCGAATCCAGTCCTCGCCTCTTTTATTTATAGTCTAGCTATTTTTTGTAACCGCGATAACCTAATCCTTTGGTAGTAGGCTATTTTCGTACTACGAAGATAGGTGAGTTTTACCGGCAAAGATAATATACGGAGGGATAGTATAGCCGTCCGATCCGACGCCCTGGATAACTATAACCTATTCCCTATTCCCTTGCTGTACTGCTCTAGGTCTTCTACGTCGATCAGAGGTTGTTATAACTATCTCGGATAAGATTTAACCTATAAGAAACCTAGTCTCGTTAAAATTATAGATATCCTCCTCTTGAATTCTATACTTATTAATTATATTCCGTACGAGATAAAACTACGCGCGGTACGCCTCGGAATTTTTGTAGAGGACTCTCTAGTAGTCGATTCTTCGATTAAAACGCGTCCGGAGGTCTAGTTATTGTCGTACGAAGCTCGAAGCCTAGTTAATACCGACGCGTCCTACGTCGCCTTAGTAGAGCAGTCGATTCGCTATATCTTTAACACTACTTATCCGAGGAGGAAATAATCGTGAATCTAGGTCGACTATTGACGTGGGGTTAAGGTTTTTGGGTGCTCGTTTTCGTTTTTTCCGGTTTCAGATGAGTTATGTAAGCGCATTCTTGAAGGGTATTTAAGACCTTATGTACATAGTCACTCTCTTGAGAAAAATATAGGAATTCAAGCGGCCTTTTCCACAGTAATCTGAACCAATTTCTCTTTACTTGGACAGGCATTCAATGTCTGACGTACCTGTTGAGGTACTTTCTGTTCCCCTATAGATCTGATTGTGCCTGTTGAGGCCATTGTTCCCATCTTTCACCTGTTGAGGTGATTGTTCAAGGGCCTGTTGAGGTTACTTTTCTTCCCCAGCCTGCTGAGGCTCCAGTTGTTAGTACCTGTTGAGGTACTTGTCGTTCCGATCAGGGCAAAGAGCTCTTGATCTTGTCATTTCTTTCCACCTCCCTGATAGTAAAGTCTTGTTGAGGATCTTGTTGTCCGTTGCCATCATCATAACACCTTGAACCTGCCGGTGGTTTCACTGCCCGTTGTCACTATATATCGTAAGATCGCGTCTTCTTCGGAATAGGTAAGCTTTTACGTTAGTGATCGTATATCCTGTCGTGAAGTACCGCCGCGATATCGGTGACGTAAGGTTATATAAGGGATATTGTAGATCCGTGCTACGGATTGTACGCTTAATTTAGGGTTATTTTGAAGCGCTTGAAGCGCTAATTGAATATCACTTTCTTCCTAATTACGTGCTATTGTAGAAGGTGGAAAATAAGGGATAAAACCTAGGTTATGTGGAAATGTGCGAAAGTGTTCAATTGGACTGTGGGGTACGTTACTAGATGTTTGCGATCACCGTTTTGACCCAGTCGGTATTCAGGTCGTCCATATTAACAAATGAGATCTCCAGTACTAAGAACCGTGCGTGAGAAGATTCTACTCAGCTTCCAGCCGTGGGTCACAAGGCTATGAAGATCTGGCATATAGTCTCGAGAATCGTTATGTGCATACTTAACAAAGAAGAGCGAAGATCGCTCTTTTTATGATCGGCCCTTTGGAAGTAAGCCTATAGTGACCTTTCCTAGAAGCCTAATAGCACGGAAAGGCCCTCCTGTATCGTAATCTCTTTGGCTTTCTCTTCATCTTCTTTCAACTTTATGTCCAAGTTACTAGATCCGGAATCTTGTTCTCCCAAGGCTTCCGAGTTCGCTAGTCGCAATCGCCTAGAGGATATAAATGAGCAATATAAATTGAGTACGGGCTCAAGTAGGTACCTTGATGACTTTCCGTCGAGCTCTTCGTCGATACTAATACCACTATCCGCGGCGATAATTTACCCCAGCCTGTTTGCCTCACCAAGGCTGATCTATAGCCTTGTCCGGTTCATGCAGCCAGTTATTTTCTATAGCCGGATCAGCCGTTACAGTCCTCAAGCAGAGTATATAACCGCGCACATTCAGCTAACATCGCCTGTATTGTAAGGAAACCCAGTGCTATTAATGGAAGCCGTAGGTACTTTAACCGGCGGTCATGCTAGTAGTCAATAGGGTCACATATATCCGTACTGATATTATGGTTACTAGGCTAGGGGCCCTTAAATTGGTACAGCGTTGATGTACCCACCACCGTCCACCGTTATTCTGCATATCATAGCTATAGACCTAAGCCTAGACAACTCTACAGCGCTTAGTCAAGGTATAGCCTCGAAATCACAGAAAAAGGCACTAGGGTAGCCTTAGGCGAGGTCTAGCAAGATGTCGGTCCCACCGGGGTCAGCGTTATAGGGGCGATTAGACTTTCTATAGTATGAGGGTAGCAAGCGCTACAAGAACCGATTTCTTGTATATATTTTCAGGCTAATAATAACTCCTATAGAGGGTCCCACAGGGCTGTTAGGGACTCTCTATCACTACTAAAATACTTAAAATAGCCACTATGGGCTTAGCAACCCTAAGACAACCAATGCAACCAACCAGGCCTCCATAATGGTTAGCCTTAGCAACTCATATCCGGAGAACGGCTGGGATCGGGTTGTTCGTGCACGACAACCCAACCAACCCGGTTGACTTGGTTTGGTTTATCCGACCCTTGTCCGGCATTCTTCAAGAACTTCATACAGCTTCTGAGTACTTTCTGGGAGGTGCTCCAACTTTCCGAGCATAGGAACCTCTCTTGCACTTAAGGCATTAAGCCTGCTTACCATGTGCTCGATGTATCGAAGGTCTGGCCTATCAGCACTTCCTGTCCTCCGGAATGTTCATGCCCGGATGGACTTACTGTCAGCCTTTTGTCTAGACGCTTGGCGATCGCCTTCCTAACTTTTGGTCGCAGTTTCCTTAAGACGGATAACGTCTTCGTCCGTGTAATAGCAATCTTCCAGATGTATTAATAAATCTTGTCCTGGGACAACTCGATGCGCTTCGGTTGCACGTGAGGATTCTCTGGGCACTTGTGAAGGTTAGCTGAATGTTGGCGTCGGGCTTCGAGACATGCTTTATGATTGCCTTCGCGGCAGTCACGTCGAGCTCGGTCAGTTCATCCATACCATCCAGAATGACGGCCCTCCGCTCCGTGCCTTCGAAGTTTTGGAAGTGAACAAGCGCTCAAACATCTTGAGGCGATCATCATGATCATGCTCGGCACGCTGGAAACCTCCCAGGACGTGATCCCGATACTTGGTAGCCTTCAGAGGCAGACTGATGTCGATGAGTCGTCACGGAACCTCGTTTCCAGTTTTTCGGCGATACTGAGGGAAATGGTGGACTTTCCATGCCCGCCTGACCAGCGATCCATAACACACGTGTTATCTTCGAGAATATCCTGATAGGACTTTTCGTCCTTGATTCACTCGAACGTTACTTTGACCAAAGCCACTCTCAGGTCGATTTCCTGATCGCGCAGGGAGTTTACGTAGGCTTGACAGTCCAATTTGCCCCTAAGACTGGCGAACGCGGCTGCCTTCTTCGTGCCCGAGCCGAGGTGATTAGGCCCAGGGTTCATGGTGGCAGAGCCTGCCCCTGCTGGGCGCTCATCTTTTCGGCTGATGTTTTCCTGCTCAGATCGCTTGGCGAAGATTTTGAAGTAGCCATTTCCCTCTTTAATCGCTAGAAGGACTTCTTCGCTGAGCTACTTCTTGGCCAGAGCGGCTAATAGAGCTTTGTTGGCTTAATTAATAGGGTCCAGACCCACGCTCATGTCAACTTTGGTCCCCAGCTTGTTTACCGCAGTACCCAGAGTTATTACGTTTTTGGTACAGGACCAACGTCTGCTTAAAGGTGGTCGTCAGGGTCATAGACCCTAAGCGTGACAGGTACTTCTGCAGCACATTGTAGGCTCCTTTCAGCTTGGGATCTTGGTGGTCGACTAGACTCTTGGCCCATTTGGAGAACCGTCCAGCCTTCCTACAGCTTCCGGCGATAGCTGAGATATGGAGGATGGCGGAGAAGACTTTCAGAAGCATAAATATGTAGACCTTCTCAGGGGGAACTTGTCTTCCAGCAACGAAAGTCGCTGGACGAAGCCATGCATGACATCGAAGGCGGACTCAATCATATCGTAATTATCTGAGACGTTTTTGAATGCGTTCCGCACTGGCTGCGTCTGCAACATGCTAGCGATGATGGAGATGATGTCGGCATTCCTAACGAACATAGTTCGGATCTTGTCGACTGAGATAGTGTCAGTGGACAGGCACACCTCGAAGCTCGGACGCATTTTACCTCTGCTCTGGTTGTGCCGATACTTTCTAAACGCCGTCACCTCCTTTTCTTGGTCGTTCTTGATAGCGTCAATACTCCACTGAATCTGTGTTGTGTTGCGCATGCCGAGTCCTGATTCTGACTGGTAATTGTCGAGCGCCTGTCTCCACAGCGCGCCAACATCAGAGGTGTCGCCATCGCAGGTTACCTCCATGGCGGATTCAGCAACGTTCGGCTTGCAACTGCAAATGCTCAACTCACGTAAGAGCCAAAAACCGTTAAGCTCAGTGAGGCTTGCCAGGCTCGGGGATTGCCGGTCGTGAGATATGCGTCATCATGCTGATCCAGTTGCGAAAGATGGAGCGTAGGAATGCCCTCCCAGCAACTTCGGCCCAATCTCATCACCTGGCCCTACTTTGGCCCCCAGTTGCCCCATACCCATGGATCATGTCAGCAACACAAAGTGCACTCACTGCATTAGCCGACTGGGGCCTCCATTCACATCTGCCAATCACCATTGAACTGCTGCTGCGCCTTAGTATCCTTCAGTTGCAAACAACCATTGAATTTTGATGCAACTTTGTCGATATCGTATGTTAGAAACGCTCTCCACCCTAATTGCTCCGATTTTACGACAAGACAGGAGGACACACCAATTGGAAAGCTAAGTCAACACGACAACATCGTTGTATCTATTCAGTGTTACTTACGAGCTAGATGACGACGCTTAGACATCCATTTCAAATTTTGCAACGCAAATTTTAGCAGCAAGGTACATGGTGAGTCCATACGCCTCGCACCGAAGGTGTGAAGGTATTCTAAACCGAAATTTCAGAGTAACATGATTGCTAATATAGGGTACAGTCTCAGACTATCCTCTTGTCTCCACCTTGGATCGAGACTGGGAAATAGGCAGCGAAGAAACCTCGAATAAGTACGCGGTAGTTCCGTTGCTGGGGGAGGGATATACACCGTCCGCGTTTATGAATTGGGTTGAGATTAGTAATACAAACACTGAACCGGCGTTAGGACGTAATTTTACTTACTACGCCTCTTATGTCGGCTTTTACTATGCATTTTTTTTCATCTGCATGCCGAGTCATCATGCGAACGCTCTCATGCAGCTCGGGCTATCAGGTTGGGAATCTCGATTATGTCATTGCAAACTTGAAGCAATTTCACGGTTTACTTCATGGGAGCAAGGAAATAATCGCCTAAAATTGTGTGAAATATTGACCCATACGACATGCCACAACCTTCCATCCTTGTCAAAAAGACGGGATTTGAATCTTCTATATAAGAAGATGGAATAACACCGCAACACAAGTGTCTCGAGAATTTCAAGCGCATTAAACATACCCTGTCCCCAATTACTTTGACAGTTGTACACTCTCATTATGTCGCAGCTCGTGTGGGCGCAAAGTGATTGCCACAGGTCACACACTAGAAGACCCAGCACACCTAGAGCGCGCCGGGGCCGCAATCCCGCAGTTCGACACGGCCGACGGGTAAGAAATTATATGAGGAAAAATGGCAAAGGATATGGGTATCTACGAAAGGATAGGTGAAAAATGCGTCGTACATCGCCACCGGCTCTCGGGAAGACTTTATGTATTTTGCCCCTGAACCCTCCGGAAGTCATTCAGAGTACGAATACTCGCATCAAGACAGGATGCAGATTGGCTTGCGCAACTCAACAAGCATTTGGTCGGCACGATGAAAGTGATTCGGACCCTCCTGCCACCTTTCCGACAGCGAAGCCCCGGGAGGATGGTCTTCAGTAGCTCCCGGTCAGGTTGGATCGGACACGCATTTGATAGTGCCTGGCTCAAGTTTGCACTTGAGGGTAAGAATCGCAACGGCGCCCAAATCTACCTCATAATGATCTGCATACTGAAAACCGTGGTGTCAGGAATCATCGGAGGTCGCTGGAGGGAAACCACGGCTTAGGAATCAAGACTTTGTTGATCAAACCGAGCAGATTCCGCACCAAGCTTCTGTCCAGCGGCAACATGAAGGCTGCCGCTTGCGACATTCCAGATAGTGTAGGGTATAGTTGGTTCAACACTCTACCTCCACATTTGGGTTTGCAATCTGGTTGCGTGGCCATCCAGGCAGACACCAGTGGTGACATGCAGGAAAGATCAATTCTGGGTCAGATAGGTGTGGTGTATTCGTCAAGGTTCTGATTAAAAGGCACACTGCTGGTAGATGTGTAAAAATGACTGAAAGCTACCCCATTGTTATGTACACACCCTGCCGATTCCCTATAAATCTACTACCAGAAGCAAGCGCGCCACCCACAGCAGGGAGCTAGCTGGATTGTGATCCTCGGGCATGCTCGGCGTGGGTTAGGTGTTTAAGCATTGACTGTCGCCTAAATCAATCCTTGGCAAGCAAAACGCAAAAGCCGTTGGTTGGCCGGTGCCTCAAGAACTTGTCCGGCCAATTAGTGTGGTGTGTGTCTAGAACTTGCCAATTCATGCCTGTGTGTGTCAAGTTCCGGGTCTAGCAAGACGACTACAACCTTTCCGGGAGTCTTGCCGGGGATAGCAAGGAAATGATTCGACGTGAATACTCGTGAGACAGGCAGCAATTCCGAATTGAGCCGTCTGCCAGGGTCCTTCCGATTAGCCAATCAATGTCCTCGCGCCCCGCGCCCGCGCGAGGTCCTTCTTCGATGAGATGGCATTGATGAGCAAGACTGGACCACATTCTTGGACCTGCATGGAGGGGTAATAAAGAGAAGGTCGAGGGATTGACGACTCGGACGATTTTCGCCACTACCACGGCGCGGAAACTGATGGTCAGATATTCAGAAGGAAATCATTCAGCGCACTCCCGTCAAGACTTGGATCATCCACTTTGCGACTTATGATACGGGAATAAGAGTCATGGACATATTGAATTGAGGTAAAACAGGAACTATCTAGGTAAATTAGCTACGCTGTAAGAGAAAAAGCCCCTGAGAAAAAAACCAGCCCTGCCACTCAAATTGTCCTCGGCGAGTTTCACAACACCTGGCCATCTGTACAAAAGCTTGCGACAACGTAAATTAGTAGCGATAGACTGTGTTGTAAGGCCCAACTGTTGCACTACGCCGCAGCCCGTCTGTAGGCCGCGGTGCCCTGGACATTCTCCTCACCAACCGTCTTCGCTGCGCCTCTTCTTCCTGCTGCTCTTGCAGCTCTCGGTCGTGCTTCAGCTGACGTCTGCGCTCCCTCTCAACCTCCTCTATGGTGTTTTGGCTCACGTGAAGCGTGCGCATCGCATCGACTATATCTGGCTGCTTTATCGATACCGAGGGGCGACGGTATCGTCGTGCATTCAGTGACTGAGGTGAAACTGGGGCAGCTGGTCGACTTGGCCGGCTTGCGATCGCCTCATTTTGGCGTTCAATCTCGGACTGTATTTTTTGGGAGTGCACTGCCTCTGTCTTTCTGATCTCGTATTTTACTTTGCGCGGTCGGCGTTCCTCGTCAGACAAGCTAGATCCACCCTGAGAGGGGGATCGATGATGGGACTCGTAGTGGCGGCTCGTGCGATGCGATCGGTGAGACTCGTTGACCTCGACTCTTACCGCAGGGCGAGCGGTCTGGACGTATTGTCCCGGTTCAGAATTGTAGATGTGCGCATGTCGGGTCGGAAAGACTGGAACTGCATGGTTGCGCAACGGAGAGCGCGGAGGAGTGATGGGTGACGCAGGTCTGCTACCGACAATGAAATGCTCATTTGCACGTTTCTCGCGGTGGGATAGCTTGCGTTTTATGCCAAATCCTTCGTGTCCATTGCCGTATACGGCAGAATGTCTCTTGCGGGACTCGTTGCCTGAGTGGGAGAGGTCGGATGTAGGTGGCGATGGAGGCATGTAAGACGTCTGAGCGCCCAGGTGATGGTTTGTGATGGGAGGACGCTCGCCAAAAGGATGCTGGAATTCTTTTGTCTTTGTGCATACATGATTGTATGTTGACTTGTTGCAGTGTATGATCCGTTCTGTACTTTTCACACTACCGTCACGGCGGTAGTATGAGTAAAGGTGCTGTTCGCACATGGTTGCCGATGGTAACGCAGATGATCGTTGAAAGCGTGGAGGATCTGGTTGAATAACACGAGGCCTGGGGCGCGAAGATCGAGTGTTGCGTGGGCTACACAAGAAAGGGACTTCGAGAAGTTCGGAGTCTTGCTGTTGCTGGTGAACGGTTGAGTATGCTTCGCGCTTCTGTTTTTTGGAGATGGTGTTGTTGATGATGACCTGCGGTGTAGTAGAGGCCACGGTTGCGTCGTCAGTCTGCAGTGTCGAGAATGAAATAATTGGATTCTTGGCTTGGCTTCAGAGATATGAGTATATTGGCGAAGTGAGGTGTGAGGAAAGGTAGTGGCCGAGGGAGCTTTTATAGGCGTGGGTCAGGAGGAGCCTGGCAAAGCCTTTCAAGTACCACTTAGTAATTGTCGAGAGGAAATTAATTGGTCAGCTAGAGAAGTTTCAAAGACTTGACCGAATGTTTGCTGAATAGGACTTGGAATGGAGTGGGAGCTTGGTTGTTTAAGTATCTGACGGTCGGGGAGAGCTTCAAACAAGCGACTTTCAACTTTTGTGTGGAAGTAGCATGCAGGGAAAACGCGATCTTACGGGCATCCTTGTAGACTTGCCCGATTAGACCAAGGAGGGTGCCTTGGGGCTGGTGGTTCACCCCCCTGCCAGACTAAAGCCAATAGAACGAGTTGCAGCCTGAGGCTGAGTTGTCAGTCTGATCAGTAGTTCGGGAGCAATGGCCTGTAACGGACAGCGGTGCATCAAGAGGAAGAGGTAGCCAAGCTGCGAATTGTAAAATCCAAAGCCCTCGTTGATCTTGCCGCAGTTCTTTTGGCGAACAAAAAATATTGCTTGAAACGGCGACCTTCAGAGGCAGCTCGAGCTCTCATCCTGGCAACCCGACTGAATCAATCTCGTTGACTTCAAAAATAGCATGCTCGGAGGACTTTGGCCCTGACTGGAGCGACCCGCTGGGCGCATGATGAGACAAGCGCCAACACTGGGGTTGAACCAAGCAAAGAACGCAAAACGAGGTATACTGTAGTCGTGACAGGCGCAATACAATGCAAAGCAAAAGAGCACGAGTTCTGCCGAGATGCTATGCGCGATGCTCACTTGAGTCATTGACCGCGCCTTTGCATGTGGCTTTTCGTGCTTCAGGTCGAGCAGTAGTTTAACGTGGCCAATGACCATACCCCACAGAAACCATCTCGGCGAAGCAATCAGCTTCCACCAGCTCCTCCTGACTGATGCCTGGAGCTTTGCCCTCGTGATTCGTGCTCTAGGCAGTTATGGATGCACCCAACCCCCGTCTGGAACAAGTCTGTAAGTACGTCGAGGGTTCTGGACACTGGCTGCATGTAGAATCCGATTGCGTGCCACAACCACAGACTGGCAATGCCTACGACGTCAGCGTCATTTGGGTAAAGACAGGGAGCAGGGGATTAGAAAACGAAACGCGAGGTCTGGATTCCAGGAGTCGCATTCAATGATGCAAACGGCAAACATCTCCACTACTAAGGCTGATAGTGATCGATCTTATTAGGGTAACTTAATCTGTCTCTTTTTGCAGCTGCCTGTGCGGAAATGGATTTTCGCGGTGCAATTGATTTTCACGGTAAGCTCCACCCCTACCATTTACGCTGTCTTGGAGGGTCACTGTCCTAGAATTGAAATGCAGCAGAAATAATACTCGCGCATTACACTTATGTTTACACCTTGTTCGAAGATAGGTTTTTTTCCTATAATTATGACGCTTAAATATTATAGTCATAGAAATATAATATTACGGTTCTATCCGCACTGCTATAAGTCTAATATTATTTCTATACTAGACTAGCTATCGTGATTATCGGACGAAATGACTCTTGCCAAGGCTCGGACTACCTAGGCAACCGATTGCACCCGCAATTCTTGTTCCCTAGCTCGGTAGAGCTAGGTACCTTGAGTCACACGGCTACTTGCAATTGGAAATATGTTCGTTAATTAGCAGTTCAGCTAGCCAAGGTGTCCCTTTGGACACGCAGGATTCAATGCCGAAACTGCCCCACGTCATGAGATGGCAAAACTGCCTCTCTCTTCTCTTGCATTGCGCAAGTGCGAATAGCGGAGCAATCTCAAGTCATACAGACAACGACTGCCCGCCACAACTTGCTTGGCAGTGCGCCCTCTGAAGTCCTTGAAAATTCACAAGTCGCATTCGCAACGTCAGCGATTCTCGGCTGGTCGTGATGTGTCTCTTGGCAAGTGAGGGGCTTTATCAGTGCCCTCTCACTGTCCGAAGCAATTTATCTCGATATCACCTCGTGATGGCCTGGGATCGTGGTGGCGTTGGATCATGAACCTCTCTGTCCCCAAACTCATCGTCAGCAGGAGCCCTTGCGCCAGCTGGTTGTCCCTGCTGGTTGCCAATATATTCATTTGCCGCGGCTGCTTATGGAATCTGCCTTGAAGGCAGGTTGATGAAAAATCCATGTTTTGGGGTGTTACGGGGGAATGTGGAGTGACGGCGAATCGAAGCTCATTTCATCGAAACAGCTTTCAAGGCCATAACATGGCGGGAAACCATCCAGATTCAGCCCTACCCCAGGGTAATCGGACCCAAGGCCAAGGCAGATTTCCAGCATTGTGAGAACTGTGGCGCATTGCCTCGATAAACAATAGTTGGTCCGTGGTGGCGGTGGGTACATTGCAGCACCATTCAAACCCTTGCTATGTTAGAACCTTTGCGGTTAAGCGCCCAGATGTCATTCATTCCAACCGGAGTTCGCCGGGGCGCGTAGGCGCCATAGTTCCCGCGCTTGAACTTCAACCTCACAGGACGACCCGGGACTCCACGTCGTCGTGATAGACGCTGGCCATCAGGTCGATTCAGCGGCCGCACCCTTTCTCATGCAAATTGGAGGACGGATCAAACGAATACAGTTTCACGACTTGACGGCTGGGGCACACTTCCTAGATGCATTGGATTATGCAAACTGCCTCGATGAAAAGCCGGCCCACCCCGGTCAGGAACCGCCTCCGCCACCCAACTGCTTATCAAGAGTTAACATGAACGCCGCGGACTCCTTCCAACTTGCCAGCCGTCAGGGGTTCTGGTTTGGAAGAGAAGATCCTTTTTCAGGTCTTCTCGCCTCTAATGTCATAAGGCGAGTTTCCAAGCATAACCCGTTTCCACCACCAACACCTAGGCTTGGACGTACTACCAGTGCCCGGGTTTCTAATTATATCTCCGTAGGTAAATCTGCTTCCAAAACACCCCGTACATAGGTGGAGTAACCTATAGTAACATCTCCGCGAATAGTCTCAAGCAGCTGGACCGCTGTCTGCGTCATTTTTTTCACTTGCCAACCCGGCACTCATTCGCTAAGTCCCCGTCGAGGTCAGCTGCTGCTCCTTCGGTAGCCACCCCTTCGTCTTGCGTGCTGGGTGTAAGCATATCGCCGTCGTTTACTCGCCTTTTCTGCCTTCGGAATCCACTTGTGACGCGGCGCCCAGGCGAACACGGCGAGAAAATCAACCCACAATAAGAACCCGGCAATACTGTCACCCATACGTTCCAGTCTATCTCTCACAGCTCATCAACGGGGTGTTGAAATAACATCGCGAGTCTTTCCCAGGCTATTTAGAGAGGTCACAGACCAACTTTGGTTTCAAGCATGTCCGCCGCGATCAACCACAGAAGGCTAGTTGGGGAGCACTTAGCTGTGATTACCTACCTGACGGCAAGCTACCCGGGAGATCATCTTCTGTGTTACGAGTTGCATACCAGAGCAGTTCTCCCCCCCTGCTACGGGGACGTGGCAACATCTGGCATGGGTCCATCTCATTGCGTCCATTGCCTAAAGCGATGTGAGAGTCATAGTGTGAGGCACTCCAGACTCAAACGCCAAGCAAGCAATTTTCCACTTCGTTTTCGACGAGGGGGGTATCAAAAACGAAGTGGATCACCGCTTCTGGCAGAGTCTCCTGGTTTCTACCCTTTTTCCAGTGGGTAATGTCGCCCTGCAGGAGTGCCTCTCGCCACCAAAGCAGTCATTGATTCCAGCAGGGACTTCTGGTTGCCTACTCAGCGGGTTAGGCCGGTTCATTATGAGTACAGCTGCTTCTGGACCCGCTCGCATTCGCTTGGCGATTCCCACCGCGAAGACGCCGGCCCTGGAGGTTTCTGCCTTGAGCATCACGAAGCCTGACCTGTCTGCGTCGAAGTCACTCCCTTGCGACCGATCGAGCTTCGAAGGTAGACTTTGAGCGTCTGTCCCTTGATCTGCTCGAGTCGGGTGAATGTGTGGACGACTTTCCCCCCAGTTCCCCCTTTCAACTGCTACCTGTCTGACCGTCACGGCTCGTTTGTTCTCCATCAAGTGTCTCTGTGGCTCGAAGTGCTCCAGGGACATATGGAAAACGTGCCACGAGCCATACAGAAGCGTCAAGGCGACGAGGTCATTCCATGCATCGTACCTCTGTTTAGAAGTGAAGAAAAGCGTGCTCATTTCATCCTGCTAAAATCTCCTTCCAGCCCCTTCTCCTCACATCATGGTCCAAAAATGCTCATAACACCCTCCCCAAAGCCTTCCTCCACGGCCTCATACTCCCGTCGTCTTCTTTCCCCCTCAATGGCACAAGTCGCAACGATCTCCTCAAGCTGTTTCTGCATCACGAAGCCCTTGAAGATGGTCAGATATCCATCACCATGGTTATCCCACCTTTGTCGAACCCCTGATATATCGTAATCATCTGATGTGAGTCCCCATTCTCCAGCTTCAGCGCCTTCTTATCTTCCTTCCCCCACATGACTCTCCCCCGCCCTGTGCCGCTTTCAAACTCCTTTTTGAACCGAACTTGCCGGCCGCGGATATTGGTGTCTGTTTTGGATGGCATCCGTTGATGGAACGTTGCGGTGGCCACCTGATTGCCGGTCGCGTTACCTCGAAGCATTACCATGTGGGGAGTGCCTGCTTCTGGGTCGGCTGATGATTGTGTTATGGTAAATAACGTCTGCGCTCGATCCGGCGTCACAACGCAAATGTTATTTCCACTGCCGGCGAAAAGCAGCTCGTTGGAAATTCCAGCTTTTCGGAGCTGGGCATTGGCACGTCAGATGGCGATACGCCGTGTTGCTGATTCGGCATCATGGGATGAACCCGCTGCAGAGGCGGTGATGGGTATTCATGGACTGATGGTGGCTCGGACTTGGATACGACCGTGGGGTGCCGTAGCCTTGTTGATGATTGTGTACATGAGCCGATACTTGGAGCTAGCAGTGGATATTGATTTTCTTGACCCTGTTGCGGGTGGACGGTCTGTGGACAATGCGAATAGACCGTAGGCGCGTCCAGATACTGCCCTGTTAAACTGTTTTCTGTCATCTTTTGGTGTCTCTCGACTGCGAATCTCCGTCCTTATTTATAGACCTAGTCGCTCAGTGAAAAAGAGCGGCGCCTTTATCTGTAGCTAACGTTTATGTGTACCACGGTAAGGCGAGATCAACAGACTAGCGTATTTAACATTCCTAGGCCGCCGATCAGACTAGAGCGTTTACCACTACAAGTCACTGGAGTCTTTTACCCTAGTTCGGAAAGATTGTGCTATGTGATTGAGCACCGGTATATCGAACCCTCTGAACAGGCGTCCATGGGTACCGTTGCTCGCGCATTACATCATACGAGCAAGTACTTCCATTTGTGCTCATGATAACTGACATCAATACCACTAATTCCAATACGATGATTCGTCCTTCATCATCCCGTTGGCGCCCCTTCCCATCTGGCCAGTCAGCAGAGTTGACTTGCCTCTCTTCAAAAACATTCCATCGCCTTTACACCCTGCCACACCACCATTACCCCGGTCCCATACCAACTTGCCCCTGAGAAATACCCAACGCGGCCAATTGCGCACCTCGATTCCCTCAAAAGGCGTGTAGTCAATCCGATGGTGGAGCATACTGTTAGTAATTGTGATCTTCCCCTTCCTCTTGCCCGCATCCTCCTGACTCCCGCTCACCGGCCCATCCGCCTCTGATCGCGAAACCAGCGGTCCATCTTCAGGGTACCAAATCACGATATCCGCGTCGAACCCCGGCAGCAAACTCCCCTTCCTGCCCCCAAGTCCATACAACTTCGCCGGATTCGTCGACGTCAGCTCCACGAACCTGGGGAGCGAGATCCGGATCCGATCATCCTCGAACCCACCACTCGGGCGCCCCGGGTCAAACGTCCGGTCGAACAACAGCGGAAGCCGGGTTTCCATCCCCGGAAGCCCGTTTGGCACATTGCGGAAGTCCTTACAGACCTTCCCGTTCTCATCCGTCGTCATCCCCTTCATCTTCCCACACGCATGATCATGCATCGCAGGCGCATGGTCCGACGAAACAACGGTGAACGTTCCATTTGCGAGCCCCATCCAGATCTGCTCGAGATCCTTCGGGCTGTGTCGTAGGGGAGGGGCGCAGATACTCTTCGCGCCTTCGAAGTCGTCGGGCCCGGAACGCAGGCGGTGGCTCAGGAGGTAGAGATAGTGGGGGCAGGTTTCTGCATGGATGGGGAGGAGGCGCTGCTGAGCCGAGCTGACGTGTTGCACGGCGACAGGAGAGGACATGTGCACGAGGAGGATGGGGGTGTTTGTCACTTCGGCTAGGCTGATGGCGCGGTAGGTGGCTTCGGATTCGGCGATTTGGGGGCGGGCTATGGAGTGGAAGAAGCTGTCGGTGTTGTTGTGCTTGGCGAGACGTCTAAGGGATGAGAAATTGAGTCAGTGTTGATGAAGTTGTGCACGGGGATGAGTTGTGATGGGGACTTACTTGGTGATGGCTTGGATCATGTCGTTGTTTTCGGCGTGGATCATGGTGGTGATACCCAGACTGCGAGCCCGCATCATGATCTCGAAGATGTCTCCGTCTCCTAGTTTCATGGGTTCATCTATGGAATAGTGGTGTTAATCCTCAAAATCAGGCGTGACGTGGATGCATTGGAGTTTATAGGGGACTGACATGTCATGTAAATCTTGACGCTCGAAATCCCTTCTTTACTGACGAGTTGGGGGAGCTCTTCTTGCAAGACCGACTCCGTTGGGTTGGTGAGGATGACATGAAAACCATAGTCGCAGTACGAGTTGCCCGTGGCTTTCTCATGGTAAGCATGCAGAGCCGGCCAGATGCTCGCTTCCTGCCGATTTTGGGTCGCGAAAGCGATGACGGTGGTGTTTCCGCCGGCAATGGCAGAACGGCTGCCAGTTTCCCACGTATCTCCTGTTGGAGAGTTGTCTTGTTGGATATGAACATGCGAGTCAACACCGCTGTCTAATATTCAGCTACTCGTTCAAGTAAGCCAGGGATCATTTTGCTCACCCCGGGGTTATGTACGCCCCTTCGGCGTCAACAACTTGGGTTTCAGGTCCCGCTTGAAGATGTTTACTGAGGCATCGTATTTTGCCATCTTTGACACCTATCTCAACGCCTGCAGGGAGGATCTCAGCTGCCGTGACCTATACTCATTAGTATTGTGTCGGAGGGCAAGATCATCCGCAACGCTTACAATTCGCCCATTTCTGATAATGACGTCAAGGTCGTCCATATCTTGACGTGCTTCCATCATGTTATTGTCCGATGTAATTATTGCTGTACGAAGCCATTAAAAATACCGTGGCGGTAGAAATCAGTCACATCCTTCTTGTGAGGAGGATCGGAGGATGCCGATGTGCTGCGCCATGCTATCTCGAAATTGGCGGGGTTTCCAGACCGGAGGCGTTATCTTTCTCGGAGCCGTAGCCGGCTGAGTGGGGACGAAGCTGGCATCGCAGACATCGTGCGCCGTCGGAGTCTAACAAATGATTTTATGCATGAGCTTGTTGCTTTTTACTGACATATCATAAGGAGCCAGTCGGGTTTTCGGCACATGTCTAAGTTCTACCTCTGATCGCTGAGACTTCAAATAAAAACAATATGCCACCCAAGCCGGAACCTAGACTGCTGACAGTGGCCGCAGCGCAGCTTGGGCCAAACCAGAAAGCCACTCCGAGAGCTGAGATATTGGATCGTATGCTCAAACTCGTGGACGAAGCAGCCGCCGCGGGTGTCAAACTCATCGCATTCCCCGAACTCGCACTCACAACTTTCTTCCCCACTCAGCTGATGTCAAACCCAGATGAGATCGCGAGCTACTTCGAGCCCGCTTCACCCGCAGATCCCTATGGCGTGTTGTCCACACCCCATGCAAAGCCACTGGTTGACAAGGCCAACTCTCTCGGAATAGATTTCTACTTGGGCTATGCAGAGCGGTGGACTGCGGATGGCAAGACGACGGATTACAATGCCACGCTGTACTATTCTTCTAGTGCGAAGAAGGCCATCGCCAAGTACCGAAAAGTGCATCTGCCCGGGACGAAGGAGCCGATTGATGGGCCTGAGGTCTTTCAGCAGCTGGAGAAGAGGTACTTTACCCCTGGTAATCTCGGGTTCGAGGCCTTTCGCGCACCGGGATTAGTAGAAGGTGCACTCAAGGCCGAGGACGTATCTGAGGAGAAACTCACGGCCATCGATGGCAAGGGAGATCCTATTCTGGGCATGCTGATTTGCAACGATCGCCGATGGCCGGAGGCATGGCGTCCGTACGGACTTCAGGTGTGTGATACCAGCACTACCCCCACAATCCTCGTTCGTCAAACTGATAGCATTGCAGGGTGTCGAATTAGTCATCGAAGGCTACAACACCACCGCCTGGGCTCCCCAGCACTCTGGTACCCCGGAGGAGCAACAAGCCCTTGCCGAGTTCCACCACAAGCTCTCGTGCCAGGCGGGGAGCTACCAGAACGCCTGTTGGTCCCTCCACGTCGCCAAATGCGGAGTTGAGGATGGCATCGGGATGATTGCCGGGAGCATGATCGTGGATCCGAATGGGAGAGTTGTGGCAGAGTCCAAGACTATGGGAGATGAGCTTGTCGTGGCGACTATCGACTTGGCTATGTGTCGGTCCCAGAAAGAGAGGGTGTTTAACTTTGAGAGGCATAGACGGGTTGAGAACTATGGCATTATACTGGCGCAGGTGGGGGCGAAGGAGATCCCGTTGTTGAGTCGGGCATGAACGGATTGCCAATACCTTGCGTAGCTAGGGTGGATGTGGCTTCTATGATTTTCGTTGTTTAAGATGCCCATTTCCGGCTGCAACGAAAGTTACGTATGTGCCTTGCCTTATCAAGTGTTTTCAGTTTGATCCAGAACCGCCAGCAATTGTATTTTTCACTGGTTTTCCGTGTCTTTGTTGTTTCTTGAATTTGCATAGGGCAGAGTATTGTTATGTTTCTAAAAGTCTGCTTGATTTTGCCACCTACGTGTTGAACAAAGTCTTCCACAATATTGGGGGCTTTGGGAGCAAAGGCTACATCGGCTTTCTATAATCAAGTTTTCATGAACCAATCTGCATAGTCCGGCGAAATGCTAGAGCCTGTCCTCCAATTGTTTACACTTTGAACTAACGTACCCCACGGTCCAATTGAACACTTCTTAAGACCTCGTACAATAAGATATAAGTTAATTCAACTATAACGTAAAAAAATAATTAAAACTACTCGGAACTATCTTCTTTAGATATCTCTTTACTATTCTGATAAGTACGCATATTATGACCGGGCTCTCCGCACGTCCTACAGCGTTGCTGAAGTATCTCTGGCCTCCTCGTACGACTATGACTCCAGCGCGATTTATTATGTAACTCTCCGTTAACTAGCTTCTGAGACTGTAAATCTTCTCCAGCTTGTATACGAAGTGATCCTCCATACTGTAAACGTTTTTTTCTCGTATAACGCCGCCGGCTAAGTGTCTCATTTGCCTTTCGAAGCGCGGCGTTCTCACCCTCTAAAAGAGCAAGCCGGTGCATAACCTGCGTCGTACCCTTCGCAAACTGGTCAAGTGCAGTAAGTGTAGCTGTCGGAGAGCTACTTTGATGTCGTATAAGTCGGTTTTTCACGTATTCGGTCTGGGATTGTGCCTCAATTGGGTTATTTGGGGTCTTCGACTCTCAGATAATAGGAAGGCCAGACGAGGTACCCGGAGGTGTTGGAGTATGTAACTTCACATCTAACTGCGAAATCACATATTCCGGATCGTACGGTACGAGTTCTGCCCCTCGGAAACCTCCCTGGATATTTGATATCGTAAAAGTTGCCTGGAACGCTTTTAAGAACGCGGGGAGGAAGTCCTCCTTCGAGATATGGGTAATATGTGCCCGCATAAGATCCTCAATTTCTTTACCGTACGCTCTTTTCAGTGCACGAAAACAGCCGATATTGAGAGGTTGGAGCTTATGCGACGAATGAGCAGGCATACGGAGTGTGATAATAGAGTTCTCTTTACAGTAAAGCTCGAAAGCGGTCGAGTGGTAGCTCTCGTGGCCGTCGAGAATTAAGAGGCGATAAAGACCTTTCGTATGAAGCTTTGTATGTTGATCTAAATGTCGAATCCAGTCCTCGCCTCTTTCATTTGTAGTCCAGCCATTTTTCGTAACCGCGATAACCCAATCCTTTGGTAGTAGGCTATTTTCGTACCACGAAGATAGATGAGTTTTACCAGCAAAGATGATATACGGAGGGATAGTATAGCCGTCCGATCCGACGCCCTGGATAACTGTAACCCATTCCCTATTCCCTTGCTGTACTGCTCTAGGTCTTCCACGTCGATCAGAGGTCGTTACAACTATCTCGGATGAGATTTGACCCATAAGAAACCCAGTCTCGTCAAAATTATAGATATCCTCCTCTTGAATTCCATACTTATTAATTGTATTCCGTACGAGATAAAACCACGCGCGGTACGCGTCGGGATCTTCGCAGAGGACTCTCTGGTAGTCGATTCTTCGATTAAAACGCGTCCGAGGTCTGGTTGTCGTCGTACGAAGCTCGAAGCCCAGTTAATACCGACGCGTCCTGCGTCGCGTTGGTGGAGTAGTCGATTCGCCATATCTTCAACACTACTTATTCGAGGAGGAAATGATCGTGAATCTAGGTCTACTATGTAGCGTACGATCGCGTCTTCTTCGGAATAGGTAAGCTTTTGCGTTGGTGATCGTATATCCTGTCGTGAAGTACCGCCGCGATATCGGTGACGTAAGGTTGTATGAGGGATATTATAGATCCGTGCTACGGATCGTACACTTGGTTTGGGGTTATTTTGAAGCGCTTGAAGCGCTAATTGAATATCGTTTTCTTCCCAATTACGTGCCATTGTAGAAGGTGGAAAATAAGGGATAAAACCTAGGTTGTACGGAAATGCGCGAAAGTGTTCAATTGGACCGTGGGGTACGTTATACAGGCATAGAGTAGCTGCAGGACCGCACATGACCGAAACCCCGACGCCTGAATCCAATAATTCAAATATCTCTCATGGTTGGTACAACGTCACTCCACCGTCTAGTGGACGATCATATAAGCCGCCGCACCCGCGTCCTGGAATCATCCACAAATCAATAAACCAGATGGTGTTATTACCATTAGAATGGTATGGAATCTCGGCAAGTTCAATGCAAAGTTCAACATACAGTGGCCCGGCAAATTCTGTTGCACATTCAAGCCTTTAGTCTCTCCTGGGAATATTCGACGCCGCGCAAGCCATGTGCGCCAAGAGTTGAAATTGCTTCGAATTGATGATTTTCCAATTTCGGGAAGTGGAGAGATATTTGCGTGTTGGCAAAATCGACACCATTGTGAACAAACTGAAGGAATCCATAAGATGCAACGATCACTTAAGTGAGAAAGTGAAGGACGGTTCCCCCACATCCGGGAAGTGGTGAGTTTTGCCGTTGTGATTGAGATCGTCGATGTTGCCAATTAATCGCGAACTTTGGGGTTCCCTGTTCTTGAATGAATGAAACTCACAAGTCCAATAGGCCACTTAATTAAGTAAGCAAGTAGGGTTACTCGGGTTAGAATGGCCGGCTACTTGACTATTCTTTGGCGCATCGATAGGCAGGAGTGCAAATGAACAGTGTATGGGTGAGATAGCAGGTCGTGTATATACACTCGCTCCCAATGTTGGACGCCTATAGCGCTAGCTAGTTTGTGTCTCTATTTTGGTCCCATGTGCCGCAAGGCATCAACATGACTAGGGTACCCACGAAAAACTGCTTGCTAACCTTGCGGGAAAAGCACACAGACAGAGATTTAGTTTTAAGCATGGACATAGGGGTGGAGTGTTATGCAGCACACATCTGCATGACTTATAACTGTCGTTCCACCATCAACCGCGTTAAGAATGACACAACGGCCCTCAGGTGGCAGCTAGGGCCCCATCGACAGCCACCTGCCCAACTCTTCATAGAGAGTCAAGCTGTAGTAACATCATAATCACGCCATTAATCTTACTGGGGTTGCAGCAGGGCAAAATGGGTCAAAAGTTAGGGAACCTGCTTGTCCAATACGAAAATCAATAGCGCTCACATGGCTGATATCTATCTATAATTCCACGTTATTCGTGTACCGTCCACCCACCCGTGATGCAGTGTACGAACCCATCCTCATCGAGTCCACATCACACAATTAGGTGCACGAGCCCTTGACGTCATCAACCGAGGCCTATTCCAGATACGTTAGTAATGCTGTCAACAATCAGAATATGGGTGTAAAACACGTACGTAGCAGGTTCCGACTCCGTCGGCGCAGGCGTAGCCCGCCTTGGCTACCTCCTGGCAGGCAGATTGCCATTGGTCTCCGGCAATGTTGGAGCCCGAGTCGGCGACACACTAAAAACATGGTTAGCACCTATGAATGCTTTGCTGGGAAGGGGAAGCATCAAACTTACTTCGCTTGACGCCTCGTCATAGGTGGCAGTGCCCCACTATGGTTGAAGTTCAGTTAGCCTACAAGTTCTCATGTCGAGAAAGAGGGGAGGATCCCCAGTGGTTTGCCATATCTGTGGGGGTTGGGAAGGTGGCCCTGTAGCATTCATCACCAATGTGCGTGCGTACCTGGTAAGCAGCCGCTGTGTAGGCGGTCTGCAATGGACGGATTAGCATTTGCAAGTCTCGGAGAATTCTTGGAATAGCTGCAGAGATGGAAGGATGCAACTAATCGATCAGGGTAAAGACTTACACATGCGTCCGTTGTGATGCGTGCGATGGCACTGTCACCGTTCATGCTATAACGCAGGAATTAACAACTGGCTCTATGGTGCACATAGGCTCCTCAAGGAGCGGTCGGGAACAACGAACCATGTGCATTGGCTGTGAAGGTCACCGAGCACGGAGCCGGCGAAGAGGGCCAAGGCCGAGAGGGTGATGCTGACGGAGAACTGCATTGTGAGGAGATGTGTATATTTTGGGCGGTTGAATTGTGGAGTGAACGACAAGGTCAAATGAATGGACAATTGTATACACAACTTGGTTTTATTTGGAAAGAACGACTAGAAGCTGGATTGGTGGTGATGGTGTAGGAGCCCTTTCTTCCTTCACGCTTCCACGGAGCATTTATATCAGATGGCGGCAGAACGGCAGTCGTGAAAGCCCCTGTCAGGATCGCGGCCGAAAGCGCGAGTCAAGACCCCTGTCAGGCTCCAGGAGCCTCATGGCTGCTCAGCCCAGCAATGGCAATCTAAAGAGGAGCATTCGTCTCAAGGCATAACACGCCAACCCACTTGCCGGGAACGGTGGAACGGTGGGGTAGAGGGGGGTTCCTTCGAACCTAATTAGTACAACGCCTTACGCCCCATTGTTACTGTTCCTGCATTTCCATCATTGGCGCATTTCTCGGCGTGTCCCAGCTGAGCAGGTAGACATTGGACGCAACAAGGAAACCCTTCGTCGTAACGGCCCATCCAGTTTCGCGTATCCCAAAATGGTATGTGACATAGTAGTTCTTCCCCGCAACAATCAAGTTCGATAGCATCTGTCGATGGGGAACGAGTCATGGGGTTCTTTGGACGAAACGAAGCTGCCCGGGGATAGTTTGCATGTCGCACATCATCCCAGCGTCATCGGTCGGAATAGCCGCCGGGAATCGAATACAGCACGCGCTTTTCTTGAACCGCCCATAGAATAGATTAATGCGAAGATGAGAAGGACTGTTGTTTGGCCCTGGTTCAGGTGAAGATGACTCGGCCAAGTGACGGTGATTCATTGCCATTCCATAACTTACGACTTGCCACTCGCGACTCACATCTCGTTGCCCGACTGCTGTTCTATTTTAGTCCTACCTGGGCTCGGTCTCAACTCGCATGAAATCCTTGTTAGACATACTTTGTGGTTCTAAAGTGATCGGCAGTCGGTACCGACTCCACGGAGGGCATTGACAAGCACTGGGACGAATGATCCCAATGGTCAGGAGCAGTTCCATCGAGATATTTCTAAAACCCAACTTTGCATGGCAGCGCCATAAGTTGCGATTAATCCATGAAATAGGGACAATTATAGAATCCGAGTAACCGAAGAGATCCACAAGGCAGGTCCCAAGGGCTGACTATTCCCACTAGAATCAACCGTCCATGGGGCGGATCAGGGGTCACCGATGTTTAGAGGTCAGGCCCCTGAATTTACGCTAATGAAACATGGAGCCCTACCTGACTCGATCCCGCAACGGTCGACGGGGGTACTATTTCCATCTTGGAATCGCGAAGAGCAGAGCAGAGTCTCATCATGAATATATAGAGATGTTGGTTTACTCCAACAAGTGGTTCCAGCTCTTCAGCCAACGCTTCCCAACCACAGTCATTCATTCAATCCAACCAAGGCACAATCATTCACTTCAGTCATTCATTTTTGCCGAAGTACCATCATCACCAACCGCTTCCACCTCAACCCGCCCAAATAAATAATCCACCATGCAACTCACCCATCTCACCGGATTTCTCGCCGCCGTCGGTGTGGCCGTAGCCCTGCCCTCGCCCGCAGCCCCCCTTAGCTTCGACGATGTCGTCCTCATCAACGCCGATGGCTCGTCTAACGTGATCAAGGAGTCCGAGTACAACTCTCTCATCGCTCGTGGTATCCTCGAGAGCCCTGCTGCGGCGGCTGCCGCCCCGGCCCCCGCCAAGAAGGAGCGCCGTGCATGCGCCTCGTCGGCCGAGACCCAAGTCACCTCCGACACCAGCTTCATCAACTGGGACGTCGCCATGAGCCCCGTTGTCTCCGCTGCCGGTGGTGGCGTCTCCGTCGGTGTCACCTCCGGATACAGTATCGCCAACAGTCTGAGTGTCAGTGAGACCGTCGGCGCCAGCATCGAGAGTGTGCTCTCCGTTTCGCTCTCTTTGTCTTACACCGAGACCTGGACCACCAGCGAGTCCACCAGTTTGACGTGAGTTTCCTTCCCTCCCCTGGCTTCGACCTTTGAAAAAGAAAGACGTGTCTGACTCTGGTTACAACAGCTATACCGTTCCCGATGGTCAGTACGGCCTGATTGTCAGCCAGCCTAAAGTGAGACGCATCGAAGGCGTAAGTCAAATGCTCAAACCTTGCAAAGCTTCACAGCGACAATGATTAACACGGATACTACAGAACTACCTTTCCGGTTGCACCGACTCCCCCAGCTCCGAGGCCTTCGTCTCAGACACATACACCAGCCAGGTAAGCATCGTTCACCTCATACTATCGCAGGAGCATACACTAACCAAACGGCGAAATTTAGAGCTACGGCAACCTACAGTGGGTCACTGGTGTCATTCGTCTTTGCAACAGCACCGAGTACCCCGTTCCTTTGTAGGTGCTCCCCGACTTACCATCATCAAGGCATTCAATACTAATATTTACTCGCAGCTGTGTCGGAACTGGTAGCCACTCTTAGAGTCTCCCAGCACGTGTGCAAACAAATCGACCAAACTGCGGTTGGATTGCGCATTATGGGCCTCGAATAGTAATCCCGGGGACGGGTCAAGGAGGCAAACTGTTTACGATATGATATGGTCAAAGACATAGCTCGTCATCGAGTTCAAGGGGCGTTGGAGTATCATGATGTTTATCGAGTTAAAATTGCGAACGAGTTTTTTTTCGTGCCGTTGGCACACTGCATTCTTCGATTTTTTCTGTTTGGCTTCCACATGTGAATGGCAGAGGGATCCTCGCCCTTACGACTTTACCGAAGCTATTTCGGAAATAGGACACCCCACTGAGACTCATGGTTTATATGGGATTGATGTGCTACTAGGGGAAAGAAACCCTGCTGCAGAAGTGGTATGGTCGACTTGAGCCAGGCCAAGTGCCGCAGGGAACTGACAAACTCTGTGGATGAGGATTGATGCAACTTTTCTGAGCTCAAACACGCAATAGTTTCATAGAATTACGTTGAATTTATTATGAAGTGGCGTTTTCAGTGTATAAAGGTATTCGATACAGTCTTCGGTATTTTCCATCATTTGTCATCCACTTCGGCTCCTATTATCGGCTAGAAAACAGCAAACAGCCCGATTCATGAGCTATTAATTGGGCAAAAGTATGTTATCTCAAAGCATTACCTCGGCAGCTATAATACTATTATTTTCAAAGGATAATCCGGCTGTTCGCGGCCCTCTGAATCAAGTAAAAGACTCGAGAATATCAGTCTAAATGCTGTATATCATTGTCCTGCCATACCCCGGTTGACCACCTCTCAGCCGAATGTGGAATATATAAGCTCCGACATCAGCTTCCTCTGTGCATCCATCAAGCACACACTGCCACCAGACACCCGCAGCTTAACGTGCGGTATATTACCCGCCTCCCCATTCCCGATACCGGCAGCCTCCTGCAACCCAATCTTGTGCGTCTTCCCCATGTAATCCACCAAAGTCCATCCTTACATATCCTACTTCAGCTCCGCATCCTGCACCGTGACATGACTCGGTGCACGCACCCCTCCATGCGAAGCCGTCCCCAACGACAGCGGCGACACCACCTTTGCCGCCTCACCATTACTCTTCCACTACCTTATCTGCCGGTCAACAACTGCGCAAACGTATCCGCCCCCTTCTCCGGCTGTCCCTCATCGTCCGTCTCAGTATACTGCGACGCAAACGCAATGAACACCGCCTCCCAATGCCCATCCGGGTACTTCAACATGAACGATCCATCCTGGTAGATACCGTTCTCCTTCGTCCACGACGCTTCTCCATAGTTTCCCTGATTCATGTGAATATCGTGAATCCCATCAGGGGTCGGACTGTACTGCTCGCCCCAAAGGTACACAGTTGCTTTGGCGTCAACGGCTCTAGAGAATATATCCGTCAGTTTGTCGACGATATCGTTGTCTGCGCCGTCAACGTTAGTCGAGAGGACTGTGCCCTGCTTAAGATCGACGAGATTGCCGCGGAGGAGGTCCAAGGCAAATCCGTTAGGACCTTGGTCGGAGCCGGTGATGGCGTGAAAGCCCTTTGCGAGGTCCTGGAGTTTGGCGGTGATGGGGTGCTGGAAGGATATGTTGCTCCAGTAGACGAGTTGTGTGTCCGAGCTGAGAGATTTCACATTGATGGCGGCGGAGAGACGTTTGTACTTGCCCAGCCCGTCATCAAAGATCAGGCTACCGTGGGGGCTTTTGCCGGTGCGTTCGGAGGTGAAGGCGGTTGGGGTGGCTACCCAGATGCCATAGGCGTGTTCGAGAGGCATGGCTAGTATAATACAGCGTAATGTGAGGACAGGTAGATGCAGATTTGTGTGGAATGATTTTGCGGGACTGTGAGAAAGCAAGATAGAATAAAGATCAGCAAGGAAAACATGTCTGCACAGCATACACGGATCCTTTAATATAAGCCATGCTTATACAAGAGAGAAGGGGTACAAACAGGGAAACTAAGAATATGCAAGACGTGACAGAAAGCTTGTTTCAAGTCCTACTACCAGAGTCGAAACATGTGCATTGGTTGCCGTCACTCGGTTACACTGTAGCACATGTGGACCCCCAGTTCTGGATCCCTGACGCAGATTTGTCTGGCTTGTGACCCAATGGAATCAGTAGTTGAATCATCATGTTGATAACAACCCTTCGGCTAGCGACTGCCCTAGACAGGCTCGGGGGTAGGGTGCCACTCTGCCGCGCGTACGACAGTAGTTTGCGGAGCTCTTGAACAAGGCCTCCCGGAATCCCCAAGTCGTCAGCTTTCGACAATACGTCATTTAAATAGCAAACGGATTGTAGCATAGGCAACTCAAACCAGGTGTAATAGTGCGGGAACATCCGATTTCCCATCGTGCAGCCAGGCATAAATGTTGATAACTTGATAGTTGTCTTATAACTGTACTTTCTCTCTGGTCAACTTCTCCCTGGTTTACATGTCATTTGCAAAGTATGGTATTGTCTCCCAGTCCCGAACTACATGAGTACACACAGCATGCAACCTCGTCTTGGCGATGCGGAACCCTGTGTCCCGAGACTCAGGTTCCCTGACTCTCCAGCTTCGACTGGACACACCATCACATGCATCCCTTCCGCTATTCAGCTATCACATAGATTAAGTAGCTGACCAACGGTTTTATTGGCTCACAATTATACCAAGCCGGCCATGAGGGCTACCCAGGTTAAAGGTCTCAATAGCGACAAAGGATGCATCGATACTCAAGAATACCAATCGTGAACCATACACCTCAACAAAACTACATGTATTATGCGTACAGCTTGTATCTAGACCGTTCCACGAATCCATACACCACTTCCAATAAACCCTGGTCGTGGCGCCAACCCACAGCCAGCGTTACCAGGCATCGCTTGATGGCGACCGTAATGGCATACCGAAACCCGGCTTGAATCATAAAACAAGCTCATGCTGTAATTACTTATTTATCCTGTCAACCACTAGGGATCCCAGTTCAAGTTTGCGGCAAGTTCATCTGGTCACATTAGAGTGTCATGCAGCCAAGCATGCCGAGACCACTTGCATCGAGAGGGTAGCATCGAACTTCTATTTCCGATCTGAATGTCATGTAGGGAGATTCAGTGCGTAAAACCTGACATTTCCATTCTTTCCATTGGTATATACTAATCAACCCTACTGTCCATGTGGTTATTGCAACCCTAGCTTTCCCCCAAGCAAATCTATGATCGAATGCCCTGACCCCCCATAACCCATATGCCTTACCTACCTCCAGTCTTTTTTCTCCTGTCCCTTAATTCCCATATCCCTCATCGCACTTTTCACAATTCCCACCGCCTCCGCGACAACATCGTCGCCGCGCCTCCACGTATACAGCGCCACGCCCTCCTTGTCCAGCGTGTCCTGCGCCCTCTCCAGCCTGAGCCGCCACAGGTCCAACTTCTTGTTCACCGGCGCTTGGTTGGGGCTGTTTCTGCCGGATGCCGTATTGGAGTTCCAGGTCGTATTTTGCGATTTGGATGAAGTAGGTGGCAAGGGCTCCCAGTCAACCTCCGAGTTGGCCGTACTCCGCTGCTTGGCCGCCGCCAGGCGCGGACTTAATGACCTGCTACTGGAAGGTGTGCCGCGGCGACGAGGTGGGGGAGGTGGGGGCGCATGTGTCTTTGAGGAAAACGAGTTCGAGGACGAGGAAGTTATCGAGCTGCGTTGGTCGTTGTTTCTTGGTTGATCGAAGCTCTGTTGACTAACATCAAACGTGGACTCCCGAGACAAGGTGTGCGTCTGTGCAAGAGGGTGAGAAGCAGAAGCTCTCGCTGCCTGTCCACTCGATACAAGGGGCTTGCGAGGTTGTGGTGGAGGTGGTGGTTTCTTGAGGTCAGTGGTATTTCCAGATTCCAAAGACTTGCCCGTGGGGATGGCTGGCGAGCTCTTCAAAGATATCGGCTTGGCTGGCCGTGGTGGTGGTGGTTTTCGAATTGGCTGATTATGGTTCGATGCCGACAGAGCCCGAGGATCACCTGGGCTGATCGTCTCGGGCTCCTCAGATAAGTTGATCAGATCTCCCGTCGCAGTGTTGTCTGCTTCGGGAGGTTCCGTCAACATTCGAGCCGGCATTGCCGATCTGCTCGACCCATCATCACCGGAGCCGCCCCTGGACCTCTGATCAATTCGAACGCTCGGGGCCTTCCCCTTATTCCGACCATTGCCAGTGTCAAACGCCGAGTCAAAATAGCCAGTTTGCTCTGGCGTAGTGACGTCGCGTATGAAGATGGCGATGATGCGGCCTGGATTAGAGACGGCAATTTCAGTGTAGACTTCTAGATCCGCTTCGCCGCTATCTCCGACTAAGAGAAACTTCCTGTCTGGGAAATCCATCATGATCTTCTCCAGTGTACCCTTCTTCCTTTCTGCGACAGGCTCGAAGATACCCTGAAGCATACCGCTATACTTCTTGAGATGTATCGATCCTGGGGGCAACCCGGCGAGCTTGAAATAGCTCGCAATGACGGGAAACAGTTGCCAAGGGCTGTTTGAGCAGTAGTGCAAGCACACGCCTAAGTCATGCAATGTACTGTACCATTCTTGCACACCATCTACTGTCAGGTCGCTAAGATCGCGGATGAAGGTGTTGCGAAAAATTTCCTTTGCCCCGAGACTGATATTGGAATGCTTGATTGTATCGTCAATGTCGCTGATCAGACTTACACCCTTAGGCTCGATGATCTGCACAGGTTCCGTCACCGAGAGGTCCTCGTTGGCCAGAACGCGCACATGCGTTGGGACGAAATCTAGAGCTGCTCTCATGATAAAATGGCCAGAATCGTTCGTTTCGATGGTTCGCGACTGGGATTGAGTGTCGTTATAGAAAAAGAAAGTGACAGACCTCTCCACAAGAGGCGTTGTCAAAAATGGTCCTAGCCGAGCCATGAGGTTTGCGTTCGCAACCGCCAACTCGGCGTCGCTGAGCTCCCCTGATACCGTGCTCGTCCTACCTATGCTAGGGGTTGGGGAGCCCGGCGCCGAAGCGAGAGTGGAAGTAACGCTACCGCTTCTGGGATACAGGAAACGGTCGTCTCCCTCCTCTTCGGAATCCAATTGCTTGGGAGCTTCGCTGTATCCTCCGACCTGGGCAGCTTCTTTCTCGGCCTGGCCCCTACGCTCTATTTCTTTCGCCTTCTTCGTAATTCTCATATGCTCTCTTTCCTCTTCGTGTTGCCGATGTATCGCACCCAGAGATGGTTCCGGATCCTGTTGCTGAGCTCGAGGCGCAGGGATCCCGCTAAGTTGTCTCGCCAATCCAATCAGAACTCTATTCCTTCTCGTCATCGGCCCCTTATGTGGATTGTAAATCCAGCCTCGCACATCAACATCGACGATGGCCTTCTCATCCTCGTGCCGCGCCCACTCCTGACTCCAATATTCTTGCTCGTTCATGTCCATACTTGCCGGGTGAGGTGGGCCGCCGGGATTCGCATACTGACGTTGCGAGTTCTTGACATGTCTCTTTGCGTATGACGGGAAAAGCACCATCTGTTCGTTGCCCCGCGTGACAATGGCGACATCAGGGAAGGAGCCGGGTATCGTCATTTTGATTGATTCGGGGGTGTCGATCTGCCCTGACCTGGTTTGGTTATATGACTCCTTGATCTCGCTCATAGCCGATGCTCCGGCACTGTATACCCTGCCCGCCACCGCGGCCAACCTCTTTCTCCGTGCGCCTCGTTCCCTTCCTCCGTCTGAGCCGTAGCCCCCATTCCCACCAACGCCATAGCCGGATCCATTACCTGGTAGGTACGATGCCATACTGTTCTTACTTCCAGCTGTGATGGCCTTGGTCGCATCCCTCTTCCGCTGAGTCTTTGGAAATGCGAGCTTGGGCGGCCCGAGCAGCAGGCGTCGTGCCTGATCGACGAGCCGCGACTGCTCGCGACGTCGGCGCTGACGCTCGAGGATGAAGCGATAGATGCGACTCTGCAGGCTATGCTTGTAATATGGAAGAGTGTCAAGGTGGAAGCCTATGAGGCGCTCACGGTAACGGTCTCGGATCGAGCGCGGGAAGAGAAAGCGCAGAAGCGAAAGCTTGTTGTGGGGGCGTAGATGAGGAGGGAGGATTCGGCGAGGGGGAGCCAGTTTCGCGAGTCGATTCGATGCAACCAACAGGCAGAAGGTTGGTCCTCGTATTTGCGCACAAAGACCGGCTACGTAATGTCGAAATATCGGCGCGGTGTCGGTAACTTAGAGAGGTAGTACTGGACATTTGAGTCTTTCAACTATTTCGAGGCAATGGTGAGGCGGCCGCCGGTTTTGTTCTTGTTGGAAAGGTGATTGTCGGGGCTTGTCCTGTCGTGGACTTGTATTAAAGGAATCTCGATGTTAGTTGCAGACGATGCAGCGCGAACAAAAACTAGTTTGAATGAAATCGGCGTCAGATTTAGGGCAGCAATATCGAATAGCTCGCGTTTACTACGGGTGCTCAATTCCAAGGTTGAAGCTCGTGCTGCCGAGATCAACCCTGCTGTGTGGAGCCAAGCCGAGCTCCGGCGGGAATCATGATGGTGACATCAGGCGGGCAGGCACTAGGCTGGTCAGGGGTTCATTGGCGCTGATCTGCAATGACGCGACGCTTGCGTTCCCACATGTAAACCGTATTTGATATTACACTTTTGGGAGCCAAGGGAACGGTATTTTTATCTGAATGCCTAAATCATGGTACATCCCGCCAGTTTCGCATGCCGAATGAGAATGTTCGTCGGGTATAAGTATTCGTAGATACAATGGTGTGTCAAATTCTATCTTCTCCTAGGTTTTCCTGTCGGTTTGCCAGCTGGCTTCCCAGCTGTTTTCTTCGACTTGGCTTTTTTCAAGTTCAGAACAGCACCTTTTCCGGCTCGTTCCTCCGCGCCCTTCTTCCAGGAGCGACCTTCCGTTCGTACAGTATGAGCATCGAGCTTCTTCTTGTCCTTGTTGGATAACTTGCCGCCGCCCTTCTTCTTCAGGCCGTCCCGGAGCCCATTCAATTCACTGCGGCCAGCGTCGGCCGCCTTCTTCTTGTCATGCTGCGTCTCGAACCACGTTCTCTTGGGACGGCCTTTGATCTCATCCTCGTGCAGCACCAGGTTCTCGCCCTTCCTGATTTGCATCTCCACATTCGCGAGTTGCTTTTCCTCCTTCTCTTCGCGCGTGATATCGTCGATCTCATCTTCCATCTCATCAATCTTCGCCTGCCACATGTCCGCTTCTACGGAGTCAATCACAAGACTGCTGATTTTGGCCCCCTGAGCCTTTGCGGCCTTGACTGCGGCCTTCACGACTTTGCGGTCTGGTTCTGCGGCCAATGTGACTGCCACACCAGATCGACCAGCTCTTGCGGTACGTCCCACACGATGCACATAAATCTCGACGTTCTGTGGGGCTTCGTAGTTGATGACTGTGTCTATTCCTTTGATGTCGAGACCTCTGGAAGCGAGATCAGTCGCTAGCAAGTAGGAGACCTTGCCATCTCGGAATGCTTCGACGCTCGATATGCGCTAAGGCTGTTAGTTAAACTCAGACTTTAAAAGTGGGATTTACTTACCATGGCTTGGTTCATGCTGCCGTGAAGCTCCGCGCATGACATTCCTAGCAAGCCAAAGATAATTCGCGCGCGATGCGCCTCTTTCTTCTGTCGGAAGAAGATAATTACTCTCTCTGTGTGTGTGGTTTTGCAAAGATGTACCAGGTAGCCCATCCTCTTCTCCTCACGTCCTGGCCGTAATCGCACAAACTTCTGCTCCAGCTTTTGAACCGTTCTGTTTTGCGAATCAACCATCATGCGTACAGGCTTGTTTAAGCCAACGCGAATAAGACGGTCAACCGTCGAAGTCATGGTAGCGGAGAACAGCATGGTCTGTCGTGCCTTTGGTAGGGTGGTTAAAACTTCGTTCAGCTCATCGGCGAATCCATCTTCCAACATGCGATCAGCTTCATCCAGAACAAGGATCTCGACCGTTTCCACATTGAAACTAGCAGAGTTGCGCATGTGATCAATGAAACGACCGGGTGTCGCAATCACGACATCTGGCCTGAGGCGCAGCTCTGCTTCTTGCATCTTCAGACTCAAGCCACCAACAGCCAGACAAAACTTGATATCGGTATGGCTGGCCAGTTTTGTCGCAACGGAGTGACACTGCATGGCAAGTTCACGAGTGGGGGTCATGATAACAACTCGCGTTGTCGGTACTTTCTTCGGTCGATACAGGAGTCGCTCCAGAATGGGCACGACGAAAGCTGCTGTCTTTCCGGATCCTGTCACTGCTCCACCGACAACATCTTTTCCTTCAAGGGCAATTGGTATTGCCTTGGCTTGAATGGGCGTGGGCTTGCTGAAGCCGACGGATGTGAGACCGCGAAGAATCGGCCGCGAAAGTGACATTCCGTGGAAGGAAGATTTCACGGTCTGCTTGCCGGGGTTGACCTTTTCCTCTGGCGCGAAGAAAGCTGCTCGTTTTGCAGCTTCCTCCTCATCTTCTTCGACATCAGAGGCGTCCGAATCATTGTCTTCCGGATGATCGACTGGCGTCGCGACCGAATCGTTGTCTGATGCGTCGCCACCGTCCTCGTCATCTCCCTCTTCCTCTTCCTCTTCCTCATTTTCACCCATCTCTGCATCAACTTCATCCCCCGACTCCTCCTCATCAGAGCCTACACCCATTCCAAACCCGTCTTCGGCGAGGACTTCGTCTTCGTCATCGTCGAGGTCGATGTCAGCATCCTCGTCGTCTAAAACTGCGTCTGCCTCAACACACGGTTGCTTGCCTCTCCCCTTCTTTGCTAGACGCTTTCTGATGATCTCGTCAAGGTCAACCGTTTTCTTGTCAGGATTCACGCCCTTGACAGCGCCATCAAAGCCCCAGCCAGCGAATTCGCCGTCGAGATCTGCCGTGCTGTCGACCATGAACTCGAATTCCGAGTCCATTGCGCCGTCGTCTTCATATTTTCGGCCCCAAATGCCACCCTCTTTCTCATTATCTGCCTCATCTTTCTTTGCGCCCTTCTTCTTGCTCGTTTTTGTCTTCTTTTTGGGGGGCGCCTCAACTATGGCTTCTTCCTCGATTGGAACGTCCTCATTGTCGGAGATCGTAAGGATAAAGTCTTCCTCGATTTTGCGTTTCTTAGAGGGCGCCATGTTGGCTCTAAAATGCAAGCGTTGATTGTTGAGGGATGGAAGGACGGTTGACCATCTGTTACCACAAACCAGCCCAAAATTCGGGGTCAACCGCCAGATGGTTGCGACCTTCCTAAACTTTTTTTTATCTGCCAACTTCCACCGCCTTATTAGAATGCCCCACTTGATCCGGGACCCTGGGCTAGTCTCTAACCTTCAACTTCGTCATTTCTATTTCCAATTCCGTTGGGCACCACGGTATTTGTTTGATTGCCTCCATACCACAGGTATACGCTTCAGGTGGAGTTTGTTGTTTGTTCGACTTCAACACCAAAAGAAAGAAATTGTCAACAGATCAATCAGCCTAAGTTGTGTCGGACGCTCGCAGGTGCGCCCACTCAAGCTATCTCGCTGCTGAATCTATCAAAGCTATTCGATAGCCTTATGCTATTAGTACATTTGCAAAGTGTGGGTATCAATCAATTTTCTGGATGCTTTTCGCAAAATCGAAGCTGTAAGTGTTGGCAATACAGGCAAGAGGGTTGTATTGATGATGATGGCACTGCGTCCCAAAGGCGGCAGCTACCGAAGAGCTTTCTATGGGCAATTGGCCCAAGCGTTGCACCCAGCACACAGGAGGTGTGCCTGAGGCATGCAACACGAAGTAATCACTACTTCCGTACCGGGGCATCTTTCAAGTTCTCCAGAGTCTTATCTTCGCCCTGTTAACCGTAATATAGTCTATTTTTGGTCCTTTTTCTGTTTTTCTATTTTTCCTCTTCACTGAATTGTAAGAGCATAATACCATGCGTGTTCAATATCCCTTAGTCTGAGTACAAGATTTTCAGCTTCATTTATCGAGGTTGATCTCAGCAGTGCGCTATAACGCGATTTGCGAGGTCTAACTGTTGCAGAATCACCCGTGCCTTATGGCGAGCAACTTATCGAAAATATTGGCTACCCCTCGGAAGATATCCAGAAAGCATACGCCTGATCATGTAGACGTTTGGATCTGCCCCGGCAGCTAGCGGGGATATTGGACTGGAAGGCAAATGGTCTTGTATTGAAAAGGTTATGATCTCTAGAGAGTCCTCCAAGAATTGAACAGCGGCCATAAGGGCCTTATAAAGATAGAAACGAACAATGCCTGTGCCACAGGCAGGACTTGTGTGGTACAATAGATTGTGGCCATATGTCCTTCCAAGACTGGTAGTTCGGTATAGTGGCCTTGAAGGTCCAACCGGGGGACATTGCGAGCATAACTACAGAGTAAGCAGTCACATCAACCCGTTGTTCTTCTGCGAATCGGAGGATGTCAACACGGTAAATTGATCATATGCATCACGGCGGGGAAAGTCTGCCATCGATAATTGGCATTGATGATATCGCAATAAGTTGGAGCAGGTCGACTTTATTGCCAAGACTGCCAATTTCAGTGAGTTCACCTTTGACGCAAACAACAATCTGACCACAAGGTTGCGCATTCAGTGTGATGCTCTGAGGCAGTACATGTGACTGAGAAAGTAATTATCTTGGCTGGGTTAGGTGTCTTTTCAACTACCTTGGCCTAGACAAATGCAGAACAGAAACCCGACTATATAGACTGGAAACACGAAATATATGAGTCGATCCGGTTGATGTACGAATATGTATCCTTAACTGACCTTGTTCACTACTTTTGAATCATTGACCATCCAAGCATGTGAAACATTTTAGAATCGGCAAGTTTTGCTGTATCGTGAGGTTCCATTCACATACGAGTTTCGTTCAATGAAACTTAGCCAATCATTTTAAACTCTCAAGGTGTTTGGTGTTTGGTTGCAAACGCATCGTCGTTACGAGTTAAGATATATGTTCAGGCACACCACTTCATTGTAATCCATAGCTCTTTAGTATGGGTCTTGATGCCCGTTCTAAAATTGATCCTCCATGGGCTATTCAGCCCCAAAGACGGTGCTATGCTAACCTTGCAGTGATTGCCTTATTTGGACCCATAGATCGTAGTAAGCTCTTCTGGTTCTTTATTCGCTTGTCGGCGCCGCTAGATGTTGCAGGATGACGGGTTGAATGATCACGTGACCTGGGTGCATTAAAGCTATATTTCTGCGAAAGATGCATCGCGATCAACACTTGCTTTTTCAATCTACTTCGATTTAACACCTTTTCTGCAACACTAGATATATTGCTAACATAAATCAGCTACCAATTGAACCGCCAGAAAAGGTGTAGGCAATCCGTAGCCTCTGACGATCGGATATTTAGCGCGCATGACTAAAATGGGCATTCCTTCGTCGGGCAATCTCGCCGGTTTGCACGACGAGCTAACTGACAGTGTAACATAAACTCAGACACTTTATACAATGTGCGCAGCTGCCATGGCCTGTGTGGGAAGCCAAAGTTCGATGCGAAGGAAATTAAGCTAGGTAGAACTGATAGCCCATCACCGACATGCCAAGTCTTATGGACACGAATGGAAACGGAAAAATTTCGTGTGTAGCCCCAAAGCTTAGAAATCACGTATGCAGCATATAATACCTGATTACTCATGCTAAGCCATATCACCGACATATCAAGTCTTATGGACACGAATGGAAACGGAAAAGTTTCGTGTGTAGCCCCAAAGCTTAGAAATCACGTATGCAGCATATAATACCTGATTACTCATGCTAAGTCATACAGATAGAAACCACACGCAGTGTATGTTCAGTTGACTTGAACCTAGGGGTCCACAACGTTATACAAATTCCTACAAGATTTCCATCTACCTCTTCCTGTATCACGAACAATAGCCACCAAACTCCCAATACACTGTTGCTTCTTTGATTTAATAAGGCTCTCAATAAGCAACCATGTCTTCAGGAATCAAGCCAATCAAAGTCTACGGTCAAGGCGGCCCCAACCCACCCAAAGTCGCCATTGTTCTTAAGGAACTTGGTGTCCCCTTCGAAGTGGTACCCATCAGCTTCGCGGACGTCAAGAGTCCCGGATACCTGGCCATAAACCCCAACGGCCGGATGCCATCGATCCAGGATCCTAACACTGACATCACCCTCTGGGAGTCCGGGGCAATCGTTGAGTATCTGATCGAGCGCTACGACACGGCCTACAAATTGAGCTTTGCTCCTGGGACGCCCGAGTCGTACCATGCCAAGCAGTGGCTCTTCTTCCAGACCACGGGACAGGGCCCTTATTATGGTCAGGCTGTTTGGTTCAAGGTGTATCACCCGGAGACGGTTCCCAGTGCTGTTGAGCGATATGCTAAAGAGGTATGTTTTATCACATCTCCGGCTAAATCTCCACAGACTATTAATATATATGTGTAGTAAGTGACCATTCTTGAGCATTTCATGCCCCTGTCTACCTTCGCATGTCGACGTCCGGCAATGAATATTTGGATAGATTCTAGATCCCAACACCAGATACTGACACATACCAGGGTCAACCGCGTCACCGGCGTCGTTGAAGGCCATCTGGCCAAGGAAAAGGAGAAGGCCGGTGGCAAGGGCGACGGCCCATGGCTCGTGGGCAACAAGATGTCCTACGCGGATATCTCCTGGGTCTCATGGCAGGTGATCATCGCCAAGGTCTTGCTTAGCAAGGACGAGTATGACGTAGAAAACTATCCGCACGTGAAGGAGTGGCTGGAGAAGATGGCTTCGCGCGAGTCGGTCGTCGCAGCGCTTGCTGCTGCTGAGCCTAAGGAGACTAATTAATTACTCACCTAAATCATCGGTGGTGGGTTTGCAGGATGGCGGTATGCACACATAGCATGGATTCCGTCGCTTCTAGCAGCGAAGTGATTTCCGGACTGTCAGGGTACGGCTAGGCCGAAGGCAATAGTACAGAGTGATGGGGAGTAACGGGCGTCCCTCCTACGTAGCACCGGGTGGTCACTGGCGGTCTCAGGTAGGGGTGCCCACGGTGATGCATTGATCTCTGCCCTCTCTATCTTCCTCCGTCTCGACTCCTTACTTATAGCCAGCCGAGGTTCTCTCTTGGATTCTGGATGTTTGCTTCCGTATGTCTGTGTTCCTCCGACTTCGGCCAATATCTTGGACAGCGGCTCCTTATCTGCAACCAAGCGATTCCCTATCCGCTGCAAACGGCTTCAACGGCTCTCATTCGCCACAAGCGGCTCTCTAGCCGCCACAAACGGCTTCCTACCTGGTGGAAGCCGGCCCGCCTCGGATGACACTTGTGGCTCTGACAACTCCTTCCCTATCCTACTTCGAGATGGTCCTTATATAGATAGCTAGGCCGCCGCTTGGACCCGGCATAACAGCAGGGTCGGCGATGCCAAGGATCTTGACTCTCGTCATCCCAAAGCTTCACATAGATTGTAATCATGATTCGGGAGTCTTTTGTCCGAAACACCCCTCCGGCGGCCCGCCGGTGTCCTGCGTTCAGTGTCCTGACACCCACTGGTGCCTATGGCATTCTGTTCTCTGACACGGACAGAGTGTAGAAAGAGATTGTGTTTATAGGAGTACCATTGCTATAAAATTGTTTCTTATGTATCTTTATGGATTTGATTGACATCTGATTCTTTTCCCGCTGCTTGCATCTATGAAGAACAGCAGCTAGAATTAACACGCATCAGTGAAGATTGGGAATTAACCTTGTTCGTAATAATCTACACAATTATTCTCACATCTGTTGTATGAAGAGCATAACAATTGCGTAATAAGTGACATTACGAGAATGATCAGCTTACCGCAATAGCTGCATAACAGTCTCGGCAGGCAGTTTATCTTTCAACGAGCTACTCCCTATATGAAAACAAAGACAGCAAGGAGAGAGATAAAGTGCTAAGAACCTGGAAAACTAATAATAATAATTATTATTATTATTATTATTATTAAATACGCCGTAGGCTCGAAGCCCCCGGTACCTCTACTAGTACTCCCGTATGTCAAACCGTGCCCTAATGGCTGGACTAAATACATACGCTGCGTCGTCGGTTCGCCCTATTGGCGACTGCGTTGCGTTCACTACCATACTACGTTGGTTCTCAACCTACCAACAAAGTCCCCCCTGAGAAGATCGATGCTATCTGGGCCTTGAAGCTGTCCGACCCGTCCCTAGCAGCCATCTTACAATAGTCCCACTAACTACTGGTTCTCCTGTTGCCGTTGCGAGGTCTCTGCGAGAGTATAGTGGCCGTGGTGCGATGGCGGCCCGTAATCGTTCCCTCGGTCCTTCCAACAGCTCGCAAAAGAGGATTACGTGCTCTGCCGTCTCAGGGGCATCGCCACAGCGGCATAGCGGCGAGTACACGCCAAAAGCCCCTGTCTTGAATAAGAAGGCTGCTAGTCCTATTTTTTCCGTCCTGATCTGGCACAGCGTAGACGCCTCCAGTCGGTTCAGGCCGAAATACTTGCCCCCTTTCGGTATCTGCATCGAAGGGCCCTCCGGTTCCTCAGCGATAGCGCGTCGCTGGCGATCGTGATGCTCTGCTCCGGTGAGCCATCTCTTCCTCCAGTGGTCGAGGAGGGCAGCCGGGACCTCCTTTTCCTCACTCATCCACTCGGAGCCCCGGGCCTCCTTTAGAAAGGCGGGCAATAATTATTATTATTATTATTATTATTATTATTAAATACGCCGTAGGCTCGAAGCCCCCGGTACCTCTGCTAGTACTCCCGTATGTCAAACCGTGCCCTAATGGCTGGACTAAATACATACGCTGCGTCGTCGGTTCGCCCTATTGGCGACTGCGTTGCGTTCACTACCATACTACGTTGGTTCTCAACCTACCAACAAAGTCCCCCCTGAGAAGATCGATGCTATCTGAGCCTTGAAGCTGTCCGACCCGTCCCTAGCAGCCACCTTACAATAGTCCCACTAACTACTGGTTCTCCTGTTGCCGTTGCGAGGTCTCTGCGAGAGTATAGTGGCCGTGGTGCGATAGCGGCCCGTAATCGTTCCCTCGGTCCTTCCAACAGCCCGCAAAAGAGGATTACGTGCTCTGCCGTCTCAGGGGCGTCGCCACAGCGGCATAGCGGCGAGTACACGCCAAAAGCCCCTGTCTTGAATAAGAAGGCTGCTAGTCCTATTTTTTCCGTCCTGATCTGGCACAGCGTAGACGCTTCCAGTCGGTTCAGGCCGAAATACTTGCCCCCTTTCGGTATCTGCATCGAAGGGCCCTCCGGTTCCTCAGCGATGGCGCGTCGCTGGCGATCGTGATGCTCTGCTCCGGTGAGCCATCTCTTCCTCCAGTGGCCGAGGAGGGCAGCCGGGACCTCCTTTTCCTCACTCATCCACTCGGAGCCCCGGGCCTCCTTCTCCATAGTGTACCCTGCCGGTCGGAGTAGCTGCGACGCCTGCTTCCTCTTCGCCGGCCTATCCTGCCGGAGTATATGTGACGCTTTAGCGCTCGCGCTGCGAAGCAGATTTCTCTTCCCGCTAAGCCGTAGCCGTTCTTCAAACTTAGCAGCCCGTGCCTCACTGCCCACCGCTGACACGTAGCCCATGCGCTCTCCAACCGGCGGCAGGTCGTGTCTGGATCGGTGCCGACGCTTAGCAGGTTCGTGTCGTCCGCGAACCCGACTACTAAAAGTAGTGGATGCCGCTCCGCTAGCTCCTCGTACAGCGTTGAAATGTATAATATAAACAGTATCGGGGATAGCGGTGACCCCTGGGGGACGCCAGCTCGTAGGGGGATTGGCTCTGACTCCTTGCCATCGAACCGGAGGCGTACCGTCCTATCCTCCACGAAGCTGCGTACCCACTCCTGAACCCACTCCGGGTAGCCTTTCCGGGCTAATATGGAAATCAGCCGTCTGTAATTGACCGTATCGAATGCCCCCTTGATGTCTAGCTGTAGCAGCGAGGCGATGCCCCCGCGTCTCCACGCCGTATAGACCACGTCCTCAACTATACGTATTGCCAGTTCGGTGGACCTCCCAGCGCGGTTGCCCATTTGGCCGTTTGGTAGTAGGCCGGCCGCCTCAGCTACTTTGGTGATACGCTGGCTCATCGCCGTCTCTATTACCTTCCCTACCCTGCTAAGCAGGGCAATGGGGCGCCAGCCGCCAGGGGTCTGCTTCTGAGCTGTCGTTTTATTAGGCTTAGGGATAACAACCACCCTCGCTGAGCGGAAGCGCTCCGGGTAGTACCCCAGCCTAAAGCTAGCTGTTGCCAGATCCGCTAGGATCTCCCATAGGGGTTCACCGCAGGCCTTTAGCAGCAGCTATTATATAGTAATAGTCAATTCATACTACGAGTTCTATCAACTTTTTATAAGAATATATATAATATATATGATCGCACTGACACTAGCATTATGACTATTTACGAAAATGAAGAAGGAAATCCCAGATAGGGGAGTCCAAGGGGCACAAGGTCCCTAAAGTATCTCGGTTGTGCCTCACTATGACCTCAGGCTACCAATTCCACACAATACGTATTTCTTCGAGTCAAGTTCAAATTGTACTCGATATCTTAATACTATGGTATGTCGGATGCATCCGGAGTCTTATTTGAGCCCTCCGAATAGCCTTGATATTAGTAAACTTCGAATTTGGGCTCATGTTGACCTTCCTCCGCTTCCTAGCCCTACTAGCCTCAAGCTCTGCCTCTATTGTCTTAATCTTTCGCTGTGCGACAGCTAACTAGTAGTCCTTCTCATCAAAGCCCTTTTGAACTTTCCGAAAGAGTAGCCGCTGGGTATTTGGATCATTATCAAGCTTGCTGAATAAGCTGGGTTGATCTTGGAGCTTATCTTTCCTCTTAGGCGTTGACTAGGCTACTGCCGATGTCTCTAACGCCTAGTCCTGACTACTAGAGTGCCCTTTGCGAGTCTAACTAGGCTGTTTGATTGGTGCTGACGTATTCTTAAAGAGCAGGGGGCTCATAAGGGGTCTAGCTATGCTCGAAGGCTAGAGACCAGTATATTTCCATCCACTGATAATGTTCTTGACGGTCAATGCTGCTAGACGTGCCTTTCTATAGTAGAGGAGAAAGTTTCTCTTCCCTACGACAGTAGTAGTATCCTATTAGTCAAGGTAACCAAGCTCCTTCTTAAATGCTGCCTTGAGGGGTCCAAAGACTGACTGATCGAGAGGCTGGAGAACGTGGGATGTGTGTGGCGGTAAGAAAAGCAAGTGTATCTTGTTTATGAAGCAGAGTGTAACGAAACCTCTAATAGTCTAGCTGCGTAAACCACTAAAGAGTATGTAAGGGTTTGTGCTAGTAAGTAAGTCCTGCTGCGGAGTCCTTTAGCAATAATATCGGAGTCTGACGTATGGAGTATCGGGCTCTGGGTAACTGAAGTATTCGAGTAGGGTAACTGGGAATAGAGTCGTCAAGGCAGTTTGCCTCACCAATGGGTTAGATTGATGCTTAGATTGATCACTGAAGTAGAGACTGTCTATCTATGAAATGCCTGGGAGTCGTGTCCCTTATATGCCCATCTCTCCTTCACTGATCGATTGATTGATTGATTGAAATGTAACGTCTCATCACGTGAGACGTGCCGGGCGCAGTGCCGGCATGGTCTATGCTAGTCGAATCTATGTTACAGGGGACTGTCTTCATCTAACATTCCTGTTCAGTGCGATGGGCAGATCTCAGTAAAGAAATTGGTCTCCTCCGCCCATTGACAAAACAAACGAGCTCCCTTGGCCGTGCCTAGGAGGGAATCTATACTATTCTTGGCCATATGCGCTTTTAGATGACCGGGCGTGGCCTTGCGGCCGCGCTTGCAAAAGTAGAAGTGGACTGGTGTCTTTGTCTTTCCACACCCGCAGTTGAGCAGTGCGTCGCGATGCTGGAGTCTCTCGTGGTAGGTCACGAAATCCCCGTGGTGCGACCTCGCTGCGAGTAATCTGCCTAGGTGTTGCCGGGGCAGGCCAAGTTCGGGGGGTCGCGGGTGGATAGCGATCCCTAGATCTCGATACTGTTGAGGGCAGGTAGTGGCCCATCGATCGTTGAAACTCTTCCAAGTGTAGGATCTCGCGATTCTCTTTATATGTGCGAATGAGGCCGGGTGTTGTGTCTTGGGTGGTTGCTCACAGGCCGCTTTGGCCTGGACATCTGCTTCTTCGTTTCCGGGGATGCCTACGTGTCCTGGGCACCACCAGATATACACTTGTCCCGGGGATGTCCAGGGTTTTCGCTCTCTCTGTGACCAGGTTTTGGACAGCTCTTGGAAGGCGGTGAATTTTGCTTGACTGCTTCCGGGACTTGGACAACCTTCACTGATCCCCACTTAGATATGTTAGTTGTCCAACATATCCACCCCTGTAGATCACGTGACCTATCGGTCCTTTCCTTCCTCCGATGTGGGGTCCCGTGATCCTAGCGTCTGTATCCACCTAGCCTGCCGACGGGCCTGTAATGTTGGTTCAGGGCCAACGGTTCGTAACACAGAGGTACATAAACTCTGTCGTTTCGTGGCTACTATACCCATCTAGGATAAGTAACCTAGTCTCTTCAGGGTCCTCTGGTTGAGTTAAATCAATAGTGTTACGAACCGTTGGCTCTAACCTGGCCAAAACCAACCCGACAGGCCCTACAATAGGCCATGACGGAACCCCGCAGGAACAAAGCCCCATAATGACGGAAAGGAACAACTAGGCCCCCGACTAAAGGAAGAGGTCACGTGATAGGGATCACGCTTGGCAGAGTGATCCAACGAGATCAGTGAAGGATAGATGGATATATGTGAAGGTCAACCCTCGCAGACTCACTACAACCAGGTGACTTACAGCTGGAACACCTGCCATGGCAGTGCCAGATGGGAAGCCAATCATAACCCCTGCAGGAGCCCCGCCAAGCGTGGACGACTTAGTCGCGCTCCCTCAAACCTAAGTTTGTGATTTTCTTTCCTTCGCTCCTTAGAGTAGAATCTTCGTCGATAGCACCTAATCGAGGTCTCTACCAATGCGATGCAACCCAGGTCGTGACAATATATAAGGGACAGGACTCCCAGGCATTTCATAGATAGACAGTCTCTACTTCAGTTGTGACGACTGACACATGGACGATAAGCAGGGACATCCTGACATGGCCTGCCCTGATCTGGACGAGCGCGTTCCCCTTATAATAGGAGAACGGCCAGACATACTTGTAACCCTTTCCTTCTCTTTCTTCCCTAGTTTAGTATTCAACAATAGAGATGCACTGATATGCAACCTTGATTCGTACCTATGTGCCTCTGCCTTGTTACATCAGTGATCAATCTAAGCATCAATCTAACCCATTGGTGAGGCAAACTGCCTTGACGACTCTATTCCCAGTTACCCTACTCGAATATTTCAGTTACCCAGAGCCCTATACTCCATACGTCAGACCCCGATATTATTGCTAAAGGACTCCGCAGCAGGACTTACTTACTAGCACAAACCCTTACAGACTCTTTAGTGGTTTACGCAGCTAGACTATTAGAGGTTTCGTTACAAATAGCCGTAGAGTCTGACGTCCACCTATTCTCTGTTGCTGTAAACCTCCAGGCTTCGTATAGAGTCAAGTCTAGAGGAAACCACTGCTGCTGGACAGACTTCCCCTTTTATATCACAAGTGGGGGTAGTACAGTACCAGTCGCAGAGATACACTCTATAAGAGATGTCCAAGCTCGAGATCTGTCACGACCTGGGTTGCATCGCATTGGTATAGACCTCGATTAGGTGCTATCGACCAAGATTCTACTCTAAGGAGCGAAGGAAAGAAGATGACAACTTAGGTTTGAGGGAGCGCGACTAAGTCATCCACGCTTGGCGGGGCTCCTACAAGGGTTATGATTGGCTTCCCATCTCACACTGCCACGGCAGGTGTTCCAGCTGTAAGTCACCTGGTTGTAGTGAGTCTGCGAGGGTTGACCGTCACAAGATCCAGGATGTTTCTTCCGTATAGAACGAGTCTCAGATGATCCTAGAACAAGACTATTTGATCCTCTACCTTCTAGAATACCTGTCTCATCCATATTGTATCGATTAGAGGCCTTAATAGCTTTGATCTCAGGGATAGCGAGGTATTTAAACCATTGCCTGATTATATTAGCTGAGTGTGACGGGCTGTGCCTGATATGGGATCCGGAGCTGCAAGGACCGTGCGTCCGGATCCACCAAAGGAACCATCGAGGGCACACAAAACATAGTCCGTGTTCCCGGGACAACTCGCATATTTTACTTTCCTCCTCAGTTAGATAATATGTGACGGGCTCACTGCGAAACTATACAGCTCAACATGGCCAAATACTGTTAATTATCTAACTGAGGAGGAAAGTAAAATATGCGAGTTGTCCCGGGAACACGGACTATGTTTTGTGTGCCCTCGATGGTTCCTTTGGTGGATCCGGACGCACGGTCCTTGCAGCTCCGGATCCCATATCAGGCACAGCCTGTCACACTGAGGCTCCATTAATACGCTGGGAATCGATAGCTCTGCTTCTCTGGACCTTGACTGAAGGATTCCTCTTGATAAATGCCTGGACCCAGTTCTTTCCAAGTGGTTCGGTGTCTCCGTGGATCTGTAGGATACGCTCGGCGAAGTCTTTGAGCTGTTGATATGTTGGTAGGAGGCCTAGGGCAGCCTGTATTCGAACCCATTCAGCTGTCACGACCTGGGTTGCATCGCATTGGTAGAGACCTCGATTAGGTGCTATCGACGAAGATTCTACTCTCAGGAGCGAAGGAAAGAAGATGACAACTTAGGTTTGAGGGAGCGCGACTAAGTCATCCACGCTTGGCGGGGCTCCTACAAGGGTTATGACCGGCTTCCCATCTGACACTGCCACGGCAGGTGTTCCAGCTGTAAGTCACCTGGTTGTAGTGAGTCTGCGAGGGTTGACCTTCACATCAGCCAGATGGGATTCCTAGGCTGGAGAGAGCCTCTGGTAGTCAGCTAAGGCTATATCTCTTGACTGGGCTCCCTGAATCTGTCGTGAAAGAGTAGACCTTGGGACACCATGCTCATATGCTGCTTTTCGGAGGCTTTGACCGGTAGCTATTGCTTGAAGAGCTCGATAAATATCATCTTCGGTATATTGACTGATATTAGCGTAAAGAAGACGTACGTAAAATTTCGTAACGATTGAATCGATATTGGTAAAGATAAAAGAGGTTGAAGTTGGAGGCTAGCGGTGTTGATGAGGCATTTTTGGGTGTCGCAGATGTGGGGGTGTCCCGGATGTGGGTGTCGGACGTTAATTCTGTGTGTCCACACTTATAATTGAGGTCTTAATCAGCTAATCCTTCTTAGTGCCTATACTCTGAATCGCTCAAAACGTGCAAATGAGCAGCAGAAGGAAAATATTGCCATTCATGAGCCAAATGGCCAAATCTCGGGGGTTAACTCGATTTGGCGCCTCCGTAGTAGACAATTGTATGCCGTAGGATGCTTCATGCTGATTAGAATTTTGGTCTAACACACGTACTAGACTTAATGGCCTTACTTCAGGTAGATAAAGCAGCTTCAAAACATAAAATACATCTTCCCCGTCTATCGGCGTCGAATAGAGTGCTTATGATACTTCTCCCATGATTTCTAAGCATCCCGGAAGTCATATCACTCCAAATCACACACACGTCCACTGCGCTAGCGTCCAATACATCACCATTAGTGCGAAGGCATGGTGAGTCACTTTCTAGGCTGCGTTAAGGCCCGGCTTTGTAGTAGGCTTGACTCTCCTAAAGTCCATCCGCTCAAGGGCACGATGTACTGGCCTTCTTGACAGCTTGCGGTGAGGATCCTTATCCTTCAGTACTGAAATGGCCATCTCCGTCGAGTGCTCACGCGTAGTACTGTTTTTCATGACGATCCCTTCGATCTCGGCCATCGCCGCCTCCGTCGATACCCGCGGCGCGCCAGTACGCGTCGCATCTTCAATGAAATCGAGCTTGATCGGCCCGCTGGGGACGCATCCCCGTTCTTTAGCTTTCTGCAACAACTTGTAGAAGCCGGCCTTCGAACAGCCAGTTAAGGCCTTGGTCTTTTCGATCGGAACGCCTCGCGAGTGCACAGTAAGGGGGCCTTATCCCTCTGAGCAGCATCTCGCTCTTTTCCACCGGCTGGTGCTATGACTGAGGACCAGACGTTGAAGCTGGGAAGCTCCCTGCAACTTCACGAAATCGCCCGTGCCAAGCATAGTGCTTGCAGGGATACGGAAACAGTGCAGTAATTTGTGCCAGGAGAGAACCATTCGCACTCTTACAGGCCCTCTTGGCATTCTCCTTACTTTGGTCCGAGGCTTCGTACCCAGCCATGGTAACGACATCACCAAGGCGTGGAAGCAATTGGGAAGGGTTGCCTTGGCATTTCCCGCAATTTTGGATACTTTCGTAGATCTGAAGGTTAAAGTTCAGAAAAAAAAATAAGCAAACATCGCATGAACTCCATCCGGCAACAATGGCTCGGAAATGTCGTTGGAGATTTTTGCTGGTTGCCAAGTGCTCGTCTGTGATCGTCAAACGCTACGTTGTGCAGCTCAGCCCACAGAACGCTTAGGGAGGACGTCTGGTTGGCGGGTTGTCAGAATGTTACAGGCTGGCGAACCTCCTTCAATATTGATCAAACCGGTCGCATAAGGGGGAGCACGGCGTATGTACAGATCTAGTAGATCGCCCACCAACGGTCTGGCAAACAGCAAAAACAGGGCAGCAACCACCGTCTGAGGCGATTTGGCTAGCTTGGCCGTCTGAGCTCCGTTTCCGAGATCTTCGGTCGTGGCGGGGCCCGAAAACACAGCCCTGGGAGGTTGGCAAGTTGGGACGTCAAATCATCGTGTAGCCGATTGACGAACTTGACAGAGGGTTGTATTGCGCATTTCATTGAAACGACCGACCCATCAAAACACAAAACTTTTTGCAGAGCAGGATCCAGTATTGACGTCTTTTCAGGAGCCTGCGCAGAATGCCCAGAATGCGCCGAACGTGCTTTGTCTCGCCTTCATCCCATCTTTTCCCAAAATGGATACCAGCCCCACGTCCAGAAGTTCGGACCTGCAAGCGCCCGGTAGTTGGTACCCCACAGCAGAGGTGGACTTTGGGGGAATCTGGTTTGAACGGGGTGGACTGGGCCCTGAGCCCCAACGGCCCTGACTGTTGACCCTGCTTTGCGGCCCATTGTGAGACAGCCTGTTGGTTCGGATGTGATGAGGATGTTCAGGAACCGGTATGGAAAAGAAGCTTAAACCATGGAAGAAGGAATGATCGGCGGTTACTTCTACTAGAATCAGCAGCTTGTCCAGATATGCGCCGGAACAGAGTGCTCCTCCCATGGTCCCCCCATCGCCAATGAAGTCGATCAATAGAAGCCACTCGGCGTAGATGATACAATGAGTGAAGGAACTTTTATGATGCTCCATATATCGTTCGAAGCCTACAGGTAGAAGAAGCAGCGTCGTCCTTGGTCTCTCTGCGTCAAGGTCGAGACTTACTATCCATCTTCTCCGTCCAATACACTCCATCTGCTGTATTTCACTTAGTGGCTGTGCCATTTTCATTATTTCTATTCTAATTTCCAAGCTGTCTTTACCCGCCGTCCACTTCAACTATACCAGGAAACAATCACTACCTCGCTTCGACAACTTCGTCATCATTATCATCGTCCGCTCGCTCATCATGCAGTTCTTCACCTACCTCGTCCTGGCCTTCGCTGCCACTGCCGCTGTTATCGACCCCCAGGTCCACGTCAAGGCCAGAGCGATTGGGGATATGGGCGACGTCAACGTCGCCGAGCCCAGGGCTCTGGAACTGGCCCAGGAGATCCGACACCTCAAGATGAAGAGGGATAGCAATATCACTGCCCGCGCCATCGAGCCCAGAGACAGCAACGTCACTGCCCGTTCCGTCGAGGTCCGCCATTCCAACAACACGGCGAAGGCCAAGGCACGGGATGTGAAGTGGTCTCGCATGGCCAAGCTCTTTTAGGGGATTTGCAATTCCCTCGGTCCCTTATGTCTGACACTGCTTGAAGAGTCGTATGTTGTCGCCTTTCGGTCGTATCTACTTCATAAACAATGGTGCTAACTCATACGCAGCTGTATGCAAGAGGACTTCTCAGACTCTTTATGAAAGCATGGTCAACAAAGACTTTGGCAAACGTGGTATCAAGAGGTGCAGCGCACCCTGCAACTGCGGAGCCAAGCATGTTTGACAGTGTCGACCTCTGCGGTGGTTATCTGGCCAGTCCCAGAAACCGTCGGTTTTCTCTGACGGCTCCGTGCACACTGATTGGGACTCCACAGGTAGACACGTGTAGGACCCTGCGACTACAATAGACTTGTAACGTAACGGGTGGTCAACATTAATACCTGGCTTCACGAAAACTCGGTGGCAGGATGGAGTTTTGGCGCAACATTCACGGACATGTGTGTCACGGAGGATTGGAGGTGTACCAACCTGTTGGTGTAGACTTATAATGATACTGCATCATAATTTCATTTCAGTCTCAACATATTCTGCGCTTGATCTACGACTACAAATATATCAAACTCTCGTAACCATGAGGTTGATGGTGAAGAAATACATAATTTCGTGTGGTTGTGCAGCTCCCGTCTTGGCGGCAGTTCGTAATCAATATGTAGCTAAAACATGTTTTGTTGCACGTGGTTGACACAGATAACTGTCACAGCCAAGCATCTGGGCGTTACGTAGAAGCAACTACGAAGGTTGCAATCGATCGCCGAGACTTTGAGGCTATATACTTTATACAGTGGGACTGTGCTTGAAGTATTTGGCTATGTCGCAAGTAATTAACTGTTACTCTGCTTTAAGCGCTGCCGGCGTTCTGAGGAACCTGTCATGAGCGGAACTCGAGTTCAAGGTCTAGTTATAATATTTGTATAACCCTATTCTTTAGATAATCAAATCGTAGACACTTATCCGACTGTTAAGTGCGAAAGCAACAGTAGGTCTGAGACTTAAGACCCGTCGTATAATCCACCCAAAGTGCAAAAAAACCCCCAAACAGTTCACGTTATGCACCTTCAGGCTTTCGTATGCCGTTATGAGTGCGGTATTCTGAATTGTCTAATTTCCGGGTCCAGACAACTTGATCAGCGCCCAAAGCCGCTGTGTAACAAGATCAGAGCAGAAAGTGAAACTAAACCATATATCTCGGCATGGAAAAGTCTACAGATAATATAGATAATCGTTCTATGGAGGATGCAAGAAGATTGTAGCGGGCCGGATAAAGTTTCCCAGTGCCTTTGAATAATGATTCGGAAGTTGGGCAGTATATGTAATATTAGTTGACACCTGTCAAACTTATTGCTGTTAACGGCTCTCGGTTTGGCCTAGATATGACATATTATATACGGACTTAGATTTCTCATATGGTAGAAACTCAATATATAATGTTTCCCTTACTAAAATGAGCTGTAGTACATTGCCTCTTAGTGATATATCCACGTACCTAAGCCTATAGCGTCTTGAAACCCCGAATTAGACGAAGGATTGCGTAGTCTGAACTATGAGTTGGTACGGGCATACGAGTACAAAATGACAGACAAATCTATACATTCAAGGGTAGTAGGAACTAGGTGCCAGCCTTGTGACCTCCGGACATACGCAGTTTCAAATGCGCCACTAGCACAATTGTCGAACCGAACCGAACCCAAAGGGTCTGGCAACGTGTATTGAGAGAAAGATACTGTCTTCTTAGAACCCAATTACTGCGTCCCTCCTGGGATATCAATTGCGTCGTCCTCTTCAGAGCACATGTAAATAGGGACATGTGTGCAACTTGTGGCGCACGTAAACCTGAGATGAGGAATTGGTTGCAGGGAAAGGCCGAGAGATCGTGACCAACCAATCATTTAGTACACAATGATGCAAGAGAGTAAATCGGTGTTCTTAAGTCAGATTTAACTGATTTAATTAACCTCGAGGTCCAGTGTTTATTTTATTCACCAGATTATTTTAGAACATAGTGGCTTGAAAGGATAAAAAGAGCATGTTCAATGAGCATGCAAATTTGACGAGGCAAATACGTCATACCCGGATGGTTTCTAAAGCTAGGAGAGCTTCCCCGCAAAACCCAGGTTTGCCCGATGTTTGCCAGGGTATGATCGCGTTCCTGCAGCAGTGACGACCGTTCGCATCATTGTGCACGTCACTGTTACATTAAATAAAAGGCTCAGGAAAGCCCACGGGTATGGTGAAGATTTCGTGGCTGCTCAAATCGTCTAGTGGTTTAAAAGCACCATATTTCCAAAAACCTGAAAAATCTGCCAATACAACACATTCTTCTCCCACTTAACCTTGCCAATCAACAGAACAACTCCAAGCCCTCCTGCACTGGACGTTGTCATAGTCAGCACACCTGCCACATTCTACAACTACAATCTCACGACCAAACACGTGCCCAACCACACACTCCGTCTCATGATGCTTCCCGCCAGATCTGCAGTGCGCTCTGCGTTGCCTCGCGCCGCAGCTCGATCTGCGAGAGCCCCCAGAACTCAACAAGTCCGTTTTCAGTCATCCACCGTATCCTCGGCATCGAGCAACAATGGACCCAGCTCCAGCTCCCACTTTGCATCGGGTCTTGCTGGCGGAGCTGCTGCGGCTGTAATCCTTTATGCGACCTACACGATGACGCCATCGGGGAAGATGGCAAGCGGAATCAATAAAACTGCGAAGGAGGCAAACAAGAAGTACACCGAAGCTATTCAGAAACTTCAGCAATCTACCCCGGACGCCGACCAGACTGTGGACTACATCAAGAATTTCTGCTATTCCTACGTTTCGTGGATACCTGGAGGACGTCAATATGTTGACCTTGCGTTCAAGGATGTCGAGAAGGTTCGCGAGAAGCACCGCGATGAGGTGGACAAAATTCTGAACGATGCATACCGACAATTCCAAGACGTTTCGAAGTCTGGTCTCAGCCTCGAGACTGCACAGAAGTCTCTCGAAGTGCTATACGATCTATCCAAGAAGATTGGTGCTCTTGCCGGTGATGCGCTCGGCGACATCATTGACAATCACCCTGAACTGAAGGAGAAGTTCGGCGGTAGCATTGAACAATTGAAGCAAATGGGAGATCAGTACGGACCCGAGGCCAAGAAGCAAGTTGACGAAACTTGGCAACAAGTCCGGGATGTCATGTCCGGGGGTCTCAGCGCTTCCAACCTTGACAAGGCGCGAAAGCTTATTGAGGAGAAGGTGGAGCAGGTCAAGAAACTTGGTGATGAGGCATGGACGAAGGCCATGGAGCAAGCGAAGCCCTACCTTGACAAGAACCCAAAGGTCAAGGAGTTGGTTGAGAATAACGCCGATGTGCTGAAACAGGGGAATGTCAAGGAATTGTTCGAGAAGGCCCAAGCAGCGACCAAATCCGGCGACATGGGTGAGCTTGAGAGCTATGTGAATAAGGCCATCGATAAGACTAAGTCAAAAGGCTCTCAACTGAGTGGTGGTCTTGGTCTTGGCCAATATTTCGACATGTTGCCCCAAGGCGGCGAGATCATGCCCAAGCTCCTGCAATTGAAGGAGGCTGCCGAGAAGCATTCGCAAGAAGGTGAGAAGCTGCTCAAGGAGACTATGGAGGAGTTGAGGAAGGTGCTCGATAACAAATCTGAGAAGGCGCAACAGATTGTCGATAACGCGAAGAAAGAAGCGAAATAGACCGTACGGCTACTTCTGCTGATGAGAGAAGATATGTCAGGTTTTGTTGTGGAGTAAGCATTGCCCCGGCGTTACAAAGTAGGATGCTGTATTCCTTGGAGGCCATGAGACTTGCTCGGTTCAGGCGACGCCATTAGAGTCGTGTAATAGACCCTACTCTCACAACAGTTCAAGGTGGATTAGATTAACTGCCAATTGTTCACTCATGCATCTGCTACGTCGCTTACGAAGGTTTGAACAATTACGCAAAAAAAAAATTCATCATGATCGTGAGACACAGCCGCGACCCTAAATTGTCTTATAGTCAACTTCGCGAACAACAGTTCGGCCTGGGATCGCGTTGATGAAGATGACTTTAAGAATCAGCAATGATTCTACACCAGATGATGCATGCTCATAGGTTTGAGGCAAGTTGTGTAACTGGAAGATCCTGTCGGAATTTCAAGGCCACTACATCAAGACTGCCAGTCTTGGAAGGACATATGGCCACGCACCATACGTTATGGGCCAATATGACCACCACCCATCGAACCACACAAGTCCTGCCTGTGGGACAGGCATCAGTCATTACTGGCTATATAAGGCCCTTATGGCCGCCGTTCACTTCGTTCAGGACTCTCCAGAGATCATGACACTTTCAATACAAAACCATTTGCCCACAATCCAACAGATCCTTCCGCAGGTTGAGAATGATACGTGAACATGCTGGTGTCAGAGAACAGAATGCTACTGGTACCGGTTGGACACCGGTGGGGCTCCGGTGTAGGGACGTGCGAGTCATGACCTAATATGGAAGTCTTGGTATGCGGGACAATCCGAGGAACTAGTGCTCTACGGCTCCGACGCCGGGTTCTAGCTATCTATGTAAGGGGCGGATGCCCGGGAAGAAGGTAGAGAGGGTAGAGATCAATGAACCATTGTGGGCACCCCTACCTGAGACCGCCAGTGACCGCCAGTGACCACCCGGTGCTACGTAGGAGGGACGCCTGTTACTCCCCATCACTCTGTACTATCGCCTTCGGCCTATCCGTACCCTGACAGCTGGTGCACAGCGCTTTCCGTTTGCCGTGCAAATTTTTAGGAAAACTGTCACAGTAATACCAGAGCGGTCGATGTCGCATAATGGCAAGCCGATCCCCAATCTCTGTCGCTGTTCTTCAATAAGCTACCTGCGGAGATTCGCGTTATGATCTGCCATAACTCTGCCCTATTACACGGTACATTGACGTTATTGGCAAGACCATATTGGCCTATGCCTGCCGTGAAAGGGGTCATGAGCCAGTAATTTGATCTGGCAAAAACGCCAAAGAGCGAAGCTGCATATACTGAACACTCGATTCAGCCGGACATAAATGCCTCTATAGACTAGAGAAGTGGGGGGACTGGTTATCAGCGGACTGGAGCCGTCAATCGAATGTCATATTCACCTGCCGTTAAGCAGCCAGGGAAGCAGCACCATGCTTCACTGCACCACGCCGCATCATCGTTCCCAAAGTTTCGGATCTTGCCGAACTCTTGGATATAGCCCCTCAAGAGTTTTTCAGGTCGATTCAACAGATCGACGTCGTAGATTTGTTCCTCTATCGAAGCCACGATTGAGCGGAATAGTCGAACTGTTTGAGTAGGCTCGCCACGTTACCGGCACTACGAAGCCACAGCGGGACATTGTTCGGCCTTGACAGCCAGAAGAACCAAACTGACAGAGGCAGCCAACTGCGTCGTCTCAAATATTAATATTGAAGCCAACATCTTCGACGAAGAATTCCGGAAAGTTCAGGTTCTGATTTGGGACAGATTTGAGTTCAATGGGATGCTTGTGTGGAGGATCAGTTCTGAAGGAACTCTCCCCCGGTGCAACTTCGATGACCAGGACAGTGGACAAGACCGGGACCAAAGCGATGAAGTTGCTCATGAACTCAACGGTGAAAATGACGGAGGCGGTGAGGACGGCGTCGTGGAGTGCGGCAATGAGGGTAGGGAAGGGGATGGCGAGGAGGGTGACGATGGGGATGGTGAATACTGTGAGGTATGAGAAACCAGTGATCGTCCCACAGAGCTATACATCATAGCACAATATCTTCACTTGCGTACAATTTACACTCAGAGAAGAATGCCACCCGGATATTGCTCATTAAGATAAACCCAGGCCGCTGTTGGACCAAATAACCGTCAAAAGACGAGAGACCCACTCGTATTAGAATGAGGTATTTTTGGTAGTTATAAGATCTGATAGCCGCCCCTGGCTGATATATGACCGTAGCTACCAATAATACTTCAGAGAACTAAACACCCGCTGAGATACTTCGAAATATCTTTAACCGTGACGTGTATGTGTCTTGCGTAATGTTGAAAAACATCAATGTGGACAGGCAACAAAAGGAATCGGATGCAGAATTCTTGGACTACTTGCAGGCAATGAACCTAGAAGATTGGTATATTAGCCATACATTCCACCGTAGAAGAACTTTTACTTGGAAATTTTTGGCACGAGCGATCCCTGCACAGAAGGCAGTGTCGTATGGGAGACCGTCTTTCTTCTCGTGTGAATGTGAAATCACTGACTCGGTCAGAGTTGCATCAGCTGTCTTGGACTACAAACGTATCCGCAAATTCTTTGTGATGTTCTCAGAGAAATGGGAAGAAATTGCTGTAGCCCTGCATAGTTGGTTGGCAGGAGATCGCCCGTTTACGAAGTTGAGCTGCATATAATACTTAACCAGTAAGTTTTGGCGTGAGGCGTAAATATCTTTCAATTAACGTCGAGATCCAAGGCTAGACACATTTCCGCAAGTGAAATGTTACATCCAGGTTAACCGCATCGTCAATCGACCTTCGACGATTCCGATTATTTTCATCATTGACTCCCAACTATGCCGAGTGGTTGTGCGACCAATGACACGGTAGCCACTGCACCAAAGGGGTAGCACCAGGCACTGTGGCTCAATCCGTACGACACCCGATCACATCCCGTCAGTTTACGGTCGCAATAACACATCCTCGCTGCTTAGGACATCATTAGAATGTTCTTCTTTGATCGTGTAGTCCAATGAATTTCAAACATAATCCATAAGTCTCCACCACTACCCGCGGCTGAAACGGCTAATTTATCGTACAAGAAGCCACACCTTTTTTCAGTAATGTATCATCCCGGACCATATGTCCTTGCGGTTCCCAACCCCCGAGAAACCTACCGTGCGACGGGCGTCAAATAAACATTCAACGCCGGCTTATCCCAAAGCGTGTACACCTTCTGCCTCTCAAGCCACTTGCGACTATCGTCCGCAATGCGCATGTCGAAGTTGTAAATGATCTTGGCGAGAATGAGACGCATTTCAGCGTACGCAAGACTGTGATCAAGTTAGCCCCCTTTCATCTCTCAATCCCCGTGCAACAAGGAAGGGAACATAGACTTGCTTCTTCCCAATGCAGTTCCTCGGCCCCAAACTAAATGGCTGCATCGCATCCAGCTGATCCCCCGCAAACCGCAACTCCTTCTCCTCGGTCTCCCACCTCCCGGGATGGAAGCCATACGGATCGGCCCAGAAGTTCGGATCGTGGTTGATCGCCCACTGATACACCCTGACCTCCGTCCCCTCAGGCACGAACTTCCCTAATACAGTAGCGCCCCCGCGGGGTGACGCCCTCGGCAATCCGCCAGCGACGGGCGGGTAACAGCGCAATGACTCGTTAAGACACGCAAGCATGTACGACAGGCGGGCGACCGAGCTCAACGTGATCTCGGTATCGTCTTTGAAACTCGAACGTACTTCGTCAGCCAGCTTATAAAGAACATCTGGGTTCATAGTCAGGAAGAAAGTAGCGCCACACAGCAGCGTGGCCGTCGTCTCGGAGCCGGCGATGATGAGCGTCGATGCGTTCGTAACAAGGTTAGGTATGGGCAAGTGGAAATTTTCTTTGTCCCTGATCAACCCTTCAATGAGGTCAGGCCGCTCGGCACCCAGTTCGATGCGCTGCATCAGCTTTTGGAGGACGAGCTCGCGGTGCGCGTCACGGTCTTTCATAGCACCGCTCTTGGATATCCACTGCGTGAGCCGTTTGAAACCGAGAGCGTAGATCACCCCCAGGTAGGCGCTCTCCTTGACGGTGTTCGTGATCATGTGTACCCAGGGGTGATAGTTTCCGTCGTTCAGACAGCCGAAGGAGCTGCCGAAGCCCAGGTCGCCGATGATGTCGAATGTGGCCCAATTGAGCCACTCGCGCATGTTTACCGGCTTGCTACCTCCTTTGGAATTGGTGCGCAGCTGCGAGATGAGCAGATCCACATACGACCCGATGATGGGCTCTTGGCCGCGCATGCTACGCTCGCTGAACCCGTGGGCGAGCTGGCGCCGGACCTGGCCGTGCTCTGACCGGTCTGCGGTAATGATGGATGTAGGAAAACTCTTAACTGGGCGATAGAAACTGTCAAATTTGGGGAACTCTTCCTGGCCTGGCGCTCGGTGGCCATATATGTCCTTCCATGCCTGGGGATCCGAGAAGACGAGCTCATTGGGTGAGAGGCGTACCACGGGGCCGTACTTGGCGTGGAGGTCGGTAACATGGTAGATTAGATCACCTCTGACGGCCCAGTACGCGCGGGGGATGAGCGAGATGCGGCAAGGGAGAGGGCCTGGGAAGGATTTTAGGGGGTGGAAGAAGATGCGGTAGATGGCTAGGCTGAAGTAGTAGCTGATGACCTGGGGAGCGTGTTAGTCAAGCATGGAGCATGGCTGCGCTGCACGAGCTTGACTCACAAGGGAAATGGTGCCGAGCACTATGTTAGCTTTGCTAATATCCCCTATGTGAAGCGCAGACGCCATGCTTTCTCTACTGCAGTTTTCAAGGTGATGTGCTTCTAAGTTTAACTTGAGAAGCTTTGATAGGGCCCACCGAGAACTTGGTGATGAAGTGATTTCCATTTTAATCACAGGCAGTAAAGTAAGGGTTATTAAATAGTTGTCAGACACTCGCTGGTGGATGGTTACTAAGTGCTGCGAGTTACACCTACCGGTATTCGGGAACTTGAGACAGCCAATGCCGTAGTTGGTCATTGCGGTCAACAGTTCCAATACGATGCCATTGTAATGCTGTCCCGTGCAACCTTACTTATTGGTGATGTCACCCCAGACCACGCCTAAGCGTTACACTATCGCAAGCGTGCACAACTAGTGCCGGGAAATTCTGGGACCGATATTGGCGACATAACCTACTAAGGCTGTATGGGATTTGGGCTGGAATCCGCCCGGGCTTCGATCACTAAGCCCCGATGCTTACGGCTAGTCGCAAAATGAATTCCGATACGAAATACGAAAACCTGATTACAGAGCAGGCAAATGCCGTGGTCGCATCCTTTAGGAAAACAGGGTGGTTCGGAATATTGCGCCGTACGGCACTCGCAACGCTTCCTGGCAGATGAGCTGAGGATAACTCGGTCCAATAAGAGAACTAGGCACCTACACCTTCGCAGGGTGTGAACGCACGCCGCTTCAATCCGAGGCACCCGAGGATAGGACAGCTGAACAACATAGCCATCATCGCTGAGGCCATTGCCCGCGGCTTGAAGGCGTTGCTTCATTGTAATCATCTGCCGTAACCATGCCCGACGTCATGAGGCTCCGGGAGCTAGGTGAGCGTCCAAGTCAAACGAGTCTTGACCGTTACAAGACGTCTTGTGAAGAGGAGTGGGGGGCCCATCTCGCACAAGATCCAAGCGAGCGAAGTGGGTGCGGCAGTGCGGGATGACGGAAGCTTATATCTTATGCTGCAACGGCGGTTTGTGATGCCGAGTGCCTGGGATAGTGCCCGAAATATGAAGAGCGGAAAATTCGTGCCGTCCAATCAGTTCCACCTCAATCAAAGGATTCTGGGATCAATAGCCAACAGAGAAACGAACAAGGTCTAATGGTGTAGTATTGACGACCCGAATCCCAGTAGTTCAAAACAGGCGGGTCACTGAACGGGACGAACTTGCGCCGAGTTGCATACACAAATTGCACACTCGAAATGAATATGCTGGCAACATGAAGGCATGAGAAACAATGGATATCTGCAACAACTAGCTACGGGTGAAGCAAAGTACAGCAAGCACATGTGCTGATTACATTGTCGCTTCCCCAAACACCAAACGCCGCCATTCATAGCCTCATGCCAAAAAAGAAATATCCAGACGCCATTACCTTATGCTCCCACAATAACTCCATTTGAGGAAGAAACCTCCTTCGACCCCTGTCCTGAGCCCTGACCCTCAGCCTGTTGAGGCATGAGTGGCTTCGAGGGATCGTAACCAACCGACTTGACAATACCGAGTCCTTTGGTACGTCCCTCGCGGAACAACAATCGATCCCCTGGTACCAAATACTCGGGTCGCTGCACGAAACGGAAGGCGACAGTCGCACGGTCTCCTGTACGAATGAATGGCCGGTCGACATCGATTATCGCACAGGTTTGCGACACCGGTCCGACGTGAAGCATGGCCTGGTATTTCGTTTTGATGGTGGTAGCGTGGGAGAGAATCAACACCTCGGCGATGAATTCACGGTGCACTTTGGGCATCGGCTGGCCTTCAATTTTCGGAAGTACAACCATTCCTTTCCGGACGTCTTTCCTCCGTACTTTCTTTAGAGCAAAACTAGCGGATTGTCCTGCGGAAGCAGCTGGAACCCCAATACGTTTGCGCTCGATCGATCGGATACTGGTCTGGGTGAACTGACCGAGCGAGTCGGGTCCAACCAGGACATTGTCACCAACGTGAACCACTCCTGAATTGATAATGCCGCTGACTACCGTGCCGACGAATGGAACCGAGAAAGTGTCGTTGACGTGAAACTCGAAGGGTGCCTCAGCATCATACCGCCCGTGATGTGGGAGGATGTTCAGGAAGGTTCGTACAAGATCCAAATTCTCGCCGGTCACGTTGGACACCTGGAATATTGGACAAATACGCTGGCTGACAAACTGAGTTGCCGTGTTGACGCACTCCTCACGATCCCGAATGAATATTGGTATTTTCTTGGCTGCCGGTGACTTGAGAATTTTGGTAATCTGCTGGATCGTCTGCTCCAAAATATTGGGCGGGCAAATGTCGACTTTGGTGACTACCACCATGACGGGAACATTGAGGGCGAGGGCGATACCCAAGTGCTCTTTGCTCATACCGATCAGTCCATTGTTGGCTGCTACCATGAGCAAACAGTAGTTCGGGCTGCTCGACAGAAGACCAAAAACTGTTGTCCGCAGGTATTTCTCGTGCCCCGCTAGATCAGTGAAGGTGATAACTTTCGCGCTCCGCTTGCCAATCTCTTCCCACGAAAGTTTCCCTGTCGCCAATTCAGTTTTGAGCAACGCGCAACAGGATGTCTACATTACTTACTTCCAGGGGTATCGGAGGCGATAGCTTGGCCGAGGGTGTCGAAGCCCATGATCTCCATTCCCACAGAGCTGGTTCGACCAGTTTCGATTTCATGCTTGTGCCGAAATAGGTTCACACGAGCTTTACCTCGTCCATCGTCCAGGTCGCCCTTGACGAGGACACCAAGCATAGAACTCTTTCCGGCGTCGACTATGATGAGCTGTTAGTTTCCCTACGTGGACGTTCAAGCGTGTCGACGAACACACCATTCCCGACAACAGCAATGCGCGTCTCAATGACCTCCTCGGGCTTCGAAGGAGCCTGCCGTATCAGGACTTTGCCGCTGCAGTCTGTGTCCTTGTCATTTTCCGGCCCAGCCTCAACGCTGCCGCCAACATTCTTAGTGAGGAGCACATCGCAGTCGGCACGGGACTTCTTCGCGGCATCTTTTAACCGAGTTAGAGCAGTGTCCCACTCAGGCTTGGTCAAGCGCATAGGATTGCCATTGTTTTCGAATCCAATATCGAATACCCCCTCGCCGTGACCCTCCAGGAGACGATCGTGGATAACATGGACCAGCTTCAGCAAGCTGTCCTCGTCATCAGCTAGTAGGAGGTCGCGTAGCGGTATATGAGGGCCGGATTCATCGCCAAGATTAAGCGTATCGAGGATATCGAGCTCTTCGTGGTGTTCGACGGGAGCATTGCCCGAGGGGCCGGCCCTGGAGCTGGGGTATCGGAGAGCTTGCTGCTTCTCGACATAATCGGCAAAGTCACTCAATGCCTTGATATATGAGTGAATGCGTCTTAATTAGAAGCTGCCAGAACTGGGCACTCACTGCTTCACCTTTCCGCCTCTCGTGCGGAAGTTGTTTCGCGTTTCTCGTTGTCATCTTCGTTGTGCCAGGGGTGTTTGCGAGGCGGTAGAGCCAGTCAGTCTATCCGTAATGTCATTAGCATTGCAAATAACCAATGGCAGTACTGTTTCATTGGCGTAGCGGAACGCCAAATCGAGACCGTCGCTTCGAAGATGCAGAAGTTTTGTGAAGAACGTAAGATTCACGCGCTCGCTTATTACGTCGTTGCTCCTGGCAGATCTGCTGTGGATGCTGCGAGAGTACTAAATTACGGATGAATATAGGGGAGCCTAGGTTTGCAATTAATTGCGAGACGCGGTGCGACATATATATATATATATAGATCCAGGAGCACTCGACGTAGAACGAATGCAATCGAACCCAAAAATTGAATCGAGTCATAGAAGTGAGTAACTTGGGGTAGGTGTATGACTGACCACAACCCCCACGGATCCGTTATCGATAACGCGCTTATTGGCCTGTGCGTAACTGGATTTGTCTTGGGCCATGGCCAGCAATTGCACTTAACATCTTGGGTGGGTGGTCTCAGAAAGATTTCAAATCCCCTGTAGTAGACAGACAATACAGAGTATTTGGATGAATCATGGGTCAAAGCACGTATAATTATGCTGGTGTTGAATTGGCCAGTGACACTGAAAATATGTACCCGTTCCATACCTGGCGCTTGGATTATGCGGGAGATACATGTCATAAGTTATCCAGGGGTTGAGGCAAAGGCTCAGGTGACTCTGGTGATTTCCGCGCTTTCATGATGCGCACTGTGAGTATGTTTGAGAAAACCCATGAATAATACCGTAGCAACGTGGTCATTTTGTCTCCTATACATTTGACTTGGTTAACTATACCTGAAATTTTGAGTCCAGAGTTGCTTTTGGTCCTTGAAATCGCTCCAAGCTGCAAATAAACACGACCTTGCTACGTATGATTCGTAGGCACTGACTTCTTGATAATATGCCTAACTGGTGGTTTTGAATACTTATGCAGAACTTATTTATGCGATGATGCGATCTGATATTACACTAAGGTTCCAGTATTGTGTTTTCTAGTTCAACCATTTCCCCTACGAGGCTGGAACAATCGGTCCAAGCTGAAGGCTCGGGGACCAAAAGGTTGTTATATTATGAACCGAGGTATCTATTAAAGCTTATTTAATGACGGAATTCCCTGCGAAGTATGGCAGTGTCTTGTTCGCTATAGTCAGAGTTTTGAGCGCCGGCTGTACTGGTGGGTAATACACTCCTTAACAACTAAATGTCCTCCACTAATACTCAATTGAGTATATAAAATTTGAGGCTGATACCAGTCACTTTACCCTTTGGGCCTGTTTGCACCCAGCCAACTATCTCCATTCCATTAAAGATATACTGCTGCAGAAATCGTACCTGAGACTCAAACTTCCAACATCCTTTGTCTTGTAGCCCACTGATGGCCGAGATTCGAAGGGTGGTATGTAACAACCATATAAAATCCCCTTATTGCTTGTTTCATTGAGATCGGGTTGTCCAATAGGAACTCTTTGCCACTCCGTTAGTAGACAAAGAACCTCCTTTTGAACAAGAAATACCTCACCTCAAGAAAACCCACTTAGCCCCTTATGTTTTACTTCGTTTTACCCTTGACATATTTCAAGCACTACAACCAAGAAAATATCGTGCAATAGTGTCGTCGAAATGACCTGTACATCTAGTTCGAATGAAGGGTGCAGGGGACCAGTAGTATCAACGCCTCCACAACCAAGCCACGGCCACCATAGACCCCTTGAACCGCGACCACCGGAAAAAGACGGGGAAACGTACAAAGACTCTGAATTTGTCTGATACATAGAATAGTAAGACGAGCCTCGAAGGCGCGAGCGCTCTGCGAAGCAGTCTGGCTATCAGCCGAGCACGACAAGACCGTCGTGGGGTTCTTAGCCAAGAACGGCTACAACAAAGGTATCGGCATAACGTATTTCACCCCCATTCCGACACCCCTGTAAACCCCAACAATAACCACACCGCTATTTACATTATCCTTTTATTTCTCAACTACTTTTGCTTCAATTGACTTTATTCCAAGTATTCGATCTGATCTGCTATCAATGCCTTCATATACGGAAGAAGACCTCGCTGCCGCCGTTCTAGACGTCGCAAATGGTAAATCTGTGCGACGCGCTGGCCTGGATTGGGGTATACCAAGGACTACACTTATCGACAGACTTCAAGGCGCTGAATCAAGTCGCGAGGCCTCTGCTAGCCAGCAGAGGTTATCTCCAGTGCAAGAAAAACACTTAGCAGACTGGGTTTTGGTCCAGGAAGCCCTTGGACTAGCCCCAACGCACGCGCAAATCAAGGAGCTCGCGCAGCGCGTCCTAGCCCTCAAAGGTGACCACCAACCACTCGGCAAGAATTGGCTGGAAGCCTTTATAAAGCGTCACCCAGCACTAAAGACTAAAAAGCAACGCCGTATCGACTCTTAGCGTATCAATGGCGCGTCTACCGAGGTAGTCCAAGCCTGGTTTGCTTCAAAATTACGTATTCCTGCAATTCAAGCGATTAAGCCGCAATGCAGGTATAATATGGATGAGCATGGCCTTATGGAGGGTCAAGGGGGCTCTGGGCTAGTTGTCGGGAGCGCTACCTTACGCGCAATACACCAGAAACAGCCTGGTTCGAGGGCGTGGACGTCAATTTTGGAATGTGTGGATGCCCTCGGCAATACCTTACCCCCCCTGGTTATTTTCAAGGGCAAGAACGTCCAAGAGCAGTGGTTCCCTGATAAAAATCTTCAGGACTTCAAGGACTGGCGCTTCAAGGCATCCCCCAAGGGCTGGAAAGACGATACGATAGCTATTAAATGGCTTGAAGACGTTTTTATACCCCTTACGCTTCCTCAGGACCCTTCAGACACTCGTTTACTTATTTTGGATGGTCACGGTAGTCACACAACTGATACTTTTATGTCTCTTTGCTATCAAAACAACATATACTTATTATTTTTACCCCCACACTCATCTCATGTCCTTCAGCCCCTCGATGTTGGGGTGTTCTCAGCTATGAAAACGGCATATCGCAAGGAGGTCGGGTTTTTAACCCTATTAACTGATTCAGCACCTATCTGCAAGCGGAATTTTATGCGCTGTTACGCCAGAGCACGCCAGAGGGCCCTAACGGCTCAAAATATCAAGTCTGGTTGGCGTACAAGTGGTCTATGGCCCCTAAATGTCGCTAGGCCCCTTACTAGCCCTCTTCTGCTTGAAAATAGCAACCGCACACGTCACCAAGGTCCAGACATTCTTATTACAACCCAGCAAGTCCAGAAAAACACTCCAGACGCCTTCAGAGGCCAATGTTGTATGGTCAACGCCAAAGAAGAGCGTAGATATAGAGCGCCAGTTTAGGGAGTTCAATCGACTCCAACAAACTAACATGACTACACAATGCCAGCTATTTAGAAAGATGAAAAAAGGGTTTGATGAGAAGGATTATCTATTAGTAAGCGCATAATTGCAAATTGAGGGCTTGAAACAGCGATTGGAGCTTATGAAGCCACGGAAAAAAAAGAAGGTGCAAATAAGTCCAAACGCGAAATTCGCAAGGATTGAGGACGTACGGCGGATGAGGGAAGTATCTAATGAAGCTCTTGTTGATGATTCGGGTTCAGAAATATCTAATGTATCTACTGTCGAAAGCGATTGTATAGTTGTTCAGAATTGAATTTGTGGTGGTTGTTTGAAATTGCAGTGTTATTCGTGGTGTTTTGTTTTATAGGGTGTCGGAATGGGGGTGAAATACGTTATCCATCGTTGCCAAAGACAACAAATTGTCTGAATTCGTCATCCAGATTGCAGTCGATAAGGGAACGATCCTGCGTTCAATCGGTATCTTGAAACATCTTCGACGAGACGCCAGCGCCAACCTGAGGACGCCCGAAGTTGTGTTTTACGACAATACCAGAGACAACCCGTTGAATCATGGCTACCTCGTTCTTGAACGGGTTCCCGGTACTCATCTTCAGATATGCTGGGAGAGCTTGGCGCAGGAGCAGAAGTTGATTGTGACAAGAGAGATCGGTGAACTATACCTCTGTTTGAGGACCATCACAAACCCGGCAACTAGACAGCTGAAAGTCCTGTCGGACAAGATGGAGAAGAGAATAAACAACCCCGAATCAGCCATCTTCGTGGAATGTTTCGAGTCCAATCACGGACCCTGCCGCTTCTAACATCAACTTCGACATCGAAAGTAATGACATTATGCCTACAGATAGGGTCAAAGAAGATCCCCCACGTTTACAAAAAAGGAGATAATGGCACCTTTTCAACGACAAAATTTCCAACAAGTCTATTCGCGTTTTCTAGATAAACTAGCGGTTCACACCGGCATGGGCTGTGCTCGGATATTGTCAAAGACATGATGCAAATGTAGCTGTTCGATCAGAGCACACTGGATTTGGCTTGTGGCATACAGGCTTGTTCCCAAGACATATTATGATTGACTTCAGCTCGAGTCGCGTCATCCCCGGAATTCTCGACTGGGACTCCCCTGCGTTGACACCGAGTTTCATGGCCGCCACGCTGCCATGATAGCCATGGAAGAAAGATGCTAGAGAAGATTCCGATGGCAGCAAAACGGAGCTTAGCGATACAAATGCTGAGCCGTTGAACAAGGCTTCTATGACACCAGATTCTCCTGAAACTGAGGAGATCAAGAAGGCGTTTTACGAGTTATGGGTTTACAATGGCGCAAGCAAGCATATAAGCTTGAATATTCTTTCGCCCAGGGATAATTTTGCTCAGTCAGCCTTACCCTACATATCAGTACATGCAATTGGAGACTTTGGAGTTGAGAAAGCTCTGAGCGGAGTGCGTGCGACCGCTCTTGCGCCTGTCGAACGTATGGTATCTCGCGGCAGAAAGTTTACGTCAATCTACCAGGGCAGGAACTGCAAATTGGGCGCTATCAAGTCATGTGTGCGATGTCAGTCAACGTTTGTATCTGAAAATGTCGGCAAAAGGGTTCTCAGGGTTGGATGATGGTAAGCCACCATCTGTTCAGGGCCTAGTAAGCAAAATAACGGGACCGTAAATGTTATCATTGTACTTCCACTGTCTACTATGCAGCTGACGGGAATAACGCTCAAGACACTACGCACTGTGATTTACAAAGACTTACCTCTATTGCCCCCATAGTCTGTTTTCCGATAAGCCATTTAAACCGAACCTCAAGACGAAGTTATATATAAAGTAGGGCAATGTTTGGTGAACTTTGGCTATGGCAGTATTAGTCTCTGACATCTACACAGCTACAGTGGTTATACAATACCTATGGACTTCCAATTTCTAACTAGCAGAATATCCAAGGAACCCTGGATATTTCCGGCCTCCTGGAACCAAGATAGCTTATTGCAAATATTTCCACGAGACAGATAATTTCACAAAAGCAAAGGCTTTAACTCGGTAATGACCGAGCATCCTATTCTAGTCCGCATTGCTGATCTAGATAGGCAATTTCATTATCACCCCCGCAACTTCTAGAAAACAAGCATGGTTTGCTCATGGGCTATACGAGGCACGGAACATGTGAGTACATGCCAAGTTGAGCTTTTCCAGACATGGTGGTAGACTGCAGCCCTACCAAGCCAAGATCATGCAAGGCAGCGGCGACGCCTGTGGAAAGCTTTCGGATGCGAACCGAGTGATACGAATCGCACGGCAGACCTCGTCTCGGCTGCTCAGATATTGAATACGTGTACTAGAATATGAAGGTCCGAGATCACCACCCCGAAACCTCCTTATTCTCCTAAAGTCATATGCAATACTCGAAACCCGACGTCGGGCCCCCAGTCGCTCTGCCAAGCGATCTTATCAATCAAGGACCCCTGTCCCCGAGCTCGGTGGCTGCCAACCCCATCGCCACATTTATTATCAGATGGAAATTAAGGGTAAGTCTCCATCTGATAAAAATTGCTAGCAGGTACGAGAGTGACCGCTAGTTTTCGAGAAATTTTATCAGATCTGATCTGTCCCCCTGCCTTCCTCTTCATTCTTGCATGTACCTAAAGTATCCATCATTTGGGATGGTGCTAGGAAGAGAGTAACACCGCATCAGACCTGCCCTTTCGAGGCAATGACGCCGGCACCACTTGCTTAGAAACATTTGGTCGACAAAATGTGTCTGGATGGGTAAGTTGTTGGCGCATTAGCGGCGAAAATTTTCGAACTAGTTCTTAGCCTGCACGAATGGGGAAAGGGGTTCGTCGCTCCCCGGTACTTGTCGATACTTATCGTGATCCAGGATGGAGACAGGAGGGTGCCCACCATGGTGGTGGGAACCGAGCTAGAGCAAAGCAAGCAGCTTCTGACGTTTTGAAGTTTCTCACTCATACAATATAGCCCGCAGGCAGTCTTCCGCTTCTGAAAGATGGCATGATATGGGCAGGTTGGCGGCAAGGCATCGACTGGGTAGTGGGTGTGTGTACGTGTGGGGAAACCGATTTGTATGATGTGCAAGTCCTGTCCGAGGACGCGCGAAATGCGCTCCACAGGAGCTTGCTTCCTTGTGCCTTGCCTTGGAGAGAGCTTGGAAATTCGGCACTCGGGAAAAAGGACGAAATTTTGTGGTTTGGTCGGATTTGCTATTTACTTGCTCTCTCTTGTGTAACAGCTCATCCGTTGAGAATAAACTGGTGTCTTGTTACCATACCTCTACCTCAATCATATTTACTCTTATCTTATTAGCCATGGCGATTCCCAAAGATAACGAGCCGGTGCTCAAGCTCCCTCACCCCTACCTTACACCCTACTTCCTCGTTAAATCCTCGAAGCAATCCGAGAACTCAACACCACTTCTGCAAGTCCAGCCCAAGTCCTCCGGCAATGGAAAGCCACTGCCGGAGCCCCTTCACAGCGCCTCGCTCTTCTTCACCGAGCCCATAGATCTGAAGTCGAGCGAGCGCCCTCCCGAGTCCAACAACACGCCCTGGGGCCGCGCCCGCCGCGCTCCCTCCTCGAGCTTCACTTGGGAAGAGGGCACTCCGACCCCTACGCTAGGTCAGGCATGGCTCCTCGTCTACGTCCTCTTGACCATCCGCCCGCAAATGGAGGTGTTCCGCCTGACCCTCTCGGGTCCGGGCAAGGAGTCCCTCGCGCGCCAATTGAAATCCGTGCTTCTAGCCATCGACCACCCCATAGCCTCTGGCCTGACTGATGAGTTGGTCATCCTCCGCAGCACCTTCTGGCAAGGTGCGGGGTCACCCTTCGGGCCCCGCTCCGCCTGGATCCCCGAGGATTCGGCCTCGGAGCTGCCCAAGCCCCTGTCCGCGTACCCGCTCGCGCCGTACGATAATAACCTCACCAGCGAGCCGGCGTCAAGCATCCTGGCCTTCCACCCGCGCCGTCCGTCTAAGCCGAGGCCGGGAGCCATGATTTACAGTCGGTATATCCCGCACTTGGGCGAGAACTTCAGCATGGTGGCGCTGGACTTCCAGAATGAGGAGCACTTGGGCTTGTTCCACACGTGGCAGAACGACCCGCGCGTGTCACAGGGCTGGAATGAGACGGGGACCCTTGAGCAACACCGCGAGTACCTCCGCAAGATGGACGCGGATCCGCATCAATTCGCTGTGCTAGCTAAGTTTGAGGATACCTTCTTTGCGTATTTTGAGGTGTACTGGGCAAAGGTTAGTTTTGCGTGCTGTTTTACCTCTAAATGTCCGGAACCCGACGTTAACATGTAAACAGGAGGACCGATTGGGTGCGTACTACAGCGCTGGCGACTTCGACCGCGGGCGTCACTCTCTGGTTGGCGACATCCGCTTCCGTGGCCCGCACCGCGTGTCGGCTTGGTGGTCGAGTCTTATGCACTACCTGTACCTGGACGACCCGCGGACTATGTACGTGGTAGGTGAGCCCAAGTTCACCAATAGCTCCGTGCTAGCGTACGACTTCATCCACGGCTTCGGAATTGACAAGTTCGTCGACCTGCCGCACAAGCGATCTGGTTTCATGAGGTGTTCGAGAGAGCGCTTCTTCCAGCTTTCGCCCCTGGCTGAGAACGAGAAGGTGGTTGGTGGCACCTTGGTGGGGTTGCTGCCGAAATTGTAGATTGTAGGGCAGTTAAGAGGAAAATTGAAATTGGACATTGAACATTGATTGGTATTGAATTCATTTGGAGATTCGTCATATTGCGTACGTGATGTCTAGATAGTAACAAATTCGTGAGCGCCAATTGGCAACGACCCTCAATGCGAGACAGATCTTAAAGCGGCACGGATAAAACTCTGCAAATTGCACCGTAGAAGTAGGAGCAAATCTGTAGCGCGTCTATAGCGCGTCTATAGCGAGCCTCCTAACCGGAGATGGTCCCAAACAACTGCAACATGTGAGAAAAAACTCTATAAAAGCGGAGTGAATGGAGTGAGACTTACTTCTGAAACCTAAGTCCCCTCGAAGAAGACCCGCATAACGTCTTTGCCGTGCTTCATACCTTCTGTTGGACCGTACGAGAGAGCAACCTTGCCCACCGCCAGACCGATCATCGGCGGGATCTCTTCCAACTCCTTGAACTCAGGCTGCTTGCCCGAGATGTCTCTCAGCATCAACTGGTGGATGTTAAGGGCGGCTAGCTTGCCCTCGTGCATAGCACCACCGCATCGCTTGATGCCCGACCAGTTCATCAAGTCGCCGATGGCGAAATGGGTCTCGGCGTTGGGGATAGTATCGGACTTGAGCTGCATCGAGGGCTTGATGTTCACCAGTGCCTCCTCGTTCAGAGCTTCCTTTGGTAGGTAATCGGTGGACGGCACACTCTTGGAGATGGCCATGATCACTACGCTGGCCACCATCTTGTGTCCGTTTTGGAAGACGACGTCGAATGCGTCGGCGCCGTGTTCGTTCTTGATGGGGGTGCTGCTGACGAGGCGGTGGCTCATAAGAACTTCGACGCCAGCGTCGCGGACGAGGTTAATTGCGCACTCCTTTACATTGTCCGGTAACGGTTCGGCTGAGAGGAGCTTGTCTCGGGAGTGTGCGAGTGTCACCTTGACTTGAGGTTGGAAAACCTTAAGCTCGGCTGCCATCTCGATACCAACAGCACCTGTTCAGAATTAGAAACCATCTTGGTTCGCGAGACATCGGAATAAAATTACCTCCACCCACGACGAGAACAGGGTCGGTGCTGTTCGTCACCGCGTCGATGTGTTGCCCTGCTTCCTCCAAGTATGCCTTCCGGTTCAGCGACTGCGGCACGACAGGCCACGCTCGTCGCAGACCTGTCGCGGCAATGAAGAAGTCGTAGTTTTCTGTGCTCTCGGTCTGGGTACTTGATTCGACAATGGTGGCCGTCTTCGTCTTGCAATCGACCTTGCTCACGGTGCCGTGGACAATCCTGACATCGGGTCTCTGAAGTATCTTGACATCTTTGAACCCAACCCACGCCTTCTCGGCATAGGCTTTATCGGACAGGGCAAGTGGTGAGCCAATAACGTGGACTAGCATTGAATGTTAGCCGTTGACGTTTTAGTGAAGGGACGGGCAAGGCAGTGGTAGGGTGACGCACAGAAGCCATCGCGCTCGTCCACTATCGTGACTTGGACTGAGATGGGGCCATCAGGTGTACTGTCACACTTCTCCAGTAGGTTAATCGCTGCTGCCAAGCCTGAATAGCAACCTCCGGCGATGAAGACTTTGTACGGGTTGGCCGCACTGCGAGGGGATGCCATCTCGGAGTATTGTGGGACGAAGGTACTAACGTAGGGGGCAAAGGCGATATTGGTAGAATGACTCCCGAGAACAAACACAACGAGGAGACAGAGACTATGGAACAAGAGGGAAAACATGGAAAATAAAACAGCATGCAGGTCCGATTTGAGGCGTTACGAGTAGCTCAACAATCCGTAGGATCGGCCCCTCGGTGCTCGGCTCACTGGGGTAGTATGTATTCTGACTGGACCTACCCCATAAGGATATGGAGCAGGGGATACGAAGACGACTAGACATTAAGTAACCCTGGGAGCACTACTGGGCCGCGTAGCCCCGCTGTTCTGGACTATGCGGGCGACCAAGGACTTTTTGGGCATCTGATAACACACAGGTTGGGGAAACATGAACATGACATCAGCCTGGACAATGACGTCGAATTGGTGGTAGTTGAAAGGTCTTATCAGATCAACCAGATTAACCGTATGAAAGAGGGTTTCCATGGCTAGTCCAGGAAGGCCCAACCGAACCACCCAGACTTCAGATCGTTGGTTTCTTCTTGTTGGTGATGAGCGACTTCGGGCGCATGTGACCGAGGTGTGGATCGTCAGATTTATCAGATCAAAACTGACCCGCGCTTTGCAGGGTTAGCTTGTCTATGCCGCTTTCGGTGCAGATCATCCCTGCACTGGGTTACACTTGCCAGTCTCATCTAGTACCCCTCCATACAGTTACCCCTCCAAACAAGACCGGACTGAAAGATTTTGAAAACGGTTGGGAAGCCCCGAAGCTCGAAAGTGAGTGGCTTTGGAGCGTGTCGTCATATTTGCTGAGCATACAAGCCCTCTGGAGCACTGTCTTTTGGCCAAGAAGGACTCCAACATCAGTGGATTATTCGTTGATGCCGCCGCTTGCGACATTGTGGTCTGGTAAATTTATAGTATCCCACTGGCCCAGTTCTCCTAATACAGCTTGGGGCGGCAGCTTGCCTCATTATCTCTTCTCGTGGATGTCAAGCAGAGGCGGTCTGCAGGACGAAAACGTGTAATGGTCGTTTTCTTCGTAAGCTTCGAAGAGGTCAAGATCCAGCGTAAAAGGATGATGCGGCGGCATCTCTTCGTCTCTATATTATCTGTTCTCACGATTTTCGCGTGAAAGTCATGCGACGAATGTGTTGATAAGGCCGCCCTAGGAGGTGCCGATAGGATTATTTACAGAGAAAGTCGAGGGCGAAAAGTCGAGAAGTTGTCCCCAGCTAGCAAGCAGTTGAGCCGAAATGAGCTCTTGACTTGAGTCATTGGAATTGCGCAGCACCTGAGCTAACGTCCTCAGTAGGCCATGGATAATTGCAGCTAGGCTGGTTGTTCAATAGTGTAAGCACGTGAACACGGCGAATGCGGATTGACTGCATCTCTGACGAACCTGGGGTATGTCCAAGTTGGGACTAAACAACTTGGCAGATTCGAGAGTCAACAGAGTTCACTGATATAGGCGACGGGGCATTTCCATCCGGTATACTTTCCACATATAATTATACGCTTCGTAATAATTCGCCTTAAAGCCGGAGGCCTAATCTCGAATGGTGATGGACAGCTAGGTCCCCTTGGATACAATGCCCTCGACATCTGAAACTTTGTCCCCACAAAGGATGCTGAATACTTTGTCTCGCCTTCGCGTATTATCAAAATCTGCCAAGTAGACCAAGTCACCACCGAACACTTGCGACACGATATCGGCATTCCAACTTTTGTCGACCAGGGTCGGTTTCTGTACGGCAATATCAACGGTCTCCAGCTTAGAAATTAATGAACGTATCCGAAGGGCTCGACCTCACGTCTCCCAGGCTATACTCCAACACCAAGATGGGAAAGACGTGCCGTTTGGAGAGCTCAACGCGACGTTTGGAGCTATTGTCTCGCAAATGCAAGATGACGGCGTCTGGTCAGAAATATTGAAACGGCTGAGGGGGACTCTTGGGCGCTGGTAAGCAATCCCAAATCATCATCATCCTTCTTGCTGCTTTATGCTGATATCCACTTTCGCGGACGACAGAGAAGCTATCGGCACTGATATTTGCCAGTGCCGAATACTTCCACGCCATTGATTTCGCCATGTTTCCCGTGTGCTTTGATGATGAATGCTCTGGCAGATCGAAGCCTTTGGCCTCCATGATACCGTTGTGCTCGCAGAAGAAGGGAGAGGGGGGGGAGTGTGTCCTTCAGGACTCATCCAAGTTTCTCCTTGCGCGTAGATCGTTGGTATTTGTTGGCTCAGGATAAAGACCGAATGCGCGGTCCAGACTGTTTGGTTAACTTAAGTTAAGGCGATGTAGATGTACAGATTGCTAAGACACAAACGAAAGCCTTGATATGGACCTTGTGGACAATCTTTCAGGCATAACCATCTACAAGCCTGTCTGTCGACACGTAAGTCGTCATAAGCCACAGACGTGGTTCATGATGGCTGCGAAGGTACCACTGGACGGCATACAAAAGGCCGCACCTAACCCGATTGAGCAGACAGGACCAAAGAAAGAAAACCACCCAAATCTGCAACATCCGTCTTACTTGAACCTATCAATATATGGTAAACACATGAGTGGATGATGTTAACTATTCATTGAAACTTCTGAGATGATTCAGTATTGGTAGTTGTAATATGCTCGATTGAACGGTTTCCGTCCGTTCTGTCCCTCCGGACCCTCGAGTGGATTCTCCGCCGGTAACTCGACCGGCATGGGAGCCATCGGCACTGTATTATGCACCTCATTTCCATCCAACTCCTGCCCCCGGAGTGGCGCTTCCGCACCGTCCATTTTATTTGTCCACGCATCCTCCACGTACGGTCTCGGTGGCGCCACAAACTCTCCATCCCCGTACACGTTTGATGATGACACATCCTCCCTATATGGTGGCAAGGCGGCCCTTACCGTTCCTGTATCCGTGTCTGTCACCCATGTCGCCTCGCTATACATCGTCCCAGCCCGTGCCGGCGTCCGCTCAACCGGCGACTCCGCATGCCAAGTTGGCGACGATACCATGTTGTGGCTGAGCGGTGATACCGATGCCGGCGGCCCGTTTTCTGAAACCGTCGTCCGCCATGTGAGAGCTGCGCTAGGCGGCCGTACTAAAGTTGTAGGAACACTGCTACCACCCGCACTCGGCACATCTCCTCGCCAGGGCCCTGGGTTGTTCTGAGGTGATACCCGGCCGGACTCGGTATCCGGCTCCGACATCCAGGTCTCGCCGACATTCCGCTTCCAGGGTCCCGGACCAGCTTCGAGCGTGGGCAATTTGGGGGGTTTTTGCTGTTTGCGTCTTCGTTTGAGCCATAGGCAGGTAGTGACGGCTATCAAGACGATAACGACAACGACGGCGACTGTGATTCCGACTATGATTCCGGCGCTGGCTCCGGCTCCAGAAGAAGAGACCCCAGCTTGCGGGTTTGTGGCGGCATTGGTGGCTTGTGATGCTGGCGAAGTAGCGGCGCTGGCCGGATTCGCTGTGGTAGTAGCTTGTGTTGTTGGCGTATCTGAGAAACCCTCGCCGTCGTCTCTGTTGCTCTCATAGCCACCTCCTTCATTACCCTCATACTCTTGTGATGCCATGCTTACGGCAAGTTCAAAACTAATGTGATATTTTGAATAATAGAAGCCTAAAGCCTGCGAATAGTCGGTGGCATCACTTGAAAGGGCAATGGCGACCTCTCAAAGGTTCCAAGATAGAAGCAAAGCAATGCAAAATGAGAGAAGAGTCAGGTATACGACCGACTCGACTTACCATGTTGGAGATGTTATCTTAAGAGACAGCGGATCCCATCCCAGACGTACGGTACTACGAAGCCGCGCAATATGTTTGGGGCAATGCCTAGCTTACGCGAGGCTCATGGCTGAATATAGTATCTGACAGATTACAGCACGTGCGCTCATCAAACTGTTTCCCTGTTAGACAGGCATCATGCATGCTGATTCGTGGTATTTTGCCATACAAACCGCTGCATTGATTCAGGGGGTGGAGCAGCGCCCTACATATCGGCAGAGTCATACGTCGCTATAACCCCACTAACACCTCCAATTTTCTTCCCCAGAGAAGCCGTTGTGCCTTATTCCATATAAACTTCGAAATACTCCTCTACATAGCTGGAATGTCTTCCGCGGGAAATAGTCGACTCCCTAAACTCACAACACGCTGGGGATAAAAACATTATTGAGAATTTGACCTGAGATACGTGACTCATGGCAGTGTGGCGATGAACCCGCTTCAGTCCGGAGCCGAAGCCCTGCGAGGTGGAGTTGTGCACTGCCACGTCTCGCAGACGGAAATTCGCTGCATCTGGTCATAGTACCGGAAAGCTCTGTCATAGTTAATATGGATTGCGTTTCAGCTTTCCACCTGGAGAATTCTTTCGTCTTTCAATATTCGTACAACACCGCTCAAGATAATATGTCACATACAAATGCATTCTCACGTAGAGGCCGTCAGCATCAATGATGAATTTCAAGCTTCAAGCTCCCACCTGATCAGGCAATTGCCCACGTAAGGTTCAACTTGACCGCAAGCTGAACAATATCTAGGTTCTGCGTGGTGCATAGCACAATGATGGCGAAAATAAGAGCCGGAATGGCACATGCCACCCAGTATAGCTGACTAAATACAATCAATAGCACACATCTGTTTGAAGTAGGCTATTCGACTTGTTTGCTTACTTACTGCACTTCGAGATCTACTTTCCACGAAGCTAAGTCGCCGGCTTCGTAATGATGGCTGGGATGTCTGTATATGTGCCCAGATTTCGAGAGTGGATTAGTCGATGGCTCGGGCTCATCACCAACAACATGGGGTTCGGAAAAGGCAGCTGCTAAGGAAAGCCTACTTGTATTTTTAGGGCAAAAGATTTAAATACCCTGCACAACCCCTGTAAAGATCTATTTACCCTGCAATTTCCCAGACCTCCCACCGCCTTCCCAATCCATCAGACCCACGGATCGGGCCTATCAAGCTATCCATGGGGGCGTCGGCACCTTCTCATATTATGTCCAGTCTCACCACAACTAGAGCATCGCGATTGTGAGCTCTGTGGAGGGCGGCGAGAATCCCCCTTTCGAATCCTCTCTTGTACAGGGCGTCCTCGAGGTACTCTAGTAATTGGAGGGTTACAAGGGTCCTCTGGCTTGAGCTTAAGCTCAGAGACGTTGACAGCTGGCATCGGGCTACTATACGTGGCAGCCCAAACTGTCGGAGAAAGAGATTCTGGTAGATAAGGGGTTATACCGTCCCCTCCTGCTAGTATTACGGTAATGGCATGCCCGCAAGGGATTCCATTCCTTTGATACCGACGGCATGAACATGTCCCTGCTGTCAAATTTACAATGCAAATAAGGCCGTCAGGCTGTACTACTCTTGCTTCCGTTGGTGACGAAAACTGAGCACGATTACTAGACGCCCATTGCCTCCCTTCTCGTAATTTCCCTTCAACGAATGGGGTAGCTGTCTTCCCTGCCTTTATCAACCGTAAAGCAGATTGAAGCCGAGCTGCTCTCTTCTCCATAACTCTGTGCCATATTGAGTCGAGGAGAGCAATAATTGGAAGTTCCCGATCAAGCTTTAATACTCCGTTTTGCGACTTGACGATATTACTTGTATCGTGGCCATATCGACGCCCAGAGAATAGCGCCTCGGCCCAAAGCGAAGGGTTTGCCGCCTCTAGATATGCCGCAGCTTCGGTCTTTTGTTGTCGAAGCTTCTCTAAAGCTGCCTCGTATTGGGCTAGAGTTGGTGCTCGGGCGATAGTCCAAAATAAAGAGGCAAGCCCTCTCCCGAACTTTCCCGTGAAATTCTCCGTAATATGATGACAGCACCACGCCCCTGTAGCTAACGGACCGAGGACCTTCTCCGAGTCAAGGAGTCCTTTATCTCGGTCTGATAGAATTGTGCTCTGCTCTGTTGAGACCTCTGGGATAGCCCAACGAAGGTGCTGTAAAAACCATGTCCAAGAAGACTTATTTTCCGACTCGACTACCGCCCAGGCCAAGATAATAGTCTCGCCATTCGCATCGATCGTGACGGCAAGCAATAGAGTAAGGATGAAACGACCCTTTAAGAAGGTTCCGTCGATAATGAGGAGACGTCGGCAAAGGGTATAAGTAGAGCGGCTCTCAGCAGGGCAAATGAAGATTCGTTCAAAACGTTGATGGCGGTCTCGAAGTAAGTCGATATGGATAGCAGGAGAGATGGTCTCTAAGAGCTCCTTATAAGCGGGTAGTAACTGGAAGCTATGTCGTTGCTTGCCAATATCTCCGTCGAGTAGTCGCAACCGGCACTCTTGAGCTCTCTTGTAGTCAAATCTTCAGCGAATTGGATACGGAGGAGGTCGAGTATTTGTTGTGGGGGGGTCTGCTGTGTTACTGCAATATTGGCAGCGACAATACGGTCTAACCAGTCTTTCTTAGACGCAGAGGAGAATTTTTGCCTTGCAGCTCCGCTACAACTATGCTCCGTTTCGAGAATATGAATCTGCCAGATATCCTCACTAGGGGAATAGGTTGCTCGGCAGCGCCATAAACAGCCGCTTAACGCAGAGGCACACACCCAGGAGCCACTGGTCTTATCTCGCCGCTCAACCCGATAAGAGAATTTCTCCTTCACAGCCCAGTTGTCGAGGGCAAGCGATAGAGTATCAAGGTCAAGGAACTCTTGTCCATCAATAGGAATAGATAATAGGGGTAGCGACGTCATGTTGAGCTGAGGAATAGTAGTCGTATGCTAATTCCAGAGGCATGAAGTCAGAAAGCATGGCGGAAATGTGGAGAGAAAAGCGGCAGAGAAATTGCAGGGTAAATAGATCTTTACAGGGGTTGGATAGGGTATTTAAATCTTTTGCCCTTATTTTTATTTTTATCTTACGCTCCGCAGATGTCGTAGACAAGCTTGGTATAGTATATGCTAGACCTATGTTACGAAAGTTACTCATTAGGCGAGCTCATACATAAGCCGCCAATGGTCTCATCCTCGGCAATATCGATGCTTTGCTGCATCAAAGTGTACTAGAGGAACTTCCAGGAGCCCCTATTGAACACAGTAAGGCATCTTCTCTAAAAGGTTGCAACTGCTTTTTCAGTAAGCCTTCACATTGGGCACTGATGTGAGATCTCATCAATATCACTATGATAAATCAAAAATTTTCCTTCAGCTTAATAATGCATGTAAACGTTCAGGAAATCAGTTTAGATAAAGTAAGTATTGTTTGTTGGGACAAAAATGGAAATACCGGGCTTTGTAGCACATGCCATCCAGGGGTGCGAATGTACAAAGTTGACGTACAGAGTCAGTGGACTCAACGCCAACCTACCAACGTCCTTTCGCATATATTCTCAACGAGACTCTTCCTGCCACTTGAAGCTACATTCAAATCACGTAGATCACCCATACGCAATGTCGACGATGTCATCGCCGATCAAGTACGTGAATATGGCCCCGAATCACGTCAATATTCTCCCTTAGTCTTCTCATAACTAAGTTATACGAAAACACCGGAATGCCAATTAAAGTTCCAAGGACGCAAGATGAATCCGTCTTTATGCTAGGCGAGGGAATCATAGCGATGTAGGAGAGGCTGGCTATTACAGCGGAAAAAGATAACTGTGCTAAGGGGGACATTCTTGTCAGAATTCGTACCAAAGGGAACCTCGCGGTAGTTAAGAACCAGGATTGGGGCGATGACTTGCCTTCCAAGGGCGTGGATATACTCGAGCAACAGATCATTCTGCATATGGCGTGTTACCCGATCCAGTGTCCCCAACCTTGAAGGAAGGTTAGGATCATAATGATAAGGAAGGCAGAAAGAAATAAAAAGGAAAGTTTGGATGATGAGTGCGAAATGATTTTAGATTTTCGCACGTTGATAACCTAAGTAGGTTGTAGTATGAGAAAAATAAAACCTCGCAACGGGAGATCACAACGTACAAAAAGGATATGTGACAATCTTATAGAATTCCTCATCAATCATGCATAACCCCCAGCCACCAAACTACAACTTCTCCAACCTCCTCTTCCTCAAAATCTCCTCTCCAAACCTAGCCATCTCATACTTCTTGACCTTACCACTCCCAGTCAGCGGGACATCAGCCGGGACACCATCTTCGCCGAGCCAGAAGATGTGCGTAGGCGCCTTGTGTCGGCCCAGCTTAAGCTGCACCCACTCCCTCATCTGCTGATCGCCCGGCCTCTCACTCTCTCCATCGCCCTGCAAGAACGCGCTGACGACTTCGCCGTAGTGGGCGTCCTTGAGGCCCGTGACGATGGCTTTGGTGATGGCCGAGTGGGCCATCAGACGTTCTTCGATTTCAAGGGGGTAGATGTTCTCACCGCCTATGCACAATATCAGTTTTCTTTCCTACGTGGTCGCGAAAACTTGGATGTGAGATTGGAAACTTACCTCTGATGATGATATCCTTGAATCTTCCAGTAATAGAGCAATACCCCTGATCATCGAACACCGCCTCATCACCGGTATGCAGCCACAGAACACCCGCCTCGTCGCGGATCATCACCTCGGCCGTCTTTTCCGAGTTATTCCAGTATCCAGCTTGCAGTTGGTACCCAGCTATGCAAAGCTCGCCCTTCTGCCCGACCTCAACAATGTTTCCCTGGTGGTCGACGAGCTTGGCGTGGGCGTGCGGCATCAACGTCCCCACCGTGGTAAGACGCTTGTCGATCGAGTCGTCGGTGAAGGCGTTGAAGCAGGTTGGCGAGGCCTCGGTCAAGCCGTAACTGCTGGTGAACTCGGTCATGCCGAATCGTTCCACCATCAGCTCCATTAGGTATCGAGGCACGGGGGCACCGGCTACAATGCCGGTTCTCAGCCGGTCGCAGTTGAAGTTGGGCGGCATGGGGAGACTGAAGAGCGTGTCGAACATGGCCGGTACACCGTGGATAGCCGTGCACCGCTCGTCAGAGATGGCACGCAAGATTGCGTTTGGCTCAAAGGTCTCCTCAGGGTACACGATCTTGCCGCCGTGGGTGATGATGGCCATCAGCCCAAGCACCAGCCCGAAGCAGTGGAATAGCGGTGGTGGACAGCACAGAACGTCTTCGGGGCCTAGACGCATCCGGTCTCCAATAAAGCGCGAGTTGTTGACGATGTTGTGATGTGTGAGCATAGCCGCCTTTGGAAGCCCAGTAGTCCCGCTTGTGAACTGGAGGTTGACGACATTGTGTGCCAGAACCCGCTTGCTCAGGCGGAGAAGATCGCTTTGGTTCACTTTGAGTCCTTGCTTGAGCAGATCTGCGTATGTGGGATACGAGCCCGCCTCTCCGCGGATGATGACCACGTTGGGGCCCTTCTTCCGGGCCTTCAGCTCTGAGAGAAGTTTGGCGTTATCCACACGACCAATTTTCTTGGTTGTGAAGAATACCTTGGAATCTGGAGTTTGAATTAGCCCATAGATCTAACACCTGCTTTCGTGGTGTTTGTGCTTACCTGAGAAAGACAGAGCATACTGCGCCTCCGTCGGGGTGTAAGTGTTGTTGAGAATCACCAGTATGGCACCAATACGTGCTACAGCGAAGAAAATAGACGCATACTCTGCACAGTTGCCTGCCATCACCGCCACTCTATCACCAACACCGATACCAAGGGACATCAATGCCCGGGCAAGCTGGGAACTCTGCTGGTTGAGCTCATTGTACGTCCACCTCGTACCAGTCCAGGGGATAATAATGCACTCCTCAGTGCCATGATGTAGACATTGCAGCTCAAGAAGCTCGCCCAATGTGAGGTCTTCCAGAGGAGGGTCGACGGGACCATGCAGAACAGAGAGGTTGTGCTTCTCGACCTCGGGCACCGAAGGTATTGACTGGGTCATTGGCTGTGTAGCCATTTTGTTTTACGGGGGGGATATTGGAATAGTTGGGATTCAACAGAAGCAAAACAAAAATGAACAATGGACAAAACCATCCAGGGACCTTCAGACACACACCCAAAGAGGCATATAGCTACCATGCCAAAGAAGTACAAGTAGTGAGCGCAAAGTGACCTTGGCCGATGCCTACATTAATCCAACGATCTTTGCAACAGCCCCACGCTAGGCGGGCCACATGAAGTGCCATCCATGAACTAGGCTCACGGCGAAGGAATCGTCAGGCGAGAGCAATATGGGACAAATTTCCTTCAGCGAAGTATCCCAAGTACCTCGCCCATGTCATGGTGTATTTGCCCGGGACGCCTATTACGAGAGATCTATCTATCCGAGCTACCCTTTTCTGCCAACTCCGCGGCAGATCCTAGTCGTAGTGAAGGGGTGTCCCATACCAAGCCTTTGCTTAGCCAACCGGCAACTCTGGCAACCCGGCAGCGACATACTCGGCCACCTCTATTTGAGGAAACGGGGGGATCTAACGGGCAGCCACCGACAACATGGATACAATCGTGTACATCGAATGGATTGGCAGAAAGTGAAAAGGAAAATTTTCTTTGCCCACAAGCAGATCCACGGACGCATGCAAGGGTTCGAAACGCCGCGCTGGCTGGGGTGGAGTTACGAGATGGCAAGTGATTAGATTGATAAGATGACTTGGCATTAGTGACGTACCCGTACCACACCACTTCAGGATTGATCCCCTTTCTGGTGCGATACTCCGCCCCTGCGTTGCGAGATCGGAGGCTTTCCAATGCAACATGACGAAATATGCGGAATGGCGAATATGCAACTCGCAGCTTATTCATCATGACCATACAATGAAGATTAGCGAGACGGATCTTGATGCTACTTGAAGCCAAGAAGCCTTGAGTCATCGAATAAGATATTCAATTCTAGATCTAGAGATCGATCCTATGTCTGCTTGGTATTTATGACTAGTCTCATTTCTAAGCCTATCGACCAATCACTCAAACGCCCCCCCATGCAGTCCAAGTCTATCGAACTACCGCTGGCGCGGTTGAATTGACAGCGTGATAAGATCGCTCTCATCAAGCTTCTGTGGTATATATAACCACAATCTAGCATTATAGAACCTTGCCCTTCACTTGCTTGACCTGACTGACCACCGCATCCTTCCATATCGCTACGGCTACAACTTGAAGCAGCGATACGAGACTGCCGGTGATGCACATTCGTACTTGGGCCCTGTCGTAGGCAGTGATAATAGCGGTGCGCACAGGATCCCCCATCGGGTAGCTGAGCTGCTTCGTCAAGGATGAACCAATTTGGAACAGCTCCTTCTCGGAAAAGTTTGGGAGCAACTCCGCCAATGCTTTGGGGAGGGTGCTGTTCCAGATGGCACCGCTCAAGGTGTTGCCACCGGCCGAACCAACATAGCTTGCGAGTGACAGTACTGCCATGACTGATGCCAGTTCTCCATGGGTGCTGGTCACCATGATTGCAATTTGATGGCAGACCACAAGTGTACTGCCGCCAATGGTCATCAAAATCTGACACAAGACCAAAAATCCGATGTGTGTGTCCGGGCGTCGGAACACTATCATCATGCCACCCCCCAAGAAGTAGACGGGAAGTGCGACCCAGGCGAGCCACTTGTACCGATCACTGACTCGAATCAAGTAGCCAACGACAACGGCCCAGAGGCACGACCCAAATCCGTAGATATGGTCAATGTACCCGGCCTGCGTTATGCTGAGGCCATGCACCACCTGCAAGTACGAGGAATAGTACGAGTCCCACGAGTAGTAGGACACAAAGAGCACAATGGATAAGAGACAGGCTCCGGCGACATTCCGAGAAAAGAGCACCGAGAAGGCCACAACAGGCCGCGTCGCCGTGTACTTCTCGTGGAACCCGAATGCTACCAGCAATACAAGACCGACAACCAAGAACGAGATGTCCCAGCCGTTTTCTGCCTTGGTGCCCAGAGAAATGGGGACTAGAACCATGGTGAGGCCCACAGTGATGAGGACGACCCCAATGGCTGCAAATAGGAGTCAGAAATGCCAAAGGTGGGAATGCGAGATTGAAACCTACCGTCGTATTCATTGAGGTGCCAACGAATGCTTTGGGTGGTCGATTTCCCACTAAGGGGCTCTTTCTTCAATAGTCCCAGGCGCTCCGCCTTGCGCGCATTCATCATCAAGATGACCAAGATGGGTAGAGAAAACAAGAAGAACATGATGGCGGAGCCACCGAATGCCCATCTCCAATTGCTCTTCTCGTAAAACCAACGAGCAATAACAGGGCCGATGAAAGTGGTAATGAGGTTGGGGGACGTTGAGAACCCGAAGGCGATGGCGCGGTTCTTCATCGAAGATGTATCGGAAACGATGATGGTAAGAATGTACGAAAATCCACTAAGTCCAACGGCATAGAACACCTGATGTTGGTACTCAGCATCTTGCAGAAACCATGGCGAGTTTGGATTGGGCATACTTGGGCCGCAGCGTAGGTCTTGACATTTTGACATACGGCCATAAGAATCAATCCTATCGTGGCCAAAACTATCACGGAGGCCAGTCCCTGAGGTCGTCCCCACGCATCAATAATCTTGGAAATGGGCAGCTTCAAAACGCCGCTGAGAATGGACGAAACGATGCCGATGGTTGGGATTAACGAGTGGGAGGAGAATTCGCTGGTGACATAGGGCGTGAGGTTCGAGATGATTTGCCACTGTAATGCCTGCGCAAAAGAGCACAGAAAGATGCTGGCGAGCCAATTAGTGACTGGGTTGCGAGTATTCTGCAAAGACGAACTCAAATCCCGACGAAAGCTGCGTAGATGAGACACTTACAAACAATAGGCTAAAACAAGTGCCGATTTGGACCAGACCATATTGATAGCGTCGGCCTGCTGTACACCTCCTTGCGCGTCGCTGTCGCCGTCATCACTGTCGCCATCGTCAGGGACGACTCTAACGCTGGCGTCGTTTTTGTTGGTGGTCCCATACTGCTGAGGTTGCACAACATCCGCGCCTTCTTCGAGCTGGCGCGATGACGATCCGGCCAGAAGCGGCACTTGAATCTCCGTGTCATCCATCACTATGCAAATATTCCCAGACAAAGCGACCGTGAAGGAGAGGAGGTAAGACGGTGTGCGAGGTTTTCAAAAGATGTAAATAATGCCGCGCCGACCGTGAGACGGATCCGGAAGCACCCGCATCAGCGAGTATCGCACCGATTGAGAGTCATGTGGCAAGCAGCGCGGGCGAGCGGGCAGGCATCTTGGCCATCCCCAGGGGTCCTATGCAGTGGTGCAAGTGGTGTCCTGCGGCACAGCAACCATGTGTCAGACGCGTACAGGGGACGTCAGTTCAGTTGACAGCACACAAACCATGTTTCAGCGCAATCAGCAACAATTACAGGCCTAGTCAGAATTAGATCCTGAGCTTCAACCTGAAATCTGGAATGCTAGTTTGCCATCTATTGGGCGGGAATTCAAGATGGGAGCCAGTAATCCAGCTAGCGTGCGGACTCTAATCAGCCAGGTTCGACTCTGCGATGCCCAAGGCAAGAAAATACGTGGCAGAATACGAAGTACGAAGTACAGACAGAAACACCTGCCGTCATTGGGAAGGAACGTCCGGAAATAGCACCATCTGATAACTTAATATTTCTGAAGGCGCGATTTCCCGCTTTCCCGCAATACCCGCATAATCAGATTGGAAAATAATCTGATCCGGTTGCCAAGCCTTCTTGGCTTCTTGGCTGGGACAGGGCATCGGCGCACCCTTGACAAGTGCAACGCACCATCGGAGGCTGGTGCATGAAAGCCACCTCCATATTTCTTCCCAAGTACAGTCAAGTACCGACGCACACTCTCGGTACAACGCCCCGCTCATATGCGTTACATCATGAAAATCGAAGAGGGAAATGCGACTCCGCGAAGAAGCATGATGAATTCATGATCGCCTTCCAAAGCCCTTGTAGCGGCGGGGCTTGGCCGGTCCAGAGTGGAACAGCATTCTCGACGGAACCACTCAGGCTCCGGTGCCGTCTGCTCACGATGGCCGCTAAAAGCTTTCCTGCGTGAATGGAAATCTGGCTCGAATAATCTTTCCAAAAGAGCTCGCAGTCTCTCTTCGCGACACTCATTTTCAAGTGCAGCAGCAGCAACATGGCTGACACGTCCGCAGCCAGTCAAGCGCCCGCCGGCCCTGTTGCCGTGACGGAGACAGATGAGACGGGCAGTCTGTCCAACCAGAAACAAGGGAAGAAAAAGTCTTCTGTAAGTTCTCAACGACGTTAGCGCTATTCAGAATCCATGGGAGCGAGTGACTGATCCTCACTAAAGGGGCTCCAAAATTGCTTCAGATACTTCCGACTCCTCGTCTACGCAGAACCGACCGCAAACGACATCGGACTGCTCTTGGTTGGGTTGTTCTCGGCCATTGGTTCAGGCATTCCCTTCCCCCTTATCGGTATCCTCTTCGGTGAACTTGTGGACAACCTCAACTCGGCAACATGTGCAGCCCAAACGGAAACCAGCGCACAGCAGTATCAGGATGATGTCAATGACAAGCTCCTCAAGGTCGTATATGTCGCCATCGCCCAGTTCGTTCTGATCTACCTCTATGTCGTCTGCTGGAATCTCTCCGGCGATCGTTTAGCCCATCGCCTGCGTGCCAAGTACTTGAGGTCCATCCTCAAACAGGAGGTTTCTTTCTTTGACAAGCTCCCTGCCGGAGACGTCTCGGCGCGTCTTACCGGTGATATCAACACCATCAAGGATGGCACCTCGCAGAAGGTCGGCGTCGTTCTCGGCGTCGTGTCCTTGTTCGTCACTGCCTACATCATAGCCTTTATCAAGAATGCCAGGCTTGCTGGAATTCTCGTGTCGATTTTACCTGCTTTCCTCTTGCTGGGAGCACTGGGTACTTACTACATCGGGAAGTTCTCGGGGCTGATGTCTGAACACATGGCCAAGGCCTCCGGTGTTGCTCTGGAGAGTTTGTCAAATGTCATGGTCGTGCAAGCTTTCCGCGCCAACGACCGCCTGGAGAAGAAGTTTGTCGAGGAGCTGTGGAATACCCGTAAGAATGGTATCAAGAAAGCCGTCGCCACGGCCATTCAATCGGGTTTCCTCTACTTCCTAGCCTATGCAGCCAGTGGTTTAGCTTACTGGCAAGGAAGTCAGACTATCGCCGACGTGGTTAGTGGCAAGCTTGAAGGCCAAACCGTCGGAACGACATACACCATCATTTTCGTCTTGGTCGATGGTGAGCGCGCCGCAACACTAGAGTGCGGTATGTTTACTAACTTCAGCTACTCAGGTACCCTTATTCTTAGCCAGATGGCTCCTTTCATCCAAATCTTCGCCTCCGCTTCAGCAGCTTTCGAGAAATTGGAGGACGATATCAATCGGCAATCCCAAATCGACGGAACTCTCGACTCATCCGCTGGTACAATTTTGTCTGAGTGTGAGGGAGAAGTCAGACTGGAGAACGTCAACTTCACCTATCCATCGCGGCCAGATGTACCAGTCATCCAAGACGTGTCTCTTCGCTTCCCGGCCAAGAAGTACACAGCAGTCGTTGGCTTGTCCGGAAGCGGAAAGTCTACCATCGCAGGCCTGGTGACAAGACTTTATGATCCCGATCAAGGCTCGCTATTCTTGGACGGCCATAAACTCACCGACCTAAACGTGCGCCATCTTAGGGGCTTCATTGGTCTCGTGCAACAAGATCCCCTTCTACTTGACCGATCCCTCTTGGAAAACATTGCGCTTGGCCTGATCAACTCTTCGAGAGAGGAACACGTTGCACTTCAACCCATCCTCTACGGAGACACTTTGGCCAAGATTGCGGAGGCGGTGCGAAACGGCGAGGATGTGACTGCGGTAGCCGCTTCCCATGGTCCCGAAGCCGTCCGGATCATTGAAATGGTGCAACACGCTGCAACTCTAGCTGACGCCGGCATCTTCCTTGACAAGCTCGAATACGGATTTGGTACAATCGTTGGCCCCAACGGCGACTTGCTCAGTGGAGGCCAGAAGCAGAGGGTGGCTCTCGCCCGAGCCTTGGTCAAAGACCCGAAAATCCTGGTACTCGACGAGGCGACCTCGTCGCTAGACTCGGCGAGCGAGCAGCGCATCCAGAAGGCCATTGAGCAAGCTACCGCTGGACGAACCGTTATTTCCATTGCGCACAGGTTGGCAACGGTCAAGAACGCTGACAGCATCGTCGTTATGCGCAGTGGTCGGGTCATCGAACAGGGCAGCCATCTCGAGCTCATAGCCAAAGATGCCGACTATGCTGCACTGGTTCGCCTTCAGACCATGGGTTCGGAAACGTCAAGTGTCAGCACGTCCAAAGGGTCCGAGTCGGCTGTCGAGCACGACAGGGTTTCCAGGTCAATGAGCGTCACCAACGAGAAAACACCAGCAGCAGGACTCAATATGGCCTCCGAAGAGACATCAACACCACCGGCCGCGGAAACTGAGAAGAAGACTAGAGCGACTAAGGCGACAGTGAAAAGTATCAACTTCTTCGTTCGCCCGTACTGGATCTTTTTGTTTATCGCATTCTTCTTCTCGGTTGTTGTTGGAGGTTCATACTCGAGCTCTGCCGTCCTCGTCGGAAACACCATTGGGGCTTTGAGTCCTTGTGAGCCTCCCAGTGAAATTAAGTCCTCTGGAAGCTTTTTCGCGCTTCTATTCTTTATCCTCGGAATCATCGAGCTCTTTGCCAACACCATCAGCTGGTCTGCCTTTGGATGGGTTGCTGAGAATATCCTCTGCACTATCAGGACTCTGTCCTACCGATCATTGATGGAGCAAGATTTACATTGGCACCAGTCAGAGAATCGTACGCCTTCGACCCTTCTCGCATTCATCACTAACGACACTACTATTATCGGTGGTTTGACGGGCTCTATCATGGGTACCATTTTTTCAATCGTCGTCAACTTCGTAGTAGCGGTTGTCTTGACGCACATCATTGCGTGGAAGATCGCATTGGTTTGCCTCGCAGTTGTCCCCCTGATGTTGGGATCAGGCATCTTGCAGCTCAACATTCTTGCCGCTTTCGCGACTCGCCACGAAAAAGCCTTTGCCAAGTCGGTCAGCATCACCGTCGAGGCGGTGAACTCGATCAAAACGGTGGCGGCACTGTCGCTAGAACAGGAGGTGCTCGGGACCTACCGTCGTTCTCTCAATAGCCCCAGAAAGGAGATGCTTCGAAACTGCCTCTGGGCCAATGTGTTCCTGGCTTTTACCTTCAGTCTTTCCAATCTCCTTTACGCGCTTGCGTACTGGTGGGGCGCGCAGAATATCATCAATGGCACATACACCCAGACGCAGTTCTTCATCGTGCTCATCGCATTGCTCGTAAGTGCACAGCAGTGGGGCGAGTTGTTCACCCTGGCTCCCGAGGTTACCAACGCCGGAAGAGCCGTCGGACGAATCCTCGACCTGATCGATCTTGGATCAACCCGAACAGTGGAAAAGAAGCCATCGGCTATTGACGACCCAGAGGGTGCCATCGAGTCGAAGCCTTCGGGTCCTACGAGCGATCAAGGCCTCCAAGTCAGCTTCAAGCAATTGAAGTTCTCGTACCCCGCGAGGCCGAACCGTCAGGTGCTCAAGGGTCTGGACGTAGACATCAGCCCCGGCCAGTTCTGTGCACTTGTTGGTCCCAGTGGCGCAGGAAAGTCTACCATCGTCTCGCTGTTGGAGCGGATGTACCATCCCGACTCGGGCGTCATCGAGATTGATGGCGTGGACGTTACAGCCAGGAAAGAAGCAGTATTCCGTGATGACATCGGCTTGGTTCCTCAGGATAACATCCTGTTCGAGGGAACCATTCGCTTTAACATCGCGCTCGGAGCCCGACCAGACCATCAGCCAACCGACCTCGAAATCGAGGAAGCTTGCAAATTGGCTAACATGCACGAAACCATCATGGCGCTGCCCGACGGTTACGACACCCAGTGCGGTACCGGCGGTGGGCAGCTCAGTGGTGGCCAGAAGCAACGCCTTGCCATCGCACGAGCGTTGGTCCGAAAGCCGCGATTACTTCTGCTAGATGAGTCGACGAGCGCCCTGGACGCCGAATCGGAGAGGCTGCTCCAGGACGGTCTCGACAGGGCGACCAAGGGCATCACCGTGATCGCCATCGCCCATCGCCTGCACACGATCCGCCGCGCTGACGTCATCTTCATGATTGAGGACGGGCAATGCGTGGACAAGGGTTCACACGAGGAGCTGATGCAGAGGAGTGAGAGTTATCGGGTCAATGTGCTCCACCAAACTCTCAACTAATTGGAATTTACCTTCATTAAGGGCCGAAGGGGAACACAAAAGGAACATGTCGAACCGTGTACATAATAGCAATTTTTATCAATAGACGCCAAAGTAATACCTAGCATTCAAGACAAGAAACCGTGGATACCCCGCCCAGTCCTGCAAATGGTGTTCGAAACGTCGAACCCTGTTATCGAGTCTTCATCATTCCCAAATCATTTCGTGGGGTATCAGGTAGATAAAAAGGAGACCGGGCAGCTGGGAGCACTTCGTCCGGCCGAGCCCATCCCTAGCGCTTTCCGGCGGGTGCCATTCCCAACGGCGCAGGTGCTGCTAACCTGCAGGTACTGATTGGTTGGTGTTTTCCCGCTTTTCATCAAGATGGGATTAGTCAAACTCAATTGTTGACCTCAGCCCACAGTTGCGTGGTGGACTTGGGTCTTTTCTGGGTCTCGACACGGAGGGCAACCATGTCAGTACATGCATTCCAAGTTCAAGCACTGTCTTGTCTTGTCTAGGAGTCCGGGTCAAAGGTTGACCCCACACCCCGCGGGATGCCGTGTGTCCGGAGCTATGGGACACTGGGCCCGCCGGTGTCCACCTGAAATGCATCAAATGCAGCTATTGTGAGGGGTAGATAGACGTGTGGCTCTCTCTCTTTGGGGAAAGGAGAAATGTAGACCCATTCCTCGGTGGCTGATACAACGACTATATGTCGGGGAATTAGAGTTGGTACCCGGCACCCAGCACCCCTCACCCCTCACCCCGGTTTGGGCATGCATTTCTCCAGAAAAGAGTAGCGCGAGGCAAAGTTCATAAGGGACGGATGACGGGGAGTCTCCCTGTTGGTTGACGTACAGTGTAGTACTCGATATCGGACGCGGGGAAAGGGGACAACTAATATATATAGAGCTGCTTTGGAGGATCTGAAGCTGGAATACGTCTGATCTATCTTTCTTCATTATCTCATTGTGGCATTTACAGCATTCGCCCCTGTTGTGCTTATTCCCCTGCATCCTCCGGTCTCCATCCGCACCTCTAGCACCGTCAAACAAACCCACTACCAGGACCTTCGTCCGTGATATTACAATGGCCTCTACTCAAATACCAACCGAGCAGTGGGCGCAGGTAGTAGAGAAGAAGGGCGGCCGTAAGTACATCGCTCCAAGAGCATTCCTCCACAACGTGATGCCCTTAAAAACAACGTCAACTAACCTTCCTCTTCCCCACGACAGCCGTGTCGTACAAGAAAATCCCCGTCCCCACCTGCGGACCAGACGAAGTGCTCGTCAACATCAAATACAGCGGCGTGTGCCACACCGACCTGCACGCCATGATGGGAGACTGGCCCCTACCAACCAAAATGCCCCTCGTCGGCGGCCACGAAGGAGCCGGCATTGTTGTCGCGCGCGGTGAGCTCGTAAAGGACATCGAGATCGGCGACTACGCCGGCATCAAGTGGCTCAACGGCTCCTGCGCCGCGTGCTACTACTGCCGACAGGCCGATGAACCCCTCTGCGGCGAGCCCCAGCTCAGCGGATATACCGTGGATGGGTCGTTCCAGCAGTACTGCATCGGCAAGGCGGCCCAGGTGGCCCATATTCCCAAGGAGTGTAGTCTTGAGGCTATTGCGCCGATTCTGTGTGCGGGTTTGACGGTTTATAAAGCGTTGAAGGAGAGTGGGGCGAGACCGGGGCAGTTTGTTGCGGTTGTGGGGGCGGGCGGCGGGTTGGGGAGTCTCGCGATACAGTACGGTAAGGCCATGGGTTTGCATGTCATTGCTGTTGATGGAGGCCAGGATAAGGGCCAGCATTGTCTTGACTTGGGTGCCACGGCGTATGTGGATTTTACGACTTCGAAGGACTTGGTTTCGGAGGTAAAGCAAGCGAGCGGGGAAGATGGGTTGGGGCCGCATGCGGTGCTAGTCTTGGCTGCGAGCGAGAAGCCGTTCCAGCAGGCAAGCGAGTATGTGAGGAGTCGTGGTACTATTGTGTGCATTGGGTTGCCAGCGAATGCATACTTGAAGGCGCCTGTGTTTGATACTGTTACTCGGTATGTTGACCTAATCCCCAAGCCTAAGCCCAAAAGGGGGGTGGCTTGATTCTTCTTGTGCCTTACTGATAATGTCATAGCATGATCAATATCAAGGGCAGCTATGTTGGGAACCGGCAGGATACCGCCGAAGCAATTGAGTTCTACAGGAGAGGGCTCATTAAGTCTACCCACAAGACTGTAGGGCTGAGTGAGCTGCAGAGTGTCTTCAAATTGATGGAGGAGGGCAAGATTACCGGACGATATGTCGTTGACACGAGCAGATAGGAGATATTGTTAAAAAGGGGTATTGATCGGATTGGTTCGGAAAGCGTGGGTAGTGCGAGTTACGGGGCATGGCGAATTGGAATACGATAGAGGCGTGCGCTGATGGTTCGCAAATAAATTCCGATGGATTCAAAAATTACATTGAAAAACACTAGCCCTAGATATTCTGCGCGTGAAAGGTGAAATTAGTTATTGCTTGTTCAAATCTTCTCTAACTGAGCTATAGCAGGTGACTACTGAAAGGGGTTATGACTCCAACTCAGTAGAGTGCAGGGTTTTTTTTCAATTTATTCACAATAGCCAATGATTGATGGACGCCAAGTTGAGTGAATATTAGGGATCGGTGAATAGCCCATGGAGGATATAATGGACAGGGTGGACAATTACGACGTATGTATCTTATTCCAGTGAACCAACAATACTCGCAGAATTTTCCCATTGAGGATCTAGCACTTCTAATATCGCTTTCTACATTATAATGTCCGATAAACTATATATGTACAGTTCTAAGTGATATTAGTATACCCAAACACTTATGTAAATATGCAGGAAGTAGTGCTCAGGAACGAACTATCAAAATCTCAATGAGGCTATGGCTTTGAGATCACTTAGTGTCTCTTTAGACCCTGCCTCCTCTCATATGAGATATTATAAGTTGCTTACGTTCTCGCGCATTCAAGGCTCTCAAACTATACAGTTGCATATGACATCAGATAATTGTATATTGTGCCGCGTGAAAGGAGTATGTAACCCTCAATTATATTATTTCACCAATGGCCTGTTTAATATGATAGTCATCCCTTCAATAGCCACCAAGTGCATACCATGCTCAAATGACCACAGAAGAACAGAAATCCAGCAAGCAAAACACAAAATCCATATACACTTTCCATCCCATATTACTTATTCACCCTCGGATCCTCAACCAATCCCACTCCTCGTCTCCTGCACAACATACATAGCCGTCTCACACACCGAAACATGCGCACACCCCAAAATCTCACTTTTCTTAAAACTCATCCCAATAACCGCATTTAAACCCCTAGATACACTATCCAGAACCATCCTTTCCGTCGCCTGGTCGTTCGCACCTTAGATCATGTCTGTGATGCTCTTCACCTCGCTGCCGATCCCCACGCTTTTCGGAAAGGATTTGTGTCCTTGCGCGCTACCATGATGCTACCGTGCAAGCTACCGATGACGCGGACGATTCGGTAGCCTGGTAGATGGGGTAGGGTGGAGGTGTCAGAGAACAGAATGCCATAGGCACCAGTGGGTGTCAGGACACTGAACGCAGGACACCGGTGGGCCGCCGGAGGAGTGTTTCGGACAAAAGACTCCCGAGTCATGATTACAATCTATGTGAAGCTTTGGGATGACGAGAGTCAAGATCCTTGGCATCGCCGACCCTGCTGTTATGCCGGGTCCAAGCGGCGGCCTAGCTATCTATATAAGGACCATCTCGAAGTAGGACAGGGAAGGAGTTGTCAGAGCCACAAGTGTCATCCGAGGCGGGCCGGCTTCCACCAGGTAGGAAGCCGTTTGTGGCGGCTAGAGAGCCGCTTGTGGCGAATGAGAGCCGTTGAAGCCGTTTGTAGCGGATAGTGAATCGCTTGGTTGCAGATAAGGAGCCGCTATCCAAGATATTGGCCGAAGTCGGAGGAACACAGACATACGGAAGCAAACATCCAGAATCCAAGAGAGAACCTCGGCTGGCTATAAGTAAGGAGTCGAGACGGAGGAAGATAGAGAGGGCAGAGATCAATGAACTACTGTGGACACCCCTACCTGCCATCACCAAGTGACCACCAGGTGACCACCAGGGGGACACGCCTATTTCTCCCCTTCACTCTGTACTATCGCCTTCGGTCCAGGCCGTAACCTGACACCACCATACTGTCCATAGGCGAAATGTTGCTGCTCTTTCGCGGTACTCATACCGTCTCATGCAGTACGTTCAATAACAGCTACTTTTTAGCCTAGAAGACTGTTTTACTCCCTCAAAGAGAAAAGGTCTCCCGGCTAAACCCTGTTCTAGGGTACCTGAAACTCTACCAAAAGCGTATAGGGCAGAGAGACCGTACAACTACACGCTGTAGGTTTAATTCAAAACAGACTATAGCGTACTTGATTCTCTACTGTAAGCTATAGTAGAGAAAAGAGGTCCTAGAAGATATGAAGGGGTTAAAACCAACCCTAGAAGTCAGTTTTCCTATTAAGCTAGGTAAGAAAGCATAGCTTTCCTCCTAGATGGTACCGGAATTGCTACTAGGTGTCACGACCTGGGTTGCATCGCATTGGTAGAGACCTCGATTAGGTGCTATCGACGAAGATTCTACTCTAAGGAGCGAAGGAAAGAAGATGACAACTTAGGTTTGAGGGAGCGCGACTAAGTCATCCACGCTTGGCGGGGCTCCTACAAGGGTTATGATTGGCTTCCCATCTGACACTGCCACGGCAGGTGTTCCAGCTGTAAGTCACCTGGTTGTAGTGAGTCTGCGAGGGTTGACCTTCACACTAGGGAGTGTTATCTGAAACAGTAGTAACTTGCAATACAGGTAACTCATAACTTGGAAGTATGAAGAACCCTAGAATTTAGGATTACAAAATGATATAAGTGTAAGGCGCTATCTCTGTAAGGTAACTATCGCTCCCTAGATTGGAGTTTATGTGCTAAGGGTTGCATTTAATAGATTAAAGGCTTACTAGGTCATTTTTATAAGCCATGGATTTGCATATGATAGTATGATAAACGGAAATGAAGAAAAAGGCTCAATCCCAGTACCTTCAAGGCGGGTAATCTCGTATTCTTCAAACCTGATAGCAGCAGTTTGAGCGGGGTGGCTCGGCAGTCTTCTTCAAGCGTGATTATGGGCAAGTAATGTGTACCAAAAGCCCTATTTTGCTGCCAAGATCGACGCAATTATGTTACTAGCTATGGGAAGAAGGTCGAAGTACTTCGCCTTGGACGCACCTAACCTTAGTCAAATCTCTACCGCACCAGCATCGTCTGCGTCATCAACAAACCCCTTTTGCGCCATCCTCAGCTTCACCTCTTGCTGAGATTGCATAGCCTAGAGGTTGTTAGCCGCAAATATTTGATGTTTACGTAATTATGCATGATAAATTGAGGTACGAGACTACTGACCTTTTCGACAGTGTTGTTCACAATGTATCGAATCACCGAAACGCGCTGCTTCTGTCCCAACCGGATGGCCCGGGCAATGGCCTGACTTTCTACGCTCGGGTTCCATTGCAGCTCCACGATGAAAACACGGTTGGCGCAAGTAAGGTTCAGCCTGGACGAATCAACTTCAGGGGATAGACTGATTTTAGTTGGAACGGCAACGTACCCAAATGCGCCGGTCCCCGTCGTCATAATGAGCACCGGGTCACCAGTCCTTTTAGCAAAGTCATCCAGGATTTTCTGTCGCTTGGCCAGCGGACACTCCCCATCGATACGAGAGAACCGTATACCATCTTGTTTCAAGTGCCTCGCCACGAGATTAAGCGTCCTAGTCCAGCACGAGAAGATGATGCTCTTTGTCCTGGTCAAGTCCTGCCTCACGTCCGAGATGAGCGCCTGCATCTTGGTGGAATATCCGTCATGGCGGAAATAACGGTCGTCTTCTAGCTCTCCGCCCCGTCTCCCTGACTGGCTTGCATTCGCGCCGGTCATGTCTACACCGGGGGCATCGGTGACGATTCGGACGCACATGGGACAATGTCCCCTCGCATCAACTTGCCCCGCTTGGTCGACTATGTCCTGCAAACACTCAGAACACAAGACATGATTGCATTTTTCGACGAAGTTATTGTAGAGCTCGTTTGATCCCAGAACTGGCATGATTTGCGAGCACCCATTACAGGTGACTTCGGCACTATCCCTCTTTAGCGACAAGGCAGCCTCCTTGATGTCCCTCAGGCTTTTCGCACTCTGCCAGCTAAACTGCTGCTGAAAAGTCCCGTGGTTGCACATGATTCTCAACTGCAACTGCGCCTGGAAGAGGCCAAAATTGCTCGTCTCCTCATGCTCGCCAACTTTCTGTTTGATCTTGCGAAACAGGATATCCTGGGTCTTATTATACTGCTTCATTTCAGGCTCAGTAAGGTCCAGTATGCGCACCGACTCATCGAGGTCGGGCAACTGAAGCAGGTCTTTGGTTCTGCGCAAGCAGAGGGACTCGATGAGGGGTAGAAGCCGTTCTTTGGTCGTCTCGTCGTCGTTTTGCTCGAAGGGGACGGCGATGTAGCGTCGAAAGACGGCCATGCTGTCGAAGGGCCGGGCGCGGATGAAGCAGAATAGCGAGCCGATGTCTTCGAGCTTGTTCTGGATTGGGGTGCCTGTTAGACACCACCGCGAGTGTGCCTTGAGCTCGGCACAGGTCTTATGGAAGCTTGTGGCTTGGCGGCGGATGATATGAGCTGAACGCGTTAATACACATAAGTGTAATGTAGCAAGGGAATAGAGCACGTACCTTCGTCGAGGACCACCCTATACCACTCAATATCGTGCAGCAGACTAGACTTTTTGAAAGCCGAGCTATCGCTAAACTCCTTAGCTAGGGTGTTGTACGTCGTGACTACAATATCTGCGTCCTCCAGCTTCGCGGCACCAGCGCCATTTTTATTCCGGTTTGGTCCGTGGTACCGAATCACATTTAGACTATCCTCTAGATGTCTGAGAAAAAACAGAAGTTAGTAATACTAAATTTTGAGATATTGAAAATACTCACTCCTCAATCTCCTTTTCCCAGTTGTTGATGAGCACTTCACAAAAGTTAGTCTGTCACATAAGACGCGATTCCAGAAACTCACAAGCTGAAGAAACCACAACTAGTGTAGCTCGGGTGTGGCCTTTGACCTTTGTCGCCCCATCTCTAGCAGTCCTGCGCTTACTTGCCCATATCTGTCCCTTTTCCAAAGTCTCTACGATGAGTGACAAAATCGATAAGGATTTCCCCATGCCCATCTCGTCGGCCAAGATACCGCCGCCTTTCTCTTCTGGCCGGGTTCGGGCCTTGCTTTTCGTGATCGAATGTTGGTAACTATGCAAGGTGTGCTCAGTTCTTATTTGGTACCTAGAACGCGATTGCTATGGCGAACCTAGTATGTCCCTCTACCACCTTCTCCTTCCACAGCCGAAATTGGTCGGGGATTTCGCCTGATTCTCGTTGAAGCATAAAGTCGAGCGCCTCCTTTTGATGGCTATATACGGTATCAGTTCATCTTCGGGTATTTTGCTCTCTGTTGGTGGTGCATGGCTTACCCAAGCATTCCCTTCTTGAACCGACGGCTGACTCTAATCTGCTGTAGCCCCTCTTGTCTCTTGGACCTATTGTAGACATCCGAGATGGTCTGGTGTAGGTGTTCCTCCTCAGTTCGAGGTTTTGCTTGTACTTTTACCCTCTGGAGCATCTCGACGGGCGTGTCAAGTATACTCGCATCAAGGCCTTCAAACACCAAGACCTGCGGGTTTTCATATGGCAAATCCCGTCTCGCGTATTCAGGTTTCTGAAGCCACAGCTTGTGTGACGAGAGAAGATCCCCAACATAATTGGCTTGATTCGGCGGCCCGTAGATGTTGATGCTCACTCGTATCAATGCTTCGGACGGCTTCTGAGCTCGGCCTATTGTATCTCTAAGCACTTTCGTCTCGGCAACAGCTTCGAAATCTAACTCGCTAATTCTGAGCATGTCAGATAGGTGTTTCGTCATGCTGGATCGCAGGAGACCGAACTCGGTCCCGTCGTCGAAACTCAGGAGGACGTGTTCGGGCTTCTCGGATAGCCTGAAATGTTGGGTTTGTTTAGGGCCTCTGCCTTCGGTCGGCTTAAGTTTGGTGTCGAGGAAACCCATGTCACCAACTATCTTGACGTCTACGTTGTAGAGCTACATAAATTGTGGTTAGTGTTTCGTTGTCAATACTGGATGCTGGTGCCCCGTAGCTTATCGTTTCAGTGGAATCCCAGGATTCATCCTTAGGATTTGCATTTGATATGATTTAGGGAATTTGGGCTTACCATGCCATAGCATACGGTCTTGGGTTTAACTCCGTTTGACATAACTTCACCATCGGCGACGCCTTGGTACAAATCGCTAGCTTCCGCCGTTACTGGTGGAGAGTCTGAGGCTCGATCTGGTTGTTGATCGAATATAGAAGCATAGCCCCACTGCTGTACGTCGTCAAATTCGTCTTGGCCTAACCCGTACGGACGTTCAAAGTCAGGAAATTTTGAGTTATAATTCAGGTTGAACAATATATCGTCGGAGAATACATCTGCATAATCCTCTTGCCCTGCCCCAGTCCTAGGAGTGCATGAGTATAGCGTGCAGGAGTGTTTTCAGGGTCACTTAACGTGATATAGCCATTTTGCGTATGAAGCCGTTGACTACCGTAGCTAGGCCCTTCATCGTTGAGAATCCGCTTCAAAGACATTTGAACAATGTTCATATAGCTTGAAAGCTATATTTTTGAAAATGAAATACTTTTGGTAGATCCCCGGCAACTATTCCATCAACGCACGAAGGATTAGACACCGCTACAAAACATTCCTCGGGTGAAGAAATTCGCATAACATGACACATGCAACCCAACTGCGGCTTAGACTTATTACACACACGATATGTCTGCACAGAACGCAATAGCGCACACAATAAAATGTTGACTTATCAGCCAAGGCGCACAGCTAGGCACACATGCACATACAGGGGTTGCAGTATCGCAACCTATCACAAGACCTGAATACGATCGCACTGCATGCTGACTTGACCCATAGATGATCGTAACAGCTTGCTATTCGCTGAATGTCAGGCAGAATAGTGCGCCTGGTTTTTGCCTTAATTTTGCAGTGCACCCTTGTCAGATACGCCCGGTTTGTATGACGGGGGCTCGGCGATTACTACCACCACCGCAGGCTCAGCCCCAACGCGTCGGTATGGGGTTATGCAGACTAAGCCAGGAGGCCTGGTGTGAAATTTTATGGGTTGTCTACTATTTTGTGCTTTCCTTTGCACTTTTGTCGTGGTCATTACTCCCAGGTATTATCTTGTTGTGTTGAATGCTATAGCCTGAAACGTGAGATATAGTCCAACTGCTAGAGTGCCATGGCACCAATCAACACGTGGAGAGAGAGAGAACCGGACGAGAAGATGACGGAGTCCTTTAACAAGTCCCTGATTGGGTTCCGTAAAAGCTGCTCAGCATCGGCAGTGCAGGAGTTCGAACATGCAACGAGTTTCGCTGTCAAGCGCGAATTGCTTCGCATACAGAGGGACCAGGAAAGGTTGAGAGCCATGATGAACTTAAGTCGTGTGAAGAAGTTTTTCCAGAGGATGGAAGAATACAGCGAAATCCTCGAGGCGATTGTTGACGTATCTAAATATATGTCATTCGTCTGGGGCGCTATGAAGTTTCTATTGCACGTAAGTCCCTCAGATGATTATTTCTGTGAAAGGAGATAAAGCTGACATCTTTATTTAGATAGCTGCTACAAACTTCACCGTAGACAGCTTCGACAGCCTCCTGGATTCGTACGAGAGGCTAGGGGGAAAAATGCCCGAGCTTAAGGGGAGGCAAGCTCTCTTCTCTGAGTTTACAGGCATGCGAAACTGCCTTGCATTTCTGTACGACGATGTGTTGGAGTTCCATCTTGGGGCTTACAAGTGTTTCACCCAATTCCCTGAGAGAGGTGAGTGAGTATAGCACACATACCTCGATCTACGTGTCAACTCATAACGAGGCAGGCCAGAAAAAGATCATCAAGGCGGCATGGAAAGACTTCGAACTCCAGATATTTAGTATCGAAAATAGGTTGGGAGCGCACAAATCACTCGTCGAGTTAGTTGCCCGGTGCTTGGACTACAACATCTCCATGGGACGCATCTCAGAAAATGACCCCCTTCCCGAAGACGACGTTTCAAGAATAAGCGGGAAAGTATTCGACTACGAGAGAGAGAGGGAAAATAGCATCCAAAGGGGGAAAGAGGACGAATCGAAAAGACGCGCAAAACAGATCGAGGAGACCTTGCAGTGGATATCTCCCAAGGGGAACATTACGCGGGAGATACATGATGCCAGCAGTCAAGTGCGGAAGAGTTTTCCAAATACTTGCGACTGGTTCACGGAGAATGATTCCTTTGAGAACTGGCTCAAAGTGGAAACGCCGACACATTCGATTTTGTGGTTAAGGGGAAACATGGTACGTAATTCGGACAATCTGGCCAGCCCTTCATTTCTTCAAAAGTATAAGATGTGTTGTTTTCATATCCCATATGCATATACGCCGAGTCTATAGAGACGCGCATCTTAGTCCAGTGGGATGCACCATTCATTCAGATAAACAACTACTAACTCGAGTGCTGAACAGGGTGCAGGTAACATCCTTAACCCACAGCATTTTAGTTCCCAACTCTCACGGTATAATTGCAGGAAAAACAACACTCGCCTCACAAATTGTCGACTTATGTGCAGAGAGGGCATCAGACTCCTCTTTCCAAACCATCTACTTCTACTGCAAGGGCAAGGACCCGGAGATATCAAGCTGTTTAGCGATCTTCCAAAGCCTTCTTTGGCAGCAGCTCCAAAACATCCAGCTCAAGAAAGACGGCGTCGAGAAGTACAAGCAGCTTATAGCATACTGCCACGACCGAAAGGTAGCCTCGGGACAACAGCACCTCAGCCGGCAGGAACTGACCAAATCCCTTCTCGACATCTTCTTCGAGCTCATCGACTATCAATACGTTATCATCGACGGGCTGGACGAGTGTGAAAAGACGGAGATCAAGCAGTGCTTGACGGCTCTCACGGCTGCGGTCGCGCAGAAAGACAAGGTCCACCCGGGCAGCTTGAGATTGCTTGTTTCTAGTCGGGATATCATCGAGATCAAGAGGCCGCTGGAGACTGAGAACACGACGGCAAAGGTGGTCAATGATCATAACGAAGAGGCCATAAAATTGTACGTCATGCAGCGGATTGAAAAATTCCCGGACGCTTTAGGGCTGGACAAAGATGAGGCGACGAAGACGAAGATCAGCGAGAAGCTGACAGGCAAGGGAAAGGCGGGGTCCACGCAAGGTATGAATTTCTTGCTGGTTGAAACGACGCACCGTCTGATGACTACCTGTTAGGGATGTTCCTGTTTGCAAAACTAGTTCTTGATAATCTCGAAAATTCATTTGACAGAGACCGGCTGTCGAAGGAGCTGGATAGGGCTCAGTTCCCCAAGGATATTGGAGAAGCGTACGTTATTAGCACCCATGGAAAGTCTGGAGCGGTCCAGGACTACGATACTGACATAACATAGGTATGGAAGAATCATCGGCCACCTCAAAGAGCAACACGCAGAACAATGGGACAAGATCAAAGACATTCTCGGGTGGCTCGTCTGCGCCAAACGTCCACTCCAGTGGCACGAAATCCAAGCCATCGTATCGGTCAAAGAAGATTCTGTAGAAATCGAGCAGTGCAAATTCGTCAAAGACGTTACTGAAATCTGCGGATCGCTCGTTCATAAGCGTGGCACGAAGATCGAGCTCATACATCATACGGCACATGAGTAAGTCCTTCTTTCTCTTTACCCCTCTATGCTGATGTATGTCTGACAGTGGCACTCAGCTACGTGGTAAACAACCACTACGTAAAAGTGACTGAAGTCGAATTCAGCCTGGCGACACTCTGCATGCAGTATCTCACATTACCCTGCTTTGGCCAGCACCTCAGCACAGCAGAACGAACGAAATTCGCGAAAAACGGGTCCTACGCTTTCCAGGACTACGCAGTCTCCCGCTGGTTCCACCACATAGGTAAACTAGTCAAGTTATCCGTTATCCACCGCTCCCGAAACGAGGCCGAAGATAAAGACGAAGGTGAAGGCGGAGAAGCACAGGAAGAACTTCCCACCGTCCTCTCGGGAGAAAAGGCACGAAAACTTGCCCAGGTCCTCGACAAGTTCGTCTTCATGTATCAGGACTCAATCCAAGAATTTCCCACCCCGGACGAGACAGCCCAAAAGGAGTGCAAGGGGCTCGAAAACACCATTTTCTACGAGCACCTGATCCTGCTCTGGAGCCACATCTCCAAGCACGAGAGGGGAAACATTGACAGAAGGAACGAGGTTAGCCTTGCCGTCATGAAAGACGTCCTCAAGAAGAACCGCGAAGTCCTCGAAGACCTAAGCTCTAAACTCCACGGGGACGACGCCGCAAAGTTGCAGGACTACTACGGAACGAATTTCTTCAAGTGTCCACGTACTTTGTGCGCTCACTTCGGGGAAGGGTTCAAAGAGCCCAAGTTGCGTGAAGTGCATATCCAACGGCACACGCGGCCGTTTCAATGTCCCGTGGTAGATTGTCAGTTAGGGACGATCGGCTTCGTGTCGGAAAAGGATACGAATAAGCACGTAAGGAATTATCATGCGGCAGCAGGTGACGGCACTGGCGGTGACGGACAGCAGTCGCCTTTCCCGCACTTGAATAAGAGCAGTAATCATGCGAGGTTTACTTGTGATATTTGCGGGCACAAGTTTACAAGGAAGATCAATTTGACGGGACACACGCGGAGTCATTTTGGGGAGAGGCCTTATGGGTGCCAGACTTGTGGGAAGAAGTTTACAAGAGTGAATGATTTGAGGAGGCATGAGAGGTTGCATTTGCAGATGTAGGTACAATGTGTGGTAATGGTGTATGGATGCAAGGACGGAGTAAGGGGGGAGGGGGAGGGGGAGGGGGAGGGGACACGGAACGAACCGATGGTGGTGTTTACTTAACTACTACTACTAGTTTGAGTGGCCTTGGACTGACTTACCGTGAAGCAACTCATATTCAATTCACATCAGGCTGGACTGGACAACCGCAATGAATGTAATCTTGAGAAGCGGCGCAGCATTCAGACTGTACCAAGACTCAACACCATACTCAAGTAGTAGTCGACCCTCCCCTGGGAACTGAATTGACCAGGTCTTAACACCGCCATAAGTCCAAAAACGGCTTCGAATTGGAAAAGAGCAGTTGGCAAATTTATTTTGGGCTCAAAAGCGATGGGGGAGACCGTTCGCAAGCTATTTTGGGCAGGACGAAAGACACAGAAATCTGGGATGGTTCGCGAACCTAGCTCCCTTTACGCGATGGAACCCGCTGACTCGTGCCCTACGATCGAAACCCATGCTGTCATTCATCCCACCAGCAGCAAGGATGCTAGTCAGTTGGACGGCACACCTCCAGCGGTGCAAATCCGGTGGGGAAAATCCTAGGAACGGGGTGGCAGCCGATGGGATCTGGGTTGAGAATCTCCTTGGATGTTCTCCATTGCTGAGGACGCTGAGGACTGGTATCCGCGTTTCACACTTTGCGGCAAGGGCTTGCAACTGTAAATATCAGTAAGAATGACGTCACCGCTAAGCACTAAAAAGTTTGCCCACTGCGGCGGTCCTGACTTATGCGGGTTCAAACATTTGCACAATGCCAATGGGACGAACCAGGGTCTCTTCCAGCTGAACGACGATCAGCCTCGTGCACTTTGGATGTCACCTAGTCGAGTCAGTAGTGTAGTGCGGACTGCTAAGAGTGGATGACCGATCCAAGCATGGAACAGCTGCCCAAAATGTCAAAAACCTTTCGACTCTTCCGCCTCGCCCGGACCCGTTCTTCCTCTGGGTTCTACTAAGGAGCAGATTGCGAAAATTGCCAGACGGAACCTCCGGCCGATGACGAGACGCCACCATCTTGCGTGACTTAGCGAAGCGACCGCACCGAGTTTGTCCATGTCCAGCAATCCAGCGCCGCCCAGCCTCAATGGCGAGGAGCACAGGTCCAATGAGGAGGATCAAAAACAGCCAGAAGTGATCAATGGCCACCATGGAGGTCGAGACGATGCAGCTGCGGCTTCTGCACCTGCAGCACCAACAAAGCCTGCGAAGCCTGGCATCGTGGCCCGGCTGGGGCTCGATCTTGGAACCGTGTTGATGATGGTCAAGTGCGCATCCCCTCCCTGGCCAGCAGTGCCAGCATGAGTGCACATACAGCAGGCTGATACCGGTGTCAATAGAGGCGCAATCCCCCCCACCATCGCAATCGCCATGTACCAGTCCACAGCCGTAGCCACCCAGTTTACGACTCTCGGCTACCTTGTCGGTATAATAAGCATTCTGTCGCTGTCCATCTTGCCCCGCGGCAAGTTCATCCAGACGCTGCTCCTGAATGTCATATTCGTCTGTTTGGGCGCCGCCATGGCGGTACTCATTCTCTGGTCCTCGCTACAGGCGCGCCTCCATACCCAATCGTCACCCGCCGACCTTGCCGCTGGCTTCCCGGGATACAATTCCAGCCAGGCGGCCGTATCGGGCCTCTGGCTGTTCGCCAATATCTGGTTCGTCAACGTGCTGCGCGCCAAATTCCCCATGTTGAACGTGCCCGTCATCGTCTTCTCCATCCTCACTATGATCAGCTGCACCTTCAGTCCGCTCATGACGAGCAATGCCGCCTTCGAGGCCCTCGTCAAGCGCATCTTGACGGCCATGCTGGCCGCCTTTGGCATCGCGGCTGGTTGTTCGCTGCTGATTTTCCCCATGTCGAGTCGGAAGGTTACGTTTCTTCAGATGAAGGGGGGTCTCATGCTGCTGCGAGGCGCGTTGCAACAGGAGACGGTCTATCTGCAAAGTTTGGAGAGGGAGGACATGTTTGCGGTGCCGGCCGATGTCAGTGGTGCAGTAGACCCCAAGGAAGGAGACAAGAACCACACCAAGGCGGGGCCGATCACAACTCCCGAGGTTAGGGCTCTTCAGCAGACGATTGCTAGCATTCGGGAATTGGCTGGGAAGATCCAGACCGACTTGCCGTTCGCCAAGCGTGACTTTGCGTACGGAAAATTAGATTCACACGACCTGAAGGCCATATTCTGCTGCTTCCGATCATGCTTCATCCCCGTGATTGGCATTAGCACTGTGATCGACATATTTCAGCGCATTGCAGAGCGAAGGGGCTGGACTACGGACGAGCTCACCCCTCCCGAGGTCGTGGCAGAGAAAAACGAGGAAAAGCGAATCTGGAATGAGATTATGAAACAGTTACATGAGCCATGTCAGTTGCTAGCCGAGGCTATGGATCAAGGCCTAGAGCACGCTGGGATACAGCTCGAGATCCTACCGAAACCCCCATCAACGACCAAAGCCAAGAAGGCCGCGGCATTCGAGACAGATGCTGATGTGGAAGCAAAGGGCGACCTAGTCCAACCTGGCGATCCTGCATTTGCCGAAGCTCTGGCCCAGAAAGTCAGGAAGTTTGCGCACATGAAGCATGGGATTCTTCAAAATTGGGCCAAAGAAAGAGGCTTGATGAGAGACGAAGCATTGCTGCAGGATGGCAACAGGATCCCATTGTCCCACGGCGGCGTCAAGCACGAGCACAACCAGTCGCAGCTCTTCGTGTTGCTCTACCTCGAGAAATTGATGCAAGAAGCCGGCCAAGCAGTACTGAACTTTGTCACTTTTGCTGATGAGAAAGTGGCGAGTGGCAGCATGGATAAGAACCGCTTGATTATTCCCAAGTATAAGATCCTCAAGAAGTGGGCTTCGAGCACTTTCAACGACCAGGCCGGATCCGCAGAAAATAACGGTGACTTGTTCGATACGGGAAATATCGTCTACATGGGTGAAGGGTTTGCCGCCAAGAAAGACCCGGAACATCTACCGCCAGCCAACGCATGGCAACGTTTTGGGGACGGGTTGAGAATTGTGTCCAAATTCTTTGGATCCGCCGAGTCGGCCTTCGCTTTCCGCGTTGCGTGTGCTACGATGACAATTGGTATTGCGGCATTCCTGGAGTCGACGTGGCATTTCTTCCAGACTCAGCGTCTGGTATGGGCCATGATCATTATCGCTATTGGGATGACCGAGAGTATGTTGATCCCAATTCTTAAGGGCAAATTTTATGATTAGTATATTTTGCTAACCGAATCCCGCAGCGTCTGGGCAGTCAATATTTGGCTTTCTGTGTCGCATCGGGGGCACTTTTGTGGCCATGGTACTCTCCATCATCAATTGGTATATTGTGGACGAACACACTGCCGGTGTGCTCGTGTTCCTGTTTCTCTTCTTGGTCATTGAGCATTACTTTTTCTTGAAATATCCTCAACTCCTGCCTGCCGTTCTTATGTGCATGATTACACATGTCCTTATCATTGGCTATGAGCTGCAGGTCGTAAAAATTGGTATTGATGCTTCTGAATCATCAAACCAACCCTTCTATCCGTGAGTTTCCCTTCACAGCTCCTCATCCACTTTCATATGCTTACATGATGTCAGGGTCTATGAACTCGCCCCTTACCGTCTAGCAACTGTAGCCGCAGGCTGTCTCGTAGCTTTCATCTGGACCATCTTCCCCACCCCTCTAACAGAACGGGGCTTCCTCCGCCGCGACCTAGCCTCAACCATGTACCTCCTGGCCAGCTACCACAGCGTCGTCAACGAATCGCTCAAAGCTAAGATGCGCAACGACGCTGGCGACCCGGGCCTCAAGACAACGCCAGCCCACCGTCTCGCCAAGCACCGCCATCATATCTTTGGCAAACTGATGCTCATTCTCCCAGCCTTGAAGTCGCATGCTAACTTCCAACGCTGGGAGCCCACCATCGGCGGCCGGTTTCCCCGCGAGCTCTACGAGGACATCATCCTCCGTTCTACCCGCATCACTTCATACCTTACTCTCGTCTCCCACACAGTGACGTGGACCCCGGACCCCTCGGCCAGCGACCGTTCTTGGATCGAAGCCCTCTCCGTTTTGCTACAGGACATCGCGCCCACGCAGCATACTATTGTTTGTACGCTCGCCCTCCTCTCGAACGCCCTCGAGTCGGGACACTCACTCCCGCCGCATATCCCCCTTCCTCGACCGTACGAACTCACGCGCCAGCTTGAGGCACTGGCGTATGGGAAGGATGATAAGCGGCCGCTTGGTCTTCTAGACGCGAGGAATATGGCCGAGAATGGGTATGCCGAGTTTGCGGTGTTGCAGGTGTGCAACACGCTTGTGTGTGACGATTTGCAGGGTCTGGTCAAAAGTGTGGGAAAGTTGGTGGGAGTTGTAGATTTCAGTTTTCGCGTTGAGGGGGCAAATTCGGGTAGCTTGAGTAGTTCGAGTTCGAGTTTAGGGATTGATCGTGTCCCGACGGGAACGAGAAGGGATAGTGATCCATATAAGCAGAAGGTTCATTGATGATAATGGGGCTATTTTGGCAATACTTTGGATTGGGTTGGTTTGGGTTAGACATATAGATTTAGAATTAAGTGTGGTAGATGACTGTGTTAAAATGATACGAATTCTTCTTCAGATAAGAATCATTTCGACGATATAGCAAAATGATGTGCAACCTGAGTAACCTGTCTGCCCTACCATGCCAAGTGTAATCGGGATTGCTCACTTGTCGCTGCCGTTTCATCCAGCTATTGAAAATAAGCCTGCCTTCAACAGTTATCATCTACGCAATCTACATATGCTCTTGACTTAGTTATTCTCAGGATCGCGACGGGGTTTGCCTGACCTACTTCTTTCCTCAGTTATTCACTCAATCAGTGAGTCTCAAGTCAAATCAACTTAGGTCAGCGACTCGGATAAGACATGGCAGGCCATACTTCTCCGTACCTTGAAGCCCACTACCTCATCGGCTTCAAGGCGGTCGGCGCCACTAAGAAGCACTTGCTAGGTGCTCACCACCCTTTCTGGTACGCAGCATCCATCTAGTCGTCTTTCTCATGAGAGGAACAGAAAGAGAAGGCGTCAAATAGATGAGAAACGTAACTTCCGCGGTTCAGGGGATAAAACAGGAGTTTCGGCAACAATTTATTCCAATTGCGACCCTATTTGGCTTTTGACCCAATCCAGACCCCTTCTCTCAGTAGACCCGCGACCAAGATGCCCTAAATACAAAAGCGCCTCACCACGTTGATCCTCTGCCGCGAGTTTTGGCGCCCAAATATAGACACGCGTTACCTGAGCCTCAACTCGAGCTCAGCCTAGCGAGATCCTCGGTTCCCGCACACGTCAAGTGCGACAGCAAGCCTGCCTGCCTACATCCCCTAGAACTCCAGCCTTTCTCTAAATGCCTGTACCGTTTTGCCAGCCCCCGTTCAGCTCGTTTTGCGAAGTAGTGACGTCAAGGGTTGTCTTCATTGAGTGTCATTCCATGATGTCATTCGAGCTCCTCGCAATCGTGAAAGTCGTCCCCGTCGAAGGAACGAAGAAGTCCGCAGTCCAGGAGAAGCCACGATGATAGCGAACGCTTTTGGCGCGGGTGCCCACGTTACCGGGGTTTGACATTTGGTTCTCAAAGACCTTTTGGATAACCAGTTTGAAATACCAAGTGGCTCAACTACCAAGCGGAACCGATCCCGAACTAGCCCCTAATTCACATAGTCTGCTCATGTCTGATCAGAGACGTCGGTTATCCCTCAGCTGGCCATTCCCCATGCAGCTGTATTCCATCAAACCCGTATTCATTCAGATATGACGTGCAACTTTCAAGGATGAGAATCGAAATGAAATTCAGACAGCCCACACTTTGTGAAATACGCGGCCAAATGATGCGAGATGGCCTATTTGTGTAGAAATCAAAAAAGGATCACCAGAAGGTTCGTCGCCGGACGGTCGAGTATTTGCAAATAGCCCTGAAACGCTCATATAAATACATGCGAAACTTGTGGGTCGGGGCGCGTCAATGATCTCGGTGCCAGTAACTAGACAGTGGTGGTTGGAATGGCTTGGTCCTGCTTGCATTTCGGTGGTTCGGCGAATGGAGCCATTGAAGCCAACACGCATCCATTTTGGTTACTTCAGTGTTCGCAGGGTGTATTATTTTTCTTATCATCGTCGCAAGGTGATTTCGTTCCGCTCGTAACGTTCCAAACTTAGGATGAGCAGACAGCCACAAGCTATCGTTCGTGAAACATGTCCAGCTCAATCGCTAGAGACAACTGACTTTTCGGCACGAGCCCTCATGTGACTTGCATGCGTCTCGAGGCAGTTCGCCATCAAATGCGTCACTGCGGGGACTTAGTTAACACAGTCTTAGAGGGCCAGAAAACAAGTACTTACCTGGCCACACGGCAGATTTATTCAGCATGTATGCCGTTGTCCTCAGCACTTTTGCAGCATATCCATTGTGATTGTCCATCTGAAGGCGGGCGTCGATTCCGGTGTTGATGTTACTACTCACAAGGTCCATGTTCATCTTCATCTCGGCGCTCGCAAGTACTTCTTGGACCTTGTCGAGCAGCTTGACATCCTCGTCTTCCAGGAGCATGATGGCGGGCACTTGGGTAGGATCGACCTCATCTTGGCCAAGGATACCGAGATATCTTCCAACACGGTCCTGTAGTGTCGCAATCCATTCAGCGAGAACCTGGGCGCAGTCGAGGGCGCACATGGCAGACTGCATAGGCAGCTCCCTGCTTGTAAAATCGGCGAAGGTAACACCAAGCTTATCTGACATGGAAAGAGAGTCAGCAGCATAGAAGGCGGCTTTACGAAGGTGCTTCTCCCGTCTAGAAATCGTTCGACTTGACACTTGGGGCTGGGATTGCTGTGCCGGGGCTTGTGGGGGGAACTTGGCCGAAGAGAACTCCGGCGACGATGACTGCGTGGGTGGCGAGTCGACAAAGATGGAACTGGCAGCAGAACCATCCGAGAGCTCAGTTGTCGATTCGGCATTCGAAGCGGGCGAATGCTCAGCATGCTGGACAATCTCCGTGCCACGAGATAACTCCTCCGCCAAACCGTCCCAGTCTCGTTGCCAAAACCTCTCCTTCGATCGAGAAAGGTTGACGAAAAGTCTGACATAGGCCAAGTCCAGGAGGGGTATGGCGTCAGCGGAGAGCGGCCCCATCCCAAATGGATTGGGTCGCTCCAAGCTGTGGTGTGGGTTGCTAGCCCATGCGGCTTGCCACGCTTTCAAGGCCGGTTCAATGTGACGATGCATCTTCTCTGTTTCCTCGTTGGTCCAGATCTTGTTGTGGTGACGCTGCCGCGTCTCCCAAATGTAGTTATGCAGTGCATTGATCAGGACCAAACAGCCGAATGTGCTAGGTTTCAGTTCGCCTTTGGGCATCTCACCGAGATTGTTCGCAGAACTGAAGGGCTGCGGGCCATTATTGAAAGCAAGCTTCTGCCGCTTCTCATTGGATCGTAGCAGCTCCCCGAGTGCGTCATGAAAGCTCATCCGGTTGTGGCCAGCAGCACGCATGCCGCCTTTTAGGTGAAATTGGGCGTGGCTCTCGGCCGCAAAGAACTCTTCGTCACAAGGAAGATCAAGCAGAATCTCCGAGTTTGTCAGGGCCGGTGCATGGTTGTATGCGGAGACCAAGAGACTGGAGAGTATAAAGATCACGTAGAGTGTCCGTTTGCGCTCTTCCAAAGTTTTCCACCTGAGCCACTCAGCTTGGTCCTCAGATTCAGCCTTGTTCCCACCCCAATTTCCCTCCGCATCATTGATCTGAAGCTCTTGAGTATTTACGAAATCGGGCTTGATTGGACGTAGTAGCCCGGCTGCTTGAGCCAGACTGACCAGTGCTGCACAATGAGTTGATGCAATATCACTCGCTGTCTTGTCACCACAGTTGTGCCCGTAAATAACGTTTAAGAGCATGGCCTGGACCAACCAAACCGGTGTGTGCACAGGTGATTCTGGACCTTGGGACCCGTGGTCTGACAGTGGAGTTCGACGGAAATCAGCCTTACGTACATCCGCCTTGCGCCGCTCCTCAAGATAGAGCTGTATCATTTTTTTCGCCATCTCAAAAAGCTCCCTGGATTGGGTACGGTCCATTTCATACAGAGCACCAATAGCTGCCATCGACAGGACGAGGCAACCGCTACCACCCACGGTGTTAGTTCTACCGTTCGAAGAGTGAGATGGCATGTCGAAAGACAGAGTTGGAATATGGAGGAATGGAAGATGAGGATGAAAGTATCGAAGGTAAGACCCGACGTATCGCTGTAAGTCATGTGTGCTTGGTAGGTTTTTGGCGGGTTCTGGAAGGTTGTCGGCATGGTACTTGGGGGATAACGGCGCGCCGGGGGTTGAGAACGAGAATTTTCGGCCACCAAAGGGCGAGCATTGAGAGAGAGCGGTCAAGATGGCGGCCCGAGTGGCGTCAGTTATCGTACTTACGGGCGAGGGTCCTTGGTGACCGCCGTTCATGGATGTGGGAGTCTCCGGGGCGACGCCGAAGTTGAGAGCTTGGTTTAGGTTTTGCGTATTAAGACCCGGCATGACAGAAGGACTCAAAGAGCTCATGGATGGGGGCGGTGTCGAGAAATAGACGTCGTTCATATTCTTCTGGGAGGGAGGTTGAGGTGAGACCGGAGCTCCGTTCATGAGATCGGGGAATACGGCACCATTCATATCCATGGCGAATGGATTATTCATTTGGGGTGGACCCATAATGGCAGGTTGCCATATCGAGCTCGTAGACGTAGTCACGGCAGGATGGTTGGACCCATCGAGCATCACGTCGCTTATGCCGCTTTGGCTGGTCGTGCTCATTGCCGATGGCGATGAACCATCGACAGCGTTGTCGTTGGGACCGTGGAAAGTCATACTGTGCTCAAACCCGGTCAACCAGTCGAAATTGTCATCGATATGCTGGTTCGAGGACATGTCAGTCATTCCATTGCCAAAGGGGGAAGTCGGGTCCATTGCCATGGAATGGGGAGATTCGCTGTAATGCAAGGCATTGGGGTTTATGGTGGAGCCGGGCTGTCCAAACAGTAGTCCCTCGTAGTCGAAATCAGCCTGACCAAACGCGAGGGGAGGAGCAGTGCGCAAACCGGCACTGAAGTCCATGCTGTTGATACCATGCGTTTCCAGCTTGGGCAATCCATGGTGCATGCCCCGGTGGCCCATCGCAGAGGACATGCCACCAAAGGCGTGGTCCATGTGGTGGACTGGCAGGCTGACTAGACTTGCGTGCCGGCTGTGGTGAGGCTGGACCGGGTTTCTCACGACGGACGCGTTCGCCGCCGCAATCATCTGCATGGCAGCCCCGTCAACATGGCTGATTGTGTTCGCCCTGGGCCGCATGGCAGCAGCGTTGGCAGCGGCGGAGACATTTGCACTAGCGACGCTATTCTTCCGCACTCGGCTCTGACCCGGAACCGCACTGCTGGCACTCTCACGACGGTTTCTCGGTCGTGAGGAGGGAGTAGTCGTTTGATGGAGCTTCTGCTGGTGGCGCAAAAGCAAATCCCGTCGGGCAAAACATCTTGTACACTCTGGACACTCAAAAGGCTTCTCCTTGGTGTGGGATCTTTCGTGTCGTTTCAGGTGTTCCAATCGGGCAAAAGAGCGCTGGCAAGTCGCGCACACATGAGGTCGCGGCTTATCCGTCTTGGGCGGCGGAAAGTTGGTTGGAGCCTTTACGGTAGTGTTGACCGTTATCGAGGAAGCTTTTTATGTGGCTCGGAGTCAGTCAAGGTAGATGTCATGTCGGCATTGTTGCGGTGCACAGAGCTCTAACGAGCCAAGGAGGAGCAGGGGGACAATAATGATTTTCATACCGGTTTCGTCGGCGGCAGCATTGCCCGTGGCCACAGGGGCAGAAGGCGATGAATTGGACATGGCGACCGGTCTACAAGCTTAAACAAGCGTCAGAGCTCCAAGAGGAGGCGTGGTGTTGTTGTTGTTGCCTCAACGTCGAGGGGTTGCGGCAGCGAGCGTCGAGAGTTTGGAAGTGGGATGGCGGCGGTGGGCTTTGGCGGGGAGGGCAGTTTGTGTGGATTGTTGGAGGGGCGGCGGAAGCGAGAGATGACGAGAGCTGGATGTTTGTGCCGACCGTCGCATGCTATTGTTTGCTGAGGATTCTATAGACAGGAGTAGTAACTGGTCGAGTGACAGAGTGAAGCCTTCAACGGTTTTTTCTGTCGAGGCAATTGCTTGCTGAGACGACGACAGACTGGATTTGGTGCTCTGGGAAAGAGGGAACTCGAGATAACGGGCAGGTTCGATTGGGTGTGCAGCTTCCTTTCCTTGGGAAGCAGAGTGACGGTGGGCGCAGCACAGTGTATTTCCATCGTGTCTTCGAAATGACACTGGCTACTTCCTAGTGGGCTAAGAATAACAGAAACGTCACTTGATCAACTCAAAGTGACTGCACCCGCGAGTATCGGGTACCTGATGCAACACTGTCTGTCGGACTGACGGGCTTTTGGAGGCCTTCTGTAATTGGGTGCGTGACAGGGCAGGTGACAGGGGATCCGTAATGATTTTGGTGACTGCTTGAGCAATGGTCTGGGGTCCAGCTCAACCGTGGGGATTGGCAGGCGCGTGCACTGCACCACGGTAGCCGCGACCTTGGAGTCAAGTTCCCATCTGCACAACGTGATAAGATGGATATTGGTCTTGACCCTGACAAGTTTCATCGTTTCCCACCAGAGTCCATCGTTGCCTCGCTGCCTCGTTGATGTACAACGGATGAGAATCACACAATTTGGCCAGTGTCAATAACTGACTGAGAGAGGCCGAACTGCTTGGACTGTTCAGCATTCATTCTTGTTGTTTTGCTACATCGAGCTTCTAAGTTATGCTGAGCTTGAATTGCGGTCGAATTGCCCTCATATCCACGCGAAATACCCTTTGCAGCATCTTGCTTGAGGCTCACTCTTCGGGTCAATCTTCCGCCTCCTACCAAACGTCCAACTCTTGAGTCACCCATCGATCGACCCATGAGCACCCAGCTCGGCGAATTGCCAGGACTGTGGCTTTACCTCCGACTCATCAGGGCTCTTCTCATCCTACTCAACATCCGTTATGAGCGGGACCCTTGGAGGGGCAGTTAGAGCACGCATCTGAGTGGTCCGTTGGACGTTACTGCGCTGTTTAAGTCTGAGAGAGTCCCACCGGTGCTAGCGGGCTGCGGGCTGCAGGCACCTCCATCGGCACGTCGCAGCGCAACGCAACCCTCTTCCTCTCCCTCTCCGCTGCACTCCGGTCTGGACCTTGTATCTGCACCATGCCCGTTTCTCTAGGATGTACTATGTAACTAAAAAGTTGCCCACAGTGGCAGATGAGTCGATCGGGCTTGCGAGCCCGGCCTCTTTGCATGAGCTTTGCATGGAAGCGAACGCAGATTGAAGCATGTCACTGGTCGAGCCTGTCTTTTGTCCACCAGCCTGCAGCCAGCACTCGCACACTTCTCACCACACCATCTTTCCCATCCAGGGCTCCGTTCGACTTGACCCTAAACGTGCGGTTGTGCAGACCCGTTCCCTATAACACGCATTGGCAGTCTGGGATTTATTTCAGTGTTGAGTTGGAGGATATGGCTACCGTAATTGCCGTTCGTTAGCAGCTGCGTAATATCGACCTCGGAACCCCGACCACGGTCAAATTACACATTTTACGACCGGTGCTATTCCACAAAGACGAGTCCAGCCGCATTTCACAAACATTAATTCGTCTCGGACGCTCGGGACAATAAAAGAGTCATATCACTCCTGCAGGCTGTGATACACCATTTACAGGCCGACTCCACCGTACTGCGGGTCGGCCGCCTGAGGCAATTCTTCGGTTTTGTTAGATAGCCGCCGAATATCGCAGCGTCTATCTGGCACGGCGAGGCACAGCCTGATTTCCAAGCAGCTGCCTTGTTTTTAACACCCGTACCTGATTATCCAAGACCTAGTGCGACGTCTATCTGTTCACGTTCCTGGCATTTGGTTGCCGTACATATGTGGTGGGCTGAAAGGGTTGGGGATTATGTCTGCTGCCACGGTCGCCAGTATAAATTGCATCTTGTCCGACTCCCGACGCCACACATCCAGGTCTTAGGCAGATTACGAAAGGCATTCCCTGCTCGTTCAGGTCCTAGCCGGAGATCAGAAGCTGGGAGGCATCTGTCCCAAAATTGCAGAGACTGAGAGAATTTAAACAGTAGTAGCTGGCCGCGGCATACCTATTATTATTGAATCCAGGCTTACCCATCGGCCGCCGATCATTGCTGCATAGGGCATTGAAATATTCAAAATCCCATAGCCGGTGATGATTGGGCTATTAATACTTTTTTTCGATTAACGTTTAGTCCCCAGTCTCGAAATGCACAACCCAGCGGGAGGCCGATGTACTCATCACACGCTATACACATTGGTACTGTGCGAGCCAAGCAGACAGCCTGTCGGCCGTGGGAGCTAGTCACCAACCTCACATCATATGAAGCGGCTACTCTCGATCGAACCCACAACTCCAAGCATTTGCATAGTACCACTATTGCGCGAGTGGATACCAGATACATAAGACGCAGCACCACCACATACAAGCCAGTGGCCTGGAGCGAATCGTCATTGAGCATTATCCTGACCTCGGGAAGCACAATCATGGCCCAAATTTCGGAGGGTAAGCTAGTCCTGGACACCCCGGATTGGCTGTTTTCATTTCATACAGCGTCGAGAGTTCATACCTTACCATACCTTGCTTCGACACAAGGCCAGTAATGTTCTCACCGACAGAATCAGTCTAACTTTCGGAGTCCGCTCGCAAGGCAATACTCCGCTGTCAATATCAACACCCTAAATTTTGCAAAAGTTTGGATGAGTCGCAAAAGCAACCCGGTCAGCCTTCGGATTGAGCTGGCCGAAGATATCCTCTGTGCTTAGGGCAGCGACATGTTTTTTAACAATTTGGGATACCAACGGCTTAAAGACAACCCTGCACCATGCCTGTCGCCGCAATGCTCACATAGTGCACAAGACGCCACGGACCACTGGCCATGTGCCATGATGCAAGTTGAACTCCCACATCACCACAGCATCGTTGTCACGCTCACTCGTCGTCACGCTCATTCGTCGTTCCGCCGTTACTGCCCAGGTCTTCATCGGTGGCTCGAGTGCTTCTCTAGACGGCCTGGTAGCCCATCGACCGACTAAACATGTACAAGCCACACGATACAAGGGGGTATCATCATGTAGGCTATTTTGTTGTCCACGCTAGAGACGGCTCATACTCTAGCTTAATTGGCCAATTATGTCGCCTTCTATATATGACAACAGCCCCCCTTGTTGCTCAAAATCTCCGACGCTTACAATAGATGAGCTGGCAACGAAGCACAAATACAGGCTCGTCAGGACCATCCGAGCATTGTGCGAATTATGTCGATTACCAGCGACAGCCAACTCGGGTTTGAGCACACAGCTTCCCAAACTCCAGAGGCGGACCCGATGCCCGGCAACTGGCTAGCGCCAAGCAGTTGCCAATACTTACAAGAAGCTTCATCTCTAACTACGGCACTGTATGGAAAATAGACAGCAACTGCCTTCCAAGTTTGCCTCTTTGAGGCTTGCAGCGCACGCTGAAATACGGACCATTCGCTGCGGTCTGGCATCCCATCGGAACCGGGGCTTCCGGAGCTTGTACCCATAAACGGATCACTCGCCAATGCGCAAAAGTTTGACACATACCATACTGCCTAGTTCACCGCGAAACGAGACGCTAGGTGCCGTAATACCAAGGATTCGTTGAAGTTGAGAGGTGTTTCATTTCATCTGACATCGGTCCCATTTATACCTCGGAGCTTACAAGACCTTCATCTTTTATTCCAAACGCTGGAGCTCGGTGGGTTATTCTCGCACCAGATAAGGATGGAGTTTCGTTCATGTTAAAATCCTGCGTCTTGCTACGAAGACGCTATTTCGGAATGAAAGTTGCGCACTCGCTCGTATCGTAGCAAGCTAGCCCGTGCCTGCCATGTTCCGATAGACCAACACGAGCCATCCGTCGGATGAGTCCACAATCTGGGGAAATCCCCAAGATTACCGGTATCTTCATCTTATAGCAACTAGAATATTAATACATGGGCAACCTGGAAGACTCCAGGCCAATCATAGGACTAACAGGTCAGAGATTATTCATTATTGTTCCAGTTCTTAGCCAACCTTGCCGAACCAGCCAACGCTGCCTGACACCACTCGTACCTCGTACTGTGCAGGTCAACATCTCCAAATTTGCCTTTTAGACTTCTCTACTCCACATTGGAGTAAAGCGCATTCTCCAATATTTCCCCAATTTGTATGCTGATCAGAATTGCTGAGTCTAGTAAGATCTATTTATCCTAGGGATAATGGTCTTGGAGTTCGGATGTCTCAAGTGAACAGTTTAGTACTCGTCATCCACGTGGACACCAAATTGGGTTCCCTTGTCGTTGATTGAGTTAACTTAGCAGGCTCTAGCTACTGCGCCAAAAGTCGTCCTAACAGTGTTTCGATATTCGCGATAGATACCCTTCAAACCAGCCCTAAGGGAGAAACGTGAGACGGGCAGGTGGCAGGTCCAAGAACGAGGAGATGCAACAAATACCCTAGACCCGGTGTGGTTACGTCTTTTACCAAGGCGGGCATTATACCGGCCTGCCATTCGTTCAAACGATCAATGCAGTCGATCATATACGGTTTCTAATGTTCATCTGCGGAACATCGGGGACTTTGTGCGCTACTATGTACGGACGCAGACTTCCAAGCAACGAACCTAGCAACCAAGAAACAGATTAAAAACTTATTCCCGAGAGGTGCCAATCATCGTCGTCAACGAAACCCGCGATCCACATGTATGCCAGTGCGGCCAACCCAGTGTTTGTAGGAATCTAGGAATGGATACTTCTGAACGGGATGTGTTGCGACTGGTTATAGTTATCACGAATGTCTGCTGATTTCTCGATGCCGTTCGTCCTTATGCGCATGCGGCTAGAGACTCTATTATGTGGTCAGGAATGTTGTGAGAACCCTTGACCACCCCTTCACAATCCTCGACATCACTTGTGCAGCTTAATGTCTATACACCCTGGATAATTTAACCCATCATACCCCTGCCTACCCCAGACTTTTCCACCCCAACGCACGCACCGTGCCGCGGGAAATGGGAATTCCACTTCGAGGTTGCCGATCTTACAGCAAATTGGCAGGGTGCGATCAACTAACCACTCAAGAATTCTCGGAGTGGCTGGTTTTGGACACAGCAAGTCTTGAGCTTTTTCTCACTGGCCACTACTTGTTTTGATGTATTTGAGTTGCCACTCACCGATGCCCGTCTTCTCACGTCTTTTTGAATGGCATACAGCGATGACGTTGCGGCGCCTGGCACCACGAGCGAAGCGAACACCAAGAGATACGTCGCATGAACCTTAACTATAGATTCAAATGTCTATGTTAGTCAGTGATGATCAGCGCTCTTGTCAGGAATCATTCACCGCTTCCGAGCGAATTGTTTGCGACTCTTTACTATAGCGCCCAGCTTCAAGCCCTCCGTTGTTAGCGGTGCTCGGCCATTTCTTATACTTCACAAGGCAACCCTCGCATCAGCTGTGGCTGGCTTCCATGTTCATGTGGATTGCTAACCACCAAGAAATTTGAGTCAAGATTGCCCGATACGTCGCACCAGAATATCCACACGAAGAGCCGGGGGAGTTGGCCCGCCACGTCTCGTGCAAGCTGGTAGAACCGCCGACGTGGATTGATCTGTCGTGCTGCAGCCATCAGCGGTCCTAGGCGGATTCTTAACCCTGACGTTGTGCGTGCGAGATGTGTCCTGCATTGGGTTGCAATACTGTATTGAACGGTCCAACCACAGGTGGGTAACTTGCGCCACTGCTACGCGGGTTCACAGAGTAAGTTGGTCGTGCCGAACGGGGAAACTAAATAGGAAATGGGATGGCATCGATGGTGGCAACTCCTATTCATGGATTCTGTCGCATTCCTGTAAGAACTATCGATTCCAGAAACAGGAAGTGTCTGACGTTGACTCTCGTGACGGCAAACCCTGAACCTACAACTACTTACCGGCGAATCCCGTCGCGGCTTGACACCCAGATGAGAGCGACAACCAGTCGGGCGGTTGATACGAAGCTCGACATCTGCAGCTGCGCGCATGAAGGCCTGCGAAGTCGCCACACTCGGTGCATCTCCTCCCCCCAGACCGAACAGCACTCATCGTCATTCAACCTCGGATTATACTGCACAACTGCAGTCAGTACTATCTGGATCATGCACTTGGACTGCCACGAGTGCTTCCCTTCGGAACTTGTCACTATCCTCGGACAACTGCGCCGCAAGTTAGCATCATCTGACCCCGGAGGACCCCATAAATATATGCGGTCTTGTCAGCGATACGCGCCCATTCAAGGCAGCGACCGCATTAAATCCATAAATATACCCGGCCGAGTTGCCAGGAGACTGATCACATTACAATAGTCTATCGGTTTTGCTATCAGCACTTCGGCTTTTATTCTCATCCTGGCACAGGAAGTGGGCTGATCAAAAGCTGATCTTCTACCTGGACGGGAATATGCCAGGTGACGACGCCATGCCACGAGCGGAAAACCCTCGTGTACGCAGCTGCAAGTGCTGCAGGCTGGCCCAGCTGCTTATGGGGGTGGTGGGTGATCGTCGGGTAATAAAGACTGCTATCCATTCCGTCGACCGCGGTTTGTCCGGGCTCATTAACTCAACCCCATCCATCGGCAAGCGTGCAAGCGATGGACGCCGCAACGGAAAAGCTAATGAAGTGTCGCTCGAACCATCCTGCTGCATATATTGCCGGGCCCAATAAGCAGCAGCCAAGCCAGAGCCAGTCGGCCTGCAGTGTATTTTTTCCCTGAACGCCTGCCTGGCTGCCATTTTGCCTGGATTGGCCGCAGGTCGCCGCCGCCGATCGCAGCGTTTCGGCCTATGATTTCCGCACTAAGCCGACATCAGCTGTGCTGGGCTGTGGTGCTATGGTGCTGTGGATCTTGGATTGACGATTGACCCCCGTCGGCCCGTGCTCGGATTTGCTCTCCCGGGTTGCAAGGTTCTGACGGCGCCGTATATCTATTGATTACGTTGGTTGCAGTGTGCGGTTTGCAATTGCAATTGCAGTTGCCGATGCGGGTGGCAGAATAACGGCGTGCGATTCGCTGTTAATGATTGCTGTAGAATTATTCCAGAAGCCCGATGGCGTCACCGGCGTGGAAAACTTTTCGCGACGGCCGCGGTTTGGGGAACGAATACGACAACGATCGTCGCCTGCAATAGAAAGAAAGTCGCGGCAGTTGTCAGCGGTTTCGTGTCTAAACTAACTAACGGGACGCTACACCGTCGGGGCGGAGTTCGGGAGGGCACTGGCTCGAACCACGGACGGATTGAGACTTTTTTGTTGAGAGACGCTGTTCTCATCAATTCCATGACATTGTGTTGTGCCACTCTACTAGACCACTACACGTTTCGGAGCCAAGAGGATGAGGCTCTGCTGCTACTGTGGGGACGACCTTCCTTGTCTCACCATTCGGTCGATGTGTCTAGAACCTCAAGCTTGGGGAACACGTTTGATGCGGGGAAGGTAAGCCGTGTCTAGATCTTCTGTCTTGGTGGCCGTAACGTTTCTTGTTTTGGCAATGTGTCGCAGATGGTTGGCGGATGAGGTATCTCGCGGTCGAGTTCGGCCTCGTGCCATTTGTCTAAGACTCCTCGCAGACCGGCTCTGCAACGGCTGATTCCGCCGTCACCTATCGCGACGATCAGGGGAGCTGTACATAGTCAAGATGCGGCACAAATGTGTTGGAGATGATGTCTGTCGCTGACATGGCTTCTCCAAACCCCTCAGATCTGCGGTCGTGCTTGCGTGACTTGATACTCCATTCCGGCCTTGTACCTTCACCGGTTCAGGCCTGAATTTCTGCTCCAAGACTCGACTTTAGCATATACCCGTAGAGTTTCTCGTACCATACAGCGATGCCGTCTCCCAGTAGCTCGTGTTCTCGACGACCCTTAATGATGTCTGGACGCTTAGAACCTTGGCGGGCCCTGAACAGACGAATCGGCAGCGGCAGCGGGCCAGGTCCCACCGCCCTCTATATCAAACAACTTGCAACAGGCGCGTGGCTTCGTTGCCAAAGGTGACCTGCGTGGCTGCGGGCACGCATCCTATTAGCTGGACAAGTGTCCTCGAGATGGATATACCAGACTCCACCTGCATCGAAAACGCTAGCGGGCAAGGGAGAGATACAGAGCGATGATACAAGCTCGGGGTATATAAGTAACCAGTCCACAGAGCACAGATTTGAAACGGTCTAGCCACCACGGAAGTGCTTGCCCACGCTGCAAGGATGTTCGCAACCTGCAATGGGATACCAATATGACACAAGCTTTAGATACGAGCAACCAATCTTCAAATAAGTGTTCAGTATTATTTTCGACTTTGGTGGATTTTCTCCACTCTATTCTATAACTGGTCGTCAAGATAGAAATCGAGGCAGAATGGCGGGTCCCTCGTGGTCTCCAAGTGACTCAGGAGTTAGGGAACGAAAGTTGAGTGAGGGCCTCAGCATTCCAGTCAAGACAACGTTTCAAACAGGATGGACAGCAATGCTTGGCTGAGACTTTGTGCTGGATTGGCAGTGATTGTAATCATCTATTCGGACGAAGTCATTGGTTGCACTTCAACACAGCTACGGACTTTAGTGGAATTGCGGCCATCAAATCTAGAGGTTTGGGAAACTGTGCCACTTGCCATTCCTCAACTTGCGGTACTACGACGGGGTGCCAAAGCAATACAAGCGCTCTTATGGAACGTGGGACACAAAGTCAACGGCACCTCTCTCACCCATTGGGGATTGCTGGCTGCGCCGCCGGGGTTGGTCAATCACGTCTGTTCTTAGACTAATTCAAAATGCATTGTGAGGCACTTTCAATATGGGATTCTTTCGTTGGTGGTTTTCCCTCCTTCCGTGGAGTATCGCTTTCCGTACCTACATGGCTTGATACCACTTTATACTGATATCAAATGACTACGCTTTCGAACGAAGATACGATTAATGCTTGACAACAAGATCTACTGCTCCATTGGTACGGTGTGGCTGTATGCGCAAAGGCCACAGATCAGGTGCTAAACGACATGAAAGCCCACCATTCCACGAAGTACATCTGATTTGTGTCACTGGGGCCCGGTTCCAAGGTCAAATCCGACTGATACCCCATTTCACAGTCATTGGAACTCTGATCGAAGTTGGCATTCCTAGTCATGAGACCAAACATTCAACAACTCAGATAATTATCAATGTGTCTTTTCATACTTTTCCGATCGTTCATATATTCTCAGACGAGTGTATTCTCAGACGAGTCAATTGACTTTCTGGCCTGTCCAAACCCTTGAAATGGGCAGAGCTACCTTACCCCGATAGTCAGGGGGGCCACCCCTGGCAACTTGGAAGCAACATCGAATTAAGTACCTTTCATCTTTAACAGAATTAGGGCCTATAGATGATATGTATCATGGGAACTCCAACTATTGGGTTCTTCAGTGCCAGTTTGTTATATTTGTCCAGTTTCAAGTCCCAAGGCCCACGGGCTCCTAGGAGGGATGTTTACGAATAAAGACTTCGTGGGCGAGAGTCAATGCGAGATCGAGGTAGTAAAGTCTCGTACTAAATATACGTGCATATGAGATACATGTGTCTGTTGGGAATGATTCAACGATTCAGTCTACATGGCACGGAGAAACTGCATTGGGTGTTTCAGGGCTGAGTGGTCTCATGAAGCACATTTCAAGAAGGCTTCGGTTGAGAGCGTAAGTAGATGGACGACGAAATGAAGTCATTCATGAGCTGAAATATGCGCCAAGGGAGTACACGCATTTGGCGTATATTGAAGTAGAGTGTTTTTGGTTGTGCAGCGTCATTATCTTGGTCACTCAGCTGTGTCAGCCTCTTCAACGGTATCATTGTTCTTCACTTTGACGTCAATAAACGAGGGATTTGCTTTATTTAGATCAATAATTTTCTGTTCCACAGTGCTGGAAATGAAATTGGATATGAGGGCATCAAGTTGCACGTTCAGTACTCCCTAGCCGCGGTCAGGGGTGCAACTGTTGGACCTTCAAGGCTACTACATCGAGACAGTCAAGTCAAAGAGAAAAATATATGGCCGCAAACCGTACATTTATGGTCCAATATGATCTCTACCCATCGAACCACCCAAGTCCTGACTGTGGGACAGGCATCAGTCATACCTGTCTATGTAAGGCCCCTATGGCCGCCATTTACTTCTCTCAAGACTCTCCAGAGATCATAATACTTTCAATACAAGACTATTTGCCCCATTTGCCCACAATCCAACAGCAACTTAGCGAAATTGTCAGCTGAATGACTCGGATCAGAGTGCGACGCGGCAATACGCGGCCGTAGGTAAGCAGTAAAAAACTTGCATCTCAACAACTCTCTTTAGTTGTGAAGATTCCGTAGTAATGGAGATGTCTATACACTTCTCCTGGACCTGACTGGATCTTCGGTCAGCGATCCCGAAGGAAATGTGAGGGACGGCAACCAACCGTCGGAGGAGCGGCAGCACGATGCCGGGCGTACTTGAGATACGTGGGTAGCTGATGCGACTAGGTAGACTGGGCTTCGCGTTGAATCTTTTTTTGAAAAAGCTGAGAGATTGACTGTGCATGATCTGAGCGTGCGCGAAACATCACTTTGATTTACAAATTAGAAACATATACCCGTATGTACTCAACCACCAAGCCAACCTCCGCTCAAGCCTGAGCCGCAGCGGCATAGAATCCCTGGTGCTGCTCAGGGTGACTCTTCTCCACATTCCCCTTTATCATCTTCTTCATCAACATATTGCTATCAATCGTCACAACTTCATCAAGCTTGTTGCCCGAGACGACCCATTTTGAGATGATATTGAGGGCCCCCGTGGGGGCCTTGCCGTCGACGTTGGCCTCGATGCCATCATCGCGGTTTGTCAGCGTTAGCTTGAAGGTGGTCTGCCCGATGGGTTTCTTGTCGGTCACCTCGTAGAGGCACGACTCGTTCAACTGATTGGGGGTCCCGGAGATGTGCTTGTACGAGATGAGCTGCGGGCAGGTAATACGGATGTAGCACTCGTGGTCGTGCAGGGCTTTGAGGACAGACTCGGGGCTGGTGCTGGCTGGGATGATGGTCGAGATGGTCGTTTCGGCGGGCATTTTGAGCAGTTGTTTTCTTTTCAAAACTGAGCAGATATATTCAGAAGCTGTGACTCGATTGATCTCGCAGTTATTGGTTTATTCAAGTGTAGTATGTGAATGAGTTGTGTGATGCTGGAATGCACAGTCGGAATAGAGTCGGTTCGATCTCGAAGCTTTATATCCTTTTTTCACGCGGCCTCAACGGACATTGGCCATACAATTTCCACTTGGACGAAGTCTGGGGAAGCACCGGTGCCTTGGAATAGGAACTCTAATGGTAAAGCTTCAGCAGACCCTGATCATCAAGTCCGAGCACTATGGTAAGACGAGCCGCAGTCATTCCGTCTTTACCAGTTGCCAAGGCGCGAGTGCATGAGCGTTTTCGGGCCTTGAAGGCGTTACGCAACGCTCTCGCAGTCCGAGAGTTAGTAAGAAACCCCCTTAGTCACCCCATCGACGACTCATCAGCCACGAGGTCGGGCCAAATCAAAGCTGCCAGCTATGATGATTAATTTAGCCATTTGGTCCAGACTGCTGTCGAGAGCTGACGAGCGTCGCCAGATCAACGTATCTATTCGCATGAGCTGTCTCGTCAGCAATGTCCGTTCGCGCCTGTCAATGCATGGTATTAGGTTTTGATTTTGCATTTCTCGAAGGATAATCATGTAAGAGACGAACACATCGGATTCACAAAATACTAAGTTGGCCAGGATATACTACGAACGATGATTCCAAGAATAGCTTAAGGCTGAAAGCATCCTCTATGCTGCTTCCCTCGAGTAACGTTAAAAGCGAGACATGCATAGCAGCTTGAACTCTGTCTGTATAATATTGCCAGCCATCCCATGTCTTCACATCCATCACGTGGCAGTGTCGGTGTCTACAGATCCTGTCAGAACTCGCACACGTTCGTCAAAGTCTGGCAAAGTCCGCAAGTAGTGCTCAGCCGTACTAAGAATAAGGTTTCTTTCATATATGGTCTCATTACCAGATGTACATGCTGATTCCTGCTATTCGAAGCGACTCAATTCAATTGAATCCAACAATTAGTCGTCAGCTTTTTGGATAAGTTGATGCAACCGCACGCGGTGGATGCAAATGCAAAGCCCAGATAGAAGCTTTCATGCACTTTTGTCGCTTACCGTTTCCATCAATATTGATAATATTGAAATGACTTGCCGAGATGTTTATTGCGTCCGCTAGTTGCTCATTCAATTCAACGATCTCGTCATGTATGTATGTATATCACTGAGACAGCACACGATGTGAGGGAGTTGATATAACGTGTCTACTAGTTGATGACCTTCCCACCCTAAACCATGAGATTTACGAATTCCACTTCCGGAGTGTCGCGTTCGACCCGCAAAAAGAGAAAGCAGAAAAGCTTCCTTAACAACAACTACCTACATACTACTACGTAGCTACTACGAGTAGCAATTGTGTGAGAGGCAAAAAGCAAAAATTAATGTCCTCGGTGAGACTCGAACTCACGACCTTTGGATATCCCAACCTGAGATTGGATCATACTATGAGACCAACGCTCTAACCAACTGAGCCACGAAGACGCTGAAATTCTGGATTTTTTGGACCCGGTTATGCTTTATTGTTTTCAATAGGATATATGAAAGGATAAATAAAGTTTTGCTGTGGATCCTATACTCGAGACCGACCCAAGTTACGGGCAAACCAAGCACAAATGGTTTCAATATACTGGGGTTTCGAGTGACCGATACCGGCATATCCCCATGGTTGGTCACCTTGAGAACAGAATAAGATAAGTCATCTAGCCCTCATTTCTTATCCCTGTTTCTTGTGTTGCGTATAGTGAAATGTTGGAACCTACCAAGGGCAGATGTTAAGGTATCCTGCAAACACGACAAACTGTATCTATATTTCTATCCGTCAGGGGGTTTTACATGGTTGGAGACGTTGACACTAGTCATGAAAAACAGAACCCACATCATGCTTACACTTAGATCCCCGCAGTAGGTTCAGGTAGTGCTCTTAACCCTACAAGAGAGGACTTAGTTGGTAGTTTTGCAGTGTCTTAAAGGCATACGATTGTAATAAGACACGAGAAGCATGGCCAAGATACCGCAGCTGTTCGTACTCACAATACCTATTTTAGCCAGGACAACTGCAAGTAAGTAGACCAGTTAATAGGTCTTGTGTCTGTCTCATGCTTTTATGAAATGTACATAAAGGACAAGTCATCACGTCTTGGTATATCAGGCCTGTGTCATCTGGATTGATAACAACTAAATTAACATGTTGACATGGGGATTCAGTTGCATCAAGTATATTTCCTAGTCAACGAGTTATTGGTCTGACGTTTGTTCGACCAGAATTTCCTTAATCCCATAGTGAACGCTTTGTAGACCTGAGTGTAATAATCCAGTCCCTGAGTTTCCAGCATGATCAAGCAGGCTCCATGGAAAGTTGATGTGATGCTTCCGTATGAAGTTTTCCAGCCTGTACTCCAACTTGATGAGATTTTGATGTTCGCATTTGATGGTTTCCACCACGAACAAGCATTCCATACCCCTGAGAATATAATGCGCAAGCCCGGCTGGTCTCTCACCCCCTCTTACTATTTATTCTGGTACTTTTTCAACGCCTCCAGGAGTATGTTTCCCGTCGCCGGCGCCCCTCCCTTCACAGGACCAGGCGCGCTGTGCCTCTTCTCCTCCTCATACACAGCGTTGACCCTGGCCAGCCATTCGGCACTTCCTCTCGGCACATTGCGTGCAGCCGCAAGGGTGGCCCTGTAATGCGCTGAGATTCCGCTGTTTCCTGAAGGTGGCGACGGTATTGCTGCTATACTCAACGATGCGGATCCTCTGTATCCCGACGGTGGTGGAGCTGCTGATGTGCTCAATGACGAGGGTCCGCCTGATCCTGATCCCATCTGATGTAGGGCAGGCCCTCTTGGAGGCATGACTGGAGGTATGCCTGCGGCAGCGGAACCCTGAGTATTGCGACCGATCGAGGTTGAAGCCACTGACGAAGAACTGCCTGTGAAATATGTTGGACGTATCATGGATCGCTCGTACGCGGCGATGTTCTGAGCCAGAGTGGACATTCCACCAGTAGAAGAGTGGCGACCGGCCAACGACTGGCGACCAGTCACAGGCTTGTTTTCGGTCGGTTGCTTATTTTTAGCGGATGATGAGCCAATTGCGAAAGACTGGCTTCCAGTCACGGGCTTGCTTCCGATCGGTGCCTGTCTCCCAGCGGATGACTGGTCACTCATAAAGGGCTGCTGGTTTCCAGCGACCGGCTTGTTTCCAGAAAGCGGCTGACTCGCCTCCTTATGCGACTTGTCGATAGCCATATCTTCTTCTCCCACTTGCTCCGGTGGCGCCGGGCGAATGGTACCTATAGAACCTTCGGTGATCGTACTTGCACCTGACAATATATTGCCAAAACTCGAATTCGATCTAAGCTTGGGACCTGCGAAGGGAATGATGTGCGGCGTGTTAGCGAGGAACTCCCTGACGCTATTATAATCTGTAGCTGTTGACGTTGCTGTCTGAAAGACTGAAGTTGAGACCGTTGTCTCTGTCTGGATGTTTGAGACGATGTTTTGATGTAGAGTAGTACCGGTCGCTCTTGGAAATCTCAATGGAGCGGCGGGCTGCTGCTTTCCCTTGTCCTTTATCTTGCAGGGCGAGCTGACGAAGGGATCTTCTTCGCCGATCAGCACTCTCGGGGGAGATGAGCTGTCGGTTTGAACGCTGGAGGGAATGCTGTTCTGAGTTGTGAAACTCTTCGCGGGCCGTTTGCCTTTGACTTTGTCTTTGTCTTTCTCGGTGGGGGACAAAGTTAAGAAGGGGTCGTCTTGGTTGAAGCTGGGCACTTTCTTGGAAGGCGAGATATAGGTGAGGTTGCCAAGGGTAGCACTGGTTTGAATTCGTGGACTAGTAACAAGTTGTTTTTCGCTGCCTTTGTCTTTCTTGTAGGGTGTCGAGGCCGGAGAGAGATCTTTGTTGTGGCTCTGCACTTCTTGGGATGGCGTGATGTCCGCGAGGTCGTTAGAAGTAGCTGCCTCTTGAGTTTGCGAACCTTCGGGAAGCTGGTTGCCTTGGCCTTTGTCTTTCTCCTCGGGTATTAAGGCTAGAAAGGGGTCATTTTCGTGTTGACTGGGCAGTTCGTGGATAGAGGAGATGTCCGTTGGGTCGTTCGAAGTAGTTGTGTCTTGTGTTTTCGAACTCTCGGTCAGGTTGGTGCTAGATGCTGGATCAGATAATGAGGTGATCCGGGCTTCTGTGATGCTAGTCTCAGATCTCGACAATGATGTGGGATCGCTTCTTCTTGCTTTCTCTCCTTCTGCCTTGGCTTTTCGAGTGGCTTCCTCCTTTTTCAGCTGGATGTTCTTTCCTCGCTCCTCTGTGATTTCTTCCCACGGTATCTCGGGCGGAAAGAGTATATAGTTCTCTTCATCAGTGAAGGGAGAAGTTGGAGTGCCCTGCTTCTGCTTCCGCAGCTTTTCTTGTGTGCGAGCACTGAGTTGATCCTGTCCTTTCTGGTTCTCAGCCCAAAATTGTTCCACGTTCAGGGGTTTCTCTGTGATTGGCTTTTTTCTGGGTTGAATGACCTCGAAAGGGCCTGTCGATTGGGGGATATCCCTGGGGGGGGTCGAAGTACCCGAAGCCCACGAGGAACCGGACGTGCGACGCGACGAACCAGATATGAGTTGCGGTGAAGGACAAGTGATGGGTTGCGGCGAAGGACTAGCGATGGGTTGCGGCGAAGGACTAGCGATGGGTTGCGACGAAGAACGAGAGATATTCCGCGATGAAGAACCAGAGATGTCCCGTGATGAAGAAGCCGAGGGCAACCTGCTTGTCGGAGCGCTTGTCGGGGTGAAAACCTGACGGACCTTGCTAACCTTGATATTCGAGTCTTGCTCAACGTCCGAGGAACCTTCGGCGACGTGATCAATGCTCCCCGACTCTCTGGCTCGTCGACGAGATTTGACTCGAACAGTCTTAAGAGGAATGGGTACAGGTGCTAGTCGAGGGGGAGGGAGCGGAGGGAAGTTGTCCTCGGGTGGCGAGAAATTATCGTCTGCATAATTGTAATCCTGGGTGGTCTCTATGTCCTGGTCCATCTTTCTAAGTTGGCGACGTCCTTGGTTACAGAAAGCTAATATGAAGTTGGTGGGTTTGGCGTGGTGATGACTATGCCTGGGTGGTTTCCAAAAAGGAAATCAAAGATGAAGCTCTGGTAATGTGGGAACAATGAATTATAGTGATGCTCTGAGGCGGAGATGGGATGTGATGAAGGCCACCACGTCAAATCCGTAGGGGACGACATAAAACGGGAAGGAACAGCCGTAAGACATGTTGCCAATCCGGCTGGACGGGGAGGCACAACCCCAACGCAATGGGAAAGTGCACACACACAAGAGGCGACCGAAATATCTTTGCGGGAAAGCATTTAGATACTTGTTTGCAAGGTAAGTGCATATGAAGGAGACGGCCGAAGTACTTTTGTGGGAAGGTGCTTAAATAGTCGTCTGCGAGACTAGATACACGAAACTGTCGAGTCGGACTGTAACGATATTGGCAACTTAGTGGTCTGAAGGAATGTAGAGTCGGAAACATACTTCAGTAGTTCTGAGCGAGAGGAGCACACAGAAAGGGCTGATCGCTTTTTGTATGCACAAGTGGCCATTCATGACTCGGTTCGACTGCAAGCAATAGGTAAAAGTGAATTCCTGTCAAGTATTTCACTTACTCTGATGCAACTGTCTTTACAGGTAAGCATCTTCAGCAGTTCTCAGCGAAGTAAGACGCATATAGATGTGACTTTTGTCCCCTGCAGAAAATGTCAATCATTGTCGGTAGTACAAAGAAAGGGGGCATTTCAAAACTAATTGCGAAATATGGCAGTGGTGGTTTGAATATTGGAAACTTAGAGACCCGGGAAACAATGGAAGGTCCCTTCCCATATGCCATTTCACTAATGTCAGGTGGATAAAAGTGCACGACGATAAGACACAAAGGATGCTTCGGACAAGGCAGAGTCGGCGGTGAGCGGAAACGCATGGCATCTAATTGAAAAGTCAGCGATGAGAGACGATAAGTGGTACGTGAGAAAGAACCCTCCCTGATAATGCATGAGTGGTACTTGATAAGAAATTGGCGATGATAGGTAGTGGTGCCTCTGTCGAAACGCTGGCTATAAGAAGACTTGAGTAGCACTCGAAGAGAAGTTTCTAATAAGATACAAGTGGCGAGTGAGATAGCCTTGGAAATAGGATGATTTAGGGGACTAGGGACGGGATTAAGAGGCAGTTTAAGATGAGGAAAGATAAGTGTCACTTGGGAGAAAGTCGGGGATAAGAAGCACTATCATAGAAGGAGGAAGGTGGCCTCCAGCACCATTTTTCAAACTAGCTTTAGACAAGAATAAGACCAGAAATGTAAATTCCTAGGCAAACTCCAGTGGTGATCAAAGAGTTGCAACTTGCAAGCTAAGACCGACTCTATAGCTGTGGCATAAGCCAAATGATAACAACCAGAATAACAACTCTTTCACGGGTTATTTAACCCCTATCGTCCCATCAGGGATCCATTCTCCATTCCCTAATATCATATGCCACTCTTATTCCATAAATTGACCTCATGACATGGTAAGGACTTAAGATTATGTCTTGGTCAAATAAGTGAAAATAGTCTTACCTGCAGGCCTGACAATTGGTCAATGTTTCCCAGCCTACCCTTGACGACCTGTCCAAATTAATTCGACGGAGCGGGGTGCCTTATCTATTTAATGTTATCTAATTGCTTATGCAATCACTGCAAGCTGAAGGTAAGCAGTGTATAACTAAAGGAGTAACAGTTCATCGCAGCAATGAACAAGAAGACTTTGGGGAAAGATTACTTTTTACGTGCTACATGATTGATTAATAAGCAAGGAGCTCTGTTCCAAATTTCCTCGCAATATTGAGGTCCTCTCTAATATTGGTGGTAGCTTAATAGGGGGTTGACAATTGGCGTCTTAACACTAACTCATGAGACATATTTATAGGTGGACGATACTGTCCACCTATACGAACTGACGAACAAATTCAACCTCCACGACCCCAATTGTCACAACATCTCTACTCATTAAATTCTAATATGGGGTAAGACCCATTGTTTAAAAGTTACAGATTCATTCATGTGACTTATGAAGTTCGATGGCAAAAGTTTTTCTAATACACAGAAAAGAAGGTCGAGCCAGTCCTTTTGATGAGAACTATGTGCCTTTTACAAAATCAGAGCGACAGGCATCACACAAAATTAGGTGCAGCTTCGTACACATTGTAACACCTGCCACATGGACCTGGACAATAGGCAGGGACACCCCTAGATAGGCTGTCCCAGACCTGAATTACCCATACCCTGTATAATAGGGGAACGGGCACCTGTACTTGTAATTATTTCTCTCTCATCTTCATTTTAGTATTCTTCAATAGATATTATCTGGTGTCGTGACTATGATGATTCGTACTCGCAGAATCTCTGCCTCATTACACACATGGTCCGTTGATCAGATGATAAGACGTGGTGGTTTCCAACAACTTCAAATTATAAAGCTCATATGTTTATTCGGTATTCCCTTGTCCAAATCATCACCCTTGAATTCCAGAACCTCAAAGTTTCCTGTTCAGTATCCATGAATTGAAGCCAGGCTCAAAAAGTCTCGAGCCCATCAACCTCACCTCGAGGCATGCTGACTTTCAACACCATAGTTGCTGGCTCAATTATGATAGCGTTTCTCAAGTAAAGCCAGTAGTAATTAGATACAAAGAAGGAAACTTGCCCCCTTCAAGTTCCCATGGTGCCTCGAGCACTGTTTGAGGGGCCCAGAAGGTTTTCCTGAAACGCCATCTGGTCGTCATGATTTCGCCCGCCTATCCAGGGTGGCCTGATCTCAAACTTCTAGCCCATCCGACTTGCAATTTGTGACGTCGAGCCTACTGTACGGTCGGGACCTTAGCGCGGCTGTTACGGTAGTGTGAGATGAATAACCCGATTATTTATGGGTGCTTGGTGTTAGTGCTAACCACTGAAGGCAAATATTTCGAACCAGCTAGCTAGACCCCTAATATTAACGCGGCTAGCACACTAGGGGCTAAAGTAGCGCGAGCAGTCAGAGAATATCTATACATTTTGATAGCTTGCAATCAAAACACGCGTAAGTCCTTTGCCAAGGATATCCTCTATATTAAGCCATCATAAGTTGGGAATCAGGTATAGGTGAGGGAATCAGCTCTTTGTTGATGATTCTGGATGGACGTTGTGTTGATTGCTATGCCTCTACGCATTGTGCTGCTTAGGTTGTGTTGACAGGACTTGTTTTGGATTACGGATTACAGCCACTCTACAAGACACACAACCAAATCAAAGGAACGATTACCCCTACCTACATAAGGTCACACAAGCAGTCAGTCGACTGCAGCAGAAGACAACCAGATACCCTACAATCAACAATTATACCGCGTTCGGCCAAGGGCATAACTGTGGCGCTCAATCCCACAATAGTTAAGTAAGAATTTAGTTTGACGTGACGCGTTAAGGATTGAGGTCAAGTGTGATTTTCCCCAAATGATCACATCATACCTTAACTGCACGCCATATATTTTCTTCCTATCAATGAGACCTCAAAATCCACATCCCACTTGCGCACAAACTTGATGAACAAGTAATGTTCATATAAAGACTGTAGCATGTACGCTCTGCGATATGCAAATGTATGGATTGCAGTGATGCTGAGCCCAGATGGAATATAAAGATTGTAGAGGGACAATGGTTATTTGTGTAGTTCACCTATTTCATGACATTTATAATAATCATACATGTTTCTTCACTGAAAGACTCGCTTAAGTTTATTACATCCTATATCGCCTTCTTAGAACACTTGACTTGATGTCGACTCCGTTGTCAGTTTGTCAAAGCCTTTGTCAGTCCAATGAGAGCAACTACTCTTAGCTTCCCAACATCTAAGAAGCATCAAAGCTTTGAGTAAGGTAGGTGGAGCTATGCGTCCTGGGCATGATTCCTGGTGCATCAGCCGAAGTAGATAGCCTCTCTTCGCGTATTCCAACCCGCCTGTGTGAGATTGCGGTATGTATGGCGACAGCGAGGCCAATATCTTACATCTACCCGTTTTTCACGGAAAACCCCTCAAGCATAAAGCTCTCCCTCGTCGCCCTGGCCAGCACCAAACCCCTCAACCCAACCCAGGGGTATTAGAGCGGCAGCCACCTCGTCGACTCCCCGCTCTCTCGCTAGCAAATTGAACTGTTCCGCCGCGTGCCTCGTATCCAGTACCTCAACCCGCATACCCAAGTCACTGATGCTTCTCCTCAACTCCTTGCTAATCGGCCGAATCGCCGGTCCCAAGCCCAATACCAACAAGTCCGGCCGCGGCCAGATCAGACTCAGCAGGCCGAGCGACGAGGGCGGCAAGTCCCATTGACCTTTCGAGTTTACAAGCCGGTATTTCGGGTTAGAGGACGATGAATAGGCAAGCCACGGCCGCCAGCGGAACGCCTCCCCACCGACGAGCAGCACGCCCGACCCGTCGTACGTCTTCTGGCCCGAGTTGAGGTGGAAGCCGGTCGGGGTGCAGGCATCGACGGAACTCGAGGGGATCGGGGTGTCGCCCATGACGTCCATGGCGCCGAAGTCAGTTCGTGGTCTTGAGGGTTCATCGGAGTCGCATCTTGGAGGGCTAGCATGGAAGGGCCGTATTGCTGCTGGTAATGTCGATTGCTGTCTGCACTTCCTGATAGTGGTGGCTGTTGGTATGGTGAGGAATGATGATCGTTGTTGGGTCGCTGGGCAGCGCAGGATTGTGGTGAGGCTGCGTGCGCTAGACAGCCTGCTTGGTCGTATTATTGAGGCCATAGAGGCAATTGGAATTGTTATCGTTGGATTGGGCGGGTCATTGGTTGGGTGAAGCTCGAGATGTTGAAGCTTTGGCGCAAATAAATTCGGGCGGCTTAACGTCATCGAATTTGGAGTCGCCGGCATTGGTTCCCAGGAGCTAGCTCCAGGGTAGCTCCCGGCAAGTCTGGGTAACCCCGGACAAGACCAAATGCCCACCATGGGTATAAGTAACTTACTAGCTCAAGCAGGCTAGATTCCGCGCTATTGTAAGTTGAGGATAATTCAAAACGTTATTTTAACATGTTATAATTTGGGAATTGATCAGTCAGCACCAGGACACTTGGATATTTCGAATCATTGCGCTTACAGGCGTAGGTACTAAACGTCAGCCTTGCAACAATCCCGCATCCCTGCTATGATCGTGCTTCTGGTTGGTTACAATGGCTTTAGCCCAATCGCAGCCTCTCCCCCTTGCCACGTTGAGGCGATATGACGATCGGTTGGCCGGCCCAAAGAAGAGCTATGACATCTCTCGCAAACCATAAAAATCGGGTGCTTGTGTGCATTATTATCGCAGCAAACGAATCTTGGATCTACAAGTTTCTAATCGAACGGCAATTATAATTCACTCTTACCTTACTAGCCCCGCTAGTCGCGATTTACCTACAGCGAAGAAATAGTACAGCAATCCAATTTATTCCCAATTTCTCCGCTTTCGTTCTGCTTCCTCAACTGGATTCGCAGTTTGCCAACTTGAACAAGACCCGAGAAGCCGCACACAGGATACCTGTCTGTGGTGAGGCTGTTCGGCTGTGCATTTTCGCTGGGATACCATTATTTCCCGCGTGGCATTTCAGCACGGGACAGCAATTTCATAGATTCGGGGCTGGCAGTTATCGTGGTGTCGCTGGGATACTTTAACAGTCATCCTTCTGTACAAAGTCGTGTCATTGGAAGAAACGTGGGATAGTTGCTTGTCCATCCGGACATTGGAAACGTGAGACGACTTCACTCTTTCACTCAATTTATCAAATCACTATTGTTATTGATCTAGTTTTACTTGCTTTGACACAATATTCGTCAACATCACTGCTGTCAACTGACTAACACTATGATGGGATCAAGATTTCGCCGCCGAATGGCTGGCCCTCACGAGGCTCATGGTTCGTTGTCAAACATCCTGAGAGGTCTGTTCACCTACTAACGTGTTCTGCGTTTAGATGCTGCAGCTACAGATCCGACGCTACTCAAGGATAACTCCGAGCTGAAGAGCTACCTTGTGGGCGGCTTCGACTACAGAATTCGAGTCTTCTATCGGCGTCATCCTAAGGCCGATGAACTGCCAACAGATCCCGCTCCCCTGCCGCTGCTCGTATTCATCCATGGCCTTGGTGGATCAGTTGCTCAGTTCCATCCTCTGCTGTGCAGTCTTTCCAACAATGGATCCTGCCTGGCCATCGACCTTCCAGGCTGTGGCCGCTCCGACTTTGCTCCGACGTTGTGGGACGCATATACGACCGACGCTCTAGTAAAACTCCTAGAGCACGTGATAGAAGACTACCGCGATAAAGAAAACCGTCAAGGTGTCGTTCTCATCGCCCACAGCATGGGAACTGCTTTGGCAGCCCGCCTTGCGAACAAACGAGGCCCACACACCACTCCAATAGCGTCTAATGTGCTTGGCATTGTTGGTATCTGCCCAATGTCTGGGCCGCTAAGTGAGAAGCAGGTTACCATTTACCGCCGACTGCTGTGGGTCCCGAGTTGTCTTTTCAACCTGTGGCGATGGTGGGATCAACGTGGTGGGCCGGAAAGCGCCAGTGTGAGACGGTTTCTTGGTCCGGAAGCGGATCCGTTGTCGCGTGAACTTCAAAATCGATATAACAAGCAAAGTCGAACGCCAGTATTTCGACGTATGGCATGGGGCAGCCTGCCTGTCTACATCAAAGCAAAACCTACCGGTGGGTTGTTCGGAGAAGCAACGTGGGCTGGACTCGATATACCCGTCTTTCTCGTTGGAGGCGAAAAGGATACTATTCTACCGCCACAGGAGGTCGATAAGATTGCCAAGCTCTTGGAATCGGACGATGCCTCCCCTGACACCAACGGAACGAGTTCTACGCGAACCATTGTCGACTCGGCAATGCCTGTTGTAACGTCAGTGGACCCTCGTGACCACCTTCCAAAGTCAATCGACACTATTAGTGACAAGGACTTTGTACGAAAGAACCAGCTGAAGAGTGTCGAGGAGAACTATGAAGATCCATCAACCCCTCGGGATACTTTGACGCCCCACGAAGCATTGCCGATTGTCCCTCCGCAACCTCTACACCCGAGGAAAATGTTGCGGACTTTAATTATGCCAGCTCCTGCGAACCACGCACTGCTATTCGTACCTAAGACGGTTCGAGTACTCTCGGGTCTCATGTGCGATTTCCTCTCGCAGCATATTACTGGCCGGTTCGAGCTGGGCTGGCAACTTCAGCACCTATCGCGGGAGGGAAAGTGGGACGTCAAGAATCTAGGCAAGTGGAAAAAGGTCCAGCCGGTCTCTGAGCCAATTGAAGGCATCTTCCGTGCCATGAAGACTCTGCGAGAAGTTGATGAGGAGCATTCACCTAAGGAGTTATCCCTCAGATGGGGCAGTGTCATCAAGGACGTTCTTGACATCAGTCATGACAATCCGGTGTACGACCCACAAAGGCTCGAGAACAATGGAATCAAGTACCACAAGTACCCGACAGTCTCAAAGCTTGTACCCGCCGATGAAGAGGTGGAGACCTTTATAAAAATTGTGAGTGTCAAATGTAAACTATTGTATCGGGCCCCCCAAACTAACTATTTCTAGATCGATCTAATCCGAGAGGATCAGACCACGAGGGCTAAAGAAAATGACTGGCAGGAGTACTACATCGGTGTTCATTGCCACTACGGATTCAACCGCACTGGGTACTTCATCGTATGCTACCTGGTCGAGCGGTGCGGCCTTACCGTTGAAAAAGCTATTGACGTATTTGCCAAGGCGAGGCCCAATGGAATTCGACACGCACATTTTCTCGACAAGCTCTTTCAGCGATACTCTGGGTTGAAGGAGTAGGCATTGGAGTCTAGTGTTTCGAAAGATAGGGCCTTGGAAGATGGTACCTCGAAAGACGACCCATTGAAGGATGATGCGCCGAAAGATGAACTTCAAGACGGTATCTTGAATGACTAGACACATTATGGCTGGTTGGTCGACACGTGCAAGGCTTTTCAAATGCATGCCGGGAAAGGGGACCGGCGCATGGATACGGTTTATACGTTTTCAACAGCGGATAGAGATCAGGCATATTTACAAAGTGACTATAGCGAATCGCGTTACAGGGCGCATGGTGCGTGCCTATTTGTTCTTGAAAATCACTTTTGGCACATGGTATAGAACACGACTGATATCCTGGTCCTTGAGATCCTTTATTCTACAACGATGCTGTGGATTTGGGGTAGGCCACCCTTGAGGATCATAGAGCATAGACCCCAGTTACTTCCGCCCTCCCTCCCGAGCACATGGTCTTTAGCGATGTGATTCGGGTGACTGATTCGATCAAGTTTGGTAGGACATGATCTAGTGTATAAGGTGGGTTAATCATTCCGCCAGAATCATGGCAAATACTCGTCGGGTCGAGACTGTGAAGACTGCTTCCGGTTGAGTAAGCGGCCTCACTCTGGCATTCGGGATGGATGGAGCATTCTCCGGCGTACAACTGACTGCAATCTTACAATGGCTGGCTATATCGTGTTGGCTTCGAAATACTAGGTGCACATGTTACTTACTCGCGGGTTCAATACGAACGTATGGGCACCTGATCTCTGAATCCTCCTTCGCCTCGCACATCTGATTCTCGGCGGAAGTGTTGAATTTACGAGTTGAACACGAAATTGGAGGCAAAGATCAAGGGATGGCACAGTATCCCTCTGAGTGCAATTATAGGACCGACAGAAATTCAATATAATTGATTCTGGTGATTCGTTGCCGCTTGATCGGCGGGCAAACATAGATTGAGCATCCAACACTTCGTGAATTTTCTTCGTCACTGACGGCCCTGAAAAGTTTAGACCGTTATTTCTTGTAGACCTCATGCAGGACGTGGAGCGAGTATTATGTGGTGCCGATGTCGTTTAAATCATTGCGATCATCTAGACACTGCCAGAAGCCCTAGAAACAGGAACGATCCTTGGGAATAGTCATCTTTTTTGGATGACGAATGCATGCCCTGTCCCCTGATGAACACCCAAAGCAATGTGACAAGTCCGAACCATCTCATCATCAATCAATCCCCATTGGTTGACGGGCGAATTTATTTCTTCTTGCTGCCACCCTCTTGCTCCTTCAGCACCTTCTTCACGATCTTCTGCTCCTCGATCAGGAAGGCACGCACGACACGGTCACGCACGCAGTTGCCACATCGCGAACCACCGTATGCGCGCTGGACAGTCTTCTTGGGCTTGGAGATCTGGGAGTACTCGCGGGGGCGGAGAGCGGGGACCTAGAAATAATCATGTCAGGAAATGGTCTTTTACATGCAGGCATGAGAAAAATGAAGTTTCAGTCCAGTGTCTCGCCATGTCGTAGCCCATGTCCAGGTACGGTCGTTTAGGCACTGCCCTTAGACCATACCCACACAGGGCTGTCGCATCGGCCACAGACGCCATGTTCCATGGCAATTCCCACCCATTGTGACATTCCAAACACCATCACCGTCGTAATTGATTGCTCCGTCATCCACATAACTCCCTAAGATCGAATATCCGAAAAGCACTTACACCAGGAAGCTTGGTGCCGCAGTCACCGCACTTCGGGGCAGTTCCACGCTTCTTGATGTGGAGCGTGCGAAGCTCACCACCAGGAGTCTTGACCACGCGAGTCTTGTTGCTCCTCGTGTTGTACCTGGAATTTCCAATCAGCCAACTGTGTTGTCGTTCAAAGACCTGGATGTGGTTCGAGAAGGTCCAAACGTGCTGCTGATCCTTTCGAAGCCACAACGGGGTTTGGGAAAATCGTAAAACTCGATGGGGGAAGGAGGGAGACCTACGGGTTGCGGCGACGGTAGGTGACTCTGTTGTCCGGCATCTTGGCGGTAGTTGATGGTGGAATTGGGAATGGTTGTCAAGAATCAACTTTTTTGCTCGATCGCGATTATTTTGGGAGGAGGTTGTCAAAAATTGAATCAGTCGAAAGTGTGGGAGGAGCGATCCGAAAAGGCTTAGCTTAGAGTTAGAATTGGGGAGCAGCGCCACACTTCTCGTTTGGTCAAGCCACGGGATCAACCGAACAGCTCAAGGCCGCAACTGCGGCTGCAACTGCGCTTTGGCCAACTATGATAAGCGCTTCACAATTGATTGCTCAACAAGTTAATGGTGCAGTGAAGTCGGCCTGGCAACAACTTCTGTAACTCGTACAATCTCCATTTAATGTAAAATAACACATTATCAACTCGACTAAGAGACGATCTGTGTTTGGTTCCAGACCCTTATCTTTGATCGTAAATCCATTGATACGTTGGATTCAAGGTTTGCAGCATTTTGCCACCAAGTCGACTCATGACAGTCACGTGGTGACCTTCTGAACCTAGCCGTCCTGGGTCTAGTTCCATCTCAGTCGCGGCAGCTTCTCAGAACATTTGCAGAAATCTCTAGGTGGAAGGTTGAAGGTATCATCACTTTGACTTCTCCAACAATCATCCGCAAGGGTCATCGTCGCGTGCCTTTAGCGTGACCATCATTCCATCCCGACTCTAGCTGCATATCTATCCCTAGTAGCAGGCTCCAGGATCTGATTGCGCGCTACACACGGAGCTTCATCGCGACGGATCGCGGCGCGAAAGCGATTGCATCGTTCAAGCGACATCTCACATTATAACTCCTTGACCTGAACATGTCGTCCTTTCACCCGCCTCCGCCTCCTCCAGGCTGGGGGCCGCCAGGACAACCTCCTCCACCGCCTCCACCTCCAGGCCCTCCGTCCGATTATCTCCCTCCACCACCTGGAGTGCCAGCACCTCCCCCGCCGGGCTACCGACCTCCCACAGATCCGCAGATTGCCAAGTTCGCGCAAAAGAAGAAGGAATGGCTTCGGACGCAACGGAACCGTTTCGGCGAGAAGCGCAAGGGGGGGTTCGTCGAGACCCAGAAGGCAGATATGCCTCCCGAGCATCTACGTAAGATCGTTAAAGATATTGGAGACGTGTCGCAGAAGAAGTACACAAGCGACAAGCGAAGCTATTTAGGCGCCTTGAAATACATGCCGCACGCAGTCATGAAGCTTTTAGAGAACATGCCTATGCCATGGGAATCGGCCAGAGAAGTCAAGGTGCTATACCATGTCAACGGCTGCTTGACCTTGGTAAACGAGACGCCTCGAGTCATCGAGCCCGTATTCCATGCGCAATGGGCCACCATGTGGATTACGATGCGGAAAGAGAAGAGTGATCGAAGGCTGTTCAAGCGCATGCGCTTCCCGCCCTTCGACGACGAGGAGCCTCCCTTGTCATGGTCCGAGAACATTGAGGACGTCGAACCATTGGAGCCAATACAGATGGACCTCGACGAGGAGGAAGATGCAGCCGTCTATGAATGGCTGTATGACCACAGGCCATTAATAGATACCTCCCACGTCAATGGGCCGAGCTACAAAACGTGGAACTTGTCCCTGCCGCAGATGGCAGCATTACACCGACTCAGCCGGCCGCTATTGACAGATACCGTCGACCGAAACTACTTCTACTTATTTGAGATGAAGAGTTTCCTTACTGCAAAGGCTCTCAACGTCGCACTGCCCGGTGGACCGCGTTTTGAACCCCTTTACAAGGATATTAATCCGAATGACGAAGACTTTGGCGAGTTCAATGCCATTGACAGGATCATCTTCCGCTCTCCGATCCGCACCGAGTCCAGGGTCGCATATCCTTATCTTTATAATTCCCTCCCGCGAAGTGTTCAACTGAACTGGTACTCTCATCCTCAAATTGTACACACCAAGGCAGATACTAACATGCCCGCTTTTCATTTCGACCCGTCTATCAACCCAATTTCCTCGCGCTCTGTGGCGCCGAAGAACTTGTCTATTAGTCATGAGGATGAGCTGTTCGGAGAAGGCAACAACGAGGAGCCTGAAGAAGATGCCTTTGAACTACCTGCTGGGGTAGAGCCTTTCTTGGCCGACGAAGAACTGTATAATGACGACACAGCTTCCGCCATTGCCCTATGGTGGGCTCCATTCCCATTCGATCGGCGGTCTGGCCGCATGGTTCGCGCCCAAGATGTTCCTTTAGTCAAGCAGTGGTACATGGAGCATTGCCCGCCAAAGCAGCCGGTCAAGGTCCGAGTGTCTTACCAGAAGCTCCTGAAGACCTTCGTTCTCAATGAGGTTCACACGAAGAAGGCCAAGGCGATGAACAAGCAGAATCTATTCAAAACCTTGAAGCACACGAAGTTCTTCCAGCAGACGACGATTGACTGGGTTGAAGCTGGTCTGCAAGTCTGCCGGCAAGGTTTCAACATGCTGAACCTCCTCATTCACCGAAAGAACCTGACATATCTCCACCTTGATTACAATTTCAACTTGAAACCGGTCAAGACCTTAACAACCAAGGAGCGGAAGAAGTCGCGATTTGGAAACGCATTCCACTTGATGCGAGAAATTTTGAGGTTGACAAAGCTTATTGTGGATGCGCAGGTGCAGTATCGACTGGGTAATATCGATGCTTTCCAACTGGCTGATGGTATTCTATATGCCTTCAACCATGTGGGCCAACTCACCGGTATGTACCGATACAAGTACAAGCTGATGCATCAAATCCGATCCTGTAAGGATCTGAAGCATCTAATCTACTACCGCTTCAATAGTGGCCCAGTGGGCAAAGGACCTGGATGTGGCTTCTGGGCGCCGGCTTGGAGAGTATGGCTTTTCTTCATGAGAGGAATTATCCCGTTGCTTGAGCGATGGCTTGGAAACTTGCTATCCCGGCAGTTTGAGGGCCGTCACAGCAAGGGAGTTGCCAAGACAGTAACAAAGCAACGTGTCGAGTCCCACTACGATCTTGAGCTTCGCGCTTCGGTCATGGCCGATCTCATGGACATGATGCCGGAAGGAATCAAGCAGAACAAGGTCAACACAGTACTCCAGCATCTTTCAGAAGCCTGGAGGTGCTGGAAGAGTAACATTCCTTGGAAGGTTCCCGGTCTGCCTGCACCTGTCGAGAACATCATCCTTCGATACGTCAAGTCTAAGGCCGATTGGTGGATCTCAGTTGCCCATTACAATCGTGAGCGAATTCGCAGAGGCGCCACCGTTGACAAGACCGTTGCCAAGAAGAATGTTGGCCGCTTAACCCGACTTTGGCTCAAGGCAGAACAGGAACGCCAGCACAACTACATGAAGGATGGCCCTTACGTATCCTCGGAAGAGGCTGTGGCTATCTACACTACTACTGTTCATTGGCTTGAGTCCCGAAAGTTTACTCCTATCCCTTTCCCAAGTGTATCATACAAGCACGACACCAAGATCTTGATTCTTGCTCTTGAACGATTGAGGGAAGCATACTCCGTCAAGGGCCGGCTCAATCAAAGTCAACGTGAGGAGCTTGCCCTAATCGAGCAGGCGTACGACAGCCCTGGGACTACCTTGGAGCGGATCAAGCGCTTCCTTCTCACCCAGCGTGCCTTCAAGGAGGTTCAAATCGACATGAATGACAACTACAACACGATCAATCCAGTATACGACATCGAGCCTATCGAGAAAATCAGTGACGCGTATCTCGACCAGTATCTATGGTACCAAGCTGACCAGCGACACTTGTTCCCGAATTGGATCAAGCCTTCCGACTCGGAAGTGCCGCCCCTGCTTGTGTACAAATGGGCCCAGGGTATCAACAACCTGGATAGAGTTTGGGAGACCGAGAATGGCGAATGCAACGTTATGATCGAAACCGAACTATCCAAGGTTTACGAGAAGATGGACCTGACACTTTTGAACCGTCTTTTGAGACTGATTATGGACCACAATCTTGCCGACTACATCACAGCCAAGAATAACGTCCAATTGACGTACAAGGACATGAACCATGTCAACAGCTATGGTATGATCCGTGGTCTCCAATTCTCGGGCTTCGTCTTCCAATTCTACGGTTTGGTCCTGGATCTTCTCCTGCTTGGGTTGAACCGAGCCAGCGAGATCGCTGGGCCACCGAACAGCCCCAACGACTTCTTGCAGTTCCGTGATCGTGAGACAGAATCCAAGCACCCGATTCGTTTATACACAAGATACATTGACAAGATCTGGGTTTTCTTGCGCTTCACTGCGGATGAGTCCAGGGATCTTATCCAGCGTTTCTTGACGGAGCAACCTGATCCCAACTTCGAGAACGTCATTGGGTACAAGAGCAAGAAGTGCTGGCCAAGAGACTCGAGAATGCGATTGATGAGACATGATGTCAATCTTGGCAGGGCTGTGTTCTGGGACTTGAAGAACCGCCTTCCTCGGTCTGTGACCACTATTGACTGGGACGACACTTTCGCCAGTGTTTACAGTAGAGATAACCCCAACTTGCTCTTCTCGATGTGCGGCTTTGAAGTTCGCATTTTGCCCAAGATCCGCAACCAGAACGATGAATTCCCCATCAAGGATAGCGTTTGGTCTTTAGTAGACAACACGACTAAGGAGCGCACAGCCCACGCCTTCCTACAAGTCACCGAGGAGGACATCCAGAAGTTTAACAACCGCATTCGCCAGATCCTGATGTCCTCTGGATCCACAACCTTCACCAAAATTGCCAACAAATGGAACACTGCATTGATTGCCTTGTTCACTTACTACCGCGAGGCGGCGGTATCGACCGTCAATCTTCTCGACACCATTGTCAAGTGTGAAACGAAAATCCAGACTCGAGTTAAGATAGGTCTCAACTCAAAGATGCCGTCCCGGTTCCCACCAGCTGTATTCTACACGCCCAAGGAACTCGGTGGTCTGGGTATGATCTCGGGTTCTCACATATTGATCCCAGCAAGCGATAAGCGATGGTCAAAGCAGACCGATCTTGGTGTGACCCATTACCGAGCCGGTATGACGCACGACGAAGAGACGCTTATTCCCAACATCTTCAGATACATTATCCCGTGGGAAGCTGAATTCATCGACTCACAGCGAGTTTGGACTGAATATTCCCAGAAGCGATTGGAAGCCAATCAACAGAACCGACGTCTCACGCTGGAGGATCTTGAGGACAGTTGGGATCGAGGTTTACCTCGAATCAACACTCTTTTCCAGAAGGACCGAAGTACCCTCAGCTTCGACAAGGGCTTCCGCACCAGAAGCGAGTTCAAGGTCTATCAGCTAATGAAGAGCAATCCGTTCTGGTGGACAAGCCAGCGACACGACGGCAAACTCTGGAATTTGAACGCGTACCGAACGGATGTCATTCAAGCCCTTGGCGGTGTTGAGACCATTCTGGAGCACACTTTGTTCAAGGCGACTGGCTTCCCGTCCTGGGAGGGTCTCTTCTGGGAGAAGGCATCCGGTTTCGAAGAGTCAATGAAGTTCAAGAAGCTGACGAATGCCCAAAGATCTGGTCTGAACCAGATACCCAACCGTCGTTTCACTCTCTGGTGGTCGCCAACTATCAACAGAGCCAACGTTTACGTTGGTTTCCAAGTTCAACTTGATCTTACTGGCATTTTCTTGCACGGCAAAATTCCAACTCTGAAGATCTCGCTCATTCAAATCTTCCGTGCTCACTTGTGGCAGAAGATCCACGAGTCCGTAGTCATGGATCTTTGCCAGGTGTTCGACCAAGAACTTGAGTCCCTTGGTATTGAGACCGTTCAAAAGGAGACAATCCATCCTCGCAAGTCCTACAAGATGAACAGCTCCTGCGCCGATATTCTACTATTTGCCAGCAACAAGTGGAATGTTACGCGACCATCGCTCTTGTACGACACCAAAGACACCATCGAGCCAGCCACAACCAACAAATTTTGGCTGGATGTGCAGCTCCGATATGGTGATTATGACTCTCATGACATTGAACGATACACTCGCGCCAAGTACCTCGATTACACCAACGACAGCATGAGTATTTATCCTTCGCCTACTGGTCTCATGGTTGGTATCGACCTTGCCTACAACTTGTATTCGGCCTATGGTCAATACTTCCCTGGTCTGAAGGTTCTTGTCCAACAAGCCATGGCCAAGGTCATGAAAGCCAATCCTGCGCTCTATGTCCTTCGTGAGCGTATTCGCAAGGGTTTGCAGCTGTACGCTTCGGAGAGCAACCAGGAGTTCCTGAACTCGCAAAACTACTCCGAGTTGTTTAGCAACCAGACAAAGCTCTTCATTGATGACACCAACGTGTATCGTGTCACCATCCACAAGACATTCGAGGGCAACTTGACCACCAAACCCATCAACGGTGCAATCTTTATTTTCAACCCGCGAACTGGCCAGTTATTCTTGAAGATCATTCATACCAGTGTCTGGGCTGGGCAAAAGCGTCTTGGACAGTTGGCCAAATGGAAAACGGCTGAAGAAGTTGCTGCCCTCATCAGGTCTTTGCCGGTGGAAGAACAGCCGAAGGAGCTGATCGTCACTCGAAAGGGTCTTCTTGATCCGCTCGAGGTGCATTTGCTCGACTTCCCTAACATATCTATCCGGGCTTCCGAACTGCAGCTTCCATTCCAGGCAGCAATGAAGGTTGAGAAGTTAGGTGACATGATCCTGCGTGCCACTGAACCTCAAATGGTGCTCTTCAATCTGTATGATGAGTGGCTTAAGAGCATCTCTTCGTACACTGCTTTCTCGCGTTTGGTCCTCATCCTGCGTGCTCTTCATGTCAATCCGGACAAGACGAAGCTCGTTCTCCGACCTGACAAGACTGTCATTACCCAGGAGCATCACATCTGGCCCACGTTGTCTGACGAGGATTGGATCAAGGTTGAAACGCAGCTTCGTGATCTCATTCTCCATGACTATGGCAAGAAGAACAATGTCAACGTTTCTAGCTTGACCAGCAGTGAAGTCAGAGACATCATCCTCGGTATGGAGATCTCAGCGCCATCAATGCAACGCCAGCAAGCAGCGGAGATCGAGAAGCAGCAACAAGAGCAACAGCAACTAACGGCCACCACGACTAAGACACAGAACAAGCTTGGCGAGGAGATCATTGTGACTACCACGTCCCAGTTTGAGCAGCAGACATTTGCATCTAAAACAGAATGGCGAACCCGTGCCATTGCGACATCCAACTTGCGCACCCGGTCCAACAATATCTATGTGTCATCCGTGGACAACGAGCTTGATGATATTACCTACGTCATGCCTAACAACGTGCTCAAGAAGTTCATCACTATTGCGGACCTCCGCGTCCAAGTTGCGGGATACCTGTACGGTTCTTCAGCGCCCGATAATGACCAAGTCAAAGAAATCCGCTGCATCGTCATGGTGCCGCAAATCGGCGGTCTACGCAACGTACAACTCCCGCATGAGCTTCCGTCGCATGAGTACCTCAACTCTATGGAGCCTCTAGGTGTCATTCACACCATAGCCGGAAACGAGCTCCCCTACATGTCTGCCGCTGACGTGACTGAACATGCGCGTCTCTTGGACCGGTTTTCGGCGTTGGACAAGGATAAATCCATCACGGTTGACGTGTCTTTCACACCAGGTTCGGTCTCGCTTTCTGCCTGGGGACTCACCCCACAAGGTTACGGCTGGGGTGCAGAGAACAAGGACATCGGCAGCGACCAGCCACAGGGATTTGCGACCAACATGGGTATCAAGCGGAAGCTGTTACTGAGTCCAAGATACAAAGGCTACTTCCTTGTGCCGGTGGACGGCAAATGGAATTACAGCTTCATGGGTAGCGCTTTCACAGGGCTGGAAAAGAAGAAGGTCGAGGTCAAGCTCGATACTCCCACCGGATTCTATGCCGACGCCCATCGTCCGACACATTTCCAGAACTTTGCTGAGCTGGAAGACATTGGTGTTGATCGTGATGATCAATTTGCGTAGAAGCACGACGTTGATGAAGGTCGGCATGAAGGGAGGCAGGGAAGTAAGAGGGAAGACAACGTTGTAATCGATATTCGGACCATTACAGGCGTCGCAGGCGTTTTCATTGGCAGGCCAGAATGAGTGAGGTCAACAAGATTGGTTTACTGGATGATACGACCGCAACATTATTGTATTTGAAAAATGTACCAGTGTAAAACAACAAAAAGCAATCTAATGCCTCAAGATTTTTCATATGACAAGCCTGTACGAACATGCCGTGATTATGTGATAGTGCAATGCATGCGTGAATCGATGCCATTACTACCGCCGCCCTATTGATAGGATGCAAGGCGGATTGGGGATGTTGAACATCTTTTGGCTTGACCTGTATCCAGTAGATGGGGACGGTCTGGCCTCAATGATATCGCATGGTAGCTACCGCTGACGTGATTCAGCTCGACGTCCATATCCACGGAGTAAGCAGGAGAAATGCCTCCTGGTCATATATTACCTGGCAAGAGAGGATAAAGACACTTTGGTGGTAATTCTCTGATGTTGGAGTCTGAGTTGAACTCGAAGATCATAGATTTGACATGCAGGTCCATTTCAAGCCCGTGTGACTGAGATTGCCTCCTTGCTAAGATGGGTAAAGACAGAGAGCGGTACGGTGTTGGGTATGAGTGGTTGCAGTAGGCGATATGAGGGCTCTGCCTGACTGCTCTGCTTGAAACATCGTAAACCTCGGTCAGATCCTGATTATGGGGAATGTGTGTGCATTTTACATGCGTGTGTAATAGTTTATTTGACTTTTGAAACCCCGAATCTCCCCATCTGGAGGTGTGCCAGGGATGGCTCTAGGGTAGGCTTGCCCGATTCTGAATCATCCACGGTCTTGTTTAAGGCCACTTAACCTTGAATAGGGGAACGAGGCAGGCAGGCTTGGATTGTAGTATCTAGAGACCGTATGGGACCAACTTAGGATTGGCCTCCCACGCACCTTCGTAGTACCAATACAGTCCCCAATACTTGGAGTCCAATGTGAAAATGGTCCGTTGGCGTCACATGGGATACAAGTCTAAATCTCCAAAATCTCCAGCATGGCTCTCGATATGTTTCTTGACGAACAAGGTGCAAGAACGAATATGTCACATGCAGCAACTACTGAAAGTCGCGGAAATTTCGTAGTTTGCACCTTTGTTTGGGTCGTTAAACTGATGATTACTACGTTCTGTTCTCATCAATATCACTTGAGATCAACCGACCGGAAAAGGTGAAACATAATTGGCTACCGCCCATTTCGCGCCTTGGAAGGCAATATCCGCGTCAGGGATCTATTATTATTAGAGTATCACATTAATGGGTTCGGGAACGCCACGGCAGCTAACCTAGAGTTAAAGGCAACTTCCAGTATCTCACATGATGACTCAAAGCATAACGTTAAACCTCACCGGCAAGCAGATCCCGAGAGCATATGTGTCCGTTATGGATCTATGGCCTCATTCGAAAGCAATAATAGAGACTTTCCTAGTCTGCTCGTGGAAAAGTCCGAGGGAGAGCTCCAGGGAAGCTTATGTGGCCCCATCTGTCAACTACTTTTTTTTTTTTTTTAGTTTTTTTTTAGTTTTTAGAGTACACCATTTGCAGATCAATCAACCACCCAGTCCCACACGCGAGGGGCCGGAATAACGATACGACTATGCAATTTGCAGGTGTGCTATGCGCCTAGAAGCTTTCTAGAACTTTGAGATGTTTGGCCGGCGAGTATGTATTGTCGGGAGACGCGGATGCAGCGAGCATGAAATGCATGATTCAATCGCACCAGGGACGCGCCGCTAACTGATGTCCGCCTTCGTACGGTTAATTCGTCTTGACCCCAAATTAGGCCGAGATTCATGACCCTGCAGGAGCTTTCTGGGGCTGGGATGTAACGTCAGAATAAACCCCCATTTGTCCTAATCGTGGGGTCACGACTGCTGATCAAAAAAGCCCTGTCGATGGCCTAAAAAGCGCCTTATCGATTGACGAAAAGCCCACGGCATGGGGTGGTTAGTCGACACGACAAATACTATGTTTGTAGAATCTACAGCGACGGCTAGTGGGCGGCAATAAACCCGAAAAGTGGCTTTGCGATTTGACGTGTCGCCAGTACGCAATATGATAGTTTGGTAAATGAAGCTGTGTGTAACCGTGTAGAATAGGTTCAGGGCATAACCTTGATTTGGATGTCAGATCAGATCCGTCTGCCTCTTTAGGAAGTTGACCTGCAACGTCATTAGCCAGTTCGGAGCTGTTGTCCAACATAGGTGGGAGCTTGGGGCAGTGCAGGGGACCATAATCTTGCGAAGCCCGGCCGAGAAGTGGTTCCAGAGCTGAGAGCGCTGTAGGGCAATTTGCCGTTGTCTATGCATTAATGCGCCGATGAACGTAACTGCGTGCGTGCCTCGTGGCTGGCGCGTGGTAGGCACACACATTCCCGGTAAGATTTGTAGCCGAGTGTTAGCCTATTGGCTGACCGCCAGTGTTACGCGCGTGCACACTTTTATGACGGCCGTGATGATGCCATCAGGCGTTGCCTAGATTTGAATATTTTCTGGCAGCGGAGATTTGCGCACGGGCATGCGATGTCAAAATGGGGGCTAGCGCACTGCAAGCACTCTCGTAAGGCCTTTCGGCACTGGGACAGTCGTAGGATGCGCACTATTGACAACGTGGTTCGGGAAGCCTGCATCTGCGGCCGAGATTGACCTGCTCAAGGGTTTTCTGCAGCTCTGAATGTCTAGAGCGCTCTGGTGGTGTGCGGGTTCTGGGGGTTCACTAGTTGTCGGTGTCGCTACTCGAATCGCACCACCGGCAGGTAACAAGTACTCTAGCGAGCCTCGAAATAGCGTCAAGCGTGAGAAGCGGTCGAGACTCCCGTATGCCGCCAAGATGGTCCTTATTCTGGGCTGTTAGTTGTTTTAGGCATGAGGCATTGTTAATTTTGAAGTTGTAGTTGCTCTAAGCGGAGGAGGAGGTGCCAAGGCGAGCCGGCAAACTGCCGGTAGCGTCCGGGGATCCAGGGGGGGTTGGGAAGAAGGTTCAAAACACGCCGAAACGTGCAACAGAGATTGGTCATTGGAGTTGGCGCCTGTACGAAGCATAACACTCTTGGTATGGTTCTTGGTATGGTTCGTTATAGAAACAAAATAGACAATATTATTGATGCACATAAGCTTGACAGCCGAAGGTGAACCCTGTCGGCCAGTCTTTGTACAATCTTGGTCAGCGTTTGGTCAAACTCGGCAGTGCACTGTCGTTGTCGATCAGGGACTCGGGGACTCGGATGGCGGCCGAACTAGCTGGCCAGTGCCAGTGATTTACGAGGACGATAATTGTCGAATTTGCGGGCAATAACGATGAAAACTGCCAGCAACGGAAGTGAGCGCACGAGGTCACGGGTGCTGAGAAGGTGCGAGTGAATGGCACCCAATGCAAGCACACGTAGGACGAACTGGCATATGTTGACAGCTCTGGTGGGGGATCAATAGATGGTCCAGGCACCCCAATTGCGAATACCCGTTGACCATCACGGGCCACAAGACGTTTATTGTCAGGCCAGGTTGGTTTTGCAGGGCAAGCCGCGTTGCCGCGGGTGCGACTCCAGCAAGTGGCAGGCGGCCTCTGCTTCGCACTATTGGGCTCTAGCTGCTCGGGATGTGTCGTCGCCGAGGACCACTTGGGACTGCTGCGAGTCTGTGAGTGGCAGATGCATATCATGACTTTGGAGGCTGACAAGGTGCATGCTGCGTTACCACGCAGAACCTGGGACGATGCCGAGATGTGCTTGCAGCGCCGCAGCGGACCACCCAGCACGTCGGATCCGCTAAAAGACGAGGATGCATTGCTTCTGGAAGTTTGGAACGTCAGGGGCAGACGAAATAAGGGCAACGCTTCCCATGTATGAGATGACGGCACCCGACTCCCGTCTGTCAACTTTTAGACGTTAAGGCCACTTGTGCGTTTCGAGCTCGTGCGTGCGAGTCTAAACGTATGTGCTGCCGCAACCATGCTTGCTATTTTTGGATGGTATTTTAGGCAAGAGACAAGCTTCTTTCTGGGGTCGTAAGTGGGCTGGCTTCAGGGCATCAAAAATGGTCCTCGTTCCTATTTCTGCCTCGTGCTCGGACTGTAACTTCCCCGTTACGTTGCGTTTGTGTCGTTCGCGTAATTCCAGTTTTCCAGGCGTTGTTTTGACATCATCGTTGTGATCCGTGTCGTCCCCTCTATTTTCTCCTCTTTTGACTCCTCATCCTCCTTGTGTATCCTTATTCCTCACGACGACCACCGCCACCACCACAGCAACCAAACATCGTCATCCACAGGGCCACATCGCCGACGCAAGACGAGAGGCTCAGCATCAGGGACCCTGGCCAGCGCTAGAAACAATTTTAATTCTTCTAGAAGTCGAGATGACCCTCATTTTGCCTTTTGCGGGCAGCATAATCCAGCTTTTAATTGCTTGGGTGCGCCGAAACGCGTTTCGTTCATGCGCATCCCGGTTATTTTGCTCAATGCCCACCCCATCCCCATCCTCACCAATGTCAACGGCCCACCATCCACCGAGCGCTCAATCCTCACGCCCTCACATGACCCTCTTTGCTCGGTCGTCTCGGCCGCAGTTCGTCACATTTATTAGCAATTGCTTGGAGGGTCTCGCTCGCATTGATTCACGCAATATCAGCATATTCAGAAGACAAGGTTGCCGGCATCGCGCATCGGGCGCCACAACCGTATCTGGACAAGTATTTCTGGCTTTCTTCGAGGCACGCGCTGGACGTGACGGTATAGCCGCGGATTGGTCTGTTGATGCGCAGACTTGGGGAGACGCAGTTTGCTGCCCCGGCAAACAACTGAGCCCCGACTTCCAGCACTCGAGCCAAGTGGTAGCCTCAGCAGCCCATCTCCACCGACGCGTCGCGATGACACCTCATCTCAATGCATTTTTGGATAATGACAATGAGCCTGGGAGACGGTCACTCCGGTAATGATCTGATTTTGTAACCTCACGTTGCAATTCCAGTTGTTGCTGTTACCTCCCGTTGCCCCCTCTTTGCTTCACACTCCTCATTCTGATGGTGCCGTCGCAACCCCGGGTCTGTTTCACGACAATTGCACAAGGCCGCCGTGTCCATTCCGAATTGACAAGGCTATCCACAATAGTTTGAGGACCGCTTCTTAGGGCTATGTCCCCTGGGTGGTGCCTGGTACTGGTCGGCAATCTGTCAAACCAGTCTTGGGCTTGGGTGTAACCCGACCCGAACAGCCCTTGCCGCCCCATGGTGTGGTCGGATCGCGATTCTTTAATTCCTTGTTATAGCCCACCCCAGTTCAATATAGGCCCCTCTCAGCGGAGACATCAGCAGCCCGACCATTGAGAGGCTTGGGCCCAGCAGCTCTTCTCCGGCATCATGTCCCAGCGCGCAACCCCTCCAAGAATTGCCATTGCCATTGACTTGGCTTTCTTGGATAGAAGAATAAGCCAGGGGCCCGCAGTCCTGAGTCTAGTGGTGGTCAACCCCTGATTCCTCGCTTGTCATGCTCTGCCAACCGCATAGTAGGGCTCGTTTCAGCTTTTATTTCTCCATCTGGCTGTCCTGTTTTGCACCCTTCCATGCGTTTTCCACACCTTGCGCTCTTTGGATTGATTACCTGTGCCTCTAAGGCCCCTGGAAGTCCAAACTGGTTAGGGTGTTTGGAGCTTCTCAAATCCCTTCACTCAAACCCTGTCCGTCGAGACTTGTCTGGTGGAGGCTGCTGTCCCCAGTTGCATCATACCCCGGGCCGGGATCTCGTTTTTATATGCGGCAAGCAGACCATGGCATAAGATCCTCAAATTATGCCACCGTCATTGAAAGACAAGGGAACCGGTTCTCCACCAGCTCAGGAACAACACATGTACCTGTGTCATACATGGCATGTCCACACCAGTGCTTTAACTTCTGGGTGAAAAGAGAAGCAGGTTAGGTACCCGCCCACTATTCCCAGCATCGTCCCTGTCCGTATGAGAGAAACGATAAGAAACATCAGATGATATAATGCAGAGCTTGCCCGCTTCTACGTCCATTCCTGTCTGACTTGTGTCAACCTATAATAGATCGGCTGCGCAGAACTGTTACGACGGCACAGGGGAAAAACAAAAACACAAAAGGTTAACAGACTCATAAGATCATAGTAGCTCCGAAATTTTTGAGAGCACACGAATTGCATTGATCTACTCAGCAACAGACGTCTTTCAACGGCAGCTCGCCTGAAAACCATCCACCACGCCTATCCCGCCCTTTTTTTTTTTTTTTGGGAGCCTCAACGACGACTGACGCTCCGCTAACACATGTTACCGGCTTTTGGACGAGAAGTACCCCTCCCTCAACACCTCCCCGGGAACCGGGCAAGACGGGCAAAATTTCGAACCTACGCGACGCAGGTCCTCCCACTCCGCAGCCCTCGCCACCATCACAGCCCCGAGGGGCCTCGTTCCATCAAATTCTTTCCCTACAGAGTCCGGCGACCGTCCAGAGCGGTTCGCTCTGGCGGAACCCATGCATCGGAGACACGCTGGCGGGCAACTACCGAGTAGGACCGGACTACAATGTCGGTTACTCTCCCCAAGATTCGCATCCGGGCGAGCAGAGCCAGTCTCAGCACGGATACGATTCTCACCATCACCATCGAGGGAACCCCCTCCAGCATGCGGGGTCGGGCAGCTTACATGAGCAGACGCCGCCACAGTCGCATCACTCCATGTCGCAACATCACCATCCCTCCCACCACCACCAGATATTGATGGATCCATCGCAGCACATGGGCGGTCTTCCGGCGGCGAGGCATCTGGGACACCCGGGTCCCTCGCATTATGGCGCTCCAGGGCCATCACACGGGCTACCGCTCTATCCGTCGATGACGCCTCCGCAACCACACGGTGGTGGCGCGAAGCGTAGTCGACCCGATGATCTCGATCTCTCAGTTTCAGGCATGCCTGAGCTGGATCAAAATCTGGAGTCGATGCAACAGACACCCATGGGAGCCGCTTATGCGCAAGCGGCGGGTGCTGCACCCACGCATCACCACCACCGTCTTCCGGACCAAGGACCGCCTTCCAAGATGATGCGACGGGAGGGCGACGGGAGTCTCCCGGGAAGCGGAGGAGGGGCGCCTAGTGTGGTCGGACAAGTCGGGATGCCATCGCCAGCACCGCGACCGCGAGGGCCCAAGTTGAAGTTCACACCCGAAGACGACCAGCTTTTGATCGACCTGAAGGAGAATAAAAGCCTGACTTGGAAACAAATCGCCGATTTCTTTCCTGGTCGATCGTCAGGCACACTGCAGGTCCGCTACTGTACCAAGCTGAAGGCCAAAACAACACAGTGGACAGATGAAACGGTAAGAAACGCCGTCTTGCGGTCTAGAGATGGGGGCCAAACAGCTAATATACACTTCTTCAGGACCAAAAATTGCGAACAGCTCTAAACGACTACGAAAACGAGAAGTGGCGCATCGTGGCTAACAAAGTGGGGACCGGCTTCACCCCCATTGCGTGTCGAGAACGCGCCCAACAGCTAATGGGAGGTGGACCCGAGCATGGGGACGAGCACGATGTTGAACATGGAATTGAGCATGAGGACTTATAGCAATCAGCGTCCCCCCCGGGAATTTCGGCTCCCGGATCAGGGGACACCATCTTCCCACGACACTTCTAGGGATGAGGAGCTCGTCCATCATACCCTGTCCACAATCTACCGACAGCAAATCGTCTACCGAAACGGTCCTTCGACAACCCCCCCCTCTCCCCCGATCGTCCTCGAAAGGCCAGCTTCATACCGAGCGTGATTCAGAGACGAGCTTATTGGCAAACGCCGCCCATCGAGACTCCATCATTTAGGACGACTTCATTGCTTCACCAGGATACCTTTACCTTTACTGGAAATTCAGCAACTAGCAAGGCGCATGGTGTTACCAGCTGTTTCCATCCATTTTCTTTTTTTCGACAACCACCCTTCGTACGACGATAGTGGTGTCCTTTGGAGCTTGTTCTGCTCAACTGTTTACAGAGCGGGCCCCTTAATACTAGAGATACCAAGAACCACAACGGTTTATGTTTTCCTTGATGTTGACGACCAATAGAAGAGGGGAAACCGGGTTGAGAGCCGAAACATATTTTCCCTCCGCCCGCCCCCAATCCTCATGGCCACATCTGTGAGTGGCATGCGTTGCATTGCACTGTACACACGTATATGATACGAGACGGCCTTTCTTTTCCCTTTTCGCAGTGGTGGTAGCTTGGTTATGAGGGTATGCAGCACGTTTGGAGGAGGGTTTTCATCATCTTTGGCATTCACCGCATCTTTCATGGCGACATTGATAGATTAGGAGCCATGGCGGCAGAGATACCCCTGGGTAGATTGCCTGCGATTTGCGGGATGCAAGTGTGGAAAGGCACGACGGAGCGAGCGGACAACTATGGAGACAACGACGACGTGCCCGGGGAGGCTTGCGGGTGCTTTGACCACGGGAATCCATCTCGGTCAGGCCACGATGCGAGAATCAAAAGTCTTGCAATAAGCGTCGGGAGCCCCGGGGCGTCGCTGTGCGAGCGAGGGGCATGGGGAAAAGCACAGGGCCATTTCTAACTTGTTCATCTAACACCCATATGTAATAATCCCCCATTTTCTGATATATTCACCAAGTTCAAGAAACGAACGCTCTTGCGGCGCCGTCTCGTCAATATAAAACCACACACTACTCTAAACTCCTCTTCTCTTCTCGCTGCGCACTGATAAAGACAAATGATGATTCCTTGTCCCAGGTTCTCCAGATTGGCTTGCTCCTACGGTATATCCGAGGTTGTCGCATGGCGTGGCGCCGCAAAGCGGTGCAGACGCAGCACATATGCCGTGTCCATGTCCTGTCATGTCATCGTGTCGAGGGTCATTTGCCGCTTACCGAATAGACAAGGGCCTTCGAGTCATCCATGGGCGCCTGCCCGCCTGCCCCAGGTCCAGGGGTTTGGCGTTGTTTGCTGCGTAAGTAAGTTGTTTTTTAATTACCGATCTCGATATTATCCAATCGGTCCACACCTCATGGGTTACGTGCTGTAGGCAGTCTATATCACCAACCACTTATTAGTCGGTCGGATCCCTCTGCGCGGTGAATCGCATGCTGTCATTTTACTACCTGGGCCACCGCAACGGCCCTGGAATCCTGACAAAGCGAACAAGCAATTTACGTGCCGCAAAGGCGATGAGACCCAAGGACAAGGATGCCACACCACAACTTGCGTACGTGATGACGCAGATTCGATTCGCAATGATGCCTCGAAAGGATGCGAGCTGTATAAGGGACATGAGCGTGGCGGGTTGAGTTACGGACGATCAAGCCCCTTTGGGAGGTCAAGAACGTGTGTTGGTAGTATTATGTGAAGGTGTATGTAAGTAAGTCATAATCCCTAAGCGAGTCGTGTAGAGAGAGACAGGCGGTGGAACGGCTGCACGAGTTCCTCATCTGCTGGATTGTCGATCTTCCCGGGTAACTGAACCCCAAAAAAGACGAGGTTTTGCCATTTGCCACAGAGATGGGCTATTGTTGATTGTTCGGTGGTGATCTCTATTCGAGTCCCAGATGCAAAAACCCGCCCAGGAGTGCAGCTGTGTGGGAGACAAGGCCAGGCAAGGGGGGTGGGGGAGGGGGGAGAATATGCTCTGCCGAGAGGGGGGGGGAGGTGATGCTGCAGGCACTTTGTCAATTACCGAGGCGATCCTTCTCACGTTGGGGCTGCTACTATTTTTTGTCCCACATATGTGCCAATGTGCCGTGAGCGGGAAGCAGCATTTCTTTGCCCCATTGAAAGGCCCCTGGGCCGTGGCCTGGCGCTTGGGTGGCCTGCGTTGCCTGCTGTGGGTTGGGTTTCCCGGCTTTGGAGCGCTGCCGATGCGGCATGGGGGATAGCGTTGTTGATTAGGACCCTTGACCGGCCGACAGTTGCCACCCCACTATCGGCCGAGTACGAGAAGATCAACCGCCCTGTTTTCCTGTCTTGTGGGGTTTTGCGAAATGAAAAGCCAAGTTTTGATACGAGAGAACACAAGATGGTCAAGATGTTTGAGTTTTGCACGTTACCATCGGTCTGGAGTATGATGCTGGTTCCGCCGGACTCCTCGGTTCCCGTCATGGTTTATTTCATCTTTGTTCAGGCATCATGGCCATGTTGCAGCACAAGAGTTTTTCTCGCCAATGGTAGCGATTTGGGGTCGATTTGGTGGTGTCTTGATATCGCCTCCTCCGCTGCCCGGCGGGATTCAGTCTGCTTGGCCGAAAAGGGCATTCATGGTCCCGGATAGAGAAGACAGAACCTCGCGCATTTTGACGGCCAGGGAGACGTATCGAGGTCCCAAAAAGCGACTCCACATCCATGTTGGGAACAGCAGCCGACCAATCCAAGTCATCGATGACCGGGAAAAGCGAGGCCATCGTATCCAGAACTAGTCAGTCAGCCGAGTCATAGTAGCTCAGGAATGGAGGCGGTCCATTGCCAATGACAGCAGCGCCATTTGGTGGTCAATTTTACCATTGGGAACGACTGGCCAGTACGCCGCGCCGGGCGAAACCAGGGCGGATATGTCCCATGCCTCCGCCCACACCCTGGCTGTCGTTACCTGGATGCCTGCAGAGGCGAAAAGCCACAAATGCAATCTCGAAGATGCGAGAGGTCAGCCACCAACTTGCTGCAACTTGCTGGGATCTTCAACCCCCTGTCCGAGAATTTGTTGGTGTCTCGTTAGCACGATCCTTCAGTTCCCAGTCGTTTTAGTCAGTGATTTCTCATCACCGGATCTCAGCTTTTCATTTCGAAAACTGCCAGGCATAGCAAAAGCCAACAATCTCGAGCATAGTCGACGTGGTTCTTTCAGAGACGATGCGGCAGGCACCGCATGCAACGGCAAAACCCGCGATCCTGACAGCTGGAATCTCGCCGGCAAGTTCCTTTGCGCGTAGACCCTGCCTGTCGTCCGATCGTCCTATCATCTCATGTTCTTCCTTTCTTACACTGCTGGGCGTCAGCGGTGAGGGGCATCGCCTGATAATTCAATTGGTCACGAGGTCGAGGGACGGGCCCCCCTGCATCTCACTTGCAGATTCGGATTTCTTTTCTCTTTACTCTGTATCTCTGTTAGATATTATTACTATCATAGTAGTAGTATAGATGAATACATAGGTTAAAAGTCCATCCAGAGGGAACTTGGGCCTTTATCTCTTCGTGTAAATTCCGAGTTAGAAATCTAGTTTGAACTTCTCTATTTCTTTCTTTCTTTATTTGTAACACATAGCTTCCTTCTGTTTTTTAGGGGCACTCCTATAATCTAGACTCCCTTTAGCCACCGATCGGGCGCTCGCGTCCCGAATTGGTCTAAGCAGTCGACGGGGCGCTCAGTGACAAGGACTGGCTAGTGAATTGTGGCGGGCAGCTCCGTCACCTGCAGAGGAGGAAACAAGGCGTCGCGATGTGGGCTACTACGGCTCTCTCTCGCACTTGTCACCACACTGCGCTTTGCAAATACAGGGGCCGCTGTCACAAAACCCGGACACCCCGGTCTGGGAGCTGGCCGCCGCCCGGCAGCCGCTGCCAGGGCTATGCGCATGGACACCACACCGTCATCGAGGGTTTTATAGTCTGCTGTCTTCTTTAGCCCCGAGCTTCACGTCTAGACGCCGCTCGAATAGGCCACACAAAACCATTTGGGATGGATCCGATTCCATCAGCGCAACTCTGCCGGACGCGGGCTCCGTCCCAAGAATTGCACTCTTTCCGTTCAAGTAACCGGAACTATCGCAGCGGGTGTAACGGCGCCTAAAGTAGCGTGTCACTAGCTACCCATCCCCAAGCAGCACTCCCTAGACGACTTCAAGCTTTTGGAATGATCTGCGAAAGGATTGTGACCACTGTTTCTTCTCTTCTGCATGACGGTGCCAATGCCTTAATCGTTTCTCGTGCGATATCTGTCACGGGTGAAAACGCGAAACATCTAAATCTTACTCCGACCAGATCAGATTGTAAGCGGCTCGAGACGACTCGACGTTTGTGTATCATGCGTCCGCAACCCCCCCTCTCCCCCTTCCCCCCTCGTCGGTTCGAGGCTCGCTTGATCTACGTGCACGATCATGTCGTGTTCCGGCTCGTTACGAGATGTAAATCCGCCCGTTGCACAAGCGAATTGAGGCTCATCGGTAGCTAGATTCAGCGACATGGATCGCTGTTGGTTCTGACTTCCTTGTCGAATGAATGTCAGAACAGATACATCTGTCTCAAGCCTAATCCATCTCAGCTCTGATCGTAATGCCGCTCTCATTCTACGACGGATCAAGTTTCACCGCGCGGAGAGTTCCCGCATCGCCAGATGAAAGCCTCAACGCAATAGTATCATGACCATGTTCTCGCAGTCCGTCCTGCCGAAGAAGAATTGTTTGCTTCTTTCGTAGAATCATCGTCCAAACAGTGCGTGACCGCTAGAAATTCTGTCAATTCTGTCAATTAGGCTCGTCCAATCGGGGGTTTTCACGGTAACGTCCACCTAGCGTGGGTGATATTACAAAGTTGGAGCTGCTGTAACGCTGGCCCGGTTTGTGTTGCAATGTGGAGAGCGCCCAGCGACTAGTTTTTGTCATCCAGTGACCGCTGTGATAACACAGTTATCACAATCAAGGCATTTTTCAACGGACTCCAGACATTCATCCCAACCCAAATTGCAAAGCACGAGAACTCGTTGGTCATTGTGTTTATTCTTGATATGGCAGGCCTAGCTCTGACACTAGATGGGGGGATCCGAGTATGAATGGGTCTGAAATCTCACTGTCACGCTGTTACTCTGAGAGGCAACATCGTCAATGCGCTTCACGTAACAGAGGTGCAGTAGCATTATGATTCTCCATCTCAAATCCAGGTGTGAACACCGCGCTATCCTTTGATGATCCCGATTGCGTGATTGTTCCTAAGCTTTTAGGGCTCTGCATCGTGCTGGATGTGACTCTCACACCTGGACAGACCTCCCGACTTCATCTCGATTTGGCGGGTTTGCTCGAGACAGTAGCATCGTGGCCGGCTGCATGCATTTTCAGGCAGCTAGTTCATCGGATTTCGTGCCTTTTATGGGGTAGAGGGGTAGAGGGTGCATCTAGACGCCGCCAGACTGACCGACTAATGAGACTGCATATCGAGACTCGATTGCGTGGCTGACGACAGCCTGCTCAACCCCCAAAGCAGTAAGCATGTTGATCAAGGCAATGCGTTGTATGCTGTGCCTCTCTGTGGTCACCAAATCAAGTTGGGTGTTTCCTCCGATTGTACCTTAGCAGACCCATTAAGGGCTTCGGCGACCCTGTAATGGACCCTATAATGGAGCCTATATCGCACCCGTTATGAGCATACGAACCAGACTTGGACCACCACCGGTTCCGTGAGACTGACTGACTCTGGGCTAGTCTGGTTAGGCGCACCTAATTTGTTTCCTCCAGTGCGGTGATTCCTCTGCAGGTGACGGAGCTTTCCTCGACGATTCACTGGCTCGCCATTACCACCGAGCGCCCCGTCGACTGCAATTAGACCAATCCGGGACGCGAGGGCTCGATCGGTGGCTCAAGGGGGTCTGTGTAATGGGCGTTTTCCCTCCGAACAAAAACTAGGTGGATAGTAGGCAGAAGCTGTTGGCGTGCGTATCCGGCGACGATGGCTGCAGACGAGGAGGGGCCGCGTTCAAAGTTCTGACTCGGCCGGCGATTTTGGTGATAGGCCAGTCTACGTCATCAAATTTACCTGTCTCATTATGATATTTGGCCCACTTCTGACGTTACTTGCACCTGTATACCCCATAAAGCTGTGGCCTGTAGGCGGGCGCAGAAGAGAGCGGTTCGGTCCACCCGAGTTGAAGAAGCGTTGATGTTTTCGTTGTTGTGCTGAAGCGTTCACATGGTAAGCCCAGTCGATCATGCATCCGGATGGGACGTCGGATGGCGATGTGGCCTAGATGCTAAGAACACTCTGTACCAGTTCTCTCCTCCACATCTGTTTTCCGCCTTCGACGAGGGATATGATTTTTTCGTGCGTTGATACATCTTGGCCCCTGTTCAGATAGTTGGCGGTCTCTACTATCCAGCCGTTGAAGTGTCGAACCTCAGTCTGTTTGCCTGCCAAGACGTCTTGGAGCATTGAACTAGTGTTATGTTTAACCTTTTCTCCAACATTGAGGACCATTTTTTGCAGCCTGGGAAATGAGAAGCGCTCGACGAGCTCGTCTATGACTGCTTGGTCCATGTCTCCTATAACCTGGGCGCTACTCGAGTCTCGTATCAAATCCACAAGGACATTGCTGGCTTCCTGAACCAGGGCGTCTATAACCAGTGATACATTGTCTCCCTTACGTTCGAATAGTTTGCCATTTTTGCATCGCAGGATCGCCGTCAGGGGATTGATGATGGAGTTGACCACTAGTTTCTCGAGCTGTAGTATCCACAGTTGCGGTGTCGGGACCTGTCTGCCGTCCAGATCAGGGGCTTCAGAAATAAGGTCCATGAGGTATTCCGGGCCACGTCCGGTTTGAGGGTTCCGTAGGACCGGTCCCACCGAGACATCGGCCATCGACGCGTGCATACTCTTGAACGGGCCTAGAGACAGTACTCCATGTGTCGTGACGCAGGCGATGAAGTTCGGACCTCCATCATGAGGGAATCGATGATGGATATATGCATTGCCAAGGGGAGGCCACAGCTTGCACATTCCGTTCTGGGTGAAGGCGACAGTCGAGTTGGAATCCAAGTACTTTCGCAGCTTATCCACCTGCGGGAGAGCGTCCGACGCCTTGGTGGCGATGATGAGATTATTGATGGCTTTGCCGGAAGCCGGCTCCGAAAGGGGACCCGAGACGGGCTTTTCTGAGGTCCACCACTCTACGTCGAAGTCGGCGAATTTGACGGTAGAAAGGCAAGAGCCCTTTCTAGTAATTTCTATGGCTGGAGAGGATACCCAGTGCTCTAGGAGTTCCCTCCGATGGACAACCAGCGTAATAGGGGGTTTGCTGTGGTGCTGCACCAAGCCGCTGGCGAACAGGCGCCCTAGATTGCCAAGACCTAGAATGTAGATGCGTCGTGCTGGGTCCGAGAGCCGAGATGGCGACGAACGTCGAGACTCGGGTTTCATGCTATTCAGGTTCTCCGGAGTCCATGCGTATAGTCGTGGCGGCTGCGTGGTGTCGTCGAGGACGCTCTGTAGCCACATAGCAGGCACATCGGGCGGTTTCATGGGTAGTGCCACGTTAGACTCTCGACTCAGATTGGGCTTGATATTGCGCCATCGGCCTCCAGTATACCTGATGCGCACACGAGGCACCATTTTCCAACACTCTGGAGCAGCTTACTTCCCAGCGCGGCAGTTTATGGACTGAAGCCCCAGTACGAAGTCGATGCTTCAGGGTCTCACGTGATTTCTCTTGTTCGGTCGGGTGCCGACTCATTGCCCACCTTGTCTCGCGGCGATAAGTGCATTCATGAAAACTGAGATAAGGTCTCTAGCTTGTAGTGATGGAAGAAGCTTTGTTGGAACTGCGGAAGTGCGAGGGTTGTACGGGATGACCAGGGAAGAAGTCGTTGAAAGACAGATTTGGATAGTCGCTGTCAAGTCACAGGTCGGGTAAGCTTCGGGATATATATCGATCACAACTCCTTGTACCCCAGCGGCCAACAGATTGTGACCACCATTTGGATTGTATAAACCAAGGCAGCCGTTTGTCAAAGAGGCATAAGGAATATTTGTCTAGTTTTTCAAGCTTGCGATTCGAATTTGAAAAGAACTCTTTCAGTCTTTTATAATGGTATTATCACGTCGGCTTCGTTCATAGGCCTTTGTTACCTGGCATCTCGCTATCTCCCACCGAATGGCATGCATGTCTCCCATATACAAAAAGTTGTGAGGCCAGGTAGAACATCAGTGTACAAGAGAAACATAGATATACCCCTTATCAGTACCGAGTTTATCCCCATTCTGAACACTCCTAACTATGGATCCTGACAGCCGCCTGATCATGACCTCGGTCGGGTCTCACAAGCTGACTGACCCAGACTTGAAAGGCTTCAAGACGCTAACTATATTCAACTTCTTGACAAATTGCAAGAGGACCCTGTACGATCCCGATGAGCTTGCACGGTCCGAAGAAGCCAGCCTCAAAAACTGCAGCTCTTCTGGTATCACGGCAAGGACTGCATGTGTCTCGAGGCGAGTGCAATAGGAGACGCAACGATTGAAGTAACTCCGGTAGTATAAATGCACGTACATATGTTGCTGTCTAGTGAAGGGTTAGAGAGAGTCGAAAGGTCTATTGGCTTGGAAGCTGTTCTTGGGACTGCCTGTGCCTGATCAGCTCATCATGGATTCTACTGGGAGATGAAGAGAGGAAAGGCAGAGGATGAATGAATGAGTGACTGGAAGGTAAGTGCTAGGGGGGCTTATTTAAGTAATCTCTTAGCTCCAAACCCCCCGCCGGTGAGGGATAGTGCTCCGATTTTCATGCTAATTGAATATCATACCGTTCTCCATAGTTATTCTTACATACTCACTTGTTGTGATCGTGAGGCGTGCGCCGTACACCCTGCGGAAACGGCAGAACTCCATTTCAAATTCGATTGAGAAGTTAACGTCTTGTCCTGGGTTAAAATTATACAGAGCTCTGAAGTTGAGTTATGAGTTGAGGCATGCGGGATGCCCATAAGCTCCTGGGTGTGAAGACTCCTTGCGTGTGTGACTTACTTGCGAAATGGAGGATGCTTCGTTTATGCAAGCCGTTGCTCTGCCTTTGTCGATGGAGGAGGTGAGCAGACAATTAGTCCACTTGCGAATCGTTATTTCTGCCTTGGCCTTCGCCCAAGAACTTGATGCCCCTATTCAATTGTTCTCCGAGACCCCAAATATATATGTTTTCCGGTTTTCCGAAGACACAATCCTCATATAATTTTCAAAACCATACCGAGGCAGGCGTTGTTGGAAATGGTTCCTTGAAGAAAGATGTGGTGGTGGAAAAAGGAGCCATCAAGGGGCCCCCACAAGAACCTGGCTGTTTATGTCCCACCACATTGGGAGTTAAGTAATCATGAGCTTATCAGCAGCTAGAAATGAGATCACTCAGAGGATGCCTAGAGTCCAATCAGACAAGTCTAAAGGGAGGACTCAAAGGGGTCACATAAGGTAAGTTGGTAGGGAGTAACCGGATTTTTTTCCATACCAGGCAATGGTTGAGGATAATGACCTGGATATAAAGTATCAGCCTTTTTGAAGTTGCCGTTTTGATTCTGAGTGTTGACAGCTCAAGGCAAAATAATTGCAAGGCTTCCATATAAGACCGTCATAGATACTTGGAAAACGCTTCAGCGTCTCTCTCTTCAACCCAGAAGACAATTTCCCAGCTCGAGAAGACACCGAGCGCTGACTCCTCTCAAGCAAGAAGCACACGATATTCTCCATCTGCGATCAATCGCGGCACCGTATCAAGCTCACAGCCAAAGATTGCCCAACACGTCCAACGTATTGGTACAAGTCGAGTACAAGGGCTGCTCGGAATGCGACCACATCAGCGTCGAGACCGGCAGGTTCATAGACCGAAGCGCCTTCACGAACACAACTCTCAGCCCCGCTGAGTGGGAATATAACTGGTATCACACCCCGCACAATCAGCAAAACTTAGCTGTCCACGTGTACTTCCAGGGGTCTAGCTTGCCTCCTAATGCAACATGCCTTACCTTGCTAAAACACATCCCCACCAACGACTATTTTGTCAAGCACACCGACATGGTGCGAACTCGGGGCTTCGTCGATTTCATCCCTGTCAGTTTCAAGGAGGAGTCCGCCAGGTTGGTGATGCCATCATCCTTCACCTCTCTCGGAGCCCGCATTCGCAGAATGGTCCCCCGCCCCCGCCAGTACCCGTCTGGGATCCACGAGGTTTTGGTTTTCGTGTGCCTGGGATTATGGAGTCTGATCCAGTGAGCGGACCTGCCGGCGGAGCCTCTCTCTGAGCCCGCATTCGCAGAATGGTCCCCCGCCCCCGCCGGTACCCGTCTGGAATCCACGAGGTTTTGGTTCGTGTGCCTGGGATTATGTAGTCTTGCCGGCGGAGCCCCTTGCACATCCTGCACGACGCTCGACTTGAGTCGTCCATAAGAAACACGACTCGGTTGCAGCTGATAAGGGAACACACGAATAAGCTAGCAAGCCATCGACGCGCCCTGCCGTAATCCAAGCTGACCCTTCAAACCAGAAGACTACTGAAGCGACCAATGATCCAGCTACTTGCCACTCATCCCAGCCGGCTACAACAGCCCAAACACAGGACAGCGCTACTCCGGCTGCTCGAAAACAGCCGACCATCACGGGTTCCCGCCGCAACATCAGCCTGCTGTACACCGGCCCGGTGCCGCAGAACTGGAACCGGGAAGCCCATGCACTGCGCTACCGTGCCTCACTCGCCTCCGGGTGGAGACAGCGCACCGCTGCGGACGTATAGTCCTGTCTCTGACTCGGGTTATGGCAGTTACTCGGATGTTCCGAGTCCGTCGGGACGAGCGTGGGGGTGGGAATGGGTACGGGCATGGATACGGTACAGATGACGCAGGGGAGTGAATATGGTGGATGAGTTCGGGCGTATCTGCAGAGAGCGAGGTGGAGTGGTAGTGATGGTGACAATGATGGCGATCGAGATGTTCGGGGGGGGGGGGGGGGGTAAAGTAGACAATCATCCCAGGCCGGAGGAACAAGGTCGTGAACGGTAAATATGCACCAAGGTACGGTCGTGAGAATGACGGCAATGATAAAGATGGTCCAGGCGCCCTCAAGAGATGGGGCGAAGGAGACGATAATCCGGGTTTTGGGTAGCACGGCGAGGGCCAGTGACCCTGTGTTATGGAATTGAGAAGAAGATTGGCGCTGGATGGACGGGCAAACTAGTCAGTCGGTAAGTTGATCCCTAGTTAGTCTCAGATTTGAATAGATTCATACAAGGAAATTGTTGCTATTGCCCTTGATTCCTTCCCTCAAGTGCATCCTGAATTGAACGGAAGTGGCCAACAATCAGGGGACGTCGTGGCTTCAGCCCTTGTGTTCCATGGATTAGTTGCTCATAGCCCATGGAACAAAGAGCACTCTCCCGCGAAATAGGCTCAGGTATTCAGTGGAATTGATTGCGGTAATGGGAATGGCGAAGCGGGCGGTTCCGGATTCGGGGGAGGTGTTACTCTGTACCCAACACTCCTCTTCTTTGCCCTTCTCGGTGTCCGGCTCCATATGTGAGATACCGTCAAAATTCCACATTGTTGTTCGCTCTCATTCGTATTCATGATGAAAACTTGGCACAAACTGGGTGCAGGATTGAAAACGTTCATTGACTCAGCTATCTACAAAAGCCAGATCATCAGTGTAGAAACTAGACAGCATGATTATACAGATGTTCCCAAATACCGTTAGCCTTGCAAACACCATAAGCACCCCTTTTGGGCACCCATTTAACCAGGTCGTGCAAGACTTCCGTTGAGCCCAAATGACGAAAGAAAAAACACAGTGCCGCATATTGTACCGCGATATAAAACTTCTCCCTCCCCCTCCCCCCCTCATTCCTCCTCAATAATCTCTCAATCCTCGTCGTCTACGGCATTACGTCGTTTTAGCTCGCCCTCTAGTAGGGTGGGTTCGGTCCAATTGGAGGGTAGTCGTCCTGTCGACCACCGGCAACGGACCCGGATCCTCGGCCATCGCGGGGGTCGCGGGGATCGCGGGGATCGCGGGGGTCACGGGGGTCACGGGGGTCACGGCTGTCGCGGCTATCACCGAAATGCTTCTTGCGGAGCGCAGCAAGTCTCTTCTTCTTGGTCACCGTGTTGATGTATGTTCCGATGGTGAAGGCAACGACGTTGAAGAAGGGAACCCAGGCATTTTCCGGCAAGAATTGTTGGGCGAAGGCCAGGCAGAGGGGTGACGTGATCCACGACACCTGCATGACCTTCATGAAGCCGACACGGACCGTGGCGCGCACCTGATGGTAGGTGCGGGCGCCAGCGATGAGGGCCATGGCAACGAGGTACACGGTGTTCTGGATCGGGGCGATAACCAAGTTGCTGACGATGATCTGCATGATTTTGGAACGCAAACTCGTGCGACCCTTGAAGGCCTTCTGTAGGACCCAGATCAAGAAGTGACCGAGAGGTGCGCTAACCAAGGCACCGTACGCCGCCATCTTGGGGACTCGCGATGTGAAGTAGTTGCCGTGCTTATTGCGGTCTTTCGCGAGCCATGATGCGAGGAACTCCTGAAAGCCAGCTAGAGCTCCAGAAGTGAGCATCTTGGTTCGCAGTGGGTTCTTCTCGAGCTCGTTGATGTAGGCCTGCGAGTGTGCATTGTCAGTTCGGACGCGGGGTCGCCAATGGAGAAGAACAGTGAGTGTACTGACCATCATGTAGCCCTTGGTGCCAGCATTGGCCTTGCCGCCGGTGATGGCGGTGCCGAGTTTCTCGAGATGCGGGTGCCTTCCACTGGTACCGGGCAGATGGCCATCGGCAGTGGCTTCCACAACTTCCTCAGAGGCCTTGCGCACAGTCTCGGTGCCTTTGCGGATGGTGTCCCGCTCAAACTTGATTGACGCCATCGTGGTGGGAGCTATGGGTCGACGGGGGCAGATTCAATCGCCAATTGTCCAACTAGCAGTATGTCAGTGCTCGGATCACAATGGCACAAATCCCAAGTCGAGCGTCGGAGTTGTAAGTTGGGGGAGCTTGCGCTAAGCCGTGGGTTTTTGGTTTGTTTACCTCGAGCTAGGGAGAAGCCGAGGCTGCTTATTTTTCGACTGCCACCCAAAACACCAAGCAACTGGTAGAATTCGAGGGAATTTCAAGCAAACAAGACGTTGCAATCGGGCTCAATTCGATGCTGCCGCTTGGCCTGGCAATGGTTAATCAATCGGTCAGCATCGCCGTTCAACGTCGACGAAAAGTGGAGGTTGGGGGAGCAGGAGACAACACGAGAGGTTGGACATTTCGGGCGCCAGATGGCTGATACCACCAAGCTTTGCTTGTTCCAGTCTCCTCTGTTGTCGCGACCACCCACACTGACAAGGATGTTGCCTTGCCTTCTAGCTTCAAACGGAGAGGCGCAATTGCTTGCAGAGGCCCGCGCTTTCTGCACGACAGCTGAGCCGTGCTCGCCTTCTGATTGGCTCGCCTGATAATATTGGTTGCTCTGTTCGGTGGAGCTGTTTTTCCGGCATTTAAGGTGGGGAAGTAAGATCGTGACAACGCACAGAGCGGGCAGGCGAGATCCCTGAATTTGTAGATTTCGAAAGGCGGGATGAACTAGCTTGCATCCGTGACAGTGCATCTCAATGCTGTCCACTTGGGCTCCATCAATCCCCCTCATGATATATTCAATAGGATGTCATTTTTGGGAGGGGAATGCCCAAGCCAATGCTCCCGTTGCCGCACATGGGAAATGTGATATCCGGGACCAAATGTGAGCGACTGCATAGAACTGGGCTGGGACCAGGTTCTTGGTGCCCCACGTCCTTGCTATGGTGGATGGACCATCACCACTTTTCTGTGGGCAGCATTTCGTACTCGTTCACAATTCGATCATAACTGGGTTCTCACCGTTCCAGGCCTGTGCGTTTCTGGAAGCGTGAGAAAAATAATGGCCGAAGATGTTTTGTTACAATTACACGATGGAACTTGATGAGGAAGGTGTGGGAGTCTCCAAACTTGGAAGTGCACTGGATAGTTAGCGTTGTTGACCTGCTCAGTGGTTGAGGTAAGCACGAGGTGGGTATCTCTTTCTTCAACTGCGAAACGGACAGAACTTCAAAATCTGGTAGCAGTTCTTCATACCGTTGATGTGATCGACAAAGGAGATGCAATTCATTTTCTCTTCCACAGTTTGACAATGAAGTCTTAATCGTGGACCCCCCTGTGCATCCGCACCTCATCGTCAACTACTGTGTACGAGGGGTCCAAATCCATCCTTAGCTCACATAGCTGTACTGCATTATTTACAAGTCGAGTCCCATGCTCGTTTTTTTGCCATCCGGATCAAATTCGATACGCACCTTATTTTCCTAGAATTGCGTATTCAACCTCGACGCCGCTTCGCAACCGCTACGATTCGGCCTTCAGTGAGACTAGTATATTCTCAGTACTAGAACTTCTCGCCAACATTCTTATACAGCATTGATTTCATTGGCGCCAAACAAAGATGCCGCAAGTCTCTCAGCAAGCTGCGACGAGCTCAGGCTCACCTAGACCTGCGGCGGTTCAGCTTCGCGCCGCCTCGTCTGCCGTGTCCATCGCAGCATATACAGCCTATCGACCGCAGATATGGAACCCGGCTTGTACGCATCTGACCATGACGCGCATGTATGAGCCCAACTTCGTCTGTTCCATGTGTCGTCGACCTGGCCAATAGGGTTGGCTCTATCGATGCACGCAAGATCGAGAGCAGATGATCGAGGATGCCATGAGGAAGGGTCACATAGTGAGTTTGAACTGATTCACTGATTCGAAGGCCTCAGGTACTAACAGACACTGCGAATAGGTCAGTTTCGATCTTCTTGGCGCCTCTTTCGAGGAAAGCCCGGCACCGCCGCCTCGAGGCCCCGAGGAGAGATCAAACCGATTGAGCTTCTTCAAGGAAATCACGGCAGATGAGATGAAGTCCTACACTCCAGACCAGATCGCCACCATCCTGGAGCAGCGAGAGAACGTGAGCATCTCCAGTCCCCCAATCGATTGAAGTGACTGACATTTGAAAGTTGCATAATGTCCTAGGTCAAGAGCAAGAAAGGATGGACCGGGTGAAGCGCCCTTTTTACATGCCTTCGTCTGGCCCCAATGGTTTGACAGATCCACCTCCTGGCTTTGAGCACCTCGAGAACAAGAGACCTTGGGTACCTGATGACGAGGAAGAGTGTCAATTCAAGTGCTGCCAACAATGCCGGCCCACTGCCGAGTCACGAAGCTACCTGAGCCTCGATGGGATTGTGAAAGGCGATGTCCCTCCTACTGCCGCAGTCGGCTTCGGCTTCCACTTGCAGGGAACCCGCCCAATCATTGACGCAGACATCGTCAAGAACATTGGTTATCGGCCCGTGCCTGTGCCCAAACCAGTCGTAGCTGATTCCGTCGAATCACCTTCCTCGCCATCTTCCATCTGGAGCATATTGGAAATGATTGACGAGCAGATGATCGAAATGGTTCGCATTGAGACTGATACAGACGAGTCGGAATCCACTCTGGATTCCCATCTTGACTTGGTCAAGATGCGAACTCCTGTCTTCCAGGATGATAGCAATGGCCAACTAAAGAGCGCCGCTATTCGCCCGCCGTGGACGCCGCCCACTACGCCCACTGCCTGGGCCGGCGCTCAAAAAGGCGAGAATGGAGTTATCAACTTCGAGCATCGCCCTTCAGTGTCTGATGGCCGAAGCTGCGACTCCTTGAAGACTAACCCTCGTCTACGACGTGCCACATTCGACTCCATCAGAACGTATGTTGACGCAACAGCACATGGCGACCATCCCAATCTCCCTAACCCGTACTTCCCTTACGAACCAGCGGATGCAAACGATGTTGGTTTGTTCCTCCCCTTCAACAAGACGGTTTTCGCGCGTGCTTGCATCACGCTTCTTCCTCCGCCCTCGCCGGCCGAAGAAGCCTATCTGCATGAGCTAGCCCCTGTGGTTGAGCAAGGGGGTCGTTTCCATGAAGAGCCGTTGGAAGTCGGAGACAATGGGGTTGCTGTCATGGAGGAGAGTGTCGGACTGGGGGTTCCGGACGTGGTCGCTCAGGTTTGAGGAGGCTGACTATAAGTATAGATGCACGGGGAGAGTTGGCACTTTGCATAAAGGTAGTGGCTGCTGTAGCTACATCGATCCATTCCTGGCAGCGCATAGCGACTTTAATGACCCGGTTATTGGATCACTGCGATTGGCTCAACCCCTTGGCTCTTGCAGTAGTAATAAGACATATTTTATTTCAGATAATGCAGATGCTTCCACCGCTGTTGTCAACACTTGGTGTGCGGCTCGATGGAGACTAAGTGACGGTTTCTGGTAATGAAAGCGACTATATGTGTGCTTATCTTGCCACTAGACTATCAGACACGCTGCTGACGAGCCCCTGGCTTTGGAGTCTGAGCCAAATATAGTTCCAAACACCGTGCTGAAGAAATATCTAAACGATTCCCCGCCGAAACCTTATGCGGGGAGTTTTGGAAGGTGGTATTGAATAGGACCTACCGGAACGTTATACTCGCTGGCGTAACCTTTCTTTCAGATGAGAAGACCAAAAAAAGCCATGTACCTGGTTTTTGGTAGGCATTGAGAGGTTTGTACTCAAAGGAATTCAGGAGTTTGATTACCTGGAGGAGTGGCGTGGTTCCATTACTTTCTTCCATGACGTGGCTTTGTTTGTCTCGTACCCGGAGATTCTTTTACACTCTTAACTACGACCAATTACGACACAAGTTCTCGGGATTGAAAAATGGGTTGCATCCTCCTTTCCGGTTGATCGATACCTCCTCCAGTGGTACAGCACTAGGCTATAGAGCCCTTTCCGGTCCCCACGGTCTATTACTAAGAGTGTAAAGTGGTTTCCAGATTTTCCGGAACCAGTATCTCCTGATGCACAAGTGGCCAAGGGTGGTTCCTAGTCTGAAGTGCCGAGGTTGCTACTGTAATACTACAAGGAACCTTTAGCCGCCTGCCTCCCGAGCTTTTAGAGTGCCGGTGTATTTTACCGACGATAGAGCCTCGTCGATCCGCAAGAGACAGCCATAGGAATGGCTATCAGTGCGTGCAGCTATATTGCCAAAAATATGAAAATTGCGACAAGCGCGTTGCACTTGATGAAATGGATAGTAGCCGGGACAAGGCATGTGCGCGCTTTGTCTACTACTGACAGAGGTGAAGACATCTGGTATAAGAGTACCAGCACCACGTCTCAAGAACTAAAACCTGACCATCCTTCTTGATACCTCTGAAATTGCATTGCCCAACTCTTTTCATTCAACAGTCTCAAAAGCCGCCAAGCACCATGATGCTAATCCGTCACCTCCTGCCACTAGCAGCCCTTTCAGCCACCGCCCTAGGACACGGTTACGTCTCCTCCCCACCCGCCCGCGCGCCGGGGGAAGCCTCAATCGCCGCCTGCGGTAACAGCGTTGTTAACGATATCAAAAAGGACAACACGTCGCACGTCGAAGGCCTCCCCGAGCTTGCCGCCACCGATGCAGGCTACCACGCCGACCAGTGCAACTTGTGGTTGTGCCGGGGCTTGCAGTTCGGTGACAACGCAGCCAACGTGCAAAAGTTTACACCGGGGCAGTCGGTGCAGGTCAAGATCAAGCTTGCCATCCCGCATGCCGGGGGAGCCAATGTCTCCGTTGTGGACACGAAGAAGAATGCGATAATTGGGAAGTCGCTCATTAGTTGGGCAAGCGGGTATGCGGATGAGCAGCAATTTTATTCGGGGAAGACGCCCGAAGATCAGGTCGATTTTAATGTGACGATACCGACGGATTTGGGGAGTGCATGTGCGGAGGCGGGGGCATGTGTAAGTTAATACTCTTCCCGGGCTGAGTCGTTAAAAGCCCCAAGTTGTGTGTGCTAATTGGATGGCTCTGTAGGTCCTCCAGTGGTGGTGGTATGGCACGGGAGCGAGACAGACGTATGAGTCTTGCGTTGACTTCACCGTAGCTTCCGCCGCGGCCAACTCGACGAAGCGTTTCAACGCCTAAAGAGAAGGAGCTGTTTATACTCCGATGCTATGAGAGTGTATATATTATGAAGAGCATTGTCTCAAACATGATAATCCACCCCACGAAGCCTGATTGTATTTAAGGTACGAGGGGTTGATCATAGGCACAGAGTTGGTCCATGGACCATGGCATATGAAGAGCAGTGCCCAAATCACTTCCAGTGGCTCCAGTATACCGTGCGGATGATCAAATAGCAGCTATGGGTATTATTTTGTTGCCATTAGCATCGCGTGAGGCCATGGTAATCTGAGTAGTGTCCAATAGCGCACTCCTCCGTGATACTCCTGCAGCATCCATAGCTCTACTATCCTTGAAATATCCTGTAGCAGTCTACGGGGACAGTTACGTTCCTGGTGGAGCGCTGTCCGTTCCACTTGCACAGCTCGATGCGGACCATCAGGAGTAACAGCCTTCATCCAGAGTAGTAGGACAAACCAAAGCCGTGCATCACTTCTTTGAAATATATTAGTAATGCATTGTAATCAGATAGGTTGGGGAGGATGGGGTTCGCCAGTGGCTGTGACTGGGAAGGACCTTACCTCGTTGCCATGATAGGTTCATTCATACGTGCGGAAGTTTATTCGGTGCTATCAAAACCCGGGGTATAGCACCGACCTTGGACCATATTGCCCAATCTAGTAATTTGGTTTACTAAACAACGGTCTAGAACTAAAGTTTCGTTCTAGGGCCACTTTGAAATAGCTTGGCGTCTTACAGTCTTTCGGCCATGCCTTCAGGCCCTAACCAAGACTGAGACCGGGTAGTCGGGACAAGTTCCGGACTAGTATGCAGGGACATATGGATATAGTCGACCTATTGGAACATGACGTTAGAAAGAAAGCCTTAGGGTTGGACACCAGTACAGCTATGGCAACATGAGTCCGCTATTTTAGACGAGACTTGTCGCTTGGTATGATAAATTCTTTTCCCATCATTTTCCAGTGGGCATGCGTGGTCTCCATAGCCGCCGCCAGATCCGAACTGACTGCTTGTCGCCGACCCAGACATGAGCCTTCGTATGATAATATAAGCTTGGCGATACTTCATTTACGTGCTGAGTTCTGCAGTGACAGAGCTACATGGCCAAATGCAAGTGTTTTGAAGTCGTCGATGTAGCAAACAAGGGCAAACATACCCAGTTCAACCCAGTGACACAGTGGGTGCCAAGGTGTCGAAGATGCTAGGCCTATACGAACGCATCCGCCCACCAATATTGTAAAGATCCGATAAGCGGGACATTAAGAATAAAAGCTATGGGAGCGAAGGTCTTCTGATCTCACACTCGATTTCATTGGTGGCAGATCAGCCATCTATGGCCGTGTGAGTATTGCATCCTGGCACATGGTCGTAGAAGTTAGCAGTCGCCAAGAGCTGAAGAAAGTCCAGATTGGTAAGCCACTGGGCGAAGGGGGGAGGGTGGTTGGAATTTATTCGAAGGACAGCTCTAGTTTCATGATGCCTCTGAAGTATAAAAAGGCCCTTCGCTCCAGACTCGTCATGGAACAGACCTCACCATCACCATCGACACATTCCATCTACTCATCGCAAGGAAGACCAACAGCCGGCCAAACAAACACCACTCACTTACGCCACCACAAAAGAACCTCACAAATCTACCATCATCAATATGAAGTTCATTAACCTTTCGCTGGCCGCCCTTCTGGCACTCATCGCGGCCGCAGCTCCCTCCCAGGGCGCCCCGACGAGTGATGAGCTGGCCACGCGTGCCTGCAGGTGGACCGATGCCTATGATTGCTACTACGATATTTGCACCGGACAGAGCGGTCCAGGTGCCGACCTGGGCGCCCTGGCTTGGTAAGTCACCTTGCACATGTCAAACGAAACCCAAGCAATCATGGACAAGGAGCTAAGTTTTCTTCAGCCTAGCTGCCTGTAAGACGTTGTGCGGTTAGAGCTGCAAAGGTCTAGACTCTCTGGAGCAAGGACGGAGATGGCTGTTCCTCAGGGAGGAGCTGATTTGGGTGTGTTGGATGCCGGTGCGGTAGAGACAGACAACAAGGGTTTGGTTTCATTACTACTGAACAGAGCTACAGAGCTCTACGTATACAGTTGCTACTCACAATAAAAGGCTGCGCAGCTTACAAAAACCCCCTTTTCTGTTTTTTAAGGAGTTAATGAAGTGATAGGCATATTCGAGGGCTCCAAATTTGTAAATATAAGCGCACTGCAAATAATTTATCCTTGCATGTTTGACTAGGAACATCCTCGAGCTTCCGCCAGTCTTACCTACGTTTATTGCGCCTAGCATGCTTTTCGTGCAGCATTACTCAGCTAGCCAGGTGTATAGCATGCGTCTTGATACCGCCTGCATAACCTAATGATATGCTAGATAGCTCAGAATCAAGGTGACTAAGATGAGTACTGTGTTAGTGAAGGACAAAGCCATCGCAGTTGACTGTTTGCTTGGCTGATTACCTTCTCCTTCACATCCTGGATTGTTGTGCTATGCCGCACAAAGGAGCTAGCTCGTTAAAAACGTCCAGGCACGGCAGAAGAAAGATCAGATGATAAGACTGCTTCTGTTGCCCGCCCTTCACTTCTTGAACTCTTGATGGTTGTCCTGCTCTTCGAGCACGTCAATTTCGTGGGATCAATCCTCACACCTAAACATTGCTGGTTGTTTGTTCTGTTTGAGCAAGGTGGCTTTACTGCAGCTAGCCCGACAACACAACCACCGACTCATTAAGGATAGGAGACTAGACCAGTCCAGAAATCCAGTTTTTGAAACGATCAAGACCATGGTGCCCTTCCCTCAAGACCTCCCGCCACGCCCGGAGCAGCAAAGCAGCTACAAGGATCGCTCCTGCCTGTATGCGCACCTGCTGGCACTTCGAGTGGGATTCCTGGAGCTTCAAGACCTCCAACAAGGCAAAGCTGTGCCGCCGCATCTGCATGTTGGCTATTATATGCGTGCGTATCGCGGTCTCAGCTGTGGGCACTGCTCGCGATTTTATTTGGGGACACAACTGGGGGAATCATAATGGCCATCTTGTCTGTTATTGAATTCTTTTTCATCCCATATTGTCTCACCATCATTGGCCAGACTCAAGGAAAGCGAAAGGTGCTGGCTTGTAATGTGGCTCGCCATATTCGGTGTCTACTGGATATGCACCTTAGCCCCGGAGCAAGACTCTTAGGTTTTAGCTACGTTTGGTCGTCCTGTTATGTTTAGCGAACGAACTCACACGACGAGGAGCACGTCAAGAATGGTTAAAGAGGATATTTTTATTATGTGGACACCACCGAATGGAAATAGACAAACCCTTTGCATGGCCTGGAGCAAGATAGGACGTGTATTGGCACTGCTGTGGGGGGAACCCTTTATAATTAGGCTTGCAAATTATACAATGACTTTTAAAAATGCAAACATAAAAGAGAGATTCATTGGTTTCAGGAGGCATGCCCTGACAAGTCAAGCCATGATATGCCGACGGTCAAATCAGCCATGATTATAAAGACGCTAAATTCTGGCACATAAAGTGAAAACAAAAGATAGCTAGTAATATAAGACTATTATAAAAGTATTCGTACGAATAATAAAATTGTATTATGCGAATGTGCAGTAATGAATGGAGATTGCGATGTACAGAGATAATGAGAAGATTTATACTGAAATACATCGATGGATGGAAGAGAAATTGGTATAGACCTATCATCTGATGTGCGATCCACGTGGAAAATTAATAATAGAATTTGCGTGAACTTAGGTGTTCCATTCTCTATTGTATGCAAATAGACTAACACTATAATGGCATTTTCATAATTTTATCAAGGTTTATTCGCTTAAATACTCAAGTTCCCGAAGAATAAGTAGGGAACTGTTGGACCTTCCAGGCTATTATACCAGAAAGTACCAGCTTGTGAGGACATATGGCCACAAGTACACTACGATGTCGGTCAATGCGGCCTCCACCCTTCGAACCATTCGACTTCTGCCCGAGGGCCAGGCATCGCTCATTTTTACTTATATAAGGCCCTTCTGGTCACAAGTTCAATCCCGAGAAGACTCTTCAGAGATCATCACATTCAATAAAAAGACCATTTGCACTATAGTCTAATAGGATCCATAAAATAATTACCCTAAGGAATTTTGTGAAAATGAGTGCTGAAGTATCCAATAGTATAAGAAGGACATCTCAGTAGGCCCTAGACTCGAGACAAAGTGAACAGTCGCTTGTCACGTAGTCCTGTAGAATAGTACACATCTTAGAAGCAGAAGGGCGGTTGTCTATACTGATAGAACTGTATGGAAGGAAACTAGATCACGTAGGACAACTACTGGTACAGTTCACGATCCAAGTATACTCAATTTATAGGTGCTAATACACATGGCAATGGCTCGTTGTGCACAGGTTGCATCGTGTACCCGCACACCCAAGCCATCAGACCGGCTGTGTTTGAAAATGGACTTCGTAGCACAAAAAAAGATTATCACAGGGCGAAAACGGGCTTACAAATATTTGACAATGCCCGGTGAATGCTGTAAGTAATCTTTCGGATAATATGCCGGCGCAATATTTCGGAAGTATGATTACTGTAACTTAATATACTGGTGCTTTAGAGACAACTCCCGGTAAAATGCCGAGAGCTGCATGTTCTGGCCTTTCATTTAGTACCACACTGGGAGACACATATGGATTGTCCATAATGGTTTGAAAAATCCAATAGAAGCAAACTGCTACAGTGAAGCACCTCTTCAAGAAATTCCAGCCTTGAAGCCGTGAATCTCCCTTTCCTACAGCGTCTCGAGCCATTCTCTTGTAGAATGTTTCACCGCCCCAACACAAGAGCATCATGTATAAGCTGCTATCCGGAGAGAACACCGCCCAGGTGGCTAAGCAGTGGTTATTATGTGACCTTTATTCAAGCTGGTCACACAAGATTCCAGACGCGAGTAGAAGGGAACCCCGTATCCGCACAAGTGTTGAATTACCAAATGCCACAAGGTGCATACCACCGAATCAATTTCAATTCCAATGATAATTTGGGCAACATTCCGGAATTGCGGTGTTTTGGGGTGGAGGAATTCAAGTTTTCAACAATTTCTTTATGATCAAGCCAACACTTTCAATAGTTTGAATTGTGGCATGGTACGGCATAAACCTCTATATAAGCAGGATAGGTTATATCGACGTCAATGTCTCAGTTCTAACTGGGCTTAGTACGGATGCAAGTTTACGTGGCATACGGCCGTTCAACATTACTATTCGGCGAGAGCCGATGCTCCGGTTTAGTTGAAAAGCTTCTTTGAGTAGCGAGGAGCCCTAAGCCAACTTGAACGACTGCAGGTAACAACTGAGCACAGATGAGACAGAAAATTCAAGATATGAGTAGTACGACATGGTTTTATGCCGTTGAAAAAAATTTCTATGCGGGCTGTAAGTCCCCGTGGGTATGCTACGGGCGTCCCGCGGGCCAATATCATCCGGCTAGCTGTGCCGGACGTTACACGGCAACATGGCTTGGGAGGGCGCTGTCTACATAGTGTCTGGCTTCTGGCCTTGACAGATCGCATGTTGAAGTGGCGGTAGGATCAAGACAAGGGGTCTTTCTGAGAAGCTCTCGTAAATAATCGGTAGTGACAACGCATCGCGATAGAAAGTAAAACGACGTAACCCTGACGGGCCTTGTAACTGTGGAATCTGGATAGAAGTTCGTGATGCACGCCTCGGCTCTCACAAACCGCAGTACCGACATTGCATTGCAGCAACAACCGCACCTGGGCAGCAGCTAGAGAATGCAACAGTAACAACGAAATGATATAACCGTACCGTTACGGACCAGGGTGGTCTGCTCATGTGCCCTGATGCCCAGTATCGACAATTCGATGTAGTGGTTGGTGTGGTCTTCCCCGCATTCAAACCACTGTTCACCGCAAGCCTGGAAATCCTTCAACATAGCACGCAGTTCCCGCATTTGCATAGTACTAGTTCCGTGGTAGTTCGGGCGAATCTGCAAGGATACTTCGATGGTGTCTCCGATATAAGTGTGGTGGCAGAGTTGCAGGATTGGTTGAGAGGCGGATAGAGCTGCTAGTTGCATGCAATAGTGCAGCTGTAGTGCCAGCTGGCGAAGCTTGAATAGGATATCACAAAAGATCGAGTGAACTTGGCTTACAGTTTGCTGAGTTCGTCTGGCGGTGGCTTTTCTGTTCTTTTTCTGGAGATTGGTGAGATTGGGCGCTGGAGGGATCGCCAAAACTAAGCCCCAACAAGTAGTTACAGCTGTAGTGTCCCGCCAGAAGCCCTATCTCGGCTACGTATGCCCGGTAACTTTTAGTAGCTAAAAATGACGGTACCATCGGGAAAGGAGGTATTTGCGGACGATCTTACCCTTCAGTCAGCTCACCCAAGCCCGTATTTTGGTGGCGCTTCCCTGCTTGTTGGCCGGTCCTTCCGTGCGACTGATCAGCTTTCTTTGAATTCTCACAATGTCAGCGGGTCAGCGGCCAAGCGACGTACCAAGAGGCGCCCCAGCTCGCGAACGCTCTCCTGAGCAGCCCATCTTTCCGGATCCAGTTGCGCGCGCGAATCAAAACGGCCAGCTGAAGGATCTATCGCCAAGGATGCCGCCCGTATGACGTAAGTCGCAGCTACGCCATGGAGCGTCAATTCGAACGGGCGTGCCGAAAATGAGGATCATCGCCCTGCTCCGCCAAAACCACTGCAAAGTCGCGCGGGTGCAGTTTTTTTTCCTCGTATGGCTGGTCTAAGGAGCTGGTCGGGATATATATGAAGATGGCGCCGCCGCTTGCTGAGAAGTTGAGGTTCGATCGTCAAACTCCCGAATACCTTTGATACCTTTTTTAATCACCATCATCTGCGGGATCCCGTCCGTCTACGCCGATCACCATCCTCAGAAAGTGCCACAATGCGGTTCTCAACCGTGTCTCATATCCTATGCGGCGCTGTCGCCGTCTCGGCAGCGACCATACCGCGGTCCGCCTCCCTCAAGCGAGACTCTGAGACGGTCGACTTAAGTCAATTTGGCAATGGCTTTCAGACCCTGTCTCCCGAAGATGCCAAGGCGGCTGCCGACGACACCTTCGACCCTAGTCTAGTCACCAAGCCGGATCAGGTCACCAGCGCAACCAATGCCGTCGACGGCGAACCTGCTGCTGCCGCCGCAGATACCTGCACCAACCCGACCGTCCGCGTGGAATGGCGCGACATGGCCGACTCGGACAAGACGGCGTTCCTCAAGGCCGTCAACTGCCTCCTGAAGGCCCCCTCGGCGGGTAATTTCCCTGGCTCGCAGAACCGGTACGAGGACATCGTCGTCGTGCACCAACAGATGACGGGCTCTATCCATATGGTGCAGCAGTTCCTGCCCTGGCACCGCTACTACCTCAACATCTACGAGTCGATATTACGGGACGAGTGTTCCTATGCCGGGCCCATGCCATGGTGGGACGAGACCAAGGACGCGGGTAGCTTTGCCAACTCTCCTCTATTCACTGATCAGTGGTTCGGCCGTGCGCCGCTGAAGACGGCTGATGGTCAGGGCACCTGCATTACCAGTGGCGTAAGTCAAGTTCCATACAAGAGAGACACATTAGGGAATGGCATTAACGGATACCCCCGCTAGGCTTTCGCTGGATTGACTCTACACATCGGACCTGGCTCAGGAAACAGTGACCACTGTCTATCCCGCGCCGTCGACGAGAGCGCCACCCAGTACTGCAGCTCAGACTTCGTCGCCCAATGTGCCACGAACTCCAACTACACCAACTATGAGAAATGCAACGAGTTAGGGTGAGTTATCCTCAGCTACCCAACGAACAGCTCTGCAAATACTGACAAAACTGCAGCCCCCACGCTTACGGTCACAATGGGCTTGGCGCTGTCATGTCCGAAGTCTCTGCCTCGCCCGGCGACCCGGCCTTCTTCATGCACCACTCCTTCGTCGATCACATGTGGCGCATGTGGCAGACTGCCGACTCCGAGGACCGGCTGTACCAGATCAACGGGGACAGCACTACGACTGATCCCAAGCAGCCTCTGACGCTCGCCTACAAGCTCAGCTCTATGGGGCTGAGGCCTGATGTCACCGTGCAAGATGTCATGGACACGACGGGTGGTTATCTGTGCTACCGGTATAGCTATTAATAAGAGGGTGTCGGTGCGGTGTACTGAGAAACTGTGGTGATCTCATGAGTTTGCTTTAGGTATAAAAATATCTTCGAGGCGTACGTGTCGGGGTGTTTCGGAAATTAGGCGGGGAGCCTGGCGTTTGGGGGCATTACTGGCATTGGGATCGGCGATGCTCACGGGATACCCTCAGATCATACTATTTAATGTCTATAACTACGAAGGCAGTTTGCTCAATCTACGCATCGAAACATTCCATTTTGGCCCAGAAGTTGGCTGTGCTAGTGGCGGCTTTGTTAATCGTAATTGCTCATGATCCCAAAGAGAGGCTTATTTGTATCTGTTCTTCTAAGTGAGGTGGCATGGAGGACAAGATTCGAAATTAAAACTCAAATCAGTGCAAGTTGGTTGGTGGCCCTTTATTGGGAGAGCTTCTCCTTTAATCATATTACAAGCAGTATCTTAGGTACTCGTTGAGAAATCTGAGAGTGACCAGATGCGCCAAGGACATCTATAGGCACGATGTTGCAATAATGTCTGCAAGTGAGCCTCTTTGCGCAACATGTAGCCTTCTACTGTGACGAGGTAGATGTTCCAATGGAACTTAGCCGGCTTGACGATCCTAAAAAACTTTTTCACTGCAATTTTTGCCTTCGCCGAAGGACCTAAATTCTGCCAAGTCAAAATAACGTGTAAGTGGAATTTATCACTTTCAATATAGTAAAGGCTCATAAATTCGAATCTAGGGAAGATAGTATAATTTTCTTTTCTTTGGTTACCCACTTGAAGAATTTGTCAAGAATGTAGATGGAAGCTATGTCACCGCTTAGCTGGTAACAGCACTGCTGGTATGCTCACTACATACAAAAGCCGAGGTTGCAGATTTTGAGTATGTGATTCTAGAAAATCTCAAGCCATGTCACCAGGTTCAAAGTAAGTTGATATTGTAGACATAATCCAGCAGGGCATATAAATGTACGCGGCCAAGATAGCCAACTGAGAATTCTCGGCGAGACCAAGTGGGGTGAACGGTGGCATAGAGGTTCGTTGAAGGGCGCAACACCCTGGGCTCACTCCCTCGCCCGAATTCTATGAGAGAAAAAAAGCGGCAAGCCCATCATCCATTTCCTTCAGTCAAATCCGATTTGTTTGAGGACTATTCACTTATACACGCTTCTTCCAACCATCACAGTGGGTACTAGCTTCACATGATTGGATGGAACAGTCAACGTACCCATCTGCGGCCACCCCACTCGGCAACGCGACGCCACCCTATGCGTCCCTACTACTATTTCCTATATAACGGCACAACTACCGAAACGGGGTCAGGCGGTCAGGAGGATATACCCACCACCTAACACACTGGTAAGACGGCTCCAGCACTAACAAGTTCCATCTGATCAGACGAAGCTCGTCGTGTTGGTTGTAGAAGCGAAGCCTCTACAAGCCTTGTGACTCTGGGTACGCAAGTTGGTCGGATGTATCCTCTGTATTGGTGATAAGATGATTCTCAGAGTAGGGCGCTTGACTTCGAGGGTTGAAAAGAAGCTGTCACTAGCTAGGCCTGCTTTATCTACTCTGACCGGAACCCTAGTAAGCGTGAGTTCCTAGAGGCCTACACTATAGCTAGAAAAGAGAAGCTAAATGATGCGTGCACCTAGGGGGGAGGATGCTATAACGCAGCAGTGCGCAACGTTATAGTATCTAATTAAATGGGATTCACCTAACCAGTGGGTCCCCCTACCTTTTCGTATCACTAAATAGCGCTAATCCTGCTAGCGGAATTTGGCCTCGAGACCGCTTAAAGCCCTTTCACGATTCGTACAGAGAAGTGGCCAGGGGACCCCTACGAGCTCTAGGGACTTGGCTACCATTGAGCAGCAGCTGACTTCTGTTAAAGTGGCCTTTGGTAAGGCTACGGCGCGGCTGTTGTTCTGGAAGATCGGCAGAGCACTTGATAATGTTACCGCTAATCTCTCCGCCGTAGAGCACTTAAATGAAGTCCTGACGGCTAAGTTGGAGGAAGCGAGGCCTAAAAGTCGCTGTAGAGTACTCCCGGATCTTGATAGGGGCTTTGTGGGCATACTAGCGATTCGAGCAGAGAAGGCGCGTATATAAGCCGCCGGCGATGCCCCCCATACAGGAATCCTCGGATCTTTGAGGACTCAAAATTTATGGGATTAGACTCTAACGAGTTCAGTGAAGTAGAGCATTATATAGCGGTGCGCTGTACTTAATTTGGTAGAAATCGGTCTATTGTGTGGTTAGCAATTATAGAACAATGTCATGTTGAAGTATTGTGAATTTGGCGATTTTGGGGTGGGCCGTGGAGTGGGGTGGCTGCAGATGGGTGGGTTGACTTAGTTGCAAAATCCGCACACACAGCCAGCTGCTTCGGCTTGCGGTACTATCCCTTCTACAGACCCCCAACCAAAATTTCGTGTCCCAGATATGGCACCAAGTTCTTACGATAAAATCGTCATCTTTGGGGACTCGCTCGTCGAGTGGTCGAGCGCCGCAGAAAACAGCGGCCTCGGTTTAGTACCGGCTTTGCAGTCAGGTCAGTCAGGTTACCCGCCACCACTGTTAACAGGCCTATGCTTAAACGACTGCGTCTCAAACACATTTTCTAGCCGCTTGAGGCTCACCGTGTCCTAGCTTACCTCCGCCGATTGGACGTGGTGAATCGTGGCTTTGAGTATGCTCACCTCATCCATCCCGGACTCCCTCGTCCTCTTCAGATGGATGATTTATTGAGCAGTGGAAGTGATACTGACCGTGGGCGTAAAGCGGATACAACACCCGACAAGCCTTGAAAGTCCTCCCGCAGGCGATGCCATCGCCAGAACAGTGCAGAGTTCGGCTATTGGTGCGGTTGACTTTCTCTTCCTTCTCCAGGCCACGAAAGACTTACTAATAGCTTAACCACAAGATCATCTTCCTAGGAGCCAACGACGCTACACTGCAAACAGCCAATAATGGCTTCCACGTGCCCATATCGGAGTACAAAGAGAACCTGCGAAAGATTGTGAACCACCCTGCAGTGACAGTCCACACCCCCAAGGTCATGCTCATCACTCCGCCGCCCATCGATGAGCACAAGCACCTGCTCAAGGATCTGAACGCAGGGCACGCGGGACTGACCCGGTCTGCGTACTCGGCTAAGTACTATGCGGCAGCTTGTACGGAGGTAGGAAATGAACTCGGTCTTCCGGTTGTTAATGCTTGGCATGCTATGATGAAGCTTGCGGGGTGGCGGACTGGGGAGTCGCTTGCGGGGTCTACGAGTTGTGCTGTAAATTGGGTGCTTGGCAGGCTCATTTCAGACGGTAAGTTTGTGGAGGATCTTTTTGTTTTGAGTGGAAACATGACTGACCGAAATAGGGGTGCACTTGACTGGAGAAGGGTACAAGGTTATCATCGATGCGCTGGTGCTACGGGTAGCATTGGTTTGGCCAGAGCTTAAGCCGGAGGAGATCCCGTATGTTTTCCCGACGTACGATGAGTTTACGGGACAGGAAAAGAATTGATAAGGAGATAAGCACTATTATACTTGCCACTTGGTCTTAGGCCTTGTTCTTCTGGTAACGTGAATGTACACCGAGCTGGCCACCCTTCCATAACCTCGCATAGAAATTTTACGATAGTAAAACCACAACGCCGTAAATCAATTGAAACTACTCTGAATCTTCCTCTTCAGAAGATGGCAATGCGATCTTACAAGTTCGCGCATTATGCCCAGTCCCGTTGCAAATACCACAGCGCCTCAGGCGCGTTTCAACACGCTTTGCGCGACCACCATTTCGGCGCTCTTCTTGCTGTATCTGCGTCGCCAACTCCCTAGAGTCCCGTAGGTCCTGTCCTTCTTGGAAAATAAGTGATTCTCCTTCCCGTAATTGCATTTTTTAGTCCTCCGGCGCCGGCTTAGCATCTTATTTGCCTCTCGAAGCTCAGCGCACTCGGCCCGTACGAGGGCGAGCCCGCGCATTATCATTTTTGCTCCCTTCGCAAACTGGTCGACAGCTGAGAAAATATTTGCGACGTGCGACGAACCTCGAGGCCCCAGCGCGTTCCAATGGGCCCTGCGTTACGTGTCGCGCGGATAGAATTTGCCATTGCTTCCACATCAGCAATCCGGGGCGGAAACGCTCGTACATCTAAGTCCAGTATATGCTTGATAATGACCTCCTCTTCTAATTCTGTCATAGTTCGTGAATTGGGCAAAATATCGCGTCGGAAAGGTACGCCGTTTTTACGCGTTTAGAGGGTGCTTCGGGGGACTTGGTACGTTTTTGCCGCTTGTCGGAGACTAAGTTTTTGGTCATTTTTGAGAGCTTGAAGGGCTAGCATTAAGTCTGCTTCGTTGTATGACTTTGCCATAATTGGTTGTTGAGAAAATCAAAGATTAAGTTGGCCGGTCGCGTTGGCGCATGAAAGTGGCCAGCTCGGTGTCATGGCCAGCTCGGTGTACATTCACGTTATGCATGTATATATTGGCAAAAACCCTGCTGCCTATTGAAATACACCCCTTTCCTACGCATCCAATACCCCAAGAACAAAAGACGTGGACATAAAAACCTGTTATTCCAACACTACCTCTCGAAAGGCACCTTCGGTCTCTCAACAGCAGGAAACGTCGCCTCAAACAGCTTCATGAACTTCAACAGAATATCCTCCTTCCCGGCACCTGCAACCGCAAAGAACCCAAAAGGCTGTCCATTATGCTCCAGATTACCCAAAGGCACAGTGGCCATCGGCCAAATGGCACAAGCAGCGTACGCAACGAGTTGCGATTCCGAGTTCGTCAGCACAATGTCTAGGCCGTTCTCAGCCATGATCTTCCCCATACCGTTGTCAGAGAACAGAATGCCATAGGCACCAGTGGGTGTCAGGACACTGAACGCAGGACACCGGTGGGCCGCCGGAGGGGTGTTTCGGACAAAAGACTCCCGAGTCATGATTACAATCTATGTGAAGCTTTGGGATGACGAGAGTCAAGATCCTTGGCATCGCCGACCCTGCTGTTATGCCGGGTCCAAGCGGCGGCCTAGCTATCTATATAAGGACCATCTCGAAGTAGGATAGGGAAGGAGTTGTCAGAGCCACAAGTGTCATCCGAGGCGGGCCGGCTTCCACCAGGTAGGAAGCCGTTTGTGGCGGCTAGAGAGCCGCTTGTGGCGAATGAGAGCCGTTGAAGCCGTTTGCAGCGGATAGGGAATCGCTTGGTTGCAGATAAGGAGCCGCTGTCCAAGATATTGGCCGAAGTCGGAGGAACACAGACATACGGAAGCAAACATCCAGAATCCAAGAGAGAACCTCGGCTGGCTATAAGTAAGGAGTCGAGACGGAGGAAGATAGAGAGAACAGAGATCAATGCATCACCGTGGGTACCCCTACCTGAGACCGCCAGTGACCACCCGGTGCTACGTAGGAGAGACGCCCGTTACTCCCCATCACTCTGTACTATTGCCTTCGGCCTAGCCGTACCCTGACAACCGTCCACGCCGGCTAGACGGCAGAGCTCGCGGGCCGCGTGTGCGTCTCTTTGGTCATCTTATTATCACGGGATTCGATGAGGGCTCTTTGCTCGGTGTGGGCTGGGGTTGGGTTAGTCTTGTTTTTGGAAGAGAGAGATGGGGTATTTGACTCACGATCGGGAAGGGCCTTCTCGGCGTGGGCTGCATTCCACTGAATTATGTCGTCGAGGGTCTTGATTCCTGAAGTTTCGTTGAAGTTTTCGATAAACAGGGCAATCTCGTCCGGGAATTTGTGGTCTGCAAGAATGTCAGACCGTCTGTCCTCATTTACGAGAAGAAAAGCGAGTACTCACACGCAATTGAATGCATCATTTCCCTCTCAGATTGGAGTGTTTCCATTGCGTCTGGCAGTTCCAGAGGGAACACCACTTTCGCTCCTCTTTCACTCAAGATGCTGGCCACACGGTCGTATTTCTCTTTCTGTTCACCGTGAGCGAAGGTCCCCGAACAGCTACACTGCCAGCAAAACTCATCACTGCCCGCAGCTCCCACTGGCCCTTCGAATACTCCCTGTGGACGCTCCAATTACATGGGGCAATCCCAATAGCCAGATCAGACCACGACCCCGTAAAGTCTAATCCAAGCCCATCGTACGGTGTCTTGAGTCGCACCTCCGGTGTCAATATCGACTTGGCAAGCAGCCCGACATCTTGAGGTGTTCTGGCCATGACCCCAATTAAGTCGAAGGGCGGACTGATCTTGAAGACGCCGTCCGTGCAGACGGCATCTGGGCCCAGCGTCATGCCGTAGAGACCCGAGGTACTGGCCGGATATACAAGAGAGCCGCCTGTCTGGGTTCCGATCGATAGGGGGCAGAAGCCGGCTGCGATGCTCGCTGCGGGGCCAGAGGACGAGCCTGCTGCTGTCTGCGAAGTATATCGTAAGTTGAGCTGATTTACCTTCTCTGTGATACTTACGGGCTGATCTTCTTCTGTGAGACCCGGTCTCCGATGCGCAGAGTTGGTCTGGCCGCCGTACGCACTCCATCCAGGGGGCTCGTAGGATCTCCAGGGGTATGGGCTGTCAGCTGTATCCAAAGGATTCATCATCAATAACAACGACAAATGGTCGACTCACTTATGCCCGCAGAATTCCTAATCATGGTCAGCTAGTAATCATGACTGCAACAGCTGTGGTGCACTCACCGTCAAATTGGCTTTTCCCAGGATAATGAGACCATTATCGATCAACTATACGGCTTTAGTTGATGAAGACACCCCTGCAACTTGGGAGACAAACCTGATCGACAAGAGGAGCATTCCCCTTTGCCCGCATGTTTGCAAATACGTGCGAGCCGACGGTAGTCAGCATTCCCAGCGCCGGGTCTGTGACGATGGCATCCTTGGTAAAATATTAACCAAATGGTCCCAAGAGTGTTCCGAGAAGCCCGGTTAATTCACTGAGCCACACCTTAAGGATGACTGGTATCCCGTGAAGTCTGCTCCACAGTTTGCCATCGGCTCGCTCCCTATCCAACTCCCTGGCTCGTTATAGAACCAGCTCCCGTGGAGCCACTGAGTTGATGGCATTGAGGCCCATGCCGTGCACATTGTGCCTTTCGATCTGTTCTAAATAGGCGGTGACCAGCTGCTCACTCGTCAGTTCCCCGCTTTCGAGGGGCTGTTGGAGTTCCGTCGCGGAGCATTGAAGGAATTTCGCTGCCATATCGAGTTGTTAGGGAAGAATCTGCGGCAGAACCTGATGTTTCGAATTGCATGTAACATATGAGATGCAGTCGGGCTTTCGAGTTTTTCTATAGCTATCAATCTGACGTGCGCTTACTTATATGGGCGATGCTGTGCCATCGAACGGAGCAGGATGCGGGAATGTAACCCGATGTCCTCGTAAGCACCCCAGGCAACAGCATCGTCCCCTAATAACAGCATGGAAGCCCACAAATGAGAAAGTAAGTGGCAGGAAATATAGAAGTTGTTGTCATAGGCTTGGTTTAGCAATTGTTTCCTGGTTGTGCTTGGAGGAGGAATTTCGGGTCAGGTAACGTCACGCCACAACGAGGAGGCTTGACAGCTCAGGCCTCCTGCCTAGAAATACGAATAGTTCTAAAAGGCTTCTGGATCTTGTGAAGTATGTAGGTATGTTTGAGTTCATAAATCGGAGTAACATTCTATATGATTTCTTAAATGCGGTCTCGGGGAAGTGGATACATGTGATGGGTGTCGGTGTAAACTTTAGTGTCTGCACGTAGACAATCCTAAATAAGGCAACTATAGAAGTGCGTCGAGTAAAGGTACACGTTTGAGGGGTGAGTTATGAGGAGAAGAGGCTCAGGATTTGCAGTGTAGTTAATATGTAGCGTTGTACGAGTGCTTGACTTAATCGTTTACTTGACTATACACCAAGTATTATTTACGTAGCCAAGCATCTCAAGTTGATTTGGGGTTCCTGCGGCGCAGCGTTATAGTGACTTGTGATACAGAAGTACATTGCGAAGAGCTATATTAAACAGGTACGGTTGTAGTTCCAAATTCTATTCGAAACATCTGCCTCCGAACAAATGGATGTGTCCGTAACAGGTTCACGCCTCGGGAAGATTTTATACAATGCCAACTAGGGATATCGAAACTCCAGCTCAATGTGCCTGAGCAAAACCGCGATCTTACACCACGAAGTGACTCACTCACTCTTGTCGTCTTCCCGCCGCGCCGCACTCAAGCGTAGTGTCTAGCATGGCACTCAACCACTTGCTTCCATCCTTAGGCACAACCGACTATGGGTGCCTATATCTTGATATCAAAACTCGTTCCACAACCACAACTACTCGTTGCGAGGGGGTTGTCGATGATCTTGAACTGGCTCCCAATAAGCTCCATTGTGTAGTCGACCTTGCTCCCATTCAGCAGCTCCAAACTGGGCCCATCCAGGATAATCTTTGGCCCGGTAGCCAGTGTGCGCGCTCCATCTTCGCCGGCTTCAGTCGCATCGCTTATGAACGTGAATACTGTGTCGTCCTCTCCAACGCCCGTTTCGGACGGCGCATCACTTGTTGTGGTGGAAGGCACGACTTCGGTTTGTGCTGCTGAGGATGGTACGTCGGGTGAAGACGAGGTTTTGCCAGGGGCTGGCGTTGTTGATTGCGATGCGGCAAGGGAGGATGGGAGGGTAGTCAATGACATGAGGTATTGAAAGCCGTGACAGCCGCCGGATTCGACCTGTATGCGTAGCGCAAGGTGCGGGTTCTTGTCTTTGGCCATTATTTGTGACAGGCGCTTTATAGAGCGTTTAGCAAAGCAATTCAAGCCTCGGCTTCAAGTTGCACGTACGTTGGCTGCGCGTGGTGTAATCTGCAGCGCCATTTCCTTCCCATTTTCGTCTTGCTGAGGATTATAGATTACCTGGGTCTTGCGCCTCGCACTTGTCAAACCAAAGCTCCTCCGTGCCATGTGTCGGGCGACTGTTGCATATCGAAGCTCGAGGGCGGGGCGAAAACGGGTTTGGCGCGCTGATGCAGCGAAGTGGAAGGATCGAGTTTGGGGTGGCAGTAGGATTTCGAGAATGCCGATATGATTGCTTCGCCGGGCAGAAAGCTGCACAAACAACTTAGCTGCAGACATCGTGTTTGCGCATCTTGGAGGCATCGTGTGGTGATGTGTTAGGCGAGAAGAGCAGGTCGGAGAATGTAGATCTCAACGACGAAAGACTTGGATGTGTAAGCGGAACTGGATCCGAACGGAGATGATGTCAACCGGCGAATTTTGGACATCTCGATAAGTAGAATTGGAAGGCGGGGTCTAGTGGCAATTAAGAGCTACCCTGCATTGCTTACTGTTCGACTTCTGATAGGCCCGGACTCAGCCTAATTCTTCCGATCGGAAGGAACCGTTGCAACCTCACTCGCTCAGTTTCAAAATAATCACATAATCCAACTGGTGCAGCAAACGTGAACATTCTGTTCCTTTCATTTGGTGAGGCTGTGCCTGTGTTGACGGGTGACATCAGTATGTGTTCAGAATGTCAATTTTCGAAAGGAATAACGTTTGGACTTGTCAGAACTCCTCCAACCCGTGCGACAGCCACCTCGCTGTTATCCATCCTAGACCACATAAGCGCTCCGCAGAAAGATTGGCGGCAGGAGACGTAACCGATGGAGGGTGAGACTGGAAGGAGTAGGTAGTGTATTCGGACAATGGCAGGCATGGACCAAGTCGCTGTCACGCAAGTCCGGGTACGCTTCAGGTCAGCGTCCATTGATTTCCACAGCGCTCTAGAATGCCTCTCGTGTTGGTGTTGACGCAAGTATCCAGACTCTAGAGATTTTCTTAGGCCATCTCCACACAATATGTCGAGTCCGTAGCTGAGTAGCGTGGCTATATGTGACTTTCCAGCAGAAGGGGGAATGCTGGCTATTATTATAGGATCCGACCTTCTGATCCATCGTGACTACCGTGATTATCGGCACACTAAATGGCCGTGCAAAGTAAGATGAGGTGATTTTCGTTTTAAAGAACCCCCCGTGCCTTCCAGCTGCCCTGACTTCAACCTCGTCATGACCAATACGACTAGAATGGTAGAATGAAGAGCAAGTCGTTTCTCTACAATTTTTCGTTACCCATGTACATATCAACCTTGAGAATCGACAGGACATACATCAGCGGCAACTGGTGAGACCCGTACCAATGTGACGTCACATGTCAGGAGGCACCTGCTACTTCAAGACATGTAAACCTGCTAATGGCTCGCCGTCGCAAAACTTCACTAGTTTCGACTGCCCAGGCAAAGAAATGCCGTAGCCCGTAGAGGTCTGCATAGAAGGCCAGCCTCTGGACATTGATGCTTGCGCGGCTCGTTGCTACCAAGGAGCGTGCTGGGATTACGCGTGGCGGATGGCTTCTATTGCAATTTCCCAAGCTGAGAAGATTATGGGTTCTAAAATGCGTTGGAACTTCAAGGCCATATGACCATCACCCACCGTACCACGCAATATTTGGATGTATGGCAGGCATCATTCATTTCTACATATAAGGCCCTCAAGGCCACAGTACACTCTTTTGAAAACAAGGATCTACTTCAATGCAGTACAATTTGCAGAATAGTCCAATAAATTGAGTGGAGTTTGCTTTAGATCCTCTTGCAGATTCGCCTTCCGTGTCACTCGTGTTTTGCTTTATCTTTCTAGGGAATGGCGGGATAGCTGGAAAGTTAGATGTCATTCAAAGTTGAACCTGGCTCTCACCTTCTAATTTGATATATACTTTGTGTTCTGAAATATAATCCCAGTGTTTTCGTTACTATGTTAACTTCAAGCGTCTTAATAGTGTTCAATATGGCCAGATCTCACTGATATTGCCTCTGACTGTAATCGAAGGAGATGGCGCAGGACTTTTGACTCAGTCGTCAATCGTCATACGATATTGAAGTGGCATATGTTGGATCCCACATGCGGCATCATGACAGATTCTCGGGGTATCCATCTCTTTCCAAGGAGACGCAGAGATCGCGAGTTCCTTATTTGGCAAATATGCTATTATGTGTCTCAGCTACTTGCAGTCTGTTTAATCATGAAGCATCTACCTCTTGTGACTCGTTCAAGTGCATCCACTCGAATGACATTGACCTACGCAGCTTCAAAGACAAGCTTTTTGACCGAAACCCCCTCTTGAAAATATCCAATGCGCGCTGAATACCCTGGATACCCTTCACCGACACAACCTCCGGTGGCGGAGCGACCTTGTACCACCCTTTAGCCAAAGCTACCGTCAGGAATCCACCAAAAGGGAGAATCTTTGTAAAAGCCTAAATGCCCCCCATGCCGAACGTAATCTTCGCCTCGACACCCCCGGGCATCTCCAGGCATGATCGGGCTCGGAGATGCAACGAATAGCGTTTTCTTGGACTCGTACGAGACCTGGCAAGCCTCGGCTATCTTCCCGGCAGCCATGTCGGTGACAACAGTGGGGTTGCTGTAATCGAAGACTTTGTCAGCGCCGAGGCTTTTGGCTTAGTCAAAGTTGTTGGGGGAGCAAGTGGTGACGATCTCGAAACAGGAGGCCTTGGCTATTTGGATAGAGTTGCTATCAGCCGCCCAGCTTCCTCTCCATATCAAGAGAGACTTGCCATTGCTCACGGTCGCAGAGTTGACGGTAGAGAAAGATAAAGCCAGGTAGGCTTTCCCGAAAAGAGCAAAACAGGAGGTTAAGATACAGAGCAAGAAAACGGAAGCGTCGCGGTAAGATATCGAGCCGGGGATTTTGGCCGTGACAGTGTGGTCAAGAACGACGCAGTCCTGGAGGTCGTTGTTCAAGGGGAAACCGAAACCGCTGTCTCCGACTTTGAACTTGGTGGCGGCGGTAGATCCAACAGCCTCGACGGTGCCGGCAATGTCTTGGCCGAGGATAGCTGGATTCTTGATGAAGGGCAACGACTTGTCCTGGAGTATTGCATCGCAAGGATTCATAGCCCAGGCATGAACCTTGATCAGAAGCTTGCGATCCTCGAGCTCGATAGGGTCTGGTCTGGGGGATCTGGGATGACGCCTGGGGTACCAGGCTCATCCTGCCAAAGAGAGCGGTTGCTCGGCATCTTTGTTAAATTTTGACGGTGGAGGTGAGGGTCAGGTCAGAAGAATCAGGTCAGCAGAAGCAGCTCGCTGAGTAGATCGCTGAAACTTGAGTTTGTCGAGCCAAGACAATCGCTCCAATAATTGAGCATCAATGGAAGATGGCCAACTAATTTTATCAAGTTATTTTACAGTGTATCTTCAGAAATCGTGTCTCAAAATAGACTTAAGCGGAGATGAATTGTGTTCCAGTGCGCTAGTATCCATGCAATCCTAGATCGATCATGGAGCAGTTTTAGGTACGGACTCACAAATGGACTCTAACGTGGTTTAACACCGAGTCGCGCGCTTTTTACCACACTGTAATTTCAAGTTCAATTAAAAAGCCACAACAGACTAAAGTTTATTGAAATTTATTCAGAGCTATATACATCTGGCAATTATAGTTCGACCTGACAAGTCTTTACATTATGTCCGGTCTTCTTACACTTACTACATCGTCGTACAGTCGACGGACCAGCCTTTTCTTTACCCCCCCTAGAGCGCTTGTCCTCCTTTACCTGGGCCTCCGCGTCCTTCCGGGCCAAAATGCCCAGGGCATCCTCGACAGTAAGTGCACCTCCTTGCCGTACACGCGATGTTTTTGCCCTCCGACGCTTGCTTAGTGCCTCATTTGCCTTGCGAAGGGTGGAGCACTCAGCCTTCAAGAGGGTATTCTCATGGGCTAATCGAGTTATACCCTTCGCAAGGTGGCCAACAGCATCAAAAATTGGGGTCGGAGAGCTTCCCTGATGTCTGGCGATTCGGCGATTGACAAAATCGGACTGCGAGAGACCCTCTGTCGGGTTATTTGGCGTTTGCGAAACCCAAGGGTCAGCATCTAGAAGAGAGGGGCTAACGGGTGTAGGCGACCGAATCCTAACATCCAGCTTCGAGATAACGGCTTCAGGGTCGTGGGGGACTAGGCCGGCCCCTCGAAACCCTGCCTTGTTGTTTTTGTCGGTTATTGTCTTTAAATAAGCCTCCTTAAAGGCGATGAAGAACTCGACCTTAGTAATGTGGTTAATATGGGACTTGATAAATATATCAATCTCTCGACCGTATATACGTTTCAAGGCCCCAAAGCACCCGACATCAAGTGGCTGGGTTAGATGAGACGAGTGCGGGGGCAGACTGATAGTAATAATGCCGTTAGACTTGCAATAAGACTCGAAATCGGCCGATGTATGACTCTCATGCCCGTCCAGTACTAACAGCCGATACACGCCTCTTTTGGTCGAGATAGTGTGCTTGTTGAAATGTTTGATCCAGTCTAGACCAGTCTCGTTGTTCGTCCACCCGTTTTCGATCGGTTTGACTACCCAATCGGCTGGTAGGTCCCCCTCAGTATACCAATTAGCAAGGTGATAGTTCCCTTGAATTACCAGAAATGGCGGGATGTCGCGACCCTCCGAATTGACACAGGTAATCGCCGTGGCCCATTCCCGGTTACCTGGCTGGACCTTCTTGCCTCTACCATTACGTTCAGACGAGGTAACGACTATCGAACGTTGAATAACGCCCATCATAAAGCCCGTGTCGTCGAAGTTCCACATATCGCAGTCCTGGATCCCGTATTTGGCCCTCATATTCGATACAAGCCGGAACCAGTCCTCAATAATCTTTGGATCCTCGCAGAGGGCCCTCTGGAAGTCATATGAGCGAGAAAAACGCGTCTGTAACTCTGGGGTTCGCTTTACAAAGCGATGCGCCCAGAGCTTGCCGACGCGTCGGGTACCCCGCGTCGCAAGAATAGAATTGGCCATATCCTCCACACCCTCTAGCCGGGGAGGAAACCCTCTCAAATCTAGGTCAAGTACATGCTGAACAATAGCTCTTTCCTCTATCTTGGTGAGGACTCGGGTACACCGTATAGCTTTGCTGCTCGACGTTGGCTCATATTTTTGGTCGATCGGATAGCTTCGATGGCAAGGTTGATTTTGGCTTCTTGGGTTTGAACTGACATGGTGTTGTTGTTGAGGAAATAAGTATTGAAGTCAAAAGGTTGGAAAAGTTGAAAAAGTGCGCGACTCGGTGTTAAACCACGTTATACGTATTTAAGTATACCAAACATACCCTATGGGTGTTATTTCGTCTATTACGGTACATACTCTGATGTGAGGCACTTGGTCAATCGCTATCAAAGAAACTTTAGTGTCCTGTATGATTCCGATGATTCATTCAAAGGTGGACCACTGTGCTTATACACAAACGGCCTGGGGTAGTCACGATCTCAAGTAAATCTGGAAATATCCGGACTCAAACGGCTGATGATATGATCGGTGGCTACCAGAACATTGACCATTCTTGTACAACACAATAAACGTCTTGGGGACGCAGACAGAAGTCGACAGGAAAATATCCCGTGCTTAGGTTGCCGTTATTATAGTCGGTTTGTCCGTAAGAAGTGGTTTATACGGATTCATTGGTTGCTGCGAAGTCAGATTCGGTAAACCAAGCATAGTTGTATATCCCAATACGGAGCAGCTAAAATAATGTAGGATACGCAAGGCTGCATAATTGTGGGTGTGTTGGCAGCATAGATAAGCTACGTGATAGGTCCGCGGGAAACGATGGTGTGCATGCTGCCGAACAGAGAAACATAGTAACTCAAGAGCGTTTAGTATAGGACCCCCGGATGATAATTCCTGTCATTCATAAAGGTAATTTACGAAACAGACGGATCATGTTGATGTCAGGACAAAGCTAGGTTGCTTCTCAGATGTTCCCCTTTTCTGACTGGGGTGTGGACCGCGCCGGATCTCTGCCCTGTATTTGGCCGGCTTTGCTCAAATACCAGAGTGGTCTGCTGGTAGGACGTTGCCCACGAGATGGGTTGTTGCGACGAACACTGGATAGTGGTTTCCATAAGCAGGAACTTGATCAACACATGCAAAGTTTAATACGTTCGATATCAGGAGTCGGGACCCGTGTCGTTCATGTACGATTGGAACAGTTGCTCCCTCTCCCTTAGGTAGTTTGGGTACTCGCTTTCGCAGTGGTAACCGATCACGTACGTGTAGCAAGAGTAGGATAACATTAGCATGGTATATTCTTGTAATTATGGATTTGAATTCAAGCAGTAAGAATTCCGAAGACCTGCACTAGTGAATACCGAACACCGCGCACGATACAGATGGTTTCCGTGTATACTCCATTTAGGGCCGTAGTGGGGCTCGTGTGGATTTGTATGGGCTTGCGGGGAAGATGCATCGATCGTCCTGCGGGGGCGACAGTCTCCATGTTCAAAACGGAGACTGCACCCTTCACATTCTCTGTATTCCAATTTCCCGGTACAATATAGCGGCAGGTTCATGTTATTTTGGATTCCCACACGATCTCGGTAAAGATGCAGCAGTGGAAGACGGACAGTGTGAGTGCCAACTCTCCGTCGCAGTATATTGGCTGATTGTGTACCCGGCTAGCCGTACATCGTCATCCAGGGCAGACTCCTTGAAGGCCCCCTTTACGACGAAGCAAGGAACGAATGCCGCTTCATTGACATAATCGACCACAAGCTATACACGTTCAACCCATCCCGAGGTCCAGAATCCCTGAAAGCGGTGACAACGCAAGAGACGATCGGGTATGATATGAGCTCCGCCACTAGGTCATCAAAAGTCTTCTCACGCATTTCGAGTTCAGTGTCACAGCCAACATCAAAGGCTCCACCACAGAGCAAATTGTCGGAGCACGGCATGGCTTGGCCACTCTGAACGCCGGTACTGGCGAAGTAAAGTACATACACAAAATCTCAGATGAGGGGCCAGAAGCATCAAAAAGGGGTACATGTAAGGTTTGCGTTAACACTTTGACCCTTCTTGTAACTAATCAACACAGCCTCCGCTGCAACGACGGCGCCGTCGACTCGCGTGGCCGTTTCTGGGTAGGCGCCATGAACGACCCCTTGCTGGTCAAAGAAGATCTACCTCACGGATTCCTCATGCGTCTCGATCCAGATCATACCGTACATCGCATGGTCGACTGTGCATTCGCACCTAATGGCATTGGCTGGAATAGCACCGATAACATTATGTACTGGACCGACAGCCATCCGCAGAATATCTACGCCTTTGACTTCGATGGTGACTCGGGGGCTATCAGTGGTAAGAGGGTGTTCTGGAACTCCAAGACTGCGGGGTTTGGGGATGATGTCAATCCTGATGGGTTGGTGGTTGATGAGTATGATCATGTGTGGACTGCGCTTTGGAGGGGGTACAAGGTGGTGCGTATTAACCCGCAAGGAGTCATCGTTGGAGAGGTCTGCTTACCAACTGCTTATGTGACTTGCCCTATTTTCGTTGGGACAGAGCTGGTAATTACAACCGCTAGGAACCCGAAGGTACAGAAAGAGGGAATAGAACGAGGTGGGGATTTGTATATAGTAGATGTCGGGATCACGGGTCCGGCGAAGCATGAGTTTAGACTACAGTAGTTGGTTTTTGTGTTGATAGAGCTTTTGCGATACAAACAAGCAATCCAACGTTTGGTTTCCAAGTTTTTAAGGATGCATGACCGTTGGAGAGTAGGGGACATATAATTAGTATTTGAAATTGGTAAGCAAGACCTGAATAAGCCTCTACCTGACATATATCATTAAAGGACAAGGCGGAAACCCCCACAGCAAAAATGACGACATGGTGTTGTAAGAAACACGACTCACGGGTTAACATCCAAACAGTAATGCAGTGAAGCACGATCAATTATCCGCGAGCTTGGGTAAATAAATAATGTTCGTTTTCGTCGTCTAGCTGACAGACTTTTTCACTCATGTCCTCTACTGAAAACTGATTGTGGTTAATTCATCAATGGCGGCACGCGCCATGGCCGGCAACATCTTGGAAATCATTGTAGCCTCCGAGACCGAATAACCGAGCTTTACGAGCGATGAGACAGACCACTTTCTCGTTCTAGTCGAGGCCCCTGAATTTCCAGTTCCCATAATAAGCTGGAGATGATAACAATGCGTGCCCCAACTTTCGCCAAGTAACATTTGAATGAGTTTCGGGGGTCTTAAAACGCGGATCGTAGTGTGAAAAAAATTGATGTCACCGCTAGTCTTTTGGTTTAGCGTCCGTCGAACCACGGTTGGTTCATCATTCCGTCTAGGTCGAGCCGCGCTGATGGATCGTACTTGGAGCACCGTCTTAGGAGGTCGGCTATTATATGTACCTTATCATTAAGAACCTTATGGAAAACTGAGACTAATGGTGTATCCATATCCGACTAGCCGTATTCACTGTTGAGGAAATCTCGGCGTTGCAAGGGTTGCCCACGATTTCCTCGAACAAGCCTATGTACCCACTATTCTCCACGAGCCATTCCTTTTCCTCTTCCAAGTCTTCGTCGTATATCGAGAATGGCTCCAGTAAGGCCTTCAGGGTCTCTTCTTCATCCAGATTGGATTCCAGCGGGCCTGACTCCCCTTGTCGTTTCTTCCAGGCTGACCTGTATGGCTCTGGCACAAAGTCTAGTGTTGCTTCCAAGCTTCTCATCCAGAACAGCGACGCTTCGGAAGTTTTTAAATAGAACTTATTTCTAGAAGTAAACGTCTTGTTCAAGAGACTACGTGATCGAGCGACAGAGCACCAAAGGACCAGACAGAGATGGCATTTAGACTCTCGATCCAGAGATGCTCAACTAGCAATACAATATAATTCACTCCCCATCCCGTTCCCTTAAGCGTTTGAATGATTTCAAGTTCGGCACAAGAACTCGGAAGATAAATCTGCGGTGAGGAACTACACTACACTTCATTTGTTTTCTTGCTTATCCAGACGTGGCCAAACAGTAGAATACCCACTACAGCCAAGCTTTTCGAAAACTTCTTGTCTGTCGCCAAGGAAGTCACAGAAATGAATAGATTAGTAACCTGTATTTGTCTATCCGGAAATAGGTGAGGCGTCATAGATGTCAGTTGGTAAATAGCCGTGGTTCTGGTCAAACTCTTCATTATGGTTCTCAGTCAAGGGTATACTCGAGGAAGACAGGTTGTCGGCTATTATTACAGGCGTGGTGTACGATATGAATAAAAGTGGAACACGTAATAGTACCAAAAGGGTACCACTCGTAGGACTAAATTATGTGGTTAACATTTATGCTGGAGGGAACGAAAGAGCCATACAACCTGCATAATATTTAAATTGCAGCTAACGTAGTCCACGGTCCAATTGCACACTTTGGCAGACCTTATACGACAATGTATAAGTTAATTCAACCACAACGCCTATCATCAATTGAAACTACTCAGAATCGTTATCTTCAGACGTCTCTACATCATTTCCACAAGTGCGCGCATTATGTCCGGGCTCGCTGCAGATTCTATAGCGCCGTACACGCGCAATTCGCCGCCTCGTCCGACCACCAATTTGACGAAATTCGTCATGTAACTGCCCATCAACCTCTCGTTGAGACTGTAGGTCCTGTCCAGCTTGTATACGAAGTGACCCTCCACTCTGTAGCTGTTTTTTCTTCGCACGGCGACGTCGACTTAAGGTCTCATTTGCCTTTCGAAGTGATTCGACCTCGCCTTCTAAAAGGGCAAGCCGATGCATAACCTTTGTTGTACCTAGCGCAATCTGATCTATTCCAGCAAAAATTGACGTTTGTGAGCTATTTTGATGTCGTACAATCCTGTTTTTCACATAATCGGTTTGTGATTGGGCTTCGGTTGGGTTGTTCGGAGTCTTTGATTCCTAAGGGATGGGGAGACCAGCCGAGCTACCCGGAGATGTTGGCGTATGTAATTTCACATCGAGCTGTGATATGACATAATCTGCATCGTACGGAACTATTCCTACCCCTCGGAAACCTCCTTGGATATTTGAAACCGTGAAATTTGCGTTGTACGCGTTTAAAAACGCCGGTAAAAAGTCTTCTTTCGAGATATGACTTATATGTGCTCGCATGAGATCTTCGATTTCTTTTCCGTACGCTCTTTTTAACCCGCGAAAACAACCAACATCAAGAGGCTGGAGCTTATGCGACGAATGAGGAGGCATACAAAGCGTGACTATATTGTTAGCTTTGCAATATACCTCGAAATCGGTCGAGTGATGGCTTTCGTGACCGTCGAGGATCAATAGGCGATGAGTACCTTTCGTACGACACTTGGTGTGATGATCGAAGTGTTTTATCCAATCTTCGCCTCTCTCGTTCGTAGTCCAGCCATTTTTAGTAACTGCGATAACCCAATCAGGCGGTAATGGGCTGTTTTCGTACCATGACGAGAGGTGGGTTTTGCCGGCGAAAATGATGTACGGAGGGAGGGCATAACCGGACGACCCAACGCCTTGAATAACTGTAACCCATTCCAGATTTCTATGCTGGGCTGCTCTAGGCCTTCCGCGCCGATCAGAAGTCGTCACGACCATTTCGGACGAGATTTGGCCCATCACAAAACCGGTCTCGTCGAAGTTGTAGATATCCTCCTCCTGGATCGCGTATTTCGCAATTGTATTCCGTATCAGGTCAAACCACGCGCGATACGCGTCGGGGTTTTCGCAGAGGACTCTCTGATAGTCGATCCTTCGATTTAAACGCGTCCGGAGGTCTGGTTATCGTCTTACGAAGCTCGAGGCCCAGTTGACGCCGACGCGTCCCGCGTCGCGACTTCGAAGTAATCGGTTGGCCATATCTTCAACACCACTCAATCGGGGAGGAAATGCTCGCGAATCTAGGTCGGTTATATGTCGTATGATTGCCTCTTCTTCGGAAGGAGTCAACTTTTGCGTTGGCGATCGCGTAATCGCTCGAGCGGTTTTACCGTCGCGTCGATACGCAAGGGTTCTAAAAGGTACGTTATAGATCTGACCAGCGCGACGTACACTTAATTTTGGATCAGATTGAAGCGCATGTAATGCTAGAATCATATCACTTTCATTCCAAGAACCAACCATAGTTATGTGGTGAAAAGCCACAGGTCAAAGTGGTAGCGTACGAAAATCTGCCGAAGTGTGCAATTGGACCGTGGACTACGTTAGTAGAGAACTCTATTTATTAATAGAACGAAAACTTTTTATTATCTCCTAAAATATTGATTAATATGTTTCTTTTACGATGCTTGAACAAAGGATAGTTCATAAACTAGCCACGTTCTTTGAAATATTGGGTCATAGCATTGCCTCTTCGGACAAGACATATTATGCCCCTTCTTATAAGTTACAACGCGAACTAAAGGGCTTCCATTTTCAGATTTCGGGGTCCGATGCAGATTGATCACGAACGTAAAGGTATGTAACTTGAAATAAGCATTGTCCGGCACTACAAAAGAAGAGCGAAATATATTCCTGGCATAGACACTGTACAAGAAAGTGGTTTATATTCAATATGTGCAATAAATTTATGTAATTATGATAAGAGCTGGGTTTCTCTGCTCGGGAAACTACCTACCGAAAATGGTTTGCCTCCTAACTCAATAGACGGGCAATGGTATCGAATCGAAAGTAGGCAACCAAGAATCAATAGATTCCTGTTCATAAACACACTCCATAGTTCCGTCGTCATCCCAGTAAGGCCGCAGTGGAAAGCCACACAGCTTCTGCTCGACATCCGTAGTGTTACCATTCAGGACAGTGGCATTAAGCATCGTCGGCTCAATCCCATTCTCCACCCAGTCGATCACACTCTGCAGCACAGCCTGCGGAAACGGCCCATTCGGCTGGGTAGTACTCGGGGCGCAGTGCCCTGCTCCAGGGACCAGGAACAGCTTGTACCATTCATTCAAGCTATCGTACCCATCCTTTTGATCCTGGTCCGGGTACATGATCTTGCGGACGGAGTCGTGGTAAATAACAGACGAAGCCGCAGGGACACTATCATCGCTCTCGCCATGGAAGTGAATAACCTTCCCGCCGTTGTCGTGGAAGTCCTCAAGGTCAGGCCAGGTAGTCTGCAACGTATCGGCAAACTTTTGCATACCCTCGAGTATCCAGGTGCGCAGGGTGTCATACGTGACGCCGTCGAGGGAGAGGGAATTCGAGTCGACCTCCTTGAGGAACAGGTTGATGTATTGGAGGGCGATGCCACTGGCTTTGGCGTAGTATTGGCCCGAGCTGGTGTTGTAGCTCGTGGCAGCATCAGAGAAAGGGGCTGAGGGCTGGAAGGAGATGTATACTTGTCGGCCCTTGGAGTCGAATAGGCCCTTGATGATGTCGTTGGCCACTGAGGCGGCCTCGGCGGAAACGGTTCCGTTGATGGCGGGTGAGGCACCACCGCCTCCAGGTCCGCCTGGAAAGCCGCCGCCGCTCGAGGCTTTGCAGCTGAAGGGGTTACCGATGCTTGAGGTAGCGTTGTGCTGTAGCTTACAAAGGTCGGTTCGACTGACCACGCCGTCGACTCGGCCATCCAATCCATCGCAGGCAGCAATAGTGTCATTGTTGATACGTTGCAGCTCGCAAGACGAGGGGTAATAGTTGTGCGTCGTCTCGACAACGTTCTCGAAGAGGTGAAAAACCTGCTGGAAAGCCTGACGGAACGCCGGTGCGCCAACGGCCGCACCGTCAAACTGGGTCCCGTAGCGCTGGATCTGACTCCAGCCTTCACGGCCGCCTTCAGAGCATCCTTGGTAATACGAGTAGAAGTCAGATGAGTTGTAGTACTGCCTGGTGAGCTCCTTGCCGAGGACGCTCATTTCGTGGATGGCTTTGTATCCAAAAGCAAAGAGAGCGTTGTAATTCAGAGTACCGTTGGCCAGGAGGAGAACCGAGGTGAGGTCGCTGTTGAATCCACCAAAACCACCGTCTGTGGTTCCCGCAACTGCGCCGTAAACAAGACCGTTGCCCAGCCCTTGTTGGCCCGGGGTGATCGAAAGGCCGCCGCCGCCAATGGACAGATAGCGGTTGGCGAACTGTTCAGGGCTGGGAAGCCAGTACCAGAGGTTTGTCTTTATAATTCATGAGCGATTAGTCCGAATTCTTACTAGTAGGGGCGGAGGGAGGCTTACCGTATCGTCAAGGCCGGTGTGGGTATAAGAGAAGGTGACGTTGCAAAAGTCAAGCCCACTCTTCCCAGGACAGAGAGAGCTAGAGGCAACAGTGTAGTTCGTCACCGCATTGGCCGTAACAGAGTCTGGCGACAGGGTGATGCCCTCGACGAAGTTGTCCGCAGGCAATACCGACTGCACGTACGAAACTGTGCATACATCGGCCAAGCTGAGAGCGGAAGTTGAACTTAACAACGCCGCCGAAGCGAGCACGCTGCGTGCCAATCTCATGGTCGCGGTTGTGAGGCTGGACTTGAGGTCGAGGAGAGGGCTCGAGCTGAAGCAACATCTCTTGGTCAGACAGAGACAAATTCCTTCCTACTTGTAGCAGTGGCGCGATCGCCGATGAACCTTGTAAATCCGAGCTCCTTGACCCCATCTTCACATACAGATGGCCTGTATTAGTCTCCTCGCTATGGGTAGCGGGTTGGCTTGCCATATTGGGGTGTTGGCGAGGCACACCAAGCATGGGGCCGCGCGGCAAGGAAGCATTATCTTTGCAACCACTTGCCAGGGTTCAGTCTCTGGAAGCGGCGTTGTTCGAATTCAAGATATGGGATGTTACCTTAACCAAAACCGCTAGAACTGCAGACTCGGAGATCACGATTTAATGCCTTGTAATAGGCCTGGGCCAACAAGCGGGACAGGTGCAGGCATTCGAGTAATTTCGGCAAGTGGGGACCAGAACCGTTGTTTCCCCGTGTTGCGGGCTCTGCCGTCGGCTGACTCGGTTAATTTAAAACCTCCACTCTTTTGGACTTGTTTACAACCATATTGGGAAGCTCCATGATCATTTTCGATCGGATGATTAACCATGAGTAGGACCCGGCGGAAACCGGTGTAAAAAAGCTTTGCTGCCTATGTCAAGTTCGGTATTTTCCAACTGCAGTAAGGCGCCTTGCCGCCATTCGGGGTGGAGCCGCTTGCAGTAACACTTGTCGTACTTGAGGTAATAAGTGAAAATATCACGATCACGACGATAGTGGAGACTTCTGGATTGGGAAAACGAGCTATGCCAACCAGGAATACCAAGATTGCATTCGAACTAGGTGTAAGAACACACATCATATATGAATTTTCACGAGCTTTGCCAGTTCTTAAAAAGACTGAATTTAAACGACCAAGGGCTTTCTCACATTATCTGCACGCCGAAGGTAACATAGAAATTCTACCTCTCTGGAAGCAAGGGCGATTCCGAACACACCTAGCTAGTTTCCATGAGAGGTGAAAAATATTCCATAATCGTGTGCCGTCTCACATCTTCTAGGTTGGGTTGGCTTTGATTGTCATTTCCTGTGTCTGAAGGCACTGACAAGATGCAACTTTCCACATCTCCTAGACGCAAAAATCTCAGCATACTGATAGCATTAACGGGGGTGTTTGCGAACCGACCCCTACTGAAAGCGTGTTCCAGGAGGAAACTATATGGCGTGATGAACTTTATGAAAACTAGGCTTTCCCCATGCCGGTTAAGCTATAGGTTTCGGTTTCCTTCAATCCAGAAAATGTCTTCAATTGTCCGGTCTGTCTGACTACTATGAATCTGAAGAACAGAACCCATTTTTCTCGATGGCGGTTTTAATCTATACGCACACATCTCCAAGAGTCGCTCGCTCGCTTTCTGTCAGACCTTATAACTACCAAAAATACCTCATTCTACAACGAGTGGGTCCCTCGTCTTTTGACGGTCAATTTGGTTCAACACTTTCTACCAGCTATTGGTCGCTTTTGCTTACAGGACTTCATCCAGGCGGATGATGAGATTCCCCTGCATTGTTACTTATCCAGGCTGGTACGCCTTGTGTATGTAATATAGGTGTTTGGCCTACTCAGTGCTTAGTATACCAGAAGAAAATATACTATTACCTCCCTATGCTTACGAAGGACTCTGTTGCTCCGAATACGGGCTTGGCTGCTCCGATATACGGGCTCTGACTGTCTATGTAAGGGAGGTATCTTGGAGAAGGATAGGGGGAAGGTTAGAGATCAATGAAGACCACCCGGTGATAGCCAATGGGGACGCCCGATATTCCCCTTCACTCTGTACTATCGCCTTGCGGCGGTCCTTAATAAAACTCACGGCTAGAATTCTAGTAAAAGCCTGCTGAGGTTACCGCAACTCCTGTAGCTACCTTTTAGGCTAAACGAAAAACCCTGTTTTAGCCTCTATAGAATGATAAACCGCTGTGACGAACCTACAATAGTCTAGCTGCTAAACCACTAAGAACTGCTGTAAGGTATTGTGCTAACAAGTGAAGTCCTACGAACGAGGTCTTGAACAATATCGGGTTAGCGTATGGAATAACTGATTGTGAACGGGTACATGGGTATAGAGTTGCCAGGGAAGTATGCCTCAACACTGGGTTAGTATTGGATTGTGGGCAAATGGTCTTGTACTGAAAGTGTCATGATCTCTGGAGAGTCCTGAGAGAAGTGAAGGGCGGCCATAGGGGCCTTATATAGGTAGAAATGACTGATGCCTGCCCCACAGCCAGGACTTGTGTGGTTCAATGGGTAGAGGTCATATTGACCCATACCTTGTACGGTTTGCGGCTTTAATTTTCTCCTTTGACTTAGCAGTATTGACGGAGTAGCCTTGAAGGTCCGACAGTTAGATTGATGCTTAGATTGATCACTGAGTTAGAGAACATCTATGAAATGCTTGGGGATCTCGTCCCTTATATGTTAATTCTCTCCTTCACTGACGTCTCAGTGATTAGTCCTGGCTACGTGACCTTAGATCCCTATGATCCTTTCCTAGATCACGGTGGTTCCCATTTCTCTTGCAGGGCTATCCAGCCTGCTAATGGGTCTCTCACATTTAGCTAGAACCAACGGTTCGGAACAGCCAGCAGGCTTTTTTAGACTTCTCTACGGAGTTAACTAAAAAAAATATACTTATTAACAATAACGATGGCCTGGTAGGTAGCAGCAGTTATATTTTAAGTATAAAAGCATTTATGAAGAGATCTAAACAAGGATTAACGTACCCCACGGTCCAATTGAACACTTCTTAAGACCTCGTACAATAAGATATAAGTTAATTAAACTATGAGGTAAAAAAATAATTAAAACTACTCGGAACTATCTTCTTCAGATATCTCTTTACTATTCTGACAAGTACGCATATTATGACCGGGCTCTCCGCACGTCCTACAGCGTTGCTGAAGTATCTCTGGCCTCCTCGTACGACTACGACTCCAGCGCGATTATTATCTAACTCTCCGTTAACTAGCTTCTGAGACTGTGAATCTTCTCCAGCTTATATACGAAGTGATCCTCCATACTGTAAACGTTTTTTTCTCGTATAATGCCGCCGGCTAAGTGTCTCATTTGCCTTTCGAAGCGCGGCGTTCTCACCCTCTAAAAGAGCAAGCCGGTGCATAACCTGCGTCGTACCCTTTGCAAACTGGTCAAGTGTAGTAAGTGTAGCTGTCGGAGAGCTATTTTGATGTCGTATAACTCGGTTTTTCACGTATTCGGTCTGGGATTGTGCCTCAATTGGGTTATTTGGGATCTTCGACTCCCAGATAATAGGAAGGCCAGACGAGGTACCCAGAGGTGTTGGAGTATGTAACTTCACATCTAACTGCGAAATCACATATTCCGGATCGTACGGTACGAGTCCTGCCCCTCGGAAACCTCCCTGGATATTTGATATCGTAAAAGTTGCCTGGAACGCTTTTAAGAACGCGGAGAGGAAGTCCTCCTTCGAGATATGGGTAATATGTGCCCGCATAAGATCCTCAATTTCTTTACCGTACGCTCTTTTCAGTGCACGAAAACAGCCGATATCGAGAGGTTGGAGCTTATGCGACGAATGAGCAGGCATACAGAGTGTGATAATAGAGTTCTCTTTACAGTAGAGCTCGAAAGCGGTCGAGTGGTGGCTCTCGTGGCCGTCGAGAATTAAGAGGCGATGAACACCTTTCGTACGAAGCTTTGTATGTTGATCGAAATGTCGAATCCAGTCCTCGCCTCTTTCATTTGTAGTCCAGCCATTTTTCGTAACCGCGATAACCCAATCCTTTGGTAGTAGGCTATTTTCGTACCACGAAGATAGGTGAGTTTTACCAGCAAAGATGATATACGGAGGGATAGTATAGCCGTCCGATCCGACGCCCTGGATAACTGTAACCCATTCCCTATTCCCTTGCTGTACTGCTCTAGGTCTTCCACGTCGATCAGAGGTCGTTACAACTATCTCGGATGAGATTTGACCCATAAGAAACCCAGTCTCGCCAAAATTATAGATATCCTCCTCTTGAATTCCATACTTATTAATTGTATTCCGTACGAGATAAAACCACGCGCAGTACGCGTCGGGATCTTCGCAGAGGACTCTCTGGTAGTCGATTCTTCGATTAAAACGCGTCCGGAGGTCTGGTTGTCGTCGTACGAAGCTCGAAGCCCAGTTAATACCGACGCGTCCTGCGTCGCGTTGGTGGAGTAGTCGATTCGCCATATCTTCAACACCACTTATTCGAGGAGGAAATGATCGTGAATCTAGGTCGACTATGTAGCGTACGATCGCGTCTTCTTCGGAATAGGTAAGCTTTTGCGTTGGTGATCGTATATCCTGTCGTGAAGTACCGCCGCGATATCGGTGACGTAAGGTTGTATGAGGGATATTATAGATCCGTGCTACGGATCGTACGCTTAGTTTGGGGTTATTTTGAAGCGCTTGAAGCGCTAATTGAATATCGCTTTCTTCCCAATTACGTGCCATCGTAGAAGGTGGAAAATAAGGGATAAAACCTAGGTTGTACGGAAATGCGCGAAAGTGTTCAATTAGACCGTGTGTTCAATTGGACCGTGGGGTACGTTAAGATATGTGGGATTAAACGCCACAGTTATGCCTAAACGGAAGGTGGCCCACTAGCTACACTTGCCGCTACACCGCCTTCGGCCTAGGGCATAACTGTGGTGCTCAATCCCACAGAAACATAATTAATAAAGTTGATGTGGAATTTGGCCTGAGGTCATGGTGAGGTACACATAAGATACTTAAGGACCTTTGTATAGCTTGGACTCCTTTACCTATGCTTCCCTTGACCTTCGTATGTAGCCGGAATGCTATTACCTATGCTTCCCTTGACCTTCGTATGTAGCCGGAATGCTATTACCGGTGCAATTCCATGGGCTGTAGTACGTTTATCAGAAGGAATAATTACATATTAAAAGATAAGAAGGTTAAAAAACTTAGTTTATAGTATAGAGTATGAAAGCGCACCTCGAATACGGAGAAAGCTTTACATAGTGAGTTATCTTCACTGGTTATAGGCAAGTTTGTACACATTGTGATGGCTACCAACAAGGTGCAAGGTATGTAGGCTCACAGTGTCGGCGGGTAGTGCATTATTGGTACGATAAGGAGGGAAAAGATAAGAGTAGGCAAGGTAGTCTGGGGATGCTACCCCGCAATGGCTCTAACTCCGTGACACGCATTTAGCATTAAACAATAATTGGTAGGATTGAACTAGGAAAGTGCAGCTGACGTCATAGAACAGGAACCAACTTGGGAGCGAGCCCCTCACTAAATTAACGCCTATATGCGGGGAGCTCAAGCTAAGGTTAAATACCGTTACCCTTCTCAAGTACTTGCGCTTAATTCGCACCTGCCATTTTCACTATTCGGTTCATTAAGCTACCATCTTTTTCGCGTTGACTCTACTCGTAAATTCATTGACGATCAGAATGGGTGAAATGCCAGCGGGTCTCAAGGCCTCGGTCGAAAGCTCCAAGTGCGAGTATCGCCAGCTGGGCAAGAGCGGCCTGAGGGTTTCCGTACCCATTTTTGGGTGCATGAGTTTTGGCGATAAGAACGCGCAGTCTTGGGCTTTGGGCGAAGACGAGGTACCTACAAGCTACTGAAGCCGTCGTGAAAACGAACGATCGCTAACCAAGTCGCAAGGCATTGCCGCTGCTGAAGGCCGCCTACGACAAGGGTTTGAACACATGGGACACAGCTAATGCCTATTCCCAAGGGGCCAGTGAGGTCATCGTGGGCAAGGCGATCAAGAAATACAACATCCCTCGCGAGAAGGTCGTCATTATGACCAAGTGCTTCTTCGGTGTCGGCGAGCAGCCCGACGTTCGTCAATTGTCCAATCGGGAAGCCTTTGAGCAGTCGAAGGACTACGTCAACCAGTTCCACCTGTCCAGAGCGGCCATCTTCAACCAGGTCAATGCATCTCTCAGGAGGCTGGACATGGATTACATCGACCTGCTTCAAATCCACCGCTTCGACTATAATACGCCCATCGAGGAGACCATGAAAGCTCTACACGACCTGGTCGAGTCTGGAAAGGTCCGCTACATCGGCGCATCGTCCATGTGGGCCGTCAATTTCGCACGAATGCAATTCGTGGCGGAGAAGAACGGATATACGTAACGCAACTCCCTCAAACCAGCTTCCGAGATATAGACCTGCTAAACTAGCCGATAGTAAGTTCATATCCATGCAGAACCACTATAACTTAATTTATCGTGAGGAGGAGCGCGAAATGAATCGTTTCTGCAATGACACGGGAGTCGGCTTGATCCCATGGGCGCCTCTCTGCCGCGGACATCTGGCCCGACCGCCAAGCGACTTCGGCTCCACAAATCGTAGCAAGATCGAAAAGGATACATCACCAGGCTCGCACGGGACCGTCGAGCCTGATATTACGATCATCAAGCGTGTCCAGGAGATTGCGGAGAAGAGGGGCTGGAAGATGAGCCACGTCGCATTGGCCTGGATCAACAAGAAGGTGTCGAGCCCCATCATAGGATTCTCCAGCGTGGCGAGAATTGACGAGGCTACTGAGGCTCGTGGCAAGATGCTCACCGAAGCGGAAGAGAAGTATTTGGAGGAGCTGTATCAGCCAAAGGCAATTACTGGACATGTCTAAGCCGTAGCGACCATTGCGGTGAGAGTGAGTCAGCCAGGCATCCGCATATTGCAACTGTAACCAGCTTGGGGGTAAGGATCAGGGGTGTGATTAATGTTTGTTGGAATCAATGGAAACAAAAAACCAATTCTGAAGAGTTCCAGCGTTTGCAACTGAGGGTAGGGTGGGTGACCACGGAGAAGCAATACCACCTGAGGCCGATAGTGCTGTTGCATTTTAACGAGTCCGCGATGTTCAATTTGTCAAATCCATGAGGACCCATCACCGGGCTCATTTCCTCCGAGGTACCGACCATACTTGCTGAATGGCGCAACCTAGGACTGTCTTCGGCTGATGGACGTTGAACAGGTAAGACCGGAAACCGGCAGTGACACCTGACTTGATCTCGGTACTACTTTGTCTGTATGTCTAACAATTGAAACGCTGCCATTCGGTCCTTGACAGTCAAGCAGTTTTTGCGGTGATAGATTGTGAGAAGCAGCAACTGTCATGGTCCGTGGCATGCCTGTGTCGATCATGCACCCCCTCTGCGAAAGATTTTATGCTGCAACACAGGAGTTCGTTTCATGCAAGGGCGGGTTGACATTTGCTTCTTGTGTTGACACTTCCACCCGCCGCTATTTAACATCATTGTCCTCTGTGTGCGGACTCGTCATATCACCGCATATTGTCTTACTTTTGCGCATCATCAGCATTCTCGTCGTACTCACCTATCTCAAACCCCAAACCAGACTTGTACAAAATAATCAAAATGGTGGGTCAAAGCTCCGGCATCGCTTTAACTGGAGAGGCGGGGGAACGAATCATGGTCATTAACTTGAGATGAACAGGCTCGAGCATTATCACCAGAGGAGATACAGGTCTTCAAGGACTTGTTTGATTCATATGTGAGTGTACAGCCACTTTATCATGGGGAATTTAATCTAACTTGATGATAGGACTCGGACAAGGGTGGTCAGTAGTCCTGCTTGTATAGAGCTGTTAAACATTCTATCAGCAGTTGCTGATCTTGCACAGGAAACATCACCGTCGAGGAGTTCGCCAAAGTGATGTCCCAGACTCCTGGCCAGCCCCCTTCCGAAGCCGAAGTGGCCCAGATCGTCAAGGAGGTCGACCTCGACGGCGATGGCACTATCAACTTCAATGGTGGGACTTGTCCCTTTCCTAGAGCTCTTCTGCGGTGCTGCTGGGACAATTGTAGCTAATACCACAGGCAGAATTTATTACCATGATGACAGGCCAGCCCTACCCGCCAAAGGTGGAAGAGGAAAAACAGCCTGAGCAGCAAGTTGAAGAAGATGCAGAGTACGCCACCGCCTGGAAGCAATACGAACCGTCGCTGAATGGATCAATCACAGCAAGTCAGTTCCGGCAACTGATGGCGGAGCTGGGGGAGCCCGTCAATGATGTCGAGGTCGAGCAATTGATCAATAATGTGGATGGGGAGGGGAAGCTCAGCTGTAAGTTCGTACCTTTGCTCACTGCGTTTTTTGTCATGTTATCGAAAGGGGTGTTTGCTGATGTGGGTACGTGTATGTCAGATAAGGAGTTCTTGCACTTTGTGAAGAGTAGGAACGTCGAGGATGATATTCTCAGTGGCTACCAATGACCATCTGCGTTGTAATGGATCTTGTGTGTTACAGTTGATATAAGGCGAAGATATGAAACCATTAATCGTCAACAGACTCAATACCATGAAAGAGCTTGCTTTAATCTCTCAAATTTGTCTGCTTTTCTTTGGATGTTCCCAGTCTAGTGATACGTCGGAAAATAGCACCACTTCTTCAGCGACTCAACGTATATACCATACTTCAGTGTGATATGTTTTGGCTTCCAACACGACATAGTACTACTCATTATCACCTCGAGCCAGGGATTCCTCATGGATTGAATTAAATTTTCAACTTGTTGTCGACGAGCATGGACGGAAGTCACGAGACCGGCCGGGATTGTACGTACCTGCAAATTTGAAGTTCGTTGTTGCATAACATCGTTCGTACAAGAGCACGCACTTGAATTGTAAGTGATACTTTGTGAGGGGTAAGCCACTTGATGTTTCAAGTTGTAAGCTCCAGGGGACTTGTGAGTTAGTTAGTGGCCATGGGTTCCCCAAGTCCAAACCCCGTATATACTGTTCCCTCCGTCTCTTTCTGTGGGGTAATAAGTCAGGCTTTGAAATAAGCTTTACTATTAGTGTTCTATACCAATGAACGTTGCTTCTATGGTTTCGTCTGATGATTGCCAACGGGGTTTAAGCCCAACTGCAGTCATGTCCGTTCTGCTTCGTGGGGTATATAGACAGCAGTCCACTCCCGCCGTCTTCCCTTCAAACAGAGCGCTCTTTCCAGTGTGCTAAGCTACTCATCGCCACAAGTGAGAATAAGTCAGCATTCGAGACCACACCCCGCCATGTCGAAAGCGTTTTTGAAAGCAAAGGAGAAGTACGACGCCGTAATCAACGACGCCGGGAGAGGTGACTGGTACTGTACGTTCTGTCCGGCCCTCACGTCAGATAACACACGCGTGTGGAACGTCGCTAACGAGAGCGTTCAACAGGCCGCACTAACCGCTACGGTGCCACCAAGCATCCAAAAGGGTGCCACGAGGTCAACAAGGTCGAACGAGTACCAACCCGCAGGGCCAGTTCGGCTAGTGCTGGGAGTGCATCAAGCTCCGGAAGCAAGGGGACCGGGCAGCAGGCCACGATTAAGGAGTGGAGCAGGCTCAAGCAGTGGATGAACAGACCTGCTGTGTAGACGAATGGCACGTCGGTTATTACTGGGACAGAGCAATATCACCGTGATTGTGTGTTTTCATGTCACTTGAGAAATGTGCTCTCTCTCTCTCGGAGCCATATCATCATATTTGGGTACAGAAGGCTACTACTCTACGGCCATTGTGAATCTAGCATCATCACGTTGTCTTCGAATCAATCTGTCTTCGGTCTGTACGCCATGCCGTCGCGTCTACAATCAAAACAACCCCTGGCACTCTTGCCGCATGGTACTCTTGCTACATGGCGAACAGTGGATTGCCGCGTGGAGTACTTCTCCACAGATTTCTATTTTCCTGTATGGTCCTTTTCAACGCCACCTGATTCGCTGTATATCTACGCCGGTGTCTCCATTATCGCAACGTGGTACGTTTGCGGTTGGTTTTTCACCAATGAGCTTTTCTGCAGGACAATTTTGTTGCTGCATGGCACTTTGTGCAGGGATATTGCATACATTAGCTAGATGTCTTCTAGGCAACTATATAAGTGAGAGATAGGAGCGCTCATGTCTCTCCTGTACTGATATTGTTGATTTTGTGCTACGATTGTTGCGCTCGACACATGTTATGGACGCTAACGCTCATTCCCTATTTCACAAACATATTTGGCAGCAAATGTTTATCTTTGTGGCGGCATGGAGTGCAAAGTTCGAAAAAGAGCTAAGAAGAGGACTGTAGTAGCAAGCTACCCATGGCTTACGGATGGTAGAAAAGGGCGTCGAAGTGCGATATTGTTTCGTAAAAGTACCTGCTACTTGCATCGCAAGAGAACAAGTCTGAAGGAATTATTTACTCACTTCACATTTCCTTTATACGGTCATCTACTCAGCTGAACGGGCTGCAGAGGGCCGGGAAGACTCCCAGGTCAAGGTTGACCGTAGTAATTCACGCCCGACTAAATCAAATTTCTCAACAGCTTCGATTGCTATAATGGTGTATACCTCATTGATCTTCATCTCACGTTGACTGGAAACCTGGGTGCCCCACTGCGAGTCCGGGCCTTCCGCATCGGTGTCATGCCCTCTTTCCCTGTTCAACTCAGGGCAGGCTGAGAGATAAGATATATGGCCGTTGTGGGGTTTTCAACCAGTGGTTCAACTCGAATACCCCTGTCGTCGCCTTGTCTCGAGTGCCATTCACAAAAGAATAACTCCCGGGGTCTCAAAGTGCTGTATCAATCACCCTAGCTTATAAGTTTCGCAGTCGCTTTAACATCATACATCAAATTTACCTCTGTCTCATTAGATTATTGAGCTCATCACTCTGAGGCTCAGCTGCAAGTTCCTAGGCTTAGGGGTTTTCCCAGCATGTAAGTTGGGCGCATCATGTGTGGACACAATGAGTCGCTTAGATATCGTTCGTGGTTGTTGAAAGGTGTATATCTGCGTGTGAGAAAGTTAAGCGTAGTCGCCACATGATTCAAGTCTTCTGGTGCATCAAGACGAAGTTCTCCCTGTACAAGTAGTATTTGTTTCCAAAGGGTCTACGAATCTCCTCTCTATTCGATTCAATGCACATATGAGTACGCCGATAGAAGTATTGATCCAATCTAACGACAATGATCTTCCATGATCACAACTACGGAAGACCAGGAGGTATTCCACGCCACGAAAGCCATAACCAAATTAAAAGCCCCACGCTATCTACTACCCTTGATCCATCCTCTTCTCTTGAATCATTTAGCATACCCCGGCAGTCCCTGATTGTGTGGCTGTCCATTCGCCCCCGGGGACGGTGCCTCAAAATGCAGCTGCGAAGGTTGAGGCTGCAAGCCACCCAGCTGGTAAGGACCAGGCGATTGTGCTTCACCAAAATACTGGTTTTGGGGTGCCTGTTCAATACCGTACTGTTGAATAGACGGCGACTGCATTCCCCCACTAGCATGCTGCTGCTGCGGTTGTGGCGACTGATGGTCGCCGTACTGTTGAGGATTCTCCATTTTGTACTGCTGCGGAACGTTCTGGGGTGGCGCGATGACCTGCGGGACGCCGCCGTGCTGGATGTGCACGACGCGTTGGTTACAACCAGTACAGTAGTGGTCGATGTTTTGACACCAGTGTAATATGCAGGGGAGACAGGCAAGGCAGATGCAGAGACAGCCGAGGGCGATACCGGCGACGCTGGAGAAGATGTTAATATTGTGATTGGGTAGGCTTGGAGTTGGAAGTGGACTTACATAGTCATGCTCGAGTCTTCTTCATGGACTCTTGTTTGCGTTCGGCGGTGGCAGTAGGGGCAATCTATCACAGCGGGGAGTGCGCCGAGGCCGTTCAGTGGTGTTGGTTGAATCATCATGATATTCTGGGGTGGATGCTGGGGGGTTGGTGCGCCATTATGGGCAGCTGGGGGTGATTGGATGGGTGATACTTTGGGTTCGGCCATGGTCGCGATGTTCTGGTTGGACTGTAATTCGGAGTTTCACAGCAACTGGAGGTAGAATAGAGGAAATAAGTAAATTCGCGAGGAAAGATATGTCAGAAAGGCAGCAGAGGTATGTCTTTTAAAATGAGTTTGGAATTAGAAAACGGCACAACTCGAGGACCAGGGAACACCTTCAGCCCAGCCATTGAACAAGGGGCCGTTGACATCCACAAACGAGGCAAGATCCGACGATTTGGTGGCTGAAGCGAAGATCCATGCGAGTTGAAGGGGTCGCATCATATAATTATAGGCTGTAACTGGGCTGTGCCGTTCCCCAAGTTCAGCTGTATTCCAGATATGTAGGTAGTAGTTGGCCTCGCACCGGCACAGCCCTGCACGCCTGCGGCCTGTGACACAAATACACGAGAAACTAGGCTCGAATTTCCGGGAAACATGTCACATGGTGGTTGGACAAATACAAGCAAGATAATCTGGCGAATTGCTGACCAGGAAGGAGTTCACGACATGAGAAAAAGTATGTCTCCAGATGCCTACCCACTTTTTGATGCAGCGGACGGCATTGACTGGTCCAATGCGAGATGCCTAGGTAAACTCGATAAAAGTGGCCTAATATATTTTGGAACTGTAGGATTGAGAGGATCGAATCCCTCACTGGCACTTATCGAAATTATGAGTCGTCAAGACCAATAGCTGAAATCCTCAGCCCGTTCATTTACCTTGCCTCTTAGGGGTGCTGCAAGGAGTGATCCCGGCTTTTTAACGATCATTATGAACAGTCCTCGCATGGTTCATTTCTTCGCTTTTCCTTACCGAATATCTAATTTGTATCACCTACTGTCAATTATACGATATCATTTGTCTACAGCGTAGTATAAATTCAAGCTTCAGAACTCAGACTCAACATAGCAAGCTCCCCCTCCCATCCGGACCCAGCACCTCCGATTAGTGAAAGTGGCGCCTCGATAGCGATAGAAGCCCAGACGAAGAACTCACCCAGCACTCCGATCGTAGTCAAGAACTCTTCTTCCACCCCTGCAGTGCCATTCGGATACACATCTGCAACAGCACTCTCCACAGGCGTGATACGGGCAAATGTCTGAGTTCCCCGGCCTATCAGACTAAGCTCCACCCAAGTACTCAACGGAATCGTCGAGTTCAGTCTGTAGTAGTTTCCCTCTGTGAACAGCGTGATGTTGGGCGTCAGCATGAGCGCTGAGTCCGGGCCGGAGATCAAAGTCGCGTCCGTGTTGGCCATGAGTTCGTCGACGCGGAGTGTGAGTTTCAGGGTGTAATCTCGGCCCTTGGACCCCAGTGGGGTTTTGAGTGAGCAAGAAGGGCTGATAGCTAAGGAGCCGTTTGTCGCCAGCTTGCACGTCGTGGATGCGTCATATGCATTGCCCGAGAGATCGGCGATGGTGTTGTTCTTCTTGACGCTGCTGAAGTTGTAGTTGAATATGGTCGAAGTCTTGGACTGGATGCTCTTCTCGAGATCCTGGGCCGGGATGTAGGGGTGAAGGGCAGATAACACGGAGGGGAACTCGGACTCGGCGAGGTCACCTCCCCATTGCTTGTCGGCCAGGGCAGGGATACCTTCTTTCCAGGCGTAGTACGCTTCTGAGTATACCGACGCGTTGGCGCCATAGTCGTTCCACAATGGGGCAACCGCACCAAGGACCAGAGGATTCGCCTTGGGAGGGTTGTTAGTTGCGTTGTTCTGATCAAAGATATTGGGATACCAGAGTCCCCTCGTCGCAGGGTTTCCATGAAATGTGCGCGAAATATTGACTTTTTGCGGATAGCTCGCTGACCACTTATTCACGACGTAGTACGCGTCATCCGAGTTCAGAACCGAGTACTTGTTCATGATGTAATCATAGTACGGATTATCCTCAAAGAACTCCCAGTGCTGGACCGAGACGTTCTCATAGACGTTGTCGTACTCGGGGTGCGGCGGGAACGTGCCCCAGGTCCGTATGTCCTTCTGGGATTCCTGGTTGATGTAGACGGACATCTCGTTGACGAACCGGTTGTACTCGCTGACTTCGGCCGTGTACTCGTCAGCGCCTATGTGGACCGTTTTGGTGTGGAACCAGGGGAGGAAGGTCTTCCAGATCGTTTTCATGGTGGGGATCGTCTCGGGGTGGGAGATGTTTAGCAGGCTGAGATCGGTGCTGAGGCCCAGTTCCGGCTTCCACTGTACTATGACTAAGGCATGGCCCGGAGCTTCGATCTCGGAGAGAACGGTAACGCCGCGAGCGGCACAAGCGGATTGGATGTTGTCGAACTGCTCTCGGGTGTATGATTCGTTCTTGTACTTGTTCAGCCCGGCAACATCATTTGAATCAGACCACAGTCTGAACCTGGCGTAGAGCTCCAAGCTCCTTTCTGTCGTGTACAGATTTGTATTGACGTTCAGGTTGTCACTGAGATGAAGCTGAAATGTGTTCTGCTTGAAGAAAGACATGTAACTGCACATTTCAATAATGAATGATTCAGGATAGAAGTGTCGTGCTGCGTCGAGGGCCATTCCCCGTATGCCCCATCCTGGGGCATCTTGAGTTGTCCCATAGGGCATCGTGCCATCTCCAAGAATCACCTGCTGCAGTATTGTTCGGGTGCCCCAGAATGCCCCCAGGGGGCTTGCGCCTGTGATGGTTATCCCCGCTGAGGAGACCGAGAGCGAGTAGCCCTCGGATGTCTCAACGCCTGCAGCGTCGACATAGTCTGCTTCGTCGCCGAGTGTGAGAAAGATCGAGTTAGGTGACGGCTCTATTGCAAGAGTAACATCCACCTTGATTCCCAACGAACTTTGCAGGTCGTCGGCAAATGTTGTTGCGAATTCATGCAGTGTTGGCGGTATCAACGTCTCGCCTTTCTCGTTTCTAGCACTCGCGAACTGGGAGTCCACGATGATTGTTTCAATGCTAGAAATGGTATAGGAAGCATCTGAAGCCGATTCAAAAGGGACCGTAGGTATTCCAGTCAACCTTGAAGCTACTAGAACTACACAATGTTAGTTTTGATTAGGGCATCAACAAGGGATGGACATTCACTACCTCCAAACCATGCCGACGCGACAATACATGTAATCTGAGACCTCATCTTGAGTATTACAAGATGCAAAATCCCGATCCTTGTGCGGAACTAGGGGACGCAAAGTCAACGACGCTAGATTGAAGAGTTCCGCGGAGGATTACCTCCTATTTGTACTATTCGAACGTCCTTTACACGATGTAACGCGAGTCTAGGGACCATACACTCGGGACTACATCCCAGTCTAGTCAACATTATGGACAAAAGCGTCAGGGGCACTACAAGCGACCTGACAATCCTGCCTTTCTTGCATGGGGTGAGTCCGTCTGGACAGTGTGTAGTAACGTTGGAACGCAAGCGGGGTAGATAAGGAAAGTCCATCGTGATGCTCTGATAGCAGCTGTGGAGATTCTTGGTATTTATCGCAGGAGCGGGGCAATACTATGGTCTGTCAAAGCGGAGATTATCCCTGCCGCCTCGGAGAACGCAACGTTATGCGTAGTCGAAATGTGATTACTTGGGAGGCAAGGGATTCCATGGCAGACTTCATTTTAGTTCCTCTCATCCTGTTGTTCGTTGAAGGAATATTTCCACGTGTTTTAAATTTGGAGAGGCTGGAGTTAGCGTAATATGTTCGATCAGGCAGATTCATTTCTAGTTATAACGAAAGTTATAGGTGGGAGAGGCGCGGCGAATATCGGTTCCATCTAGAGCTACTAATAAGTGCATTTTTTACAGTTAACCTATGTAATACTGGACTAACGAGAACTATCCTCTTTGCAAAAGCTAGCTATACCTGCGGATCAGTTATACAGCTAATAGTATAGACAAACTTTTCATAAACATTCGTTGATAGGCTAGTCAATACAAACTTGTATTAACCACACCTCTTACCAGTATGAATTCAAGTTACGATATTAGTCTGTCTCTATTATAGAATACTATACTAAAGAAGCGCGACAAATATTTATAAGTACAGGTGCCCGTTCCTCTACCATGAAGGAACGGGTGTATAAGGATGATTGGGGTGGGATAGCCTATCCTTGGATGTCTCTGCCTGATGTATATGTGATAGGCGTTGTAATAGGAGATGCATAAATATTACCTAATCTATACAACTCATCCATCTCTTCAACAAGTCGATTTGGCCACTTTTGCGGCACCAGAAAGAGTTGATATGAAAACTCACCTCTAAAGCTGCTACCGATTCCATGGAGTGCCCAAAGGAGACCGGGAACCCCCCCAACCATAGTATAGTGTCATCGTACTAGACTATCTCAGCCTCAATGAATTTGACAGTCAAAGATGCAGTCATATTCCGCAAACATCTAATATAGACCTCCGTTCCAGATATTGAAATCTATCTCTACTACCTGTAGAAAGTACAGGATGAGAGCTCGTGACTCGGTCGAGTCTAGGACGAGAACAATGAGAGGGTTGAGCGGCTTCTGAATGGCAAATGGTTCGGGATGTAGTTTATAGGATGGACTGGTAGACCTAAGGGCACAGGTCAGATCCAATTTCCGAACCAATGACTCCAGAACAACAAAGTTCGTTTTCATATATTCGGATGCTATGCGAAAGAAACATGGGGTTGGATATATTATAATCGAAATATCATGAGGGGAAGACTTGGAAGTAACCAGACGCCTGTGATATGTTCGTACCGTGACCAAAGAGCTCGCGGCTCGGCATAAGACAGGTATTACCTCGTCCGAGAGCAGTCCGAAATGGAATATCGGATATCTAGTATCAAGGTTAGCTAATCTTTAAGTATTGAAGGCGAAGGCATTGTAGTATCAAACATACTATAGATATTTCGTGATCTGATCTGTAGGTGGGACGGATTTGAGAATTGCTGTCGAGGCCAAGCACTTTAATCCTTTGTCGGCGGTCAGCTACTTCGTACAACCTCGGAGATGACAAATGCGTGCTCCGGTGGGATCCCGTACCCCCAAGCAGTTGAAACCGGCGGCTATGACATCATCCTTCAGCTATTATAATTCGGCCGGTGGTTTCTGATCTATAAGTAACCCCCTTGGCTTTGGATGGTATCCAGGTCTAGCAACATATTCCAACTACCAACGTCAACAATTCCAATTTTACGGCTCAGAACCTGCCGACAATGCGCGTTCTAATCGCAGGCATCACAGGAAACTTGGGCATTGCCACAGCCCAGGCTGCACTCGCTCGTGGGCACCAAGTGCGCGGCCTAGCGCGCAACCCTACGAAGCTGGACGCGGTGGTCTTCACGCCAGAACTAGAGAGCTTTGTCAAGATGCAGAACTACTATGACATCACAGCACTCGACCAGGCCGTTGCCGGTGTCGATGCTGTCATTAATTGCTTTTCGGGAAGTCCAGAGCTCATGCTGGATGGGCAGCTGCTTTTGCTTCGTGCGGCCGAACGTGCCGGTGTCAAGGTATGTTACCATCTTATTATCGTGTATGAAACAAGAGGGGAAGTGAGGAAATGAGGATCGAGGCCATAGACTCGTGCTTCAGATTGGCTAATTCTAGAACTCCATATCGTAGATTTTTCACGCATCGTCTTGGAATTCCGATTGGACGAGGAACAAGCCGGGCGACCATGCCATCTACGACATGATCATTAACTTTTCCACTCATGCGCGTCTTTCTTCCCCCATTAAGCCCATATTTGCCTTCACAGGGTGAGTAAGCACCTCTTCCGATTAAGTCACTGTCTCGTCTAAGACCGACTGTTTCGGGTCAGAGTCATACTAACGCAACTGCATAGGGCGCTTTTAGATTTTGCCTTCATCACCATGCGGCAGGAGTGGCTAAACTTCGACAAAGACCCGGCAGCCATCAACTTCTGGGGTGACGGGACGCATCCCATTATCTACACCACGATACATGACGCGGCAGCTTACACGGTCGCCGCAATCGAGGAGCCAGACGCGGCCGACGGTGGCTTCTACCGCGTGCAGAGTTTCCGTTGCTCAGCGCTCGAGCTGGCGGACGGCTACGAGGCCGTCCGCGGCGTCACGCTCCAAAGGCGGAGTCTCGGGTCTCTACAGGATATCGAGTCCCAGCTTGCGCTCGCCCGCGCCACGACGTCTCCGAAGCAGTTCTGGGAGTACCTCGGTCTGGTATACTCTAAGTTCAATTACGATGGAACCTGGGATATCCATCATACGGATGGCCGAAAGTGGAAGTATGTGAAGCCGACTACGTGGGAGGAATGGCTGCGAACACATCCTGAAGTTTGAGTTGTGGACACCGTGCTCATTTCCATCCGTATTGTAAAGATGATTGGTTATGTATAGCATTGGCGAAGCTTCTGTATATCAGTTACATATTATCTAGAAGCGTACAGATGCCTCTAGAAGGTTAAGCGCTCGAGATAAGGAACACTTGGTTATTTAAAACTGCCGACACTCCAAAATAACATATACGGGGTTTGAACACAAGGAAGATATGCCCGTACACTCAGATACTATTAAGGCCATCCTGCAGCAAGTACGAGCTAGGAGACTCTTTTATGTGAGAACAAGCCAAAGTGCACTTATCACATCACATTCAGAGTTGACCTGAGGATCGCGGTATTTGGACGATCAAGTGGCCCGCTCAAACCCCCGATTTAAACCTCATTCAGCATGTATGAAAGGTCCTAAAGACCAAAATACGTGAAACAGAGCCTAGTTGGTCCCAAGTAAAGGCCAACGTCCCCCGTGAGGCCTGGGCTCAGTTAGTAATCGAGGATGCGTAGTCACAGGTCGATCTAACGTACAGAGGCTATCTATGAAGTACCTCCTACGACTGCCTGCAGCGGTACAAAAGGTAAGGGACTGGTATTCGCACTGGTAAACAATGAACGATCAAAAAGTTACAGAATGAAATTTAGGTGCGAATTAGCTGAGGCATGCATATTTGAAGTTACTGATATTTTATGCTGGGGGGTTATCGATGTGATTTTCCAGACACATTTTCGGGGTTATTGTAACACGGACAATGCCGGTATATTGAATTGCAAACTGAGTGATGTATTCAGAATGATGAGCTTCTCGTTAGATCGCAGCCTCAAGTGCATGCTCCTAAACAGAACAGTCATCCCTTGAATGGACAGCCTGTTTTCTAAGTACAAGATTCCTACTTCGACAATAAAAACTCATCAAGGGAAAATTCAGCTATGACGGCGAGCTAATGCTCTACTAAACAAGGCGGCTGGATGTGGCCCATCGCGTCAGGTTAAAAGGGGCCTTCATATTGGGCAGCTTGTCCTAGATTGAGGCTCTACCAAATAGGGAATCGGTTATGAGAGTCTTCACTCCGGTTAGTTATTGATTACTGTCTGTCATTCCAGATAAATGTACTCCAAAAAAGAAAATAAACAACATGAGCGTCCAGAACAACCCCCCGCTGTCGTTCTCGTTGTTATCATCTTTGCACACATCGCTGACTCTCATATCAGCCGATATGTCTCCATGGGGAACGGGGGATGGTTGATATTAAACCGGCACCTGGAGGACTAGGTGAGGGCTACCTGCTTGGAATCGGTCTATTCTTCCTGTCAAGGGATAAGTCTAGACTGGAAAGAATTCCACAGCTAGTTTTTCGGAGGCGGATTTCTGGGTTGTACGATTATCCCAGATCATTTTTGTCTTTTTATCTTTTCCTATACTGCACATGTGCTATGTCAATGTATGTCTCAGTCATGGTGATGACCACGTCGTGCTGTGTAATAAGCAAAAACAATATTGACGGCACCGACGCAAACGCACACGTACTCGCAGCAGTATAAAGAGTATAGAGTCAATGCAATGGCTACGGGTGATTCCCCACGAACAAAGGCACCTCAACAAGCGACTTGAAACCCATTGTCGACACGCCAGATAGATTTCATTAAAGGCTCAAAGGAAAGAGCAGATGTCGTCTGGAAGGTGTGGGCCCCTGAATTGCATGCAAGGTAGGCTGGGTGGAACCACCACTGCAGATAAGATAAGAAAAGTGTGGGGAGAGGGGTCAAGAGCTCCTGAGGATTGATTTTTTTGATCTTCAATGTAATGGTCAACGTGACTCGAAATGACGACCTAGTCGACATCCCAAGACCAACCGACTCGACCACCAACCAAATTCCTCGATCCTCGAGCTCTCCCCAACAATGGCCGACTCAGAGACTCCCCTCGCAAATTCTGTGGCGGCGCCCCATGAGCCCCCTCACACATACACAGCGAACAACGGCTACGGCGCGTCTGTCAGCCAAGAAGTACCTCGAAGTTTGGGCGCCCAGAGCCAAGATGCATTTGCCGTTGAAGAGGAGGACGAAGACGACCTAGAAGATATCTTCGACGATGAAGATGATTTCGGCAATGCAGACACAGGAGACATCACCAAAAACTACAACCGTCAACGACAATTCCAGGATGGCGGCGTTGCGTTGCTGCCGAAATCCAACCAACAAAAACCCGCTGCCAACACCTTTGCCAGCGTGGATGATCAAATATCTGCACTGTCCAAACATGCGGCGAAGATCAGACTCGATGACGTCAAGGAGGGCCAAGTAAGAGAGAAGGACAAGGCCGACCGCGCAACGAGCGAGCAGGTGCTGGATCAAAGAACGCGCATGATCCTCTTACAAATGATCAACCGAGGTTTTGTAAGCGAGGTGCACGGTGCTATCAGTACAGGCAAGGAAGCAAACGTCTATGGCGCCGTTGCCTTTCCCGACATCAATGGGCCACCTGTACACCGAGCCGTCAAGGTCTACAAGACGGCCATTCTCAGTTTCAAGGATCGAGAGCGATACATAACGGGCGAACACCGATTCAAGTCCGGCGCCGACAAAGGAAACAGCCGCAAGATGGTGAAGCTATGGGCAGAGAAGGAGTTCAGGAATCTGCGTCGTATACATGCCGCGGGCATTCCGTGTCCAGAGCCCATCCAGTTGAAATTACATGTGCTTGTGATGGAGTTCCTTGGAGATCGTCGAGGTTGGGCGTACCCACGACTGCGTGATGCCTCCATTCCTTCGGATGACGTGGAACAGCTCTGGACAACTCTCTACGTCCAATTGTTGGGCATGATGAGACGTATGTACCAAGTTTGCAAGCTGGTCCATGCCGATCTGAGCGAGTACAATATTCTGTACAATGACAAACGCCTCTACATTATCGATGTTTCGCAAAGCGTTGAACACGACCATCCGCGGTCGTTGGAATTTCTACGCATGGACATTAAGAACACCGGCGACTTCTTCCGGAAGCAGGGTGTTGACACGTTGTCGGATCGAACCGTCTTCGACTTCATCACTGCTCCGGAAGGGCCTGTGGAAGAGCCTGGAACGGCAGAAACGATCAAGCTTCTCTACACGTCTCGCTCCTCTGATGAAAACGACGACAAGGCTTTGGCTCAGATAGAAGTTGACAATGAGGTCTTTCGAAATCAGTACATTCCGCAAACACTCGACCAGGTTTACGACATTGAGAAGGACGCGCAGAAGATAGGCGATGGAGAGGGAGACCAACTGGTATATCGAAATCTTCTAGCAGACCAAGCGGTGTTGCCCAAGGATCCGAATGCAGAGGGAGACGAGGCAGAGGGTGCGGATAGTTCGGGTGATTCTGGTGATGGCGCAGCACTCGACAGCGATGACAGTGAGGATGAAAGCAGATTTGCCAAAGGCACGCCGCGGGGTAAGCGGTTCGAGGACAAAGAGGAAAAGAAGGTATGTATACTCGCTCCCCGATGCTCACAGTTACTAACACTCAGCCAGCAACACAAGCAAGCTGTCAAAGAAGAAAAGCGAGAGAAGAGGAAAGACAAGATGCCCAAGCATCTCAAGAAAAAACTCGTATCCTCAAGCTCTAGAAAGAAGAAATAGATACTGATTCCCACGGCGGGCGTGGTGGCCGAACTACACTTTCCTCCACTGTTTTCTTATTTCCAAACGCCGCATGAAGTTCTTACAATCGGGTGATGAAACTCCAAGGCACACACAGCCCCGAGTTTTGCTGTGTTTTTATCTTCTCGGGTAATAACCGCTGGCTTCGGTGCTGATGGCGTGTCCTGATCAGGCTCTTGAGCCAAATGATGATTAAGAAGAGCTCTGACGATTGCTACAACACCCCTTTTCTTCCCGCCATGGCCGTTGGTATCCTCCCCTTGCTCTTGCGTTATGTCCTTCCCCCAAAGGAAAATAATGTTTAGTCCCAACCATTTCCAAATAGTTCCCCTGGTGTAGATGATCCCTCTTCCACCGTCGTATGGATATTCTGGACATGCTAACTAAAGCGGATGTGGTGTGACTGCATACGACTAGAGCAAGGGGGACACTATATATGTGACGAGATCTACACACACCAAGTACATCATCTCGACTTGGTACTTCGTCTCCCAGAAGTTTTCGTTCTGGGTTAATAATCTGCATCACAGAAAGATATCCCCAGTCGAATAGTATAGCTTGAGGAAGGTGAAGCGCGTATACGTACTGCTACGTTTCCGGGCACGGATGTGATAAATCACTCATCTGTGACTGTAGAGGACCATGGCCATCGCTTCTTGGTCCCTCGCTTGGCTATACGGCTGTCTCGCTCTCCTAACTACTCGTACACATCTACAGCACATCTCAGCCCCAGGACTGAGGGATACACATAAGCCAGCCAATACAAGCCATACTAAAGCGTCAATAAAGTTCATTCATTCACTTGCAATGTTTGTTGGTGCCATCCACATTGCTCCATTAGATATGGAGAACAGCTCACCTTCCAACCGCTCAAGTTTAGTGTCACAACATGAGTGACTTGAATCTCATGTCCGCATCATTTACTGTTACATGTACTACGTTAAATTGCCCCTCCGCGGTACATGCCTCACTTGCATTAGAAGTGAAAGAGATCCCGATTCTCGCGATAGCGATCCGTCTAAAGCTCAATCCTCCAAAGCCAAGAGGCCGCAGTCCGACACTCTGACGCGAACACAAGGAACGAAACTCGATAACAACCACAATGACGACGACCAGACGTGCGGTTTTTCCCTGCTACAAATTTACCTGGAGGTGTTGAAAACCGGTCATTTGATAAAGATGGCGTCAGGGGCGATTGCGAAAGCGAGGATGCTATTCCGAGCTTGCAGGTGGTAACAGTGGGTATCTCCTATGAACGTATGCGTGGTCATAGACCCAATAGGAAGGACATGCTGGCACACAATGAGTCAGGTCTTGAATGACTTGAAATGCTTAAGGGACAACGAGACTCAACATGTTTGAAATACAACTAGGATAACGTTGCGTGCAATATTTGACTTCAAGTATAACATGTCTGACCGAATCCCTTGAAACATTGGCTATGATCTTATTCAAGTCTGTGTATATTGTTAGCTCGTTGTCATGTAGGCATTATTTGAAACGGCAGATCCAAAAGGCCTCCGTTTTGGGTTCAAACAAACTGCCACTGAGGTTTTGCTGTATACTGAATAAGAAGAAAATCGTTCGTGGCTGCAACGAGGGTTACAGGTGCGCCTCCTAAGTATTTGAGTTTGATCCCGTTGCTGTATACTATATGGTAGTGTTTCTTACACGTTTGCCAATTATGAAGGTCCTGTCTTGTCAAATGTATTGTACAGTAAACGGACAAACTTGGCAATCCATTGCGATATTTCGGTTAATTCTACTCTTAGCATACACCTAATCCGATCGATCAATCTTAGCATATTATATCAGCAAAATCTTACTCGGCTTAACCTCGGCTTAATACTACTCAGTCTTATACTACCCTAACTATTAGTCACTTTATACGAAGCTACCCTTTATAGTATCCCGTAGCTACCTCCTACCGGATAATTGAGGTTTTAAAGGCGCCCGATTTTAGGACCCTCCGAAGGCTAGATAGAATATATACTTCTCGAGTCCTCGTTAGCTAATTAATACTTTATACATATACGTATCCTAGACGTCACGATCTCTAAGCCTCCGACCGCGCGCTTCCCATGATCGGCAATCTTATCTGGTTTCCTGCAGTGGATCAACGCCACTTTGCATCATCTTAAATCAACATCGAATGTTGAAGAGGTAGCATCCACGTGATGTAGATATTTATGCGAGCAAATAATAATCTACTTGTCACGATAATTCCCAGCTCTTCAAGCTGAGCAACAGTCGACACGACACATTTGCTTGCCGGTTGTTAAGTGTGTGCCCGCAGAGGCACGTGAACATTACAGCTGTCTCGCTTGATATGATGGCAAAGGCGCCGCGCATCGAGTGACCAGTCAGCGGCAACGAGTCGCAAAATCATATAACATCGCTTCTTGCAAGACCATGTGCACGCTATAATCGTGTGCTGAGCTAGTACACTTCATCGACCTCGCCTCTGCCCTCGCCTACTGCTAGACGCCGGCGTAATGCGCTTCTTAACACGCGACGAGAATAATAAGCTTGTCCTTCAAGTAGATCAAGAAGATTTACATACACTCTTGATACCTTTGTATCATCGATGGACCGGTGTTCTCTAGCCGGCTGAGGACATGACAGCTATATGATGCGCCTGCTGAAGCGCTCGCCGAACGGCGACATCAAGTTGATCTCGGTCAAGAATGACGACGACCGTCCTCCATACGCCACCCTATCGCACACCTGGACCAACAGCCAGGAGGTCACGTATAATGAGCTGGTGGCCGGCGCGGGGAAGGACAAAACTGGCTACGCCAAGATCCGCTTCTGTATGGACAGAGACGCGCAGGATGGCATAGAGTACTGCTGGGTGGACACGTGCTGCATCGACAGGTCTATTCAGCAAGAGCTCCAAACGGCGATTAACTCGATGTTTCGGTGGTACCAAGCAGCAAAGAAGTGCTACGCATATTTGTTGGATGCGCAGGTGCCGAAGGAGGTCAGCGATGCTCAGGCATTCCCGATATCGTGGATGGAATCTTTTCGGCGAAGTAGATGGTTTACGCATGGATGGACGCTGCAGGAGCTACTTGCACTGGCCAGTGTTGAGTTCTTCTCCGAGGAGGGCAAACTGCTGGGCACAAGAATATCGCTAGAGCAAGACTTCCAAAAGATCACCAAGCTCCCGGTTGAAGTACTTCGCGGAAAACGGCTGTCTGATTTTGACTCCGACGAGCAAATAGGCTGGACGGCTAACCGCACGACGTCGTTAAGGGAGGATAAAATATACTGCCTCCTGGGGATCTGCGGGGTATTTCTGCCGCTTATCTATGGGGAGGGAGAAGTATACGCGGAAACACGCCTGCGAGAGGAGATACAGAGACGAAAGGAGGGATGGGGCATGGAAAGACTGCGAGACCGAGCAGGTGTGTTGACTGGAACAGTTGTGGGAGGAATACACAGTTGACCATGCAGTCTCGTCGCCGTTGCCCTTCGCACGGAACGAAATCTTTACTGGGCGAGAAGACGAGCTTCAGTCTCTTAAGCAATTCCTCCTCCCCCCTTATACGCATCAACGGATGACAATCTATGGTCTCGGTGGCTGCGGCAAATCAGCGCTTGCCATTGAGTTCGCCTATCGCGCGCTGGCGCAACAAGCGGGGCGTCTAGTGTTTTGGGTGCCAGCGATCAGCCGAGAAAGCTTCGAGCTTGCCTATCGAGACATCGGGATCAGCCTTCGTCTACCAGGGATTACCGACGATAATGCAGATATTAAGGAGCTAGTTAAGGATGCATTGGGAAATAGCCGACGAGCATGGTTTATGATTGTCGACAATGCTGATGACCCTGAAGCCCTTATGAATAGGGTTGGTGGAGACCCTGGGACGGCTCGACTGGTCGATTGGCTTCCTAAAAGTGACGGAGGCAAGATCGTCTTCACTACACGGAGTAGAAAGGCTGCCAGAGACTTGACACAAAGCAACGCGCTGGAGCTGCGTGATATGGGTAAAATTGAAGCTAGGCAACTGCTCCGACAGCGTATAGCAAAGCAGGCGTTGCTGAGTGATACAAAGGCTGTCGGGGAGCTACTCGAGCTACTTGCATACCTGCCACTTGCTATTATACAAGCGGCGGCATTCATCGACAGCAACGATATAGCGGTCAACGCGTGCAGGAACTTCAGGCTATGAGGGCTGGAACTGCGTCTACTGGGTTCAAGAGGCCCTTAGCTACGCTGCGCACGACGGCAAAGCATTAGGCACCTGTCAAACCGACTGGACGCATGTAAGGGACACTGTGATGTGTTGCGGAACACCGCTTCGACGGGCAAGTACAATTTGATTCGAACAAGGTAGCAACGTGGGACGCATTGGAGGGGAAGGAAGTCTCAGCTTAAGTAATACTCTTGGCTGCCTGTCCTATGTCAATTGAGATTCGGGATAGCCATTGATTGTGCGACGACAAACTACCCAACATGACTTCCAGTGCACCTAGACTGGGCTTGCAGTACTCTGTCTTCAAGATTCCTCTGTTCCTATCATCACTCTTTCATCTTTGCCGCCTGTCGCACTGTATGTGTGTGTATGTGTGTGTGTATAGCGCCATCCTACGAGCATAATTCCCAACCGATCTCATAGCATTCCTGAATGCTGCGGGCCTTTGATATGACTCATCTTGAAACTAGCCATGGCAATCTGACAAAGAATTTGGCGCTGTCGTGTAGAGCAAAAGTCAGTTAGGGCTTTGCCTTTTTCGCAGGGTTTTCAACATGAACTGAAGTAGGCGCTGTAGACTCTTGCGGATTCAAGCTTCTTGACTGGCTATCCGAAACTTCTGCATCTCCTAACAAGCTGTGAGCATCAAGCTGCTGCGACAGTCCAGAACGATTTGGATGTCGCAGTTCAGCTCCCGTGTTGAGTCCGAGTTTAAGCGGTTGCACTTTTCCGAGGTTCAGATCAAGGGGAAGCTCGTCGATGATGGCTTTAATATTATCGAGGAGAGTAAGACCGTACTCATAGACTCCAATTGTTTATCGGCGAGGTTTCCATCTTTCCAAGCCTCGGAGAGGGGTTACATCGAATGAATAGATAGTCAGGGGATGGACAGAGTAAAAGTCTCCGTCAATGACCGGGCCCCAACCAGTAAGTCTTATAATCCGATGATCGTGTCCCACCGTAAAAACTATAGGTTTATTATGAAGCTGGTTTTCCTTGCCAGAAAGTCGATAGATCGAGAGAATGCCATTTATGCATACACCCATGGTGTGCCCATTTTGGCGATCTGCAATGACAAGTCCCGATGTGCCGCATTTCACCTCAGCGGCAAAAAAGGGGAAGTACATGTAGTACGTTGCCGTATAATCTGATTGAAATGTTGGGTCGTCTCGGATCAAGGGCTGAAGTTTCTTGATGCGAGCTTCTGTAAGACCAGATCTTCCGAAGCCAACTGCGTAGTCGGGTTGCGGCCGTGGATCGACGAGAGGATAACAGCAGTCCCAAGCTTCGTTCACGCTTTCAACAAACACTCGAAAGCGATCCTCACCCCTCTTCGCCAATGTTTGTACCGATGGAACATAGAGCCGACCAACATCTTGAATCACCCGTGACTCATTCCTCTCTTGCAAATCTTCGATCGTTTCGCGATAGCTGTCGTCGCTAAGAAGAGTGTCTTCTGGAATGCTGCACTTCGTCTTGAGAAAGCTTTGACAAAGATCTCGCTGTCATCAGAGACAGGAAGCTCCGATTCCAGAAGCACACCCGCTATCTTGAGAAGCATTTGATAGCCTTTTTGAGCATAAATAGCCGACTTTCCATCTCTTGACTTTTGATCGCTGGGTACTACAGATGTTGTACTACTAGAAGAATCAGACCGTTTTCGCCGAAGAGAGGCAGAAGATTTCTTCTCCGCAAGCCGATGCCGAGGTGTCATGTCTGCCGGAAAGGAGTCGGGCAGCTTCCCTACCCACTCGCTGATGTATGGGTTGTTTGCTACGGCAAAGTCTAAAACAGGGGTTGAGATCCGACGTCGTTTAGATTTCTGGTGTCTGAACCGAGGTTGCTCTTCTTCTTCTTCTTCTTCTTCTTCTAAGAGCGACTTGCTATTGGCTAGAAACATGATAGTCGACTGTATCAAGCGGCTTTGAGGATTTGGACTGAAAGGAAAGTGTTGCCGGAACCAAAGTTTGAAAACTAAGCCACTGAATCCGGAAGGGCCCGAAAACGGGACCAGTCAGTGGCACCCCGTTGAGCTCTCTGGGACTAGTTTCAGGCCCTCATCATGCTACTCAGGAAGAAAATCAGGCACAATCAGATTGGCTCAGGCTGTAATCAGGCAAGCTCGCGCGGAATCAAGTCGGCTCATGACACGCTCAGTTCTGCTCAGCCACAGCTCAAGTTGCTTACTCATAGCTCACGTTACACCCTTGCGTAACTCACATCTCAGAACAGAAATGGACCTTGTGTGGGAGTAGATTTCACTCTATTATCTACCGCGATATATGCCGACGTATACTGTCATCTTAGTTCCACTCTAAAAAGAATAGCGTATAGAATATAGTATCACTTGATAACCACCATGCCCACTGTATAAAGCCCGTGGCACACTTATTATTTACTAGCATAATCTATGGAAATACTATTTGATCCAAATTCATCAATCATTGCCAAGAAAAACTGAATCATTGCAACGGAGCCCATTCGAACTCAACCCAAACACTAAACCACGATTCTGAGTCGACCAAAAATAAATGGGTTCGCCACTAATCTCAAATTCTCTTGTTGTTTGGTGTAGTGACCGTTCTAGACACGAGCGTGACCAACAGGCTGCTGGGCAAGGCCTTCATCAATATCCCGTGAGCGTAACCTACATCCCGTACATCCGCGATCAGTCTGCTTGTTTCTATTTCATCTTACGCAATCAAATTAAACCGGAATCAGAGTCTTAAAAGGCGTGGCTCTCTGGTTACACTACCACGCCATAATGCACAAGCGACGAACGAAAGTTTGGCGAGAACATTTGCGCAAGAACATCAGCGGCAAGCTGCGAAATGAAGGCCAGAAAAAGGCTGCCGAAGCCAATGCCAAAGAGGAGCAGGTGCGATTGCAGGCATAAGTTCTCGACGCTCAGACGCAGTTGGCCAACTTGCGCAAGGCCAAACCACAGGCCCAATTGTCGCGTGGTTCGATGTATTAATTTACACTTGCGGGACTTGAGACTATCATTGCCTCCTTACAAATTGACGATCCCATCGTCGTTGGCATCAAAAGGATTGCTGCCAAGGGATCTTCAGAAGAACTGTCCGTACCCGCAACGATGTTGACCATCGGAGTTGCCCCATGCTCGTGTTGCCACAATTTTGGCACCGGACTGTCTTTGATCAAGTCTGCCGAGTGCTTAGGTGAGACTCCCAGAGAGAAGTTTCCCGACTACATTGTCTCATCTTCGTTGCTTGATAGCATGCCTGTGCGTAGCGTTTGCGGGGCCGTTGTAGCCTCAGACACTCGGTTTGTGATCATGTGAAACTACCTCAGAACCGTGTCTCGCCATGGGACCACGCTGCTCTTGGTCAAGTATAATGGTATCTTGTCAGTTTATAACTTCCAGGATCCCTGCTACCAAACCCGGGGGGTTCTGCTTGAATGAAGGCGGTATCACATCGCAAACCACATTACTTCTGGAACGACCTAGATCATGACTCATCTAGTTCTCTTGCGTTGTTGCTAAGATAGTCTCAAGACTGGGTATCAGAAGGGAAGACGCCACCCTAGTTTTCTATTACAGTGCATCAGCTTGCTTCGCAGCCTCCTCTGCTTTACATCTATCTTTCTGTGCTTGCGCAGCGCGTAGTCGCGCCATGGTTGAAGAAAAGTCGCCTTTGACGCGTGGGGCGCTAGTGGTAGATTTTGGCGCTGAGAACGAGAATGACTTGGTATCCTTCTTTTCGTCAGCTTGTGTTCCTGCCTGTGGGGGTTGGTTGGGGTCTGTTGTGACTAGCGGAGGTGTTGCCAGCGGCACAGCCAGAGTGCCACCGCCGGCCCTGCGCGCCTCCTTTGCCGCCTTCTTCGCCGCTTTCCGTTCTTGCAACTCTCTAAGCCGCCGTTCGATTTCGGCTTCTCTTGACTCATCCGTTTCTCCACCGGCTGGTGGTTCTGCTTGCGCGGCTTGCGGCGCTACAGCGGGGGCTTTCGGTCGTTCCCTCGCTTCGTCTGCCTTCCGCATCCTCTCCTCCGCCTCTCGAAGGAGTTTTTCGCGCTCCAATACCCTGCGGCGTCCGCTCTCAGCCAAGCGCCTCCTCTCCTCCTCGCTCATGCCGTTATTCTCATTCCGAGCCTTCTTGACACTTGCACCTCGTTCCCTGGCCTCTAAATCTTCCACCATAGCCCTCTTCTTCGCGTCCATTTCTCGCCGCGCCTGCTCGCGCTGCAGGGCAGCACTGCGCGCGGTATCGTACGCCTCTCGAGCGGTGGCATCGAGCAAGGTGTCCCTGGCGCGCTCGAGAAACTGCCATTTATCGGCGTCAAAGACTTTGACCTTGTCAGGATGGTACTTGAGTGAGCTTTTTCGGTAGCCTCGTTGTACTTGTTTCGGATCGTTCGCCGTGAGGGCGTCGATCCCTAGAAGCTCGTACAGATCCTCATTTTTGCTGGCGCATTCGCGAGCGAACTGGAGCAGCTCCGACTTGTCCATATTGGGTGCTGGTGAGGGGCGAGGGAAAGATTCGACGTCGGCAAAAGAAACACTACAAGTACAAGTTCTAGATTGGGGGCGCGACGGCCTTATTTGAGGTTGGTCGTAGGCAGTTCTTGACAAAAGATAGTGAGAATCGGAGATGTCGCGGTCGAAGATTCTGAGTTGCAGCTTGTCGCAGCTGCAAGCTATGGCGCACCCATGAGGCGCAGGTGGGGCTGCCCCAAGCTATTTAATTTAGTGAACAGCACCTGCCTCACCTTCAGTTAAATTCCCTATTGTTGACACTCGATCATGAAACTTACTGGATCACGAGAGGCCCAGACGACTGTGAGTATGCCATATTCAAACTTCATTACAACCTGGTTCAACATGTTTCAAGTCTCTCCCTTTATACACATTCTAACCGGAGTTTTGTCAACCTAAAGTTGAGATAACCAAAATCATATTATGCGTGCTGCCTCATTCTTATTGCTATCTATCCATCATCATACCTACAATGAAAACCCCCTCCCCCACCCCGACTGTCCTGCCTTCGTAAAGCAACCACGCATGCGGTTTCCAGTCTTCCTTTAACACGTGCTCAAGAGAACTTGAAGTGGGGAAGAGCTTCTACAGCTTGTGCTGATAATCGCACTGAATCAATCATATCACCCTAAAGAAACAAAGTGGCTTGCTCTAGCCCCGGTACACTCAGCGTTTGGAGATATTCACCCTAAATCCGGAAATGCCGAGCTATAAGTTTTCGGCTTTAATTGGATACTAAAGACCGGAGAAGGTAACCCAGGATTAGGCAAGTACGTTGTTGATTCAGTACGGATCGTGGATACACGAGGACAATGCCAGTATCTGGGTCTTTACCTCTCGGAACTTGTGACTTCCAATAGCCACCCCCCTTCGTCGACTTGAAGGTTACAAAGCCGCCGTGAATGCCATAATATTGGTTCTGCAAGTGGTCCGCGGCATACTTGGGTGTATGTACCAGCTTCTTGATTTCGAAGTTTTGATGTGGCAGGAAAATGCAAATTGCTACTCTCGATCCATGAGAACACGTCATTGTCCACTCGTTTGCCAATGTGTGATGACCTCAGCAGTCTCGGAGTGAATATTCATCAGTTCGTACTTTAGAACCGCGTTGAAGCCAAACTTTCCACTGCCTAACATGCATCGAGATACTATCGGGACCGAAGTAAAGTGCACATCTATTTGTCTCGCTATAGTACCTTTTACTAAGTATATATGTAGCCCTTGAACATTGGATCTGATATGAATCATCGTCTTACAGGACCCGACAAACTTATAGACATAACGAACCTGATTACGCTTGGGGCCTCTTGGCGCTCTCTAATACGCACCGGTTCTTGTATCGTAGGGTTGAGGCATGCGTGGCATGATCTGAACCGAGCTCGAGGCAGGACTTGGTAGCTCTATCAGTTCTCAGCAGTGTCATCAACACTTCTCAGTTCGAGTCTGAGCCAAAGGAACATGTGGTGACATATCAGTTGACAATACATTCCATTGTTGATAGAAAAGGGCGCCATAGTATAATCCGATCCCTCCTTTCCCATTGAACCCCACAGCTTCGAGCAGTTGTTCCAAAGCACCTTCTCTAGGTAGCCAGGAGTCACTCCATCGGCCTATCCGGCGGATGAAGTCATATCCAAGCTTTTAGAAAAGGCACACATTGCTAGTGCAGGTTCACCAATAGGAGCCCACCCGTTGGTTGGTCCATGTTTGGCGTTTCTATGGGAAATTTTGCCTTCATAACCACCACACCGTTCCACTCGTCCAAGGTATGAGATTTGGAAAAGTATTTTACGCCCATCCATCTGGCCTTACCGGAGAATGTGATGAGCCGCTGCGTCTCACGTCAGCTGTCCTCGCATCACCGCTCATCTCATCCCTCGCTTCCACATCTTCACTCATACCCTTTCAGCGCCGCAACCACAATGTCAGCCTGTTTCAAAATGGAGGGTGTGAATCATGCAGCCCTCGTCCACGTGGCGTAGAAAACCCTGATGCTCACCCCCTCCCCCCCTTTCGAGAAGCTTTCTAGCGCGAAATGGAATGAATAGGGGCGAAGGGAGTAGGGAGCGAGGGGGGTTGCCGTGGTACGCATCCCTTGCCTCCATCCACGTTCGTGCTTACCAAAGAGCATGTGCTAACTGATGTGTAAGGTGTGCCTACATATCGATCGGAATCATCCCTTACCTGGTTCGTTTTCACCCTATCCAGGAACTATTCCACGTGGCACATCCGAATATGCAGGGCAACGACGCAGGGCCCTTCGCCGCCGTCATCTCTGATCACGTCCCTAGGCCTATTGCTTGGACTTGAACCATTGCCGATAGCACGGTTCAGTTTCAATGACAATAAAGTTCGCTGAGTTGTATTGAAAGCCTGTGTTGTAATACAGATTCTAGGCAATCTAATGCAAGCGCCTCGTACATAGTTCATCATCTCTGGCCATGAGCCCCGACAATTTCCCGCCCACATTTCATTTTGTCGCCGTGTTTCCCAGATCCCTATGGTTTGCAGACTTTGGCTTTGAATCCGAGTTGGGATCTTCACATTCGCTGATGCATCCTTCAAACGGCCCCGCCTCTTTTTTGCCCACCCCCACCGAAGCAAGCCGGCCAAGATTCAGCCCGGCGAGATCCCATCACCCAGTTTCGCGTAACCTCCATATAGGAGCTTGAAACGAAGCAGCAGTTTATCCAAAGGCGAGCTACTCAGCAGCATACAAACTACAGTTTTGTCTTGCCATCTGCACCTGTTTGAGGCATGTGTAAACCACCGGACTCAAGCCTTTGCGTCGTTCCATCCCCAAACCTGGGAGAGGTACTTCTCCATATTGACGCGCTTGGTTTTCATCTCCAGCATCCAAGGATGGTCGAGCATTCGCCATGGGCTAGCCCGCCGGTTTGGTTCTTTTTCGAGACTGTAAATTTATTGTTAGCCCAATGATGTTACTTCCAACGGGGAGAACAGATACTCCAACTTACCAGCACTCGATGAAATATTTAAAGCTGTCGCTCCAGAATATGTTTGCGTCAGGCTCATCCTTGAGCTTGGGTATTGGCTGGCGGACGATATACGTGAGCAAGTCGATCAGGCCGGCCTTGGGTTGCATTTCGGTGCCATCGGCTGGGAAGGGAAAACGGTGTTGTGCAACTTCGAGCAAAGTGACTCCCGTAGACCAAACATCCGACGTGATGGTGTAGCTCTGGCCAGTAATGCGCTCAGGTGCCATGTAATAACTCGTGCCGATGAACGTGTTTGCCTCGCCCTTAGTTCCGAAGTCTCCCGACACTCCAAAATCACACAGCTTGACGTCGCCGTTGCGACACAGCAAGATATTGCTAGGCTTGATGTCGCGATGGATGATCTTCTTGCCGTGGAGATAGGTAAGACCGCCAAGCACACCCTCTGCGATCTTGCCCAGCACCTTCTCGCCCGTCCGGCCACCGAGTCGCTTGACTTCCTTGTATATGCTGTCGAGCGAGCCACCTTCGCAGAATTCCATGGCAATGGAAATGGTAGCCGTAGCCGAGTCGACGAACGCGCCGTAATAACGACAAATGTGGTCCGAGGCGCACTCCTTGTTGAAGTTGATCTCTCGGACGATTTGCTTCTTGACATCTGGATCCGGATTTGTCGTGATGATCTGGAGTATGTCAATACGGGCATACGAAGGGGCTCCAAAGCGAGAGTGATACGTACCTTGAGAGCAAACACAGTCTTTCCTCCCGTCAGCTTGCACCTGGTAACAGCGCCGCCTGCTCCCTCTCCAAGACCACCAAGCTCAACGATTCTCTTCTCTATACTGGCGATACGCCATCCTTCGTCGTCGAGATCGTCCACATCGGCAGTCCTTGCCTTCTCGAGGGCGAGCTTGTCGAAACTGCTCTCAAGACCTTGCATGCTGCTGTCGCGTTCCATGCCGACACCCCCCTCACTCCTTTCCGAGTAGATGGAGCCCACTGCGGATATGGGATCGGGCGTGCCTTGTGGCCTTGAGCCAATGCCATATTGTGATGCGAAGGAGAGAGCCGAGAACTGGGAACCTGCAGATGTCGGATTGCTAGCTCGGCCGTCGAGGGGGCCAAAGCTGCCCGACCTTGAATGCGCTGCGCTGCTTTCACTGCCTCCGCTCGCCGATTGGCCTGGCTGGGCACCCACTTGCCTGGGAGGTTGCTCGTAGGGTGTCACGGTGCTGCCCATAGGTGTAGCGAGGTGAAGCGTCGGCAGCTGCGGCCGCGTCGAAAGGCCTCCGGCGGGCCCACCTACTGCTTTGGCATTAGGTGACGGAGGAATGGCCAACCCCAGTCTCGGTGTTCGTGCGCCGCCCGGTCTCGAGCCGCCGAGAGCAGGTCTGAGTAGGGGTGCGGGAGAAGACATCATGGGAACTGGGCTCGACATTGGCGCCGAAGGTGGTGCGGGAAGATCTAGCGAGAGGGTTGGGGTCTTCATCGGGGATAGACATTAGCATCATGAAGCGAGGAAACGTTGCTATCGCGCAGACTCTCAGTCTCGAGGGAAATGGCGACAAAGAATACACGAATCGAGCAGGAAACAACGGAAGGGTTCATTTACATTCTGCGCCACTGACCCAGAGCTCTGGTTGTCCTGTCCAGACATGATGGGCAGGAATGGCTTGTATTGTGCAGGAACTAGAGTAGTTACAGCTCCTCGAGACTGCGCGGCTATGGCTCAGCACTGCTGGCGTGTGCAGTTGAGCCTGGCCGACGAGATAGGCGGGAGGGAGTAAGGCGATACGGTAACAGTGGGAGTCGGGGGCGTCGTACGTATATCAATGCTCAATGCAGTGGGGAACGACGGTCGTCGTGTCGTCCTGGGCAGGCCAAAGGTGATGGTACGAACAAGACAGCAGCGAGAGAATGCCGCGGATATCCAAAATGTGTCGAATGCTATCTACAGAAACAGTAGCACGCAAATTGAGGGTTGTCGAGCAGAAGTAGAAAGCATGGACGGCTTGTTGCAAGCGCATGGCTCGTCGAGTCGTCGCGGCCCAAGTGGGTGCAGCCGGGATTTTGTCCGTTGCCTACTTCTGCGAAGCGGAGAAGGCCCTGCTGCTTATGCTGGTTTGCAGGGATATCGGCTAGAGCGCCAGACGGTCTAGCGCCAACCCGGTGGGCAAATGCAGGTGGTAAGGACTGAGTTTCCGCCGACGGACCGACGAATGGACAGCTTCTTAGCGGGGTTGACTGCCGGGTAGCTAGAGATGAGCTTGACGACCAACTCGAGACAGCTGTTCCCAGTGGCACCGAGCTGTTTCGGAACTTGAGACGAGACAACGCCTGGCGGTTAGTGATACTTCGATTGACGATGGAAAGGAAAGTCGAGTGGACATCTGGAGATGCTGGAGATGAGGGGACTACATAAATGTCGAGGCGCTCAAAATGTGATACTCCCAGGAGCAACAGATCCAGAGAGCCGAGCTGGTCAGACAGGCTGGTTTGGCTGGGGCAATTGAATGCCAGGATCAATCATCCGTGCTCATTGGGGTGGCCAGCAAAGCATTGAAGTGCGCAAGGGGTCATCATCACCCAGGGATCAGTAGAGAGCCATCCAGTGAATTTGAAAATCACGTTGCGCCCAAAATGTGCATTCGGGAGCCACTAGAACCTGTCAAGCCTGTTGGACCCACCATGGCCACACCCTCATCTCATTTCCACCTACTGGCCCAGGTCCACTGGCGGGCAATACTGCACTCGCCCTGATTATGATCGTTGACATCAAACGCCCGGTACGTAATCATGAAGTCGTACTGGTTTTTCAAGTCGTCAGAAATTGCCAAATTCCTGCATACTGCAGATGCCCGGTCAGTGGTTATTGTTTCTGACAGCATCATGTGTCAAGCGCTCCTTTCGTTGCAGCTACTGTCTCGTGCCCGGTGAGGAAACTGGAGAACTTGCTCAGCGTGAGATGCAGCGTCTTGTGTTACCCCAATTCGCATATGGGGGACCCTGTAATGTGTGCGAATTGCATAGTCAAGCATCCTAGTGCAACCACCCATTCGCAAATCCTGCAGAAAGGCCTCAGGCTTGCAATTCGTGGGCTGGCTGGCATATGTCATTTTGAGGTTCAAAGGATGTTCAAAGAATGGCACGACATGGGCTGCGGCATACGGGATTGAGTGCTCGCGAATGCTGCCGCCCTTTTCTTCTCGGGGGACATCGTTCAACGTGGTCAAAACGCGGCCAGTTGAGATGACTCGTCCCCAAAAATCTGGAGCGCGTCGATTTACCCTCTTGGGCCGTTGGAGCTTGCTTCATAGTTCCGGATGACGCGGCACTAGAGGGGCATCAAGTCGGCAGATACTCTGGCGGGAGCAAACATCGCCGAATGCTCCAAAGGTCCGATTCTGCAATCAACTCGGAGTCTGGAGCGGTCGAGCAATCTGATGACGGCTGATATCGCTTATGTCGGCAGGGAATATTTGACGTGCTCAGATTCACAGCCTCGCCAGGGTGTCTTGGACTGGGGGCGTAAGATTCGGTTGCCAAGCATCCCCATGGTCAACCCCCGTTGCATTACATCGACCAGATTCGGATGATCGTCAGCCTCCCTGACTGGCGCGTTAAGGCCTGTATAACAGAATGCTCAGTTGACTCGAACATTTGGAATCCCGCTTCTTACCGCTGCTGAGATAAGATGTAGGTCGTCTGAGAAGGCATCGATTTATTTCGTAGTGCAGTAGTAGATCTGCGAGGTGTTCCTAATCGGATGAGCGACGAAAATACGACTGCAATGATTGAATACGTGTTGGCTTAGAAGTCAACCAACGAGCGAATCGAAGGACACGTTCAATCTTATGTTAGGCGCGCGTTTACTTAGCGTAACGTCTCATTGGGCCGGCCTGTCGCCTACCCCACACCAACCATGTCACTGATCCCTGTCTCGATTTTTTCAACAGTCGTTGGAAGATTTTCGCTTCGCCATGAGGTCAGCAAGCGCAACACAGCGAAACAGAAGGCTTGTAACAAGACGGCGCGCAACTCATTTTTCGGAACTGTTTTCCACTTTTGCCGTCCAAGGAACGTTTGCAGGACCGCAGTTGCATTGACACCGTCATCGATCAGCTCACCCTTGCTTGTGGTGCATACACGGCGGGCTCACTCTTGGCTACCCAGTAAACTCGCCATGCCGTCCTCCAAGAGCGCGGCTACAAGACCTCGTGCCGCTAAAATGGAAAAGATCGATATTGTCTCCTTGTCCTCGGCGTCAGATTCCGGCAGTAGTGGGCCAGAAAGCGGGAGCGAGAATGGGCAAGAATCTGACTCCCTCGACAGTGATGCGCCACGGAAAAGGCGCAAGGCTATTCTGGATGTCGAAGTAGACCCCGTGGACGATGAGCCCTACCAGGCGCCCATTGTATCTTCCATAACTGGGGCAACTTCCAGGATAAAAAAGAAGGTAGCAAACACCAATCCTCCAAAGGCCGAGCCAGATGTTGTTTTTCACCCCACAACGACAGCAGTCCCGGTTGACCCAAACACTACGTTCGAGTCACTCCACTTACGGCCATGGCTAGTGAATTCATTGGCCAACATGGCTATCAAGCGACCGACCGGCATTCAGAAACACTGTATACCAGAGATCCTCAAAGGACGTGATTGCATTGGAGGCAGTCGAACTGGTTCCGGAAAGACGGTGGCTTTTGCAGCTCCGATATTGCAGAAACTCGCTGAAGACCCCAGCAGCATATTTGCCGTGGTTCTGACTGCCACAAGGTGAGCCGAAATTGCCATTGACCTGAAAGATGCCAACGCTGATACGATGCAGGGAGCTTGCGTTGCAAATATTTGAGCAGTTTAAGGCCATATCTGCAGCCCAAACGCTCCGGGCCGTCCTGATCACGGGCGGATCTGACATGCGGCCCCAAGCAATCGCTCTTGCGGAAAGGCCGCATTTGATCATTGCTACTCCTGGACGATTGGCAGATCACATACGGAACTCAGGGGAAGACACCATTTGTGGGCTGCGAAGAGTCAAATTCTTGGTACTTGATGAAGCCGATCGACTTCTGGCCTCAGGAGGCCCAGGGAGTATGTTGCCGGACATAGCAGAATGCCTTTCAGTCCTCCCAAAGGACAGGCAAACATTACTGTTCACTGCCACAATGACACCCGAAGTACGGCAACTGCAGGATCGGCCCCGGGAGTCGGGCAAACCACCGGTGTTCGTCTGCGAGGTCGACACACGCGTACTCGCAATCCCCAACACGCTAAACCAATGTTATGTACAGGTGCCTGTAACGCACCGTGAGCACTATCTACATACCTTCCTGCTCACAGAGGCGAACATCGAGAAGTCGGTTATCATATTCTGCAACCGCACCTCAACTGCCGATTTCCTGCACCATCTTCTACGACTGCTAGACCATCGCGTCACCTCGCTGCACTCGAAACTCTCACAAAAAAATCGCATCGACAACCTGGGTCGGTTCCGGGCTGCGGCAGCTAGGATACTAGTGGCGACCGACGTGGCCGCTCGTGGGCTCGATATCCCCGAGGTCAGTCTAGTCATCAACTACGATGTCCCGAGGAATCCGGATGACTATATTCATCGAGTTGGTCGAACGGCCCGAGCTGGCCGCAAGGGCGACGCTGTTACGTTTGTGGGCCAGCGTGATGTCGAGCTTGTGCATGCTATTGAGAAGAGAGTCGGAAGAGAAATGATAGCTTGGGGGGAAGAGGGTGTGAATTTGGAGACTAGGGTCATTCGGGATGCCCTGAAGCTGGTAGGAGAGATGAAGAGAGAGGCCTTGCTGGAGATTGAGGAGCATAGGGAAGTTGGTGGCAAGCGAAAGAGGGGAATGCAGAAGTTGCGTGTACAGTAATGACAGTCGATCCCATTCGTTGGACCAAATGAAACTACCATCGAGTCCCTCCTTGGTCCCTAGTTATTTTATGAAAGTTCCATACTTGTGTGATCTAGCGACCTCACCACTTTTCGTGGTAACTATCCGTGGTAAACCCACCCTCGAGTCCATCCAGGGCTCGCGCCGTAGCATGTCCCGCAGAAAATACGAAACAAGTTTGGGCAAAAGATTTAAATACCCTGCACAACCCCTGTAAAGATCTATTTACCCTGCAATTTTTCTGCCGCTTTTCTCTCCACATTTCCGCCATGCTTTCTGACTTCATGCCTCTGGAATTAGCATACGACTACTATTCCTCAGCTCAACATGACGTCGCTACCCCTATTATCTATTTCTATTGATGGAAAAGAGTTCCTTGACCTTGATACTCTATCACTTGCCCTCGACAACTGGGCTGTAAAGGAGAAATTCTCTTATCGGGTTGAGCGGCGAGATAAGACCCGTGGCTCCTGGGTGTGTGCCTCTGCGTTAAGCAGCTGTTTATGGCGCTGCCGAGCAACCTATTCCCCTAGTGAGGATATCTGGCAGATTCATATTCTAGCTACAGGGGCGTGGTGCTGTCATCATAGGAGAATTTCACGGGAAAGTTCGGGAGAGGGCTTGCCACTTTATTTTGGACTATCGCCCGAGCACCAACTATAGCCCAATACGAGGCAGCTTTAGAGAAGCTTCGACAACAAAAGCCCGAAGCTGCGGCATATCTAGAGGCGGCAAACCCTTCGCTTTGGGCCGAGGCGCTATTCTCTGGGCGTCGATATGGCCACGATACAAGTAATATTGTCGAGTCGCAAAACGGAGTATTAAAGCTTGATCGGGAACTTCCAATTATTGCTCTCCTCGACTCAATATGGCACCGGGTTATGGAGAAGAGAGCAGCTCGGCTTCAATCTGCTTTACGGTTGATAGAGGCAGGGAAGACAGCTACCCCATTCGTTGAAGGGAAATTACGAGAAGGGAGGCAATGGGCGTCTAGTAATCGTGCTCAATTTTCGTCACCAACGGAAGCAAGAGTAGTACAGCCTGACGGCCTTATTTGCATTGTAAATTTGACAGCAGGGACATGTTCATGCCGTCGGTATCAAAGGAATGGAATCCCTTGCGGGCATGCCATTACCGTAATACTAGCAGGAGGGGACGGTATAACCCCTTATCTACCAGAATCTCTCTCTCCGACCGTTTGGGCTGCCACGTATAGTAGCCCGATGCCAGCTATCAACGTCTCTGAGCTCAAGCTCAAGCCAGAGGACCCTTGTAACCCTCCAATTACCAGAGTACCTCGAGGATGCCCTGTTAAAGAGAGGATTCGAAAGGGGGATTCTCGCCGCCCTCCACAGAGCTCACAATCGCGATGCTCTAGTTGTGGTGAGACTGGACATAATATGAGAAGGTGCCGACGCCCCCATGGATAGCTTGATAGGCCCGATCCGTGGGTCTGATGGATTGGGAAGGCGGTGGGAGGTCTGGGAAATTGCAGGGTAAATAGATCTTTACTGGGGTTGTGCAGGGTATTTAAATCTTTTGTCAAAAAAAATGTCGCCAGTGTACCGACTGCAAACTTTCCAGCGTCGTACGCACTTGACATCACGGCGAACCTGAACTTTAGTATCCGGTATTGCACAGCCCAGAGCCACCAACGATACGCTGTCCAAACTCTGGACCACCCTCCAACCTCGCCGCATTGAGAGGGGGCGAACTAAGACGAGCTTTTTACCAGCGCGGCGCTTTATGGCAACGTCCGTGGCGTCTCTCGGATTCGTTACCCTTGGCTTTCACGTATTCGGCTGGCTTTGGCTGTCGCCACGGCCTGAGTGTCGGTCATATGACCCGAAAACTGGTGGTAACGAACTCTGTCCGTAGTCCTACCCAAAAGTCGTCAGTGGCGGCCAGGTGAGTTCCTTTCTTTTGCAGTCACCCTCAATCAGAATATACGAATCCGAATCCGAATCCAATCACGACTTCGATGTCAACCTCTTTGATCAGGTGGTTAACTGTCCGATTCTGCACACTTGAAGAGATACAACTCCCACGTCCGGGGACTTATCGACGGTTCTTATGTACGTTGAATCGTCTTCTTTCGCATCGGTGCCTTACTCAACAAAGTTAGGCAAGCCCAAGGCTGGCTCTATAGAGCATGCCAACTATCGATCTTTCGACCTGTAGCTATGTGAAATCATATCAAGTGTGTTCATGGATAACCCATAGCCGTGTGGATGAATTTAGGCAGTGTGGTAGATAAACCGTTTCCGAACAATGAAACTGTAAGCTGTTGAAAGATATCGTGTGTTCTTTTCGAGGGAATCTGTACCAATTTCAAATTGAGCCTAGACGCTGGTTCAGTCTCGACTTCATCTGGGCCATGTACCTCGTACTACCATGGTATGTGAACGTTGGTGCATGATCATATAAATCCCTAGAGGGTTGCACTACCGCGAGTGAACTCTCATCATAGTCATCTCACAAACACTACAATTTCAACAGGTTTCATATACTTACGACTACCCATCCTCAATTCCAGAGCGACTTGAAGGCCTTGAGTTGAGGACTGAGATGCAAGTGATTCCCCTCGCCACAAAGACACCCGACTATAGTGAAGGACAATAAAAGCTCAAAGTGGATTCATCGTACATTGAGGACACATATCGTAAAGTCTAGTCTTCACACCAAGTTTATATACATTCCGCCTTTCTCATATTAAGCGGGGAATATTTCAAGCTACTATACATGCTTAGTCATATACATCAACCATATCGTTGCTTAGGATCCCTCCACGTCTCATCCAGCCTATGCCTCACCCAATCCGGCACAAAAGCCTTCACCTTGACCTTCTGCGCGCCCTCCTCCTCATTAACCCCCCATTCCATCGAAGATTCCCTCTCACGATCAAAAGGCGTCTCCCTCGTCTCTCCTGGCAACTCCAAGTCGGTCATGACCTGCAACCGACAAACGGCCAACCCAACATTTCCCACGCCTGCCACCCAAGTACTCGCCAACCGCCCCTTCTTTCCATCGACTCCAATCTTAATCTGCCCGGGCACCGTCTCGGCCGGCACAGGCGACGCGTCCGAGTCGTACTCCAACCGCGACGGCACGGGCTGTCCCTCGCCGTACAGCACCACGGGCAGAATGCGCTTCCTTACCACACCGCGGTGCTTGGTGCGGATCGTCAACTCCTGCCCCACGTAGCAGCCCTTCCGGAAGTCGATGCCGCCCATAAGATCCATGTTGGCCTCAAGCGGCAACTGTTGCTCACGCCGGATTTCGTCCTGGCCCTCGGCCACGCCGCGCAGGTACCGCCGGATTTGGTAGGCTTTCTCATCGCTTGGGTCGAGGTCTGCCGCGGGGGCTGCGTTTTGCGTGGTAAGGATGCGGTATCCCAGGCCGGGCGCTCTTGTGTCTGGGAGTACAATGCTCTTATCCGCTGTTGAGAAAGGTGGTCTCTGACCGGTGCCACTCTCACTTGATGCGTCGTCCCAGACCTGCCACAGCGCACATTCGCCCGGGTCCAGGATACGAAACTTGAACTTACTCCGCAGCTTATACCGCTTAATCAGCTGCATTAAATTCCCCGCCTGCCCCTCGTCCACATCGATTATGAAGGCCTCGCCCGGCTGCAGCATCGGGTCGGCGATGCCGACGTCCAAAGTGCTAGCATATATAAAAACATCGTGAAGGACGCGACCCGAGGCGTTGAGTATGCCGGTGTAGAAGCCCTTGTTGTTTTCCGGGTTGGGCTTGAGGGCAAGAATGTTGGAGGTGATGATGCCCTGTAGAAATCTGGGCGCATCGACGCCAGCGATGGAGATAAGGCGTCGAGAGGAGAGGGCAGCGTACCCGGCGGACGGGGGAGCCGGTGGAGAGGCGGCGTATCGGGGCCGGGTGGTGGTGAATCGTCGTCGGGGCGGATTGGATGCCCGTATGCGCGAGCGACAGATGTATAGGATTGGTTGTCGCGATGTGACGCGCCGCGGCAGGGTTTGCATCTTGTTGGAGGCAAGACTAGCGGGCCGGGAAAATACGGATCAGCCGAAGCAGTACATACGACGGGTACGCGAGGTACGTAGCCTTACGAAACGATCAATATTGTCGTGGATTGGTGGCAATATCCTCAAATCGCAACTTGAAGCTTAATGGGCCGAAGTGGATTGCGTACAAAATTCAATATTCAGCAGATGATGTAATGCCGCTTTCTACAGGGGTCCCGGTAACGGATGCAGCGGACATTACGGTGTTTATGGGGGTCCAAATCGCCGGAGTTTTATGGCCTAATGCCGAATTGTCCGAGGAACGAAAAGGCCAAATCGGCCGCTGGCCTGGAGCGGATCTACATCGAGATGGCAAATGCGTCCGGTCTAGGTAATTCGTCGCATCTCGCTCCATTAGCGACCTTTCAGCCCTTTCCGAACGGATGGACCCTGGTCTTGAAACATGCTCATCTTGCCAAGCATACGAACTCAGTTGGTTCTAGACATTCTCATACTTTGACGATGACGAAGACCAGCCGAGATATTGTGAAGTGGATCTGAAATGGAGAGCAGACAAGATTTCCGACTTGCGGGGAGTTGATCGGTTTCCCTCAGGAGTTCACTTTCCCATAGTCTGTTGCCGACCGTCGCTCGGCATTGGCCACGAACATCCGGCAAGTTCTGATATGAATGAGACGGTGGCTCGGTCTTCAGCAGCGACGTGTGGCTGTGCCCCCAGCTTATGAGAATACCCATTTCTCTCAAGTGTGGGGAAAAAACATGGATTTTGCATGATGACTCAGGTACGCGGAAACAATTGACCAGACATACTGGGATAAAAGTGGTGGGCATAGTTCTTTTACGGTATTGAGTTCGGAAGTTCAGCACAGAGTTTGTGACGAACAATGCCCGGCGCGAACGTCTTATTACCCTTAATCCAGTACAGGCACAAACACAAAATCTTATCTGTCAGTCAATCATCGTCGCATAAAACGGACACGCACAATATCGTCGGTGTTTCGCAATCTGCATCCCATCGCAAGACCCAATAGTCCTCATTTGCCGACCGATTTGCAAGAGTACGAGTGGAATGACAAAACGCAGTCTGACCCAATGATAGCAGCCTGGGCACAGCTGCATATACCGGATGATTCACCTCACCTAACGCCCCGCCCGTGTTTTTTTGACTTCACCGCATTTCTAGCACGCACTTATGCCGGTGCACAGGGTCCTGCCGCTGTCTCTCCACAGCCATTTTGGCGGTGGAGGAAGGAGGGACACCCCTACACAGCACACAACACATGCTACTGTGGACGTGGCACATGGAAAAAGTGTCCATCAGATGGCTGCACCCAGAATAACGTCTGATAGGACAGGTTCTAGAAGCCTACTCAGGAGGTATGAATCATAGGACGGCAGCAGCGCGGGGTCAGAAAAAGCGTGTTGGCAGCGCATTGGTAAGTTCGTGGAGATTGCCGTTCTGATCTTAAGATCAGCGGCGGGCAAGATTCCCGATTCCTCACGGTCGAGAACGATTGCAATAAACATCGGCTGCAGAGTCAAGATTTCCCGCACTGAGTGCCGACCAACCTTTGCTTTTTGCTTTTGGTGTTTGCCCGTGCTCGAATATTCGATCGACCAGTGTGGACGTGTCGCGAACCGATGAGAACACAACTCAAGGTATCAAGATACGACACGCGCATCCGGGGTAGGTATCGTACTTGTTGCCGGGGGGCCGTGCCACGAACCCACAATATGTGTAATGGCAGGGCTCGCATAAAAATTCGAGCAAATTCGTCTTGAACGATTTGTCATAAAGTGCGATCTGCAAAGAATGGGAGCTCCGCGTGCTCTCAACATGTGAAATGCACTGCACCACCAACTTAAACCCGCCCTCCACATCGCATTCACCTGCTGTGGTAGCTGTGTGTTTTTGTCATCACGTAACTCAACGTGGTAGCATGTCTGACAGAACAGAATAAGCGGCATGAGAGGCCCCTGATGACGGACTCGCAATCTGACACCTGCCCACAAGGGCAAGGGTGTAGCAAATATTCGAGGGACTGGCAGATTATCTAAGCAGTAATTATTGTGCGTCATCTCCACCTCTTCGCAGAGCGGTCCTCGGGGAAAATATGGCACATCCAATGATTGTGGGTTGACATCACATAGGGCTGTTTGTGTTCCTCGCACCGCCTCACTAGGAAGAAAATAACATATACGGTGTACTTCATGCGTATCTAGACCGCAGCGGTCAACGACCAACTGTGTCGCACGATGAGGGTCAAAGTCACCTACGTATCCATCCGTACTTACGCGCCAATTATTATCGTAACATTTTGTTCTCTCTTCGCATGATGCGTGGAGTCTATCCAACGTTGGGCAGACATGCCGGGCCAGCAAAGACGACGTGAACAAAACAAGTGTGAAGAAAGAAGCAAAAAGTGGGCGAAATCAGTTCGATAGCATCGTGGTCTGGCCACATGCCCTGTTGGTCTCCGTCAATTTTATCATTTGCCAAATCTCCGTGCACAGCATTGAAAGCGGGAAAATGGCAGCGCTTGTGGGTTGGCTGACTGACCGATTGACCAAAACCATGGGACCCCTTTCGCGGCAGGCCGGCCCCTCCCTGATTGGCTGGAGAACGGTTGTCAAGGTCTCAGGAACCCAGAGACTTGGGAACACTCGGCTGGACCCCGTGAGATTGGAGAGCATCAATCAGCAGATCAGCCCTGGAATTCAATTTATTGGGGGTCCAACCGCTCGTAAGTACCTTTGTAACCCCTTTACAGCAAGTGCCCTACCCTTTAAGCTCGTTCCCCACAGCACTGAGACGACCTTGAGCCAGACGTCACGCCCACTCCTTGTCTTCTGACAGCACAGGCACAGGTGTCCCTAATATCGTTTGATAGGATTAGGATGTCAGTGGAGAATAGGCTTCAACTCGTGCGAACCTCTTATCGCTAACTAGAAGAGTCCATGTGGTGAGGTTTCATGCAAAGATGGCATGCCCGTAACCCCCCGGTCTGTCGCGATCGGTCGTAGGGAATGTGATGCGATTTTCGGGCTTCGCGCAATAACCAGAGAGAAAATTTTGTAGATGCTGCCTAGATGGCGGCTGCCCGGTCAACGGAGATAATTCGCTGCCTAATGGCTATCATGCTCGGGCGGAATTTGTAACCCGAGGTGCGGCTGGCGAGAACTTTTTCTTTTTTTTGATTTTTTGATTTTTGGCTGCTCCCGGAATTTCGCGAGATGATTTAAAGTGCTCGGCTGATGATCAATCAAGCCGTCTAGACAATGCAACACCTATATGATCCAGAGGTCGCCGATGTCGGTTGGAGATTAAAAGTGTAAGTCCGGTTTGATGATCACCATGACTCGAGAGAGTTCAATGCACGAGGCAACAAGGCACGTTAATGACATACTTGGCGCGATTGATGGAATCAAGACGAATCATGTTTTTTTGTGAGAAGTGATTTGGGTTTCAATTGTGCATGCTATCTGTCACGATACGTAGTGATGATTATTGAAAGTTAAGGAACTAGGCGTTCAATATCCCACTCGACCGTGCAGCTCAGCTCTTCAAGCCGAAGAAGCTGAATACCAAGGAACGAACGGCCCTGCCTGTTCCTTGCAATATGAATATCCCGAGATGATTGTCTCCAAAATCCGGCCCCAGTATCCTCCTCTGAGTGGTGACAGCTTGAGCCCTCCCTGTTGGGCCTATGAACCTCCTGGTAGTAACTCCCTAATAGAACAAAGAAAAAAATTTAAAGCCAAAAACACTTGCGCTGTCGAAATGCCATTGCCGCTGTGGTATTGTGTAACGCCGTCCAGATGCAGATATTAACCGACGTGTAAAGCAAATCCGTGGTGGTGAAATTCAAGTGTGCAAAGAGGAGACGTCTAGTAGACTGATATCGCGGATATCAATCGTGCAGAATTCCTTGGTGGCAGGTAGTATCCTTCGTTGTAGAAGTCGGCCTTCTGATCATCCTCCTCTTTCGAATCATAATATGCTGTTACTGCTTCTCTCTGCTTCTCGGCGAATGATGGTAATGATGCGAACGGCGGTGATGGTGGCATGGACTCATCCTCTGAAGAGTCGGAGTCGTGGTCGAGTTCGGGTGGTGATGCGGAGTGTGACGGGGAGCGAGTAAGGGTCAGGGCTACGTAGTCCTCCTCGTTGTCCTCCTCCATGTCGTCGACTTCATCCTCGTCCATTGTCTCCAGTTGTGGAGACGGCGGCACGATGGTGTTGGACGGTATCCTCCTCAATGAGACAGCGTCTGCCATCTCAATGTCCTCGTCCTCCTCACTATCGCTGTCTGAATCGGAGTAGGAGTCGGCTTCCCAGTCCTCCTCGGTTTCGTCAGCAATGGAATTGGACCATTGCACACGTCTTTCTTCGGTCTGCGGGCTGGCTCCGCGAACGGATTGGTTGAACCAGCTCTCCTGCTCCCGTTCGGCATTCGCGAGGTCGAGCATCAGGGAGTCGAGGAGGTTCGCATGGCCAACGAGGAGACGGAGGTTATGGTCGGCACGGGCAGCCTCGCTAGAGAGCTTCGCCCGGGCACGGTGAGCCAAAAAGTATGTTTGTGAGATGGACATCTTCTTGGGTTTGGGTGTTGACAATGGTGATGATGGTTGGTGGGCGGATGAGGAAAAGGGGGAAGAGTGCAAAGTGGCGAAAACCATTTTGTAGAACAGCAACAGAGACACTTAAAATGGTGTGAAATTGTTTGATCCAGGCAGCTTCGCCAGGTGAGTCAGGCACCGATTTGCGGAAAGGCGCGACTTTTTGTATCCAAGCTCGCGATGATGGACTCAGAGCTAATAAGCAGGGATTGTGGGGTAGCACTTTAAGAGGTGGTGGTCGGTACGAGGGTACCTTGCGGCTATATTGTCTTGGGTGTGTCTTGAGTGTGTCTTGGTTGTCTTGGTTGTCTTGGTTGTATGAGTATAAGCGAGATGTGCCGTTTCTGTCAAATCTAGACCGGGAGCTACTGGTATGAGGCTGATATATCCGTTGGCTAGATAGCTTCAGATTTTTTGTCTCCAGATTGGAATGGAGCTCCTGAGAGAAATTGCAAAAAAAAAAACGGGAAGGTACGATTCTTTTGTAATGCATCTGCTGACAGATTGTGGATGGGATGTGGATGTGGACATTGTGCCATGTGGACTTTCCTGTCTTTAGACGGCATGACCAACACAAGAGCTCGTCTCGTCTTGTCGGATTGTTCGTAATTGGCGGCGTGGCAGGGTACATCGGCTCACACAGCAACTGTGATCCCAGCTCTCACCGCCTACAATCAATCCCCGTCAATCCGTGGCCTGCACAAAAAGAAGACGCCGACCGCTCGTCCCGCTAACAAGACGCATGGATAACTCATAAGCCCGCGCCCCGCCCATCAACAAGCCCGTGTACCTCCGTACCCGACTTGCTGGTACTCCTTCCTGGGCAATTCAGAACCAATCATGCAGCCAGCTGTATCCATCTTATGCGAGAAGTCACCGCAAAAAGTCAAATGGAATTGTCGGAGTTTGATGTTGGGCCTGCAAGCCGAGGGGTCCTCAAGGCATCCAAACCCAAAGGGATGCTTTCATTACGCCAAGTCATTGCACAGCAACGTCCAGCATGCGCAGTACATACACAGTATAGACAGCAAGCCAGCAGCCAAGAGTTGCGCCCAACTCCAAGAAACGTCTTATTAATTATGACGCGAAATCGGTCTCAAATGCTGATGAATCGTCGTTGTGACCTATGCGCCAACGACCCCTGTCTGCTATGATGCATTGGTGACTGCTTGATAACCATTTGGATTGCTTAGTATTGCTATGGGTTGGAAGCTTTCCAAGCTTCTCCGATTAATAACGATAACGCCGGACGGTACATCGAATTGATTCTACCGCTTTCGCAGCAAATGATGGTCCTCAACCATGATACCATGCCAGCCGATCAATGATCTACTTGTAGCTACGCCGTGTCATGATGTGCCTTTTGCTGGATAGTGCCTTGCCATCATTGGAACTTCTACTCGTCCATCAAGTTCCGGCAACCCCAGCAGCGCAATGCCCATACGTCGCACGTATAACACACACCATGGAATGATAGACATTTCCGTGATGCATCAGATTAGATAAACTGATAGCAATCAGTATCGGACTTGCATCCCAGCTTTGCACAAGTTGCGGAATACAGCATCGGCGTCGTATCAATTCCGTTCCTGATATTACTTTTAATGAAGCAAAGTCTTGGGACCAAGACTAAGTTTGACTCGGCTGTTGTGGTCGCTTCGTAAAACCTGCGAATCCGAGGGACGGTCCGAAGAATCAGCAACGGGATGCATAAAAGTTGTGCAATGGACAGGTGGGGATGGGGAAGCAAGCAAAGCGACGGACCACGCCAAGTTGCATCAAACCAGCATGGCATTAAGGCATTATTCATCAGTTTCGATGCATGCGGCGGAAATGGCGAGGTCATCAAAGCTTCGCCTATTGACGAATCCTCTTTCAATCTCCTCACTCGTCGGTAACAATCAATCTATATCATGCTCACCGTCCTCGCGGATCAAGGCATATTAGACTCGTGTGGACATCTCGTGTTTCGCAAATTGTGATTCATAATGAATCGGACGCATCTACACCCATAGGGCTGAGAGAGGGAGATCATCTTGATAGTCAGCACCAGGCACGCACCTGCCTCAGCCACAGACTTTGCCTAGGTGCAGCTTGCATTCGGCCATGTCCATTAGGAGTCGGCGTCAACGTCGTAACGTAACAATGGCTTTAGTTGATCGCAACATGAAGCTGGCGCCATTGCCGACTCTGCAGCGCATTCTCATTGGAGCCATTTACTTACTTTGCACTTACTAGCTTCTTCCTGTGCCACGATACTCGTATTGGCTTTGGAGTCCGTTTCTTCTCTTGGTTCCGTCGCATTGCAATTGCGGGAAAACGAGCAACCAATCAGGCAGTAGCATAATTGCCAACTTGATCTACTTCACAATACCTGACAACCTCGACAAGCCTCCACATTGTGGAGGAAATGACCGCGTGGCACGCGTGGTTGTTCAGAAATAATTTTGAAAACCAATCCTGGCTGACGACAAGACACATGCTGGCAGGAAAAGACAACATGATGGATGGATACGGAATAGAACTTGTTGACCAACAACCACCTTCGTTGCTGGAAGAAGCAGAGCCGGGATCGAATTACTCCACTTTCTCCGGATGCCCCCGTACGGCGTACGGGCGGTCGGAATCAAGCCGATTTGGAATCTTTGCAAACGTGGTGACTGCTTCCTGATTCGTACGACTTGAAAGCTAGTCGAGAAGTCGTTCATAAGCACGAACATTGTACTTGAGTAGAACACCGAATGCCGTCGAACATGAACAAAAATTTAGCGTAAATGTGGAGTTTGGTGGCAGGGAGGTTACTCAGAGCGATAATTGTCGCTGCGGGTTCGGAATGACCAGGAAGCTTTTCAGATGCTATCTAATAGACTTCGAGAAGGCTTATCTCGTCTCTCTCACTGCATCGTCGCTATTCTGCAGCCAAGAGTGGTCTAAGCCACTCAGCCAGCAAGCAAGCCATACGCCCTCGTACACGGCATACGCGCCCTCTGGTCTCATGTACACCGCGCGTATGGCGAGATTCAACGCGGGGTTCGGTTCCAAGCTTGAGTGTAAGTCATTGCCGAAGGCTTCGACTGTCACCGTCAGATCATATCCATATGTGGATGGACTAGGGGCCCGTGTTCTTTTTCCTATTCTGGCATATACATGTATCACGATACGTTGCGGCAGTTTACTACCTAGTTAATTTGGTGTTTTGGAATTCCGAGATCTGCCGTTCATTCGGGGTTACGGTTTTGTTACCAGTCTGCGATAGTAGCGCATGTCTCGAACCTCTCGCGTTCGTACAATACAACCTTACGAGAAGCTGTGCCAAGGAAATCGCAAGGTTATCTGTGTATCAGTGCTTGTTGCAGCCATGACAATCTATCGAGACTCATTATCATAGGTTTAGGTCATCCACGCGTACCGCTTGCGTAGACGACAACCATGATGATGCTGTTAGGGCTGCCGTGATGGTCGTAGTCACTTGCGCTCCCAGCCATCTACCAACACACAAGCATGGTCGGCTAAAAGTCAATTATGTTATAATCGAATTAAAAGGCACCAAGTAGAAAGGATAGGTTCCGTAATAGAGCATTGTGGCTTTACATGTAGGGTGTGCCACGGACTCCGACGGCAACACCTTTGGGGCATGTGGGGAGGAGTCGGCTCTATACCAAGCCCCGACTTTACGCAATCAAGGCACAGCTTACCCAAATTGGCGGGCTCACTTAAACCCGACAACCGTCTTGTGACCCAGCCGGTTTCCAGAAATTCTTAATCGGTGGATCGCACTGCAGGAACTTCCGCGGATCGAGTTGTGGATCAGGATTAGCCCCAGAATGACTCGATAAGGAAGCAGAAAATAGCTGACGTGACGCTGGTTGATCATTATTTGCTGCTTTTGACACGTATGACTGGTTGGATTTCGAGTTATGCGGGATTGGACCCCGAGGAACGAACTAGTTAGAGCCACTGTTCTCATGATGTGGTCATGGTTCAGATCTAAGGTAGTGAACCCCCAAACGCACCCGACGGCATCTGATAAGAAACAAGCTTTCGCATTTCCGGCACCTCGAGCACTGCGCAAGAAACAATTCGGTTCTGCCGGAAACGCAGTGTTGCCAGGATTGAGCTATATGATATTATGCCTGCGGCTGCGGACGTAACAATGATGGAATGATGCCGACTCCAATTGACAAGACTTTGCGATCAGATACGCGTAGACTGGGCTCTTGCACTTATTTCACACTGGTGTTGATCAGCTTGGCGAAGTCTTGTCAAAAACTTGGCCTTTTCTTGAATCTCGTACCATACTTTAGAGTTCTCAGACTTACCGGAATGGGTACCGAGGAACACCTAATCGAGGCACGTTGCCTGTGCCGGGGCAAGTAGACATGTCTACCTGTGCGATCGCTCATCTCGCATTGTGTGGACAGGATCAAGCCGTTATATATGCTACCCCACCCCAACACGAGTACGAGCTGTAAGTTGTGGCTGTCATGTGGCTCACGTCCAATTGGGTACTTCAGTTAGCATAACTATAGTGAGGTGTGTAGCATTCATAGAATCGCGTCTGTTAACCCTAATGATCTTATTTCCTTTCCTCATGTCCATAAGTAGGGCTTAAGTAATCAATGGTTTGACAATGTCTATCGATCATCGAGCGGAGTACTGAGGTCTACTAGCGGTCTAATAGCGGTTCACATACTATAGAGCCTTAAGCCTTACAACTTGACTAGACCCTATACAGGGAAATAATCTTGATACTGGCTCACCTCGCACCGTTCTAACGCTGTCCTTGGAATTATATGCTCAATATTCGTTATTGGATGAACCAGAACTAGGGGCAGATCCGGGAACAGCCCATGGAGGGGAGAGGGCGACAAGATGAGTTTGAGACACAATCTATAGTAGCTCTATTTGAAGGCCTCGCCGAACTCGATATGTTTTCATGGGCTTACATGCCGGGCCTGGATCGGGTATTGTCTGCGGTATTTTTCGGTCCTCCCGCGAGTGCTTCAAGCGAGTTCACTGAAGATTTGACGCACTGGACATCGAGGTTCTTACCGAATAACCAGTCCTCTGCCAGGACTCCATCTACAACATGCTACAGGTAAATTATCTAATAGTCTCAAATCATTTCTCCTTCTTCTCGTCTGAGATCTGAGGCATGGACTTGTTCACCGAATGTCGATATGCTGCAGTTTCCCGTGGTGTGTGGATGATCGGGGGAACACCAACTCAAGTTGACAGTTCGTAGCACTTTTACCAAACCTGAGACATGCATTGAGTGCTTGCATACTATGATTAATCTTCTCTGAGTGGCGTAACCGTTGACTCGATATACAATAGTTTCCTAGCCACGGTTTCAGGGCGGCCTTTGCATTGGAATTACTTCGTTGCGCACAGTTCCACCGGACTGTTACTGCTGTCAGAGAATAATCTTGTCTGAAATATTTGTGCTTCAGGGTAAATCAGGCCCATTTCAACTCATTTGAATCCTGATAAAGCCTCCATGCCGTGTTCCAGGCACAGCGAAACCGGTTCGGTTGAGTTACCGATCTGGTAGAACTCCCGTATACCCTACAGTGACGTGCTAAGCTTCGAGGCCCAATATCAATGTGAAGTGATCATCTTAACGAGAGACTGTGCTTGCGTTCTTGAACACCCCTAGAGACGTCTGGGGCGATGGACCGTAAATGTCATGTAGTATGGAAATACTAAAGCCTGTCGCAGATAATATTGAGCAATCCGTCGTGTCTTGCTTTCTGGATTTGACTTCGGCCACGACCAAGAATGACCATATGTGCATCTTTGTGTATGTTAAATCCATTCTCGTTGGCATCGTATATATGGCCAAGTCTCTGGGTTCCCCCCCCCCTCTCTTTTTAGAGACCATATAATAGCAGACAGCACGCCACATTGGTCATCTGCACTCCGACAAGAAGTCAAGCATGCGTTCCAAAGAGCTTTTTATGTTTGTCCTTCTTGAATTTCGGATGTGGTGTTGTCTCAATGTACAAAAACTCAGCCTTGTGACCCCGGGACCGGGTGCTGTGGTCCGCTGTGAGTCCACATAACCCACGCATCCTTCAAATCTCTGTGTCTAACCACGGGAACATTTGCAGAAATGCCACGGGCAACGGCTCATGCGGATTTGGCCCTGAGTATTGCGGCGAAAACTGTACATCGGGCTGCAACCACAAGAGCGAGTGTGATCCCAGCCACTGGGGCCCTCCATACGCCAACGCTACGAACTGCCCCTTGAACGTCTGCTGCAGCCGGTGGGGTTACTGCCAACAGATCAGTCTTTTTGTCCCAATACAACTGTGACTCCGCCTAGCTGTGATGTGAGCTCGAACACGACGCGGGGGAGGGTCGTGGGATACTACGAGGGATGGAATTGGCAAATACCTTGCGGCAGTAGGTTATGTTGAAATTGCCTCATGCATCCTCCTCATCGGCAAATAGTCATTGTTATGCACGTGGTTGACGAGATTATTGGTAGGAATGCCGCCCGCGGAGATTCCTCTGGGCTACTATACCCACATCATATTCGCCTTCTCCATGATCGACAACCAGTCTTTCAGCTTGTCTCCCATGGATAGCATCACTTCTACTCTGTACAAGCCAGTTAAATATTTGAAAAAGGAGACAGCCAGACCTCCAGGTTTGGATCGCCGTTGGCGGCTGGGGGCATGAACAACCCCGGCCCGACGCGAAAGGCGTTTTCCACCCTCGCCCAGTCACATTTGGATCAGGACCTCTTCTTTGACTCACTCGTCAGATTTATGCAGGACAATGATTCCGATGGCGTTGATCTCGATTGGGAATATCCTGTTGCGGAGGATCGTGGTGGTGCCCCTGAAGACTTGCAGAACTTCGTTACCATGCTGCGGCGACTGCGCGAGCGATTGGATCAAGGGGAGAAGCATTATGGGCTGCGTATCACTCTGATAATTAGGAGTGACAGATTAAAAGATACGAACACAACATGCTGACTTAGGTACGCATCGAGCCCGCGGGTTATTACTACATGAAGGGCTTCAATATCAGCGGTCTGGAACCTCATGTCGATTGGTTCAATGTCATGACTTATGATCTTCGTAAGCCTACTCAACCTGTCTTATTCCAATGCTTCTTTGTCCCTTTTTCGCCGTGACGGGGTTTTATGGCCGACTTACACACAAGCATTTGTTTCCCTGCAGATGGTGATTGGGACGCCAATATCACGACTGTAACAAATCATGCGCCTGCGCACACCAACTTGACCGAGATAAACGATGGATTGGACCTCCTGTGGAGAAACAAAATTGACCCAGCGCGCGTAAACATGGGACTAGGGTTCTGTGGCCGAAGTAAGTCACCATCCTGTCTTTCCGCCTCACCAAGAGCTTCGAGCCCCTGAAGGTCTAACGCATCAGCAAGCTTTTACAATGGAGGATCCCGACTGTATGGCTGTAAATTGCCCCTTCAAAGAATTAGGTCATGCAGGTGGTTGCACCAACACAACGGGGGTCCTCTCCATAAGCGAGATCAACAATGTCATTCATCGTAGGCCCGTCAATATTACGCTGGACGAAAAGGCCGCGGTGAAAATTGCTACTTGGGATACGGATCAGTGGATCAGCTATGATGACGAAGCGACCCTGAAGATGAAGGTCGACTACGCTAACAGACACTGCCTCGGAGGGTACGTTCTTTCCCTACATTCAACATTAATGATACTCTTGCTGGTTACTGAAGCACTTCGACCCACTGACGTATGTTCAGAACTATGGTTTGGGCTGTCGATTTTGATGATGGCACCCTTAGCAAGGCGCTGAGTGCCAGTCTGGGTCGAGAGATATCTCCGGTAATGCCTCCATACGGGGCTGGGAACTGGAGCTATGGGAACGAGACTCGGCGCATGAGTTTTAAACTTGAGTGATAATTCGTACGCATTCCGTTCTTTCAGATAAATCCTTCTCTAGTATGTTGGTCAGCTGTCAGCTGAAGATTGATATTCCTACTCCTTCTGGTTTCCACAGCTTATAACAACAATAAACTAAAATTTACTCCTGCGAGTAGATAATGCCCTATAGTACACTATAGAGCAAGAGTTCGATGGCTTGAACGCACAATTGCACTTTGAAGTTCATCTGGGGGGCTTTTCTACCTCGTTACATTTGTTTAAGTGTGGCACGGGTGGTTTCTAGACATAATTCATATCATTCATACAGTTCATGTTAATATCTTATGCAGTGTCCGGGGAACACATAGGTTTCACTTAAGTTGGGAGATTGCACTTGCCGACCCCATACGATCTTCAGATTCTGGAATTCACCCCAGTGAGTGAGAAATTACCACGGTATCGTGTGTAATTATTGAAACAACTCAAAATCTGGTACTTCGCGGGTTGTTGACCTTGTAAAAACACGAATATTATCTTGGGTGAACTACGGCCTGGAATCTCCGCAAACAATATCAATATACTAGTATTGTTCATGGGACTACATTGAACAGCCACTTCAGCCGACAACTCCTAACGCTGTTTCTTGAAAGATTATTTCATCAAGCGTCGCATCTTGCGCTTCCATCTCCGCAGCACGTGCCATGCATCATGGACAACCCACTTAACTCGGAACCTGGCATTCGACTGATATCCTACCGCGGTAGCTGAGATATGTCTAGCCATTCAAGTGGCCCACTCCCAGGGCCCATCCAGTCCCCCAGGAATTGAATTTAAATACTCCTAAGCAGCCATTCCGCCAAAGTCGGGGTACTCAGTGGCAAGCGCCGCCAGTCTCGAGCTCAACGAATCCGTTCCGTTGTTCTCTTAATCAGCAAGCTCATGGTGACCTTGTTGACTAGGAAGCCGTTGTCGATAATACACCGTAATCCGATATCGAATTTGCCACTTCCCAGTTGAAGTAGTATTGGGCATCGTAGAAGTCGATGACCCTGTGCACTGGACCTCCAAGTCGAAACAACTGAAGCCGCTGATGTTCTGCCACTTTGTGGAGAGCCGAAGAAATAGGGGCTAGGGTGATGACGAAGCTATTGCCGAAGTTGGCTAGAAGCTGGTTGCTGCGATGTATGTTTCCAGAAGTGACATGGCGACTTCGACGTCTAGATTGAGGTCTTGTAGACTGTGCCGGACTATGCTGTCATGGAGAGGATCGTAGTCATTCTCGAACTGAGCGTCGTTCCCGTCGAGAAGTGTGAACGAGCCTGAGGATGCGCCGTCGACCATACCTGTCACGGTGACTCATTGGGCTTGCAGTTGCGCGACATCGCTCCACATCTTCACATATACCTCAGGTGAAAACACGCCTACACACACAACAACAATAACATATTACACTCTATTACTCTTTTAATTAACGAAGCCACCCTGTAGCTACCGGGTAGAAATCCCCAAATATCCGCTGTATATTCATAATCTAACAGAACACTGCAACGATGACGTGCGTCACTGCAATTTTGGGTTCATTGCTATGAGCAGATGGAGGAGGATTTGCTTAGTGGCTGATTCGTTCATGTGTGTTGTCTGTTAATAGATAACTGCACGATGGCCTTCAGCAGCGGCATGGCAGACCAAGAAGAAAAGGAACGACAGCAGATGGATAAGCCTAACTGTGGCATTGTATGTGGCATGAAGATAGGAAGATAGCGGTCCGGTCGCAAATGACCAATAGACACTGCAAGAGGGCCGAAGCTGTGGTGCTTGTGCCATTTTATATCATCCACTTCGACGCCGGATGAAGTCGTATGGCCGATCGCCATGAACGATCGTCCTAGATTGCTTCTTAGCATAATACATCTAGGGAAGCAATGAGACTAGGTAGCCTTAAGCACATTTTTAACACGTATGTCACCATGGAATAGTATCACCACGGTGCTGACTGCCAACAGCAAGGTGAGCAGCGAAACGATCCATAGATATCAGCCCCTGTCCGTAATTGCCAGTCCCACCCAGCCTTCCCAACCAGCACGTGATAATCGATGGGGGGTCATGACATTCGTTCGTGGCTTCCACCTTGCTGATGGTCTTCTCTACTACCCTCGGTTGGCAAGTGCAATTGCGCTAAGATGCTCGTAGGGTTGCTGACCTCGACATCGATTGATGGTGGTGGTGAGATGGCGTCACACCGGGCATGGATTCAAGCCGTCAGTCCGGAGTTGAACAAGAAAATGCGGCATGCCGCCCGCGGCTCGTTGCATCCCCGCCGTTCACGACCACGTCGGCCACTATTGTTGGGATGGTTTTCTGTGCCTGAATTTGCTTGTGCGCTACGCCGGAGTGCGCTAGCAACGATGATGGACTAGATCGGACTTGATGGAACATGTAGACAGGATCGATCTTAGAGGAATAACTACTGAGTAATCGGGAAACGGAATCGGTGGTCGGACTTACCCGAGTAGTGATTATCTCGTTATCGCTAGCTAACTAGTCCCACCATATAACGTTACTAATAATCCTCCCAGATTCACTCGTTATCGATAGATTTGAACCAATCATAGTCCTAATCGACTCGAGAGACCCACTGTCCAAGCCTTCCCTGCGTCACCACCATCAGGCAGCATCCCTCACAAAGAGCCGCACCTCCAGGATTAGTCAATGCGCCGCCATCGCCGGACTGTCACTCCTTTGGTGTCTACCTTCAACCTGCACATTGTTGTTCGGACCTGGGTTGGAGCTCTTTCGCAATACCCAGGCTTCGAAACACTTTCCTAAGCTCTTCATTTACTTCCTTCCATCTCTGCCTCGCAGCCACGACGCCTTCATGTGGCCGAGTCCCCTTGGTGCAGGCTTCTTTTATTCGACGCACTTGCCCTGTAGTGCAGCACTACTTTCTCCATCACTGTCCGCCCTTGCCTTGAGAACGCCTCGAGAACGCTGAAGCCGACTTCGTCCGTCCTTTTTGCGCTTTGCGTCTAATCCTTTACTTTTTACATTCCCGTCTTTCGGGCATCGTTAAATTGTCTCATTCATCTTTATGGACATTCGCAGCAGTTAAACTCCCATTACCATGGCCACAGATACTGGGCGTCGGCCCAGTGGAGATCCGGCACAGCACGACAATGTACAGCTTAATGAAAGCTTGCAAGATGACACCACCCCTGCGATCATTGGGGTCGCAACAGCAAATGACTCCGGGCTTGAGAATTCTCCTGGAAACGCTGATGGGGATGAGATTGCTCTTGGTGACGACATGGATGAGGAATCTGCACTGAAAACTCTCACCGAAAACGTTCGGGATCAAGATGACCTGGAACGGGATATTACACGTCGGGCTAATCTAGCCATGATCGACGTCGAGGATGAAAGGGACCAGAAGCGCATTGAAAAAGCTGAGGCCAACATACGAAGACTCGAACTCCAGAAGCAGTCACAAGAGGAGAGCTTCCGCAAGGCAATTGGCAGGCCGGCATTGAAGGAGAAGATCAAGCAGGAGATTGCTCGACTAGAGTCCGAGATAGAGATTTCTGCCAGGGACATTCACGACTTCCATAGTCGTATTGACCAACGGCACCAAGGCGCTGCTGATGGAAGCGACCTGCTTCAAGGTGGCAGTCAGAAGCTACCAAACGAGAGCCATCGCGAATTCCTCATCCGCACTGGAAAGATCACACCGTTTGCCAAATTCGGTGCTAGGTTTGGAGATGATCAACGTGATGCCGTCGAAGGAGAATTGGCAAATGCCTTGGCCAATGCAGAAGATGAAGCTGTTGCTGAGGAGTGGGAAGAATTGGAGAAAGACGCGGGTTACGGGCCGAGGTCTCACCAGAACCTTCGAGCACCTGGCTTCAATGAGGAGCCTGACGCTGTGTCAGCTGTAGCCGAGACAGAATTCTCATTGCGCCCACGCAAGAAGCGCAAAGTCCAGCGCAGCAGCGACAGCCCAGAGGCGTCCACGTTTTTCAATACCACATCTGATACGGTGGATAATGAGGCAGATTTCGTCGACGATGAACAATCGGAAGGATATGATCTTACGGACCGACCTCAAAAAAAGAAGAGGAAGCGTGTTAAGTCATCCAAGGATGACGAGAAGACGGATCTGAGTCATATTGACGACGGCAATGAAAATGTTTATCAAAGCAGACTGGCAGATTGGGTGGAGAGAAGAAGCAGAGCACGCCTTCACCAACAAGGCGTCGCTGCCGATCAGCCGGAGCATGGCGAAGAAGGTAACGACGACCAGCCCGAATGGTTTAAGCCTTCTCCCGATGGGCCGGACCACGACTTTGGAAACGGACTCAAACTTCCAAGTGACATCTACCGGGCCCTATTTGACTACCAGAAGACTGGAGTGCAGTGGCTTGCTGAGTTGTACAATCAGAAGGTTGGAGGCATTATTGGAGATGAAATGGGCCTTGGCAAAACTGTGCAGCTCATTTCTTTCGTCGCAGCTTTGCACTACAGCAGAATGCTGGATAAGCCCGTAATTGTCGTGGCTCCTGCAACAGTGCTGCAGCAATGGGTCAATGAGTTCCATCGTTGGTGGCCACCTCTGCGTGTCTCTATTCTTCACTCCTCCGGAAGTGGAATGTTGAATGTTCGGAGCGAGAGCCGAATCGAAGACGATGAGCGTGCCAGGGACAAGCGAAATGATGATACACCGTCGGGCAAAGCGGCGAGACGGATCACGCAGCGGGTCGTTGACCATGGCCATGTTCTTGTCACGACCTACGCTGGTCTGCAGACCTATGGCAATATTCTTATTCCCATTGAGTGGGGGTATGCCGTTCTGGATGAGGGACACAAGATTCGGAACCCCAACACCGCAATCACGATCTATTGCAAAGAGCTTCGAACCCCGAACCGTATCATTCTCTCGGGTACCCCCATGCAGAACAGTCTGATAGAGTTGTGGTCTCTTTTCGATTTCATCTTCCCGATGCGGCTTGGACACCTCATCGACTTTCGGAATCACTTTGAGAATCCTATTAGGATAGGCGGATACGCTAATGCATCCAATCTGCAAATCATGACTGCGGAGAAGTGTGCCCAGGTGCTGAAAGATGCCATCAGCCCTTTCCTTCTCCAGCGACTCAAGATGGATGTCGCGACGGATCTCCCCAAGAAGAGCGAGCAAGTCCTGTTCTGCAAATTAACCCGCCCGCAGCGAGACGCCTATGAGCTCTTCTTACGATCCGAAAAAATGAATTTAATCTTAAACAAGAATATGAACTCACTTTTTGGTATCGACATTCTTCGCAAGATCTGCAACCATCCAGACCTACTGGATCAGAAGCTGAGAGTGAGTCAATCCTACAATTGGGGCATGGCCAACAAGTCCGGCAAGATGCAGGTTGTGAAATCACTCTTGCCAATGTGGAAGAAGATGGGCCACAAGTCATTGTTATTTAGCCAAGGTACCCAAATGCTCGATATACTCGAAAAGTTTGTCCAACGTCTCGGTGGGATCAACTATGTGAGGATGGACGGCACCACTGCTATTAAGGATAGACAGATCCTTGTAGACAAATTTAACACCGACCCCGAGCTTGACCTATTCCTGCTCACAACGAAGGTTGGGGGCCTAGGAGTCAATCTCACAGGTGCCAGCCGCGTCATCATCTTCGATCCCGACTGGAATCCGTCCACTGATGTCCAGGCTCGCGAGAGAGCATGGCGTTTGGGACAGAAGAAGGAGGTCACTATCTACCGACTCATGACAGCTGGTACAATTGAGGAGAAGATTTACCACCGCCAAATCTTCAAGCAGTTCCTGAGCAACAAGGTCCTCAAGGATCCGAAGCAGCGTACAAAATTCGAACTCTCTGACCTGCATGACTTGTTCACTCTTGGCTCGGTTGACGAGAAAACCACGGCAACAGGCAGACTTTTCCAAGACTCCGAGGTAACCTTTAATGGCTCGCCTGCATTAGGCGAGTCTGCTTCTGCTTCTACTTCGACCCTAACCACAAAGAGTGCGGGCGGGTTAGTAAGCAAGCCCTCTGATGGTGACAACGCTCAAGATCTACGAACCATAGATGGTGTCGCCTCCCTTGAGGACTATCAACCCGCCGCCGAAGGCCAGCCTGCACCCACCGAAGAAGCTCGGCTTATGGAAGGCATATTTGCTCGATCTGGTGTTCATTCAGCTTTAGAGCATGAAACCATTATAGATGGAAAGAGAAAGATACAACCCAGCCGTGCAATTCTACAAGCAGACGCGAACCAAGTTGCTGCTGCTGCGAGCAATTCTCTGCGTAGAGCAGGCGAAGAAGCTAGACATATACCCATTGGGACTGTGACTTGGACGGGTGAAGTAGGAGAAGCCGGCAGACCCTCTAACATTAGACGTGGCAGAGTCGGTCCAGGTAGTAGCACCATCCTCGCCAGGGTTGCAGACCGTCAGGGGCGCAACACGACCCCGAGTCGATCTGGGGCATCATCGAGTGCCTCTACTCTACGGGGTGAAACGCCTTCCCGCGCAGCACCAGCGTCTCGAGACTCGTCGAAAATTGAGGAATTTGCAAGAATGATTCCGGCTTTCATACGCAGGCACGGAGGTCAGGTCCCCACAAAGCTGCTGGCTGACCACTACAACCGCTTCTGTGTAACGGCCCAAGATAGTGACGACTTCAAGACTGCGCTGAACCGAGTTGCGGAGATGAAGCAGAGGGGCGGCACCATGCGAGGCATCTGGAGCTTGAAGGAGGCCAAACCTTCGAGCTAGGAGAGACGATTGTGACATTGTAGGATATGAAAGGCGTTCAGAGGCCTGGCTAGTTATCTTTGGAGATGCGATCTTGGGCCACAGTTGGTTGGCTAACTGGGAGCATTGGCTGGGCTCTTCTGTTGCATTGATAAATGCACATTTGCACGGATGGTAGATAGCGTCTGCACCGTATTACCGTTTAGAAGAGGATGTGGTTATCCTCGCAGTCTAATGTTCAGCGGCGAGCTCCATCCCTGATGCGTTGATTTGACAACAGATGATATAATCGGAGTAGAGCGGCTGTCAATTGGTTTAAAGGAAGCCACATTTCTAGCCACAACACCACCCAGAGGCAACATAATTTAAAGATCAATTCTACAGGCCAAACGCATCCGATTTCCATTATTTCAATAATTCTGGTAGGCAAGTCGATTACCTTTAGCATCAATTATGTATTACCAGCGAGTTAACATAGAATTAAAGTCCTCGTTAATCCCTGTTAATCCCTGGGACTGATAGCATTCGTTAGCAGAGCTATCAGACGTACGATAGGCATAGTTTTAAATATCAGATTTCACCCTTCGCATTAAGCTTTTTATAGGGTTAACTTTAGGGCTATTATAGACGTTAATATTCTTATAGCAGTGTTCGTTAAACTGATTCTATGTATATTTAGTAGCATAAGTAGGGTCGCTATCATACTAGACGATAAATTCTACACTAATAACGTACTTCTCGATTAGTACCGTTTTGGGTTTAGAGGATTCCCATACTAGTAGCTTTACCGACGCTAAAACAGTATAATATACATTAGTTAGGGACCTTAATCATAAGATAGTCGAGGATTCTTTTCGCATCCCTAATTTTAGCTCGTTTTTTTGTCTTCTACCCCAGATTAACCATCTTATGATTAATTTAAGAGGATAAAAATCAATAACTGGAAAGTCCAGCTAATTTCGAATAGAGCTGCCACATAAAAGAGTAATAACGTCAACAATGTTACAGTGGATTTAGGAATGAATTTCAAAACAGGCGTAATTCAGAGGGGTTGATATGTGTTTCAACAATTTGACCATCGCTCCGCCGAAGACTTTCACTGCCGTATTCAGGTCACATGATACATGCACATCACGTGAACCACAAGAAAATTTGAGTGATCAGCGAGACATTTCCATCAATTCCTGCTACCACGGCCAAGTGAAGAGACGCATCAATGTGACAACGAAAAGGCAAAATTCTTGCCGACTTCATTATCTTGATTCGTAGTAGACTAGCTACGGAGACCAGGCAGAAATTGCCGTTCTCCTCGTAATTGTCAGATGCCGCCACATAGAGAAGCCCAGATGCTGTTGGTGATGCATGAAACGCGTGACCTCATCCATTCGTGTTGTAATGGATAGTTCTCTGCAAAGAGAACTGCCACAATATATGCAGGCATACGATGTGGTGCAATCACAGACGACGACCACGGCGACCACCCTTTCTGCGAGTGCTGTCGGATGGGGTGGGGGTGACGTCCTCAATGCGGCCGATCTTCATGCCGGAACGGGCGAGAGCGCGGAGAGCAGACTGGGCACCAGGGCCGGGGGTCTTGGTGCCGTTACCTGTTGTATCCTGTCAGCTACTGTCTACATCCTCAGTGTGCATAGTACTGTCGTCTCACCTCCAGTGGCGCGAATCTTGATGTGAAGGGCGTTGATACCGAGCTCCTTGCAGCGGATGGCGACATCCTGGGCTGCCAACATGGCGGCGTAGGGGGACGACTCATCACGGTCGGCCTTGACCTTCATGCCACCAGTGACACGGCAGATGGTTTCGCGGCCACTGGAATCACCCAGAATGTTAGCCTCATTAACCAAAGGTCATATCTTGTTTTCAGACAAGACAGCTGGGAGCTGAGAGAGAGAGCGTGCGTCTTGCTTGGCTATGAATGTGCTACGCTGCGCAAGACGCAATTCCGCTCCTCAATCCAGCTGTCATTCTATGGGTATCTCTTAAACGAACCTGAGATCGGTGACGTGAACGAAGGTGTCGTTGAACGAGGCGAAGATACGGGCAACGCCGAAGACAAGCTCACCTGGAGAAGACAGGCAATGTTAGTATTCCCGCTCCTCTTTCTCACTTGACGGTGGCGGATGACGTACCATCTCTGACCTGAGGGCCGAGGGAGATGTTCTCCTGGGGAGCGCGGACGGTCTTCTTGGGGGCCATTTTGACTGATGTCGATCGTCGTGGTCGTGTAGACTCGTGCGGTTGATGAATTGCAAGCTTGACGGGCAGTCGCGACGGATAGAATTACAATGCCTTTGCTTTTCAAAGTTGGATGGCGGGATTGTGAAGCGGTCAGCGAAGGCAAAAACCGCGCAGTTAGGCGCTCATTGGCCAACCACAAACAAACCCTAAGCGAGTGGCCCCACTTTATGGGGACGCTCCTGCCACGGATTTTGCTAACTTCAAGAAATTTTTTCTTTCGCGGCTTCTAGATGTGCAGCTTAGCTCGATCAACCACCATCTCAGTCCACCGGCCCCAACTAACGATCTCCGTCGATCAAAACAGCAGCAATGGCTCCTCCCACGTCAACGTATGCTTCTCCCTGACCTTCCTCTCATCGACGCCTTTCTCCTTCGGCGGCCCGGTCCTGGATTTTTGCCGATTGTCGTGGTCCTTTCTTCGCTGGATGACTTTGCATCGTTCTATCCCTGAAAATGCGAACGGACGATGCATCGCAAGCCAGCTCGATCCTTCTTGGCCTTCTCCCTCTTTCCCTCAGGCTTGGAACACAGCTTGCGGACTGAGAGATGTTGTCTGGGGCGTTGGAGATGAAGGCTCTGTCCTTCTCTTTGAAAATCATCCGCCGCTTTCAAATGCTCGACGGCGGTACAGAAACGTCCGTTGCAAAGCTTTGTTACAATGCGAGCGTACTGTCTTGGGCTTATTTGTTCGAGGTGTTGTCGGATGAGTGTTATGTATTGGCAAACCTCTAACCCTTCATTGGGGCCTGCAGTTTGCCAATTATTCTCACCGATCAAATATATCAAACTCGAGTCAGCCACCGCGGAGAATGTCGCGCTGCAATCGGCAATTCTCCAACCGGCGCTCAACCCATCCATACACACCATGTGTATGAATGTTTTTGCGGACTACGTACTAATCTGAGTGCCATTCCAGTACCGTCCCCACCAAGGACCATGTCCTGGTTCCTGAGACTCTCCTCAAGAAGCGCAAGAGTCAGGAGAAGGCTCGCGCTGAGAAGACTGCCGAGCTCGAGCAGAAGAAGAAGGTTAGTTGATTCTCATTTTATCTGTGAGCAGAGGGAGACGATGTGATGCATAACAACATTTGCGACTAGACTAAGGTCAATGCCGTTGCAAAATACCATCTTTCGGGTCTGATCGCAATTCAAAACACCAAATGGCTATTGAAGATCTTGCATGACAACAGTCTGCTAACTGAAGGCCATCTAGTCCAACAAGGAGAAGCGCCAGGTCATCTTCAAGCGCGCCGAGAAGTACATCACCGAGTACCGTGATGCCGAGCGCGAGAAGGTCCGCCTTGCCCGCCTCGCCAAGCAGGAGGGTGCCTTCCACGTCGAGGCTGAGGACAAGCTGGTCTTCGTCATCCGTATCAAGGGTATCAACAAGATCGCCCCCAAGCCCCGCAAGATCCTCCAGCTCCTTCGTCTCCTCCAGATCAACAACGGTGTCTTCGTCAAGGTCACCAAGGCCACCGCCGAGATGATCAAGATTGTCGAGCCGTGGGTTGCCTACGGTTACCCCAACTTGAAGAGCATCAAGGAGCTCATCTACAAGCGCGGTTACGGAAAGGTCAACAAGCAACGTGTTCCTCTCACCGACAACGCCATCATCGAGGAGAACCTCGGCCAGTACGGCATCGTCTGTATGGAAGATCTCGTCCACGAGATTTACACCGTCGGCCCCAACTTCAAGCAGGCCTCCAACTTCCTGTGGCCCTTCAAGCTGAGCAACCCCAACGGTGGCTTCCGTCCCCGCAAGTTCAAGCACTTCATCGAGGGTGGTGACCTGGGTAACCGTGAGGACAAGATCAACGCTCTAATCCGTCGCATGAACTAGAGTGCTTGGGATTGTTCGCATGTAATTTGGAGGCTAAGGGTTCAGGGACTGCTTCTGCATGGTTGTTCGGCGTTCATAAAAGCTTCGGATAGCTGGTGACTTCACATGAATTGAGACAATGATGGCCACCTCCAATGTGTTGACTTGATTAATTATGTGACCTGATTGTATTGCCTGTAACCTGTTCCGATACATGTATTATTTTCCCCTATTTTCAAACCCTGGCCCCATCATCGCCTCTTGGCATGTGTGTAGACGGCGATGATGGATGCGCCAGGAAATACCACGTCACGTAGTGTCAAGCTTTCAACAGGTGACGAGGCCTGCATACTGCACCAATAGATCCATGGCAACTTCTTGAAAATTGTTCATTGGGCTGGGTCATTATCATGCCATAGAAAGTGACAAGATGCAGACTCGACCTAGCCCTCGGGGGATTACCTTACATGCTGCTTAAGCCTCTGAGTTCAACTAACCAAGCTATGTGCTTGGAAGGGTGGAAAGGGCCGTTGGCATTCGACCCGCAACCGGGAGGTGTAATCTAGGTTAACCTAATGAAGCATTATTCTTTAAATTACGAGACTATCATATAAGTGACCATTGGAATTAGACTTTATAGTGTCAAATAAGGATTTGTTCCGTGTGAAGAGGAATCGGGGTAACATGTATATTGCCCCTATCATGTCGATATACCAATAAGTTGTGTCTAAAAGGGTTCTACCTCGAGAGACATGCGTTGCAATTTTTCAGAGCTGCTGGCACATTGACATTAGTGAATAATTCCGTATACCACCAGCGGTGTCCACCACCCTTGCCTTCTACCTGGCCACGGTGCCGATGCCCAGGAAGGAGATCTCAATGGGGTGGCTTAGGCGGTCAGGCCAAAGGGGGAAGAGAACTCGTGGTGCTGCTTATGGACGTGATTGTAGATGGAAGGGCGGTGTAGGAGGCGGTGACCGAAGCGGTGGTGGAGAGGTCGAGGGATTGCGTGAGAGAATGGTGGAGACTGTGGGAGGTTTGATGTTAGAGAACCAGGTGTCTCTGTGTGTGTCGATCACTTACTCCATAGTTGGGATTTCAATGGTGAAGTGCAGGAAAAATTTCGTCTACGGTTTGTCGACCGTGAGAGCAAGATGCTGTTTGCAGCTACTCATATCTAAAAACCATATCCAAATTCACTGCAGCTAGCGGAATAACTGAGAAGAGTAGTTTCAGCGGTATACATTACGGAATATACAATTGATAGCTTACGGTCGTCGTACATATAACCTTGTTATATACTAATAAGGAAATTAAATAGGACTAGGCGGAGTTGTAACCTTAGGGAGTTAGAGATCTAGAGAATACTACATGGGTTTGTGGCTTGATAGCTTTCAGTTCTGCTATAAACTCCGAGGATTGACACACAGCTTACTCGCGTCTATTTTAGGTAGTTTTCACCATGGTGTGGCTTAGACCCCAATGACACCCTTGCTGTCAGTACGGCCATATGTGGACTTAAGAATCCGTACTTTTCCGAGTGCGTTCACGCATTTTTGTAAGTCTCCCTCACCCAGCCAGCTGTAATAAATTAACTAGTGACAGTACACTTACAAGTCACTTAACACTTTCTCAGGACCTGTGATAAGTACAACATGATGCTCACCACCGGCCATCCCCCTCGCATCTTTACCCGTGGCGACCTCCGTGTCCGAGACACCCTCATCGACCTCTTCGAGCAGTACTTCCAGAATGACGGCCCAGCAACAGGGTCTCAAGTGACCAAGGGTCGATACGACCTGTACATCAAAAACGACATGGCCCTGAACGAGATAGCCCGTCTTGACCTCATTTGGCCTACTTCCAACGTCGTCCTCACCAGCTTCGGGCCCCATTCAAAATTTATTCTCGCCCGGCCCTGCTGCAGTCCATCCGTAATGAAGTCCATAATGCCGTCATCAAATCTACTACCGACAAGAAAAATACAGAAGGAACTCAAAACAGGAAACACGCAACCCTCTTCGTCTTCCAACGTCGCAAATGCCCCCTCCTCATGTGCACCTTCCAAGAAACCCAACGCAATCTCTCCTACGCCGCTGGCGTTCGCTAAGTCATATCCGACACCGTAACCGACCTGCCCTCATCATCCCTCGCTATCTCTTTCAGGCGTCTTTGTCCAGATCTCCAGCGAGGCCATTTACAACGACCTTTATGTTTGGGGACCTGATGTAATAGCTTCTTCGAGAGCAGCCATTTCTCCTGTCCTTGAACATCTGTCTCCAAGTCGACTTGCGAGGACGTTAAGCCATTCAGCTCGGTCTGAATGGTGGGACGACCCCTTATTGGTGGGTTCACTAGTCTTTTCTAACAAAAGTGCCGCAAGTCCGTGCTTAGATATCCCGATCTCATCAAGCCCACGTATCCGACCGTATTCATCTTGAGCAACCTCATTGAACTGCTTAGCGAGGAATTTCTGGACGACATTCATATTTTGAGCGCTAAAGCGGCCGCAAGTGTGGTAGGTGGGTCAATCAGGTAACGTCCCACACCTACATCCGGGACACCCCCACATGTGGGACGCCCTAAAAACGACACTGTATATTATAACCATTAACTTCAACCTTTTTTTACACTTATTCTAATGCGACTACAATACAGCTTTCACCGTCACTAGGGTTTTCAGACTCGCTAGACTCATCTGTACTATCCTCAATTTCACCAGCCTCGATTTGAGCCTTCCGAATAGCCTTGATATTAGTAAACTTCGAATTTGGGCTCGTCTTGACCTTCCTCCGCTTCCTAGCCCTACTAGCCTCAAGCTCTGCCTCTGTTGCCTCAATCTTTCGCTGTGCGACAGCTAACTGGTAGTCCTTCTCATCAAAGCCCTTTTGAACTTTCCGAAAGAGTAGCCGCTGGGTATTTGGATCACTATCAAGCTTGCTGAATAAGCTGAGTTGATCTTGGAGCTCATCTCTCCTCTTAGGCGTTGACCATGCTACTGCTGATGTCTCTAACGCCCAGTCCTGACTACCCTTACTATCAGAGTACCCTTTGCAAGTCTGACTAGGCTGTCTGATTGGTGCTGACGTATTCTCAAGGAGCAGGGCGCTCATAAGGGGTCTAGCTATGCTTGAAGGCCAGAGACCAGTATATTTCCATCCACTGATAATGTTCTTAGCGGTCAATGCTGCTAGACGTGCCTTTCTATAGCAGAGGAGAAAGTTTCTCTTCCCTACGACAGTAGTAGTATCCCATCGGTCAAGGTAACCAAGCTCCTTCTTATAGGCTGCCTTGAGGGGTCCAAAGACTGACTGATCGAGAGGCTGGAGAACGTGGGATGTGTGTGGCGGCAAGAAAAGCAAGTGTATCTTGTTTACGAAGCAGAGGTACATAAAATCTGTCGTTTCGTGGCTACTATTCCCATCTAGGATAAGTAACCTAGTCTCTTCAGGGTCCTCTGGTTGAGTCAAAGGAATAAATATCTTTTGTGTCACGACCTGGGTTGCATCGCATTGGTAGAGACCTCGATTAGGTGCTATCGACGAAGATTCTACTCTAAGGAGCGAAGGAAAGAAGATGACAACTTAGGTTTGAGGGAGCGCGACTAAGTCATCCACGCTTGGCGGGGCTCCTACAAGGGTTATGATTGGCTTCCCATCTGACACTGCCACGGCAGGTGTTCCAGCTGTAAGTCACCTGGTTGTAGTGAGTCTGCGAGGGTTGACCTTCACATTTTGTAGCCACTCAATAGCCGTAGAGTCTGACGTCCACCCATTCTCTGTTGCTGTAACCTCCAGGCTTCGTATGGAGTCAAGTATAGAGGAAACCACTGCTGCTGGACAGACTTCCCCTTGTATATCACAAGTGGGGGTAGTGCAGTACCAGTCGCAGAGATACACTCTATAAGAGATGTCCAAGCTCGAGATCCAGGCTGTTTCTTCCGTATAGAACGAGTCTCAGATGATCCTAGAACAAGACCATTTGATCCTCTACCTTCTATAATACCTGTCTCATCCATATTGTATCGATTCGAGGCCTTAATAGCTTTGATCTCAGGGATAGCGAGGTATTTGAACCATTGCCTGATCACATTAGCTGAGGCTCCATTAATACGCTGGGAATCGATAGCTCTGCTTCTCTGGACCTTAACTGAAGGGTTCCTCTGGTAGTCAGCGAAGGCTATATCTCTTGACTGGGCTCCCTGAATCCGTCGTGAAAGAGTAGACCTTGGGACACCATGCTCATATGCTGCTTTTCGGAGGCTTTGACCGGTAGCTATTGCTTGAAGAGCTCGATAAATATCATCTTAGGTATATTGACTCATATTAGTGTAAAGAAGACGTACGTAAAATCTCGTAACGATTGAATCGATATTGGTAAAGAAAAAAGAGGTTGAAGTTAGAGGCTAGCGGTGTTGATGAGGCATTTTTGGGTGTCCCACATGTGGGTGTGTCCCGGATGTGGGTGTGGGACGTTACTTCATGCTTTCCCTGAATGCGTGAAAAGCCGGGTATTGAGTCAGGGATGCCACAATTGACTGAAGGTGCGATAGGTTTTGATCTCCAGTACCACTTTTGTTCCTTCATACTGTCTCCGTCTTCGTCTTCGTCTTCTGTTTCCTCATCGCTGTTGTCCCCGGCTCCTAAATCACCACAGCCAGGCTCCTCATGTGTTCTTCTCAACTCAACTTCATTTGATGTCACAAGTGAAGCATTTCTTGATTATGCCAGAGACTCCTATGGAGAATTCAGGCGATTAATTCTGTCTACGCATTGATGTCGGGATTGATGCATTCTGTGGGTATTTTGAGGGTTGTTCGTAGACTTGAAGAGCCCCCAGAGCCTCTTGGTCACGTTTTGTCGCTGTGATCTTTCTTCCAAGCATCTGAACAGTAGAAACATACTGGATGCTATGTCTGTCGAAGCCTGTGTTTCCCAGAAACTCCTTTAAGGAACCATTATGTCTTTTGAAGAATTTCTGCGAGCTTAATTCCTCTTTGGATGCCAAATAGAGCGGTCGGAGCACCAGATCTTGAGATAGGATGTCAACAAAATGCATTGCGGCATCTGGAAGTGATTCTTTGTGATCTGAGCTTATAGACAAGGAGGTACCAAACGAAGAAACGGGGAATATTTCTCGCTTGGCTCCAGGGTCTGTCAATGTGTCCACTCGGCCTCCTCGTCCTTCCCCTGGCTTTGACAGACGGTTACGAAGTTGTTCAAACTGTCAAGTATGGAGGGATGCTCGCGGCTCGGCGCCTTCTCCTTCAGCTCTAGGGCTCGCCGTTGCATCTTTGCGGCCTCTTCATATTTCCCCTGGCTTCCAAGAACGATCACTAGAAAGTTTATCGAGGATTTCTACGAGACCAGTACTAGGAAGAAATAGGATTTGCTCATAATTATACTAAAAAGCGATCGTCTTCTTTTTCTCGGCGGGTACAAGAGCTACTACTCGACTAACTTCGAGCTATATTATAAAGAGTATAATATTATTACACTTAGTATACCTGCTTATTCGTTATATAAGCTCCAGCCTCTCGATTTAAGTTATTTTAGGGCTTTGAAAAGGTCGTACAGTAAAGAAATTAAAGACCTAATACGGGTGTATATAACGACTTCCTTGTTTAGTATTTACTTTACTAGGAACTAATATCAATAGTTAGATAATTATCAATTAATGCGCTAGGACTCGAGCTTCGAAATACCTCTATAGGCACGTCTTGAGAACTTAATAGTAAGACATCGTATCTATGCGCCGATACTCTACTACTGTAGCCTAGTGATTTAAGATTTTAAGCGCGTTCTATATACGACTTTAAAACTAGCCATTACAGTCTCTGATATATTGTCACGCCGTGCTAGGGGTTGCAATCCTTGCCACTACGCCACCTTACCAGATGTCTTCACCAAAAGAGACCAATACCAAAGTCCCTGACTTTGATATCTACAACCACTTATCAATCTGTTCACACCAGTGTAGGTCAATCACGTGACAACCGTCACATATATTAGTAGTGTACTATATAGTTGTTAAGAAAAGAAAGGGAGCATCGCGTTGGGGGAGGGGGAGCTGGGGAATTTGGGCAAATTCGGGTTGTAAATGGGTGTCGAGGGTCAATGCAATTAGGACAGGTGTAGATATAAAATAAAAAAAAAAAAAATATTAAATACGCCGTAGGTGTTAACCCTCGGTACCTCTACAAGTACTCCCTTAAGGGGCTATAGATGATATAGCGGGCCCTTAAGCCGCGTCGGGCGGTTATACAGGTAAACTTGTAGCCAAATGACTACTAAACCTCCTGTCCCTCCCTAAGTCTGTGCTACAACCCCTGCCTGAACTACCGATAAGTGTGGTAATGTGGCACTTAAATTCGTCCTCAGGGGTGGGATGCTGCTGATGTGCAGAAGATGCTCGACTATTTTTTTGTCGCGACAAGTCGTAGTATCTGCTAATTGGGGTTCTCGTCGAGCGTATACATCTCAACCATACGCTCAAGTGGATAGACCGTAACGTGGTCAGACGCTCGCAAGAATCGCGGCGAGAGGGCGTGCTGCGCGCCTTCTATCGTGAGGGGACGGGTTCGCCGACGAGCGTTATCGGAAAGGCGAGGTCCGATAAGGGGTCGGATTAACGATTCGAATTCTGGACCGGCTGTCGAGTTATATTCCGCCGACGTAGTGCTTGACGGTCGACTGGCTAGGATGCTCGTAATCCTAAACTGCACCAATCTCCCTATTATCGCTAGGTAGGCGAAGTCAACAAGGTGGGCAGCGCGCCGTAAGGGTTGACTAAACCCCCTTGTGTGTCAGCTGCGGGATTCGAACCCGCGACTCGTCACCGACCCAAGTGGGCGAGGCTCAAATCGGGACTTATCTACCAGCGAAGTGACCAACTACACCAGCCGACAGATATAAAATAACAAACTCCGTTCGGCCCTATTCTGACGCACACAAGCGTCCAATCCCTGAGTGCTACTGTCGTCACTCAGATAACCAAACATCTGTCGGATTCCAACCACTGGGGGCTGTATTGGTTCTAGGAAGGTGCATGGAGGACCTATCCCAAGTTGGATCCCGAGGGGTCCCTGAATGCTACTGTAGGTGGGAATAGGGGCTGGGCGGCTGCGTCGAGTTGGCCGAGGCCTGACTCGGTGGGGGCGTACCAGCCAAATTGGCCTCCAGAAGAGCGCTTGCTCTCTTAAATCTATTAGTGCTAAATTCAAAGGCGTGGGAACTAGTAAGAATTAACGATATGCCCCTCGGAGCTCAACAAGTATAGTGACTCCCGAGCAGTTTGGTGGGGATACTACATGTGTTTCTCACTGCTTATTGTAACCGCCCTGTAGATTCCCACCATACTTGTATAATTCCCCAAAGTCGCACGCTTAGAATTATGCATTGCTAACGACCCCAGATCATCTTAAGGACATCCCTAACAGACGTTGTATCTTGTATTTTAACGTTCATAAAATCGACACACCGCTAAAGAGACCTAGCGATCCCCTCAACCCACACGTATATGTTTGTAACTTGTCTCATCCTCGATGTTCGCAAATGGTTGAAGGAATTGAACCGAATGGACCAAGGTCAAGTTTCTATAGGATTGCACTGGGAATTTTGTTCCAGTATCTACAAACACCCCTAGAATACAGCAAGAGCATTAGGAGGGGACCCCACCAAGCCCGGGATATTCAACGGCACCGAAGTGAGCAAAAAGCTATACCTCTTCGTCTTTGCACAATGCTCCGACAAAGCCTTCAGATCCCACAACTCCCCGATAGGCATGCCAAACATGGAAAGCAGCCAAGGATGAAGTACTATGAAACAACAGCTGTCAGCAGAGGCATACTCGTTCGCACCAAATCATTCCTTGATCAAAATCTCAGAAAAGAAAAAAGGGAGAACATCAACTTATACACTCACCTAATTCACGCGTAGTAGCCGAACTCCCGTCCTCCTTAACCGGCGGCAACGCCTCAAACGCAGACGAATCCCCCGCTACAGCCGCAAAATGCCGATTCCACAGCCACTTGACCGACTCCATGCACCCGTGCATACCCGCAACGCGGAACTTCTGCAGCTTTTGCCAGTCAGCCGGCGAAGGTGCTTCAAGGGCTTCGGTCGCCCCCGTGCGCAGGATCAGCACATCGCCCGGGCGGAACTCGACGCCTTGGTCTTTGGCGATGGCTTCGATTTCCGCGACGGTAATGCGGTGGCCGTCGAGGGCGTGGAAGATGGCTTCTTCACCTGTTTTGCCGGCTGCACGGGCCTTGGATTCAGACCAGTATTTGTAGTCTATTAGGACGCCGCGGGCTACGAGGCCGCCTTTGCCGTGCCAGTGGTCTAGGGTGGGCATTTTGTTTGAGGCTGTGTTGGGGGCTGAGAGGCCTTCTTGGGTTACTTGGATGCCGTTATATGCCAGGGTAGACTCTTGATGTTGCCAGTGGACTAGGCTGTCCCATTGGCTGCTGCACTAGTCGTATCGTCAGTTAGCCCGTGGTTGTGTAGGTCTCTTGTCTGCCTTTCTGTTCAGGGAGGATTATGGAACTTACCTGCGTGTTGAAGTGAACCTCATCGTCCCAACCAACGGCGTCGATGATGCCCGTACTCTGGAGAGTTTTTGGCGTATGCGTGACTTTCATACGGCCGGGCACCTCAAAGGGCATACTGTTGAGTGGCCAGCTGAAATACACCTCCGTATCAGTCGATCGCCCCCCCCCCAACACCCACTACAGGAAGGGAAAACTCACTTGAGTGAGACGGACAAGCCATCCCTCGCCTCAGCACAAGCCGCCGCAACCACAGGCTGCGTCAACAGATTTACGGTGCCCAGCAAATCCTTCTTCCCATCTTTATCGAACACACCCCAGGCGCAGCCCTGTGGCATGCCCTTGACAGGCGGCAAGTCATCGAAGTCGGGAAGTTGGGAAGTGTCCATTGTTCGTTACTGTATGGTAAGAACAGGTTGCCGGGCAAGACAAAGTGGACTTCCATATTTGTTTGGACACGACGACCGTAGTTTGGCTTCGAGACCTGAAACAAAGCTACCTGGCGCGGCGTCGTTGCTGTCTCGCGCAATTCATCAGAAGAAAAATGCCGCATAATACACCCATAAGTCACCGCGTCCAGCGCCTACGAGGAAAGAGGGTGTCAAGATGTTGAAAGCTCCACTTCTTATTGCTCGCAAGTATAGATGAATCCCCACAAACTTTAGCGGACACGTCAGGTGCGGCTCACCTTAGCTGTCTTGAATCAGTACTTACCTGAGAAGCGACATGAGGCTTGCTAGTCTCATTAGCTTTTCCGGTCCATCCGCTCTCTATCGTTGAATAGGCATCTCCACGTAATGAGGCAAGACGGCGGCGCTCACTTTAGTTACCTGTGCATTTGTCTAAACGCGTGATTGGGCCATATAGACGAATACGTTCGTTTTCGGTCTTCTTTACGAAAACGAAGATAGATTCCACTCCGCCGTATGTCTAACTTGGACTAAAACCACTACTGGCCTGAGGTGGGGTGGTAGTCCCTATCAACTGCTGCTGCTGCTGCTCAGTGGTGGGTCCCTCTGCACCTCAAAACCTTCAGCTCCAACGGAACGGACTAGTCCGGCAACGGAAAAGCCCCGAGAGTAAATTAGATAGGATGTTGAAAATAGTAGTAGCAGTGGTTCTTCAAACTATACAGCATTGAACTATATTCTGCACGATAACTACATCAATATATAATATATATAGGTATATTCCTATTAGAGTTTGATATATCAATGATGGTCGAGATATCTCTTAACTCCAATCTAAATATATAAACGTGCGTTATGCGCCCTATATATAGTTACAGGGGCTAGCATTATACGAAACTGGCCGCACTTTCAAGCTGACTTGTAGGTTGTTGGCGAATTGGGTGACGTGCACTTATTGTTCCAGACACTATACAGATCTATTGGGAAGGTAGTAACAATTTGGTGCATATCATTAGCATTCGGAAGTACCGTCAAACACGACATATGTGAAAAAGTACAAATAAACGTCGTTGTTGCACTATATTAGCTGTTTTTAGGCTTGACGAGTAGTGGGACCCGAAGCCTTGGAGACTGGGACCCGAAGCCTTGGAGAGTGGGATCCGGGAGTTTGAAAACCCCGAGGAGTGTTGGAAGCTGGACCCGTGATACGATGGAGAGTCTTAACAGTGGATGAACGACACGAGCTAATAGAGGAGTCGTGTCCCAATGTTCAGCCCAAATCAACACTCCACCTTCACTCAGAGAAAAGATTGTGCATTTTTTGTTCAGCTTTGAGCAAAAGACATTGCCGTTAGACCAAAGCAAAATGGGATCCAACGTCGAAATGCTCGCCAGCATGCCCCCCGATCAACAAAAATACATGGCCGAAGCGGCCAAGCGCAAGCGGCCGGACGGCATGGCGCAGTTTCAGGAGCTGCATTTCAGCGACAACGAGCGCCTGCGCCAGCTCGCCGATGACCCCTTCGCCGACCACGCCACTCTGGACCAGCTACCCGTGCCCATCAAGTCGGGCGACCGGGTTAAGTTCCTAATCTTGGGCGCCGGGTTGGGTGGGATCTTGAACGGGGTCAGGCTGATCCAAGCCGGGTTTTCCGCGGACCAGATCCGCCTCGTCGAAGTCGCGGGCGGGATTGGAGGGACTTGGTACTGGAACCGGTACCCGGGGCTGCACTGCGATGTGGAGAGCTACGTATACTTGCCGCTGCTCGAGGAGATGGGGTATATGCCGCCGCATAAGTATATATCTGGGGTTGGCATTCGGAATTACCTTGTGGAGATGGCAAAGAAGTGGGATCTCGCGGACAAGATCATGTATCGCACGCAGGTCAATGGCCTGCAATGGGACGACGGCATCCGTGCTTGGAAGGCGGACATGACGACCGGCCGAGGGCCGGGCGGCCAGGAGAAGAGCACACTCTGGATGAATGCCGATTTTGTGCTGCTCAATACTGGACTATTCCCGCACCCCCAGGTGCCCAAACTGCCCGGTCTGACTGGTTTCGAAGGAGCTATGTTTCATACTGCTCGGTGGGACTACAATGTGACAGGGGGATCAAGCGAGACTCCGTTCCCCACCCTGGACAAGCTGAACGGCAAGCGTGTCGGTATAATCGGCACGGGAGCGACAGCCATCCAAGTTGTTCCGGAGGTGGCTAAGTGGGCCAAGGAGCTATACGTCTTCCAGCGCACACCATCGCAAGTCCACGTTCGTGGGCAACGCGAAACGGATCTGACCGAGTGGAGGGAACAGATCGCAGCAAAGCCGGGGTGGCAGACCGAGCGCATGGAGAATTTTGCTGAACATCTGTCGCTCGGGGCACCAAGCGACCACAAGAACCTCGTCGGAGATGGATTTAGCCACTTGTCGGCGTACTATGCTCTCATAGGCGGTATTGGAAGTGACAAAGTCACGCCCGAGAAAGTGCCGGAGCACATTGGAGGTCTATTAGCCTTAGATGCCACTCGCGCCGCCAAGGTACGAGCCCGGGTATCAGAGGTGGTCAAAGATGAAGACACGGCGGAGAAGCTGACTCCCTGGTATCCCGTCTGGTGTAAACGGCCAACCTTCAGCGACGTTTTCCTGCAGGCTTTCAACCAGGAGAACGTCCACTTGGTCGATACGGACGGAAAGGGGGTGGACGGTGTGACCCCGCGTGGACTGGTGTTTAATGGCAAGGAATACCCACTCGACGTACTCATACTTAGCACAGGATACCGCTCACCTGGGGTTGGCTCGGGCAACCCATCGGTTCGTACCGGTCTGGAAATAGTTGGTCGGGGAGGGCGAACTTTGACGGAGAAGTGGACATCGCAAGGCCCAACGACGTTGCATGGCTGTGCCTCCAACGGCTTTCCGAACCTCTTCTGGATGGGTCCGACCCAGGCAGGCGCTACTGCCAACTTCGCCCACGTGCTTGAAGTTTTGAGTCGACATGTTGCACATATCGTAGCCAAGGGCCATGAACAGGCCGGAGCGTGCAAGCAGGATAATGGAGTAGTGGTTGAGGTAAGGAAGGAAGCTGAGGAGGCGTGGAGTATGCTTTGTCTTTCAGGTGCCGCGGCATTTTCTGCCACGTCGGTCTGCACACCAAGTTATCTAACAAATGAAGGGGAGGCCATGTTAGGGAAGCCGCAAGAACTGATGCAGCGAGCAAGAGGCGCGCCATGGCCAACTGGGATGGTGGCGTATATCCGTGAATTGGACGCATGGCATGATGCAGGCAAGCTGGAAGGGATAGAGGTCACCGCCGCATAGACGGTTCCAGTTCTTCCGAGGGCCACCCCATAGGTGGTTGTGGATGCTTTCTAGCCCCTAGCTAGACATGAACCAATGTAATATATGCTTGAGATAGCACTTGATGGCTGAGCCCACCGGGCCATCACGCGATCGCCCACCACTATTGACCCAAATGTGCAGGTTAGCAGATGGCATCCCTCCCAATGTTTGTGAAGTCATCGCCTGAACTGCCTAACATCAAGCTGCTGCGCCGAACTCTCAATAAGCTCAACCAGTCTTCTCTCCCTCGTCTCCGGCCGCTTAGCCGACATGATCCAATCAAAAACCTGCCGCCTATACCCCGGCGTCCTCCCCTCCACGTACGCTGCCGCCCCCTCATCGGTCTCCAACCTCACCTTGAATTCCTCACTCAGTCCCTTCGCCTCGCGCTCGAAGTAAGTCTGCGCCGTATTCTCTTCCGTCCTGAGTGCGAACGCCGCCCGTCCGGGGTCCCTCATGCGCCCCGCCGCCTCGAGGATAGCAACCTTTTCCACATTGATGCGACTCCAGTGACTCCCCTTCTTTTTACGGGGTGTGAAGCGTTGTGCGGTGCGGTTGCTGTCGATTGACTTGACTTGGCCGTCGATCCAGCCCCAGCAGAGCGCTTCGTCGACGGCTTGGGACCACGGCATGACTTGCCGGCCCGTATGTTTCTTGTAGTAGCCTACAAAGACCTCGGTCGCAGTAGCGTGGTTTTGGGATAGCCAGGTGCCGAAGGCGGAGGGGGAGTCGAAGAAGATTGCGTTAGCGAAGCTGGGTTTCTGCTGGGCGGTAGCGCGACTGGCAGCCGACATCGTGCGGCGCGTTCGAGGGGTGGTCGTTGTCGCTTTTCGAACCATTGCGGGAGGATTGAATGGTGACTTGCGCAAGACACTCGACGTAGGTCTCCTTGGCCAGTCAAACGCCGTGGCAATAATGTATGTTTGGAAGAAGATCATGGAGCGACTCTGAAGGTGCCACGAGGGCAGCTGCGCTACCGCAAGCGGAATTATGGTAGTGCTCGTCTAGGCATCTTGCCCAAGCACTTGTACACCTCGAGCGACAACAGACAGATCAATGTTCGAGAGAAATAAATGTTTGAGGCCGACATGTGCTTGAATTTATCCTGTCTGCCAACTTGTAACTGTCGAGCAAAACAGCCCCTCATCGAACGAGGGATCGGATAACATGACCAACACCCCGGCTAATTAGGCGAATTGAACGCATCCCGTCCTCACTTCCACCGCGGGCTGTGGGGCAACTGGCCCCATGCGGAAGTCCCAGACATATATGGCCGGTGGGAACCGCTACAGGGTAACTACGCGGCTACAAGTGCGACGCAACCATGTTCAACTCAGAAAGTCAACCTTTTTTGACTCTTCATGTTGTTCTCTGCATTGATGCTCTCTTGATTCATTAGACAGTTATTATAGCACCCGAATTGCCTACTTGCATCCACACAACAACTACTAAGAGTGTGCCAGATATGATTATGAAAGTGAGAGCCCAGCATTTGCACAAATACCAGATTCAAGATAGACCTCCAGGCAAGCAGCATGCACCCTATGCGCTGGTTACGTTAGTTTCTACTGAAGTAATGATCGGAACATTATAAATTAAAGAACGCCAAACACCTACTGCACCTCCAGGAAAACATGCCACAATCTAGGCATCCCTTAACCAGCAGACACAAAGAGGGAGATTGCCTAAATTAAGCTGTCCCCAGTGGCTGTATTTGTGTGTGATCTATGGCTCTAGTAACGACTAACTCTATCACGACTTCAGTTACAGCTTTGCCGACCAACCGGAGTATATGAATAAATTTCAGGAAAAACAATTACTGCGGGGGCGGGAGTGGTTGGGGGGCCGGGTGGGGGTGGCAATATATCAAGCAGAATAAGCTAACGACTGGTGTGTGTGGAAATGGGTGATGAGAAATGGTGTTATTGCCCATAAGCACATCATGGTTCGGATTTGATCCGGGTTGCGATATGCCGTGTATCGAATTCCCCTTTACGCGAATTTCCAAACTTGATAAAAAATCAAAGCGGCATTGGAGTCGGGTTAACTCTTTACCAGCAATCCTACCAGCAATCCTGCCATCGATGTGCCTCAGGAATCCAACAAATCGACTCCTTTAAACGGTCAGACTAGGTGCTCTTCATATTACGGACTCCCTGTCACTTCGGAGATAAGTGGGTTCAAGAAGAGAAACAGATTCCAGAGACGCCTTTATATATATATGTATATAAACTATAAAGAGCTGAACCGCGGATTACACCAAAGTAGCTATGTAGACGAACTCCAAGGATTGTCGTGAGTCCTTGTCATCGTGATCAGCCAGGATTGACAAATGTAACGCTGGAATCCTAAATACTCCACACTTGGTCGGAGGAAGAGTGAGAACCGTTATGGTGCTCGTTAACACGGAGCAATGCAAGGTTAACTGCATGGTCTTTCGGAGCTGACGTTCTCAGGTTATGTTCTCAATAATAACAGCGCGCCACAACGTTGCAATATTGACCATCTCAAAGCCAGCGCTGTCACTTACATACATCAAAGCCGTAATTTCCCATGGTTTTGCGGTGTCTAAAACACCTGCACTTACGGAACACCACCAATAATCGGCATGGCCGTAGATTCGACCCTACAATCCGTCACCCCACTTCAGGTATGGGAAGTGCTGGCCGGGAGCGCTGGGGGCAGGCTCCAATGGACCAACCCGGCAACTCTCTGCCGTTATCCCTGCGTGGCCAGGCGTAGGCTATCGCTAGCAAGCCCAGTTAGGACGGCAGGATGAGCTAATGCGACACGCCACTGAATAATTGGAGAACGTCCCTTTGAGGGTGCTGGGAATATGTGATAAGTGATAAGCATTAAATGCCCCGAGGTACGATATCGTCATGTGAGTTGAATAAATCATCTCTTCTTCTCATCATCGCACACAGCTCTCTAGTTTTAATAGAGGTTTCGGGGGACTCGCGAACATGGCGTCGATAGACACTCAGCACAAGGACGTCGTCCAGCCCAGCATGGTAGCCGAGCGGCCGCCCGAAGTTGGACCTGATTTCAACTCCGACAATGGCCTTCTAGAAAGCATTGGATATAAACAGGTATGTAGGTGGGCGTCGACCTCGAAACCTCTCACGGAGGAGTACGTGAAAGGAGATGTTTACCGTACTAGGAATTTCGCCGCGAGTTTACACGATGGTCTACTCTCTCGTACGCCATATCCATCATGGGCGTGCTGGGTTCAGGTAAGTGATGTGGAGACATGGGAATATAAGACATTGCCAAGACGCTGACACGCCCCAGTGCCAGCATCATGGGTTTCACCACTAGCTGCAGGTGGTCCCGCCACGGCTATATGGGCTTGGTTCTCAGGAGGCTTTTTCTCCCTCTGAATTGCGCTCTCCATCGCGGAGTTGATATCGGCGTACCCGACGTCAGGGGGGATGGTAAGCTATTCCCATGGTCATTTGCTATTCATTCTTGTCCTGTATCCAGGGTGTTGGGACTGGCATACTTCTCGGGACTATCTTGAACCTCCTGAGCCAGCTACGCATACGGATTTTGATGAATAATGACATATGGATATGGGCAGTATTTTGTGACTAAGCATGTCTTCCCCCCGAGCATGTACCCCTGGCTGAGTGGATAATAGGGTGGTCCAATTTCCTCGGGCAAACCGCAGGAGCTGCGTCACTCGGGTACTCAATTGCGCAGATGGTAGGCCGACGTAGCCGAAGGCTCTGGAGGGATGGCTGATACGTATAGATCCTCGCAGCGGTCGTAATCGGTTCGGAGCAGGAAGATGGGAGTTTTGCGTACACTCCGTATGGTTTCTTCCTATCGGGGATAAAACATTTGTATATGAACATGCAAAGACTAACCAATGAGCTCCAGGACAGCGGCAGTGACCGTAGCGCTCAGTATCGCCATTCTCTTCGGTTTCGGCATTGTCTGTTCCTTTCCTACAAAGAGTCTTTCGCGGATTATCCAATGGTTTGCCCCTATTAACCGTGAGTTTTCTGCCCTTCACCGACAGTCCAGAGGCAAGCCTCGACTGTAACTTCGCGGCAGTCATCGGCTCAATCGCAATCTCCATTACAATCCTGGTCCTCTTGCCAGAGAAGCCGTCCGCCCGCCAGGTATTCGGCGAGGTTGTAGACGGTTCAGGCTGGAACAGCAAAGGCTTCTCCTTCCTCATCGGCTACCTCAGCGTAGCTTGGGTGCGTTTCTTCCCCCTTCACACCTCATCATCCCCCCTTTACCAAAAGCGCCCCTATAAATCCCAACATTCACACCCGGTATACAGACAATGACCGATTACGACGCCACCGGCCACATCTCAGAGGAACTCCACAACGCTTCCATCGTCGGCCCGGTAGCCATATTCCAAGCCGTCCTAGTAACCTGGTTCTTCGGCTGGCTTCTCAACGTCGCCCTCGGCTTCGGCGCAGGCGACATCGACGCCCTCCTGTCGACCCAAATGGGCAACCCCGCCGCGCAGGTGTTTTACAACGCCGGTGGCAAGCGCGGGGGATTGGCGATGTGGTTCTGTGTAATCCTGATCCAGTTCTTCACGGGGATCACAGCGCTGCTCGCTGATACTAGGACCTGCTTTGCTCTCGCGAGGGACAGTGTGTTTCCATTTTCGGAAGGACTGAAAAAGATGAATAAATATACGCAGACGCCATTGTATAGTGTCTGGGCGACAGTAATCTTTTGTTGTCTGCTTAATCTTATTGGATTGGGTGGGACACAAACGATTAATGGGATCTATGGAGTTACGGCCCCGGCGATGGATCTGTCGTACATCGCAATCATCGCGGCGAGGGTGTACTACGAAAAGGAACATCCGATTGCCAAGGGGCCGTTCCAGTTGGGACGGTGGCAGAAGCTCATCAACTGCATTGCGATAGCATGGGTGCTGTTCATATCGACTATTCTGTTCTTCCCACCGAGTTATCCAGTCACGGCCGTCAATATGAACTACGCTGTGGCTATCGCGGGTTTCATCGCCATTTTTGCGCTGTCTGGGTGGCTTCTTTCGGCGAAGAGGTAAGTGATCTTCGGCAGTGGATATTGGCAAAACTAACATGTAAGATATTACACCGGGCCGCGAGTAGAGGGACAGTGACATGAAGATGGACATAATTTCGAGACGGATCAAGAAACCCATTGTAGGGCTTGAAATGGATTGATGTACTTTAAAAGGTCATAGACTGTTCTTCTCCCATGGTTCCTCCCTTCTAAACCTCTGTCTGCCGACCAACATACCCCAGCTCTCACATCTTCCCACTTTCCACCTCCGATCATTATATTGCTGCGATCGTTTCTCATATGCGACCATGCCAAGATGAGGAATCAATGTCAAGAGCGTTCGTGAAAGGGGCTGAAATCCCTTGATGATCTTCTGAGGCATCTCTGGGACACATAAATTGAATGTCTGGGTGACAGATGAATAGCTGAAACGAGAAAAGCCTGAGACAGAATGCACCAGAGAATCCCATTTCAGTCGCGCTTCAACCACAATCTTTTCATTTCACTGCCACTGATCCATACAGCTATCGAATTCATCCTCCGAAGCGTGAGGAACAGGTATGTCAGGCTTCATTATCTCCACTTCTTCGGAGCAATTACTCCTTGTTCTGCGCAGTTTTCGACGTCGGACATCACATCAGCTTTCAGTGATCGACTGGCATCTCGCCGGTTGGTACTCGCAGAATTACAGGGACACGCCTCGATCAAGCTTCTTCTTCGCTGGTTAATATAGGCTAGACGCTCTCGCGGTACCTCGTCCATCTTCCAACGCCTGGCCTCCAGCCCCCCAGGCGGAAAACCCGCGGACTACTCTCACATCATACCAGCGCGATGGATTCCCCTCTACCCCGACGCTGTCACTCACGCGACCTCTCAGCATCCAATTTGAATCTCACAATGCCCCAGAAACCTTGATAGCTGGATCTGCCACCGATGGCCTCCCTCTGTACAATTTTGGCGCCTAAGCCGTAGTCTTCTTCTGGACCCTCGGCTCCAGAAGCGTGTCACAGTCGCGTTTGCGTCTCCAGAGACATTGCCCCACGATCCAGACCAGCATGGTCAGCAGCGAGGGTGAAACAACGACGATACATAGGAATAATGCGAGATTTTCCTGGGTCGGGGGCCAGGTTAGGCCCCTTGCGAAGGGCCTGCGGAGGTCTATGGAGAGGGATGATTGCCGCGACTGCGGTGATGCGGTGGGTTAGGAGGGGGAGTACAGGAGCCATGAGCGGTTTGGAATGACTTGTAAAATCCTTTTATTTGGTATTCATTGTAGATTCTGAATACTAGAGAATCGTGGTAGATGTTCTCGGTCCCGTATGGCGGTCAAGTCCGTTTGACGCTATATTCTACAAGGGCGAGAGGCAGGGCTTATCCTACGACTTCAATAGCCGAAAGCATGAGGCAACCATGTGGCCGTTTCTTTGTTCGTAGTGAGATGAATTCTTTGTGCTTTTGGTTGGTCGTTAAAAGCATGGTTTAGTAGCTAACGAAGTAGGGGTGGCCAACTAGCACATTGTTGTCTCACTGAGCTGCCGCATCATAAACAATGGTGAAAATTCCATGGGGATGGTCTGCCTGTACTGATTTCGCCCTGACATACCACCATGCGCTCCAATACGTAGTGTGTCCAGAGGCTCTTTGACAGCTTCGGTCTATCCCAAATGCGTATCGCAAAGCATGAGTTAGATCAATACCTGAACCTGAAGTCCAGACGTTTATTCCCATCCACTTCGCGAGCCCCCTGGTCATGTTGATAGGTCAGCCTCTCCTCCTCAGACATGGTTCTCCAGACCCTTTCCTTCTTCCTGTTCAAATAGATCAAGTACTGGCGTTGAGCGACGAACGCCACCAGACTAAGCGCACAGATCGAGATACAGACTCTGTTTCCATTCTTATAATAGGGCGCGTCCCAAGACCGGTAGATCTGTGACCCGATGAGCGACCCAATCTGCACAATGACATTATACGTAGCCGCCGTTATGGCACGTTTTTTGACGTCGAAGGTGTTCTCGGAGATCCAGGAAGAAACAAGCGGGTGGAAGTAGGGATAACCGGAAATCAGTGTGATGAGTGAAAAGCGGGCCCAGTCGCGACCACCATCGGGGATGGCAAGAAGTGCTACGAAAAGGGGAATCATCCAGAACTCGCCGAAGAAGCAGTGAAAGGCTCGCTCGTTGAAGTAGTCGCTGCTGAATGCCAGGGCTAACATAGTGATGATTTGAACACCGGCCGCAGGGGCTGTGAGCATATTGCTGCTGAAAGTCGTAAACCCAATGCGCTTCAGGGTGAGGGTCAGGTATGCCGATACGGGGGTCGCGGGGATGTAGGCGATGAGGCCAATGAAGTAGAGACCCCACATGGAAGAATCGGACCACGCAGCCTTGATGTCTTTCCATGTCGCCGGTTCTTTGATGCTAGTCAAGCCCTTGGCTGGGTCATCACGCAGGATACGCTATCATCCAAATTCAGTATGGACTTGGCCCACAGGAAAGGGAATGTTACTTACGTTGATCATGATGACTTCCTCGCGCTCAGTGTACCATGGGCGGGGGCAAAGCACCGACTTTGTCGAGGTTGGGGACCTGGGCAGGTACAAGAACGAGATGACGCCCAAGACGACAGTCAAGAGACCTTCAAGCAAGAACAGCCAGAACCAACCGGGTCTGCCTCCAATACCTCTCATTTCCAATATACCGGCCGCTAACAGCGCTGATATAACTCCTGAAGATCGTTTAGCAAGCTGATCAAGAAAACTTGGCCATTTAAGGGGTGTCAACTTACGGGCAATGTTGAGTGTCGACCAGAAAGCAGCAAGTCGCACCGATAACTCCTTGCTAGTGTAGAAGTAGGTCGCCATGAGTATCGTACCTGGGATGAAGCCACCCTCGCACATGCCAATAAAAGCACGTGTGACATAGAAGGTGGCTCTTCCTGTTATGAAAGCTTGAGCCCAGGCTAATATGGTGTCTTAGTAAACTTCCTAATTCGTGCCGGGTACCGCTCAAGCAGGTGACTTACAGACTGTTCCCCACATGACCATCATCGTAGGCAAGACGTACTTGAAACCGTAGCGTTTGGTCAGAAACTGGACTGGAAACTCGGCCGCCAGGAAGCACATTAGTTGGATAGTTGTTCCCTAGCTCTCAAGTTAGCTTCATCTCAGCAACATGAAGGAAATCAACGCACATTGTTGTAGTCGTCACTCGTTATATTGAGGTCGTCAAGGAACGAGTCAGCTAGAGCGTTTGAAAGATTTCCGCGATCCAGTTGAAGCCCAAAGAACTAATGGGATCGTTAGCAAGTTCAATGGTAGCCCAAGTCCACATCGTGAAGCACACCATAACACAAAGCCAAGACAACAACATGTAATCTGTCTTCCGGACGACGCGCCGTTCTTCTTCAGGATCCCATGACACGTATGCGTCGAAACGGTGGCCGCCTTCGTAGTCTGCGTGAGGTCGGACTGCGTGACGCAGATTTTCCCGGCCGACTTCAATATGCTGTTTATCCGGACTTACTGGGTGTTCGTGCACCTTGGACCCAGATTGGATGTCGTCGCCGCCCATCGCGCTTCATGTAAGTGCTTGGCAAAGTACGGTGCCTTCAATCGCAACTCATGACCGTTTAAAGTTGAAGACGAGTAACTCCGGACGAACAACTAGGGCCATGGCGCAGAGGAAAAGGTTTATTTACCTTCTAAACGTCCGGTGTACACGAAGTTGTGCTTCTTGACACCGAGGCCTGTCCATTAGATGCGCCTGGTTAAATCCATGCTAGAACCGAGACCTGGGGTTTGCCATTTACGACAACCCAGTCCGCCGAGACTAACTCGGGCCAACCAGAAGCAGTGCTGCATCTCCGCTAGCATACTCGTGGTTGTCAATGGTCAGGGATGATTGCATTCCGATCAGTCGAGATTGCGGGGTTCGTATGAGGGCCTCCGAGAAATTTTCCGGTGATGCCATACCGGGTCCAGTTGTCGTCTTAAGTTGGCCACGCCAGGGCCAGATACTTGGGATTTAATAAGACCGACAGCTCCAGAGCAGTGCTTTTGTGCGTGAAAGAGTGGACGAGCAAGCTTGCCTGAAGAGGAATCCCTGGGCCACTGTATTGGTCATCAATGGTGCCAGCTTGTCGTCAAGTTGCGTGATCATATCCTTGTCGAAATAGTCTCTGACCCCGATAACTCTTTAACAATCAGTATGCCTTCCGCAAGCATAGACGCGGTGGGCGACTTTAACATTGTCGGCGGACACCCGGAAGCTCAGCCTCGTCTAACGCAGCCGCTGAAATACGCCGGTACTCTCGATGACTTTAGGCAGAATGATATAACTCCTGTTATCGGTCGCGAGTACTTCGGTCTCCAGATCAGGGATCTATTGGCGTGGGATGATCAACTTGTGAAGGATCTTGCTGCAACCAGTAAGTTTTGATGTGACGAAAATGCAATACCTCAAGCTTATTCTTCGTAGTTTCCCAGCGAGGTGTCGTGTTTCTGCGAGACCAAGATGTGTCACCAAACGAGATGAAGGACTTCATCGTTCGCTTGTCCACGCTGGCAGGCTGCCCATCTTCATCCGAACTTCATGTACACCCCTTGACGGAAGAAGGGAGCGAGCTGGGAGATCAAATCTCTGTCATATCGAGCGCAAAACAAAAGAAAGGAGGCGGTTTGACTCATCAACTAAATGACGTGAGCCGGTTCGCAAGTACAGGTTGGCACAGTGACATCACCTTTGAGAAGGTCCCATCAGATTATGCCATGCTCAAAATACACACCCTGCCACAGACTGGTGGTGATACGGTAAAAGAGATCTCAGGGCATTTACAAGAATATGTTTTACTGACTTGCCGGCAGCTATGGGCTTCCGGGTATGAGATATACGACCGTCTCTCCGACCCGATGAAGAAGCTCCTCGAGGGACTGACTGCAACCCATGATGCAAACTTCTTCCACGAAGAAGCCGAGAGACTCGGCAATCCACTCAGAAAAGGAATCCGAGGCTCGCCTCTCAACCAAGGCGGCGACTTGAAGACGGTCCACCCCGTGATTCGCACCAACCCAGTCACGGGCTGGAAGTCTGTCTTTATCAATAAGGGTTTCACCACTAGGATAAACGGCGTGTCGAAGGACGAGTCGGATATACTCTTGAACTACTTATTCAACCTGGTGACTCAGAACCATGATGCGCAGGTGCGCTTCAAGTGGAACAAGAATGATTGTGCCATCTGGGACAACAGATCGACTCTTCACTGCGCAACATATGATTATGAAGCAGCAAGAGCTGGTGATCGGGTGGCTAGCTTGGGAGAGGCACCATACTTTGATCTCGAGAGTAGGAGTCGCAGGGCTGCGCTGGGTATCTAAAACGGTATCAACTTTGAAGCAAGTCGAGATTCTAGGCATCGACCATGAAATTGGATTCGACATGTTTAAATGGGGAGTTTTAAAGTTCTGATCAACAATTTCTTCCGTGGAACGTGGTCCTTGATTCCTGCTTCCCGTCCTGCAAATACCACGCAAGCTAGATCGTGTTGATGGTGATCTGCAGTGTCCATCGAGGCACTGAGATGGTTGAAACAGACACGAGGGCGTTATCGTAACCTGAATGTCGTAATTAGCCCCGCAGAACCAAGAATTAACCGGCTCGCAAGGATGATCTACCCCGCATGACAGAGTTTCTACAGCGATCCCACGATGCAAGTCCCCTTGTGGACCTTCTAGAAATGCCGAGCTATGGGGAGTGCGTAATGCACGACGCACGTGTGGAAGACCGAATGGTTTGTAGACAAAAGCCGGAGGAATCAAGGCAAGAACGACAAGCACAATTCATGATACGTGCGATGTCTCTCATACTCGACAACTAACCGCGATCAAATGCTACCCAGTAGATGTTGTGAAGGCTGATCATCAGAAAAATACGGTGGTTCAACGCGGGATCGGGGGAACGGGGGATACACTAATGTCCCCCCTCGCAGCCATGACCAAAACGACAAATTTCTCACAATCGAACTCTCAACGACCATCCAATCCCCAACGATTTAACCTCGTGAAAAGAGCCTGCGACGCCTGCAAGATCCGAAAGGTGAAATGCTCAGAAACGTCGCCTTGCCACGGTTGCATTACTTCCGGGATCGCGTGTACCTTCAAGACAATCCAATCAACACGAGGCCCCCGAAGCTTACGGCCAAACACAATACGGAAGATATTCGAGAAACAGGCGCAAGATGGTGGCGCGAACGATGAAAAGCTGCACAAGCAAGGTGCGAGCCCGTCACTCGGCGGCCCCTCACAACACTTGTTCGAGTCAAAGTATCCTGATTCCACGAGACGAGCCGACCACGATGCAGCCTTGATAGAGGTATTGGAGATCTACCGACTTCGTTTATATCCTATCTGGCCGATCGTTGATGTACAAGAGCTGCAGGTCCAGCTTACCTCTGGAGATAACCCACGATCGCGACCATTGGCGACCGCAATGCGGCTAGCTGCCACAGCGCAGCTACGGTTAGAGTCCACATCCCCAGAGGAGGTCCCGCGAACGAGCTTGGAAGATGGCGATGGCAACGTAGATTTGACCTGCTTACGCATCGCCTTCTTCCTACACATATACCACGAAAATCAGAAACCCGGTGGCGGGAAATCCATGCTATACTTGAGGCAGGCTTTGACTATAGCCCAAGTGATGCGGTTGGACAGAGAGTCATCATACGCGGCTCTACCCGAGGCGGAGCAGCAGTTACGGCGGCGGGTCTTATGGCTGCTGTTCGTCACTGAGCGCGGTGTATCCATGCTTCACAAGATGCCCGCCATATTGAAGCCAAACATTGCATTTCCCTGCCCGGGCGGCGATGATCAAGAGCAAGTCTTGCCCGCTTTCTTGAAGCTGATTAACCTTTTCTTCGTTTTCGACCAGTCTGGCATCTTCGAAAACCTCCAGAACTCGGACTCTGACCTGTCCAATATGGCAGTCGGCGCCCGCGGCTGTGTGGATACCTTGCAACGGAGGCTTCAGGACAGCACGGCAGACTATGAGTCTAGCAACGATATCCAAAAAGCCGATATCTATGTGACGCGGCAATGGATGAGGGCAGTCCTCTGGCGCGCTGCAGCGAGTTTCGGCCTGACTTCTCTGGCGAGCAGTCCGATCCGCATTGCTCGAGAGTTCCTCTCGTTTGTGTCTCACTTGCCCAAAGCTGCTATTGAAGCTCATGGGCCGACGATAGAATACAAGACGTACGACATCGCTACAGCGGTAATCGACGCAGTGACGAGCAACGTGTCGGTTAATCCAGCTGATCAGCCGGAAGAAGTACTGCAAGGTCTGCAGCTGGTACTGTCTTCTTCACGCGGCGGCAACAAAGCACTCCTTGGATCGCTCTATTTGAAAATGGCTGCGATTACCCCGGGTCCTCAAGTACCACTTGGACTACGTGGTCGTGTCGAAGAGGTTCCCGAAGACCCTGGGGCTCGGTCTGATCGAAGCCCTCCGCATGGCCACGGCATACTTCCGTCACCGTGGGCTGACCTGGAAGATATTGCCTCTAATACCAACTTTGTCAGGACACCTGGCTCTGGCACGCCGAACTACCACTCGCTTGATCAGCAGAACCAGCAAATGTCGTGGTCACCACTTGACTTGAGCACGCCGCTCATCCGAACGCCATCACCATTGACGCGGGCAATTTTCGACCAGGTAGTTCAGGGCAATAGTAGCGAATACCTGCCCAGTGTCGTTACATCATGGAACAATCCAACTCCTTGAGGAAACATTTTGGCTTTCTCCCCGAATAAGAGTCCTAGGTTGAATGGAGGGCTACTCATACATCAGCGCTCGGCCGCTGAGTATCATGTTGGTATCTCAAACGGCAGTACGCCGTTTTCAAGACCCGCCTGCTGAAATGCAGTTGCAGAAGCGTCGCTGTATGAATTCGAGCGTTACCTTGAAACTGGCCGTCTTTGGAGTCTCTGCTCATCACAAGGCAAGAAAAGATCTGGCTCACGAGGTTTGAGCGCTTCCTGCTTGTGCTCTGCCTGCTTGTGCTTCCCGGAAGAAAACCCCCGGCTTCCGCTTGAGGAAGGGCGTCTGATGGGACAGGACCAAAAACCGAACCAGACATGAGCGTCATGGTCGCTTCGCCAGTTTGATAGCAGAGATGCAATCCCATTGTATAAAGAGGCTACGCCTGATAAGCTCCCGGACTGGAACGTCGGAAGGATATCTAGAAAAGCAGCGCATTGTCTTGATCTTGAAGTCTAGACTTCAGCATATTGTGTACGTTAAAAATATATATTAAATTCTACCGCCAGTGCAATCGATCTCACTAAGCGTACTGAGTGTCATCAGCAGCTCCGATGGTGTAGTCCCAATCCCACCTCTATCTTGTTATATGCACACGAACAGCGGTACGGTACCGAGTCAGCAAGTCACACTGGCAGGATAACTCTTGGAGTCCACTTGTGCACTCGAAGGAACCCCGCCTGCCCGCATCGCCGTGCACAATCCCTCTCTCCGAGAAATTCCCCGGATCAAAAAGGTGGAGAGTGATGGAATGAATCAAACATCTCATAAGAGAAACTGGAAGTGAGAGTCCTTTAAATTCTGCATCATATTATTTTACTGTTACTTGCTAGAAAATTCCCTTATATCACACATAAAATGGCGTGGGAAGAACCTCGAAAGACTGGTATGGTGTACCGCCGCTTGGGCAATTCCGGACTACATGTTTCGGCAATTGGACTGGGAGGATGGCTTACTTACGGTGGTCGTGAGTATCCAGGAATTCCCTATTTACAAGATGATGTCAACTAACGGTGTTGTCCAGATGTTGGCGATGGTATGAGCCCAATCCAATCAGACTTGGTCGAGGGAGACTAAAGTTCTACACAGAGAGAGCATTTGAGTGTATGAAGCAAGCGTGAGTGACATGAGTCTGTCTCCTGGTGGCACAATGCCGGTATACTAAATGAGTCCAGATATGATCTTGGTGTCAACTTTTTCGACTCGGCTGAGAAGTGAGAGGCAGTGATTGTCAGTAACACTGCGAGTTTGCTAACACGGTGTAGCTACACCGCGGGTAAATCGGAAATCGTGATGGGAAAGGCCATTAAGAAGTATGGATGGAAACGAAGTGATCTTGTCATCACCACCAAGGCAAGTCATAGCTATCTCGAGCCTTGGGCTCGGATATTTGACATGAGGACTCATCATCGTACAGATCAACTGGGGCGCAGTCAACGGCGAGATCCTAGTGAACAACCACGGGCTCTCACGCAAGCACATCATCGAAGGCCTCGAGGCATCCCTGCAACGCCTCGACCTTAAATACGTAGACATTGTGTACGCCCACCGCCCCGACCGCCTCACGCCCATGGAAGAAACCGTCCGCGCCTTCAACTACGTCATCGACCACGGCATGGCGCTCTATTGGGGCACCTCAGAATGGAGCGCCGACGAAATCGCTGAAGCAATCGGCATCGCCAAGGACCTGCGCATGATCGGCCCCATCGTCGAGCAGCCCCTGTACAACATCCTCGACCGCCAAAAGGTCGAAGGCGAATTCCAAAGGCTCTACCCGCGCTTCGGCCTCGGTTTGACAGTGTTCAGTCCCATCAAGATGGGGCTTTTGAGCGGGAAGTACAACGATGCTGTCGATGCGCCGCCTTCGGATTCCAGGTTCGCTACGAGCGAGGATGGCTTTGCTGAGTTTATGAGGAAGCAGTATGGGAATGAGCCGTGGAGGGAGAATATCGCCAAGGTTAAGAAGTTGAAGGTGGTTGCGGATAAATTGGGGGTTACGCAGAGCCAGTTGGCGTTGGCGTGGTGTTTGAAGAATCCAAACGTAACAAGTGTGATTACGGGCGCCAGCAGGCCCGAGCAGATCGTGGAGAATGTGAAAGCGTTGCAGGTGCTGGAGAAGATGACAGCGGAGGTTATGGGAGAGATTGATGGGATTGCGGGGAATAAGGTTGAGTTGGATCCGGCGAGGCAGAGTTAGATGGGGTACGTATGATTGTAGGAGAAAACATACTGGAGCTGGTTCGGACTTGGTCTCATTTCATCACATGATCCCCCGAGGGCAAGCTCATGGTATATTCATTTCTGTGCAGTGGAGTGGCAATATGGCTCGTCCACGTCGTAGGAACTCTTAAGACAAGTAACCCCTGGCTCAACTAGCTCAAGTAGATAGGCGTCAACACCACCTACCCATCCATAATTGTCCACGATGCCATTCCTCGCGCCCAGTAGGCACATTGACCGGATTACATCTCACCGCCCTTCTGCCCGGCAACCCAACCGCATAATCCACCCTTCCCCCGCACACTTCGCCGAAGCCCGTAAGCCGGGAAATTCGTCGACACGACCTGGGCTCCGCTTGCCAACGCCGCCTCCCTAAACCCAAACTCATTCCCCCAGACCGTCCCAAGCGGTTCATCGGCTCTGTTGCGCACTCAGTACCCAGCCTTCACATGCTACCGGATAATGTCAAGTTATCCTTGTCCCGCGGGTCCTTCAGCCGCTGGAACGCACAATCAGCGTTTTCTGGCTCGGAATTTATAAAGATGATGCGGCCTTTAAGATTAGAGCAGCCAAGGGAGGTGTAAGCGTCGCGGACGGGGCTGGAGGCGTTGTTCATGAGGAAGAAGAATCTGCCGCGAGCGGAGGCGAGCTCGGGCCAGCCGTGCGTGAAGATGGATTGTTCGAGGGTTAAGTTGGGACCTCAGAGGCCGTCTGGGACGAGGAGCGGGAGGGCCGCAGGACCAACCGGGTTTCGGTGTCTAGGGCGTCGAGGGGGGTTGGCTGGTGGTATTAGGTCTGGGTTTCGAGGATAGAGTTCCATGTGAGTGAGCAATATGCTTATTTACCTCCGTCTAACATACAGTAGGCCCAATGCGCTACTTTGAACTTGATGACAATGGGGATGGACATGTGTTGAGGGTACCTTGTCGACCAAGTCTTCAGGATGGTCAGGCACTCAATTAAAGGTTGGCAGCTTTGGGTAATTAACAAAGAATCTTGAAAACCTCAACCGGGAAGTCTCAGACTGAGGTATGTCATCCACAGAGACCCCTAGATTTTAAAGGCTGTTTACCTGGTATTTATGTCAGAATCTGGGACATGCAAAACCTTGGACCCCGCTGCATTCACGATACTTATAACTTAGGGCTATAGCCTTATACGAAGCGTAGGCCTTAATTTCTTAGCGTTTGTAGGTCTTGAGGGGCGAGATCTGGCTTAATACGGTACTTTACACGTAGGCGTTCGAGGACAGTATAGAAGTCTCGGGTCCTATTCAAGTCGGACGCTCTAACTCGACTGGCGTCTACGACGCGCCTTAGTTTGAATACGTATCTACAGACAGCGGCTCACGAAGTAATGTACCTAGTGTTAGCTGAGTATATTCTTATTATTAAATACGCCGTAGGCTCGAAGCCCCCGGTACCTCTACCAGTACTCCCGCATGTCAAACCGTGCCCTAATGGCTGGACTAAATACATACGCTGCGTCGTCGGTTCGCCCTATTGGCGACTGCGTTGCGTTCACTACCATACTACGTTGGTTCTCAACCTACCAACTAAGTCCCCCCTGAGAAGATCGATGCTATCTGGGCCTTGAAGCTGTCCGACCCGTCCCTAGCAGCCACCTTACAATAGTCCCACTAACTACTGGTTCTCCTGTTGCCGTTGCGAGGTCTCTGCGAGAGTATAGTGGCCGTGGTGCGATAGCGGCCCATAATCGTTCCCTCGGTCCTTCCAACAGCCCGCAAAAGAGGATTACGTGCTCTGCCGTCTCAGGGGCGTCGCCACAGCGGCATAGCGGCGAGTACACGCCAAAAGCCCCTGTCTTGAATAAGAAGGCTGCTAGTCCTATTTTTTCTGTCCTGATCTGGCACAGCGTAGACGCCTCCAGTCGGTTCAGGCCGAAATACTTGCCCCCTTTCGGTATCTGCATCAAAGGGCCCTCCGATTCCTCAGCGATAGCGCGTCGCTGGCGATCGTGATGCTCTGCTCCGGTGAGCCATCTCTTCCTCCAGTGGCCGAGGAGGGCAGCCGGGACCTCCTTTTCCTCACTCATCCACTCGGAGCCCTGGGCCTCCTTCTCTATAGTGTACCCTGCCGGTCGGAGTAGCTGCGACGCCTGCTTCCTCTTCGCCGGCCTATCCTGCCGGAGTATATGTGACGCTTTAGCGCTCGCGCTGCGAAGCAGATTTCTCTTCCCGCTAAGCCGTAGCCGTTCTTCAAACTTAGCAGCCCGGGCACTAAGATAGAGGTCTAGTGGCGGGATTGCTGCTTCTGCTTCCAGGTGGTGAACCGGCGTCGCTTTGTGGGCGCCACAGACTACCCGGAGGCACTCGTTCTGTATCCCCATCAGGCTCTTAGCTGGCCCTGCCGGTTCCTCACTTATAGTATGCCACGCAGTCGCCCCGAAGGCGATCGCGCTACGGATAACCACCGTATATAACAGCCTCGCCCGTATAAGATCGCAGCCCCACGACATATTGACTAGCTTTGTCAGGGCTAGCTTTTGAGTTGCCATTTTTGTTTTAACACGCTCAACATGGGCGTGCCACGTCAGTTTGCGGTCGAACCAGACTCCTAGGAACCTCGCTGAGACTGCCGGCGACACTGTGGCGTCCCCAAGGCGAATACTTTGCGGCAAGGGCTCTCGGGCCCTAGTAAAGTGCAATAGCTCACACTGAGTATATTATTATCCCTTTAGATAAGGATCATTTTGATAGTAAAGACGGCTATATGATGCTTACTATACCTACCGTTAATTGCGGGGTATGTTATACTGTATTTGTACTGTATCTTGTTGTGTCCTGTTACATTTGAAGTGACATCAAGTGGATGTCAAGTGTCAAGTACCTAGGTTACAGCTTTTCAATCTGGTAGTAACGTAGTCCACAAGCGAACGGGTCACCCAACCGAACGGGTCACCCAACCGAACGGGTCACCCAACCGAACGGGTCACCCAACCGAACGGGTCACCCAACCGAACGGGTCACCCAACCGAACGGGTCACCCAACCGAACGGGTCACGCCAACTAGCAAAACATGGAATTCAACACGATTTCGCAACCACAACGATTTGATCCAGCGCTATTTCCACGCATTTCCTGCTGTACTTGCTGCGCAACGTCCTTTTGATCTTGAAGATCTTGTACGTCTTGTGAATTAAGTGATCCTCCAAGCCGTACTCGTATTTTTTGGCCCTGCGCCGCTTGCTAATTAGAGCATTTGCCTCTCGAAGTTCCGCGACCTCAGCTTGGAGTAAAGCCATCTTATGCATAATACTCCGCGCTCCTTTCGAAAACTGATCGATAGCATCGTAAATTGACATCGAGGAGCTATTTTAATGCCTGGAAATTCGAGATTTAATAAACTCGGATTGCGAAGTAGCCTCGGTTGGGTTGTTTGGCGTCCGAGAAGCCCAAGGAAGGGTTTCCCGCGTAGGGGGCCGGGAGGACGTTGGAGTCTGTAATTTCACATCCAGCTTCTCAATAACAATATCTGGGCTTAAAGGCACAAGCCCAGCCCCTTGAAAGCCTGCACGAATATTGCTTTCGGTCAGGCTCTTCTTGAACGCGTCGCAAAATGCCGGAATAAAGTCCTCCTTTGTGATATGCGAGTCGCGTAGCAGTCGGTTTGCCATATCTTCAACAGCACTTAGCCGGGGAGGAAATGCTTGCGAATCTAGCTCAATTATCCTTTGAATAATCGTATTTTCTTCTAGTTTTGTTAAATTCCGACCGTTAGCTTCGATATTGCGACGTGATTGACGTTTTTGAAGACGCGCCTAGAGAGTAGTATTCGAGACTTTGTAGATTGTTGCAGCACGTCGGATACTAAGTGTTAAGTCATTTCTGATAGCCTGAGTTGCAAGGAGTAATTGAGATTCTTTTTGAGCAGAATCCATCGAGAATTAGTTGCGTTATAAAGTTAGGAAGTTTAGTTCTATTTTTTGCTATGGGCGTGACCCGTTCGGTTGGGTGACCCGTTCGCTTGTGGACTATGTTATATCGTGTCCCTGTGTGGGACCTTCAGGGTTAGTACCTCTGGTGTAACGTATTTCACCCCCATTCCGACACCCCTGTAAACCCCAACAATAACCACATCGCTATTTACATTATCCTTTTATTTCTCAACCACTTTTGCTTCAATTGACTTTATTCCAAGTATTCGATCTGATCTGCTATCAATGCCTTCATATACGGAAGAAGACCTCGCTGCCGCCGTTCTAGACGTCGCAAATGGTAAATCTGTGCGATGCGCTGGCCTGGATTGGGGTATACCAAGGACTACACTTATCGACAGACTTCAAGGCGCTGAATCAAATCGCGAGGCCTCTGCTAGCCAGCAGAGGCTATCTTCAGTGCAATAAAAACACTTAGCAGACTGGGTTTTGGTCCAGGAAGCCCTTGGACTAGTCCCAACGCACGCGCAAATCAAGGAGCTCGCGCAGCGCGTCCTAGCCCTCAAAGGTGACCACCAACCACTCGGCAAGAATTGGCTGGAAGCCTTTCTAAAGCGTCACCCAGCACTAAAGACTAAAAAGCAACGCCGTATCGACTCTCAGCGTATCAATGGCGCGTCTACCGAGGTAATCCAAGCCTGGTTTGCTTCAAAATTACGTATTCCTGCAATTCAAGCGATTAAGCCGCAATGCAGGTATAATATGGATGAGCATGGCCTTATGGAGGGTCAAGGGGGCTCTGGGCTAGTTGTCAGGAGCTACCTTACGCGCAATACACCAGAAACAGCCTGGTTCGAGGGCGTGGACGTCAATTTTGGAATGTGTGGATGCCCTCGGCAATACCTTACCCCCCCTGGTTATTTTCAAGGGCAAGGACGTCCAAGAGCAGTGGTTCCCTGATAAAAATCTTCAGGACTTCAAGGACTGGCGCTTCAAGGCATCCCCCAAGGGCTGGACAGACAATACGATAGCTATCAAATGGCTTGAAGACGTTTTATACCCCTTACGCTTCCTCAGGACCCTTCAGACACTCGTTTACTTATTTTGGATGGTCACGGTAGTCACAACACTGATACTTTTATGTCTCTTTGCTATCAAAACAACATATACTTATTATTTTTACCCCCACACTCATCTCATGTCCTTCAGCCCCTCGATGTTGGGGTGTTCTCAGCTATGAAAACGGCATATCGCAAGGAGGTCGGGTTTTTAACCCTATTAACTGATTCAGCACCTATTGGCAAGCGGAATTTTATGCGCTGTTACGCCAGAGCACGCCAGAGGGCCCTAACGGCTCAAAATATCACGTCTGGTTGGCGTACAAGTGGTCTATGGCCCCTAAATGTCGCTAGGCCCCTTACTAGCCCTCTTCTGCTTGAAAATAGCAACCGCACACGTCACCAAGGTCCAGACATTCTTATTACAACCCAGCAAGTCCAGAAAACGCTCCAGACGCCTTCAGAGGGCAATTTTGTATGGTCAACGCCAAAGAAGAGCGTAGATATAGAGCGCCAGTTTAGGGAGTTCAATCGACTCCAACAAACTAACATGACTACACAACGCCAGCTATTTAGAAAGATGAAAAAAGGGTTTGATGAGAAGAATTATCTATTAGTAAGCGCAGAATTACAAATTGAGGGCTTGAAACAGCGATTGGAGCTTATGAAGCCACGGAAAAGAAAAGAAGGTGCAAGTAAGTCCAAACGCGAAATTCGCAAGGATTGAGGACGTACGGCGGATGAGGGAAGTATCTAATGAAGCTCTTGTTGATGATTCGGGTTCAGAAATATCTAACGTATCTACTGTCGAAAGCGATTGTATAGTTGTTCAGAATTGAATTTGTGGTGGTTGTTTGAAATTGCAGTGTTATTCGTGGTGTTTTGTTTTATAGGGTGTCAGAATGTGTTGCAGAAAAGGTGTGAATGCATGTAGAAGAGTGCAGATTGAAGACGACTTGTATTCTCTCTTGAAGGGAAGTCCTCACATGCTCCTATTTATAGGTAAGCGAGAATTATAGCCCTAGAATAGACTTTCCTGTCTTGTTGGTAGCGATACCTTCGGTACCATGACCAGTGAAAGCTTATAGCTTTAGATCACGTAGTTTCCTTCTCATGCAACAGAATGAGGGGGGTGTCGGAATGGGGGTGAAATACGTTATCATCCTCTGTCAGATATTCAGGAGCAAACCCTCTGATATATCGGTATCCCTGATATGCTCAAACATGATCAGCCCATTATGACCACCTTGACTGATTTTATTTTTTGGTCCGGGACAAAAACTACTTTGATTCAAATGGAACAGTATTTGCATGCAATAATTCCGATACTGGGGCTCTCGTTTAGTGATTGCCTAGCAGCACCTATAAGAATCAAGCAAGGGCCGAAGGAGGGTTAGAGGGCATTTATAGCATACCGGAATTAACTAATAAGAAAGATTTCCCCATTAGGATAACCTGAAAATGTCCCACCGCCTCGCTCTCTGGATACTGCTATGCTATGTCAGGCAAGACGCGAGTCCCACCCCGGAACTGTTGGACTTTCAAGGCTACTACATCAAGACTGCCAGTCTTGGAAGGACATATGGCCACGCACCGCACGTTATGGGTCAATATGAGCACCACCCATCGAACCACACAAGTCCTGCCTGTGGGACAGGCATCAGTCATTCCTGTCTATATAAGGCCCTTATGGCCGCCCTTCACTTCGTTCAGGACTCTCCAGAGATCATGACACTTCCAATACAAGACCATTTGCCCACAATCCAACAGGAACTAGCTTACTCCTTTCACTGAACTAATTCCTGCGCAATGAAAACACACAAATAGTCTGCTGTATGATTATGGACATGTTATATACGAAAACACGTCACTACGAAGTAGTATGGCTGCTGAAGACGAGAAGAGTAATAGTGGATTAAGTGGTTCAACATATCCATCTTTGCGTCAAGTCCGCGGTAACGTTCTCATGACACAAGTTACAGGCGGGCTTGATTGCAGTCGCATTCATATTGCATGTCGGCTGATGTAGTTGGTCACTTCGCTGGTAGATAAGTCCCGATTTGAGCCTCGCCCACTTGGGTCGGTGACGAGTCGCGGGTTCGAATCCCGCAGCTGACACACAAGGGGGTTTAGTCAACCCTTACAGCGCGCTGCCCACCTTGTTGACTTCGCCTACCTAGCGATAATAGGGAGATTGGTGCAGTTTAGGATTACGAGCATCCTAGCCAGTCGACCGTCAAGCACTACGTCGGCGGAATATAACTCGACAGCCGGTCCAGAATTCGAATCGTTAATCCGACCCCTTATCGGACCCCCTCTCGCCGCGATTCTTGCGAGCGTCTAGACCACGTTACGGTCTATCCACTTGAGCGTATGGTTGAGATGTATACGCTCGACGAGAACCCCAATTAGCAGATACTACGACTTGTCGCGACAAAAAATAGTCGAGCATCTTCTGCACATCAGCAGCATCCCATCCCTGAGGACGAATTTAAGTGCCACATTACCACGCTTATCGGTAGTTCAGGCAGGGGTTGTAGCACAGACTTAGGGAGGGACAGGAGGTTTAGTAGTCGTTTGGCTACAAGTTTACCTGTATAACCGCCCGACGCGGCTTAAGGGCCCGCTATATCATCTATAGCCCCTTAAGGGAGTACTTGTAGAGGTACCGAGGGTTAACACCTACGGCGTATTTAATATTATTTTTCATATTGCATTGAGCTGTTATCTTCGGGCATGCGTAGTTCCGTTTCTGCCATCAAATCCACAGCAAAGAGAAAGATAATGCCTTTACTTCTAGAAATGTCGTCATATATTCCCGGTATTCGAAGACAGCTGACTTTGGCTTTTCTACACAAGTAAAAGCTTATTCGACACCAGAAAATAAAGTCCTTTAATTACATCAGAGAATGACTCTCCTGCTCAGAGTGATGGAATCTGCAGCAAACATTTGAAGAACCAAATCATCACGCGGTGTACAGCGTAAAACGAGGTACCTGAGCAAGGAAGTGGAAAGAGCCAGGCTACTTGAAGCTTCCAAACCCACCAGACTGTTGGATTTCTATGAAGCTCCTGGATATAGGCCACGGCTCAGAATATAGATCCAATATCAAAAGCATATTTTGGACATCTTTTGTTTAAACCCCAATCCGCTCGCGGCCATTGTGACGCAAGGAGAAGTTCGCCTTCCAGGATGATAATTAGCAAGCGAAGTACGGTTAAAATGCCGCGTTCAGCTTCGTCCTTCGAAATGCAGTTGGAGTTGCAATGCACGCGCGAAAATGGTCAGGAAGTCTGGACCAGAGGCCGACCTCTCATCCAGAAGGCTTGCGGGCAGTGATGGCGGGTCGCCAAGGCGCTGTTGCTATTGCTGTTGCTTATTGTTGTCCCCAGTGCCGCAGCTCCGCCTCGACAAACGAGGAACCGATAATTCTCCTAGCCGCCGCCATGTTGTTTCGAAGCAGAGACACCCTTGTTCGTATCAGAGCGGATTCAGAGGTCTCGTAGGGCTTCACTTGGGGTCAGAACAACTGTATTTTTCGTATCGCCTTGCGATGTTGTAGAAGGAAGGATCCAAACGGGGCTAATTTGCGGGTCATGAATTCCAGCAACGATGCATTTAGTAACGACGGGAAATGCGTGTGCTCGAAATAGAAAGCCTGCCGCATCCTCCGAGCACTAATGGCGACGAGGGGAATAGATTGAGTTGCAAAAACGACACAACATTCCTTCCTTACCATCGATTGGTTAGAACGGTAAGGAGCAGTGGCGTACCGTCGGTTTGATTGCTTGCTGTGCCGCAGGCACCCTTCCCGTCCTGTGGTAACGCACCATCAAATCAGGCTCCAATGTTTGCCTAGCTGTGCCTCGAAACAGTCACACAACATCTCATAAATGTGAAAAAGCCAACTGTGCCGTCCTATATTGTTTCGGGTTTTTTCACCAATCTTCAGACACTATGAGTTCATCCACGTCTCACAAAACAAACACTACATAAGGGCGTTTCACTGGCCTCTACATATAACCATCCTCTCGTACAATACAGATCCAGCCAGTAAGAAATACAGATCTGCATCATGATTTCAGTCGCAGCAATGGGTGTGCGCGGCTTTCTGGTAAGTTACCACCCCAACATGCAAGAATCTATCCATTGACCGCCACGCAGCTGTTGTTCAGTGCCGTCGTCCTCGCACTATCCGTCAGTGTTGCCAAGGAGCAGCGGTTTGAAGCAGTCCCCACGCAGACATCCTTCAGCAGCTTTGTTGGAGCATTCGGCCTCGTTGTCTCGGCGATTGGCCTTCTCGCCCTATGGCTCAACAGGATTCCCGCGCTGTTCGTCATGGGTGCTGATGTGGTCACCTCCATCTTCTTTCTTGCTGCTGGTATTGTAAGTTGGGTACCATTCATGTTCAGGGAAGCACATACTCATCACGCTACTGCAGGCTTTGACCCTTGGGCTCAAGAGTGTCTCCAATTGCACTGATACCAGCGACCAGGCTCTGCTGAACAAGTATGACAACAGACTGGTCAATGGTGGCTGCATCAGTAGACATGGCGATACTTTCTGTAACGTTGCCAAGAACGAGGACGACACCAAGTTTTCCCTCGCCGTCAGCCGCTGCCAGCGACTCCAAGCCGACTACGTATTTGAGTATCTCGGCTTCATCCTCGGAATCGTCATGATTGGCTTGGGTTGGATGCTTCATAAGCGTGGAGGCACCAGCCGAGCAACTTATGTCTAAATGATCACTATTTGGGGGGATGTTTATGTGCCTGATACGTTGAGGTGTTCGGCTGATGTTTAGCTGTGTATGGACGGGTTTGACGATAATGATGATTGGACGTTGACATGGCACAATACAGCCATTTATTATTTCTATTGGCAATGGCATTGATACCAGGGCACGGGAGACTTCGGAGCCCAATCTTGGGAGATCTCAATTCCAATTTCAAATATTCCGGCTTTCACGAGCAAAGACATGTGTCTTCTATCTCACTGCCGTAAGAAACACATGTATTCTTTAGGATGCCCCAAAGTGCTTAGCTAATAGCACTCTGATAAAACCTAGTTTGCTGAACCGGTTCACCGTTATTGTATCTTGCCCAGCAGTATTGCCGCCAGGACACCAACGATAAAGATATAGAGCACCCCTATCTAACTATAATATACATGTGGATCTCTACCGGCATTAAGCTATTTGGCTGACAGACAGCTTTTCAATGAAACAAACTTTACCGTTGCAGAAACTTAGAAATACTTGAGTACTCATCACTTCCGCACACTGTACACCTTGTCTTAATACTTCGCGGAGTAGAAGTGGCATCATAGCAGGCATAAGAAAACAAACCACAGAATGAGGCGCATTATTAATAATGCCTTTTATCTTAATCATTATAATTAACGTGCTCCGTGGATGGATCACACAACCGTGGGCCCCTTCTTTATGAGTATATTTTGCAGATGAGCATAATCCAAGTGATAGTAGACTCATTTAGTCCAATAAAATGTCTTAACCTAGACAGCTGGGGTGGGCGGGGTCAAAGCCACAAAGGAGAAATCCAGTCACACAGCCTCCACGATCTCAACACTAGATTGTACGCTGAAAGTTCCTGTCACATTATTGGTGTATTGAACTTGGGAAACTTCTAGGTATGTATTTTTGAGGTATCTTTAACGGGTCTTTATGGGCTATAAACTCTACCAAGATCGTTTCTGGCTGCAACAAATATTACAGATGCCCCTTCTCAAGGGTTTTGGTTTGATCCAGATTCATGCACCATCGTTCAAAATAGTTGTTAGATGAGTATGTCCACATCCCGTTTACACCCCAAAATCCTCCAACGCCGTTTCCACCATCTCTCTCCACTGCCTCGCAGCATCAGCCTTTTACCCTCTCGGGCAAGCCTCAACAATCACCCGTACGTGGTTCAAAAGGAAACCACTGCTGCTGGACAGACTTCCCCTTGTATATCACAAGTGGGGGTAGTGTAGTACCAGTTGCAGAGATACACTCTATAAGAGATGTCCAAGCTCGAGATCCAGGCTGTTTCTTTCGTATAGAACGAGTCTCAGATGATCCTCTACCTTCTAGAATACCTGTCTCATCCATACTGTATCGATTCGAGGCCTTAATAGCTTTGATCTCAGGGATAGCGAGGTGTTTGAACCATTGCCTGATCACACTAGCTGAGGCTCCATTAATACGCTAGGAATCGATAGCTCTGCTTCTCTGGACTTTGACTGAAGGGTTCCTCTTGATAAAAGCCTGGACCCAGTTCTTTCCAAGTGGTTCGGTGTCTCCGTGGATCTGTAGGATACGCTCGGCGAAGTCTTTGAGCTGTTGATGGGTTGGTGGGAGGCCTAGGACAGCCTGGATTCGAACCCATTCAGCCAGATGGGATTCCTGAGCTGGAAAGAGCCTCTGGTAGTCAGCAAAGGCTATATCTCTTGACTGGGCTCCCTGAATCCGTCGTGAAAGAGTAGACCTTGGGACACCATGCTCATATGCTGCTTTTCGGAGGCTTTGACCGGTAGCTATTGCTTGAAGAGCTCGATAAATGTCATCTTCGGTATATTGACTCATATTAGTGTAAAGAAGACGTACGTAAAATCTCGTAACGATTGAATCGATATTGGTAAAGAAAAAAGAGGTTGAAGTTAGAGGCTAGCGGTGTTGATGAGGCATTTTTGGGTGTCCCACATGTGAGGGTGGGGGGTCCCGGATGTGGGTGTGGGACGTTAAATGAAGGTTTCAAACCTTGGCTGGACTACAAGCCGCCTCAGTGATTGAAAAACTTTCTAATCTTGGAGATATACGCGTCTTCTTCCATTTAATTATTGATCTTGCATTACGAGGAAATCTGGTCGAGTTTGCTGCCCGTCCTTCATGTGTCTGACAAAGCCCATCTGATATTGTTCCTGGAAAGCTCTGTCTCACGCAATTCCTCCCCAAAACAACGTTCTCTTCGCGTAAAGAGCTTGATGAGTACGGATTATTCGTATACAGATTAGAGGATGGCAATCAGCACTAGGTACTGTGTTCTTGATGTCTCTGTTGACCATGGGATGGGTTCTGATGCATTTACAAACAGCCAGAGAACTTTGAAGGGATGTGCCTAGACTGAAAATCCGCGCCGTGCCTGAACATTCAAATTTCTAGGCCTCATCACTTCTTCAATCTGCACTCAATTGGAATATCAAATTGTTCTTCGAATTAATTGCAGTCAATTGTTTAGAGCACAAAATATTGCCCTACAATTTACACGTTCCTAGCCCGTCGATGATGCCGATGATGCTGTTGAGGTTGACGACGCTGCCGCGGTTGAGCTGGCAACGACCGTGGACGACGTGCTGCTTCCTCCACCACTGCTCTTCACTACCACTGCTTGGACCACCTGACCGACCGAATTAAAGACGATATTGACGAGCGAACCCAAGGGCGAGTACTCGTACGTTCTCTGGATCAACCCGCCGTCCAATATTTTCTAGATGTCACATCATAAACATCAGGAGATCAAAAATGGAACGGGGCTGGACTTACCTGGCTGCCCGTGTACGTCATGTTCTGCTCGTAATTGCCGATGATAGAACTCAAGATATTTCCAGCGTCGCTGGTCACCTCCTGCACGATGTTGCCCAAGTTGTCGATGATGAAGTTGATCTTGGAATCACCATTGACGATGGATCCCAGCAGCCCATCGACTGCCCCCACGACGGCATCTACCACGTCCGTCACTTCGTTCAAGACGTTGATCAGCAGAGGGTTGAGGTCAAGCGTCGCCAATGTTCTGTTGACAATGTCCACCAGGTTGCCGAGACGAATGATCAACTCGAGCTCCGCATCCACATCTGCAATGGTGATATTGACCTTCGTAATACCGACCTGAATTCCAGCGTTGATCTCCACCAGGCCTGCGACCTGGGCAGCCAAATTTATTTCAGCCTGGAGGTCGTCGACGTCAAGCTCTATCCTGTCGACCGACAGCTCTGGGACTTGCAGCAACACATCAGGGTAGTTGCTGGAAGAAGAAGATGCGCTCGAACTGGTTCCGCTTCCAGAATCGCCAGTAGCGGTAGTGGTCGTAGGCGATGACGCACTCGAATCTGTGCCCGTGGTCGTCGCGGTCATGGTTGCGCTCGCGTCTGGCTCTGAAGTCACGGCCGTCGTATCAGTCGGCGGTGTCGTCTCAACAGTAGACGAAGCAGTTTGCGCTGCCACAAGGGCGAGCAGCAGGAACCCCCAAAGGAGTGAGAGCAGGGTGCGCGACTGCATGGTGGATTTAATGAATGTGTGTGCGAAGAAGCGCCAGGCACGATGGAGCGTGCGGGATGAGCGTCCACCTTCGTACGAGCACACGGGTGGGATATAAGGTGAGCCCGCGTTGGCGAGGGGCCTGGCTCCGGCAGGACCACTCCGTATTTTACGTGACACATTCGCCCGCGCGACATGTTCGGTCTGCCTTGCTCGTTTTTCTCGCCTGGTACGTCTTGCTGCATGCTTAATTCCACTGTTAAGCTCTAACGAGGTGCAAAAAACCCGATATTCCTAGTTGTGGGGAGATTGTGCACAATGCAGGACGTTAGCCTTACCATGGCACGGGTGAATGGGATCCTTGCTTAGGCAGTTTTAGCCACTCAGAAGTTATACTGACCCCGGTCGGTTACGGATGCAGCTACAGAAACGGGTTAAGTCGATCGGCGTGCCGACTCGGCCTGCTTATTGTAAGGCCGTCACGCCAGCACGCATCATGACATTGGCGAATTGGCTTCCAAAACGAGCCACTGGCTTATAACAAACCATGACAATATGACAATAGATGCTCTTATCCCTCGGCGCATACGCTTTTCCTAGATGACGCGACTGTTCGACTTACCTCTTTAGAGCTACGCTCCCCACCTCCATGGTCTCTCGTCTGCGATCCATCTTAGGTCCAGTGTCAACTCTCAACCAGCAGCCCAACATGCCTTCACTCGTTTCCAAGGCCGCTGTCGCCTTTCTCCTTTTCACCCTCTTTTCAATTGTGTTGGCCCAAGATGGTTATATAGGATACCACTTGGAGCAGCGCGGAGACCCCGAGTCCACGACGTATGAGACAGAAAACACAGTTGGTGGCGTTGTGCTCCCAGCGGACCCCGATGTCTACCTGAACGCCAATGTGTCTGTCGGCGAGATCGACATCGAGGTCGACAACATCACGGCCAAGATCAACCTCGATGCCAAGGTGCTCAGTCTGCTGCACTTCACCGCTGGCGTTGACCTCTCCATCGACCGTGTCAAGCTGAGCATCCAAAATGTCACCGCCAAGGTGCACCTCGAAGCGCGACTCGGGAATGTAGTGGCCATGATTGACGACGTTCTAAGCTCTGTCGACCTTAACCCCATCATTGCGACGCTCTCGAGTGATGTGGGCAGCATCGTCGGTAACGTCACAGACGAGCTCGGAAGTGCCGATTCGACGTCAACGACCACGAAGCGATCGGTAGACTTGCTTGATTACAACGTCCAACACAACATTCTCTATTCCATCAACGACTACTCGGGCCAGACTCACACCAACCGTATTCTGGGCCAGAATGGCACGATCTACGACAAGTTCATCAATAACGATGGCGACGAGACGGGCCGCAGGAATGTCGGCTACTATAGCCGCGATATGAGCTTTACCGGCCACAACAGGACAATTACAATTGACGGAATGACCGAGTATGAGATGGGTTACATGTACGCTCCATACGCCGGACTCGAGGTCTACTCGCATATCTTCATGACCGAGTCGGGTCTCATTGTGAAGACAAAGATTGTCTCCGAGGCGGAAGGGGGAGGCACCAGCACCATCAGTGATGACGCTGATCAATGAGACAGCAAATAAACATGTCAGAAGGCAATTCGTCCATCAATGATAACCCCCACAAAACCACACGCGTGTGTGATATATCAACTGAGAGTGACGCTGCACCTGAGTGGAGCTGCGAAATGAGCCCGTGCTGACTGGATCTATGCCCTGCGATCGCACAGCTTATAGCACTCTTTCCTGGAAAACCCCTAGTGATCAAATGGCATGAGCCGACTCTTTCACTCTCCCATCCTGAAATGTGGGCAGAAACATGGCAAAGAAACTGTCGGCACAAGTTCAGAAAACTAACTTTGCGCTGATAATCGGCCTCACACTGGGCAAGACCACTCCACCCCACCGTCCCGCTACCCGAGCAATGCTCCAGCAGACCAACAGCAAGGGTAATCCTTGCTAGTATACATTGAGAATTTCGAAAGTGACTTGTCTCCAATATTGTATACCAGAAACTTGATATTTGCCAGGAACAAACGGGTTTGGCGAAACTTCTGCGGAGCGTTCCTCTCCCCGTAGGCATCACGGCAATGTTGCCGACGCAGCAGGTGAAAGTTCTCGACATCGTGCTCGAGAAAACCATGGGAGGAAGAAATGCCGACAATGTGAAAAAAAAAAAAACCCTGTTTTATGCACAACCTGCCACACGGACAAGGGTGTTTTCATTATATAGCTGCTCACAACTGCAGGCCCCAACATTATGAGCGTTGAGTTGACAGAACCATCGCATGCAGGTATTCAGGGGTTCCTGCCGTCACCGGTCGCGCTTATCACGCATGGCTAACAACTTTGACAGCCTCTGATGCAATGCCAATTTATAACGCATTGCAACGATGATGGCAATGCGCTCTTCGTCGAGCGACGGTGTGGCAGACTTTGTGATAGCATCAAGATACGAAAGATCAAGATATGTTTGGTGGGAAGATGACATAACACTAACGACGGGGAACTTGCGGATCAGCCTATAGGCTTTGCATTTACATAGAGTGGTCGAGGGTATTCAACTGGAGCGTTTTCAATCTCACGATGTTTTCCAGTCGGCTACAACATCGTCGGCGCTTCGGCATCCATCGTCCCGGTGACGTATCATTTGCCCGGCATGACCAAGTACTTCGTCGCCAAATGATGTTCCAAGTACTTGCTCAGTGAGAAGATTTAGAAATCACAACTTCAAGCCGCAAGCACCGTAAAAGGCTTCATGTGTAACTATAATCCAAACCCGCACTTCATCCTCGTCGGAAGCAGCCAGCATCAGTACGTAAACTTCGTCATATTTTATCTAGAGGTACTTATGCTGCGGAAAACTTCACATTTTCGCTGCCAATTTGGTTCCTGCATTATCTACGTAGTATCCTGACGCCAAACCAGGCTCGTCTCCCGAATCCCACCATGTCTTCGACGCCCTCCGACTAGTCTCCCAACGGGCGCTCTTCATCTCATGAATCCGCCGAATCCGTCTCTGAGACTTCGACCCTTCTGCAACCCGACCTCTACATCGAGGCGCAGAACAGGGTCTCAAATCATCAACCCATTAGAGCTCCTCTTGAGGAGATTCCGAGCAGCCCTGTCGCCCTCCGACGGTCTATGGCGATGGGTTTGGCGTGGGCGATGGACGACGTTGATTCGCTATTGCGCAAAATGTGCATGGACTGGGGTTTTTATTTGGGTCTGTTGCAAGTATTTTCAATGTTGAAGGAAACGATTATGGCAACTATCTTGGATATGAAGTGTTCGGAAGGCTTCCAGCGCCACTCAACCGAGCTGGTTACCTGCCAGTACTGGTATTATCTAAACTCTTCAGCCATCCTCATAATACACGTTTGGGGCTGAAAGATCCCTAGATATGGAAGTGGCCTCCCAGAAGTCGTCCTGCGAGTATCTATGAGCGGATGCTTTGTCATTGTCACCCTTCTGAAGAGGCGCAACATGGTGACGCGCATTCTGTTCTCTGGTCTCATTCTCGGTTCGGGGGCATCGTATCTTTCTTCCCACTTGTCTCTCGCATTCTTTTTGGCGCAAGCATTAAAGCGTTGGGTTGCTTGAATCTAGATGCCGGTATGTTCCTGGGACGGCCTGAGAAAAAGCCAGAACGGACGTTCCGATTTTCCGAAAAGGTGGGTGTCCTTTGAACATTTTGATGGACGGTATTCCCTAAGGACCACATCTTATTTGACAATTATTCACTGAGTCGCCGGTGGATAGACCTGTTTCCCGGAGAAGACTTCCTGGAAGGGGCCGTTCCATACGAGGATGCCATTTTCTGCTGACCATGTTCTCTATCTCTGAAGTGGCGCGTCGGCTTATGTACTATTTGCTAATAGACTGGTCAAACATCGGATGAAATAAGCCTGCGGACAGGGAAGTAATTGTATGAATACTCTGGCTGTGTGTTTACCTTGGCCGCGGGTGGGTATGTCGGTAGACTTAGCGAGTTTCGTGAAGTGTTTGGCTGTCGATCGCACCACGTTCCTTTGTCTTCTACATCCATTCTCAAGGCATTCTGGGACTCCCGTTGGGTGTTCTTCGGGTACGCTTTCTACGTGCCAGGGTCCAAATGACGGGGAAGAATATTGCCCTCTTCATTAGACCGATGTTCAAATTGCTCTGACACTAGTCCAGACTTCGCTTTTTCCTTATTCGAGCCCTTTCAGGACACCAGAGACGTCCGTAAAGGATGTAAGAGGTTCCAATACCGAGATCCTCCTTCAATAGGCTTGGCTTGTCTCTGGCAATTCTGATTGCGCCCACGATGGACAATCGGTTATGCCCTCATCGAATCTACAGTCTGGTGTAAGTTGCTGTTCTTAGCATATGATGATACGGCATAGATCGGGAGAATCTTCCATCCGAATGGTTACGTACGCGTGTCAATATGACATGTCAACTGTGTGAATCGGATTTTTCTTTCCAATTTGGGTTATCTTTAGCTCCACATGATGAGAAGAAACGATACCGAACGAAGTGATGACATAACGAATTTGTCCTACTATCCAATCCAAGTTTCACTTTGATTAGATCTATTGGCTCAAAGCAGCAGTTTTATTTGCTTTATGTCTTTAGAACTAGATTGCATTCAAATTGCTGACTCACCTCGAAGTTCCTTTCTGTTGACCACTTTCTCCCCTACCATCTTTCGTCCCAACAAACCATCAGCGCCAACTCCTGGCCGCCTTTTTGATTCTACTGACTTGTCATTAACTCAGTTCAATATTTGTTTCCATTGTCTGCAACAGGCCGTTAGGAGAGAGCGGAACATAATTCTAAGATGCCGAGTGATAGAAGTCTACTATCTCGCATTGCCCCTAGAAGCTCACTTCTTGATCAAGTGGCCAAAATACTCCTTCAAGAAATACGCCGACCGCTTCGCGTACCGTGGCTTGTCTGGTTCATTAAAGTCAACCCAAGTGACCCCTAACCGATCCGTAAAGCCAGCCGCCCATTCCCAGTTATCCGTGAAAGTCCATCCAAAGTACGATTTGATCACCACCCCCTCCTGGGAAGCCCTAGCAATTTCCGTCAGATACCCCTTGAAGAACGCAATCCGATGTGGATCCTCCAAGACATCATCTGGCCCACTCGGCTTCCATTCATGCTCACCCTTGGCCGTGGTGCCATTTTCAGTGATGAAAATAGGTGTTTGATACCGGTTCCAAATCCATCTCAGCAGCTTGCCCCAGCCCCAGGGTGACGTCCTCAGCCAAGCGGTGTCGCTCTCAATACCCCGCTCCACGCCCTCTTTGTTCGTGTCGAACACCTCGACATTGCCCTTGTGATCATTGATATCCGGCTCCTCGTCCCGATGCTTGACATAAAACGAAGTATACGAGTTCATACCATACGCCTCGGAACTACCAAGCAGCAACTTGCTCTCCTCGGGCGTGAACCTAGGCAGCCTTTCCCCAAGCTGGGCGCGCATTGACGCCGGATAGTCGCCCGTCTTGTACAGCGGATCCGCAAACCAGGCAATCTCGAACTCCTGCGCTCTTTGCGCGGCCTCTACGTCCTTAGGATCGTTCTTATCCCAGGGCTCGTTCCAGTTCCCATGCAGCGTAATCATGATTGCCCCCTTTTGCACAGGCTTAAATTTTTTTTTGTACATGTCCGCCACATATGCATGCGATACCAACTCCGTATGCGCCACAATGAACGGCTCGGTGCTTGAGTCGCCCTCCTTATTGCGGTCGCGGAAACTGGATCTCCCCGGCGCGTGGACGCCCGCTGCGTAGCCAGCAAGGCTGTACACCCCGGGCTCGTTGTACGTAATCCAATTCTTCACCCGATCGCCAAAGCTCTCGAAGCACACGCCCGCATAGCGAATGAAATCAGACGTATACTGCTCCTTATCCAGCATACCACCGTACCGGTCTTCGAGCGCCTGGGGTATGTCCCAGTGGAACAGCGTGACGAAGGGCGTGATGTCATTCGCGAGCAGCTCATCAATAAGCCTATTGTAAAAGGCGATTCCCTGCTCGTTGACGGGATCGGTCTCGCCGCCGAGGGGAATGATCCGAGACCAGGAGAGCGAGAAGCGGTAGCTGGTTACGCCGTATGATTTCATCCGTGCGACGTCTTGCTTGTAGAAGTCATAGGAGCGTACTGCGTCGTCGGCGGTGCTGTTGTCTTTGACTTTGCCGGGCGTGTGCCCGAATTCATCCCAGATCGAGAGACCTTTGCCGTCGCGGTTCCACGCCCCTTCGATTTGTGGCGCTGCTGTTGCGTAGCCCCATTGGAAGTCCGAGGGGAGTGACCCCTGGAGGCTTGGGTCGAATTCGAATTGAGCCATGATGATGATGTGTAGCTTTATAAATGAATAGATGTCTCATAATAATTATACTTATTGTCGAGCAGAGGTGGGTCCCACAGGGCCGCTTAAAGCGGCCCGGAAGCTCTAGTAGCCTCTTGGTTGATTCGTGGGATTCAACTACTAGCATGAAGTCGGGGAAACCTCTGCCGAGAGGATAACTTTATAGGTTCAGTGTCACTGTCTAACTGTGGGGCAGCTTAGTAGTCGTACAGCTTTCGGCCTATGATTTTTATCATCTGTAGCCATCGGTTCGCGAACTGTAAATCATTGGCCTCCTTGAGATGCAAGCGTCACAGCTTATGCGTCACTTGCGCCCTAGATATGTTCTCCAACGGCGGATTTATCGCCCTGCTCACTTCTCTTCCCAGAATTGTATCCAATTTTCCTCGTTCGGAGAGTTTCCATCTTCTTCAGCCATCTTTGCGCCCAAAGTCGCGTTCGATGCACGGAGAGTAACCCAATCCATTGTCAAACTTAATGTGCTGCAAGATCTGTTCTCGTTCGTGTTGCAGAATGCAGCAGGACTTATTCTCCAGGTCGGCTGCGTCGCATATTCATGTAGGCTCGCTCGGACATTCAATAGTCCAAGAAGATATTCCCAAGGAATAGCATAGCTGTTCATGTCGCTGTCTCTCTTGGCTCTCGAATGACATGTTGGGTTGATGGTATGATCTTGCCGTTGTGGTCAGAAGCTTCGGTTCCAAAACATTTGTACTCCAGGACGCTCTTCCACGCTCCGACAGACATGAAATCCATCTCAGTATGGCGGCCATGTTTGATATTGCCAGGCATTTGAGCGCAATAGCATCAAGAGAATCTTCGCTCCTTGTCCGCAGCAGATCCACCACGCTGGTTTCGGGTGTAGTTATCCTCAAAAATGACTTGCAATGAAGGTGGTGTTGTGGGGACTACAATCCCACCAAACTTCGAAAGATGACATAGAATCGGGACTCCTTGATGTTTTCCAAGGCCGAAGTTGATGATTGGTCGATTTCCTCCATATCCCATAGCACTTGCCAAATCTTACACTCAAGGTCTTTGGGGTTTTAAGGAATGTAGATAGGTCAAACAACGGTAGAAACCCCATAGCCTGGTGACACGGCTGTCTCGACGCGCACATGATGGAACACGAGGGATGTGGCGAGTGCACCAACTGCTTTGTTCATAAGCTGACAGCTGGCGAGAGTTTGCTGGCTGCTGTGAGAGAAAATCTCACTATACACGTCTTCTGGTGCGCCCTCCATTTTGAAGCATATAGAGAAATCAAACGATGAAGCGTTGCGTCACTTTAACGTCAACAAGCCACAAGTAATTGGATCTACTTTGGTCTGATGTTGCTCAATGCAAACACATGCGTTAGTGCTTCCACATCACAAATAAAATCTGCCATATAGAAATTTTGAGCTTTCTTAAAACTCGCGCGATTCCGCTTGCTAGAAAGGTGATAGTGTGGACATGGCTTCCAATCCACCTTACATGAATGGCCCCCGCCTGGATGGGGGTCTAATTCGTATCAAAGATTTTCATTCGTTGTTGTAAGGAAATTCTTCAGTTTCAACTGGTTTAAGCTAACAACCATAACATAGCTAAGAATATAGTCTAGCTTCGCCCTTATATATATAAAAATGCTTTAAAGGTGAACTAGAGTTCAGTCAGAACCCGAGCCCGAGCCTATCTCGCTTTCCTACTTAATCGGCGGAATAATCTACCAACTTCACCTAGGACGCTTCTGTCGATTTTGCTGACGCCGTTAACCAAATTTATCTTCCTTACGGTATATGTTTAGGATACTGTCGGACTTGCGGCTCTGTAACAACATTAAAACGAACATAGCCCCTGGCATCTGAAACATCAGTAGGGTTGGGCCTTCATTAACAGACACTCCCTTGAGTCAGTGTCTCTCGAATAGAGGGCAAGACTGCTTATCTCTCTGTACTGAAGGCTTTGATAGCTACCTTCATTCGTTAGACCTTTTAGAGGTCCTAGAAGACAAATTTAAATAAATGCGTTTCTTGTATTTTAGCTCAAGTTCAATAGCGATAAGCTAGGTTTAACGTACTAGCTCTTGCTTAATACCTTCTAAATGTCAGATAGGGCACCTGGTTCCTAGGTTCAGAAATAATATGGCACTAGAGAAGACTATTGTCACTTAAAGTTCAGAAGGCGAAGGGACCCCCTTTTCTCAAAAGTAACACCAAAGTTACTGTCCACTTAGGGGTCAGATACCTGAACAATGTACCTCCGATATGTTCTAAAGAATCTATAAAAGACAGAGCAACGGGAGTTCGAGAGGACAGGGAACAATACACCTCATTTCATATACAATCTTACGCACTTCTGACTACTCGATTGGACACACGTGATATTCGACAATTAAGAGTCTCACTGCCTCTGGCATCATTGGTTTTTCACAGAACTTCATTTAGGCATGTCACGGCCTCCCTTCGAGAAAATCACAATGTCAAACAAATACGCCAACAAAATCTTCCTAGCCTCTGGCAAGTACTGGGAAGAATGGTCAGCAGAGTTCAGAGGCAAAGCCAAAGCCATGGATCTCTGGAAGTACATCAGACCTACTCATCGACATTCCTGGCCTACACCTCCTGAGAAGCCAGTCGTGAAAGACTACACAGTCGACAAGAACCTGGAAAGGGCTTTTCAGGTGGCCTGGAGAGAAAGCCAGATTGAAATCGCAGAGCGCTCTGAAAACTCGCCAGATATCGAAGCCGCATCTGAGATGGTTCCTACAAAACCATCTGAGCTATCAAAGGACGGCAAGGCTGAGTATGCCATCGACACTTCTACGTATCAACAAGACTACCGAGAGTACAAGGAACACCAGGGCCATAGGATCGAGCTCAGAAACTGGGTAACTGAGCACATCCATCCAGATCTCAAGAAACACCACTGTGATGAGGACGAATCTCTGGATCAGTGGTACACCAATCTTGCACTTGTAGGACAATCATACGAAGAGGACGCAAGACCGGCAGCCCGGGATGCCTACTTGAGTCACCTCAAACCGTTAACTAGCCCACCAAAGGACATGAACGACTGGATTGATACCTGGGAAAAGGTAGTCCTCACTGGAAAGAAGAAGAAGATTGGAGAGACGATCAACTCTGACTCCTGGGGAAGAGACCTTCTGAAGGCCCTGTCCGGGATATGGCCTACATGGACGACAACCTTCAGCATGACACGCCAATCAGATATGGTAGCAGACAGACTCGACGTCGGGGACATTGCTGCAGAGATGCGACGAGTTGCACTCATGAAGAACGGCGTGCTACCAGCAAAACGTGCTGTGAGAGGCTCGTTTGTGACGTTCAACCAGGACGCATGTGACGAAGCAGAAGAGACTCCTCTCACTCCTACAGTGCCTCGCAAGACTACCAATGGCAGAAGGAGTGGAGGAAAAGCAAAACGAAAAAGGGCAGAATCGACAACAGTCGAGGACAAATCGGCAAGTTGGTGCCAAGCGTGTCTAGGCGAGCACCCACTACAATCATGTTGGCACGTGTTCAAGGAAAAAAACCCCTACTACGAAGAAGGCAAAGAAAACAAGACTGTTGCAAGACTTGTTGCCCACAGGATAAGGACAGAAAAGGGTCTGAAGGAGGAAATAGAGAAGATCAAGAAGGCAGCAGTCAACAGTTGACTAGCTCAGTTCGAGCTCAAGGTGGGCAAGGTGCCAGCGAGCTTCCTAATAAGGAAAGGGAGAACCTATCCCCTGAAGAACTCGACAATTCTTGATTCCGGAACAACTCTCCATGTCTTCAACGAGATCAGCAGGTTCCAGAATTTCCGAACGCCAGCCACAAGAGACGTGATCTACGCAGGCAAGGACATAATGAAAGTTGAGGATACGGAGACGTTGACATTGAGGTACAGGGCGACCAAGGACCAAATATACTGAGGCTTCATGATGTGGCCTGGTGTAGAGGGTTCGCCTGTAACCTCGTATCTCTTCGACTGCTTCGACGCAAGGGGTACTGGTGGGATAACAAGTATCCGAACAACTCATTATGACGGAAGGACAATTCTCTGGTGTGTCAGATCACAGAGATGTTCGACCAATTCGTAATAGAATACTTGCCACTGGAGATAACCCCATAAACCTTCTTTACACGTCGCAATCAACACATTTCTGCTACAAAAAGTAAGCCAAAACTGGCCACAGCAGAACGCTGGCATCTTCGTATGGGCCACCAGGGCCCAGAGGCACTGAAGCACGTGGTTAGCGATTCAGAAGGAGTCAAGGTCAAGGGTCCCTTTGGCCCAAAGACTACTGAGTGTGATGGCTGTGGCACCGCCAAGACTAAGCGACAAGTATCCCGGATTCCAAAGGAATCGGAAACAGAACCAGGAAGCTGCATTGCGGTGGATTTCCACGATCTCGAAGACGACGAGGGCTTCTCAAGACTGTGTCTGTTCACCGACAGATACTCCGGATAATCATGGGACTACTACATGAGAGACAAGACAGCAGAGTCAATTATTGAAGCACTGGATGATGTTTTCGGTATCCTCGAGCGACAATTCGACATCAAACCACAGTCAATCGAGTGCGATAACGAGATCACACAATCCTTCAAAGTGAATGGGTGGCTCCAGGCACGATATCTCAAAGTCAAGCCCTCTGCTCCACATACACAAGCCCAGAACGATGGTGCCGAGCGCTTAGGGGGTGTGGTCAAGGAGAAATCGCGAGCTATGAGAGCAAGCTCAAAACTTACAAGCTTCCTCTGGAAAAAATTTACCAGGCAAGTGTATACCTGTACAACAGGACTCCTAAGTACTTGTACAATTGGAAGTCACCATATGAGTGTTTCTACACCTACGTGGCCAACAGGGACAGGACCACAGTCACAGCAAAGAAGCCTGACCAACGACATCTGAAAGTATATGGTTGTAAGTGTTACGCACTTACGACAGATACACTTCGGAAGTCAAACCGCATGAAAAAGCTGAGCCCGAGGGCATGGATTGGATACCTTGTCGGCTACAGCTCTACAAACATCTACCGAATTTGGAATCCTCATACGAATAAGGTGATCAGCACACGAGATGTTATCTTCAATGAGGAAGAGACCTTTAGTGGTTCGCTAGAGACACTTAAGGATGAGCTCCTCGGTATATCAACAGAGGAAATGGAGGCACTGCTTAACCAAGTTAAGCTCAGGGATGCCAAACAACATGAATCAACAGCTGCTAGACATGCTGAAGACGAGTGTATTTACGAAGTTCAAAACATTTACGAAGTTCAAGACCAAGATTCAATGCTTGCGTTCGAGCAGGGTGATGAGGACGAGGACACAAGGATAGCAACCGATGAAGCCGCTGAGCAGACTCACGAGCCAGCTCAGGGAGGGTCCGAAATAACTGAGCATGCTGGAGGGACTGATCACCCCTATACCACCGCAGTTTTCGCCCCCTCCCTGAGCTGGCTCGTGAGTCTGCTCAGCGGCTTCATCGGTTGCTATCCTTGTGTCCTCGTCCTCATCACCCTGCTCGAACGCAAGCATTGAATCTTGGTCTTGAACTTCGTAAATGTTTTGAACTTCGTAAATACACTCGTCTTCAGCATGTCTAGCAGCTGTTGATTCATGTTGTTTGGCATCCCTGAGCTTAACTTGGTTAAGCAGTGCCTCCATTTCCTCTGTTGATATACCGAGGAGCTCATCCTTAAGTGTCTCTAGCGAACCACTAAAGGTCTCTTCCTCATTGAAGATAACATCTCGTGTGCTGATCACCTTATTCGTATGAGGATTCCAAATTCGGTAGATGTTTGTAGAGCTGTAGCCGACAAGGTATCCAATCCATGCCCTCGGGCTCAGCTTTTTCATGCGGTTTGACTTCCGAAGTGTATCTGTCGTAAGTGCGTAACACTTACAACCATATACTTTCAGATGTCGTTGTTCAGGCTTCTTTGCTGTGTAAAGTTCAATAGCGATAAGCTAGGTTTAACGTACTAGCTCTTGCTTAATACCTTCTAACTTAGTTACACCTCATCTCTTACCGCGCTATCTAGCTGAATTAGTAAAAGCTTCCCTAACGGCAGTGCGATTCACAAAGGACCTAGGCCAAAGTCTTTGAATCTGAAGCTATATAAATATAGCCTCTTCACCGACCGATATTACCGTCTCCTGCGAGAGGTGTTTATAAAATCAAGGCGGACTAGTACTAGTAGATACTAGTCACCGAAGCTGTCATTAGCTGCTAGCTGTAGGGTTATATCAACTATAAGGAGGAGGAGCGTGCCTCTTACCTAGATACTATAAGTTAACCTAGGCTACCTATTATAAATATTGAGGCTAGTATACTAACCAATCTACTATACGATAAATATAAGAAGTAAAAGCATTTAAGGTATATTTCGACTAACCATGAGAATATCCATGATACATGATCCCAAGAAGGGTCAACCTGTAGCCATAGATAAGATAAGATAGACAGCTCAAGAGGGCCTTTGGCCACCCAGCTAGCGCTGATGCTTCCTATAACACACACTTTACACCCTATATGCACTCGCATCAATCCATTCGGCGTTAGTCTAGCAGGCAGATAAGTTTACTACCTGACTATTTTACTCTATTTCTGGATCATTGTCTATCTTTAGATCTAAAGCTGGAGTATTTAGGAAGATAGATACCTTGGCCTATAAGTCTACTTGGAAGTAGAGCGCAGTAAATACGCTGCGGCCTATTATTCTTCGTATATTAGCGCCTAGGAAGTCGATTGGGCAACTTTAAAGAGGCTATCGTTCGGAAAGACGACCTTAGCCGATAGTCGATAAATCTTCTAGTATATTAGTTAGGCTTGCAAAATGTCGATGCAGAAATCGCTTTGGCTTGTCGCCGGGCCCGATCATAGCATCACGGTGAACACTAGGTGCGATGAATACAGCTTTCGCCCGCTTGACTGCTTTGATAGCCGACTAGCCTATCTGTCGGTTGATTGCAGCAATCACGAGTTCAGCGATGGAGAGTTCGAACGGGAGTCATACAATCGGTTTTATAACGGCCGATAACTTGGAGCTGGAGACCCGATGCCCCAAGTTGCTAACTATCAAGTTCGACATACAGGATATGGTCGAGGTTGAGGTTGCTATTTTGTCTGGTAGAGCGCTTAAAGGATGTTGCGCGGGTGTTAAGAACTACCTTTTTTCCATATGCATTGAGTTCGATGACGTCAGAAAGTGTGCTTTCATAACCAACCACCTGATGCTAGAGCTTCCAGATTGACGCGAGACAGTTCTAGAGATGCTGCAAGAGGAGCCTAAACTTTCGCCGGTTGGATGAGACGACGATCAAGCTTTCGAACGGGTAGAGCCGCTGGAGATAACGAATCAGTGCCTATTTGCCGAGCACATCGAACTCAAGAACGAAGCTTGTATGTTCGGGATTGCGAACAAGGCCCTCTCGTTCATGGGGTCTGCGTTCCGTCCTGCGCAAGAGTCATTGTGACGAGACGTTTCCTGCCAGGCTCGGCCATGAACCGGCCAATCTGTTGACGCTCCTACATCGAATGGATTTTCGCAATGCAGACGATCTGAAGGCCCTCAACCGCATCGAATATCCTCTACGCGATTTCACCCTTTTCTCGTCCAACGACAAGTCGACAAAGTACGAGGATACGGCTGGCAACAGCATGAAGCAAAGAGGCAGTTCCTCTGGCTACCTCGTTCCCGCCAACCGTAATGATCTTCTCGCTGTTTCCAACTAGTGGTCCAGGAGGAATATGAAAACTGTGAGAGCCCTTTGCTTACTCTGCTTCGGGAGCGACAACTGCTGACCTTGGTGCATATACAGTCCCCACGATTCCGGAAAACAGAGGTATTCTGAAGATCCGTCAGCAAAGACAACATAGAGAAACCAGAGGATGCACTGAGAGGTCCAGGGAGTTCTCCTCGTGATTGAAATTACGAGATAAGCTGCTTTTCGTTCAGGTTATCCTACTGGAGCATCCTATGGAAAAATTGCCAACGAAACATCTCTCCACGCTATGCCATCGGAACAACCATGACACAGGACAATTCACTCCAGGTCATTATGAGAGCGATGCTAACGACGACTGTCCGGCAAACCCCGGGAGGCATATCGCTTTGCGGAGCACGGAAATCAGGATAAAGTGCAGCTGAACGTGAAGCATATCAGAAACCCGCTGTGGTACCCATTCGTGAGTGCGACAAATATCAACTTCACCGTCGCAAAACCACCGCTGGTGCCCACATTAGAAAGGCCTGGAATCTCCGAGAGGAACGTATGATGCATGCATGCATCGGTGTCATCTCCGACTCCACTCGCATGGCGGACCCCGACCCCATGTTTATCGAGCCAGACCTCGACGAGCTCCAACAAGCGATCGAAATCGGCTGGAACACGGCTTGGTCGCGGTGGCGTTGGCGGTTGTTCCACGAATCTAGATGGCATAAGCATGGCTAGCTTGGTTATTCCAACCATCAAGAATCAAGTAATGAGCAGGGCATCATGGGGATGTCGTCGATGGCTTGCTGTATGATCTGGATCGTCGAGTTTAGAAACCGGCGTATGGACAACTAACTCATGTTGATTTCGGCTTGACTTCGGACGTCGGGCTTCATATGCGTAAAGCTGAGAGCAACTTCATCGGCATTGGATGGCAGTTCCTGCGAAGACCGGTAATGCCCAATCGCGGAGTTTATTGTTCGCATACGACCGACTGAGCACGCCCAGGACGTGAGAAGGACCGATAAACCACTCTGCAAATAGACAGTGAACCTGCTGTGCATCCAATCCAAGCGGTGTTCGACTCGTGTTGCCATGGCTTTTGCGACTTGTCGCCGCAGTGGTGGCGTGCGGGGAAGTACACGGCGCTAGCGACTGCCTGCATGACGGAATGAAATTTGGGTCAAATAACGAACAGTCAAGCTTCAACCAGGAAAGTTCGGGCGCATCTCATCAGGTCAATATCTGCGAGATTGGATAATCGAGAAGTCAGAAGAACGAGAGGTCCAGCGTTACAGTTACTATGGGATGCCACATGGGAATATGGGCCTTCCCCAATCATCGGAGCGTACCTGATGCGACATGGCTTTCCCATCCCATTTGCAACAACAAACATCCGATCTGCAAACATCAAACTTGCGCCGGTGGCCAGTCTCGGTCAAGTCAGACGATGGAAAGGGGGTCGTATTGTGTTCTACATAATGTTTGTTAGTTAACCACGTACTCGGGAATTGCAAAGGCAAACAAGTACGCAAACAATTGCAAAAATTATCTCCCCTGAGTGAAGACTGACGCGGAGAGCCGACTCCAAGGCTCCATGCCTCCACCATTTCCTCCACACGGCGGTAACTCAACCCCACAGTTTAGTGCGGCGGTACGTCTGCGATACCTCCGGACAATGCCGTTCTAAGTTTAATTTGACTGATGTCTGGGGTCAATGCAATGTTTCTTTTCTTCGCATCTCTTGCCCCCAGCAGCGTGGAATCTCACCACACTACCGCTAGTACCATCTTGGAAGCTCGAGTGATGCTGGACGGTGATTATGCCAATGTTTCCCAGATCATTGCAGCCTGCCCTGGGAACCCATGGCTGCATCGGTCCTTTTTCAAAGGAATCGTAGGAGACATGGGACTATCCCTACTCAATGAAATTACGAGATCACGCTACATATCTCTCGAAGCACTTCAAGTTCTGCTGCTTGGCATAGTTTACGGATAAGTAGGAAACCGCAACTTACTTCATCTTCGGGATCCTCTCTCCCAACTCTATTAAAGTTGAGAAAGACAAGGAGTCCTTGTTTGACCTTGATACGAGTATTGGCACCGGTCTACCCCATGCCCCAATGAGCCAACAAAACTCATCAGTCAACGGCTCCGAGCTATGTATGTACGTATGATTTGCTAATGGTGCCAACATCCAGTGGGACCTCTTTGTTCATGGTTGGGGTCATGCGGAGTCCATGAAGCGGAGAACCCTGCTGGTTGCGAGAACCCGCACCATCACCACCCAGGTAACGGCTCAACCGCGGTAACTTGATTGCGACGTTAAATAGTGATTGGGAATCCGGTCTTTTGAGCAGATATCTAGATTCGTGAACTGAGCACGGCATTTCATGTTCTTTGGCTGATAAACACAGTTGACGTTTCTGTTGTTTCATATTGAGAGCCTGTCGAGGGACCTTACAAGTCGGCGGCTGTACACAGAGACAACATGCGCTCAGCCGCTGCGTTTGCCTCACTGGCAGCTTTCTGCTCAGCTCTCAGCCCTCAGCCGGGAGCACACGAGGTACGTTTAATTTATGCTTGTTTCTGTGTTAGAACATAACATGGCACCCGTTGAGGCTATTGTTTGTGCACCCAATGCTCCTGATGTAGCAAGTCCCCATCATGATGGATTTCGCCTTCGAACGCATCGAGTTCTTTCTCTGCTTCAAATACCCGATACCCATACACGCCCCCCAACTTTCATTAGCAAGCAATGATATTTCCCCATCCCCTTCCCCAAATTATCAAAAATGAAACTACGCACAACCTTATGTTTCTTGTTGCCCATCGTCAAGTCTGCTTTATCTTACAAGACCCAGCTACATCAACGAGATGACCTTGCTTCGTCGCCGCCGTACTACCCCTCACCATGGATGAACCCGAAGGCCCTCGGCTGGGAAGAGGCGTATAAACAAGCCAAGGATTTCGTCTCTCAACTTACTCTACCGGAGAAGGTCAACTTGACTACGGGTACTGGGTACGTCTGATTTCACGCGAGGGGAATCCGGTGCTAAGCTGATAATTTTGCTAGATGGCAAGGCGAGCAATGCGTTGGTCAGGTCGGCAGTATCCCCCGGATGAATCTCAGCGCTCTTTGCATGCAAGACTCGCCGCTCGGTGTCCGCTTCGGTGACTACTCATCGGCCTTCAGCTCCGGCCAGACCATCGCCGCCTCTTTTGACAGAGATCTCATGAGAAGGCGAGGCGAAGCCATCGGAGCAGAGCACAGAGGCAAGGGGGTCACGGTTATGCTCGGCCCTGTTGCCGGACCCATTGGACGCACGCCAGACGGAGGGCGCAACTGGGAAGGCTTTTCACCTGACCCCTGGCTCACCGGTGAGGCCATCGCTCACACGATCGTGGGTGTTCAAAACGCCGGAGTGGTCGCGTGCGCCAAGCACTACATTGCCAATGAGCAGGGTGAGTGGCTATTCCGAGGTGATCCACAGCTGGAAATTCTGACATGAGGAACAGAACACTTCAGGCAGGTTGGTGAATCGCAGCCTCGTGGCTATAATATCACCGAGAGCATGTCGTCCAACATTGATGACAAGACGATGCACGAGCTCTACCTCTGGCCCTTCGCAGATGCAGTGAGAGCCGGCGTTGGCTCTGTCATGTGCAGCTACAACCAGGTCAACAACTCGTACGCTTGCCAGAACTCCAAGTTGCTCAATGGCCTCCTGAAGAGCGAGCTCGGTTTCCAAGGGTTTGTCATGAGTGATTGGCAAGCTCAGCACACAGGTGTTGCCAGCGCCGTGGCCGGCTTGGACATGTCTATGCCTGGCGATACCGAGTTCAGTTCGGGCAAAAGCTTTTGGGGGACTAACCTCACTTTGGCTGTCCTCAACGGGACATTGCCCGAATATCGCCTCGACGACATGGCTATGAGAATCATGGCTGCTTTCTTCAAGGTTGGGTTTAAAGTGAATGAGCAGCCTAAGATCAACTTTGATTCGTGGACTTTGGATACGTTTGGGCCCCTTTACTACTCTGCGAATGAAGGGCACCAGCAGATTAACTGGCATGTTGATGTTAGAGGGGAGAATGGAGAGCACGGGAAGCTTATCAGAGAATCTGCTGCTAAGTCGACTGTGTTGCTGAAAAATGAGGGTGCTCTTCCGCTGAAGGTTTGTACTTCTTCACTACATCGGCCAGCTGCTCCGGGCGTCGTGGATACGCGTAACTAACTCGATAACAGAAACCCAAGTTCCTCGCTGTGATAGGCGAAGATGCTGGCCCGAGCGGATGGGGTCCCAACGGCTGTGATGACCGAGGATGTAACGGTAAGTCTACATTGGTTCTTGTCCGAGCCCTCCCAGGTGTTTGGTTCATACAGAGAGTTCTAATGAAGAATTGCAGCTGGCACTCTTGCCATGGGCTGGGGGTCAGGTACCGCGAACTTCCCGTACCTCATCACCCCGCTAGATGCTCTCAACTTCCGAGCAGCTGACGACGGAACACGTGTTGAAGCCGTGCTGAACAACTCTGCCACGACCCAGATTGAGAAACTTGTTGCCCAGGAGAGCGCCACGGCATTGGTCTTTGTCAATGCCAACTCGGGAGAAGGGTACATCGACGTCGACGGAAATGAGGGTGACCGAAAGAACCTCACCCTCTGGGCCAATGGCGACGAACTCATAAAGAACGTCTCATCCATCTGCAACAACACCATCGTCATCATCCACTCGGTAGGTCCAACTCTGGTCACCGACTGGTACAACTCCCCCAACGTCACCGCCATCCTCTGGGCTGGTCTTCCCGGCGAGGAGAGTGGTCGTTCAATTGTGGATGTGCTTTACGGTGACGTCAACCCAGCTGCTCGGACCCCGTTTACTTGGGGTGGCAAGCAGGAAGACTACGGGGCGGAGATTCTTAGCGAGCTGAACAACGGCGAAGGCGCACCGCAGCTGGAATTTTCAGAAGGTGTTTTCATCGATTACCGTTACTTCGACAAGAAGAATATCACGCCCATTTACGAGTTCGGCTTCGGATTATCGTACACCACTTTCGAGTACAGCGATATTGCAATAGAGAAGCAAGAAGTAGGCAACTACACGCCGACCACGGGCGAGACAGCAGAAGCGCCCACCTTCAACCCCGGCAACTTCTCAACCGACTTGGCTGATTACCTCTTCCCCAATGGGTCATTCCCTTACATTTCGCGGTACATCTACCCCTACGTCAACACCACTGCCTCAGCCGCAGAAGCCTCACAAGATCCCTTCTACGGCTCCACCGCCGAGGAATTCCTCCCCTCCAACGCCATCGCCAGCTCCCCCCAACCCCTCGAGCCCGCCGGGCCCGGCCTCTCCGACGAACCAGGCGGCAACCCCCAGCTCTGGGATGTGCTGTACACTGTATCCGCCAAGATAACGAACACCGGCGACCTGAAGGGTGACGAGGTTCCGCAGCTGTATGTCTCGTTCGGAGGACCTGACGATCCGCCAGTCGTGCTACGCGGCTTTGATCGTCTGGCTGTCGAGCCGGGGCAGACGGTTGAGTTCAGGGCTAATTTGACGAGGAGGGATCTGAGTAATTGGGATACGGAGAGTCAGAATTGGGTTGTGAGAGACCATGTCAAGACAGTGTATGTTGGGCCGAGTAGTCGTAAGTTGACGCTTAAGGCTACGTTGGATTAGGGGTGCGGGCCTTTTAAGCTAGGGCGGTAGGATGAAGAGGTATTGCGAGAAAGGGAAGGGGGAGAAGGAGACAATGACCAGGCTTGAGGATACTATGATGTGAGAAGCATTGAAGAGTTTCGTGTATATACTTAACGTAATCCAGCTATAAGTTGGTCACATCCCTTAGCGAGCAACCTAATTTCAGCTTGCCGAACTCGTTTAACTTGACAACAACATTTTTTCAATTTTCATGTCAGATCTTTATTATTTCGGTAAATGGATTAGGAAGACCAGATCAAGAAAGCTATCAAGCCTATTAGCGCTAGGAAAGCCCCTAGTATACGTAAGTAACCGAGTTTTTGAGGGCTCCTAGACAACCCTCCAAGCCAGCATTTAAGGCTATTAATACCGGTAGCGATTATTATTTATCGAAGAAGTAACTGTCGAACGATCCTTAATTACGTTAGCTACGTATAGATAGCCTTAAACTATCAAAGTAGTAAAAGGGCTAGTAGTGAACCTACTAAGAGCTAAAAGAAATAGACTCCCTGGATATTAACTACTATACTAGCTTTCTAGACAGATCAAGACAGCAGTGAAGGCTAGGAAAAATCATCATTTCCTAACGCCTGTCGTAATTGTATAGAGAAGGAAACTTGCCCCTCCAAGTCCTTTCGGTGCCTTAGGCACTATTTAAGGGTTAGAAGGTTTTCCTGAGACGTCAACTGACTATCATAGGCTTGAAAGGATAGTTGATGCGTGCACCTAGGGGGGAGGATGCTATAATGCAGCAGTGCGCAACGTTATAGTATCTAATTGAATGAGATTCACCTAACCAGTGGGTCCCCCTACCTTTTCGTATCAATAGTATCACGTACGATACCGTTAACTAATAGTTCGATCTTGATACGTGACTCCATTGGGGGTTACCCTATAGCTATAGATAAGATAGATAAGAGCTATAAAAGAGCTCTGCCAGGCCAGAATAGCTGACCTGGCATCCTTTCCCAATACAACAATTCACACCCCATATGCACTCGCATCAAATGGTAGCATCTCCTCAAGATTGAGTAAATCCACCAAACTAAACCAACCATCTATTGATCGATCAAGATCGCCATCACGGCTACGATCCTATCGCCGCCAGCGCTTCGCACGCACCAAAACCAGCCAGATCGGCCCCAGATCTATCAGGATCACCATCGCGTCACGTACCTATCACGCACACCTTCATTAAGAGGACCCTTTCATTAGGCCAGTCTTCTACCAGCACCTAAGCATTACGATCGCAGCTATTACGAAGCGATCACTATCACAGTCTATCGAGGGACCCTTTCACTAGGCCAGTCCAGCACTAGATCTATCAAGATCACCAGAATCATCAAGGGACCCTTTCACTAGGCCAGTCTCTACCAGAATAACCATCCCGGAGTCGATCCACAACATCAAGCACCCACAGCCGCCGGGCGTCAAGATCTCTTCGACTTCGTTTCCTTTCATCGAGTCGAGTTCGCGGTCGCCTTCCGATCATACGATTCCCCATACTAAACGCACCAGAGCGAACACATCGTCAAGAGCACTGCCCCGAACACAGTCAAAGGTATCGGCATCCGTAGCCCCGTCAAGGTCAGATATACAGCAGCTGGCAACATGATGCAACAGTACTTTGGCCTAGCTATCGACACAAAGCCTTCGGAGACCCCGCCATACAGAACTTGGCTTGAGCAGTCTCCTCCGAATACAGCGATTTGGCCAACTTAGCAGCTCTACACCCTGGCAAGTACCCCTGCACCAAACGTACTGAGGACAGTACCATTTTCCGTGTAGCCCGGCATTTTGATACGTGACCCCATGGGGGTTGCCCTATAGCTAGAGATAAGATAGATAAGAGCTATAAAAGAGCTCTGCCAGGCCAGAATAGCTGACCTGGCCATCCTTTCCCAATACAACAATTCACACCCCATATGCACTCGCATCAGATCTATACCAACGAGTTATAGAACAATACGCTATTACGGACGATAACACCTAATATGGACGAGAAGGGGATTAGTAAGGGTATTAGGTATAACCCCTAGGTTATAATCTCTCGAGGGAGTAGTTAGGCCTTTACTAACTAGCCTAGCAACCGGTACGATCGCCCCTTCTTCGGAATAAGTAAGTTCTTGCGTTAGTAACCGTATATCCTATCGTAAAGTGTCACAAGTCATAATTACAATGGGCTAGAAGGTCGCGATCGGGCCCGCCTGGATAGGCGGGCGAAATTATGACGACCCGATGGCGTTTCAATGAAACCTTCGGGGCCCCTCAAATAGTGCTCAAGGCACTAAGGAAACTTGGAGGGGCAAGTTTCCTTCTTTGTATCTAATTGCTACTGGCGTTAGGAATTAGCGATTGTGCCTGGCCTACCCTTACACAGTACCTACTGTTACATAAAGTACCGCTATAATATCGGTGACGTAAAGTTATGTAGGGGATATTATAGATACGTACTACGGATCGTATGTTTAGTTTATAGTTGTTCCAAAGCGCTTAAAGCGCTAATCAAATATCGCTTTCTTCCTAATTATCTACTATAGTAAAGGCAGAAAATAAGGGACGAAATCTAGGTTATACGGAAATGCGGGAAAGTGTCTAATTAGACCATGGGATACGTTATAGCTGGGTAAATTAGTGATATTGTAGCTAAGCTTTCACTATTTATAATGCCCACTTATAGTGTAAGATTTCTTTTGTTAAAGCGACATGCCTAATAGCTCTAGCTGTTGGAAAACACGGTGGTGACTTCCATGGTTGACAGCTCCGGTGGGAGGTTGATGCTGTTGTTAAGATGGAAGGCCCGACGCATTCATGACGTAAAGACTCTTGACTTCGCTTGAAAAGAGATTCTTGAGAGTGAAGCTTCTTCTTGGGAACTGAACTAGCTTGAATGGTGATAGCTTCTAGTCAATTGAACCTCGGTGCCTTAACCAGCACGGTTTCAATTCCATATTACCTATACTGTCTCAGTTTCCAATACTAGTAGCTAATCTAGCTTTATGAAATATTAACGAGGTTATTGTCACGACCCGGGTTGCATCGCATTGGTAGAGACCTCGATTAGGTGCTATCGACGAAGATTCTACTCTAAGGAGCGAAGGAAAGAAGATGACAACTTAGGTTTGAGGGAGCGCGACTAAGTCATCCACGCTTGGCGGGGCTCCTACAAGGGTTATGATTGGCTTCCCATCTGACACTGCCATGGCAGGTGTTCCAGCTGTAAGTCACCTGGTTGTAGTGAGTCTGCGAGGGTTGACCTTCACAGTTATCTTGAAGAAATAACAGGAGAGTAGAAATAGAAGGACGAAGAAGGCCTACAGTACTACGCATATTTCAACTATCAAAGAGATTCAGGATCGGTAGCACCGGCAAGATGAATGAGAGGCTTAGGCGGTAAGTGAAAAGGAGCTTAGACAAGCCCTTCGGAGCATTAGTGCCCTTGCTAAAAGCGTGTGGAAGGAATTACCGCTTCATTCTGATATATTTTGTTGAAAATAGTGTTGTGAATAGCTCGCTTTACTTATTTTGCTGTTGTTAATCATCCCCTTGTTATGCCAAAATTGGTGGCTCGGTAAGGGGCGTGGCCCGCTCATGGGTGGATTACGTTACTTGCAGGTTTCAATGATATATGCCGATTTTGGTCTTGAGGTTGGAAAGGACTTGTTTTATGGCGACCTCGCACTCTCGAGGGAGTTGGTATGAACTGCCGCCAGCTATGCTCACCCTTTCAAGCCCATAAGACTCCTCGTTCTTATGGGCTATTTCCAGCTCATAAATGCCGATCGCATATTATGCGATAATGAAGTGAACGTAAGAATTAAGGTAGGCATCTCGAGCTGGGATTTACCTTGTTCTATTGCACGAGGGTCGTGAGAGGGCCTACTGCTAAATATTATAATGTAGAGGCAGTTTGTCAGGGTACGGCTAGGCCGAAGGCAATAGTACAGAGTGATGGGGAGTAACGGGCGTCCCTCCTACGTAGCACCGGGTGGTCACTGGCGGTCTCAGGTAGGGGTGCCCACGGTGATGCATTGATCTCTGCCCTCTCTATCTTCCTCCGTCTCGACTCCTTACTTATAGCCAGCCGAGTTTCTCTCTTGGATTCTGGATGTTTGCTTCCGTATGTCTGTGTTCCTCCGACTTCGGCCAATATCTTGGACAGCGGCTCCTTATCTGCAACCAAGCGATTCCCTATCCGCTGCAAACGGCTTCAACGGCTCTCATTCGCCACAAGCGGCTCTCTAGCCGCCACAAACGGCTTCCTACCTGGTGGAAGCCGGCCCGCCTCGGATGACACTTGTGGCTCTGACAACTCCTTCCCTATCCTACTTCGAGATGGTCCTTATATAGATAGCTAGGCCGCCGCTTGGACCCGGCATAACAGCAGGGTCGGCGATGCCAAGGATCTTGACTCTCGTCATCCCAAAGCTTCACATAGATTGTAATCATGATTCGGGAGTCTTTTGTCCGAAACACCCCTCCGGCGGCCCGCCGGTGTCCTGCGTTCAGTGTCCTGACACCCACTGGTGCCTATGGCATTCTGTTCTCTGACACGACGACCCCCCCTGACAAGGCCCTGCCCTCAGGGCCTCAACGCTCATCCCGTAGAACACCGGCCCTTCCTATTCCCACATCCTCCGATGCCGCGCCGGTGCCCTCCGGTGTATACCCCGTAACTCTTCACGCGCAACAGCGTATACACTTGTGGCCTAACCACAGTGCTCCGCGCTGTCACCCGCACACACACGTCATGACATCGGTCCAGCCATTGCTCGAAAACCTTTGCCTGACAATCGCTCACGACAACGTATACACTTGTGGCCTAACCACAGTGCTCCGCGCTGTCACCCGCCTTCCGAAGCTATAGGTGCCTACCGGAACAGCACCGGTGGCCCTACGCTCCCAATCGTCGGAACATTGGCCCAGTAAAACGCTCGCAAGCCAATGTTCGACACACACGCGCAACAGCGTATACACTG